TGGGAAGTGGTGACACTTCATTAGCCTCATTGTGGCTATCAACTCAAGAATGACCCTGGAGTTTTTGACTAGACTAGTGCTCGAAGGATCGTCAATCAAAGCTGACGATGTTCGTGACAGTCCGGAAATGAGAATCAAGCCTTATCTCCAATTTTACGAGGCTGACTATGCTATGTTCAGTTGCGGCCCCATCGCAAAGACTGACCTCGTGCCATGTCGACCAGGAGACCGGATAAGATGTCTCATCTGATTTCCTGTATCGGTCGCAATTGTCGTTACCCGAAACTTCGAATGGCGCTTAACATAACTCCCACGAAGCTTTTATCTAGAATTTTTCATTCTTCAGGAAAGCCACTGAGTGCGGATCACCGGCTGAGCTAGCAAGCGTCAAAGAGGGACACTGGCGAACGTTTGGCCGTCTCAACTACTTAGCACAGTGTGCCTTTGATGATCCCCATATTCTGTTTGATGCCCGAAGAAAAGGAGAAGGCTATAACGCGGACACTTATCAACGCCATAAATGCCACCTCGAGCATTGTTTCCTCGTTTTGACCGAGCGACAAATGCTTGGAAATATATTTTGTATTAAGATGGCCATAAACGGGTCGTGATTCAAAATCTTTGTGAAGATGCAATATCGAAAAGGCTGGAAAAATGATGGTCTTATACAGTAAGTGAATCCTGTTCATTGACAGGGGCTCGAGCGGGGCGAAAAAGAGCTCCGAATAAAATAAATCAATCCCATGTGGAGAAAAAACCAGACTTGTTAGGAGTTGGGCAACGACGGATGCGGGACCTTAGTTGGTATGAACTATCTACTCATGACCTCGCTGTAGCCAACATTAGTATAGAGTACCGCAAACTTAGATCCAAAGGAATGATATTTTCTTGGGGAGCCGGGAAATCACTTCGTCTGCCCCGGGCACGTGCCAATGTCAAGAGAATTCGCACGAACCCGTCTGCTTAGACGACAACATGGAAAAGCCAACTAGAACAGTACAGATTGCCATTGGTTCTGATGTCCTTCTCGGGGAGCTACTAACCCAATTTAGTTTCGCTATATGTGTTTCTCGGAACTCGCGTATGACATCGGGGAGCACCAGTCAGAGGAGTAAAACGTCATGTTGGACAAATGCAACCACTAAATAAACTAAAGACTACTGCAGTAATAGTATAGCCTCGCACGAAGAGGAGATTTCAGGAAAGGCTGGGGTCCTTGGAGCGCGTTTTCAACTAAAGTGGTAGCTAGGAAAGATCAACGTTTTGGTAACGGCCGGGACACTGGGACGAACAGTGTGAATTCTACTCGAGGGGTTTAAGGTGGGGGCATGTGAAGATCCGGGGCTATCATGAAGTGCTGTGTCAATGAAGATTACAATCCCATAACAAATCTTACATAATTATTCTGATGTTCGACGTAAGCAATTTGAGTTGAAAACTTCTCCGATGTTTCAATGCCACGTTTTTATTGCTTGTCCCATGGCTCAGAAGAAAGAACTCAGTATTGGACTGCCCTAGAAGGCATGGTCTGAACCGTACTATCATAGTACATGCTCTGTCATACAACCCAGCCTTCCGGACTGGGGGCTTACGTGATCAATGATGAACCTGTTGCATTGATGACCGAATAAAGTTCTAGTAACACAAAACCTGAACGACTCCAAGGGTTTCCACAGCAGTGCGGCGTGGCGTGTACTGCAAATTCTTTCGTCGGACGGCAACCGTTTTCAGTGGTGGAGTGTACTATTTGACTTTTCCTTCCACGAGGGGCATCGCGAAGTGGATTTATGTGGGATTTGATCGAAGGTCGAGTTCCGCGGTGGATGGAGTGACACCTGAGATGGCTCGGCTACGACGACTGTGGTTGTCGTCGAGAACTAAAGGAGAAGACGTGCCGAACAGCTAAATAAGTTACGGCATAAAAGCTATGCAGACATGACCCGCTCTCAAATAAACTGGTATAGAATTCAGTCGACGCCGTTGTGGCTTGTCTAAGTTGTCAGGAGAGACATTGATGGCCATTGCAGTCTATTTGACTTCAACCCGGTTTCCATCCGTACATGCTGGCTTCTGGATCTTTGCTGAACTGAGGACAGTGACATCTCAAGGTTCGATGTCGAAAGGAACGGAGGAAGCATTAAGCCAAAGGGTGCAAGACAGTGCGATTAGTGCGTCGAAGTTGAGGACTCTTTTGAGGAAAAGGCTTCACAATTGTGAACTTTCCAATGCATCTAAAGAACCGCTAACGAATTGCTCAAAATTGATACTGTCTGTCGCATGCACCATGGCCTACATAAAATAAAATTGTTTGACGGCTTGAGAGCAACCTGAAATAGCCGTTACCTCATTCGGCAGGTACGCGTGTGGCTCCAAACCTGATGATCAGCAGTACCCTGTTTGCTTATTCCCAAGCATGCAGTAGGCGTCTAGACGTGACAATGATAGACGGCTTGCAGCATTTCAATTGAACGGGATTGCCATCGCGTGCTGATATGTGGGGGTAACAATAGGGAGCCGAAGCGGAAAACCAAAAACTGACTGCATGTCAATTATCAGTGCTCTGTAATAGAACTCTAGGAGTGCTGATGGCGTCGAGCAAGTGGGTGTAGGTGTGTTGTCTGACGGCAAGCGGATGCACAAGCGTCACTGAAGCAATCAATCTCAACCCAATCATTAAAGATGGCCAGGCTGCAAATCCACCAGTCTGGTAACACTACTTTTGCCCTGACTGCATTGGGTGCCCCTAGGTGGCTCAAAAAGCCGCCTCTTGTCGCATACAGTGCTTCGCCTGAAGCATGCATGGGAGTGATACTTGGCTCAGAGGTGACGAGCAGGCATAGCAGGCATGGCAACAAAGACCTTACACCAGGCCGCCAGAGAGGAGGTGAAGACAGACCACTTCGATTGGCGATAGTAGCGTGCGCAAGCAAGCGGTCATGCCTCGGGTTTGGTCATAGAATGCTGGCCTGAGGTAAGATGGATGAAAACTGTGCAGCCTTGTTGGATAATAGAAAGCTAATAGCGGCTTTCCGGCCTGCATTGGCGGCGTGTTCGACACGAGTCCAGTGGCTGGGTCGTCGAACAATTACATGCATGACAATAGATTGATTTTCCCATCATGTCGTGTTTTGACGCGTTTGGAGTGATTGATTGGCCGGAAGATGAGTTGCTGGCGCGAATTGACCATCCAGTTACCTTGACATTTGTGCAGGTTTTCATGGGCTGAAGCGACGCTAGAGTAGCCCCTGGCCCCATGCTCGCAGCACACTAGGTAGGACGATTGGGAGAACAACGTTCAGCCCAGCAAATGTATTTCAATCCAGCAAAGCCACGAAGATCGCCTGGGCCTCTGATGAACACGCGAATTTGTGTTTGATGATCGAGCGTGACTGGCGCGCATTAGTCGCGAATCTCACAGCGTATCAAGGATTTACTAGGTAAAATGTCGCAGACCGGGGACTGCGCGCTGTATATGAAAATGCAACTCAGCTCCCTTGACTCCTGTCTACCCATATGAAGGTATGCAGGTGCATGGACGTCGTGCTCTCGCGTCAAGTATCAATCGGCATTGAAGAGCTCTATCGACACTGGATCTAGAACACTGCAGGACATTGCATACTGAAGAACCGTAGGGCAGGGCAAGATCTGTGAGATCTGAGTATCCACGATAATGGCGCCATATACTTTATTCGGTATGCCAGATCTCAATTCGATGCATACCATGGGATAAATGAGAATCATGCTATTCTGGGGCCAATGGTCGTGTCAAATAGCTGGAACGCACAAGGACTAGTGTAAGTAAGTAATATTACAGTACTTGTGAAATGCATATGCCGTACTGTATATTTCCAAGCATTGTACGGAGCATCCGAAATATGGGTTTAGTGACTTAATAAAGCATAATTAGTGCTCAATGCTTAACATTGCAGACGACATCCCCATATCCCCACAAAGGACACGGCACTCTGCCATGGAATACTTGACAGAACAAAACGTCACTTCGACTCTTGCATGTATTGTTTGCGCTAGTGTTATGATCCAAAACCCGGATTCGCTGCCATACTGAATAAATTTACGCCAATACCGGAACTTGTAACAGAGCGCGTCGTGATGCCCATTTAATCGCTCGCTCAGACTGTGGTGCCATGTCACGTTCCGTAGACCGCTTGGCCCTTGTGAGAGTGGGGGGGGGGGGGGGACGCAAGTAGACCCAAGAGCTTGCATTGGTAGCAGGCCCGCGATTCGTTTTGATTTTTTTTTCTTCCCCCGTCGAAGCAAAAACGTCATGTACAGTATTCAACATCATGACAATAATTTGGTAATAGGGTCCATGATGAGGTCTGTTCCCCGCTTCAGATTTTGCGTTGATGAGGAGACAAAGGGTCTTGGTCTCGTCAACTACCAAGACGCCCGGCAAAAGGGCCGGCCGGGCCTGGCTTTGGTGACCGCCCACGACCTCCACTGCGCGAAGAGGGTCATGGCATTACGTGCATAGATACTGTAGACGGTGTTGACGATTTGTGAAGATTCATGGCACCTTACATACTTCAAGCCACTGATAGGCTAGGTAGACTACACAATGGGCCAAGGTGAGGGAGGCCTTGTTCATGCGTTCGTTCGTCAAACAAACAACCAGCAATGATTCAAGGTGTATAAGTGGTCGATGGTGAGGCTTGCAGACAGAAGCCGGCCGTGTCCGCCAACATCAACACGCGAAACCTACACAATAATCAAGTAGAAAGAAGGCCCCGTGGATTTCTACAAAGTACAAATTGCCGGCATGCCGCCGTTGGAAGAAGAGTACAATGCATAGAGCATAGCTATCACGACATGTCTACGGATTCGTAGAACACAGGCGGTCGTCCATAACTAATGCTTCATTACAGCCATACTTGAGCGCCTGTGCAGAGCTATCCTATTGTGGATTGCGCTACATCCATATCCATCATCCATACCTATTCTCAGATTGGAGGCACAATCCAAAACCCTCCCGTAAACCAATGTCGCACTGTGCATGTCTGCTGGGTCTCGGTATCGTCTCATCAATCCATGACTTGCTCGCGACGAACCCGCACGCTCGATTGCAAGCAAAAGCTCCGCTAGTAGCTTCTAGCGGACTAGCACCCGTCTGCCCCCTGCACCGCTCGTCACGAACTAGAAACCGGGCCTCAGATTTCCAATCCCCAGGGCGCGACAGTGCAGCTTTCACACAGTCAGAGCAGTGTCTAGGAAAGGTCTCCACCCAGCCTGCCATCTTCGTCCTTCGTGGAGCGGAGGTACCCCAAGCGCACCATCCCCTGGTAGCCGAGAACCTACCACACGCTCTCACTCTCGTCTGCCCGTACCTTGACCTTGCCGGGTCCATCCTAGGCCCTGGTCTGGCGTCTCCTTTGCTGCGTGGGCTTTCTTGGTCTGCACAGTCCGGTGTGTCTTAAAGTGCCAGTAACCAATCTCTTCCAATCCTTTTTACTCTCCTACATCCTCCTCCAACCTGAAGGCGTCTCTCCTCTCCTTCCCTCTCCTCATCCTCCTCATCCGATCCATTCATTCCCTACCTCCTCCGACGTCCCCCAACGAGTTCTCCTTGTTCAACAGCAGGAGGGAAGGATAGAGAGTGTATTCTGGGCAGCCCCGACAACCCCCTAAACCCAGGCACAGTACAAGGGCCGTGAGATAGATGAAGAGCTGAAGCAAGATAAAAGTAGTTGGATAATCCTTCACGGTAACCGACTACCTTTCTTCCAATTGCTTTCAGTCAATACAGCATCTTCGTTCGACCTCCTCTTTGGTGATTAGAGCTGGAATTCCCCGTCTTCAACTTTCAGGCGAGAGGAATCTTTCAATTACCACAATCCCACCCCCTTCGGATCCACCCGTCAGAGACCTCCCACCCCATTCCTCGGCAAGGCATCCACCTCCCTTGGCCGACAACACAATTGCATTGCGTCAATTCTGGACCAGGCAATTCGAATCAGTGTTCCTTCGTGCCAGCGGTACCAGGAATCTGACTTTGGCCCATTGTAATCAAGTGGAACTGTCCCAGGAAAATACCAGCTTTGGACCCGTCGCCACAGGTCCGAAACTGGTTCTGAGGATTAGATACATCCTACATGAACTGAGTCAAACTGTGAAGACTTGTCGCCCGCAAAAGCGTGCAAGTGTCGAGGTATGTTTGTTGTCGATACCTCGGGACGTATGCACAAGGTGTGAACACTCTGAAGGCTAATGCCAAACTTGCATGTACAGCTAGATATCGAGTAGCTTCAGTACATCTGTGCTTCCCGGTGTATACCTCTTCGCTCACGTTTCACGTCCAACGACCATCGCTTGCCCTGGGACTCGTTAACTCGTTGTTCCCATCAACAATCGCAGGAAGCACCTAATTCCCTGACGGTCAATCGTGGCGGTAAGGGATACTCTTTTTATTTTCCGATATTCGACGTGACCCGGTCTGGGAGACTCGTGTCTGAAACTTGATCTTCCCCCGCAAATGTGGTCTTGCTAGAGGAGACGCCCGTCGCTTGCCTGCCTGAGCCCTGTCAGTGCGGTCTTGATCTCGGTGGTGGATCTTATTGTCGGCCAACATTGAATTGTTCTTTTCCTAAAGTGGTTGTGTTACCGGGACTGACTTGAAACTTGTGCAGAGCATATCATCTAGTTGACGTCCCTTTGTCAAACAGCTCCTTCCTCGCCAGTATTCATCTTGATATCAGATATCTCACTTTTTGAGCTTCGGCCAACCGTCCTTCCTTTTTCGCGAACACATACAGTTCACCACACTCATTAATTCCTAATACAAGCGGGAAGTTTGCTGCCTCGGATTTCACTCTTTTGACCGACTGCAACTCACGTTATAATAATCACACACGTTCACACTCATTACAATCGAGAAGATTCCTGGAGAACCTGATCCATCATTCTTTCAGCACGACCATCGTGGCCCTCACCAAAATTCTTCATACGTCGATCTGGGAACGGAAAGAACATTTCGAACTTCAAAATGGCGTACAACAACCCCGACTTCTTCGTTGAGACTGACGAGCCCCAATTCCCCCGCCTTCACTCGAAAGAGCACATCAGGATGTTGGCACGTAATAGGCAAGCAATGATTGGCGAAGAGCTGTCGCGCCTCGCAAGCGAAGAGTATCTCGAGGATATTATGCAGCACCTGTGCTACATGGAGGTTGGTCTCAAGCCGTTCTGCCATGTCAATGACCTGAAGCTGACCTAATCTTTAGGATGAGACAATTCCCGATGTAAACTTGATTGACATGCAACGGGAAATCCAGTGGTTCATGAGACCCTTCCTAATTGACTTCCTCATTGAAGCTCATGCCGCCTTCCAATTACAGCCCGAGACTCTCTTTCTTACTGTTAACCTGTTAGACCGCTACTGCTCAAAGCGTGTTGTCTACAAGCAGCACTATCAACTTGTTGGATGCGCTGCCTTGTTGATCGCCGCCAAGTACGGTGACAAGAAGGACCGTGTTCCCCAAATCAATGAGCTCAATAACATGTGCTGCGGACTCTATGACTCAGGCATGTTCACTCAAATGGAAATGCACGTCCTCAACACACTGGAGTGGATTATCGGTCACCCCACTGTCGATTTCTTCAGCCAGTTGATTGTTGCTGAGGACGGTGATGATCGTGAGGTGGAGCATATGGCTGCCTACATCTGCGAGATTGCCCTGTACCACCGAGATTTCGTTTCGATCAAGCCTTCGATCATGGCTAGATCTTCATTGGCGCTTGCCCGCGCTATCTTGCAGCGACCCGAAGTCAACGATGGAGAATGGGATCAAACTTCGTCGGGGACCTTGCGAACACTGTTACAGCACTTGGGTCAGCCATCGGCAACATTGACGCGAAAATATTCCGCGCCTAACATGTCGAGAGCTGCCATCACCCTCGCCGAGTTCCTCGCACACCAGGCCGCTATTTCTCGCCGGGCAGAACCTCCAACACCCCCGGCCGAGCAAGCCCTGGTTTCCAAGTCGGGCAACATTTACAGCACACCTCAAAAAGGCCACGGAGCAGTCATGGGTGTTGCGGATGGCTACATGACGCCACCCATCACTCCTGATGGCATCCAGTTTGGCACTGTGGATCCCATGAACAAGTATGTCCCACCGAGGTGCCCAGTCACCCCAACCCCTCAGGTTACTCAAGCTGCTGCATATGCGCCTCAACAACAGCAACCGCAACACCTTTTGCATCCAGACACTGCCTACTCTCACTACGAGTTCAGCAGCCACATGATGGCTCATTAGAGCCATCAATTCTTCAACCACCCCTCTACGACTATTCAATCTCTGCTGGGTATTCTCCCCACTCACTAGAGTACAGGAAGGACATTACCTTCAAAGGCCATCGCATGGACACGTGTATCATTGGAAGACAAAAAGAAGATTGTTGCATATATTGACGGATTAGGAATCTCCATGGCATAGCGTTGTTTTTCTGATTTGATTTTCTTTCTTTTGTTCCGCAGTCATACCCATCAAGTGCCTCACAGGGCCTAAAAAACAAATCAACGATTGCGACACCCCACCCAAAAAAAAATTCGATTCCCATGTTTGGCGATTTTGTTTCCCCGATACCACATGTTGGCTCTTCTCTAAGAAAGAAGAGCCATCGCAGATTGCGCGACATAGACGATACCATCGCAAGGGAATACTTCAGAACGGGAAAAAACTGATGACGATTGGAGACAACGAGCACTCAAGTGTCAATTTCTTTGGCGAAGGGCCGAAGCGAGATGGAATTCTCGGGAAATAATATCATCACCAACAGACAGGCAACTCTTATCGCTTCTGGGAGGAAATTTTCTCACATAGTTTGAGAAAACCATCATCTGGCTCATCCTCCGAGAGGCGTATCGCCTTGCGTCGATAACTTTTGGTTATCGGCATAATCACACAAGCGTATAAAAAGACCTGCAACTCACACAAACTTCTCTTTGGAGGATATTGCTGCAGCATGTGAGTAATAAGAAGCATGCGAGCTTGGAGGGCGATGTCTTGACTGGCTAGTCGTCGTTAGTGGTGACATTGTCTGTACATTTATCAGGCCTGCTCTGCCGCACCCCGTAAATAGGAATGAAAAGAGTTAAAATTCTCTCGTACAATTTTGCACTGAAGTCTTTTGTTTTGTAGATGTTAAATCTGATGAAGTGTACTGGCTAAGTAATCCAACAACATGTGGTATCTCAGGCTGCCATGAGTGCGCCGCGTCATGTAACCCATGATGCGACCTCGACTTGCCTTGAATTTTGCTATGCTCCCGCATGTCATGGCATGTTCTCGAATTCATTCCATTTGTCTTTGGCTTACTTGGAGTCGAAATTCAGTTGCCCGGTGCCTCTGATGTCAGGTATTCATCACGGTGACACGCTCTAGCAAGAGTACGATTCGTGGGGAGGAGCAGCTGCAATGCCATGTGGTCCCAAATCTAGCGAACGGGCTAAACTAATGCCTTAATATTCGCTCTGCATCCTTCTAATGTGCGTTATAAAACCCCAACGCCTCTCACGCGACATCTCCACGTCCTAGTCGGAACTCAAACTCAGTGCGCGCCTCTGTGTATCAAGTTATGCTACGCGTCGCGAATTTTTTTCTTCTTCTTCATGGCACGGCGACCGAAGACTGGAACTTTGTTCCTGGAATGCACGTGGCGTTGCTCCCCTCCATCGTTCCTCCCTCGGCCGCTGCTACCTTATCGTTGTCACATAGCAGTTAATTAGCTCGTCTCTAAAGTAAGGTTTTAAGTCGAACACCGTATGCTTTGATAGTGATACTTTTTTCAATCGTGCCCTTTCGTCGTATGAAGCACAGTAAACTTTGCATTTCCCACATTGAAATTAACCAGTATCAATGCAATATTACATACGGCATGGGTGTGGTAATGCCGGAAATCAACCAAATCGAGTGTGTTTGACATGAAATCTCCACGGAGTATGGTTTTCCGTTCCAGTCCGTGGCATGCCTGGTGCGTGATGAAGACAAGACATTCCTTCGTCTGAAAACATCCAAGACCAAATCCGGCAACGGAAGATTTCCTGCTGATCCCGAGCCCTGCCGTAAGAACCTGCAGAAGTCGGAGTGATCGAAGAAAGGTATTGCCATCTTGCAACATTTAGCGATTACTTGCCTAGACACATATATATTTAAGGACACAAGTTGTCATTCGCGTGCTGACTTGTGATTTTTATGTATGTGTATAGATACATGCTGATCTTAACTATTTTCTTGAGAGATCTCGAGCATGAGCATGGTGCATGGCACGTCCTGGGAACCGTACCTAATCATATCGGCACTCGCAAAAAGTTTGTTAACGTTGACGCGTCGGAGGCATGAAACCGCAGTTTGAACTAACATAGACGTCGGCGTGCCTGCTGTTTACAGCGTTACTTGTGTTGGGAACAGCTCGTACGAAACATCATTGGGGAAGGTTTGACTTGTCCTTGATGTCACTGATATCTAAAGACAGACTCTATTTTATTATTATTTATATATATATATATTTTTTAAAAAAGAAAAATTAAAAGTTAAAAAAAAGAATAAAAAAGAGGTATTTGAAGCACGTAGCTATTGTCTCCGAGGACGTTGTCGGGCATAGAGAAACTGGACATTCAGCATCACACATTGATGAGCGCGGCTTTCGCGTGGCAGCTCACGCCGAAGTATATATCTTCCTGGAAAGGAGGGAAAAACAAACGTGGAGAGTGGCCTCATGAGTTGTTGGTGCGGTACTTATGCAAAACTTGATACTACGACATTACGCTACCCTTAAATTAGAGTGAGTATATGCTCCGCCTGTTCTGTAAGAATAATAATGGAATGTCGAGGGCATGTTTGTTCCTGAGGGGCCCCCGCCGAGACTGTATTTAAAGGATAAGTTTCAATGCACGAACACAAGGCTGGCAGTCCATGATGGCCAAGGAATTCATCCGTTATCAAAATGCTGTGTTTGCAAGGCGTAGCTGACTTTGAGGCCAAGAATCGGCTACAGGTGTTTGGTTTTGCTTAGGATAGAGTCTCGTTGTCAAAAACGTAGCCTGCTCTAACGCTGGTAGAGGCATCTGATAGAGGCTTGTCATGTCTTGTTCTTTGATGATGTTTAAAACGCAGTACAAGAAGAGTAAGTGAACATGGACGACTTGTACTTAAGAACGTCGTGCTGAACACATCTGCGGCATAATTCTTCTTACACAAAATTCCTCACTAACGTCCCGACTTAGCAACATACGAGGTTGACTAAAGGGGCAAAATATGTATTGCACTAGCCGCGAATCGAACGCGGGGCCCATCGATGGCAACGATGGATTTTACCACTAAACCACTAGTGCCGTTGTGTGTTGATACAGGTTGTAGTTGTAATGTACGTTCTATTGAAGAACTATGCTGTCTGTCTGTCACTACTCTACTGGCGAAGGCATCACGAGGCGGATACTTGGGTGGGCGACGTTGGAAACGGTGTGGGGGAACCCATGAGTCAGGATAGAGAGCTGGAACTGCTGGTTGCTTGACCTAACAACAGAAGGATCAATTTCTGTTCACGGCGAAATTCGGGAGGATGGTGAAAAGCGTAGATAAGCTACAGTCCAGGTCACGGCACGGAAAGTACCTGTAGGAAGCTTAGCCGGAGTAAGTGCCGAGTTCTTCGTATTATATCCATGTCTCTAGTCGTATCCTCATGCGATCTTTGATGTCCAGTCTTCGTTAAATCGTGATGTAAATCCCAAAAATTTCTGTAACCACGCCTCTTCCCCTTGGTATACTTGCCTGCCGATAGCTCTGATGTTCATGCTCAAAGTGACATGCAAGATAGGGGTGCTTAACTACTCAATCACTTTGATCAAGCTGGTTCGCTCTTCCTTCAAATCGCGCAATGGTAGCAGCATGGAGGCGCCGGTGCCCGAAGGTGTCTCGATACCTGTCCAAATGGGCGTAGAGATTCCGATGACAACTGGGTAGACGACAGCATCGCAAAACCCCGGCCGTGCTAACGTATAGAGAGCTCCAACATTTGGCGAATCTAACCAGAATCGACAGACCTCGACAAGGCTTCTGTTTTCGTGGGAGCAGCAGCGTTGTCGGCTTGGTCTGATTCCTCCGTGGCGGCCTCGACGGGCTCAGAGAGCTTATTCCTCCTCTCCTCACCCGTGTCGACGACCTTTTTCAGCATTGTCATCCTGTTTTCAAATTCCGCAACCAGTTTGTTGTAGTCTTCCACCTCAGTGGTTTTCTGTCCGCTGTGGCTCCCACTGCCGGATCCGGAGCCGTGACCGCTTCTCTCGCTGGGAAGTTTGAGTTCGCCCGACGATGCCAAGGAACCTCCATCAACTCCTTCTATGCGGAGCATCAAACGGTCCGGCCTTTTCTTGTTTGGACTGGGGATACCATCACCATTGCCTCCGTTATCGGACGACGGCGGTGATATTCGGGTGACCTGAGCGTCGAGGACAGCCCATGAAGGGGATAAGCTAGAAGCCCAGGACACATTGTAGGCGCCATCTTTGCCTTGGGACAAGTCTAGGAGTATGGCACGTTGATCAGGGGCAGGGCTCGAGGCTGATTCGTTTAGGTTTGCATGGTGCTGCTGGGATAGTGCTTGGGTGAGGACGTCTGGGTCGTCGTCGGAGAAAATGTAGTGTACCTGCGGATGATGCGTTGTCCGGGTTGACGTGTTGTTCACGAGTGTGTAGATGGGCTGGAATGGAGGCGTTTGCGGCTGTTGGGACTCAGACGCGGGCGCTTGAACGTCGGCGGAAGTCTGGAGATAATCGCTGGGGGGTTGTTGGGGATCCGTCATGATGAGGAACTGTCTGACTGGGAGAGTATTATTGATGAGGACCTACAGGCGGGCGGGGAGGAGGCTAAAAGACGTGAGGCTGTTGGAATGGGAAGGTGCATCGTGGTGGTCAATCTTGACGAAGAGGATGAATGACAACCATTAATACAGGGGAGTGGGTATTTGTTGAGAATAATTGAATGGGATGGATGGATGAAAGATCTGACGTGTAAGGCAATTCAATAGAGTAACGCATTCGTTGGTTGTAGGCACAGGCGCAAGCGCAGGCACTCAAATGCACGCATATGCAGGCTGCTGCAGGAGACAATGACTCTACATGAAGTAAAGTGACCTAACCTTAGAGCTTGGAGAACGAGCTTTTAGAAGAGCTCCGTGATCAGCTGCAACCTCCGCCGTGACCGTGACCGTGACACCTGAGCACCCGGAGCTTCTATCTAATCGGCGTTTGCCCCACGTGGAGTGTGGAGGGGGCATGCTACTTAGGGTGCCTTGGATGTGGGGTACTTGAGGCGTTATTGATCACTTCAAGGTGCCTTTTTTTTGAAAAAAAAAAAAAAAAAAGTCTTTCATAAATACATCCTGCCTGGTATTTTTCGGTGCCAATATTCCAGACTTTCGTGAGTTGTAGTCTGCGGAAGTAGTGCCACCGCTCAGGAAATTGTTATCGATCCGCCAATTCAATCTTCTTCACAACCAATATCGGTCTTCCTCCGCCGGGTTATGTATACCGAATGGGGCGTGCCAGCCCTCATACCGTCGCCTTACTTAGTCGTCCTCCTGAGACTGTATTTTCGCTGCTTATGGGCCGCAGGCATCGCATTCTGGCGGCAAAAGCAGGTAAACTTTCTTCTTTCCTGTTAAGGATGCTGTCGTTCGTAGACTCTCACCGGACTCGATCATCTCGTAGGCCCCAACTGGTTCTCGTTGTGTAAAGCATATTGATAGTGCTTCGAAGTCTCCGGTGGCCAATAGTGTTCAGTCTTCGGATCCGCGCTGCCGTTCCTCCTCCTCTTGTTGCTGATGCAGTCCAGCTTCTGGGCCCCATTCGAATTCTGCACGCTTAATCAGTACAGCTCAGATCGGAGTATGTGCAGCTCTGGGCTCACTCTGTCTACACATGGGACATTGGCCTTTGGAAGAGTCTTGCTTGATCCATTCCATGATACAATGCTTTGAAATGTCAGCGGGCCATGTCACCTACGGTGGTTATGCCTTGAGCCGGCACAGACCATATGAAAGTTGTGACCACATTTCCCCGATACTAGGATGGTTGTTAGCATGAGATACATCGGGCGTCAGACACAGGAAGGACCTTGTGACTCACAGAGACTGCAATCATCCCCAGGGTATTTGCAAGTCGGACATGTTCCGTCGAAGTGGACCTGGCAGATACCGCAGACATCATCTTCTGGTAGGTCCCATCGCCATGTCGCGACAGCGTTCCACTTCTTGATCTTGACTTTCATTGCCTCGGATTGCTGGTTCGAAGAAGACTCGCGTTGATAGGATGTGGCGCAGTGCTTGTCAGGTCGTCAATAAGCCCTTGAGTCAATGTCCGAATGCACCAAACAGCGTTGAGTGTTGCATAAAAGTCAATGAAACATGACGAAATAAAATAAAAGCACATAAATACATAGCGATCAATCAGCCAATGCGCTAACACTTGAATTCGCATTGGATCCATGCCAACCACCCGGGGACTCCACCCGCTATCAACATCAACGGCTGGAGGTGAACTGAAGGAATCCGCTTATCGGGCCACTGCTTTCGCATTTTCAAAGCTCAGTCACCACCAACCTCGCGGCACGATCGCAATTGACCTTGAAAACCAGCACACAAGATATTTGCTTCACAACCTGGACAGCCTTGCGACTGGCGATACTAATCATCGTTTCCCTACTTCGTACCCCGCAGCCTTTGTGCTCCTTATAAAAAAGCTCACGTTTTCCAGCTTGCCAGCTTCCGGCTTGATATCAGCTCCAGGTCCTGTGGCTCACAAGCTTCCAACCCTCGACTTCTTTTTCTTCTGGCCGTCAAAGAACAACACAACCGACCGAGCATTAGATCCCCTCCGAGCACGCCGAGCACGTCATCCGGCCGGAATTGTGGTTATCAGTAGCATCCGCCGAGCGCCGGAGCTCACTCCTCACAACGTACATTAGCTGGATCCACAAGCTGCTACCTCAGGAACATCCTGAGAGATATACAAAGCAATGGTGTCCGTCACATTCCTCCGTTCCTCAAGAGCGGTCCTGTCCAGACGCTCTAAGTTCATAACTTGTCAAACACAACTCGGCATCATGGAGTCGCGTCGCAATCTATCGTCCTACCTTGTTACGCCGAAGGAGCTTGCCGAAGCTCTCAAGAAAAGCCCCCCTTCTCCTATCAACTCAGAACCTCGAGTCGTTCCGGTGTGTGCATCTTGGTTTCTCCCCAACGATGAGCGCAAGGGTATCGATACGTTTATCAAGCAGCGAATTCCCAAGGCAAAGTTCTTCGACGTCGACAAGGTCAAGGATAAGCACAGCGAGTACCCGCACATGCTCCCCAGTGCCAAGGAGTTTGCTGCCGCCATGAGCGAGCTCGGAATCAGGAAAGAGGATACTGTTGTGGTGTACGACTCGAAGGAGCAAGGCATTTTTAGTGCGCCGAGGGTAGGCTGGACACTCAGGGTTTTCGGACACGCCAATGTTCACATTCTGAACAACTTCAAGCTCTGGGTTGAGGAGGGTTTCCCGACAGAATCCGGTGAGCTGTACAGTGTCGAGTGCAGCGCGTATCCGATTCCCAAGCTGAGCCCGGATGATAAAGTTGCTAGCTTCGAGGAGGTGGTGGAGATAGCAAAGGACTCCAACAAGGAGGGCTCTGAGGGTGTGCAAATATTGGATGCCAGAGGAGCAGGCAGGTTTACGGGTGCCGCACCTGAGCCGAGGGCAGGACTGTCTTCCGGCCACATGCCCGGTGCTATTAACATTCCTTTCGACGCCGTACTTGACCCCAAGACTAAGGCTTTCCTGCCCAAGGAACAGTTGAGGAAGTTGTTTGAAGAGAAGGGCGTAGACCCTGAGAAGCCTATCATCACAAGCTGCGGCACAGGTGTTACCGCTGTGGTGATTGAGACTGCCCTGGAGGAGGCTGGCTACGGTTCTTCCGACAAGAGAAGGGTGTATGATGGTAGTTGGACGTAAGTGGTCACAGATTACATTCTTGACTTTACAGCACAAATAACTAACCATTTCCTATAGCGAGTGGGCCCAGAGAGTCAGGCCCTCGGACAACTTGATTATCAAGGACGTCGAGTAATGGGGGAAAAAAAAAAAAGGAATTTCATGGAGACGGAGGTAGTTGACAGTGAGCAGAAGCAAGGACAGAAGCGGAAGCTGGTTGATGCAATGATGTGATACCCTCCTTTCTTGAGTTTTCTGGGGAGTTATTATGATTAAGCAGCATCTTTTATTGCGCGCGTTTTTGCATGATGGGATTTGGACGTTTTCTTCGCAACTCTCCATGGAGGCGTACAGGGTTCAGATTGTCGAGACCGGGTGGTGATGTCCCGGCTAGGGCTGTTTATAAAAGTCGTACCATAATGATAGAAACCGGAGCGAGTCGAGTCTCTGATACAAATGCGTGAATGGAACTGAGCCGAAATAAAACTCTCCTGGGACCTTGGCGCGTGCGCAGTTGTCGAGTTAAGAATGCCTGTGTATGAGATATGCCTTCACAAACATTTCAGAAATGCATTGTAGTATAGCAACTGCAACTACTTTTGGGACACTCGCCAGTGAATAGGTGCTTTCTGGTTCTAATAAGCCCAGTGACTTGTATTTGAATACCGCCATACATGACCTGCAGGTCCAATGAAGTGTAATCGGCAAGTGGATATGTATATCCTCAACGATTAGATTATAATAATGTGTACCATGTACCATACAAACATCCAGATAGTGCACGTACTACGCACGGGCCTTTCAAGTCACAGATTTAGCCCCACTACATAGGAAGCTGGCAACCCACCCAGACTAACTTGTTCGGGCCTCTTCCCCAAACGTTAGGGCTTCAGAGTCGACAGTCTGCACACACCGATCTGCCGGCTGTCAATTTTTTTGAATTTGCCCGAAAAGTTCCTTGGAGGCTCCATCCCACCAAAAAGCATCACGACCTGTTGCGTTACTAACCCCCCCCGACTCGACACGACAGCCAATTCTCTTACGACAGGGTCGACCCGATTTCGATTGCCTTTCACGAAACCGGAAATTCATTTCAGACAACATGGCTGACGCTGCTCCCCGTGGTGGTGCCGGTGGTGCCGCCGGTGGTGCTGGTGGTGCACGAGGCGGTGGCTTCGGCTCTCGAGGCGACCGTGGTGGTGACCGACGAGGACGTGGCCGTGGCCGTGGCCGTCGCGGTGGAAAGGACAGCGGCGAGAAGGAGTGGCAACCCGTCACCAAGCTCGGCCGTCTCGTCAAGGCTGGCAAGATCAAGTCCATGGAGGAGATCTACCTGCACTCCCTCCCCATCAAGGAGTACCAGATCGTCGACTTCTTCCTGCCCAAGCTCAAGGATGAGGTCATGAAGGTACGTTATACAGAATAAGAAAAAGGAAAGGCGCATCACATGGATCGCAAAGCGCAAAGCGCAGGCTTCATACATGATCGCTTGAATCTTTTTGTCATTTCGTTTTGGCCTGCGGTTGATGACCCTGTTACGACACGCAATCACAGCAACCCCGAAATGAAATTTAAGGCGCTAACACCTTCGCTCTCACTACAGATCAAGCCTGTCCAGAAGCAGACCCGTGCCGGTCAGCGTACCAGATTCAAGGCCATTGTCATCATTGGTGACTCCGACGGCCACGTCGGTCTCGGTATTAAGACCTCCAAGGAAGTTGCTACCGCTATCCGTGCCGCCATCATCATTGCCAAGCTCAGCGTCATCCCCGTCCGTCGTGGTTACTGGGGTACCAACCTTGGTCTTCCCCACTCCCTGCCCGTCAAGGAGAGCGGCAAGTGCGGTTCCGTCACCGTCAGAGTATGTACAATCACAACCCCTAAGGCTGAGGCTGCGGCTGCGGCTGCGGCTGCCGCTACATCCTTTAGTAGACCAGATCAATAATACTAACATGCGCTTCTCCAGCTCATCCCTGCCCCCCGTGGTACCCAGATCGTCGCCTCGCCCTGTGTCAAGCGTCTCCTCCAGCTTGCCGGTATCGAGGATGCCTACACCTCCTCCTCCGGATCCACCAAGACCCTCGAGAACACCCTCAAGGCTACCTTCGTTGCCATCTCCAACACTTACGGTTTCCTGACCCCCGAACTGTGGAAGGAGACTAAGCTGATCCGATCCCCGCTCGAGGAGTTCGCCGACACTCTCCGCGAGGGCAAGAGATACTAAGAGACATTTGGAATGGTTTTCGGGCTTTTTCGGGCGTCTTTTGTCTTTTGATCATATAATGCATGCATGATAAGATGACTGCTAGGGTGAGCCAAGGTCGTCAAAGGGATTTTCGGGCATGAGGCTAGCAAAAAATCAAGAAGCTATTGAGACATTTGGTCTCGAGTTGACTAATCTCCCTCTTACGTGTTTCTTCTTGTAGACTGTGCTGTGCTTTCAACTTTCGGAGATTGGGGGGTTCCATCCCGGACTTTGAAATGGACAGATTGAATGTGCAGTGTGTGCATCCGCATTTGCGAATTATATGGCAGCGGATATTCGAGACCACCAAACCTGCAGGCCAACAAAGGTCGGAATCGGGCATTCTTTCGGAAAGTAGAATACAAGTCGAGCTCTTCGGTAAGTCTGCCTTGAGCTTGCCAGATGTGCACTTCCCACATGGATAGGACTTTCCTGCTGCCACCTACATAGACATTCAAAACAATGAAAGGGCAAGAACAACCTCACTTAGGTGAGCGTCACTTTGCCGTGTTCGACATGATCTCTTACCTCCAGTCTCCAATCTCTTCACAGACCTTCATTTCACTCTTTTGTCTGCTGTCATCTGCCATCGCACTACAACTTTTGGTGTTTTGGACTTGACTTTTGGCCTAATGTTGAACGTCTTGGGAGTTCTTTGGTTTCTTCATTTGAAGATAAATTCCGCCTTACTTGTTGGGATTATCGTTCTCGTCGCTTGCTAGATCATTTGGCCTCAATCCTCGCCCAACAACACCACACACCGGCACGATGCCAAACTCGGCAGCCCCTTAGATGGGGGTAAGGAGGTTACTTGTCGTTGCAGGACTCTGTGCATTCTATGTCATGCTCCACTTGTGCTTCGCCAAACGGCCTTTTGCCAACGACTCTACCATTCCCGAACTGCAGTTACGCAGTAACATCACACGGCCATCTCTCGAACTCCGACCACGCAGTGACACAACTGAACCCACACCAACATTGAAGCATAGAGATCTACTCAACGCATACCTCCCAGCTGAATTGGAAAGGCGTGGCCTTCTTGGACCCGGCGGCATCCTGCCAGGCAAGGTCCTACCAAGTGTATTGTCCAAGCTGAACCCTAACGTTGTTGGTGTTATCACTTCACTGGCTGCTGCCCCGCTCGCAACCCTGGTTCCAGCTATTCCAAACATACCTTCTCTTCTCCCGACCGTTGCAGCAGACGGCGGAGCTGGTATACCCCTTCTTCCTGACCTTGGAGGGGTAGCTTTGAATCCCGCAGGTATTTCTACCGTTGCAGAAGATGCAAGCGACTGGATAGCAGCTGGCGTTTCGGGCTTGCTCCGTGGAGCCACCAAACTCCTCCCAGCCAACCTCCCGCTGGCCACGGTTATCAATGATGTCGTTTCTCAAGCGACCAAAGCCGCCGACCAAGTGTTGAGTCAGGTCCAGAGTGTTGCCGCTGAGGTTGCAACTCTTGCCGCTCAAGTTGAATCTGATGTCCTCAGCCCTGATGGAGCTCTCGCCAACGCGGGATCACTGCTGGATAACCTTGAGGGGACAATTGACAACATCATCAATGATGTCGTCGGAGAGGTCGCAGATGTCGTCCCAGCTGATTTACTAGACAATGTCAAATCATTGGTTACTGTAGGTCTCAATTCAATTCTAGCTGCCAGTGGCGGCCCTGTGGCCATGGTGGCATCCATCATTGACCAAAACCTTTGCGAAGCTGTCAAGCTGGTCAATGGTCTTCTCACTACCGTCACTGGAGTTTGTGGTGATATGGCTTCAATCACATCATTCAGCCCTACATATATAGATTCAGCAACATCCGCGGACACTGGACTGCCGCCACCCAGCCCGATAGTCACAGGCAACAAACCTACCACTGCATCTGCTGCTCAGCCCATTAGCATTCCAATACTAACAAGCTCGGGCGCTAGTCAAACAGGTCAGTTCCCCAGTACTGGTGCTCAAGGCAGTGCTTCTGGAGGCACCAGCCCAACTAGGCCAGAGAATGGCGCTTCGCAAACAAATGCAGGAGCAAGCACTGGTGGCTCTAGTCCTGCAAATGGCAACGGAAACCCACAAACCTCACCAGCGAGTGGAAGTGGTCCCTTCCAGACGGCACCCGGCTCAGGCTCAATCCCTAATGGAAGCGGACAATCAGGAACTGATGGAGGTGACGGCGCTTCACAAACAGCGTCTGGAGCTGGTTCAAACCCTATTGGGAATGGGCAGTCAACTACTCTTGCCAGTAGTGGTGATTCTCAAACAGCACCAGGGCCAGGAGCTCCTTCAGGGAGCGGGCAATCTGTGCCGAACGGTGGTAGTGGTGCTTCGCAGACTGCCCCGGCTGGTGGAACCAGCGCCGCAACAACTGAACTTGGCTCGGGTGCCAATCCTTCTGGAAATAGTCGGTCGGTGCCAAATGGTGGCAATGGCGCCTCTCAGACAGCACCAGCAGGAGGCAACGGTGGTATCCCGGGTGCAACCGAAATCACTTCTGGTGAGCCAGCTCCTCTCCCTCCTGAAGGCACCGGTCCAAATGGATCATGGACAGGTGGTGGTAACATGCCGACTCCAACAGGTCAGTCAAATGGTGGTTCGAATACCGGTTCTGGGCAAATTTCAACGGGTGCTCCTGGCAGTAAGTGATCAATTTGCGTCAGCGTCTAATAGTTCCAGTCAGTTAACTAATCAACAATAGATGGTGGTGTTTCAGCTGTCACTGTATCTGTCACGCTTACATCAACTCTGACTATTGGCAATGGGGTGGCATCGCCGCAAACAGTCTACTTGTAAGCCTCTTTAAAGGGTTGCTGCTTGTTGTAACTAACATCGTATCAAGGCCTGGCTCTACGACGACTGTAATTACTACTGCTTCCGTTTATATACCATGCCCGGCACAACCGCCTTGCCCTACCTGGCCTCCTTCCTCGGGCTCGTGGCCCGGGGCGCAATCTGGCACAGGCCCCTGTCCTGGTTCAGGCTATACTTGTGATGATTGTGTTGACGGTTGGTTCTGCCCGCCCCCCCAGACCCCTGCGCAATCTGGTCCAAATGGGTGCTTTGGCTGGCCTTGTGCTCATTGCAGCGGTGGCTGGTTCTGTGTCCCTAGACAGAGTGCAGGCACCTGTACAAGCTCAGGAGGTAGTGGACAGGCTCCGAACCCAGGTGGCCTCATGTCGCCTGTGTCTCCTGTCCAAACTACGGTTACTATCGTTCCTCTTTTCTCAACTGGACAACTACCAAGCAATACAATTGCTCCTCAACCTGCAAATGCACTACCCACCATCATGAATCCTGCCAATGGATGGACGTACTCTGGCTGTTGGGGCGATCAGCCTCGATTTCCTGTTCTCGACTTCACACCCGAGACAAGTTTTGGACCGGTCGAGAATGGGAAATGTGTACGGCACTGTATCGTCAATGGCTACACGATCGCAGCAACCTCATTCGGCAAAAAATGTTTCTGCGGCATGTTTCTAAACGGAACCCAGAAACTTGGAGATGCTGCCTGTATGTCTCCTTGCACAGGTGATACCTCACAAGCATGTGGTAGTGACTGGTCTCTTCTAACTTACACCCCTGACGGGGTAGCACGTGGCTGGGCACCCATCGGCGAGCAACCAAACCCAAACCCACGCCCAGCACCTACCATCGTTGAACTTGTCTTTGGCGGCGTTGAGCAGAGCGTTGTCACACAGGATGTCGTTGTGGGTCCCACTTCGGGGGCCAACATAGCATCATTGATCAGTCAATTCGGTGAGCGGAGTGTTCAACCACAAGCAAGCCTTCCCAGCGGAGTTGGCCCCCAGATTCAATGTACAACATCCCCTAGTGGACCCTACGGCGCAAGCATGACGGCTCCTGGCAAGGGTTCAACATCGCCAACCGACGCCATTTCTAGTCCAACTTTGCCCAATGGTAGCAACTCGAACACGTCACCATCATCTCCAAACGGCGTAGGTGGTGTCGGGCCAGGCCAACAGACTCCCACGATGCCGGTTGGAGGAACTGTTTTCCCTAGCTTTCCCAGCGGCCAAGATCCTGGGACGCCTGATGGACAATCCCCGACCGGACCAGGCATTGGCCCCTCTCCGGCTGGTCCAAGCATTGGAAATCCAGGTACCACGCCTGGCGGCGTTGGTCCTCCAAATCCTGGGACCAACGGAGGCAATCCAAGCATCACAGGCCCGAATGTTGGGTCCACTACAGACATACCGGGTGGTGGAAGCCCTGGCACTTTCCCATCCTTTCCAAATGGAGCAGGTGGCGTTGCTCCTGGTCAACAAGGCCCTACATCACCAGAAAGCGTTGCTCCTCGCCCAAGTCTTCCTGGGGGCAACAACCCTAATATAACTCCTCCAGGCAGAAATCCCAGCACCACTCCCGGAGGTGTAGGTCCCTTAAACCCGGGAATCCCGGGCAATCCGAGCAATACAATCCCTAATGGAGGAACGAGTCCGAATCTACCTGGAGGTAGCATCCCAAATATCCAACCGACGTTTTCGAACGGAGGGAATGGGATCACTCCTGGTCAGCAGACTCAAACGTCGCCAGGAGGTATTGGTCCCAGCCCAACTTTTCCTGGGGGCGGAAATCCAAATAATCCTTTGTCGCCCAACAGTCCCGGTGGGCAAGGCGGAAGCACACCTCTAGGTGGAAACGGAGGCGGCGTAAATCCCACTGGGGGACAGCTTCCAACCTGCATACCTGGCTCACCGGGGATCAACTGTATCTCCGCGCCTCCAGGTGGGAATGGAGGTAATCCGACAAGTCCTGTCCCCAACGGAAGCGGTCCTGTCCCCAACGGAGGACAAATACCCACATGTACACCTGGTTCATCAGGCCCTAACTGCATCCAAGCACCGCCTCCTGGGGCCGGAATCTCACCCACGCCGCCTGGCGTGCCACCTTTCCCATCATCAGGGGTTCCGGTAGGACCTGCTCCCTCACAGCCATTCACTCAAGGGACAATTTCACTTCCTGGTGTTGCAACACCCACGAGCCCTGGTATTTCGGCTACTCTGTCAAGCTCCAGACAGGCTAGTTTAACAGCTCCTGGAAGACAGTCTTCTTCCAGTTCAATTAGTGGCACTTCAACCGGCTCAGGTGGAGGCAACGGAAGCCAGACTTCGCCCAATCCTGGAACGTTACCAACTGGTCCGGGTGGAAACAACCCGAATGTGCCCGGCTCTCTTGTCCCAGGCGTATCACCGACACCCACCAGTCCAGGAGGAACAAATCCTCCAGGACCAAGCGAGGGGACAACTCCGGGCGCCTCAGTCCCAACACCTACGACTAGTCCGACTCTTTCTGGTGGTACGGGCCCAGGCACAACACCGTTACCTATGACCGGCCCGAACGGTGGAGGGGACACTACATCAGGCCCCATTCAACCGGCCAACCCAGGTCCCAGCAGCTACGACTGGCCGCCTGGCATTGTGCCGTACGGTGATCATCCACCTTTCACGACACTTGCCCAGATGTTCAACTGGAATGTCCCGGATGGGTCAACAGGAACAACTACAGCACGGAAGAGGGTCATTTCCGAAATGGCTAACAGCACAGGATGGAACTCTGCATCCGAGCCATCAACGACTACGGCAAAGAATTCTTATGGGAAGTGGAGAAGATCGAGAAGATGGCATGATATTTTGTAAAAATGAGGGCGTTTTCGGAGGTGGGCCGTGACTGACGCATGGACATTTTTACATTGGTAACTTATGGATTGGGCGATTTACAACACTGAGCCAGGACTCTATCCCTAGTGCTTTTAGATGTGAAGTTATGGTTGACTTATGGGATACTTACACATATCAGGTTCTTGCTAGGGGATTTTAATTGGTGATATACTTACATCGTGTTTGCAGGAACTTAAAACATTTAGATCAGGAGCAATGAAAAGTATGTGCGCTCTTACAGAGCTCTTCTGCCTCTACGATTTTCAGCTCAATGCTGAGCAATCTGCCTGACTCGCGTTGACAGCATTGCCAGCGAACAATCCGCACGACAATGATAACCGGCGTAGCTTGTCTCCTATTCACGAAGCCCACTCAGTTGATTATACACTATAGAGAGGATGATTGAATCCACACATTTGATCATGCGAATTGGAGGCCGTTGAAAGCCTCACCGTTACACAGCGGATTTGGACTATAGAGGTGGATCGGCGTGATTGAGACTCTTTTGGATTTACATAACCCGTGATAGTATAACCGGGTCGCAGAGTGGCAAGACGGGAGCTTAATCTCGCAATCTAGCGAGAACCATAACAGAAAAAAGGGACTGACGCTACCAAAAGCCTGGATCGCTTTAATGATACCTCAAATCGAAACAGCCGTCGCTGATGGAAAAACTCGATGAAAATGCTGACATTTGGGAACCCGTGCCGTCCAGACTTGGCAAGGGCCAGCTGATGGTTGGTGCCAGTTTGACGTTTCGAGCCCCTCTAATTTGCCGGAAGATCCACCTATCGATATGGCTAACGGGAACCCGTTAGCAAAATCATGTCATGCTGGCAATGTTTGCATTGAGGAAAGCAATGGAGGAAACTCTTTTGTTTGGTTTTTCTTATTGCTCTTCAATGCACAGAACATACTCTGCATGTATCGAGTCGTAGACAGACGGAAATTATAATTAGTTTTCAATGCACGTCGAAGAGCTGTATGTCAGGAATACCGATTACCAGAACAGGAACATAGAGCTTGCATTGTACGCTTCTCATTGGAGCAAAATCTCCAAGCGTGCCTCGGCATGGGACTTGGGCGTTCGTCACCTCGAGCCAGGGACACCCTAGACTGTAGGGATGTCGCCTTTGTGGCTCATCGGACATGAGCACCGGTACGTATTGCATGCAGGCTCTCGATAGCGACAGCACAGCAAGCAGCGGAGCCTCATGAGTCTCGGATATATATGTCGCTTAACTAAATATGGGACGAACAACCGCCGCCAGGGTTTCTAGCGCTCTTCTAGGGACCGGTAGTTCGGTAAGAAGCGAACGACTGACGGCTCGTCTGCCCGTGATGTGACTGCTTATTCTCCATTGGGTTTAAGTTAAGCTTGATGGAGTTGATCTTATTGATGGACTCCATCTGTGGACAGCTTATCCTGAGATCCTTGTACCCTGAACGGCGAAGTCCTGGGAGAGAAATGAGAGTCTTGGTATCTTGGCAAAGCAGCACTACGCGTCAATGGATCGTGAGGACTATGATTGTTGAAGGGCAAAGAGGGCCGTGGGATACAAAACGCCGTACAGCCCCCGTTCCCAAGAAGAGAAGAAGAGTTCTGCATCCCACAACCCACGCCTGTAACGGCTTGTCTCTCTTTTCTTGAACAGATCTTTACATTCATTAACACATTCGTTTCGTCTCTTCCCTCTTTTGCACGACTCTCAGTCATCCAAACGTCAATATGAAGTTCACTATTGCCACTGCTGCGGCATTCTTGTCCAGCGCCGTTTCGGCCGTCTCAGTCTCCGGTGCTGCTGAGGGTTTCGCCAAGGGCGTTACCGGAGGTGGTTCCGCCGCTGCTGTTTACCCATCCACCACCGCCGAGCTGGTCTCGTACCTGGGTGACAGCTCCGCGCGTACCATCGTCCTTACCAAGACCTTCGACTTCACCAGCAGCGAGGGCACCACCACCAGCACTGGTTGCGCCCCCTGGGGCACTGGCTCCCTGTGCCAGCTCGCTATCAACAAGGACAGCTGGTGCGACAACTATCAGGCCAGCTCCCCCAAGGCCAGTGTCAGCTACAACAACGCTGGTATCGCAGGTATCACCGTCGGCTCCAACAAGTCCATCCTTGGTAGCGGCAGCGCCGGTGTCATCAAGGGCAAGGGTCTCCGTATTGCCAACGGTGCCAAGAACGTCATCATCCAGAACATCCACATTACCAACTTGAACCCACACTACGTCTGGGGTGGTGATGCTATCACTCTGGATGGCACTGACTTGGTCTGGATTGACCACGTCAAGGTAAGATAACTCTACTCTGGAATATACTGGCAATATACTCACGTAGCCTCCACATTAGACTTCCCTCATCGGCCGCCAGCACATCGTTCTCGGTAACTCTGCCTCCAACCGTGTGACCATCTCCAACTGCGAGATTGACGGTTCCTCTACCTGGTCCGCCACCTGCGATAACAACCACTACTGGGCCCTGTACTTCACTGGTTCCGCTGATCTTGTCACCTTCAAAAACAACTACATCCACCACACCTCCGGCCGTGGCCCCAAGGTCGCCGGCAACACCCTCCTCCACGCCGTCAACAACTACTGGTACTCGTCCTCCAGCCACGCCTTCGAGGTTGACTCCGGCGCCATGATCCTGGCCGAGGGCAACGTCTTCCAGAACGTCCCCGCCCCCGTCCTGAGCCCCATCTCCGGCTCGCTGTTCACCGCTCCCGACACCACCACTAACGCCATCTGCTCCACCTACCTTGGCCGTGTCTGCCAGGCCAACGCCTTCGGCTCCTCCGGCAGCTTCAGCTCCGCCACCACCAGCTTCCTGTCCAACTTCAAGGGCAAGAACATCGCCAGCGCAAGCTCCGCCTCTGCCGCCAAGAGCGTTGCTACCACGGCTGGCTTCGGCAAGATCTAGGTTTGGCCAGAATCAGCCGCCGTGGCAGCAGTGCTGTCAGAGCCAGCGTAGCAGAAGCTATCACTTACGGAGACGTTACTGTTGCTGGAAAAGTCAGTGCTGGTGCAAGCGGCAGTCACGTAGAACTTCCTTTTGAGAGAGAGGGACTTTTCAAAGACGAAACTCTTCCTTCTAATGTACATATTAATTTTATATTTCTTCGGTATATACCCTCAAGTTACCAATTGAATTTCGGAGCCCCGTGTTTGCGGGCAGACAAATATTTGCAGTCTTCTATTGCTGGTGATTCATCAGGTGCCATTAAGGTCCGTTCTATTCGTGATATATCATCCAAACTAAGATGTTTCGCATGACAGGTATTTTTTTGCGAAAACTTCCGTCAGGCTGCGAGTAACTCTTGTACCATCCCGGCTGGTCGTGAGAGTGTCAACCGATATCATTCACATGGCCTTTTTGAGCCCAAATCACCGTGGTGTGCCATGGCCAAGATATCACAGCGAGCCATGGTGGGTACCAGATGCAAACATGTTCTAAGTGCTCCAACGGGTTATGTAAACTTGCTTGTTAAATTACTTTTCTTGAAATGAACTTTCGTGCCCAAGTCATGCCGGGCAACCAAATGCGCAGTTTTGCACAATTACTGTTGAAGCAAAATCCAGATGAAACTATGACGCAGCATATTCGTCTTGATAAGCTATCAAGCCAACCGCTTTAGCTACATAAGCATAAGCATACGGGAGTGAGAAGTCGATTTGGGATTCATCCTTCAGCTACTGCTAAGTCTGGGATAACATCTCTCCTGGCCCCCCTTTTTTATATCCCCCCCCCCCCCCCCCCCGTTTTATTTTATTTTCCCCCGTGGGGCTGTTTCTTGGAACGAAACAATGAAAATGCTTTCTAGACGTAGACATCATTGGACACAGCACGAGTAAAATGTCATATATGTGGAAATGGAAATCGTTTGTTCAAAGTTCGCATTAGATTCTGGGATCTTCGAATCTGTCCCCGTCGAGGGAGGAAGGCGGCCATTTTTTAGAACGATTTACCTGTATTGAGAAACAAGTTCTTTGGAAATACCATCGGCGGATGTTTATTGGATTGTAGGAATGTGGTTAGGACAATGGTATAGAGGTGCGTTTTCATGTCAAGAAAAAGCTAGAATTTGGAATATTTGGTAGCTTCCATGGTCCTATTCTTGCATCTATAAACTGTGTAGCAGACCATCCCCCATGAAGGCCATAGCTTCACATCCTCTCCAACGCCATAGCTTTATGAAATCAACAATCACATAGGTTTGTATCATATCGATGATACTGTAGGTCATACAATGGCTCCACATTCAAGCTCTTAATCACTCCTTCAAAAATCAGATGAAGCAGTTGCTCATTGCCACAGAACTCTCTTTCGTGATTCACTTTTACTGACTCCCACCCATTGATCACAATACTACATAAATCACAAACACGTCTGTCGTTCCAATTATTTTCATAAACTCTTCACAACACTACCTAAACAACAGCTCCTACACAACGTTGCATATACAACGACCTCACACCTTCACAACTCCCTACTCCGCCAGCCCAGCTCACTTCACATCTACTAATCACGACGTTGTGGTACCGGCTGTCAACATGGTCAATCACTATTCCTATCACGAAGATCCAACTGTGACTGAAGCAAGCGCGGCTGTCCTGCGAGTTTTATCGCCGCTGCGGCACCGTGCAAACGAATTAGCCTTTTCTCCATCCACCTTGCACAACAATCGGAACATTTTCGAGCATCTTCCGAATGAAGAAAACTTGGATAACCCAGATTTCAGTCTTCAAATCTTGGCGCAAGCGCTCCTGAACAATATACCGCCCCAGCTACCAGCACGCTCACCATCTTCTGGCCTCCTACCCGACATCACCGGCGTCGAGCCTTCGACAATGGCCCAACGTGAGTTTAGCCAGCTCATGACCAGAAATCGATCCTCAACACCTACAGAAGGCATGATTGATACCATTTATCGACAAGCTTTCGGTTTCCGTCCTTCGTATAACGGTGATGTTCGGAATCCGGCGAACCGTCCCAACCAAGTCCCCTCGCACCGCAACTGCAATTTTTGGATCACAAACCTCCCCAGAGATTGCACCGAACACGATCTAGAGAACGCCATCACCAACGTTGGGTCCATTTGGGCCATGTACCTCAACCCACCCGAGCCCTCGAGCGGCCTGTTCAGCACGGCGGCCTCACTCTCCTTCACACGTCTATCCTCCGCACGTGATTTTATGAACCGCTCGCGATGGGGGGGCTTCATCGTCAACGGCCGGCGGGCATGTGTTGGCTGGAACCGCAACCATATTGGTCCCCAGACCCCCGACGGCCATGATGCTCCCGACCGCTCGCGAGTTCTCATCATTGTGGGACCTGTCAACATCGTGAACCCAGCCATGCTTACGGAATTCTTCCGACGCTACTTCTCTTACCGCACGACGGGCATCGAGACTATAGGCCAAGACACGGTTGGCTACTCCACGATGGAGTGGCGGTTCGCCAGGGTTTCGGGACAGGCCAACATTGCCGCCTCTTGCCTGAGAGGTCTACGCGACCAGCACGGGATAGACGTCGACTATTTCTGGGGAACAGATCCCTGCGAGGCAAACGAGCGACTTAACTGAAGAGGGAGGCCATGGGGAAATCAGGAAGTGCTTCCGCCGACTCCCCATTTCCCCCCTTTCTTTTTTGGGAGTAGTATAGAATCGGCGACATATGGGCCGTCATCGATGGGATATTGATGAGACCAGAACCGCCATCTAGGGGTGCTATATACTCAGTCTAGCAGCAGCGGTTATAGACATAGACCAACAACACTAATTAGAAACCCTCACAGATACTGAATTCTTGCGTTTCAATGGTGACGTGATGCAGCCTCGATGATGTAGTCTCGATGATGTGTTCGTGTGTGTGATGTAAGCATCGGATCTGTGCAAAGTTACCTCACAGCAGGTTTGTTTCCTATATTAGGAAAACTAAATCTGCATGCAGAAATACTATCTCGTCGTCTTTGATGTGACATTCTAGGGGTTAAATCTAGACCAAAGGCGTTACATGTCATGAATTCTGATGCGTCGAGGGCCCGTTACCCTATCGCTTGGCGATTCCATTAATTCATTAGCAGGCAACAGAATGAACTGATCTCCCTGGAGGAAATCCACTTCAGCTTCTTCAGGGACATGCTGATTCCCGCAGAGCTGTTGTCTTATGTGATCTGATTATTTTGATGATTTGAGTTTTAGTTTTCTTTTTTTCCGAACAACAAAATAATAAAGGAGTAAAACAGGAGGTTGCCTAATATTTCGTAAAACAGGCAGTCGCCGCTATGTTTTAAGCACCGTCTTGGAATTCTTTTCAACAGGCAATCGCCAAATACTTGCCGAAAATAGTTTGGGTGAAACAACGATTTATGCTCATGAGGCGAGAACCAAACAACCCATAGTTGGCCCACTAAGTGTTGGTATCTGTTGTCGTCAAGTACTTACCAAGCATGGAAGCACATAGATGAGTAAATATTAACGGTCCACATAATTGTACGAGGCACTCTCTGAGTGCTTTGCCCAGCTCGATTAGTCGACCCAAGCACTAGCCATCCTATACAATGATACAGTCTGTGGCTTGATTCCCGGAATGTAGCGATAGTAAGGTTGCCTGTCAGAATGTCATGCATTCACTCTTGAGGCTAGATCATTCGGACCGATCGAAGGAGAGCTTGGTGCGGTTGCCTCGTGCGAAGATGGCGGGATGCGGATCATCCGGCTGTGGGTGTGGGGGAGGACGCAAGACATTTGGCTTATGGCAGGGGAGGGGATTTCAAGCAGCCAATACGATAATGCGTCAGCGCTGAAAAAGGCAAGTAGAGATGTTGCCAGAGGAGAAATGTGGTGGGCTGCCAGCGGCTCTTGCGGCTTGTCGGCATGCACAAAACCGCACCTCCCACGTGGCAATGTAGAGGGTTTGTCCAATAAGATTGATTTGAAATTTATTCAAGGATTGAATATGGAAGACAGTTATTGGATGAAATTGCTGATCTTTGAATCCGTAACTCAGAGATGCTATGCTAGTACAATACACTAATAATAAGCTTGCGAAAGATGATCCGCCTTTAAAGATAACGTCTAACGCAAGTAACGCCCCATGATACATCTAATAAGAAATCTATGCTGCCCACGTCGTCGGAAATCCTCGTGGTTCCAATCTTGTCCTCAATTCCAAAAGATATTGCAGAATATATCTGAACACGACGTGTTCAGCGATAACCCCTGCTGCTGGAGCCAGAATCGCGGGTAGAGTATGATGGGCTTGGCTCTTGGCTATCGTAACCACGAGCTCCTGTGTTGTGAACTGCGACGCCACCGCGATATGTTGAGCTGGCCGTGTAGTCTTTCGATTGGAGAGATCGATACTCTTTGGTCTGAGCCTGTCCATATGAAGTAGAGCTGTGATAGGTCGGGTCGCGAGAAGACGCTGAAGAATTACGAGAAGTAACAGAAGGATAGCTGGAAGCCATTGTAGATGTGTTGTGTCCTGACGAAGAAGTTGGCGGTGATGAATAGGTTTGTTTGCTAGACGTTGACGACTGAGAGTAGTAAGAGTGGTGTGATGGGTAGTATTTTCTATCGTCAACAATGACGACGCTGGACTTAGATGATTTGTAGCTTGATGATGGCATGGATATTTTTCAGTGATTTATCCGGTATTTTGTGAATGTTAAGAAACTCAGAGGGCTTGTGAGTGTATAGTGTTGGTTGAGGTTGCTTGGTATGAAGGATGGCAGACGAGATAAAGGAAGACTGGAGGGTAGGAAATATTTATACTACAAGTGAGGCCATAATGATACGCCTCAGCAGCTACAGTACTGCTTTTCGGTAAACAAACATTTTCAGAAGTATGTGTGACATGGAACATATTGGCAGTACGTTCAAATGGCAGTGCTCCAGGCAGACCCTGGGCGTCTACCACCATTGACCAACAATGAGCGACAGAGGCCATGCCAATCCAAAGTATACTTACATACCAACGAGTGACTCATGCCTGGGGTTTGGTACGAAGATTAGAGCATAGTTTGAATGATGATCAAAGGTAGAATGGTTTTGGCAGATGACTGATACCACAAGTGGGGTGCTGGTATTGGGGGCTGGGCTTAGAATCAGGCAGTAAAGCTGTGCTTTCTAAGGTCGAAACATATGAAACAGACATATGAGTGTATGAGAATGGTAGAATGTGTTTGGAAAATAAAGCCCCCGTGGTGTGGCAGTGTCTTTTTCGGCTTTCTAGTGGCGAAAAACGGGCTGAGCGAAGCAATGGAAATCGAGTTTGGATAAGGCTGACGAGCAGCCCATACAGGGACAACAAGGGGTTCATGTTGCGCCTCTAAAACCCATCAGTGCGAAACCTCATGGTCAATTCACTCCATGCTCGGTATGTAGGCTACAAAATCAAAAACTTGGTAGCCACATGGTTTTTTCCCCCGGGGTGCACACGGGGGTCATGGGCGTTGTTGGTACCATTGTCATATTGGTAGTCCTAGACTTTTGTGAGTAGAGCCTCCTACGTAGGACACTGCCGGGATACAACGCTACGCAGGGAGCTGGTGTACGGTGGGGTGATGAGCATCATTAGGTCGAGGTGGAAACGAGCATTGGAGAATCGTTCCTGAGAATCGAAGGTAACAACTCGGTTGCACAGTAGCAAGGAATTGATCAAACAGAGGTCCGGTTCACGACGTTGATTACGACCTGCTATGCTTAGTTGCACAGTGCTGCCTGACAAAGTGGGGCTGGCAGCCTAGGACTCGGCACTAACTAATCCGTCTAGTGGCCCAGGAGAATCAAACTCCAAGCTGTTTTCGGTGGAAGTCAAGGAGACGAAATGCTAGCTTACATACAGCAGGTTGTTCGTGAGGCATAACTCGGGTATTTTGTGGACAAACACAGCCGCCATCACATGTGCTTCGCTGTTGACTCATGAGGCCAAGTGTTTGCGGTTTCTATTGCGCTTATCAATTCTCGGTTGGCGGTGCCTCAATTTCTCTGTTTGTGCCCCAGCTATGATCATGGCAGAGGTAGGTGTACGCCGCACCCGATTCCCCAATTGCCGGATCCAGGGGAGTCTGTGTTTGGCCATCGGAGCTGGTTGGTGGTGTGAACCCTTCATGAAGCACGTACAGTAGTGAGGCTTCCTTTTCACATGAGAGCAACCACCTGCAGCTTGAGTGGTTGCACCTGCATAAAAGCCCCTCGCCGTTCCTGTTGTCCCCCACCAAAACCCAGCTATGGGGATCATTCACAACGTCATTCGCTACCTAGTCATTCGCTACCTAGTCGGCTTCAGCACTTCTAATTACAGATTTAGCGATGCACAAAATACACCAAGGTTCACTGTTGCGAGGGGCTACGTGATGGATACACGTCGCTTCTGAGGGCAACACCGACCCAAGTGCTGCTGAGAACTTTTGTTTCTGGTGCGTGACAAACATTACATCCAATGCACAGCCCCTGACATAGTTTTCTAATGCAAGAAGCTCTTTGCACCAACATAAGAAGGCTCCAGGCAGAAAGCGCAACAAGCCCTTGTGGTCAGCCCATCGGTGCTCAGAACCACTGCTTAAGCTTTTTCTGGACGAGCCCAGTGGTTGATTGGGCTCCAATGACCGTGTGATTACACCCTCATTGACTGAGGCCATATGACAAGAGGCGAAGCAGTTCCCGGACATTAGGATGGTGATGGTTCAAGGTGCTGATTTACTTGTTCTCATCATGGGTGTGATTATTGGATTGGAGCAGTCTAAGGTCACCTCGAGAGACAACCAGCGCCAAGCAGGCCAGCTGCCAACTGCCAACTTCCACTTGCGGTCCGATGTTCTGGACTCCAACTCTCCTCCAACGTGCCGCGGGGCCCCCAACTCAATTGAATTCAGTGCTAGACTAGACTAACCAGCAATCGGAAGCCACATGCAGCATATCTGTCCGCTAATTCTCAACACTGCTTCGCCCATACCATACAACTTTCTTTCTACTCTCTCTAAGTTCACGCATACATACCGGTCGACCCGCCAAGATGCAGCGCCTCTTTTTCGCCTTGTCCCTTGTTGCTTCGGCAGCTGTTGGTGCCCTCGCCGCAGAGGACCTCAAGATTGACGTCACAACAGCGGTGGAGTGTGACCGCAAGACCCAGAAGGGCGATACCATCGAGGTTCACTACAGAGGAACACTGACCGACGGCAAGAAGTTCGATGCCAGTATGTTGCAATCAGAAGGCTCTGGACTGCAAGCAATGAGACTGACCATGCTTAGGCTACGATAGAAACACTCCCTTCTCATTCAAGCTGGGTGTTGGCCAGGTTATCAAGGGGTCAGTAAAGCACCTGCCTTGAAAGGTATTTGACGCTGACTGACGTGCAACACAGATGGGACATTGGCATGGAGGGAGCTTGCATTGGTGAGAAGAGGTAAGACGGCATCAAAAGTTGATTGGGGCAAAGCACACGAGCTGACAAGCATATCGCAGAACCCTGACTGTTCCTCCTGAGCTCGGCTACGGTAACAGAGGAATGGGCCCTATCCCCGCCGGTTCGACCTTGATCTTCGAGACCGAAATTATTGGCATCAAGGGTGTCCCCAAGCCCGAGACAATTGTCACCAAATCGGCAAGCAGCACCGCAAGCTCTGCGGCCAGCGCAGCCAGTGAGGTGGCCGAGGAGGCAACAGAAAAGGCTTCAGAGAAGGTCTCCGAGAAGGCTTCAAGTGCCTCTGCAGGAATCGCCGAGAAGGTTGCTAGTGCCGCCAGCGTCGCTGCCGATGTTGCCGCAACCGTTATTGTTGACAGCGATGACAGCGAGGACCACCACGAGGAGCTTTAGATTAGCAGATGCTGGTAATACGCTGCCGCATGTAGCGGATGCTAAATAAGGCCTCCGCCGAGTTGCAATTGCTTCCGCTGCGGGTATCAATGACCTTGTCTATAGATATAACATCACAATCAGACAAGTCCTGCTAGTTTGCAACTGTTATAATCCATCGATCGCTTGAAACTAATACAGAGTTGTGATAGGTTTGTTTGTTGGATTAAACACGCTCAATCTGACTTCTGTCTGGGCCATTGTCATGTCGGGCATGCAGCCCCGTCTCCCCCGACTTATGCCAAGTACCGGCATGTTCTGGGCTAAATAAACTCTGTTTAGTCCCTGCAGATTTAGGTCTCGGTTTGCGGCAGTCCCATAGATAGATCATCGTGCATACCTCATATGCTCCTTTGAACTCAAACTATCACCTCCCGTCTATAGAATCCAAATAGGTATGATAGTGACTTCTTTCCTTGGCGCAAGCTTTCGCGACCACGCAGGGGTCTGGCTTTGACAGGAACGAAGCATGCGGCAATGGACTGGAATCAGGGAGGGGGGGACCCTTGCAACGACTAAAAAGTTTTGATTCTGGGGCCCGTTCGACAAGGAAAGTGCCGTTAACCATCTAGCAGACCGCCACTGAATACTTTCGGGACCCTGTTTTTCTTCACTTTTGTGACCTGCAGTTCTTTTGGTACTTGCTAAAATCGACACTGTTTTTGAAGGCCGTATTGCTTGGGCTCATTTTGAATACCAGCATTACTTCGGTCTCTGAGCATGACGTAGATATCTGCTTACGGTGCTTCGGGCTTGAGCGGCTTGATCAAATATGAGCGTTCGTACTGAGTTCGCACAGCGGTATCCGCGCTTGGCAACAATTCGGTCATTCCTCCCACCTCAAAACTTCATCACCTTGCACTACTTGTACTTTGTGACAGTATGCTTGATCTCATCAGTCATATTCTATGGCTCTTCGCGGCCGAGCCAGAGCATTTCCTATGCAGACAGCCTGTTCTTGGTCGTTTCAGCCATGACTGAGACCGGGCTCAATACCGTCAATCTCAGTCAGATGAGCACCTGGCAGCAGGTCATTCTCTGGCTTCTGATATGTATGGGCGGGCAGATATGGGTATCTATATGGACCGTCTTGGCACGCAAGCGTCATTTTGAGAAGCAGTTCAAAGATATTGCACGAAGATCTACACTGAGATCGCCAAGATCGTTGGATAGACGTCGGTCAATGACCGACATCCCACTTGCGAGGCAAGTCATGAGCTTCAGCAGGAGCAGGACACTTCTGGCCTCGAACGAGGGTACCAATGAGGTTGAGGACCACCACAGTGCCGGCCAGAATGTCGCGGCTGGATCAGGTGGAGGGCCATCTATCTCTGCACCGATTGCAGTCCACAAGCTTCGAGAACCGGTTCCAAAGCCAAACGAACTGACCATAGACACGCATTCCAAGTCGCCTTTTGGAGTGTCGCAGTCATGTGAGACGCCTGGACGTGAGCATATTTCGTTCGCAGATGAGGAAGAACAACCAGCTCGAGCAACCACTTCGGGCATTGACATGGGCACCGGGCTGTCACGTCGAAACGTTGCAACTGCAGACAACACTGATCTGGAAGGAGGGCCGCTTCAGCGCCAGATCAGCCACCATCAATTTCTGACCTCGAAGAAAGTCGGGCGAAATGCACAGTTTCATGGTCTCACAGCTGAGCAGCGTGAGCTTTTGGGGGGCACTGAGTATCGTGCTCTCAAAGTCCTCTCCATTGCTGTTCCAGTTTACTTCTTTTCATGGCAGGTTCTGGGAAATATCGCCCTTGGCGCCTGGATAGCCAACAATCAACCTCAACCTGCGCGGGACAACGGTATTAATCCTTGGTGGAACGGTGTTTTCAATGGTGCATCTGCGTTCAACAACTCGGGCATGAGCGTCTTGGACGCCAATATGATCCCGTATGGCAGTTCCTACTTCGTGCTTATTGTCATGGGTGCCATGATATTAGCAGGCAATACTGCATACCCAGTGTTTCTGCGATTCTGGCTCTGGAGCATCTTGAAGTTGTTGAACTTGTTAACCTATGAGAGTTCCTTCCGAGATCTCAAAGAGACACTCGAGTACATCCTCAAGTACCCACGGCGGGTCTACACTAACTTGTTCCCTTCGAGGGCAACATGGTGGCTATTGTTCATGTTGTTTGTCCTCAACGGGACGGATTGGGTAGCATTCGAAGTCCTCAATCTGGGAAATCCCAATCTAGGGCATATTTCAGTTGGTTCAAAAATCATTGACGGACTTTTCCAAGCCATTGGTACGTATCATGTTACTGTGACCATGCCGTATAGACTGACATTGATCAGCTGTCCGCTCTGGTGGATTCTATGTGGTTTCGATCCCGACTCTTTACATCGGTCTTCAAGTTCTTTACGTAATTATGATGTACATCAGCGTCTATCCTGTTGTCATCACGATGCGGCACTCCAATGTCTACGAAGAACGCTCGCTTGGTATCTACGATGAGCAGCACGACACAGCATCACTTGCTTCAACAGGATCCGACACAACCTCTCGAGATGCGAATACGAACCGGCCGTCTCTCATGAGGCGCGCCCTTCGCAATGCCGTAGGCCGATTCGATGGTGTTGGCGCCGCACCGCGACACGCAAGCGATTCTGCCCCAGAAAGTCGCTCTAGTTTCATAGGCCATCAGGTCCGCGGCCAACTCTCGCACGATATGTGGCTGCTTGTTCTTGCCGTGTTGATCATATCGACAATTGAGACGCGCCACTTCCTCGAGGATCCTGAAACGTTCTCCGTTTTTAACATTATTTTCGAAGTTGTGTCAGCTTATGGCTGCGTGGGCATTTCGGTTGGCGTGCCGTACGACGCATTTAGTCTTAGTGGCGGATTGTACACGGGAAGCAAGTTGGTACTATGCTTTGTAATGCTCAGAGGTCGACACCGCGGATTGCCAGTCGCATTGGACCGCGCCGTGAGACTACCTGGGGAGGAACTTGGACTCACAGAGGAGGAAGACTATCGCATCAGAAGGAGCCTATCCATGAGACGGCAGAGTATCGGTGAAGCTTAAAGGGCGTAGAACCCAGATGACGTTGGTGAAGCCGAGTCAGCCGGTCCCGAATAATTGTATGACATTCTACGAGCACATGATGATGCATGATAGAGGGACGATGTTTGGATGAAAAATCTGTCAATGAAACTCTCTCACGATTTCCCCGTTTATTTCGGTGTCGAGCCAGCGTTGAATACTCTGCTCACAGTCGAGTCCCATGGCGCCTTGGTTAGTGCATTGTGTACCATGATACGACACAATAAGATCCCCTCAGAATCACCGGCCGAGGATGAGCTTTTTGTCATTTTCAGCAAGACCGATGAGTTCGGCTTGCATCCTCGGTCATTTGAGACTTCTGCTCTGTTGAGTCCCAAAAATAATAATGAGACACGTTGAATGTCATGGCGAACCAAATTGGGATCAGTGGCCGAAAGTGGCGGCGGCGACTGATTAAAGCCGAAAGCGGGCCACGTGACCTCGTGTTTGCGTCGCGTTTTTACCCGGCGTAATCGTTCAAGACAACGCATCTGGCTCTGACTCTCAAGGCAAGGAGGAGAAAGACCTCGATGACCATGTGCCATGAATCCAGCTGCCCAGAACGCATGATGTCTATGGGTCCAATTTCAACCACCTCAGAATGGCCCACGGCGACAAACCTGCACAAATGCCTTCATCTGCTGCTGCTACCAACCCCGACCACGACACGCTGAAATACTCCCTGTTAGGCCCTTCCCTCACCAAAGCCGGCCAAGGCTCGGTCGACCAGTCCAAGGTCTCTGAGGTCATCTACAATGCATCCAAGGGATCCAAGTTCTTCAATCGCGAAGAGGCCAAAGATGTGATTCTCACCAAGAAAATCACCGCAATCCTTGCCAAGAAGAGCCGCCTCGAGAAGCTCGACCTTTCGCGAGAACTTCGACAAGCTGATCAGCTCATCACGCAACTCGAGGCCACCCGCGACCTCACACAATGGGTTGTACACGTGGACTGCGACGCCTTCTACGCCGCGGTGGAACAGCTGGACCGCCCCGAACTGAAGGAGGTCCCATTCGCCGTCGGCGGCGGCGTGCTGACGACATGCAACTATATCGCGCGGAAATACGGATGCCGCAGCGGCATGGCCGGCTTCGTGGCCAAAAAGCTGTGCCCAGATCTGCTGCTCATCCCCCTCAACTTCGACAAATACACAGCCAAGGCACACGAGGTGCGCGAGGTCCTCGCCGAATACGATCCCAGGTTCGAGAGCGCTAGTATCGACGAGGCCTACCTGAATATCACCGAGTACTGCAACGAACACGGTTTGAACCCCGAAGAGGTAGTGCAGCGTATGCGCGAGGAAGTACACGAAAGAACCAAGATCACGGTATCTGCTGGCATTGCTGCAAATGCCAAGCTGGCCAAGATATGTAGCAATATGAACAAGCCGAACGGGCAGTATATCCTGCCCAACCGACGGAGCGCTATCGTGAGTTTCATGCGTGACCTGCCTTGTCGGATGGTCAACGGAATCGGCAGGGTTCTCGAGAGAGAGCTGGCGGAAGTAGGAGTGAAGACATGTGGAGACATATACCCAGAGCGGAAATATCTACGGCAGCTGTTTGGAGAGAAAACCTACGAGTTCCTGATCATGGTTCATCTGGGTCTTGGCCGTACCAACGTTCAGCCGGCGGAGGAGCATGAACGTAAAAGCGTGGGTACCGAGAGCACTTTCCGTGACATGTCAGATCCGGCCCAGTTGAGGGACAAGATGAAATGGCTGGCGGAAGAACTGGAGAAGGATATGCGCCGTGCCGAATGCAAGGGTCGGACATTATGTCTCAAGGTCAAATTGCACACGTACGAGGTCTTCACAAGGCAAGTGGTCACGCCAAAAGCAATTTATCTGGCAGATGATCTATACAACCATGCGCTCCCCATGTTAGCCAAGGTAGAGCAGGAGATGCCCAGCCTGAAACTCAGGCTCATGGGTTTGCGGTGTACCCATCTCGTCAGTACGAAGAAGCCGGACACACGTGCGTTCTTCGGTTTCAAACCCAGACGTATAGAATCTAGTGATTTGACTCCTGATTCTTCTACCATGAAGCGGAAAGTGGATGACAGCGCAGAAGGGGAATGGGAGACTTGGCCAGAAGAAGAGCTAGTTGACATAACCGATGCTGAGCTCGAGGCCTCCGCGTCTGCACTGCTGGGAAATGAGCGGGATGACGGTCCAGGCGACAACTACCGCCATCACGGAAAAGAAGTTGTGCCAAATCCCAAGCCCAAAAAGAAACCCGTATCCGCGAAACTGGAGGAGAAGGCGGAGGAGGAGGAGGAAGAATGGTGGGATTGTCCGATATGCAGTCGGCCGCAAACTGCGGACGAAAGGCAATTCAACGAGCATATCGACCTGTGTCTTTCGCGGCAGACGATCCGGGATGCTGTGCAACGAGAGACGGAGAGCATTAGCCCGGTGCCACGGAATAACGAGCCTCCAGATGCAAATAAACGGCTGAAGACAAACAGTGGTGAGAAGAAAAGAGGTCATAATTCGAATGCCGCCACCGTGGACCCGAAACAGCGGAAGCTCTTCTTCGGTTGAAGTACATGCTCTAGCTTAGTCGGTTATGAGATTATGATAATGAAGATAGGACCTTTCGTAGACCGACGAGTTTCAAAGAAGTTCCAGAAATGATGTAACCCAACCATGAAATTGCTGGTCATTTGATACTTGTTGGAGGCCTCCATGGCTTCGCATGCAGATATGCACTGCACGCATGTTGATTACCGTTTCGCAATAAACATGATAAGCGACAAATCATGTCGGTGTAGGCCAACCTTAAAGGCGGTCTGTGGTATTCCCGAACAAATGAAAACAATCACTGAGGAAACGCAACACGCGTTGCTTTCCTATGGATTTAAGCTAGACTAGTGAAGATTGCCAGAGTCTAACTACTGTGTATGATGACAACTTTCGACCGATTCGCTCATGACGACCACAATTCAAAATTAGCCTGGAACTCTAGAGATCTAGGAGGAGATTCATGTATGCAGGGGTTATATGTTCATATTGGACCTTGAGGGAAAGCCATGGAAAGAGCCCATTTAGCGCAGACTGTGTATGATTATATAGCGGAAAGGACAAGGTTATGCCCAGCCAATTGCAACGCTGGAGAAAAATCCCGATTTTCCTGTTTCGGCCCTGGAACCTGGCCCATCATCAAAGCTTCAGCAAATGCTGTGTAGCATGACGGAGTACCCCTCACGGGTCTGCGTCAGGCACTGGCATTAATTGCGATGTGCAATACGCGTGTGAATAATAGTCAGATTAGTTGTTTACTTCTACTCAAGGTTGGATGGATTTGTGGAGATTGTCGTCATAGTTGAAACATCTCCAGAATCATGCACTGCCACCAAGCAACCACCAACCTTCAGCTTCCAACCCCCAACTCTGATGAACAGCAATCTGAATCTCAAAAGTGTCATACTCATCATCCTCATACTGCATCTATCCATATCGAAAATGCCAGGCCAATTCACGCAAAAGATTCTCAACAAGTTCGGCGTGGGTGAGCACCAATCACCAGCCGAGGGCGGCCACGGTCACGGGTATCCGGCCGGCGGTCCCGCCGCAGCATGCCACATCGCCGAGGACACCCGGAACCTCAACCCCGCGGGAGGCACGTATCCCCGGCTGTGCCGCCTGTCAGACGGCAGCGTTCTCTGCGCTTCGACGCGGTTTGATGGGCCGGCTCGTGTCCTGCACGTCTCGCGCAGCACGGACAATGCCCGGAACTTCGAGCCCCTGGGCGAAGTCGCGCGCTCGGAGGGCGACTGCGACAACCTGTTCTTGTGCGAGGTGCCCGGCGGACCCCACCATGGCGGCCCGGTGGTGCTCGGCGCCTTCCGGAACCACGACCTGGGGCCCGACGGCAAGCCGGCGCACTTCCGCATCACGGTCTGCAGGTCCGGCGACGGGGGGCGGACGTGGCAGTTCGCGAGCCAGGCTGCCGAGCAGTCTGCTGGCCAGAGTGGCGGCATGGGGCTGTGGGAGCCGTTCATCCGTGTGGGCAAACATGGCGATATTCAGCTGACGTACTCGGCGGAGCTGGCAGGCGACAATCAAGAGACCTTCCGAGTCGTGAGCAGGGACGGCGGGCAGAGCTGGTCTCCGCCGCAGTGCCTGAGATGCCACGGCCCGGAGGAGAGGTTAAGAGACGGCATGCAGGGCATCGTTGAGGTGCGGGATGCCTCATCTGGCCAGGAGGCCCTGGTCATTGTGTTTGAGACGACGCGGCACGGTACATTCAGTGTCGAGTACGCCATCAGTTTCGACGACGGCCATTCTTGGGGCGCGAGAGGCGTGGTCTATTGTCCACCATGGGGACGTAATGCCGGCGCGCCGCAAATCGCAAGATTTGGCAACGGAGCGCTGGCAGTTATCTTCATGACTGACGAAGACTCGTCTGCTGTTGACTGGCCGAAGAATGCGGCAGTGAAGAGCGTGGTGTCAGACGGCCTGAATCATGGCAGAATCAACTGGAGCAAGCCGATGGTGATCAGCCAATCAAGCAACTGGCCCGGTCTGTTGGAGGTGGGACATGGAGAAGTCATGGCTGTGTACGAGCATGGTGGACAACCTTTAGGAAAGGTGTTGCGATGGAGATAAGATGATTGGAGCCAAGAGGCTCATTTTTATATCCATAGCTGGTTTGTGAGAATTGCATGACCAATACTACAAACCCTTCCTAAGATATGCAGTAAGTGAAAAAGCCAAGGCGCTTGTTTGTAGTCATGACACTGCTTGGATGTGCTTCGCTATGCAAGATTATGGCTTGAAAGAGTACGCTTGCAAGCTCTATCGTGTTCTAGCCTGCCCAAGGGTTCTTAAGAAGACTGCTATCAGTAAGGGGAGTTTTGAACGCTTTTGTTTATAACTCAAAGGCAGTTCCAAGAGACTGGATATTCTTTTAAGCATTGTTAAAGAGATATAAAATTTGCTTCGAGCTGAGAATAGTCACCAAGTCTTCGGCCTAACGGTGCAGCCGATGAGTCCAGACCGGGAGGAGAGATTTCTCAGAGCAGACAGCTGAAGGAAGCACAGCCAACCATCAACAGGAATTGGCGAGGTAGTAAGTGAATCATTAGGGACGCATTTCCTGTCAGTAGAGTTACCCATGACCCTGTCAGAACCGCAGAGGGTATACTACCGACCCTGCTCCCCGTACCTGCGGTGTTACGATGCTGGCTAGGCGTATATTGGCACCAATCAGCGCGGTTGAGTCTTGGTTGTCTTAGGAGGTCCCTCTCAGGTGCTATCCACATTTGAGTCAAATTTTCACAATTTTCGTTTCATCTCACCGTCAAGCAAGCAGCAACTTAGAAAAGAAAGGAGTACATACAACACCGCGATATCCCCTGTGGTCGCCTACCTGAGTACTAATCCAGCGCTTCAAGGACATACTATGCATGGTAGCAGGCCGAAATCACCACAGTGGGGCAGGTTGTTTTCAAGAAGAGGTACAAACATTTGGGAGTAACAACGCTTCATGAAAAATACCTGCTTTCAACCCGGTACCTGCCCCGTAGTGGTTCTTAACCCTCCATACCATAGTACCAACCTGGCGAAAGTAATGAGTTGCCCCACAGCTTGTGACGCGGAAACGTGTAACCCACGAACACCGTCCCAAGTAGGCTGATGAGCGTGTTTGAACGGTGCAATGCATTATCAGCTACGGCATCCCCACCGTCTCATTGCCGTCCCCATTCGAAAAGTCTCTACTCTCACCGGAAGACTCAATGTCTTAGTGGGACGACATGCTTACTAACAATAGCCGAAAATGCTACTATGTTTGAAATACATGAACAAACAGCAGTCTCAACTCTTCTTACACATGGTGCAAGCGAAGTCAAAGACGCTTTCTTCCCATGTCTAAACTAGTTAAATACCATAATACTCGATGCCCCAAAGATCGAATGCTCCTTAAGCATTGCTTACAACCGTATATGGTTAAACTTTGTGCTGGGGCGTCTCTCGTGAGCAGAATCATACTATATTCGAAGCTGGCATGTAATGACAAGAACCCCGTGATCATTTCAGTACCATCCTACCTGCTCTCGTTTATTAGGACCGGCAGCGCGAACACGTAGTGGGCCGACGACAGTAAGGTAAACTCTTGCCGCGCCATATACAAATTCCAGGATTACCCCATAATTCATTGGCCTGCCTCCCCTACGAGCACAAAACGGTGCGCCGGGGTATGTTTCCGAGTAGCAAATCTTCTTTGCGGTTTGGTATCCAATATTTTAGCACACGGCTGATCGACTGAGCACAGCTTGTGGGGATGCTCATTAGAGATAATATGCGCCGGGAGCGCTTCGGGCATATGCATCTAGAAGTCAAGAAGGCTACATCGAGGGTTGTTCACTCAGCGAAACGAGGCGATGGCAAGAACAATCACCACCACGAAATTGTTGTGAACAAGACCCAGCATTCTGCATCTCACGAAGAAGCCTCCCCAAAAATAAAGACGGGATATCTCATCACTTAGAAAACTATGCGTTCTCATCCTCCTAGGATGAGTAGGTTCTTTGACCCAGATACTCAAAAATGGGCAATCCAACAACTTCTGCGCCTATGTCAAAGCTAGTTAGAAAACAGAAACCAAGTTTTAACACGCTCTTTGTTGTTCACTAAGTTGCATGTGTTCCCGGTACCCACTGCTGAGAGACTCCTCAGCCGCGGCTCATCCGATGTAAATCATCGCTCAAAGTCTGGACGGGGAAAGAAGGCGATAAAGGAATATCTGACCAAGGTGGGACTCGTCCAAAAGTCGAATTCACGGATTTGGAAGGAATATTGAGAGACGTGACAGGACATATATTTATAGCGCGTTCACGGTCGCAGAATTCAGGATGTATTTTGAAGAAATCGTATTGTTTGAATTAGAATATTATTGTAGTGGTAATAATTGTTGTCTCGAGCTCTCAGCTCTCAGCTCTCAGCTCTCAGCTAGCCTTCTCTTTTTCGCCGCATTGCTCTATTTGATCTGCCGTCTGTCGCCAGGCGCTATGACAGCACAGTATATTCCAATGTGATGACTTCATTGGTCCCCTGCGAGTTTTGCACATTCAACCTGCCCTGAACGATCGAGAAAGTGGCAAGAGCGCTACCGCCATTCGGGCATGTGAGCGACCCTGTGCTTCCAGCGGTGGCCGAACCGTTTAGCTGACATGATAAGGCTACACCACCTTGAGACGTCGCGTAGGATGCAGTAGTGACAAGGACATAGCTAGCGGATCCGACGCCGTTGGAATAATATCCTAGCCTGTCTGTGTATGAAGTTGGGGCTAAAGCACCGTTGTCGGCAATATAGAAAGACTTTGCAGACGTCACGTCGGAAGTAAAAGCGATGAATTCGAAAGCAGAACTTGCAGTTAATAGGGTCAAGTACTTTCCGTCAACGCTACCGCCAACCGCCTTTAAGATGACCGTGGGGGTAGCAGGGGCTACGGTACTAGTCACGACAGTCGTGGCAGTGACCGGCACGGTAGTAGGGACGATAGTGGTGATTACATCAGTCGTGCTGACGGTTGTGGTGGTAGTTTCAATGATCAAGGACGTAACTATCTCAGTAGCGGTGGCAGTAGCGCTTCCAGTGATAGTCTCGGTGGTGGTTGTGAACAAGGCGTCTGCTGTAACGGTTATTGTGCAGACGACTGCTGATGACGTAGAGGATGACGAAGTGACTGAAGCGGAGGACAAGGAAGCCAATCCAGAGGATGAGGAAATCGATGCAGAAGATGATGTAGCCGATGCAGACGACGAGATTACTGAAACCGGATGGGCAGATGAAGAGTAGTTGTGCGAGGTCGGAACAGAATAAGTGGTCTGCGAAGCCGGATAGCTCGAGATTGTTTGTAGCCGCAGCCTCTCTTCTTCTTGCGTTGGTTAACGACTTCGGTTTCAGTCACCGTCGCAGCCGTGGTCGTCTCTGTGGTGAAGGATGTTTCGAACTCAGTCACCGTTACCACCTCGGTTGTCTCCTGTGCTGATTCAGTGATGGAAACTTCTGTAGTCGTGATGGTCTCCGCTGTTGTAGTGACAAGTTCCGAACTTGTCACGCTTCTATAACATTTGATTAGAGCATTGGGTGGCCCTGATGTCGCGTGAGTGACCACTCACACTACCGCCGGGGTTACGGTGACCGTGGTATAGCTCCCGCAAGTCTCAGTCGGGGCCACGACTTGACGTCGCTCCAGAGGAACAACGATCGAGAACGGATTGGCTGCTGTAGGAATGACAGAGGCAGCGACCCCGGATAGGAGAGCGGCGAGAGTAATCAAATGCATGATGAATGAGATTTATGGTGGTTAACCGGGTAAGACTTCCAAATGAGTGCGTCGAAAGAGTGAAGGGGTTACCAAAATGAATGAGCAATCTCACGAAAACAAACAGACCAGGACTCCATCAAAACTTGGGCATGGAATATCAAACTTTAATACCTCTCAGAACTCAAGCCAGCTGCTGCAAGGTTGCAGGGCAGGAGTACAATACTATGGTATAGACTAACCTAGTATGTATTACATAGGCCAACTCCTGGTAGCTAGCTGAAAGTTGACGCTAGAGTTCAGGGGGCAGACGCTAAAAAGCCAACTAAATCCAAATAAGAACTAATTGTGCACCGATCATTTAATAGTGCCTGAACACCAACCCCAAATGGGGCGATCCGTGAAATAGCTGAGCACAGCCACTTAATTCACAGTAATTCTACGATAATATCAAATTGATCAGGACATTATCTACGTAATGGTGCTGCCTACATGGTAATAGAGATTAATCTCGGAACTTCATTTGTTCATGTGCCGAGAATGAATAGACACCCTTGCTGTTGCGGCTAAGAGTTACCCTTGCACCGCTTGGTCAATCTATAGTGGTCGGCCGTATTGAGTAATCCTCCGAAACGGAGGATGTTCAATAATTCTTATTGTGATGGCTTTTGCACCAAAAAAAAAAAAAAAAAAAGGGGTCGTTAAATATTATAGTTGTTAGTAGATGTACACGAAATGGTATGGGTAGAATGGATACTTATGACATGTGATTCGATAGCAAGCAATAGGGATGGTCCAATCATTGTGAAAGTTTCACCTAAACACGTTAAAGAGTACGAGCACGGTATACTCTGTTAGTTTGTATGCTCTCATTATTTGAACATCTGAGCAAGAAGATACGCATTTATCTGTGCCTTACAGTGCCTTGTTGTTGCTCTGTACATTAACCTTATATTCCTTCAAGATCTAGTCTCATAATCCGACGTCCTAAACACTTTATACACCCAGGTATTCGCTAGAACCCAACCCCAAAATCGAACCGTTAGATCTGCTGAAAACATATAACACTGGGGATTCCCTAAGGCTAGTTGTTACCATCCAAAGTACTAATCTGGCGCTTTAAAGACATGCCTATTTAACGAGAAGGATAACTTGCCTTAAAGTTTATAATATAAAAACGTATAACTTGTAGACTGCTGAGCTAAGTAGGCTAAATAAGCATTTTTAAATAGTATAATGTCTAAATAATTAATTATGGTGTACTTATTATTTAATTACTGTTTCAATTTAAAAAGCCCTAAAAAAGGGTTTTTTTTTCCTTAATAAAAGTAAAAACGTTAAAAAAAAAGTGTAATGACTGCGGAACGGTAACGATAAGTAGACGGCGTAGGTGAGGTGCGAAGACGAAAATCAAAGACTTGGATTGGAACAAGACTACAAACTGACGGACTAGCTAACGGCGGGACGAACAGGACTGATATATAGTGGCTGGCAGCACTAACGACTGGGCGATCGTTACACTATACGCTTAATAAGAAGAGTTCGCTAGTTTTAACACTTCTCTATCTTCTTAATTAATCTGGTTTGATAACAATTAACAATTTTAGCACCTCGGAAGTTACCCGTTAACACCTTCGCTCCCGAATAACGGTAATACGCTAAGATCCTATTAAGCTTCAAGGCATAGTCAAATCTAATCTTGTTCTGTTCGATCTAGCGAGTACGCCGTCCCAAGCCGTTGTACTCGAAGATGCCGTAATACAAGAGACGTTGTCGCAAGTCGGTTTATAAGAGCACTAGGTCGCAGAACTACTATCAAATGTTTAGTCCACACTCAAAGCTCTCCTTTTCCGATAGACGCTCCGTGAGAGGCTTGACCGTAGGCTTATATAACCATGAATTCTATATTAACCACCTTCGAAAGACGAACGGCATTCTATTAGCTGCTTTTCTCAGGAGGATCGCGCAGAGACATCGACTACGGATTGTCTTAGTCGTTGGGTTAATATCAACGCTTCTTATGCCAACATGCACGCCCAAGGGTGACGTCTCTCTCAATACTGTACGTGGACCAAGGAGGGCGCTTTTTTATCCACCCCCTCCACAGACTATCCTGCCCTGGATTGCCACACATCAGCTGCGGCCCAATGGATAATCGTCAGTGGCCAGACCATCTTCCAGCAGATCCTTTTTCCGCCAGAGGAGACGACGGTCCAGGAGGAGGTTCAACTGTGGACAGTTGAAACCTAGAGCCATTGGAGAGCTGGGTTTGCAGACGCGTCTGGCGAATTTAACCTCCGAGACGATACACGCCAGTTGGCAAGCAGGGCCGTAGCTTTGATGAAGGCGTTCGAAGTTGCCATGAAAACGGGCTTAACATGAAGTGGACATCTATGGCTTTAGCTCATGTTGTGGAACGAGACACCTATGATTCTACAATCTTTCACAAGTGCTGGGCCAAGGTAAGTGGATTATTCAGTTATGACTGGGGCAGCGCTTTTCAGTTCATCTAGGGCAGAGCGGGACGGGATGCTGAGTTTTCTAAGAGCTATGGTCGTATGTGTTCGTGATTGAACAAAATGCTACATATATCATTCATATATTGTAGTAGGCCATAACGGTATTTCCATGATTTTCCACCCCTATGTACAACATGAGACGCTTATTAAGGGTGGGGAGAAAGAGATTATTTAAGAAAGCTAACCGATCGTTTCCGAACGGGACCGACACCAAAGCCTGCACGACTCTCAAGAGTTGAGCGACGAAAATTTCTTCTTATTATAAACAGACGACTCAACACGGAATCGAGACGTTTTGAATTGCCTTGGGAACAGGGCCTACTTCGTGGGCGGCGAGCAAGCCCCCACTTACCGTAGCCTCCGGGTTGGTGGGTGAGTGGGGTTGTGATTATGCGTTAGACTCTCGAGCCTATAGCACGTTTATTTAATACGAGTTTTCGACAGCTTGAGGTTCGGCACTTGCGATCTTGAAATATTTTGGAATTTCATCAACAGCAGCTGTTCTCTCAACCATTCCAGCTAAATATAACTCGATCGCGCGAAGCAATATATTAGAAATGCCCAGCACGATGATTTCAGCTGAAACCCCAATAGGCTTATTGGTGGGGCTAGGTGCTATAGCATTTGTTATTATTCGGGTCAGTGGTGGACATCTTTGACTCCTGGCCTAAATGATACTGACAACCGTCAGTTCTTGATCAAAAGTACCCGGTCACCTCTCTCATCTTTACCAGGTCCATGGTATTCACGGTTCACGCGTTTATCTCTAAAACTTCATATTCTTACCGGGCGGAGAATGCACTATATTCACGGACTTCACCAAAAATACGGCTCAATCGTGCGGATCGCACCAAATGAGGTAGCCGTGGCAGACCTGGAGGCATTTTCGCAGATCCATCGGATCGGAAGTGGCTTCAACAAATCGATTTGGTATGATTCGAGTAGAATCGGGTCCGAGAATGGCGGAGAACCTGGAGTGTTCAGTATGCGCAATGCGAAGGACCACGCCAAAAGACGCCGGCTCTTCGCACGCCCTTTCAGCAACTCAGCTTTACGCAGAAACTGGGAAGATACTGTACGCGCTACAGCCGAGCGTGCCATTGCCAAGGTCAAGAGTGAGGCACTGCAAGGAGAAGCAGACGTTCTAAAGTGGTGGACTCTGATGGCTACCGATGTAATTGCTCAACTATCATTTGGTGACTCGTTCGACATGGTCGGCCTCGGTCAGAAGAACCACTATATCAAGGCATTGACAAGCGCACTTATGGGATCAGGAATAAGTTGGGAGCTGCCTTGGCTGGCCACTGTTTTGCGTTTGATCCCGCATCCGTCCATTCAACAAGTCTTTAACTCGAACCAAATCATTTTTGAATATGGCGCGCGGGCCGTATCAAACTTGCGACAGGCAGGCGGTAGTCAGAATCTCTTCAGCCAAATGCTTGCCGAATCAGAAGCGACCGAGAAGCAACAACTAACGGACCGAAGCGTGAGATTTGAGGCTTCAAACTTAATCGTCGCTGGATCCGACACTACCGCGGTAACGTTAACGTATCTGCTATGGGTAGTGCTCAAGCGACCTGATCTTCAACGCCGACTCGAGGAGGAACTGGATGCACTTCAGCCTTCGTTCCAGGACGAGGAGCTCGAGCAATTGCCGTTGCTGAACGCTGTTATTGAAGAAACGTTACGTCTTTATGGTGCGGCTCCAGGTACTTTGCCCCGAGTTGTACCAGAAGGCGGGGCGACCCTCGGTGGCTTTTTCATCCCTGCACAAACTGAAGTATGCACTCAAGCATTTACATTGCACCGAGACGAGAACATATTCCCAGATCCTCTCAAGTAAGGTCCGTACCATATTCTCTGGAACTTGGTTATTGACGCATAATTAGATTTGACGAGACAAGATTCATGCACAGCCAGACGGCACCGCAGAAGTTGGCTTTCCACCCATTTGGCGCAGGTTCTAGGGTCTGCTTAGGCATTCACTTGGCACGAATGGAACTCAGATTAGCTACCGCACTTTTCTTCAGAGAATGTCGCGGAGCTCGACTGGCGGCGTCGATGACCGACGATGTCATGGACATGGAAAACCATTTCTTGATTGCGCCACGAGGACACCGCTGCAGTGTCACACTTCTTACACGAAGTTGAGCGATTGCATGGTAAGGAATCTGTTTCAAGAATCTCTAACACCTCACAATGAATAGTCATATTACCTAACCTAGTGGCATCGTTTATAACATTTAGCACAATAAAGCAAATATGCAAGCAGGACAATCTTCTTGTCGATGCCATTGTCCTTCTCCTAAAGAGAGCATTGTCATGACCGATAATGGAGAATGCGTGTGAAAATCTGAATCTCACATTGTTCGCGACCCCCTTTTTGTAAGATACTTGGTCCTATAAGACCTTTGCAAGAATGCCGCAGCCTTGATACGAACTCATGAATATATCTCCAGTAATGCTTGCCCAAGTCTTCAACCGTCACAATGCCCAACGCTATTTTCGACAACATCACAGCTGATTACGAAGAGGGAAGCCACTGCGACAAGGGGAGGCTGCAGGCCATTATCGTACGCCACCCAGTGTCTGGTTGTTCTGGTAAGATTGAGATTTTCGCTAAGAACGAAATTTCTGAGATCAAGGTAAACCACACAAAGACTTGTGAGTGTTCGTTCAAGACAAATGGCAGGGCCCATAAAACACGTTCGCGGCTACTTGAGCAGGCTCAGGGCGCTACGCGTATACGAGTTTATAAGGGATGGTTGGAAGACGAAAATCCTGCGAATCAAGAAGCAGAGCATATATATGTGAATGCCGCAGTAAACTTAGCCGCGATCTTGATCGGCATGAACGTGTCAACCAAAGGCACGATACCGGAGATCATGGTGCGCGCTGATGTGTTTATGATGCGAGTCAAAGGCAAAGAAACTTGGAGCTGTGTGTGGACTATAGATGGTGTCACGACTGAATTACACCGCCTGGGATAATAAAAGGAAACTGTTCTTATGTTTGTGCCTTATTAGTGGTGCTTACGTGCATTACGGATATACTTGACCCGCCTTACCGTCGAGAATCTGCTGGATTTCAGATCCAGAATGTCCCTTCTCGACGACGAACAGAGCATAATTTTTATGGTCACACATCCCCACTCATTTGATAATCGGGTTGCCATCAAATCGTCAAGTGTTACTATGCACCTCCGCCGTACCCGCGCTTGCATAGTATCATCCCACAATTTGTAGTGATGTCGATTATTGTCTTCCCCGCATTTAGTTGACCATAGAGACGGATTGGGGGGTGGTTTCAACTGAGGTGGATAAGAGTCGAGCAGCCGATGAGACGTCATATTTGGAGGCCATTCGAGGGGTACGGACTGTATAATGTATTCACTGCTCCCATAGGAGGATCATGCAACTTCGATTTCTGTTTGCATCAAATGTGCCTATAACTGTTCGAAAACTTCTAATAAACAATTGACCGATGATATTGGCACAATGACTAATATCATTGTTCGTCATGCGAGTTCACATCATGCAAACCACTCGGTGGAGAAGGACAATGAAATGGATACCAGTGAGACTAGCCATTTGGAAGATGTACGTACAGCACTTGGTCATTCCCGCGAGGCCGACGTGGCTATGGCACTTTTCGACCATCCAGATCAAATTCATGAGCCGTGCGATCCCGAAGAGGAACGAAAGCTTGTTAGGAAGATTGATCTCATGATTCTGCCGTATCTCGCCGTTTGCTATGCTTTCTTCTACATCGACAAGACAACCTTATCCTATGCGGGTATGTTGCAAGGACAAACTTGCCAATTGGCTCAATCTGACTGGCAAACTTTGAAGTTATATTCGGCATTCGCCAGGACCTGAACCTACAAGGAGCTGAATACAACTGGCTCAGTTCGGTGTAAGTGGATTGAAAGTCTTATACTCCTCCATTCTTTTAGTTCCGTGAAGTTGCAGAAGTATTGGGTCTCCAGTACAACCGAGGGCTTCTGCTCAAAGACCAATATACAAAGGCCTGACTTGCTTTTGACAATCAGTTTCTACTTTGGTTTTCTGTTCTGGGCCTTCCCAACCAACTTCATGATGCAAAGGTTCCCGATCGGAAAATATCTAGGAATCAACATATTTGTGTGGGGTAAGTTGAATTAGGAAGCGATTCTGCCAAGACAAACCTGATGAATTAAAGGGTTCTTCCTTATGCTGCAGGCTTCTGTGCATAACTTTGTTGGGTTGATGGTGCTTCGATTTCTCGCTGGCGCTGCCGAGGCATGCTCTGATCCGTCGTTCATGCTTATTACAAGCATGTGGGTGAGTTTTTACTTCGTTTGGTACAAAGCAGATTAGGCATAAGCTAACGTAAATGTCTACAGTATACACGGCGCCAGCAACCTGTGCGTATCGGTCTATGGTATACCGCCAATGGTCTGGGCATAGCTCTTGGCGGTCTCCTTGGCCATGGTAATTTCAACTTCCCGCCATGCTTCTTCTAGACCAGCACTCATTTAGCATCATAGGTATCGGAAACATCAAAGGCGTCCTTCCCTCGTGGAAGTACGAGTTTCTCATCATTGGTGCGCTCTGTTGCATTTGGGGCGTAGTAATGATAATCTTTCTCCCAGACTCCCCCGTCACTGCCAAGGGTCTCTCGCGTGCCGAGAAGCGCATGGCTGTTCAGCGGCCGCGTAAGAATCAGACCGGAGTCGAGAACAAGCACCTCAAGTGGCACCAAGTCCGCGAAGCATTCATTGACGTCAAGTTGTACCTGCTCTTTGTACTGGGTATGGTCTGCAATGTTCCGAACGGTGGCATCTCTAATTTCGGAACCTTAATCATCCAGGGTTTTGGCTTCAGCACACTTGGGACAACGTTGATGCAGATTCCGTACGGTTTCATCATTGCCGCCAGCATCTTGACATGCGTGTATCTGAATGATCGATTCGTTCACAAGCGGTGTCTGTTCATCCTCTTGTTTCTTTGTCCGAACATTGCAGGTGCTTTTGGCCTGCGCTTTGTCCCGGTCGACCAGAAGGTGGCTAGACTCATTTGCTACTACCTGACGGGCCTGTACAATGCCGCATTTGTGCTAGTATTATCATTACAGACAGCCAATACAGCTGGGCATACCAAGAAAGTGGTGACGAATGCCGTTCTCTTTCTCGGATATTGTACCGGTAACGTAAGTGATATTGTGCCACGACGCTTGCACGCACCCATCGATTAACCGTTCGACGCAGATTGTTGGTCCTTTCTTCTATCTGTCGAGCCAGGCACCATATTACGAGCTGGGAATTTGGTCCATGATCGTATCCCACTTATTGGAAGTCTGCGTGGTCATCGCGTTTTGGATACTCATGAGCCGCGAAAACCTTCGCCGTGATAAAGTTCAGTCAGAGATGATGGGTGGCTTGCAAGGTCGCGACCTAGACTCGACGGCATTTGCAGATCTCACAGACCGTGAAAATTTGAATTTTAGGTATATCTATTAAACCACAAACACCTATGGGATGGGATTACTATCGACGTGGGTGGATGTGTGATTATTCCAACTTCCGTCGGAGGAGAAATACCAATACATGCCCTGTTAACCTTAAACGAGAGAATACACGGAAAGAGGCAAAAATCACTTCCGTTTTTGTACTCCATCAACTCCTTCTGAACTATGACGTTGTTTCTAGTGTTTATGATGCGGTATTTGGCTTAACACCTTCAAGCAGCTGATGCAATATTATTTCCGCAACAGTGTAGTCAGTTTCAACCTCCACACGCATACTGTTAGAGATACTACAGTAAGTGCTGAATAAGCCGAATAGTGACAAGACCTCAACGACGTCCCCGGAGCCGAGGATTACTCCCTCTCCCCCATCTCCGAGCACTGCGAGCGCTTCGTGCATTGTTTCCAAGGCAGATTTATGATTCAGATCGACCTGCTCGTCCACAATTCTGAGCAGCATTCTCTGTCTCGCCGTCCAGGGCCCTCCGCCGCTGACTATATCCTGAGCGGGCATTCGGACAGCCAATGAAATTTGTTCTCTTGTCCACTGATCCTTGCGGAAGCCACTATCGGGATCGAGGTAGTTTCGTGGGAAGATGAGGAGCTGGTGTATCGCGTTGGAGAACACGTACTCGCACTGGAGACGTGTTGCAGTCCGGGCCGTAACAGATACCAGTTCCTCCGGGGAGAGGAAGGGTATCTGCCCGTCCTCGTTACCGTTAAAATATGTGGAAAACCTCCCGGCCAATGGTACCAAGATGTCCGGGGCGTATGCTATGGTGCCCATGAGTCTATTGGGGTGGCCAGTGAGTGTTTTATTGGCTCCCGGGTGCCAACTGACATCAGAGGCGTTCAAGAATGGCAGAAGGGGTGGTGAGTCCGGGGGTGGGAAGCCATCGGCGACGCTAAAGAAGGCCGGATTTGACGGCGTCAATGTGGCACTGTGGACCGGTGTTGCTAAAGAGGGTACTATTAACAGCGCGAGGTTGTTGAGGAATTGGAAAAGCCTCATATCTGGGAGTTGGCGATGTTGAATTGAGTGATGACGGATTGCTTGTATGGAAATTGAAGATTATTTTGATCAAGTTGGACGAAGATTGCTGAGTTTTCGATGTGAGCCTTGCTCGGTTGTTAAACTTATATGCACATGATCGAGACAGTTAGAACTCGTATGTTTACCATAATTCGCAAATTACATAACAGGACGTAGAGCCAAGAAATTATGGCTGTACCGGGATACTCATGAGAGCTTTTAGCTGTACAAGACCACAATTTTGAGAACTTTTGGCTACATTGGACTATAATCATGAAAGCTTTCAGTAGTACCAAATTACAATCAAACCTTATCCCAAGTTCGCCGAGTGGAAAATAACCTTGCGAATATGCTCGCCGCTGCTGCATCAGCGCAAATTCCCTACCAACCATCCTAACTCGGGGAATGGATCGCTAGACTCGGCACATGATAGCCCACATGTCCTAGATGTAACGCGCAAACCAGCAAAAGTGTTGAGCTTATACCTCCAGGCCGGACCCGGACCGCGGACTTTGCGGTTTTAGTAGAGTATATTCTCTAATCCCTCTCTTGACTAATGCTTCTCTTATGCAGCCGTGTTGCATGCACCTAATCATCTTAGATATCTGAACAAATTCTTCAGAAGCTCTCCTGAAATTCTTCAAGGTGCCTATGGATAAATTCTCCTGACGCTCGTCTTCTAAAGTTCTTTCTGGCCAGAATCTTTTTCGTGAGAGACAGTAAGCACCATGAGTGAAACTTGACAGACTTGGTAGCTCGTCTAAGCAGTACATAGTATCCATAACAGCATTCTAAGCCACTCGGTGGTCAAATCCTGCGACAATGGGGGAACCTCAGAGAACCATCATCGATATTTTCTTCGACCAGATCAATAAAAATCCCGACAAGATAGCTATCGATGAGGATGGGGCGAGCTTCATCACGTATGCCGACCTTTGGCGCTGCTCCACGAAGATCGCAGGCGCCATCATACCCACGGAGAAGGACGACGGACAATTGACACGGCGGGTAGCCATCTGCCTCGACCGCTCTGCGAACCTCATCTACGCGGCCTGGGGTGTGTTGATGTCCGCGCAGGCATACCTCTTTCTCGACCCAGACGATGCCACTAACAGAAATGTCAAGATGCTCGAGGCATTCGGTGTCGACATGGTAGTAACTTCCCGAAATCACGCTGGCATGTTTCAACGCAGCGAGCTGAAGAAGCTAGAGGTTCACGTTGTGGAAGAGTTGCTCGCTGGTCCCGACAACAACGAGCTCAAGCTGCCGTACATCGGCCCGGCCTCTACAGCATACGTATTACAAACCTCCGGCAGTTCGGGCATGCCTAAAGGCGTCGTCATCTCACACCAAGCTGCCCTTCCTGGCGTGGTAGACTTCACCTTAGACGGGAGCATGCGCTGGCTCTTTTTGTTCAACCCCATCCACTCGGCATCGCAGCGTCTGATAATCGGTATCTTCTGCAAAGGAGGTACGCTGTGTATAGTTCCCAAGGAGAGACTGACACAACTACCAGATGTAATCGAAATGAACAGAATCGAGGCTCTTGGAATTACCCCGTCGCTACTGAAGGTATTAAACCCTACGCAATTACCCAAGTGTCTCACCCAGGTTGTTTCTATCAGCGAACCGCTACCGCAAGATCTCGCCAACAAGTTCGCTGAACGCGTTGAGCTCTATGTTGCTTATGGGCTCAGTGAGGTTGCTCAGCTCAACATCAAGCGGAGGTTCAAGCCGGGCGACAAGTCCAACCTTCTGGCGTGGCCGTCTGACAGCACCCGAGTTAAGATTCTTGTTCCGGGCACGGAACAAGAAGTGTCGCCGGGAGAATCAGGAGAGCTGTGCTTTATTGGCCCTCAGTTGGCAAACGGTTATCTTGACAACCCAGTAGCGACGGAGAAGGCTTTCCACGAGAACCCGTTTGGAAATGGGATGATGCTCCGAACAGGGGATGAAGCATGCGCGACAGAAGGCGGCTTCAACATAACGGGTCGTTTGGATGACATGATCAAGATCAACGGCCAGAAGTTGGAGCCAGCGGAAATTCAGGCTGTCCTTGATAAGCATCCGCATGTCATACAATCCCGTATCGTTGGGGTGGAATACGAAGGCGTCAAACATCCGGTGGCGGCAATTCAGTTGCACCCAGATGTGGATTGGGCAGAGACGAAGCTCGATCTCTTAAGTCTCGCTCGCCAAAACCTCCCTGCGTATATGATTCCAGATTACTGGATGAGACTGGAGATGATGCCGCAGACAGCGGCCGGCAAGTTTGATAAACAGCGCCTGATTCGAGAGATCAAGTCGACGCCTACCAAGGACTTACGCCTTCGCCCGCCGTCCTGTGATGAAACGCCATTGGACGACAATGAGCAGGTGATCAGGAAAGTGTTCGCAGATGTGCTTCAAATGCCAGAGAATGACATTGGGCGCGATGCAAGCTTTCCAGATCTTGGCGGCGACTCGATGCAGGCCTTCGAAGTGATCAACAGATTACGCGAGAAGGGTGTCCACGTAACCATTGAGGCCATCGTTACTAAGCGTGAGAGCATCTACTCATTGCGCAAGGACGTGATCACGGCGCGGCAGCAGCGTCAACTAACGGCCAATCTGATGTCCTCGGCAGACGAGAATGACCCGTTTCCACTTTCTGAAATCCAAACGAGCTTGATCATGATGACCATGCATTTGGGCAGCCTGAATTATACCTATCAGCGGTTGTGGGATATGCGATCTATTGATGTAGAGCGGTTGAAACACTGTTTGCAACAACTCCCATCCTTGAAAACCACCGTGATTGAGATCAACGATCAGCTCTTCCAGACCAGGGCAGGAGAAGTCTTTTTCAGGCATGTCAAAGGCTCCTTGTGTGAGTTCCTTGGCGAAGATCGCGCCGCGGGGTTCAAGTATGGAGAACCATTTGCACGATTTGCCTTGGTTGAGGATGGCGATGATTATGTTCTTGTAGAAACACGTCATCATGCCTTATTCGATTTTATTTCGTCTAGGTTCATGTGCGAAGATGCCGCCAGGCTCTATCAGAGAGAACAGCCTATTGCACGCCCGCCGTATCGGCGGTTCGTTGAGGCTATGGCCCAGAAAGATTGGACTGCTACCGGAGATTTCTGGAAAAGCCATTTGACCGGAACTGAGCCATGCCAGCTGAACTCTATACTAGTACCTGGCGCCAGAAATGCTAAGAGAACTCTGGGCAGTAGCATATACGAACTCTCGAAGCGTCTAAGTGTCACCGAAGCTAGTGTCGTAGCCACGGCTTGGGCAATCGTACTCAGCAAACAGACAGGCTCCAACTCGGTCCTCTTCGGCACCACGTTTTCTGGTCGGGATGAGAATGTCCCCTACATAGAGGATATTGATGGGCCAACCTTGGCAGTCGCTTTGGTGAAGTACGAGTTAGGGGGCAAGCTTCGAGATATTCTGCGATATGGCCAAGCAGTATTGAGCGAGACCCAAAAGCACTCTCAATATGGACTTATCAGAATCCTCAAAGCTGCAAATTCCAACCCTGATATTTTTGATACGATGGTCAACTTCGTTCACCATCGAGAGACCGGCAATGCCGTTTTTGAAAGGTTTGGCGAGGAGCCACAATGGAGGACCGAGCAGACCACCCTCATGATTGAGAGAATAAGAGTCGATGCTCTGCGACCTGTCTCCTACAAGGTCCGTCTGACCGGCGAGATGGAGCAAAGGCGGTTGGAATTTGTGGTGGACCAGTTCATCAAAGTAATTGAGCTGATGATGAACGAGCCCAACAGAGATCTGCGCTACGTCAATGTTCTCGGAAAAGAGGAACTCGAGTTGCTTTCAGAACATAAGCAGCTGACAGGCCAACCTCGGGCGACTTTGCTCTCTGATTTTGATGCAATGGTGGCCAGATATCCAACGAAGATCGCGTTGCAGTTTGAAACAGCGCAGTACATGTCTTACCAATCACTTGACAAGAAAGCAAATCAGTTTGCGCATTTCTTGACTGACGAATACGATGTAAGACAGGGCGATTTCATCTGCCTAACCTTTGATCATTCCATAGAAGCAATTGTGACAATGCTGGCAGTCCTCAAGGCGGGTGCCGCTTTCGTCCCTCTAAGCCCCAAGAGTCCGACCGAGCGCAAAAGGGGCGTTATTGCTGATACGGGTGCCCAACTCTTACTCACGACAAAGCACCTACTTCATGTGTGTCGCCAAGAGGATTTAGGGATCAACGTGGTTGCTGTAGACAGCATCGACTACGATGCATGTCCTGCTGTTACACCAGATCGTGTTTGGCTCGGTGCAGACGACACCGCATATGTCCTTTGCACGTCGGGATCCACTGGCAGACCCAAGGCGGTTCCAACTTCTCACGGCTCAATCGCGGCGTTCCTGACCACGATGCGCGAGTTCGAGCGATTGACCCCGAAAGACAAGTATCTGCATTTCAGTGACTATGTGTTCGACGGGGTCATCCACGAAATCTTCACGACTCTCAGTACAGGTGCGACTCTCTGCATTCCGTCGGAAGAGAACCGGCTCACGAACCTGGCTCGTGTCATGAATGACATGGATGTGACTCACGCATTTCTGGTGCCGATCGTCGCTCATGATATTGCAAAACAGGAGCCTGAGCCTAGAAGTCTGAGACAAATGGTCATAGGTGGCGACGCCCTAGATCAGAAATTACTGCGGACGTGGACCATCGAGAAGAAGCGCAAGATCATCCAATGCTACGGGCCGACGGAGACTACCGTCATGACTAACCTCCGCTACATGCAGGGTGGTGACCTGCCAAATAACCTCGGTTGTCCCGTGCCCACGGTCCAACAGTTCATACTACAGCCAGACGGTGGCACCGAGCTCGTGCCGTATGGAGCGGTAGGCGAGCTATGCACAGCTGGGCTTCAACTCAGCAAGGGATACCTGGCTAGGGAACGAGAAACACGAGATGCTTTCAAGCGGGTCAATATTGGCGGCATAGAGACCCAAATCTACCGTACGGGAGATCTGGCCCGCTTCCTTCCCGGGTCCGAGATTCTGTATCTTGGACGCAAGGACTGTCAAATCAAGATCAACGGCAAACGTGTCGAGTTAGGCGAGGCCGAAGAAGTTTTCCGATCTTCTAAGCTTGTCGAGGATTGTGCAGCCGTGGCCGCCAGGATACAAGATCGGTACCAAATCGTTATGTATGTTGTGTTCGACAAGACAAACGCCCTTGATGACCATCGGCTCAAACAGGAGTTGTGGAGCGAGGTAGAAGCAGGTCCTCTGATGGAATACATGAGGCCAAAAATTCTGAAGCCTGTAAACAGCATTCCAAAACTCCTCTCGGATAAAGTTGACCGAAAACGCATTACCCAAGAAGTACAGTCCATGAGTGCCTGCGAGTTGTCTGGGCTCTTGTTCCCTCCAACCGACACTAATGGACTTCAGGAAGCTGCTTTGACCACAGACAATGAGAAGCTCCTTGCCACATTGTGGGCTGAAATCTTACGGATACAAGGAGATTATGCATTCCATAAAGCAAGTCATTTCCTAAGACTTGGTGGAGACTCCATGGCCGCTGTTGCTCTGTCACGTCGCGCTTTGATGGGGTATGACTTTGATCTGCCAACTCGAGCCATTCTGAAGCATCCAGTGTTGTCGGAAATGGTACTGGAAATGAGACAGCGCACTCGAAAGACACAATCTGTGTCAAGCTTCATGAAAACACCCAGAGCCATACAGGAAGAAATGTCCAAGGTTGGGCTCGAAAAGAGCGCCTGGGAGTGCCTGTACCCATGCTTGCCGGGACAATCCGAGTTCCTCTCCCAATGCTCAAAATCAGACAGGACATGGGTGTTGCAAACGACTCGAAATATTGCCAACAACGTTTCCATGCTTGAGCTCCAGCGTGAAATTGAAACATTAACTGAGATGAACGATATCCTGCGGACCACATTCATCAAGAATAACGGAAGGTGGTATGGTGTTGTACTTCGTGAGTACGAAGTCAAGTTTGAGTATCGGCAGGTCTTGAGTCAGGCGCACAGAGATGAGGAAATTGCCACGATCTACCGGCGCCCTTTTGAATTTGGACATCCTTTCATTCGTTACGTTGTTGTCGAACAGCCAAATGATTGTCGAGAACTTGTCATTACGATGAACCACGGGCTGTACGATGGCACAATGCTTAAAATCTTTTCTTCGCATCTGAAAGCTGTTCGCAGCAAAGGGCCGATGCCATCTTTATCTCTTTTCAAGCATCTTGTGTTTCATCATTACGCAGGATTGAAAAATGAGCGTCAGTCTGCCTTGGATTATTTTGCTGAACGAAAACCTTTCAAGACTCGTATCTTTGATATCGAAGATCCAGATGCATCGGAGACGATTTTCGTAGACAAAGCTGTCGATGGACTCGAAGAATTTGCCAGACGAGCAGAGGTCACGATACCGGTTGTTATCCAAGCAGCATTTTCGATCGTTTTGTCGGGGCTTACTGGAACTTCTGAAACAAGTCTTGACTCGTTGGTTGATGGGCGTCATATCAATGTACCGTGCCAGCCAGGTCACGACCCAGCTGCTGTTAATGGTCCCTGCGTGAACTTTGCTCCGATGACGTTTAAGGTGTCGGGTAGCATCAGAGACTTCCTGAAACACGTCAATTCGGTTTTCCGGGAGGTTGCCGAGAATGCTATCGTAAGTCTCGATGATATTTATGCCGTTTGGGGCCTCGATCGTGGCACGCATCAAAACCAGGTCATGTGTTTGTATCAACCATACCATTTAGCAGAACTGTGGATGTTCCAATCTCTGGACAAGAATAGCATACATGTTGAGGTGGCAGAACAAGAGTATGGACGATGGGGCACTACAGCGGGTCTAGAAACAAAGATGAGAAAGCCATATGCTATGGTAGTCGAGGGTTGTGAATTGCCTCGGAAAGAGGAGAAGAGGATCAAGATCTCCTTCGATCCGCGGGTGATGGAGCAAGCTAAATGCGTCCCAGACGAAATGTGGGATGCCATCGAGAAGATGGTGCATGTTGATATGGACGAAAACGTGATTAATGTATTATGAGGGAAAGCATGGCGGCAATATACTTTACTGTAGATCTGCTCTGTTGTTGTGATTCAAGAAACACGAACTTTAACTAGATAAGATAGTTAGCAATTGCCACTCTTTACGTCCCAAATCTGATTCGAAGTGCACGGTTGAAGAAGTGAGTCCAGCAAACCACTCAGGCTCTCACACCAAGTGGGCTTTTGGTGTGCAGAACGCAGTACCAGGGCCTGGTGACACCTAACAACAGGCTCTGGCATTGTTTAACGGTATACAACAGTGTCTGCGACACTTCCGTCAGTTTGCCAATTCGGAGTGTGTACATATTTTTGGAATAATCTTCGGGATAATCGAATCGCGCGTGGATAAAAGTCTAGACTTCTTTCAAGGCGATGCAAGAAAGACGACAAAGGTGACCTGGCCTGCGGTTTAGTTGACTGCCGTAGACGGGTGGCCGCCTGAGATGAGTAGTTTCCGAGCACTTCTAGAATAGAAATACGCAAGTTGAATACATTGTGGTATCTATCCGTGTCCGAAACCCTAACGCCGTGCGATGCATAACATGGGAATCTAGTCCAAGTATTTGATGTTGCCGTCCATGCCGGCGACCGCCACCTTGCTCGTCTCCTGAGGGTGCCACTGCACGCAGGTGATTGCCTGGTCACTGATCTGCATCTTGTGGCGCATTTTACAGCTCTTCCAGTCCCAGAAACATACAAAGCCGGCAGAATCACCGCTTGCAAGAAACTGGCCATCGTAACTAATGTCGATATCAATTCCGGTGCCGGCATTGTTATGGCCGCGATAGCTCTTCTTGCGGTTCTGTCTACTCACATGTTAGCATTTGGTCTGAATTGTGTGAAACACTTGATCTGAATAAATACCGGAACTTGTCTACCGCTCCAAATACGACGATCTGGTTATCGCTGGACTGGTACGCGACATATTTGCCAGAAGGATGTTTGGCAGCACGCGTCATCGGGTACATGTAGGGCTCGGCAATGTACTTGATGGGAACTGGAATGTTGTAGTCCCAGGCACGCAGAGACTTGTCGTCTGAAGTGGTCATGAATCGACGGTTGTCGTCCACGAAGACGATTGTGTTGATAGCATTGAGATGATGGTCGTATTCTTGAACAACCTCCTTGGTACGAGTGTCAAACTGCACGATTTTCTTGTCAGACATGCCGGCCAAAAACTCATGTGAATGCTCTGGCGATGGGTTAAATCGGACAACATGTGGTGTCTTTCCAGTCGTGAACTTGTTGATACACTGGCCGGTTTCTGTGTCCCAAAGTTTCATCATGCGATCGAAACTTGCACTGAGGAACTGTGTGCCCGACTCGTTGAAGCAGATATCCGACACGGCCTTCGTGTGACCGGAATAGGTACGCAATAGCTCCCTCTTGTGGTAAACGTCGAAAATCTTGACTGTTGTGTCTGCGCCTCCAGAGAGCAGAAGATGGCCGGAGTTGGGGAAGAAGCGGAGTCCGGTGACGGCCTTGTCGCCATGTTCCTTCCACGTATGTATGACCTTCTTGGCGTAGTAGTTCGTGATGCTGCCAAGTTCCTTGCGCAAGTTGATGTTCAGGTCCTGGGGGACATGCATGTATGTCCGGCCCTGGTAATCGTGTAATGATTCGCCGTGATAAGTCGTCGTCTCCTCGCCAAGCTCTTCGACCTCCCTTCTCCTCGCCACGGCTTGGGCCGGCGCCGACAAGACTGTGCCACTCTCGATGACTTCGTCTTCGGAGACTTCTGTGTATTCCTCGTCGCTGCGAAGCTCCTCGTCCTCTCCGACCTCTTCGTATTCCTCCCTCTTGTACTTTGCCCAGGGACCAACATACTCCCCCGGTCCGTCCACAATGGTGGCATCTCCCTTCTCCTCGCGAGCGGCGCGTATCCTCTTGGCCTCGTCTTTGATCTGGGCGCCCGTTTGGAACTCCCTCTCGGGACCGCCTCTGCCCTCGACGGCACGATGTTTGCTCCGGAAGGTATGCTCACTGACGTAAGTCTCCTCGGCCGTTCCCGTCAGAACGTTCTTGCGCTTGAGGGCGTTCTGTTCGTCCTTGAATGGATTCTGGGGGCCCAGCTTGGGGCGCGTGAGCTCCTGGCCGGAGTACTTGACCACCTCGTGCGCCGGACCGTCCTCTTCGCGTAATATGAGGGCGTCCTGAGACGGCATATTCGGCGGGTACTCCCCAAAGTTGGACATGTTGTCGGATTCTTGAGGAGCGTCCCCAGAATTGAATGGATATCTTGTCAGGTTGTTTTGGGGTGTGTCGTCCTTACCTTCAGGTTATGAAAGTTCGTGTTGCAGCCTTTCAGCAGTAAATTTGGTTCCGCCTGCGGCCGGCAGCTGCGCTAATGACGTAGGCGTGTTTTGACAGCTGGGCGCCAGAGGTTTCATACGGACTGGTCTCTACTAAGTTGGTCTCCAGGATAATACAAAGAGGAAGGGAAAGAGCACGAAGGCTGCTGAACTTGAGAACACTGAAGTTTTCATATCTCAAAAAATGTAATTGCGAAACTATGCGTCAAGTAGAGCCCACAGCATCGCGGTGTTACCACTCTTGTTCCTGGCGACCAAGATCCTTGAGTAGACTAAGGTCAGACTAAATTAACCTGGGGGTCCTCTTGGGGGTCCTCCTGCGAGGTCAAATCCTGACGAGTAACAGTTTTATACATTGCTTGATCCTCTTATGTGTAACTGTCTGGCTGCGCGGATTCGGTGCGTTACTCTTGTTAGCAGCTGCTATCCAGCCAAACCTTCAGCTAACTGCGGTTCTAAACAAACTGTAAATTGGCAATCGGCGATTGCATGGTGGTGTGAAGCGCTGGGGGAAGATTCAACGCATCGTAACTGTGGAGGAACTACAAGACTTCATCTCTGATCAACGGCATAACAAATTCTCGCTCAAAGCGTTAGTTTCCAAATTGGGATAGCTATTAAAACTCAACAGCTCTCGTTCAGGGTATTCATCATGATACTCAAAATCAGACAGCCGTATAACGCCGAGGTACACAAGTCTTGCCACTAGGATGCCTATAATCCGTCATGTCACAACCTTGATTTCCCATTCGTCTAAGTCGTCCATATCGTTCCATCACTCCTCCTCCGGCGGACCATCAATACAGTCCATTACTAAACCATCATGCCACACATCATCCACCTCCTCAGGTATGCGCCATATTATCCTGAGCTATGTGTTCACCGACATTCAAGCGTCCCGCCTGAGATCCGCCCACGACGCACATCCCCTCGCACGCAATCCTTAGGCCCTTGTGCACCGTCAAGTTTCCCAGCCTTGCAGCGTCCGACTCTCTGGTGGTTTTCAGAATCTCATCTTAGTAACTGAGCGAGCGCAATGAGAGTGAGTTTTGGTCGTCTTAGAGCATAAGAAAAAGCGGTCGAGTCGTTTGTCCGCCTTAGTGGGTATCGTCCCGGATGAGAGCAACGATCATGCTGTAGAGGTAGAAGAAGAACATGATCAAGTGGAAACCCAGCTTGACGAATGATTCCTTCTTGTGGACGTTCAGCTTGCGGAAGATCTCGGTAGCGTCGAGGAGGTGGGTGTTCTCGACGATCTTCTTGACGTTCCAGGCGAGCAGAGGCAGGTTCAAGATTAGAGCCACCCAGTATCCGTTGATCAAGAACAGGAATGTCAGGAATCCGTGCACGGCAGCCTCGGGGATGATGTAGGTGTTCAGGCGGTTGCAGAGGTCGATAGGGTTGATGTAGTCGCTGCAGATGCACGCATTAGCTAGGTACCGAGGCGGCGGCGTAGAGGGACTGCTTACCATTCGAGGTCACTGTACATAATGGTGAAGAAGACCTGGAGGAACAGGTTGACGGCATTTATCAACACCGCGAAAAGGTACAACCACGCCTCGCCCGACATCTTGCAGACTGTTTTGGTTTGGTTTGATTTGGTGTGCGGTGTTTGCTTTGAAGGTGACGCGTGCGCAATTGACAGGACGCTTGGTTGTATTTGGGGAGAGGATGAGAGTGGCTGGAACTGTATGTATGCGTGTGTATGTATGTATGTATGTATGTGTGTATGATCCGAGTAGAGACCTTGACTCGGGGAGGGAAGGTTGGTGTGTGTTGCGTGTGGGCAAAATGGATTGCTGCGTGGACTCCCGATGATGAAAGCGGCTCGGTCGCACGCGAAAAAAAACTCCGCTGTTGCTCTCCCACTTCGCTTTCCTTGACCTTCGAGGTTGGTCCAAATCCAAGTAGTCCACCTCCAGGTCCTGGTCCAGGTCGAGCTATCCCTAGAGCTTGGGGCTTGGGTGGCAGGCCTAAGCTCCATTGCATTTTGGGCTGCCCTGGGAACCCCCTGGGAACCCCCTGCGAAACCCCTGCGAATGGGGGGTTGGCAGGCTGGAGGCGCCATAGCTGCGGGACAGGCGATGGACTTACAGGCCCGCTAGGTTAGGCGTCTATGGCGTCTATACACACAGCACTGCAAGCAGATAGTCTTGCATGGTTCTTGATTGTGCATATCTCTGATCGGATTGCTGCTCAATTCGCTTCATTGATGATACACATGAGCTGCTTCATGGGCCTGCGGCTCATTCCATTCATTCTCAACATTGTTCGGCTCTGGGTTCCGGACATGCCGATTTTATGTGTCGTGGGGTGTGTGATTCTGCTATGAACGCCTCATACCCAACAATCGCCGGTCGGTATGGACTATGGACGACCCCGCTAACACTGTAGTACTTTTTATGTGTAAGCTGCTACGTAGATAAGCACACATGTTCAAGGCCTACAGTACAGAATACCTGCACATGTGCATGTCCTTCTTAGACTACGTACTAGACTAAGTAGGTCACTGATGACTTTCTCTTCATGACTACATAACCCAAATTGAACTGGGCCTTCTATTCATTTGGGCCCGGTTTTAGTCGTAGAACTGGTCAGCTCGAATCCTGATGCGCCGCGATCATACAGTGTAACCATGAGTGGAACTCGTCCAGTGATGCAGCATATCTATGCCGCGAGTAATCTGCTTCCAGCGCCCAATGTGTTGTTCCTAATTGGTTCCATTTGCTACCGGTGTTGGCCTCGCAATGGCGCCACCTGGAGAGTCTGCTTTCCTGGCAGTCAAAATCTCAACGCCAGTCTCTGTGACCAGCAGAGTATGCTCTGTCCCGTTTGTTAGCAAGGTACTGGAGGGGAGGAGCAATCTGCGGAAAATGCGAAGCTTACCAAACTGCGCCGTCTTCTTTCCATCAATGGTACAGCTGGTCCAATTGTCGGGCCACGTCACGTCGCGGTACTTGCCCAGCGCGATCATGGGTTCGATGGTGAAAGTCATGCCTGGCTTGCACTCTCCAACAGCCTTGTTTTTGGCGTAATGGGGCACGTTGGGCGGGCAGTGGAAGGTGCTGTTGATGCCATGTCCACAGTATGTCCGGATAACGCTGCAGTTCTGCTCCTTGGCGTGCTTCTCGATCACATTGCCGAAGTCTCGAATCAAGCAGCCCGGCTTGACCATCTCGATGGCCTTGTTCAGACACTCACGCGCAGTCTCTACTACCCGGACCGTGTCAGGGTCCGCCTTTGCGCGATCACCGACATAGTACGTCTCGTTAAGGTCGCCGTGGAAGCCTTCGTGGTACAAGGTAACATCCAGATTCAGTATGTCACCGTCCATGAGTATGCGCTGATCCGGAATACCGTGACAGATGACTTCGTTGACCGAGGTACATATCGATTTAGGGAAGAAGTTGTAGTTCAACGGTGATGGGTAAGACTGCACGCACAAGGATCAGCATCGCTATGCCGTATGGAAGCCTGTCCATGACTTACGTTGCGCTCGATGCAGGCCTTATGGCAGACCTCGTCAAGATAGTCGGTGGTGACACCCGGCTTCATCTCACCGGCGACGATGTCCAGCACTTCTCTAGCCAGTCTACAGACCTTGCGCATGCCTTCCTGCGCCTTGGCGTCGAGAAGCTCAATCTTGTTTCTGTTCACCAACCGCGAGCCTTTCGGTATGCCAGACTCGGCATAGTCGGGGTGTGGTATCGACTTTGGAACGGTGCGCTTCTCGGATAACGGGTAAACGGGGCGGAGAGGTCCGGTGTAGTTGTAGGAGGGGAAGGGGTTGAAGAAGCCTGTCGTCGGATCAGGTTTAGAGACGACCTTTGGGGGGATAATGTTGTGAATAATACCGTTCTGTGTCTTGCCCGAGGCGCTCTTGTGCATAGACTTGTGATCACCCTAGTGGTCTCTGTTAGTGACTGCGTTGCAGCACATCACAGCATGCACTTGTGTAGCGGAGGGGTCTGGGAGGGACATGGGACATGAGAAGAAGGCATACCCAGTTCTTCTTGAAGCAGTCTTGCGAACAGAAGAAGCTGCCCTTGATGCCGAGTTTCAGACATGTCGGACACTGCAGTGAGCCAGCATCGTTGGGGCAGTCTACGCCGAGGCACTTCTTCTTCGCCGGAGGTTGTTCTGTGTCGGCCATGGTTACTTGGAATAGCCAGTCGGGCTGTTTTAGATGATGGGTGCTGTTAAAACTCGCCAACAGGGTCCTCAAGCCGTGAGAAACCTCTCCAGTTTCCAGAACGGTCAGTGATATACTTTGAGGATTTTCGTGCCTATCACAGCGAAGGCGCAAACGGAAACAAATGTTTGCCCCACCATGAAAATCATGCCACCAAAGGCACCCGCAGGTGAGTTCATTTACGGAATTACGGAGTGCTGTGGCGCTTGTAAGCACTGTAACCTACCGGGACAGGAACAGCAGCATAGCGCATCACCTGCAGCCTATCTTGGCCACCAGCTGTTGCCAAATGGGTTGTTCCACTACCAGACTAGTCTCGCTTAGTACTAGCTTGAGTTGGTAGGCTGGTTTCGGGCTTCGGCTTGAGGCGGTCTAGGTCCAGAGTCCCTGACAGCCTGCAACACTCCAGTCTGCAATGCTGGTTGGCAAATCAAGTCATCACCACATGTTGCCGCCAAATGCCCAAGCCAGAAAACATTCATGCATAATATTAAATACTGGTAAACAATCACACGGCTGCATGAACTATTGCGCATAGGACTCTGCTTAGGTTTCCCCCAGTCACTAATGCTGTTATTACCAAGAGGGTTATCCATTTCTGTTCACCTCTATTCTCTAATATCTCCAAGCAGCTCTGCGGCAATCTAGCCTGGCGTGTGACTAACACACCTTGATTTGTAATTCTTTTTGAAGCTGCACAGACTATCAAGCGAGTTGTCCTTCTTCACTGTACCAAACGAAGTTATTGCGGTTCATCGCATCGTTGGTCATCAACGCAATTACATCACTCAAAAATGGCAAATCAACAAAAATTCGTGGTTGTCGGGGCTGGACCAGTCGGCTCGCTTGCTGCCTTGTATGCGGCAAAGCGAGGCCATGATGTAGAATTATACGAGCTAAGAAATGGTAAGTAAAACGATGGCGGCGCCGTTGCTTACAGTTTATGCCTTGCACTCCAGCCAAGATTGGCCATTGCAAAACAATGGTAACGAAAATGGTAATCTTCATGTTGCGCTGACACCATGCAGATCTTCGCGATCCTGCTACTACTCCCCTGGCCTTTTCCAAGTCCATCAATCTGGCGCTATCAGAGCGCGGAATCAATGCCATGAGCCATGCTGGCTCTGAAAAGCTGCTTCAGCATGTCAAGTCAGCCACAATTCCTATGGAAGGACGTATGATTCATGGCAGGCGCCCTTCCGGTGAGCTCTACGAGGAACCTCAGGCCTACGACATTCATGGCAGAGTAAGGAATATTTCGAGATACCCTGTCAACCCTTAATATGCTGATAAATGGCAGACCATCTTCGCTGTTGACCGGGCAGATCTCAACATGCGCTTATTAGATATCTTAGAAGGGATGCCCAATGTCAAGTTCTTCTGGAATCACAAGCTCACTGGTGCCGATTTCAGACAAAGAAAAGCCTGGTTCGAAAATCTCAACACGACAGGCAACACTCGCCGCGCAGAGGAGGTTGAAGTTCAATTCGACTTCATGCTAGGTGCAGATGGCGCACACTCGGCCGTACGATACCATTTGATGAAGTTTGTGCAGATGGATTTTGAGCAAAAGTATATTGATAGCACATGGTGCGAGTTCACTATCCAGCCAACGCCAGCCGCCTCCAGCAATACCAGGTCGAGGTTCAAGATTTCACCAAATCATTTACATATTTGGCCAGGAAAGGAATTCATGTTCATTGCTATACCAAGTGAGGTACGTAAGCTCTTGCAACTTTCTTCCCCGATGCTGTCAACTGCATTCATCCCCGGTACAGATCATAGCGAAGACTTCCCTCTCAAATCTTGATCTGGAATTCTAATACCATTATGATCTTTCTCGTGTAGATCTGGTCACTAAGTCGAAGGCTGCAGGCTCTAATGCGGGACAAAGTGCTAATATGATGATTTGTAGGACGGGTCTTTCACATGCACATTATTTATGCCGAAGAGTAAATTCGCTACACTCGAGGCAGACCCTGGCAAATTGCCCGAATTTTTTGACCATCACTTTCCAGGCGTGACATCACTTATTCCAAAGGATGAACTTATCGCTTGTTTTAACAGGAATCCGCATCAACCACTAATCAGCATCAAGTGCACTCCTTACCATTTTTCAAGCTCTGTAGCGATACTGGGCGATGCTGCTCATGCCATGGTTCCCTTCTATGGACAAGGAATGAACGCAGGCCTAGAAGACGTTTACACACTCTTCTCAATCCTCGACAAGCACAGCTCTGAGGAGACGAACGACCCGCAAGGCCAAGCTATGACGGATCCGGCAGTCCAGCGCGCGTCAGCCCTGACAGAATACACCGAGGTTCGAACACCAGACGCGCATGCCATCAATGATTTAGCACTGCAGAACTACATCGAGATGCGCGCGTCTGTGCTGTCGCCAGCGTACCGGCTACGCAAGTCTCTCGAAGAGTGGTTATCTGTGTATGTTCCCGGTTTGGGATGGCAAACCAAATATTCTCGTGTCAGCTTCTCGAATGAGAGATATTCACAGGTTATCGCAAAGAGTGATCACCAAGGCAAGGTGCTTGAAACAGTTTTGAAAGTGCTCTTGGTTGGCACAATTGCCGGCAGTATCGTGGGCATTCGCTATCTGAGGTCTCCTAGGCTTAGCTCGTTTAGTTTAGGACGAATACTCGAAGCACTAAAAGGCTTTGTAAGACGTTGAGTACTGAATTTAATCAAGCCAAGCCACTGCTTGGCGGAAGAGCAACTTCTTACAGTATAATTCAGGATAGGAAATAGAAGCTTGTGTTAGCTAAGCGTTCAAGTCCCATGATCTTTTATTGGCCCCCATAAAACGTAGAGCTATGCAGAACTGGGCCTGAACTTGTTACTGCTGTGGACTGTCAGATGGTGGGTGTGAACTATCCACTTGTCTCTCTTCTACTTTATTATATTCCTAATTCATGGACCTTGAACTAAGCCCTGGTATCGCCATTACATTACTCGAGTTCCAATTCTTGGCCCGAAATAATCTCCTCCACCTGGCTTCAATCTGGTACATGCAGTAGTAGCCTCACAACCAGTCTCTGGATCATGACACCGCTAGTTGATATCAAACTCGTTATGTTAGACTATGAAGCAGATGAATATTCCAGCGGTGGCAATGGCGAAGATGATGGGCAATGTGAGTCCTAAAGAGAAACACTACTTCGACAATTGGGTAGGTTGCATGATCTGCAACAATGCGCACCCGAGTGCGGCAGCAAGGATAATAAAAATCTGCACACAAACACTTGGGGACTCAATTTCAGGTTATGTGAGGCCATCAAGCCGAAACCTGCTATCCCAACGGAAGTATTGGTGCTGCCGAGGCAGCATACGAGGTTCCGAGCGCTATTGCCAGAGCCTCACAAGCATCGTGAACCAGTCTCCGTCCCGCCTGATGTATCCTAAAGGCATCGGGATCAGCAAAGAGCCAAATCATCCCGCAGTCTTACGCTTCTGGACGATGAAACTTACCCCGCAAGCACAAGAATACTATGCGTACCGCCTTCGTATACCTCGACGCTGGTTTCGACCCCAGCAGCCTCCAACATCTTGCCAAATGCGAGGGCTTCCGGCGCGAGCAGGTCGCACTCTGACACCCCCAGAAATGTTTTGGGGCTCTTTGATAGTAGCTCCAAAGGTGCGAAACACGGCGAGGCATCGTAATTAGCGCTATCTGATGGTGACGAAAAGTACTTCTCTCGATACCACGTCATGCGGGTAGGCGTGAGCCAGGGGGCATGTCGTGAGATTGACCATGTAGTGTCCGTGGTGGCCGTGTTGTCGATTACCGGGCACAGCAGCATTTGAAACAGAGGCGGAGGAGTCAGATCGAGGTGTGATATCTGCAGAGAGAGGATCGCGGCCAAACAGCCACCGCTGATATTCTGTCAACTTTCCTTATGATCTTGACCAAGACCGCGCTTTGCGGGCGGTGAGATAACATACGCTGATAATCCTCCTATCGCTATCTTAGATGTATCGATACCTATCGAGCTCGCGTTCCCGGGGTCTATCACCCACTGATATCCAGTGAGCGCGTCATTTGTCGCTGTTGGGTAGACATGTTCAGGAGCATGGCGGTAGTTAATGGAAAGCACGACACATCCAACGTCTAAGAACAGTGCACGTCAGCGTGCGAGGATTAATATGATATCTAAACCGCGGACACCCCAACCAGCTGTGGTGAACGTGTCTCTGCGGTTCTTACTCACGCTTGCATATATGCCTCAAGAAGCCGTTCTCGCTATCCAATCCACCCATCACCCAACCGCCGCCGTGAAACCAAACCAACGCCGGCCAGCCATTTTCGGGCAGGTCGCCCTCCGGCTTGAAAACTCGAATCTGGATGTCACCGAGGTCCTTATCGCACACTGAACCAACCTCAACGAGCTCCTGGCCTCCTAACGACAATGGTGATGGATGCGTCCTGCTTACAGGATCCCATGGCTCGGCTTCTGATGGCACTACGTATTGCAGATACTCATCATGAAATACTACATATTCGGGATCAAGCTGTGGCCGTAGACCTGGATGAATAGGTTGATGAATTGTTCGTGGTGTGGCAGCCATGGTGATGCATGACTATATTCTACTGCAACTGTTGGCTTTCACGAACAATGAAGCAACGTAAGAATTGTTGTCCCAACGAGGACAATCGCTACAGGCCACGATAAATACGTTTGCGTAATGATCATCGCAAGATACCAGATGCTTGGCCAACTCGGCCGGCACCGGTGTCTCAGAGGTGTTGCCTGCCGGAAGCACCGATGCATGTCTTGGGAGCTCCACTTTCGTGATGTCGGAACCGATAACGTGGCGAGTCAGGTAGAGTGGCAGGCAAGCCATTTTTGTAGTTCCGCTCTACACATTAAACGCTTGCATATCAAACTCCAATAACAGTGCCACCGCAATGGGGTCTATTGATTTCCGTCCACACTGTTCGACAACTCAACATCATTCTGGTTCTGGCTTGTTTCTGAATCCCCTGGCTTGTTCTTGCGCCTACTCCTCCTTTCAGCAAATCTGAACGGAGTCCCGGCCTCTTCGCACTCAACAAGGATGGCGTCGAAAGTCTTGCCTTCGGCAGCCGCCTCCTTGCGGACTTTGCGCGTGCGAAGGAGCCATATGATTTGCGACAGGAAGATTCCAAGTTCTAATACGAAGCTGAGAATGCCGCGCATATCAGCAATGATGGCCTTTCGGTTAGTGTTTTAGCAGGTTGGGCTTGGCTTACCAGACAATGTAAAGCACGCCTCCGAGGATATCAAATGTGTTCTGTGCCACGAGGGCCATAAGAGAGAAGAATGCTCCGCCGCTGTCCAACGACAAGAAGATCTGGAGTGCTTCGTCAGTGGTGGAAATGAACTCGTCTTGATATGGATTCACGTACCCAGTTGATGCCGATCACTCGTCCTCTTCTCTTCCAAATCTCGCCATACGGCGGTAAAAGACCCGCGGCGAGTAGGATGCTGGCTAAAATGCCTACGACAAGAACTCCCGTTTCGTTGCCAGCCTCATAGAGCGGCTACGTGGTAGATGATTAGCTGGCCATGCAGCGCGCGTGTCGGAGAGGAAAATGCTAACCCGTAGAGTCAAAATCAATGCAGCTTCCACGGCAGCAAACGTGGCGCCCATTGCGATAACCACAAGTGTAGCTGTCCATGTTCGCCAGCCCCTGGGTGTGTGTTAGAGCGGCCACCAGGTTATTCAAGGTCATGCATGCTCTTTGTGCCCCTGCGAAGGCTATCATGAGCGAAAACTAACCGGCTGTATATAAGAATCTGACACCAGCAGGCAAGACACAGCGCCATGAAACACTGCGGCTGTACTTGGATTGGTATATTGAAGTTTTGTATTATAGCATAAGCACCCATGGGCACGGCACCTAGTCACGCACACAAAAGACACCAGTCAGGCCGCTCGCCGTGGAAATGAGGAATAAAGAGCTTACATAGCGCCCACAGGTACATCATTGCTCCGGGCAGTCCTTCAGTCCTTTTGGTTCTCCAGTTCGTCCATATTTGAGGCACTAATTGTACGCACCAAAGAACTGTCCCTATCGTCTGAACACAAGTCAATGATGGTGTGTGCCAGGAGAGCGAGCACGACTATACTCACACCAAGCACATTGGCCGCGACGGGGATATCGGTCTGAGGGGCCATGGTCTCACTTGGTCGCTAAAGACCGAAATTTGTAGGCGAAATGAGATGCGCTGGTTTCGAAGACAGTCCCTTTTTGGGATTTATCACGACCACATCAGGTTTCTTAAAATCATGGACCGTGTGAGATACAAGCTTGTTGTCATCTGTATAGAGATGGTGTAACAAGCTTGATGGATCACTAATGTTGCGGCCAAGAAATCTTGATATTCCGAGGCCCGGTTCCGATGTTATGAACACACGCTAAAAGAAGAAGCGCCAACCAAAGACAAGCAAATATTGCAGGCGAGCGTCGATTAGTGTGACGATTCAGCGAGTCGAGATGGTGATGCTATGACGCATGCATCACTTTGTTTTGTACTTGTTCTGATCGCGTTTGAAACTATCCAGAAACGACCATTTGCACGAGTAGTCTAGGAACAAAAAGTAAAGACAAATGTAGACTCAATATTAATTGAGGTGTGTGCACTGTAGTAACTACAGTACTATGTAGGGAGAATACATCCGCTGAGGCTAGAATGCCTTGCTTGGGAGTAGATAGCCCCCCACCTCACGTCACTGGCAAATCTCTCTATGATGGGCAAGCTACCGATATAGATATCCACAACGCCCTATAATAGCATTCGCATTCACTGGTCCCCCAATGACAGCCCATCTTATCTTGCCTTGACCTACGAGTGGCTGTCGAGGTCATTATTTATGATACTGGTGGAAGCTTGCTGGGAATTAGCTGTGGCCTTCGTGAAGTTTGGTGCGGTATGCTCCACTTGGATGGGTTAACGCGAGCGGGTCATCAGAGCGCCCAGGAGCGCGCTGCAGACTGCCAGGTCCGAAAGTCGGGAGCCAGCCGGCTCGATAGCGCATGTGGCATGTCAGAAACGGGGGCGACGCATCTGGGATCACTCGGCACGATTCATGATTTACATGTTCACAAAGATCTATTTGACAGACAGCTTCTGGACCGGACCTTGGACTGCGGCACGGTGTGTGCGGGGTTTGAATGCAGACGGGCATGGCGCTGCGTCCTCCAGACCCCGTTGTGTGTGGGTGTGGAATCTTATTGTGGAATCCGGAGATGAAGGCTCTTTGAAGGGGTGATGGCATTATGGCACGACAATGTGGCAGGTGGAAGGAGAGGAGAGCAGGAGAGTTGGACTGGCGGTCGGCGCCAACTGGAGCCGCACTTGGCCGCCAGCCATGCGAGCCATGCGAGCCATGATATGATGAGGAATCTCCCGATCGCTTGGGCTGAATAATGCGGGGTCGTTTACAGCAAATGCCATGGCCAGTCTCCAATTCGGCCCGCAGCCGCCTCATTTCGATGCAAGATTTGGAATCTGCGGTATCTTGGTCTGCGTCTAGTGTTATCAGATTTCTCACATCGCCTCGCATAGTCCGTTACGCAGAGCCGCAGTGCCCCTGTCACATCACAATCGCCAATCTTTGTCATCTTTGGTCACCTCGAAGATTCCATTCCCGGTTTTGCTCGTGCTTGTACTTGTACTTCTGCATAGAATATAGATCGCGTCCTTCCCCGTGAAAAAGCTCCTCCGCCAACGAGACTCGAGAAAACCGCCAAACTGTTTTCCTCGACATTCAGACGATTTACACTTCGCGCAGGCGCATCAGGAGTTTCTCTTGCCGCTTTCACTACCGCAGGCTTTCAACTGAAACCACATCACTCGAATTCACTGCCCAAGATCACAGCAAAAGGGATGCATAGCCAGGTTGTCATCATCGGCTCTGGGCCCGCTGCCCACACGGCCGCCATTTATTTGTCCCGTGCCGAGGTCAAGCCCGTCCTCTACGAGGGGTTCATGGCCAACGGCATTGCTGCTGGCGGTCAGCTCACCACTACCACCGATGTCGAGAACTTCCCTGGTTTCCCCAAGGGAATAATGGGAGGAGAGTTGATGGTGAGCCACTTGTCCTGCTCCGGCACCCTCATGTCTTTTATTTTTATTTTCACGATTTTCCCTCTCTCTCTCCTGAATGCTTGCTAACTCAAATCTTGCACTAGGACCAAATGAAGGAGCAATCTACACGATTCGGCACCCAAGTTATCTCAGAGACCATTGCTAAGCTGGACCTCTCATCACGACCTTTCAAGTACGAGACCGAGTGGGCACCCGGTACCGTCCACACCGCCGACGCCGTCATCCTGGCTACTGGTGCCTCAGCGAAGAGACTGGGTCTTGAGGGCGAGGAGAAGTACTGGCAAAACGGTGTCAGCGCTTGCGCCGTGTGCGATGGTGCCGTGCCCATCTACAGAAACAAGCCTCTGGTTGTCATTGGTGGTGGTGACAGTGCCGCTGAGGAGGCCACTTTCCTGACAAAATACGGTAGCCACGTTACCGTATTAGTACGCAAAGAGCAGTTGAGAGCCAGCAGCATCATGTCAAAGCGCCTGCTGGAGCACCCCAAGGTTACAGTCTTGTTCAACCATGAAGGTGTCGAGATCAAGGGTGACGACAAGGGTCTCATGAGCCAAATGGTTATCAAGAACAACAAGACTGGCGAGCAAAAGACCATTGATGCAAACGGTCTGTTCTACGCTATTGGCCACGACCCGGCCACCAGCCTGGTCAAGGGCCAAATGGATACCGACGACCAAGGATACGTCAAGACGGTGCCCGGCACCTCGCTAACCAGCGTTGAGGGTGTATTCGCTGCTGGTGATGTGCAAGACAAGAGGTATAGACAGGCCATCACTAGTGCAGGGTCTGGATGCATGGCAGCTTTGGACGCTGAGAAGTTTTTGGCTGATAATGAGGTTGAGGATCGTGAGGGTACCAACCCCGAGGGTATCAAGCAGCCCAACCAGGCCACGGCTCAAATTTAGAGTTAAGACCCGCCGGAAGTGTGATTCTGAGCGAATGCGTTACCTGCAAGACCCTAGGTCTCGCGTATGACTAAGCCCCAATAGCGATAGATTTGCTTGGCATAGACAAAATACCAATACAGTGAAAGAGTACTCCTAAACATTGGATGCATTTCCTGCCGTGCTTGGTGCTGTGAATTACATCGTACATCAGCCCACTTGTGTGCTCCCATCAAGGAAGCATCCATGATCTCTGTACGCTCCTTTCACCCCTACTGGATCCAGCCTACCAATAATGCAGATACGGCAGGACAGTAATGCGGTGGTGGTTGATGTACTCCCGACGCTTGTCCCATCACGGGAACTTGCATACCTGGCTGCACCTTTCTTTCTTCCATTCAAAGTTTCTGAGAAAAGCAAAGTTAAAACCCCCACGAAATGGAGTCGCTGGGGCACCCATGCTTCCCTATCTTCTTCCGTTTGCCCTTCTTCCGAAATTCAGTGTTTTAGCAGACGCTTGAAAGTCCAAATGCCTGAGAAAGGGTTGAAAGAGCTCTTGTACTAGTTAATGGAGATGTCTAACAATCAGAATGAAGACTTCACCTACAAGAGTCACGAAGTCAACAACATTGTATGGTTGTATACTCTCTTCATAGCTTCAGGCCCACAATATTATCCTGCTTGGGGGCGTCAATTAGTTTGATCCCTAGACTACTAACCTATGTTAGGTTAGGGCAATCACTACTGTGAACGAGATTATGGTGCGGACACCTCTAATCCGTACTCGTATCATTTCTCAATCCAATGACTGCCCTTCACGTCTTGTTTCATAATCTCGTACGGATGCGTACTGTCCAGTGTCTCATCGACGTCCCCGATGCGGAGCTATCTGTGCGCTGATCCGGATCTCAGGGATGGCACCTACTATCCTTCCAACACTTACTACAACGATGGCCAGGATTGTTCAACTTATGTACACATCGACACACAGTATAAGCTGGACGCCGGATATCGCACCGCAAAGAAATGAGAGAGACTTTACTGAAACCAATACATTTGAAGTCTGAACAAGTGGATCGTGTGACCGGCGCTGTGACGCAAAACATGCAGCACACATGGCGATCATGACATCTGACTCTCTTCTGTATCGCTTACACAGTACAATGTAGTGGCTGTTGGCATACTTTGAGTGATGCGCATTCTTTATTGGCCATCAAGCCAGCCTCCAACTCAAGCATATGCAGTCGTCCATGAAGTAGATTTGCGGTTGATCTACTGGGAATTGCCAATCCCAAACTGATTGCATAGTACCTTCCCCCCATTCTTCACACCACAATGAGCTCCGCTGGCGGAAGCATATAAAGCCACTAGATTTCCCCGGTTTTCATTGAATGAAACCATTCTTTCTTATCTTCACTTCAAGAGTCACTATCCGCCAGCTCCACTATCAAACCAAAGTACCACCCTCTACTCATCAGCCAGAATGCCTAACAACCAAGACTACTCCTACAAGTCCTCTGGCACCAATAACCAGGCTAGTTGTTTCTTGCCACGTTCTACTACTCACATGCAATACTGATACTTGGACTGTCTTGCAGGGCAACCACTATTGCTCCCGTGATTATGGCAGCGGCGCCTCCAACTCCAACTCTTACCACTACTCCAACACGTAGGTCTTGGGCTGCGATTGATTAGTGGGTAACTGGCTAATGAATGGTAAAGGGACGGCTCATACTACTATTCCAACCCCAACGGTAGCAGCTACCACAACAATGGCCAGGGTGGGAGCACTTACACGTCGTCCAGCGGCCAGAGCTCGTCTTCTGGCTATGGTAAAAAGTGAAGCGGGTTTCTGTGCTGGGGTTATGCTCAAGATATGATGGACAGGGTGTATTGGGCGGCGTAACTCTGAAGGCTTTGTATTAGCGATGGTCGGATTGGCCTTGTTGGTTAGCCTGTGGTGTTGCAGATCGACTACAATAAAAATACCCAGGTAATCTCTCGTGTGACACTGACATGTTAACTTGAACACTAGACTATTGTTGTGCTTGTCCCGATCGTAAGATACACGCCATTTTGTGCCCTCGTTCAGAATAGAAATGTCACTTATCGCCTCTCTCTCTCTTTCCCCCACTCTCTCTCCGGGATCGTTTGCGAAGTGCCTCGATTAAAGCGTTATCGACAAGAGAGCCTGTCTTGCGTCCGGCTTGTTAAATGGCGTCATAGCACTTAATAATACTAGTGCCTGCAATATATTTCTTTTTAAAAACGGCCCAGCTCTCATCGTATTTTAGTTCGGCCGTGTAAGCGTAGTCCAAATATTTCATTGCACCCTCGGGTCGAGCGCGTTAACTTGTTGGAAGCACTTGAAAGTGTGCTCAAGACACATGTCCGTATCAGGCTGCAGTTGAACCGAGTTTGAGCTTCAGTGCTAGACGTGCTGATATGCATCGTTTCTCAATAATAAGGCGCTGGTTTCCCCTCTTTATGGCCATACGTAGGAGCTGGCGCCTGGTTGTATCTTATTTATAATTAGATGCCTAACAAGGATGCAGAAGGAAACATTGAAGCTTTTTGCAATGGGTCGCCGCCTGGCAGCTCCTGACAAGAGGTTCTTTGTCTAGAAAGCTGCTCACGCATGCGTTTATGTAGTAGTAGTTCCACCAACTAGCCAAAAAGAAAGAAAAGAAAAAATAGGGAAAACTCCTAGCACCTCATGTATACAGCTAGTTTTAACTGTCACATTCGTATGAAATAAGGCGACTTCACTGCTACCTGTAGTCAGACTGTAACATGCTTATAGACTGACACATTTTAGTTGCCAAAACAGATTCAAATAATAGTTTCCGCAGAAAAGGAAAACCTAACAGGGCTATAGACACAGAAACAAAACAATTTCTTGTTACCAAAGTTAAATACAGATGGCACAACGGGCAGTTCATGTTAAGAAGAAAATAAAAATAGAAACCCCCCGAAAACGTACAACACTGGCGGATCTCCATTCTTCACCGATCTTTTAGCTAGTTGACATGGCTATAGTGCGCGAGGGCAATGGAATCTAGGTTTGCCACAAATCAGAACCCTGGCTGTCATGCTGTGTTCGGGTCTGTAGGCCGAGAGGCGCAATATACATGGAGTTGCAGCTAGGCATACTCCGGTGCTGAGTTACAACATGCGTGCCCTTACGACGACAGCTTGTCTGCGAAGCACTGACTCCTATTTACTATGCCGCGCTTTTGGGGTTAACAATCATTGCAGTGAAATTTCTCAGTGATGTTAAAGTAGGTATGATCTCAGCCAAACCTACACCAGAATCACGGATGGACCACGGACGGAGCCGGCTGATGGATCACTCATCAGACCAGGGCAAGGTTCCCTTACGATCAGTCGCTGCATTGAATATATTCACAGAGATCCGCAGCTAATCGTACAACATCCGATTAACTAAAATCTGGCGGTCAGCCATACATCTTCCTAGGCACTTCACGCTCCCTCATTCGGCCAAATCCATCACTCCTTGATCAGTTTCACGCGTACCTTTTCACCAAAATGCCGCCGCCACACTCATTGGCACTGCCATTGCCCAATATTTATCTGAACTCCCTCATACCAGCCCTCAATCAAAACCAATGCAGTTTCCGTCACGATGCTTATATCTTGAGTTATAGAGGTTCAATCGCCAATTCAAGTAATGATAACTTCCAAGACGCTGTTACCTATAAAAATATGCTTTCTCCGGGTCTTTCGAGTCCGAGATTGACGGTCAGTTGTGTGGCATCCATGGACGCCAGTTGCCACTGCAGCACTGCAAGCCGCGTTAGAGCTCCAGCTCTTGACGCAAGGTCGGATCATAACCAAGAAGCCATAGCCAATATTGATGATTAAAAAGCCAATATACTGTGCAGGCAAAGCTATGATGTATCTCGAGTTTAGCCTTTTCATCGCCGAGATGCTGTGCCGAGACGCTGTGATACTTCGACCTTGAGACTCCACCGTGGATATTGGGACAAATTGGTGGAGATGAGCCAGTCGCAAAGGGTGGCGAGAATAAGATAGGTGAGTTCTAGCTGTTTGAAGTTCCTACCCCGAGTTATGATGATCGCCCTTGGCTTTTCGTCTATGAGATGACTTGTGTGAGACAGATTTTGAAACAGTACCGTGACTGAACAGGGAATAGCTTGATCGGATATTCGTCAGTTTCAATGGCGACTTTACGGTTTTTAATTGTCCTAGCAATATATATGCGATTTTCTCTGTATTTGAAATGTGGTAGAGATGAGTCTCGATCTATGGTAGGCATCTGAAACGCTCCTGGGCTATGACCTCGTGGCTATGGCTGCATTTAGAGGCACAGACGCACCTGCGGAGGGAGTTTTGCGGTATCGCCATTAATGTGCAGATTGGCCCAGGCTTTTAAGCCTTGCAAGTCCTGGCGCTTTGATTGATGGTCTACAACTTGTTAAGATATATCCTTCACTACTATCTAACCATAGGAAATGGAGGCATGCAATGACTTCTTCGGCGGCAACGTAGTTAGTTGAAAATGATCTTGTGTTCTCGTAATACTCTTGTTTTGTTTGCGTCCACTATATTTTCAAATGTTGCGTAAATGCTGCTTTGAATCATTCCGCCATACCGGTTGTAGTTTGGAGTTGGCCAATCAGGCTGTAGCTAGTACCGACTCAACGTGGCTCTGACCTAGTGTCCTTCTTTGGTTTCGATAGGGTCATGAGAACCATAACCAGAATCAGAATTCAACTTGCCCACATTATTGTCATCATACAATCCTTCAATCCATTCTTCGAGACTTGCATCAAAATTGCTATTCCCAAATGCGTCAAATGGTTCTTCAGAGAAGTCGAATCTAAATGTTCCATCAAAAGTTGGAATATTAGTCTGATTACAGTCATTAGCAGCTTCCCCTGGATCAGTGTCTGCTTGACTGAAGCTTTGAAGCGGAATGAGACCGGCGGCTGTCAAGTTGGCCGGTGACTCTGAGGACAACTCCAGGTTCTGTGCCAGATCGCGAAGAATTTTAATTGTACAACGTTGGGCCAGCTTCCTGTTTATCACATCGTTTGGAAGTGACAATTGTTTGAGCTCTGACTCTATGATCTCTATAATCCTTGAAGATTGTTCTGGCAGTAAATATGGTCGACATTGTCCGTGATTACTGATTTGTTGGATAGTATTTTGCGGTGGGTCGAGATCATAAACTGTGATCCATAGTTAAATCAGCTATCACAGCTAGCAGAATCCACACTTACAAGGGGATGGGATGTCTTTGTCCTCAGTACACGGGAATAGGATCTTATAAACGCGTCGCCACTTCTCAATTTCTTGCAGTTTCGTGAAATCTTGATTTCTTGAGCGAAGCAGTGTCTCTTGTGAAGTATCGAAACCATCCAATATCTTTGTTGATTGAATCGGGCATGGTATGACCTGTCGCTGATGATGTTCTAGGTCCTTTTCAGTCGTCAAAACCTGCCAACATCGCTTACACACATGCTTTGGTTGAGTGTGTTGTCGATATAGATGCTCTCTATCACATTGTCAGACACGTTTGATGTGAAGAGCGGATCTTTTGAACAAACTTTAGTCTGTGAATATCGGGCCAGCCTGGGCCACAGCAGTAACGGCGACCGCCATACTTTGCTGGGTTATGTTTGAAGTAAGGACAAGCGAACCTCCTCTTCATTGTTTCTTTACCTTTTCGAGAAGTTAATACAGGTTTCTCTTGTCCACAACTGTCGCTCGCGTCCTCATCCTCTGAGCTTATCTGCGTCTTTCTCTTCTTAGACGTTCCCCTATATCCTTTCGATCGCAAATCTTTTGTCACATCAGGCTGACCTCTTGAACTTGCTGGCTTTGATGGCGAGGAAGCCAGATTTGTGGTTGTTTTCTCTGCTTGAGTTACTGTGGGTACGTCCAAATCTGACGACTTTGATCGCAGCAATTCTGTTACATAGGCGATCAATGCCACAACAAGTTCCCTGTTTTTCTGCATCGTTGGACTGGCCTGGCGAATAGCATATTTACTCGTGGATTGCGCAGTCATGTCTGATGCTCTAGTCACTTGATTTGCATTTGGTCGTTTTGGTATTTGCGAATATGAGGTACGCTTGTTGTCTGAGGGGCGTGGCACCAAAGACTCGGTTGATATGGTTGGAAATTCTGCCTTATTAATAGAGCCATCTTCCTTGTCAGGGCTGCGAAGGATCGGATTAGGAGAAAGTCTACTTGAGTCAACGACCTCAAGGGCAGCTATAGTAGCTGGTACAGGAGACACAGTAGGGCCAAATTTCTCGGTTGCTTCAGTCTTGATCATGTGGGTCACATTTTGTGTCGATCCTGCAGTAATCCTTGGTCCACTTGCCGTATCGGCAGTCTCAACGTCAACCGTCGTGTGCTCTTTGGTTCTTGTCGTCAGCGGTTTGAAATGAGTTTCGCTTTCCTGGCCCAAAGGTTTGGTCGTTGATTGCGAGCCATATTGATCGTCGACATTGCCCAATAAGGCAACAGCAGGAGGGACTGATACAGTAACAACATTCAATTTGACTGTTTCTGGGCTGGGCGCCAGTGGACTACGTTGTAGTAGCGGCGTACTCGCCTGTAGTACTGTTCTCGTCTGACTTGATTGAACCTGATTGTTGGCAGGTTCTCCAAAGAAAGACGCGTCGAATTCTGCAAGTGACTTTTGAATATGGTTTCGCGGGGAGGATGAGCCTTCGGAGTTAGGCTCGGCCAAAAGACGCTCAAAAGTCTGGTTGGGATCAGGAGAGTTAATGAATTGGCGTAGCCAGTGTCGATCCCTACCCGTAGCTTTGGTTAGTTGGTCATAAACATCAAATAACAGCAAGTTTCGTACGGTTCGTAACGTTTGGAACTCTTTAGCCCGGGAGTTCTTCCTTCTTTGGCCATTGTCTCCTTCCCCACTGTCTTGGGGGGTTAGTTTGCGACAGACACGTAATTGTAACGACAGCTGAGTGCTTCTTGTATAGGACGAATATTTGCAACGAGTAGTGGGAGAGATAGGCGGAAATTAACAGATGAAGAATAATTCAGGAGGCTCAATATCTTTGTGGAAATTCTTTTTTCTGTTTCTGAGGCAAGCTTAGTTGAGGTGTGGTGACGTTCCTTGGACCGTTTTGCGCAGCTGCGCAAAACCTCTAACCGAGGCCAAATCTTTACACCCGTGCTACAAGATATTTTGAAAATTCAACCAACCGCATATCCTTCAGTAGACTCCAAACTTTGGCGCACTGAAGCAAGTTTCGACTGCGCGAAGTTTGACGCGCAATTTGCCTCCAACTATCAATGGCCAGGTGTATAGGGCCATATAGCCCTAAGCATATCAATTCTCACGTTGTGAACACCGAATATTATAGTGAATAGGATGGTAAAAGCTTGTTTCGACTACATCACAGCGCTCATCGCGCCGTAAATAAGCATCACCTGCTGAAATGCTGCTTAAACCACTGACCAACACAACACTGCCCTCCCAGACCTGACGATTTTGGCCAGCCACAGATATTATATGTACAGTTGTTTAGTTACACTGCTTGTATTTTGGTGAGATTTCTACATGTGATGTAATGGCCACCAATCTGGTGAAAGCACTCTGTTGGCGCCGGCCGCTTTCCAAGCCTCCAAACCCTGCTACCTTCGCGAGAAGAGTGTTAACAGATTCCAGGAAACCATAATTTTGACACGAGACTTATGGAGCTATCAAGACTTTAAAATTTTCTAATGATATTATCATCTACTTATTCCAAACATAACACAGAGTATGGCACTGTGAGCAGCCGTCTTACAAACCGTCCTTTTTATGTCGACTAATATTCACACGATCAACCGCTGAGTTAGGTCGTCATCACTTCCCTTTATCCATAAATACAAGCTTAAGACGGCATGATTAAAGTTTCGTGTTTTGCCTTGTCGGGCCCATCAAGAGTTTTTGTCGGACGATAGTGTTGCAAGGGAATGCAAGGGTGCTAGCATTGACGCGCTGAGCCCTACTTTCTATCACATATGGAGGATTACAGCCCTTAAATACCCAATGGCAGTCCGATACCGGATAAGTCTGACAGTCATCTTCAATACAAGACGGGGAAGCTTGGAGTCCTATTTGCTAAGTGCTACAGCCGTGTACAGCCCGCCAATGCCCTTATTATAGTGACCTCTGAGAGATTTGTTGTCAGGCCAGCAAGTGTAGTATTGCGTAGCGCCTTCGTTTTTTATGTTCTGTATACCATCAGCACGAGGGTTGCAGGTATTGTGAGACAAAAGTTCATCGCGATCTAAATCTGAAGCCTTCCTAGGCCAATATATGCGTAGAAAACAGGTTTTGAGGGCTTGAACGAAATCATCTCAGCCGCATTACCCAACATACTCACTAAACTAGTCCACTACATGCCGCATGATAACCTAGTATCCACATGCCAAATGTATAGCCGTCTAGATTATTAGTCAACCAGGGTTGACTGCAGTTTGGTAACACTACATGCTTAGGCACCTCTAACATGAAGTCAAGCGCCAGAGCCAGTGTTCTTGTAATTCCTTATCACTGCGTTCAATAGAGCATTTCGCAAGGTTTTCCAAGTTATCGGTAGGGGAGTCTACTATGCAACCAACCCTAGGCAAGGAATGTGCTGGCTATAATCGACGTCTCAGAAAAGATGTAGTAGTCCTAAACGACGAACTCCTCATCGCCATTTATAATAGAGCTTGGGTATCGGTGAACATCAAGAAGCAAGCGAAAATCTTCGGATACTGTGAGAATAAGAGGTGTCGGAGTTGGCGAGATGGCCACATACAAGTCCATCCCCGAAATTCAGCGTCGAAGCTTTATTCCAATCAGCTTTGTACCTCTAAACGTGGTTAGCCCCTCGGATAGAGCGGAAAACTCATCCTACTTCTCATTCCGTATGATGGCGGTGGCGCCTATGTCTTTAATGCCAAAGCTGCTGTCGACATCCTGATACACAAGGTCACCCGCGTGTAAAGATCAGTTGTCACTAGTCGCATCGACCCAAAGGAGTTCAACGGTAGATATAGTAATGATTCAGTCCATCTAGCTGCCATCTAAGATGTGCTAGCTCGAGTTCAAGTATTTTCGCGGAGCTGTTTGATTCGACTGAAATGTATAAGGCAGAGTCTTGGCGATCATGGCAACACCATCAACGACTGCAGCCGTAGTTCCGTCTTATTAAAGAATTTCGAGCCAGTTTATAAACTGCTCTACGTTTACGACGGAGACAAAAGTTGACTGATAATCTACTGTGAACCCGAGAATACAGGAAATCGGAGAAGATGCCAAGTGTGAGACAAAGTTTTGTGGCCATAACAGGAGAATTACCACCAGTGTTCTTGATCTGACTTTTATACTATGTTGGTGTCGCACAAACAGCATATGTTACTTGGTGGCAAAGAAAGGTTGAATGTGCTTGCAGATCGGTGGGAGGTAAGAGAAGCTCGTCAAGGTAATGAGGTAGCTCATCAATATTTCCAAAAGATAGTATGGTCGAGTAACTACGAATGATTCATTCAAAACAGTGACTTCTTGTCTGCAACTGCCCATAATCTTGTGTCTGCATTTCTCCTCGGTTGTAGCTTCAAGATTCGATGCCCAAGCTTCGTCCTTCATGGCCATGTCTCGTCCTATTGATCTCTCTTTTACTTCCCTTCTACTGCGCCACTGTCTTCCTACAAGTGGTCATATTCCCATTGTTGCCCCAAACCTTATATCACTCTTTATCTTCTCTCTAATTCCCGGTCGCCGGCGTTGCACTTACATTGTATTTTCCATGATTACTGCGAGTATCTCGAAAGCTTCAATCCTCTTTGCAACATACCATAAAAATGACCTGCGCCTGCATTTCTGTCTCCACGGGCGTACTTCAGCATCAGCCGATTATCTCGCGTCTCTCGGCTCCAGTTCAAGGTCTATGTCATTCCCAGAGTATTCGTACGCTCATTGCATTCTATCAAATGCTTCATGACACGACGCTTCAGAGCCAATCATCATTGATCTTGCCTGGATTGACGAATAGCTGGTGGGTCATGATTAACCTAAGCAAGTTCACCTTTCCCATTCAGTACGTGGATATCTTCTGAGGAGGCTTCGTATGCCAAGCTAGAGGACGAAGAAATGCTCTGGAATCACGACAATGCCCAAGAGCTGGCCGGACTAGACCAACGTCAAACCTAACTAGACTAGTTGGAAACCTAGCGAAGGCTCAACAGAAGCTGTCCGTCATTTTGGTGACATAGTTCATCTTACTCGTTTTACTCTGTTGCACAGCCGTCATATGTTTTCACCACAGTTTGAGTCTAAGTCCTTCGTCATACGTGCCGCCAGCGTGCACGAGCTAACGATGCTTTCATAGTTTCGCCCTTCCACTCCGAAGTCTGGGACTCCATGTCCATTGAATGTAAGGACTCCAGTAATTATAGATAGATGAGTCCCGAATTTCTTGCAATCTCCTCCATGCAACAATTGATCCCATTGTAGACAAGAATCCTTGCCTATCAGCTAGACTAGCATCGCCGGTGGAATGTTTATCAAGAGTATGTGGTTCAGTTGCGAAGACAGACCCTGTGTAGCACAGCTAGGACGATAATCTTTCCTTGGTCTGAGTCACGAAACGAGCTCCACACTTTCTTTTTACAAGAAGCATATAATTTGATGTTACTCATGAGGCCTACCCGGCGTAGTTAGCATAGTCGCGAGACCAAAAAGATGGCGCGTGCGGCAAGGGCATCGGAGAACAAGCAATTCGTAATCTACTATTCGCTTTAATAGTTGCAGAAAAATGTCGCTGGAGCCAGAGTTGACTCTGAATGAGATTGTAGATCTTCCAAAGAGGAATTCCTCCTAGGCGACTGCGCGTTGGCATTTGATGCACTATACCTATACATGGGCGAAAACTGCTTCGATCACAAGTAAGAGGGTTTACGATGCCACGCGGCTATGACACTATCGGTCACGTAGGTCACTGCCAACACCTGATGGAGGAGGGACTTGTTCTAGATGACTATACGACTTCAAGGGCTGTCGGTCTAGATTAAGTTAACCTAAAGGCCCACCAGTATCATGATTATATAACGGTAAAGAATAAATCCTAGATTATATCTGGCGCGGGGTAAGTTGCGTAAGGGTTATTGTGGATCTTTAACCCGGCAAACGCCGCTCTTTTAAGCAAAGCGGACGCTAAGGTTAGACTAGGTTAGTGCCTATGGTCGTGTGCATCAATTATGTTGGCGACGCCCCAATATAATGAATGATTTTGCTCTTTGGCTGGCGGCATGGCGGATTTGTCACACATTCTCATTTGACGAATACACTTTGTCCAATCTATTTGGGCGCAGCACTGATTGCATTTTCTAGGAAACCTGATTGTGTTCGCATCTGGAAGCAATGAATTTTATCTCGGCTTCTAGGAACAGGCCAAGATTTTGGATTCAGCAGGCTATTGGTATCTAGGCAAGCTTTGAAGGGGTTGGTCTTGAGGTGAGGTTGTACGGATCCGCACGTGGGCAACGATTGTTGGGCCGCGGAACCCTACCAAAATGCGCCGCAGCACCAATACATTTCTGAGACGAACGATATCTTTTGACGAACTGTATGATGTCTTTGACCAATTATTATACTCGCTTAGCGGCTGACGTCTTTAAAACCATATCGAAATGCTTCCAGGCAGAAAAGCCACCGACAAAACACATCGTGGTCCACTTCCACCACAAGGAACTGAAAAATGGCACGCCGTGCTTGTGCAGTCTCAACACGGCGAAAAGAGCGCATTCGACACTATGGACGCCAAAGAGCAGGTAAAATAGCCCATTTTGTGCCTGAATAGCGTGTGTCAGAGCATTTGGCCGTCCCGCAAGAAGATAATCGTAGATGGGTGATCCGGGTGCAATAACCTCTTTGCGCGTTGAGAGCAGCATTACGACTGCTGCGATGGAGAGAGCTATGAGGCGACCTCGTGGGGGCAGCGGAAATGTGCGAACTTGGATAGGTGCGTTCATCGCGACGAGATTGGTAACGAGTACTTTTATGGGATAAAGAAGCGGCTATTGGGCTGCACGAAGAAAATTTGCTGAATGTTGTATCTTGAAAATACAAGACGCGACGACCTGTCCATTCCTATCGAAAGAATGGAGCCCATCGTGGAGGAGCCAGCTGACGGACGCTACTGCTCAATCACTCCGTGCTTACTTACATACCACGTGGAAAGTACTTAACTTGGTTCCACTTGAAAGCAATAGCAGCATCAACAGCTTCTGTCTAAAGTCAATTGATATGCTGTCGCAGGGACGTCTATTCAATGCACGATATTGGAAGCTGGCTACCAAGCGATGTCTCGTTGCACCAATTCCAGGTGAGCCGCATCATGGATTTCACCGCTGATACTGAGCGCTGACCTCCGAGACTGGGTATTACCTATGATTTTCGGAACTAATGATGCTATGTATATCTTTCTCATTCGATTAACCTTTTATTTTACATGAATTCATTAATAAGTCTCCACAAGCATAATCAGTATGTCGTAAAGAGCCGTGCCGATGTAGCCAGGGACTTTGCGAAGGACTCTTTCAACGATAATTGGCAAAGCTACCTGGGCGCTACCCTGTTATCCCCACTGATACCAGCTTGATCGGAAGCATCCCGTAGTTCAAGGCTGCATATCTCCCTGAATATGCAACTTTGAGCTCTCAAAGCCCTATCAGGTATGTGTAGCCGTGACTTACTGCATGTCGCAGGTGCAATTGCCATAACCAATTGCATTGTGTGGTCAATGAAGCCGGCAGATATCTAAGGTTAGTTCAATCTGCGGATCCGGCGATAGTCCCGAACTCGGCCGGCTTGAGACCCTTATGCTCATGAGTATTGATACCCCTCTGTTCGCAATGTTATCATTATTGAGCCGTTCCTGATTCTTCATTCACGTTGCTTCATAACGACCAAGATATCACAAGATGGCTGAAGTCAAACTCCCTGAGCCTTTTGCTAGTATTCCTAGAGAGTCCTTTCTCTTCGGCCCCTCGCCAATCCAGCACCTGCCTCGTATATCCGAGGCACTAGGAGGGAAGGTGCAGGTTTACGCCAAGCGTGAGGATTGCAACTCAGGTCTAGCATATGGAGGAAACAAAACCCGAAAGCTCGAGTAAGTGATAAGCCTTGCGTATAGTAACGCCGTTCACGTTCACTCTGATAATTTTACTCAGGTACTTGGCGTCTGAAGCTTTAGCGCAAGGAGCCGACACACTAGTCAGCATTGGTGGTGTGCAGTCCAACCACACCCGCCAGGTCGCTGCGGTTGCCACTAAGCTAGGACTGAAAAGCGCGCTTGTGCAAGAGCACTGGGTGGATTGGGAAGACCCGGGATATACAAAGGTTGGGAACATTCAGCTGTCGCGAGTCATGGGTGCAGATTCGCGTCTTGATTCGTCAACCTTTGGTATCGAGCATAAAGATACTCTTAAGAACTTGCAGAAGGAACTCACTGAAGCCGGCCGCAAGCCGTATTACATCCCAGCTGGTGCCTCGGATCATCCACTCGGCGGATTGGGTTTTGCGAGATGGGCTTTCGAAGTCATAGAGCAAGAGAAGTCTCTAAATGTATTTTTTGATACCATCATCGTGTGTGCTGTTACGGGCTCCACCATGGCTGGCATGGTTGCCGGCTTCAAGTTAGCTGAGAAGCTCGGCGCCCCAAGGCGTAAGGTAATCGGCATCGACGCTTCCGCCAAGGTACGACAAACATTCGACCAGGTCTTGCGCATTGCAAAGTTCACAGGCACCAGGATCGGGCTTGTTGATGATGATATCACAGAAAAAGACATCATTCTTGATGACAGATATCATGCTGGTGTTTATGGAATCCCAGATGATCAAACAATCGAAGCTATCAAATTTGGTGCACAGACCGAGGCTTTCATTACCGATCCTGTGTACGAAGGCAAGAGTTTAGCAGGGATGATGGATCTCATCAAGAAAGGTGAAATTGCTTCAGGCAGTAATGTTCTCTATGCTCATCTGGGTGGTCAACTGGCTCTTAATGCCTACTCGTCCATCCAGTCATAGTTGACATAGACAGATCGCTATATATCAAGCATGCGTACCAATATTTCTTGTTCAAACCAAGCTCCTTGCCGTCCATCGGTTACTATGAATAGCAATCTCATATCATACCTGAACGGTTTCACGATTGCGTGTTTTTAGTCCAGAGGTAGAGGCTGGTCTGTAATGATACTAAAAGCAGTGACAGGTTCATCAGCAATAGTCCCATGTTCTAAACTTCAGCTTGCCCTCAATTCAATTAACAGTGTGCATTGCATTTATACTAATGAGCCCAAGCATTCATGACAATCTTCCTGCCGAAGAGGATCTGAGATAAACACAAATACCAGCCTTCGGAACAGTTCGGAGTGCACATTTAAATGATACTGAGATTCTATTGAGCTTCATTAGAATCTTCCAATCATATCTCATAAAGTTCTGCCTTACCGAAGTATGTGGCTCACCAATTTCGCCTTCTACCACACCAGCACATGCAGAAAACGAGTATTATACGACCAACAACACTACCAATTATGGCTCCCTAAGCAGCTCCATCTAGATATGTTCCAGCGGCCGGATCCATCTTAGTTGTATCTGTATCGGTAGAATTCGTAGTCTTCTCACTGCGGATACTCAATCCTAGATGAATGAGATCGAGGACAGTGGACTTTGCCTGCAAAAAATGACCCTGGAACATAGTGTTTGTGGCATTGGTTAGAGCGACTGGCGCTGCATATGCAATATTTGCGGGGAGGATGGCGACGAAGACGAAAATCATAGAATACAACATAATATTTGCTGGCTATACACTAGCTTGCCTGTGTAGCGATGGAATGTAAAATGGCAGTAACTGCCTTGGATGTTGCTGAAGACTAAGCCTTGTGATGGTTCCGCCTTCCAGTTGGGGATTTTTTGGCCTCAGTGAGTCAGAACGCTATATAATGGGGAAATGAAACAAGAAGAATCCAGAAGCAGCTCAATTTGATTGTTCCAAGAATTGGCAAATAAGGACAAGGGATTTGTCATACACTTGATAAACAAAGAGCAACCATGTTTGCTTCTACGGCCTAAATACCTGAAGTCACTGGCACATTCTATGACAAAGAAATTCAAGCTACGCGGCTGTAAGCCTTTATCTCTGTGTGATGGTGCTGCGGTAATAAGAAATGGAACCAGGAAGTCTGCCTGTTAGTGCAGTGCCTAGTCGCGGTACAGCTGTGATGATTGAGTGTCTGTGGCGCCCATCTCTCTGCCTTTTGACAGCTTGATAAGAAAGATGATGAAAAACTAAATTCCTTTTTCTTTTGCACATAAATAAAACTCTAGTGACCGAAATCTTAGTATAACGAGATAATGAACAGCAATATGAGAGTAAATCAGTACCGATGAAAACCCCAGAAAAACCACGTATGAGGCTGTGGAACTTAGAAGTGCCCATACACTTGGTAGTATGTACATGTAGGAGGGGGACCCGCCGGAGATCCAGAAAAAGAAAAGGAAACAATAGATTCTGTACTCAAGAGCGACCAGCGAAGATCTTCTCGGCAAGGGCTTGGGCTGTAAGAACTGGACCCATGAAATCAGAAGCAGGAATATCCACACCAAAGGTCGAGAAGCCCCAGTTGCGTAGGGCAGTTCCAATCATACTGTCCATTCCGTAAGCCACCAGCGGTTTCGATGGATCAACGTCATCAACGGGGATCATGAACGTCTTAGCGAACTTCTCCACTGTCGCTTCCAGAATATCGCTCAGGTCAAGGACTGCCTTGGCCCCGCCCGCACCTCCACGGCCTGATCCTTCCTTCTTGCGCTGGATCGCTGTTAACAACGGCCCAACGCGAGGCTGGAGCCAGAAGCGGAATCCGTGAACATCGAGATCTGCTGCCAGTTTGGCCGGCTCAAGACCGCTGACCAGGAAGTTCTTTGCGCCAGGGTCGAGGCGCCAGTCTCCGACCCGCCCAGGCTTCATGGCTTGCTCCATGAGCAACAAGAAGTCGCGCTCGGTGATACCATGGATGCCAGAGCGAGAGATACCCTGCTCAATAGCCAGATTTTGCGACACGAACCCAACCTCCAGAACCATACTCAGGCCAACGGTTGTAGCTGGTAGACCTAGCCCGGCACGATAACGAGCAAAGAAGTCCAAAAATGTGTTGCCGGCGCAATAGTTGCTTTGGGTTGGTGCACCAGTCATAGCAGAGATGGAGGAGAGCATAACAAAGAAGTCCAGGGGCTGGCCATCAAGGCATTCGTGTAGATTCCAAGTACCACGGACCTTGGGGTCGATAGGATATTGCCATCCCGGAAGATCAAGCTTGCTGAAGAGTTTATCCTATGACATGTCAGAAAATAGTAGAAAGGACGCAGAAGCAAAGCTTACCTCGAGAGCCATAGCACCTTGAACCATTCCGTATACGGGAACACCGGCAGCAGCGACAGCTTTAGCCACGTCTTCTTTGTTTGAGACATCTCCTCGAACCACGTGTACATTACATCCACGGGCTTGTAAGCTGTCTATCATGGCAGCTGCCTCCTTCTTATCTGCTCCACCACGGCCAAGGAATGTGAGATTGCGTGCACCGCGTTCCACCATGAAGCGAGCAAGGCATCGACCGAGACCTCCTAAGCAACCAATAAGTACGTATGTTCCGTCAGGCTTAAAATTAACAGCATCCTTGTGCTCCCGTAGAACAGGAATAGCTGGGTTTGAGCTGTTGGGATCGGAACTAAAGGATACGACAACCTTGCCGATTCTGTGTGGGTTGGCGAATTCTGCGAAGGCCGCTGAAACCTGTGTAGCAGGGAATTGAGCCAGCGGGTGAAGGGGGCGAATTGTGCCCTCACGGAGGTACTTCATTACATCTTTCATAACGCTTGCGACAATTTCTGCGAATAACAGTTAGCGTCATCTCTCCTCAAGGCATAAGGTATAGTTACCTGGATGGTCATCAGCAACAACGCCAAAGTCAAAGGCACTGAAAGTGGTGTTGCGTTTGAAAACGTTCAAGTCAAGGATACCAAACTCCATGATATCGGTACGACCAATCTCGATGTGTCGCCCATTGTTAGCCATGACGCTCCATGAAGCCGCAAGCAGTTCGCGGACCAAAGAGTTGAGCGCAACATCAATACCACGGCCGTTTGTAGCAGCCATAATGCCTGCTGCAAAAGATGTATCGCGGGAACTGAATATGTGGGAGTCTTCAAGGCCGTACTCGCGCTTCAAAAATTCGCGTTTGTCAGCAGTACCAACAGTAGCGAAGATTTCTGCCCCAACCATTTTAGCAATCTGAACAGCTGCGAGACCAACACCACCAGTGGCGGAGTGAATGAGAACCTTCTCTCCCTTCTTCAAACGGCCTAGATAAAGCAACCCATAGACGGCTGTCGCGAAGACCAAAGGCATTCCAGCCATCTCCTCAAAGCTCAGGCCATCTTCGTCACGTATTTCGTGCAGATGCATAGCCTTGAAGCGCTCAATATTACCGAAGAGACCTTTGCCCATCCAGCAGACTTTGTCGCCAACCTTGACTCCGGTTACGCCCGAGCCGATGCGGCGTACAATACCGGCGCCTTCGTGACTGAGGGATTCGGAGTGGAAGCTGCCACGGAAAGTTGCGTACTCTTTCATATTGAGTCCCACAGCCTTAACCTCAACTTCGGCCTCATCGGATTCGAGCTCACGGTTTCGATTATCTGCCTTGAAATGCAAAGTATCGAGCAGGCCAATCTTCTCGATGTCAAGGCGAATGGGTTTGGTGGCATTGTACTCCTCATCTGCCGCCTCTTTACCAACGATATTGCTATAGTCCCTGTCCAGGACGGCATCTTGGGACAATCTGCTCACGTGAAACACATCGTCTTTCACAATGTATTCCTTGTCGATGCTATCTGATTCCTTCGAAAATTGGCCGAGAACCCGCGCGGTTTGCTTAGCTGCCTTTTGGGCGTCAGAGTGATCACTAGTCATGATTAGTCTAATTTTCCATAAACAAAGGGTTCGCCATGTTCTATTTCGTCCCTAAGCACGAGCCTCACTTCTCGAGAAGAGACTATTTGGCTAGTGTGACTAACAGAGACGAACAAAAAGGAATCAAGGAAATATAAGGTTTTGAATACATACAGATCGATGGCAATGAATGTGAGCTGTATGTACTCTGTCTGCAGTGTACGACCCAGACCCTGAACGATGGCTGCGTTGGGGTCCACCTTTCCGAGCAAGTCTCCAGATGTGAGCCAGAAGATTGCCTTGGTTGAATCCGCCAGGATCTGCAGGTTTGCGAATTCGGTTGCATTCAAATTACCGTTGAACAAGCTGGAGCCCAACTCCACAATTGAGACATAAATGGCATCGGACTGCGGAGTAAAGTTCTTGTCAGACAACGAAGCGGAGTGAACCTTGTAACCGCTATGTTCAAGCTCATTAGAAAACTTTTCGGTGGCGGTGTTGTTCTCCCTCGACAGTACCACAATGTCTCTAGCGGGCTGGGGTTTTCGTGCAGGCTCTGAGAGTAACGTCCATCCGGATATAGATTGGTCGACGATGCGAGTACTCAGTTCCATGGTATCTAAAGCGCTCTTCCATGCAGAAAGGGATATTTCGGAGAGAGCAGTGCCTGTGGCGATCTCTTTTGACAAGATATCAAGAACACTCCAGAAATCCACATTGAAAGAAGTGCCGTCAAAAGTGTTGCGATGGATCAGGAATCGTCCGTTTTCGCTCAAGAATGGTTGGAGGGCCTTCAAAACTTCAGCAGCAGGAATATTGAAGGACGAAGTATCAGGTAAGATGACAAGATCGTAGGTAATTCCTTCTAATGCGCCATATTCTCCGTTTTCGAAAGGAGTCACTTTCTCTGCGAGTACATCACGTCCATCTGGGAAAAATTCCGTGGAAGCTTCCGCAAGGGCATCAGTTGCAGCTAAATAGGTAAACGAGCTGTATCTCTTGAGCGAAGAATCCCCCTGAAGAACAGCTGGAAGTTTGCGAGCAAGATCTGCCTCGGAGTTGACGATCGCGAGGATGTTCATCCCAGGGTACTTGTGTCCGACTAGGTCCAGAGTCTGGGTCAAGGAGTCCTCAATTGATGTTGAGACGTTGTAAGAGGCACTCTGATCACCCGAAAGCGTGAGCATCATTGCAGTGTAGATTGCTTCTAGGCGGTAGAAGCTGTCATCTAGTTTCGAAGTCCCCAGGTCAGATGCGGCAAGGTCAACGTCATACGCGTCAGTTAAGATATCCAAAGCAGAAATAGCATCGATCAAGAAAGTAGCCTCAGGAACATTTTTCCTCGAGTTTTTAGCGGCACTTGTAAGGCTGCGGGCCCATGTTGATAGGACAGACTTCTCCTTGGCGGAAAAGGGGCGTCCAATGCCAGATGCTGCAGTTGGCAGGGCGCCCTTCTGGAGCGTCTCAACATCTGGCTTCCAGATCGAACGAAGGTATGGATGACGATCATCAGTGATGTTCTTATTCAAGTCCTCAGCGTAGGTGATTGAGTTGACCTTCTTGGCGGTGAACAGTGGTCGCCCGTCAGGAGCACTTAGTTGGAAGGAGCCTAAGAGAGCACGTAAGCTAGTAAATTGCCCAGTAGCAAGAATCCGTCCGTTGACATCAGCTGGCGCAGGCATATCTGCGCCTTCGTAGGAATAAATGGAAACTTCTTCCCAATCGACTGGGATGAATGATCTGCTTGCTCCTTTTAAGGACCCATTGTGCGCACCTATCAATATGGCTTGCAAGCATGTGTCCATGCTTCCCGGGTGAATGATATAACGAGAGTCATCTGTTGGAACATCTATGGGAAGCAGTTTGGTGTCTGCAACGCATTCATTCGTCCATGGATCGGTTCGGATATCACTCAATCCGTTGAAAGCAGGACCATAATTGAGTCCAATGTTAGCAAACCCTCTGTACCATGTGTGCGAAGTTCGCGGCTCTTGCACCTTGGTTTCGTCGAAAAGAGGAACGACTTCGTCGATTGCCTGACGTCCAATGACGCCAACACAGTGCTCAGTCCAAATCCCCTCTAAGACGGATGAAATGGTAAACTCGAGCCATTTTGAAGAAGACACGGCATTCGAGACAGCTTGAAACCGTACGCTGGTCATAACCTCGATTGCAGTGCCAGACGGAGGCAGGTTGAGGGCTGATTTGATGGAAAGTCGTGGAATAAAGTACTTGAATGGGCCTTCAAAAGTAATCTTTCCATGGAAAAACTGGCGCGCAGCTTCTACAGCAATGCCGATGTAGCCAGTTGCGGGAAGTACGGGTTGAGGACCAAGCTTGTGCTGTTCTAGCCATGGCAGGTCGTGAATATCGAGCATATTTCGCCATTGCGCTTGATCCCTGATCACACCTGGAAGCAAACTCCCAAGGAGGTCGTGTCGGGCAAACTTGCGATTCTGGAAGTCCATGTTGATACGGTGCTTAGCACGTAATGCACCAGCGCTATAATTCCATGAATAACGGGGGAGGTCCACCAATGGAAGTCCCTTTCGAAGAGTAATACGCCCTTGATAATCTTGATCCTCGATAGAGTTGATACGTGCCAGGTCGACTGGATACCCTTTGATAAAAAGAGCTCCCACAAGATCGAGGAGACGGGTGACCGAGTTCTCGCCGCGGACCAGAGTGGCTGTATATTCAAGATCTCGGGAGCTCACTCCGAGTTTGTCGCGGAGCTGTCTAATGGGACCGGCCAAAGCAGAATGAGGACCAATCTCAATGATATGATTGATGCCTAGACCTTCGAGTTCAGTCACACGAGTCACGGCTTGCACAAATCGAACCGGCGACTCAAGATTCTCTCTCCAGTACTCTGGTCCTGGCTGGAAGTTAAGCTTTAGCTCGCCTGTGACAGAGGAAATAAAAAGTGGAAGCTTAGAATCTTTCTCCTGTTTAGGAAATTCTTCAGCATCGAGGAAAGCGAATCCACGGTTGGCACGCTCCTCGTAGATGGCTCCAACATCCTTCATGTGGTGAGAATGGTAAGCTCGGCCACTAGTCTTTAGTGCTCGGACGAAGACTCCATCAGCTTCGAGCTTGGCTTGAACCTTTGCGGCAACGTCTTCGTCACCACTGAGAGTCACACTCTGGGGGGAGTTGTAACAAGCGATGCGTATGCCCTCTTCGAGGTAAGGGGCAGCTTCCTCTGCGCCGAGTCCAACAGCCAACATAGTACCCTGCTGAGTCAGTTTGTCTACTGCAACACCACGGAAATATGCAGCGAGAATAGCCTGCTCTTCTGTGATTGCACCAGCAGCATATGCGGCCGCAATCTCGCCCGAGGAGTGGCCTACACATGCCAGTGGAGAGACGCCCCATTCTCTAAGAAGCTTGACAAGTGCAATTTGAACAGCGGTGCAAATTGGTTGCGATAAGTGGACCTGGTCAATAGAACTCGTTGCTTTAGGCTCGAGGATGGACTCCTCGAGAGTCCAAGTTGGCGCATCCTCCCCGAGGCTTTGAAGGACATTGTCCATGTCCCGAATGCTCCTGAGGTAACTAGGGATACTTTCCATGAGTTCCTTGCCAAGCTGTGCGCTCTGCGCACCTTGACCAGTGAAGATGAAAGCAATCTTTGCGCCGTTGCCTCTTTTTCCGAATGTCATTTCGTCAGCGTCCAGGTTATCCACAATAGTGTCTGCTGACGCAATCGTATATCCACGGTTAAAGAAGAAAGAACGTCGTGTGCCCAGTGTAAATGCCAAATCAAGCAAGTCATATTGCAACGCAACTTCTCTGTGTCTTTCCACGCTGGCTTTGAGACTTGGGAAGTCCTGAGCAGAGAAAGGGAGCAAGAATTGGGTTCTTTCATGGACATTGAGAGTGCGGCTGTTGCGGCCACCAGTGGGTGCGTGGGTGACAATTTTACCGATATTGCTGACAGTGTTCCGCTTCTTGAAAGATTTGTAACCAGGGAGATACGACTCTGATGATTCGATGATAGCGTGCGCGTTGGCACCTCCATACCCAAAGGAGTTAACACTCGCACGTCGAACATTGTAGCCGGTTGGCCATTCCAGAGTATCTTTCACCACCTGCAGGCGGCCGTTTGAGAAGTCGACTGTTACATGATTAATGATCCAATCTATTGGAAAAGGTAAAATCATCTGAAATATTATGCTTACTCTTAGGGTTATAGTTCTTAATGCCAATACTAGCCGGGATAGTTCCTAGCTCCATAGCTAGAACGACCTTCATGATACTAGCCATGGCACTCGCAGCTTCTGCGTGACCAACGTTTGTCTTCACGGCTCCAATCAACAAAGAGTCTCTCTTACTCTCTTTCAGAAACATATTAGTGATGCCTCTCAGCTCGATTGGATCGCCGACGGGGGTGCCGGTTCCGTGGCACTCGAAGTAGGAAGTCTCATCGGGATTGAGGTTTCCCGCAAAGGCGTAAGCTGTTCGAATGACAGATTCTTGTCCAATAGCGCTGGGCTGCGTGATGCCACTGGTCTTTCCGTTTGCATTGGCAGCAGTGCCCCGAATGATGCCTCGGATTGGGTCGCCGTCGCGAATCGCATCGGAGAGTCTCTTTAAGTACAACGCTCCAATACCTTCAGCTCGGCCATAACCATCCGCCGATGCGTCAAAAGTGTGACACGTCGATGCTAGAAGTACGAATTAGCATGGTAATAAGTCACATGCCCAGATAGCCAAAAAAAAAAAAAAAAAAAAAAAAAAAGAGCCTCTTGGCAGCGGGATAAGATTTTTCGCGGTAACTCCCAGATGCTGATTCCTTAGATGAAACTAGTGGGTTTAATCAAAGATAGACTCACTGTGGGAAAGGACTCCCATCTTATCAACTGCCATTTGGACTGCTGCGTCAAGAATTAGGTTGGTGCCACCAACAACTGCTCCATTGACCTCGCCGCTTGCGAGCGCGCGGCAGGCCATGTGTGTCGCGTACATGGAAGACGAACAAGCAGTATCAATGGTAAAGCTACGAGAATCTTAGCATCTCCGGCAGCACAAAGGGATGGTAGCTACAAACCTGGGGCCACAAAGATTGAAGACGTAACTGACTCTGTTGCTCAAGATCGTGTTGCCGTGACCGGTCATACTGTATGGCTTGGGGTATTCCATATCTCTCAAGGCCATCATACCATAGTCGATGGTAAAGTTACCAACGTAGGTGCCTACGTTCTTTCCAGACACGCTGTCTAGCGGAATTCCACCTGCCTCGAATGCCTCGTACACGCACTCAAGGAGTTTCCTCTGCTGAGGGTCCATGACTGTAGCCTCAGTCTGTGTAATTCCAAAGAATGGAGGATCGAAGTTGTATATATCTTCAGAAATGAAGTAACCGCCTCGAGGCCCCAATGAGCCGGTGTTGGCTTTTTCCGAGTGGAAACCATTGATATTGAACCTTGAGGAAGGGGGCTCTGAGTATCCCGATCTCTGCTGTACAAGCATCTCCCAGAAGTCTGCAGGAGTATCAGACTGGCCGGGGAACCGGCAGGCTTACATAAACTGTTAGTTTTGTCTTAAGACCTACTTTTTAGTAGTACGTACCCATTCCCACGATAGCAATGGGCTCGGAACCATTGTACCCGGCCGAGACCTCATTGGGAGGGGTGCGATTTCTGGAGCTTGGACCAGAGTTGTCCCTTGAGCTGTTGGGTTCTTCTAGGAAGGGCGCCATCTCGTACAGTATCGAGCAGTCTGATGTGAATCTGGCGGTGGCTGCAACACGAGTCTACAACGATTTCTAATATGGGTGCTCAGTACCAGTAGAAGTATTTTAATAGGGCCGTTGTATCATTTGAAAAGCGCATTGAAGATTCTCAGGAGACTGGGAAGCTGTCGAGGGATCAAACTTGTGGTGGACATCTTCCAGGAGGTGCCGTACTTTATGTATTAATGTACGATGAGACTGCATCAATGTTAACCATAACTTCAGTATCTCAAGAATAGAGCTTTGTAACTATGGATGTACGGATTTCTAGTGATCTTCCGAGGATGATTCGGTGCAATCCATAATGGAGGTATAGTACGTAATCACCCGGATAAGCAAGAGTCGCAACTCGGTAGAGTGTCTATTCAAGAGAACCGAACACCATTCGGACCATTTGCCCCGTTTGTGAGTGGAGCGCCAAGAATATAGTCGCAGAGGCCTCATTTACCGTTGTGTTGCACACCATGAGGCCATTCGCAATTCACTTAAGCGTTGCTTCACCACACGAACGGTCGGGTGTGAGGTCTATCCCACTGGATTCCTTGATCATTCGCAATTCGGCTACATCCCTTGCGCTTCTTTGAAAGATCGTAGAAGCGGCAAGTACCGAACTTGTCCATATCTCTGCACGGTCAAAACATTTACCGAAATATGTAATTTTTACCGCAAGACTTGGATAATTATTGGTGAGAGCAGGTAGAAGATGTAAGCAACCTCGCCGGCAATGCACTAATGAGGAAGGTGGCTGGCGCCGGGCCCGAACAGGATTCAATACCTTGCAATGTGCTTACAAGGTGGCTATAAGCGAGATACAAACCATCCCGACGGTAACGCAAGAAGCAAGCATGCATTGTCTCAAGACAGAGCCGGAAACGCAATGAAAGAATGCGCCTGAAAATAGCCGAGAACACAAGATACACGTGGATAAAAATAGTGAAAAGCAGGGACTGCGTGGCCGATTTGTATTTGAAGTCGCACGCCACTATCAGTCCCTGCATGAAGAGTACAAAAATGAAGTTTCTCTGTCTCCATGGGTACCAGCAGTCGGCTGTAATTATGCAGTCCGAAACGCGATTCTTGAAGGACATTTTTGAACAAACGATTGGGGAAGAAGTAATATTCTTTTACCCGTCAGCTCCATTTTCGTCAGTTCCAACAGCCTCGAATGAACCAACATATGCTTGGTGGCCCAATGATCCTACTGCAGCGGATATCGAAACATTTAGCTATCTCTCGAATATCCTAGACAAAGAAGGTCCATTTGACGGTGTCGTTGGTTTTTCTCAAGGCGGCAGCGTTGGTTCATTGCTTGCCGCATTCCTGGAAAGGCCAAGACACGTGCGTCCTTCGAACCTTACAACCTCCCATGGCCCACTCCAGCTAGTCATCTCATACAGTGGTTATCACGAAGACGATGAGCGCTTGCAGAAATATTATGCTCAGAAGATCAAGACGCCAATACTTCACTTTATCAGTTCTACCGACCCGGTCATGGCAGAAGAACGCTGCTTCCGCTTGGTAGAGAGATGCGAAGACCCTGATGATAAAGTCATTGTATACACGGGCTCGGGCTTCCACCGAGTTCCTGCGACGAAGATGACAGCACAAGCATTGTCGCGATTCCTGGCTGAAGTGTTAGATATCGAGGACGACTGTTGAGGTTAGATACATCATGGCAGAGAGAGGTAGCGGAAAACATTGGGTCTATTGGTGCTCATTGCGGGAGTAGCCTTTTCTATTTGAGTGGCCTTGTTCTGCTGCGGCGACAGTAAATATTCATTTAGATTACTTAGAGTAAAGATCGGCGACTTAAACTAGAGCTCAACCGCGTTTCTATTGATCAATCCACACTGATGAACACCTGCAAGGTTAGCACTCACACTTGCCCACGTGCACCCCTTGTCAAGCAGGCTCCATGGACCTGGTCCTCTGCTTACCGATTTCCCGCGTGGGGAATCGTCGGTCAAACATCCTGGTCAAGGTGTATACCCCCAAACTGCGGGGTTTTCGCCGACTGTTGATCACTTGCAGGTAGATAAACAACCTTCTAAGTTTCAAGAAACCTGTCTCAATATTCACATAGCACCCCAGCTTATCACATATTATGGAGTATGCTACACGATATTTATTTACACTCCTTACAAATTTCAGTGTTCTCCTGGTTCATCCGTGTTACGTAGGTTTGGGTCCACCAGGGGTCATCTCTAGTATGTATCTGTGAAGTTTTATATGCGCGAATTGCCTAGTTAAGCCCAACTCAATTTTACTGGTGCTATCTTTCAAAAGATCAATAAACTGCAGGCCCGATCCCCAGGCGTCCACCATCAGTGACAACAACATTTCCATTCACATATTTACCTCCCTTACCCGCCAAGAAGAGTATTGCGGCTGCTATGTCTTCTTCATCTCCCGCTTTGCCCAAGGGAATCTCTTCGACGGGAATAGCCATCGGAATATGGTTCTTGTTGTTCTCATCTAGCTTTCCCTGTCCGACTGACATCTCGGATGGAAAGATACCCGGGGCAATAACGTTCTAGAAATCTCGGTTAATCATATTTACGATTGTAAGATTGTTAAAGGGTCAACATACGGATCTAATCCCCCATTGCACAAAGTTTGTAGCCATCATCTTCGCAAGATGGTTTGCAGCCGCTTTGCTAGGGTTGTAGGTGAATGATGTACCCAGGAGCCTGATAAAAGCCCCAACGCTTCCAATTGTCACAATCTGGCTTTTTTGCACAACATTTTGCTTCTCATTGCCCTTGTTGAGAAGACTCAAGAAAGCAATACTGGGGAACCAAATGCCACTGACATTCGTCCGGAATGTGTTGTCCCAGTCGGAAACTTCATCTTTCCAAAGAAAATCGCGAATGCCGTCGACCGTACTAAGGTCGTCCTCGCCATTGGCATGAACAAATTGGCCTGGCAGGTTACCAAAAGGTGGGGGTCGATTGATGGCGTTGTGTCTACGACCAAGAGTACCAGCATTGTTGACCAGAAGGTTAATGTATCCTGTCTCCTCGCTGATACGTGACACGACAACTTCCAGAGATGCCTTGTCAGTCACATCCGCCACGACAGGTACTATATTACCATGGATCTAGATAACTCATCGTTAGCCTATTATTCACCAGAGAAAGTGACATAAAGTTACACACCGCATTTTGCTTGGCTGCAGTCTTCAACACGTCCTCGCGCCTACCCAGGATGTAGACTTTGGCACCATTGTGCTCAAGAGCTCGAGCGATCATCAGTCCAATACCCGTCCCACCACCAGTCACGACCGCTACAAGGCCATGGACTGAGAATAGCTTTGATGCATCTAATGAAGACATGGTTTGAAGTGAAATGTAGGAAAGAAGAAAGCGAACACCAAAATTACCTTTTCATGTGTCTAAGACCAATCGTCCTGTGCTTGGGCGATCGCTCGGGTCTTTGTAAACTATACAGGGCTGAATGGGATCACGGCCGAATGAACACTAGCCAGTAGCGTGGTATTCTATTTCGTAAAAATAGAAGTCAGCGATTGGTCCGGCTACATTCCTACCGAGTCGGGATTCCTATTTCTGGGCGGATTGACAGCCAGTAATAGGGCCCACACAATCTACCCGAAGTCACTGCCCCCATGCGGAGGTCGATATCATGTTCGGTAACGCTGAAGAATGAACAACTTCGTTTGCTTATGCAAAAAGCTATTTAAACAAAAGAAGCCGAACGACCGATCTATCCGAGAATAGTTCCATCATCATACGAGGTCCATCTCTCGAGTTGCTGTAGCTAGTTGACGGACATTGGAATTTCCGCAATATAAATGCGATCAATGATATATACTGAATCAAGTAGAAGCAGTGATCAGCTTGTTTATCCTCATCATAGTATCATAGTTGAAGTCTTTCATCTGCCTCGTCAAAAATGGTATCCCTTACTACCGCCTCAGCGCCGAATGCCATCGAGGGTCTGGCTGGAAGACCAGCATTTCCCACAGATTTGCCAATTGCACACATCTCCAACATCTCCCATCAGAAGATTCTAGATGGTGATATTGATGAGATCTCTAAGGTCATCAAGTCCGCTAGGGACATTGGATTTTTCCGCGTTGATCTCAGGGAATCTGATATTGGCCAGCGGTTCCTGGCTGCAGCAAACAACATGTTTGCATTGGCTGAAGAGACCTTTGATCTGCCCACGGATACAAAGCTCGCTGACAGTTTCCTCAACCACGGCGACACTTTACTTGGGTGAGTCGAATCATCCTTGGTAGCATTACGCTCGCGGCTATGAAGCAAGGACTAATTATTCCCACAGATACAAAGGGTTAGGAGCCTCAGTTGTAGACAAAAATGGCACTCCCGATAACAACGAACAATACTGGATTGGTTGCGGAGATATCGAAGGCAATGGCCGCTCGCGCGCTGTTTACAATGAGGTAATCAAAAGCAAGATGGCGCAACTTCAAGAGTTCATTGACCTCGGGAAGGTCGTGACAGACAAATTCCTGTTGATCTTCTCTGCGGTCTTGGGAGTCGGACCGGAGAGCCAAGACTTCTTACCGAAGCTGCACAGTCACAGCAATAACTCTGGTAGCCACGTTCGTCTGTTGAAATGCCCTCCTAAGCCAAAGAATGCCAACGTCAGCCTGCAGCCACAGTATGCAATCCCGCTGTGTATACTATTTTTTTTTTCCGACTATGCTAATATGTCTATAGCACAGACTGGGGCACCCTGACTGTATTGTTCAACGTTCTAGGCGGGCTTCAGATCTTTGTTCCAGAGAATCTCGCTGGCCCCGGAGAACAGGCTGGCTGGAAGTATGTCAAGCCGGAGCCTGGTATGGCTATCTTCAATCTGGGTGATGCATTTGTCAAATGGTCGGACGGTGAGCTCAAGAGCACCATTCACCGTGTCGCCAACCCTCCGGGCGATCAAGCGAAATGGACACGATATAGTTTGGCGTACTTCACTCGTCCTGACAACGACGTCCCGCTGAAGCCTCTTGGCAGAAAGAGTGTGCCATCTGAGGCAGCCACAGGATACCCAACATTCAAGGAGTGGGCTATGAGAAGAGCTATGGCGGGTAGATCCGACAGCTTCAAGGCAGGCGATTGGGAGAAGGGTCAAGGAACTGAAACGGTCATGAGTGCTCAAGCAAGAGTAGTGGCCTAACCTGGTATGGAATTGGAATTCCACCTCGCTCGTTTCAAGAACATTATGCTGTCGCTGTAATGGAAGTCAATTTACAATCAACTTCAATGGTAGTCATAGAACTCAATGCTTACACTTATGTTAACTTCAACTGATTATATTCTTGGCGTAAAAGTCTAGGTACATATATAACATGTATCAAGTTAGTTAAGTTGCTATCCTTCCATAGTGACATAGAAGTTTATGTATATGTACACGAGTACAAAGGGTGTGGAGTGACCCACAGCCCAATATATTGTGACACTTAAATCGCATATAACTCGAGATTTGCACAAGAGGTACTTTGCTGCTTTGCTTACCTATGACTTGAACATATTTAAATACATTCAAGAGACCAAGAGCCGATATTGAGTCCAAGAGTACGAGTGGGATTAAATTAGATCACATAAACAACGGCACGTCTGTGTGATCACTAGCTAGGTGTGAAAGCTATCGCATAATAGGTATCGAACGAAGTACATCTTAAAGGGAAATGTATTGTTAATGTCGGTCCAATTTCCATAATTGGAATCGCTTCCGGAAGAACCAAGACCATACAGAAGCTAGGCCCAAAGTTTCCAACCACCAAACCATGTTTGTGAATGGCCCGATCCAATAGGAATGAGGTGGTTTAGACTTCAACACCTGTTTCAAAACAGATTGGGCAAACTCGCGAGTAGGCATTGCCTGAACACCATGTTTGTCGTGCGTTGTCCGCTGGTTGAAAGCCTCCACAATTGGCTGATATCTTGAGTCTTTCGGTAGCGTTCTTTGTTTTCGAGTCATCAAGCCACTGACTACTGGTCCAGCTATGATTGTCATTACTCGGACGCTAAACGGAGTGTTAGCACGGTATTCCGTCGAAAAGTTGTAAAAGTTTTGGGTCAATCACCTCCAAGGGCTCAGTTCTATTCGCAGAGTGTTGCTGTAGGCAAGCAAAGCTGCCTTGCTGGCATTGTAGGACGACCCAAAAACGTATGGTGCATATGCGGCGAGAGATCCCACATTTACAATAAGTCCTTTACGGTTGATCAAATTGGTAGAGAATGCCTGAATCATTCGGACAGTGCCAAAGAGATTGACATCAAAAATGCGCTTGAGCTCATCAACATCAACATCAAGGGCTGGCATAACGTAATCTGGTAGTTTTAGTGATTGCACGGTCCAATATAGGTACTGTGAATGGACTCTTACTCATTCCACTATTCACTTTGTTATCATTTTAGTTGCAGACGGAAGGGGGAAAGGGCGAACAATATACATACGCACAATTGATGAGTATGTCAAGATTATAACCCATATTCTCGACGACGGCATAATTCAAGGCGTTCACGCTGTTCGTAGAAGTAACGTCCACAGGAAAGCAAGTAGCGCCTAGCGATTCTAGCTCTGGGAGTTCTTCTCCTGGTAATGACGTCACACAAACCGCAAACTCTAATAATATGTCAGTCATATCACCAAGAAGATATGGTGCGCAGCTTGAAGCTACTTACGATCATGAAGTAAGAATTCCTTTGCCAAAGCCTCGCCAATAGAACCAGGACTACATCCTGTAATTAACACGGTTTTCATCTCTGAAAGGACCCCCATATCGATAATGAGACCAATGATGACTAAGTTGCTCCTATGCGGTCTATATAATGCGTAGACTTCAGTTGAGGCGCGGGCTCCTCTAAATTGGGGAAATCACTAGCCACGATATATGCACATAGTAGTTAAGACACTCTGCCAAGAAAAGAGGATCACTCTGCTGCTTTCGGCCGTGTTTCGTTGAGTTCGGCTACTGTGGGACGAGTTCGGCAATATCTCTCGGTATCGGCAATACCAATAGCAGAGCATCAGCCCCACATATCCGAGAGCTTGTCTTACGTTGCTTTAGCCGAGCAACCATGAACTCTGTTACACACGCTAATACCACAAACAGTTTGCCAAGACTTTGGGGTTACAATAGAAGTAGTATAGGAGAGAGGCTGTATGCACTGGACAAGATCGTGACCGTTCTTCGTGATCCACACACATTTGCTTACACGATGGATTTGAAAGACCTTTCTGATGCTTCTCAAGAGCCAACTCTCGATTCTTCTATCGAAGTACCAGGGACCGAAGAGCTCGTCATTAATCATGATCCAAAGTAAATGCTAAATCGCCGTTCCGAGAGAATGAAGTATGGCACTGACGCTCATAGGTCTTGGCCACTCGGACGTAAGTGGCTCATCATGTCAATCGTAAGCTGGATTTGTCTTGTTAGGTGAGGGTTCTCCAATTGTAACGTCTCCTGGGTAGCATTCTAATTCAATTAGCCCACTAGCATCATCCATGTTTGCGCCGGCAACATCATTGATGAATGCTGAGTTCCACAATCACTCCGAGACACTCACCACGTTTACGGTTTCATTCTTCATATTAGGATATGTGGTTAGTCGGCCCCAATACAAATGACTACAATGGAATCTGTACTGGAATCAGGTTTAGATTGGTTCTCTGATCACTGCCCCGTTGAGTGAGCAGTTTGGCCGCAAAGTGGTAAGCCCGAATGACTGTTCATCGATTTTATTGAGCTAACAATAGATGGAACAGGTCCTAGACATCTCGACGGCGATATTTGCTATCTGGCAACTTGCCTGCGCGCTCGCACCGAATATCACATCCCTCCTCATATTTCGTCTGTTTGCCGGGCTTGGCGGCTCTGCTTGCCTTGCGATTGGAGGTGGTGTCGTATCCGATTTATTTGACTCGAGCGAAAGGGGAACTGCAACTGCAGTATTCGCATTGGGTCCTCTGTTGGGCCCTGTCATTGGGCCAATCATTGGCGGATTTCTGTCACAGAAAGCTGGTTGGAGATGGGTAATGATCAGTCATATCGATTAGCCACGATTGACTAACAAAAGGTGTAGGTATACTGGTTGTTGTTTATTCTGGGCACCCTTACACTTCTGCTTCAAGTATTTGTGGGAAGAGAGACCAATCTGCAAGTTATATTGGCAAGGACCCACGCTTTCGAGGGCCGATCTCGCAGGTGGTGGCATCGCTTGGATTGGTATGGTCTTGTTGAAATCACTGATACAAGAGGACACAGAGGTATCAATCTAGCACAATGGATGCTGCGACCTTGGCAGGTACGAATCTTGCTGAATGCATACTTCCCACTTGGAGGAATACTAACGTAGAATGAATTTCCAGTTTATCTTCACTTCGCCAATTACTGGACTACTCTGCCTTTATTCAGGATTTGTCTATGGACTGCTCTACCTGCTTTTGACAACAATAACGAATGTCTTCGTACAAAACTACCACTGGAGTATTGGAATCTCTGGTCTCTCTTACGTTGGGATTGGCGTAGGTTTCATGCTTGGAGTAGCTATAATTGGGGGTACTAGCGACCGTATGATGGCGAAGCACACAAAGCTAAACAACAATATCGCAATACCAGAGGTCAGGTTAAAAATATGTGTTTATGTTTCTTTCTTGATTCCAATATCTTTTTGGTGGTATGGGTGGTCCGCCGACAGTCACGCCTTTTGGCTAGCACCAATAACTGGACTTGTGTGTTTTGGATTGGGGATGATCGGGATACTTCTTCCTGTCCAAACTTACATGATCGACGCATTTCCATTATATGCAGCATCATCCACCGCTGCATTAGCATCCTCGAGGAATGTGGTAGGAACCTTCCTCCCGTTGGCCGGTCCGTATCTTTGTAAGTCATCTCATGCCCAGCACGGCAAACTGCATACTAAGATATACATTGACAGATAAGGCTATGGGACTTGGGTGGGGAAATACGATACTTGGCTTTATTGCTCTTGTATTGATTCCTGCTCCATATTTTATTGCTAAGTGAGTTTCGTCTTTTATATGTGAACTCCACAATTTCTACCTTAAAGTTGGTTCCAGAACTAAACGGAAACAGACATGGGGCTAGACTTCGATTGAAATATCCTATTGAAATTTAGGCGGGAAAGGGGACGGTGGCGTCCCAGGAAAAGCCCAAGTATATGACCATTTTTACATAAAGTCCTTAGCCTTTCCCGAATAGCGGCGTCGGTTATAAAACAAGATACTTATCATTGATTAAGCCTTGAATGGCGGTGACAGCGCTGTGGCGTCGGATTCATGTGTGGCATCAACCGCTGAACTTCCTCCACTGAACGCCAATACTGCTTGCTTGTGATGACCAGGTGGAGATGCACATTCCCGGTCCCGGTCCCGTGCTGCAGACTCCCTGCCCTGGTGTAAGAGTCATCAACAATTTAGGCAACCAAAGTGACTGGTTAGCGATGCGACCATCTACGGATGCTACCGTCCATGGTCCGTACGGCAAGGTACTTTGGTACAGTTTTTGAAAGTGACATTGAGTTTCGGGAGTTCGGCATGCAAATATAATCTATTTACAGAAGCAGCCACTGCTCTGTGCAACAGTGTGAACTCAGTCCCCTCAAAGAATCGGCAATAGCGGCTTGGCAATCATGATTAGGAATGATCTTCAGGACATTACTCGGATAGCCGGCACTCAATCCCAATCTTGTACATATTAATAGCGACCCTGACCTCGACTCCTGCATTACACTCTTGTGTATTAATATTTGATCTAGTCCACCAACAGCTATTTGAATTATACTTCCAACCCCCCCCCCCCCCTTATGTTCACTATACTCTAATCGTTGAAGCTCACTGCGTGCTTTTGACTGCTTCAGTTTTCGATGTCAATAGAGATCAGACGGTGCGTAGCACACGTGAGGCGGGCGGCCGAGACTTTTACAGGAACCTGCCAGCCAAAAGCCCTGCAGTCTCATCACTGTAAACACACGGCGATCGTCTGTCAGTCTAAAGCTAGCATGCCACTGGCCAGATGGAACCAACAGATCCGTTCGGAACGGTTACCTACGACGGCGATCCAGGCATTGGATAACAGAACTCGAGAGCAGTCTTCATTGTCCTAACGATGAGGAAACATGCAAAGGGATTTCGCCTGGAAACTGATTATCCTTGATGCGTATCGTATTCTTCGTGCTTGCCAGCCTTCTTGCACCATTGACCAGTCAGTACTTGTTATGGGTTTTACGGATCTCTACCTCAGACTGCACAGTTACTAAGAACTTCGAACCTCACATTTTCTGAACTAATTTATATTCTAATCAAGATAAAATATTACTTTAGGTTCATTACTTGACATCAGATCGTGCTTGACCTGGTCTACATCGTCGATTAGGTCATTCTGAGATCCCTCTTGATAAAAAGGTGCCACACACTAAGATCATGTTCTCCCTGGGCACTGAACATGAAAGCCAACCAAAGACGAAAAGCCATGATCCCAAAGTTCATGCCATTGACCTGTCAATGGCATACATTCCACCTGACAACCGGTCGGCGCACAGTGGGTCTCTTGGTACGGGTAGGCACTACCAAAGATGACCGGCCGGTGACCATTGACGAACCTTGACTTCGATAATGTTCCTCGAGGGCGGATTGCTCATACGATTATTTCTGTTGTCTTCAATACTCGGCTGATCAGCTATTTGCGCGAGCCGGTATGTGATGTTGGCCAAGTTTCAGATGATCCATAATAGCCTTGACAAGGCAATTCGGGTTTCCAGTGCCTTCACAAAGACAACGCACTATCTTGAGTTCTTGGTCCGAGATGTGCGCAAGTTGGTATTTGTTACTTCTCCACAACCAATCCCTGCTTTGTTGCCATTGGCTATGATTTCAGTCCTTCACTATGTTAGTCTGCAGCTGATTTTCTTCAAAGTAAAAACTACTCACTGTTCCAGCACCACTGAAGGTGGGCAGCAAATCCCAAACATCAAAAACCGGGTCATCGAATTGCCAGAAATTATCGATTGTGATATGGTTCACACTATCTTGCGATATAACCTGGCTTGTAGAATCGGTAATTGAGTTCTGTCGCTGCGAAATCTGCAGGGGCGTATTCGTGCCCGTGTATTGTGGCGAGGTTAGTTTCTCGATTGCTTGTAAAAAGAGGCCGTGGATGAACGTTGCCGATGAGTAAATGTCCTGAACTTTTCTTAGGACTATCATAAATAGATCTAGTTTATTCAGGCTCGATTGCCTTATGAGAGGGTCGAGCGATTTGGATTCGAGAAGGTGGCTGTTCATGGCTGGCACAAGCAGAGGCACCCTAATAAGTTTCAATTTAGGTCATGGTATTTAAAAGGGGGAATTAGAGAAATAAATCTCTATACATACGTCATGGGGCCTATGTAGCCGATTAGTTGATCGCTGATGACCTTGTCTAGTACGGTGTTCGTGTTTGAAGCCGCTGTCCGAATTTTCTGCTGCACGAGTGCGAACCAAACAGCCTCCTGATCAGAAGGAACATCTGCTGCGATCCTGCTGGCATATGGTCGCCATAAGGCAATCAATGCGGCGCTACAAAAGATAAATGTCAGCCCATGGACTGGTGTAAGTAAAAGGGGCAAGTATTCAAACCCCTACTTGAAGTGAAGCCGAAGATGATATGAGTAGAAAGACAGGGCCGGGCTGGCATCTGGAGACCTTTCACCAGCGTCTGCAATACAATGTTGAAGTTCTTGTTCAGTTGCTTCGACCCAGGTACGTGAGGGCAAAGGGCCAGTGGCACGGTAGTTCTCGGACAATATTGTACCTAGAGCTTTGCTAAGATGCAAGAGGACCACCCAGTGGTCAGCAAGCTGCCGAAAGTCGAACGGCATATACCTGTCTCGGACCAAAGGGGACAACTCGTTAAATTCAGTCGTCAAGTCCTCAGCTGAAGGCATCGGGGTGTCACAATCACGGGTGTTAATCCGCATGGGGCGACCCATCCCAAGACTCAACCAACGGTCGCGGAAAAAGCAGCCTAGGGTGTTGATTAACATTGTATGACCTGGAACATGCTGTAGCGTGGTGATCTATCTGGCAAAAGAAAAGAGAAAAAGGTGCATGCCCAGGATTAAAAGCGGAGACAAGACCTACTCCACCAAATACGTCGCCATAACTGACGTTGCCGGTTTGAAAGGCGCTTGTTGTATTGACCACGGTCAGGATCCCGGTTTAGACCCAGGGTTTGAGATAGGCCGATGGCAATGCCCATCCAATGCCATGACTCTGTACGCTCACCTAGGTCAGAGTACCAGAAAGCCAGGAGGCTAACAGATTGAATTATCGAAATGCGGTCTTTTTCGCATCCATTGTCATAGTAGCACTTAGCAAGACAATGTTCGTCAGCCAAACAAAAATAGGCCAATAGAGGTAGGGGAATGGAGGACTTCTTGCCTTAGCGCGGGTGAACATTGACTTCTTCATTTCTTTATGAGATTGGTAACCAGCTTGACGTACCACCGCCTTATCGACGTACTATGATCCCGCTTGATGAGCCTGCAGTACAGGGTTGCTACGGGGGTTGTAACTTACATTGGCCGCCACAGAGAACATACTCCACAGCAGGAGTATATTGACTGCAGAAGCGCCACCATTGTGGAAGGTTGTGAGCACACTTGCAGCATCTACTACTGGCAGTATTGGATGGATGTGTTGGAAGTACGCTGCTAACAGTGCTTGACAAACAGGCTCAGTAGGGACTGAGAAGACGCCCTTAGATCGAAGGTATGCTATATCTTGGGGCATCAAGTCTTGCGTAGCGGCCATATAGGGCAGGGCGTAATGCTGTGGGATCATGCTTGGTTCACCCACAATATCAAGGATATAGCCAATTCCTTGTTGGTCTCCTACAAGAAATTTATTAGCTGAGACGCTCATAGACAAGAGAAAAGATTATAATGATCGAACTGCAATATATGATAATGCAGTACTTGACGAGAAGTGGTCAATTCACAACATTTGCACAGCGTAGTAAGTACACGTCTTCAATGATTCAAATACCTTTGAATCTTCGAAGTTGCTACCCAGACCGTCGCGAGCTAGAGCTTTAAATCTCGAAGCATCATCTATTTGCCTCCGGGACCCTCGTTTCTCACTTGGTACGAGAGGCTACCGACTTTAGGCAAATTATGCGGCAGTCCATTCCACGGTTTGATACAATCTGATCGGCTGCGTGCTTACCAACGTAAAATGTTTCAGTCGTAGCTTCAGCCGTATCCTCCATTAGGGATGAGGCCAATGACTCAATCGCATAGTCGTCTGGTCCACGGCTGGACACAGCGCCGTCTTGGTTCATAGTGATGCAGCCGTCAGCCTCAATCGCAGTTTTGCGATCCACTTCGTCCGGTATGCCGCTTGGGAGGGCAAAGAATGAGGTGGTAGAAACAGATGGAGGAGTTGTTATCGGGGTCAAAATCGGAGGCTGAGAACGCGCAGTGGGCGATGGCAAGTTGACAGACGAAGATGTCGATGTGAAGCCTGCGACACCCCGACTATCCATCAGATCATCGGGTTGTGGTTGCGGATAGCTACGATTTATAGTCATTAGCACTCATCACAGGAATCTTGAAAGGAAATAGTATGCATAAAAAACACCGATTTATGGTGCTGGAACTACTTACGCGCGCCTCTTTCGTCCACTTACCTCACAGGAGTGGCCATCACGCACACAATTTAGACATGGGATGCCGACTGCTGTGACATTACACTTCACTTTCCGTTGGCGACAGATGCGGCAGGCTGCCGGGGCACGTCTCCGAACATTAGATGCAATGGCAGAAGCAGAGGCGGCGGCAGAAGCAGAACCAGAGGCAGTGGCAGTGGCAGACGCAGGAGATAAGGACTCTCTAGTCCGGACAGGCTCCATTGTCGACCCGTCTCACATGTATAGTACGAATTACTATCTAAAGGAAACAAATTTCAAGAGAAGTGTTTCTACTATTCTATTGAGAGTTAGGAGGGGTCATACCTTTCGACTCGGAGGCTTGTAAAGGAAGGGAGGCTGACTCTTGCCAGCATCCAAAATTAGGTCCATTTTGTCCCCCATTTTGGGCCTAGTATAAACCATTGGGAAAGGCTTACCAAGCATATCGTGACATGCTGGTACAACGAGATAACTAAAATCAAGCGACAAGCTATGTAAGACAACTCAAGCAACAAGAGTCCTTTCGAAATCGGACCAATCTAGTTAAAGTCCCCGGTGGGCCCCATGGTAGGACCTAGGAGCCATTAATCAAAGCCCTTCATTTAGTCCGGCTGCTGCAAGGCCGCTTGACGCCTCCAAGTTTGTACAAGAACGAATGGCCCTTTTGGTATCCTCGTTGCGAGACCTTGATATGGTGCGTGCTCAGGGCATGTAAGCTGACGCTAGACTGTAAGCTGTGAGCTATGCGTTATAACCGACTCTCAAAGCCGATGCCGCAAGCGCTGATCCTTACAATGATTCTTGCAATAGCTACAAGCCGGCATTTGGTATGGGCCGTCCCGCAATTCACGCCAGTCGTGAGTTTCATGATGTCTTTCTACTTTCATCTCCTTGTGTCAATGTCACCATTGAGCATCAGTGAGGCTCAGCCGATTTGGAGGTATGATACAATGCAGGCGGAAGCTTCTGAAATTTCCATTGGTAGCTTGATGCTCTAGGAAGAGCCGAAATAGTTTTCAAGCTTGCCATTTGGGAGTCGAATGATCTCGGACTGTACGGATCATGCGAAGCCCGCCATGTGCCCTTTAGGATCGTGCATTAGCGCGTTTGGCTGGCTAGCTGGTTCATCAGGACCCTGCAGAGCTATTGACGTGGTAGGTTAGATATTATGCGTCTTTTTGCACATTCATATTATGGTATGGAGGGTTGACAGCAACGGGGCAAGAACAAATGTACCCCCTAGAAAACACCTACCCCACTCCGGTTTCCTCAACCTGCTACCATATGAACATGGTATGGAGAGCCAGAAAGGGCAACGGGCAGGTACCATTGTACCACTCCTGCCGAAGAACTCCCCCACTATGCTTTTCATGGCCTGATACCATAGTAGTCTGATATGAGGTCGCAGACATGACGGTTAGTGATGCTGTAGGCATTGCATAAATGCAACCATCTAATCAAATACCCTGCCTTTTGCGGTTGAGGCTGCGTGCTGTGGAGCATGCAGCTGCAAAGCTTATAAACTGGTCCGAGTTCAACTTGAGTACTATGTTGCGCCTTGACTAAGTATCACCAACCATTCAGAGCTTCCATCATCCTGTACTAGTAATTTTAATAGGCTGTTCCGCTCCAGAGGTTGAGACTGTTCCGAGCTATACATGATTACAATGCAGATATGGTCGCTGTTTCGTGCCAAGTCATCAGTTGCATAGAATATAATGGAGGTCGGTCCTTGCATCAAGCCTGGAATTCAAGCAAAATTGTTGCACACGAATTCGTGAGGATTATTTCAGTCGTATGCGTAGTCTCATGAGTAGGCATAACGTTGCTTAATTGTATTAAAATGTCATATTTGTTGCTGCTAAAGCTGCAGTATTAGGAAGTTTATGGAAACAAATACGTATGTGGCGGCGACAGGCTTTTCATCCGACCTTAATGCCGATTGTTCTGCAAGCCCGAACGAAGGATCAGGCTCGCTGCCCTACGCTGGTCTAATGCAGTTTTTTCGGTCGGCCATGCAAATTGATTCTATTTGTGTCAGATTGAGCATAACCAGGCGAGCTCCGCCGAACAACCTCAAATAATTTCGGGGTTCGGCTTGACATTCTTGAGTCCTATTCACTATCGATTCTGGAACGACAATTTTCAAGTTGGAGCATACCCGAATCACTACTTCCCTTTCTTTGCATTGCAGCGTTTCAGGCTGTTTGTTGCTCCTGAAATGCTTCCTCCAGCCTCCCAGGCCGCAGCTTTACTATGCCAAGGGCGGCTAATACGAGATATAGACTAAGCTTCTTGTGGCGGCAGGGCACGGAAATCCTTCCTCGATCCTACAGAGGGTGGTTACTGCAGCTCCTACGAAGGCAGGATGGGTAATAGTATTGATTCTTTCAAAAAGAAAACAAAAAGAAAACGAAACTATAAACATCTATACCTTTGCCACGAAGGCCCTAAAGATTTCAATATCCTGGGTATACAGAGGAAGTTCGGGCGTGGTAAGGCCTCTGGATCCCCGACTAGGTGCAGGGTTATAGAGATGAAGATCTGCAGAAGTGGGTTCGGCGGCACCAGTCAAATGATAGCCAGAAATGGATTCTCAAAGTCCATGATGCTTAGATTTTGAATTCGTTGCATGTAATATTGGCCTTAGGATCTCTGATGCATCAAAAGCGACCAGAGCCGGTTCGCTTGAACCATTCGCGATCCAGCTTGAGCCAACAGTCAGGATTCCGTGTCACTATCCTGAGATGACCCGTAACACGTTGGAACTCTGTAAGTCGCTGTGGTTTCGAAGAAAGGTCTGAGAATATACTTGCGTTATCAGAATCCCTCAGTATCTAAGGTTGCATGATGGTAGTGTTCTATTAGCACAAACTCTATAGTTCTTCGGGCCTTCCTCATTGATCACGAAGTCGAGTGGCACACTCTACAGGCCAGAGCGTTCAGTAAGTTTATGTGCTAATATATCGCATACTTCAGGCCCAAATAATATCATGTCAACTCACCTTCCGTACGTGATATTTTCGAAGTATGATTCAACCGGTGGTCGTGGTTAATGCAAATCCCCCCGAAGTATGCCAATCCTTATGGGAAACTATAGATTGGCCAACAAGTCTCGGCCTATCTCTGTAAAGATATCCTGCACTGCATCCAATTTAATTCTTGTAATTCCAATGCGATGGTGACTGCAATAATTCAGTGCCGAGGGATACTCAGCTACGACGCCAAGACGAGGCTTTGTTGAAACCATCAAAGCCGGCATATGAGCAGTTGCGAGTACGGTTGAGATCCCCGCCAAAGACATCACCATTCTCATCACTGAGATTTCTTTCATCGACTCTAGTTCTCTCTATTAAATCAATAGTATGACTAAACATAGAGTGGGTGGTCATATCGTTGAGCATTTTGGGGGAATTCACAATGTTCCCTAAAAGATTATAGAAAAGCGTCTTGGAGTTTGCTGATCAGGCTGTCAGGATGCAATCAGAGTCTGAAGAAGCAGGCAAATTCATCGTAGGTTTCAACCCTGAGGTTTGACTATCGTTACTATAGAGTTGGATACTGCTTAATGGTGTGGACACTAATTGTTTCACTTGTCCTTTTACTGTGTGATTTCTAAATGGCAACGACATGACTGCAGTATTGAACACCACATTCCATCTTTAAACGAAGCTTAGGATTTGGTTGAATGAAGTCTATCATATTTATGGGACTGTGAGCCACTTCGCGCCGCTGTTTAGAATGTACAGCTTCCGTGATCCCCATAGTATTAGAAAACTTCAATAGTTTCAGATATCTTCAACCAAACGTTAATCCACAGATTATTACATCCTGTCTACCATGGAGCGGCTATCTTCTGATCCAATGACACTATGTACAATGCTTATTTCTTATTAAAAGACTCACTGAATATGTCGCTTCTTGACCGATGCGACATTGCTTTGACGAATGCGCACGGCATACAGTTATAGTGCACTGAACATCTTGTCTTGCATAGCACCTCGCCCTGGCTCCAGGACTACAAGTAGAGTCAAACATATGTAGATGCTGCTTACTATGCAACTTTCTGAAAACAGAGGAAGCCACGAGGATCAGAGTTCGTGAGAAAGAAAATTGAAAAGTCCCCTATTGTGTTATGGTTATATTGTATGTATGACTTGACAGACCGATGTTCTATGTTTCTCTTTCTTTCCTTTTTCTTTACTCTCTCTTTTTCCTCTTTCAATTCTCAATAACTGATACATCTTTGCCAGTGGAGTCGAAGTTTCAATAGATCAATGTTGTTGCCTTGCTTTGAATAATTCTGCCCTTTGTGTTTACCCCAGGGAGAGCTACCTGGTTGTCGTTCCGCGCTCTGTTCTGGGGCAGAATAATAAAATTGTATCAAACGAGATTTTTCATGAAGATCGTATCTATTCTTTATCTTTCAACATAGCTCTTGTTAACACGACTCATAGCTACGCAGAGATTGGATAGGCTCAAACCCCGGGGCAGTTTCCGTGCGATGCCGCCATACGCTTAGCATAGCCAGCATTCTCCAAGCTCAGTCTGATTGGCCCATTCCATATCAAGATCAACGACCGTATCGTCTCTCAGAGTGAATTCTGACGTTTTTATGGATAAGAAGTTGTTTGCATTAAACTGTAGTAAACATATATATGATATTCATGTTTGACCGCGAAGACGTGTGTTATCGTCACGAAAGCGGGTAGTTGACTCTTTTGAACCGAATATGTGAACGATAATATAACTCGCCTTCCAACTGGATTTCACGTCTTCCAATTCTTTGAGTATAGCCTGATCTGGTAATTGTACCAGTTGTGGGTCACACGCATGGCTGAAACCTTTATGAATCTGTAGGCTACCTACGGGTAGTCAAGTAAACGCGAAGTATGGTTGCAAACTACAAATCATGCCAGTCATAGTTGAAGCTTGATAGATGGCGATTGCCATCATTTGTACTAAAATCTCTACTTCGTGTAGTAATAGGCTGAAACGATATAAATCTCTAGACACCGCCTTTGCAGATTTCCGTCCTTTTTGACAGACAAGAAGGACAATCAAAACCATCCTAGCAGCTCTTATGATACAATGTCTAGAGATGTCAGCCATTTGCCCTTGCAGCCTTCGGGTCTATTCCTGAACCACCTCATGATGCTGCACCACAATCGCTTTGATGGGCTGACTTTGTAAATTTCCTATCAATGGCTTAAGGTAGACTAAAGAAGAAGAAAAGCCTGTGACTGAAAACACCATAAAGGATAGCACCCACGAAAACGGTTGTCCCGGAGAGGAGCATCATCGTCCAAACTTTCTCTTTGCCTCCTTTTGACAGCCGTGCCATCGGTGCCTCCGGATTGTTAGGAAAGCAGGCTTCAGCATCCCAACTCTCAACTTTCGATTGAAGCATTTATGGCACTCTCCCACAGTCCAGTCGGGGATTTTCGGGATATCGATTCTCCTTGATGTTGCCAACACGTGGGTCAACAGCGTGATATGTTGTAGGGGACGGTTCCCAGGTGGAAATGAAATCGACTTGAATGTTGGTCAATCCATTGACCCAAGGGTATATATTTGCGATCTATTCTCGTGACGTAACTCTTTGCAAAACTAGTAGTATATGAAGTATTTGAAATTACGGGCTGTTAAGTAACTAGCGCAGCGATGAAATGGTTTCCTAGGACGGCTTTGAAAAGATATTTGGCTTTTCAACGAGAATGATGTTAGCCATGACGGGACGTTCTTTAAAGTACTGCAGAACTCTTACAACTCTTTTGTTCTTCTTTTTTTTTTCGGCTGTTAGAAAACGACGCGTGTAGCAAGATGGCGCTCCAGGTCATGAAATTTTACGAGAATCCACTATATTGCTATAATCAGGCCAATGAAGCTGCAACACACTGTTCTGGGTTTTCGGGCAGGTAAAGTCGCACAGTGGCACATTCAGGCAACAGTCCGAATCTCGGTAAGAGCAAGACTCTCGGTAACAGTAAGACCCAAAAACTCGGTACCAGCCACAAGCTCGGCAATATCATACAACAGCGCTCGTTTGTGGATCGGAATTTTTGCGATGTATTCCTTCGTGTTCTGTTGTCATTTTTTGATCTGATCGTGTTTCGCCATTCTCAACTTTACACATACGACAGAGTAACGTTATTATTTGAGGGCGGGCGCAATGTGTAACTCATGCGCTGAGGCGTCATATCTCGCTTACTGTACTATGGAAGGCCTCAAAACATCAATACGTGTACACATGAGTTTGATGTGCTCGGCTAAGTGAATTAGAAAGTCAGCCACGTAAGCGAGGGCTGTAAAACAACAAACGGGGATTGCACCGAGCGGTAGGAGTCTTAAGAATCATAAGTATGAGTATGGCGCCAAATACACCTCTGGCGTGTGATTTTCCGCCTGTTTATAAGATACCCCAGGTTCGATAGTAATTAAAGCTGTTATGTTTTCAAATACGAGGAAGATGTCGTGTTGGGCACCAGGAGGTTCGGGGAAGCATGACCGATGCAATGGGGCCTTTGCGTGCCGTGCTTGGCTCACTGCAAGACCCTGGGCAGTCTTCTAGTGGCGGGGCATTGCAAGGACAAATCAAACTGTCGAAATGACTGTTGCTTATTGAGCACCATTATGAACGTTGTCATATAAGTGGTCATTGGGAGGTTACCTTTTGAGGGTATCATCAGCAAGCCACTGTTCTAACCTACTAAATAGTTGTTTGACAGGTCATGGCCTAAGAATACCAACAGCCCACAGTCTGCGGCGTTGGTTTTAATGTGCAGTGTCAACGATAATGCTGCCTTCCTCTGACAGCGAAAGGTGCTTGCAAGGAGAACTGGGCCAACTGCTCATAACCAATTGTCGACAACAGACCTCATGGTCTTGGTGTCAACACAAGAGAGGGACGGATCCAACAGAGAGGCAGTATTTCTTTGGTGAAGACTCGGGGTTTTGACGCTATAATTAGTGACAAGGTTCGTTCTTCAACTGTTGTTTCATTGCCGCTGGCTCCGCACTTCCAGCATTTGGGTGCCACCGGTTTTTCAGTAACATAATAATATCAGGTGTAGCCATGTTGCTCAAGTTATTTCCAAGCTTGTATGGGATATTTATGGAGACGTGGAACAAAGAATTTATCAGCACTACTTGATACTTTTGTCCTCGTCAGTTCTGGTTCGTATGGTTTAGTGCACTGCCTGCCCAGGTGGAATGATTGGAATGCTTGCCTTCTCCACTAATCTCAGCTGCCGCATACCCTAAATCTTACCTGTCCTGCCTGTATGAGTTGTTCGTAGTGGAGCAGGTTCCAAAATGCCAAGTAGACGCATCATCCTCCACTTTCTTTCAAAAGCGATGTGATTCAAACTGCAATGTAACATAACTTAACGTGGATCTTCCAATCCAGTCTGGGGCCCATCCTGTCGGCGGTAAGGTGACAAGGGTGATATATTTTCGGGGGACTATTCTCTAGACACCATCAAAAGGTGGAAACCACCACGGATGAGCCCCCGTCAGCTTTGTCTTTTGCCCATAATTTTGAAAAACGCCATTGTGTCTTTCAGGCGTCTCGGATTCACAGATCGATTTTGAACTGGCAAGTACAGCATGGCATGATGTTCGAGTTACCCCTAGGATGGCAGTACCTATATAATCCCCTATTAACTAGGAACCTAACTAACCCTAAGTCCTTGCTGTCTTATGAAATACCCTAGATTCCAGGTATTTATAATGTGGAGCTTAACTTGAATCACCCCACCCGCTTCATGCACTTGAACACACACCTTTCCACATGTATAGAAGTTGTGTGGATTTGAGCACTGGACCTATGCAACGCTCGAGGTTTTCCAGTGGAAAATACAGGGAACTTTCTTCGCCGAGCTGCCGTGAGTCGCGTCCCTCGTGCTCAAGCCGGCCAGCTTGCCGTGCGATGACGCTAGATGGAACGAAAATCTATGTAGGTCAACCCCCGACATGGTATTGACAGAGATGTAATGGCCAGTCCTCCTCAGTGATGCAGGGATAAATTATGGGGTAATCGTGGAGAAAGATATTTTGCCCCATAGTCTTGCGTTCTGCAGTATCAGCCATTGGAGACAGGTGCTGGCCTGCCTGCTTTATGCCCACGCCTGCCCCAGGCTTTGCCTCCCTCGTTGCCATTAGGACATCGCCTCGGTGCTGGATTCATTCTGCCTTGGTGTATATAATTTCAATTTCATAATTGGCTATAAAAGCTGCGCGCAACGTTCGTATACTAATTATTCTTAATCATGGCAGCATCACGAAGGGCGAATATCACAATCTCAAAAACCTCCCCAGGAGACACTCGGTCTCAAGAGAATGCCTCGATACATCCGAGCTCATCCGAAAGGCCAGAGAAACGGCAAAGCCGACATCGCGCATCCATTGCCTGTGCTTCTTGTCGTGGCAAGAGAGTCAGATGTGTAGTGCTGAAAGGAAAACTCGAGTGTAACCAATGTATAAAGTCGGGGTATAAGTGTGTCATCAGAAACGACGATGAACGGAAACGGTAAGAACGAACTTTGACCGTATTCAGTCTTACGGAACTGTTCTTATTTGTTATGGCATAGTCCAATCTCAAAAGTCTATGTGGCGTCATTGTGTGAAAGAATTAAGATACTCGAGAGAATGCTGCTGGAAAACGGTCTAATTCCGACACAAGCAGTTAATCCTTTCAAAACACGGCAGGAGGCGACATATTTCTCGGACAATTCGGCCAACCCAGTCCAATTTGCGGTCAAACATGAACAAGAACTTGACAGACAATCACCTATGAAATTTCCATCACCAAGCGTATCGCTGATCGAAGACTTGGTTTTCCTTCCCGAAAACAGCGATAGTGTTTCAGCCATAATACCGACAGTGGAAGCATCATCAGAGGCTCAAACAGGCGACTCAACATCACGGCCTGATTATGATTTTTCCTGTTTACCTGTGTATAGGAAGTGCCCAGATGCGAACTCCGCTGAAGCGCTACAGGTGATGCGACGATCGCACATAGCAAGCCATCAAGCTTCGGCGCCTACGAGTACGCTGCTTCCTACCTCAGTATCCCAGCTTCGGCTCGCACCAACAAACTTAACAGCTTCTTTCGAGAGTCGTAATGTGGTTCCAATCAATCTACTTAACCCCAATGTAGATTATTACGACAGTTCCACCAGCCCTCTACCATCCGGCAGTTTAGGCTCGCTGGGAGGACTCTCGGTGACGAAGAGTCCAGTCATAAAGCGACGACAAGAACAAAGTAACCTTGTCCCCACAACTTTGTTTCAACCAGCTGAGTGGTGGACCAGGAGTCGCAGACAAGATCATTTGTTTAAGGTTCAACATTCTGTGTTCGAGATACCACCGTGGACGACCGGAGATACTTTTGATGGCTCTACGGCATTGAACCACACCACCGTCAATGCTGTACAAAACGCTGCTCGTACGTCCGCAGAACAAGCTGTTGAAAGCATACGTCCCAATTGGGACACGGCAAATGCAGATATGACTAAACCTATCAGCCTGGAACGACTCGTACAGAGCGTCAACCGGGCTACAGGAGCAGAAACGAAGAAGCCCGTAGCCTCTAGGAAGCATGAACTAGGCTATCTTAGCTTTTGAAGATAAAGACCCTCTGTTTACTTGATTTAGCCACTTGACAACGCATTTGGCGAAGCTTGGCACAGTGTAATGACTTGTACCATAATCAGTTCTCGGCCAAAATCATGTACAGCTCTTTCGTCGACGGGACTCACCTGGAGTAGCTCCTGCGATGTAATCAGTGCCGTTTGGGGGGGGGGGGGGGGGGGGGGGTTCGCCATTCTCAGCTTGTTGAATGTCAAATAGATGGAAAGGACTCCAGCACTTTAAGCAGTTGGTCGATGATGTGGGGTGTTTTTGAGGTAACTCAACCACAAGTCAGTGCTCATAAATAAATTTACGAGAAAGATAAAGAGGAAAGTAAAAAGGAGAAAAAGGATCCAATCCTATTCTCGGAAATTGGACAAGTCCTACAATAATGACAACCCGACCCGTAATGTACAGAAGGGTACAGTGGTCTTGTGCTATTTATGTGGAGCCGGCTCCAATTGTGATTCCATCATGCCTTCGCTTGGCAAATGCTTCCTTGATGCTGCGCAGTATATGTCCGCTGTATTCAAAGAATACTACTTTCTACCCACGTGGCAAGCAATATATCAAACACATTGTACTGCTGCCTTTCCTTTTTTTTTTTTTTTTTTTAGGTACCACATATTCTAAGTTGACTCATCGTGGGAAATAGACCGGACCTATTTTACATAGCTTTTGGCGACAACAACAGTCCCGGAGCTACTGGTGCTCCAGTGCTCGATAGGCTCTGATGCGCTATGATACCACTGATAGCCAGCGGTCTCTCGGAGCTGCATTCAATATATGTGAAGCGAAAACGATCCAAAAGGATCGCAGAAGCACCATGGATCTTTTGCGTTTTACTCAATTAACGAGTACCCACAAACCAGGGCTAATCGGTGCACTCATGCAGTTAGCTATTGCATGACGACTCTTTAGAAGAAGGGTTCTTCCTCGGCATCGTTTACGCCCTCTTTGACGACGCGTTGGACCGCCGCCTCCGGATCCTCATCGCCATCTAACATGTCCAGCCAAACGTTCTTAACGTCCTTGGCATCGAGCAGCAGCGCCGCCAACTGCGCGACTGAAGCACGGCTGCTCGTTCCCCTCGCCTTCTTGAGCCTGCCCAGCTCAACCTTGCCGGCGGGCTCATCCGTCAGTAAACCGGGCCTCAAGTTGATACCCACGAAGTCGGCGCGCTTCTTACCCTCCTTGTAGAGGACCTCATCAGCGGCAACCTTGGCTTCGTAGTAGCGCTGCAGCTTCTCGCGACCCTTGAGCTGCTCCTCCCAATCGGCATCACCGAACCAGGACGGCTTCTGCAGACGTGAGCCAATGAAAGACACCATCACTATAACATTCAGAGTTAGTAAGTAGTCCTTCAGGTCGTGTCGAAGGTCTTCGGGGGTGTTGTGAATCTGTCACGAAGAGACCCATTGCCTCCCATAAGTGATACCGGGTCTGTGGATAGGCTGAATAGTGTTAAAAAAAATTTATCCCAAAAATTGCTTACGAAATTTAGTGATGGAGGGGGTAGCTGCGGATGCACGGATGAAGTGTATCGCGGCATCACGATCAATTGCGAAAGTCTGTATCGTTGGTCAGTCATTGAAGTATTTGACTCTGCCGTCTCGAGTGCACAACCAACCCGTTCGGGAGCTCCTTTGCCTCCAGCGCCTGTTTTCACTGTTAGCAGCTGGACTGACGATATAAGCATGCGGGAGTTTGAGCTGACGCACCTGCACTCCAGACAACATAGTTCGGCTTCACCTCATCGATAATGCTTTTGGCCTGCGACTCGCTCTTAACATCTTCAAGACTCCTAACGAGCACGTTCAGCTTTCCGCCCTGATTTTCGCCGAGCTTTTGTAAGTCTGCGACTTGATCGGGGTTACGGATGATACTAGTAACAGTCCAAGAGCGCTGTAACAGCAAGGGGGTCAACAGCTTGGACACTTTTCCGCTACCACCCAGAAGAAGAACGTGGTTTGACATATTTAAAATCTTGTTGTGTTGCAATAAACTGTATGTTTGAGTGAGGTTACGATTGAGATGCTCAATATTCTTTGCAGTGTTTTTTCTTTTTTCTTTTTTTTTTACGTTGAACTGTATTACAAAGCCTTTCTCCAATTACGTCATAACCATTACACCATCCATCAAGGTTTACTGGGCACTTGATGCAGCTCCGCGGCATCCGTGTTATGCAACTTCAATGTCGTGATCACCGGAATCATTTTTAGTGCAAGTATATTCGTTGCAAAGTCGCATCTAGACGCAGGCAAGAATCTTTCTACATTGATACGCTGATGATCATGATGCGGACTGCCTGCTATCAAGTTTACACTAATGGAAGCGTCCCAGGTTCTTGATTTGCCGAAGAATGTATTTTGCAAGTCATCAAGAGAGCTACATCTCGTATTCGATACTGAATAATCCGTGACAAAACCCCATAGCACAAGCGTTTGCTTCCATACCGCACATACCCAGAATAGAAAACGGTTGCCTCAACTTCGTTTGTCCCAGCTTCCCCTAGCGGTAGAAGAGCGTCAGATCTCCAGATGGTGGAATGCTCTTCAGTTTCTCAACAATCTCATGCGCTGTCATGTTCTGCTCTGTGATGATCTGATCAAATGAATGGCATCCGTCCGTATACTTCTGCAAAGAATCAACACTCAATATTCCATTGGCGTCATCGCTATTATCATCGCCGTTCGAAGTACTTGGTTTTACTCGAGTCCGTTCGTGGCCTTTCACTGGCTGGGCTTGTCCTGACGCAAGAAGAGCAAGGTACTGCTTCGACACGACGTACTTGTGCACGCGGTAAAGTAAACCTTTTATTACACCGAACTGGACGAGTCGCCGCACATCTATGAGGCTCAGGATTGGGAAGCCCGAGTCTTGATGCAGCTTAATCCACTCCATAACCGAACGACCAACACAGAATGTCGTCATCAATTTAATCAATTGAAAGTTGGAAACTCTCTGCGAGGTGAGAAGGCCATTAGATGATGGTTTACCATTGTCGCCAGTGGTGTTGATTGCAGCTTTACCGCTTGTAGCTCGGGGGGTAGTGGAAGTAGAGATGGCGCTGGGAGCTGAACCATTTTTGCTAGGAACAAAGCTTCCTACGCAGACGTACCCAGCGCATTCGTCTACTAATCCATCTCGGTTGGCAATGAAATCGTGGATGGCTGGGCGCGGAGCGTAACACCCGCTGAAAAAGAACATGTCCAAAAGAAGAATCGTATCATAGTAGAGGAGATGTTGTAGAGCTGTCTGCGTCAAAGGCAAGGCCACATCAGCAAGCCAGGCAATACGCCGAACATCATTGACACCGTCAATATGAGGAATCAGCTTTTGTAGCGTCAGGTCCCAGGTAGGATCCACGATCTCTGTAAGCTTCATCTTTGGAACCGGAACGTGCCATCCGCGCACTGGTGGAGGAGGTGGATGATAAGGAAATAACTTCATGTTGATAGTGTTGGCTTCGTCTATGAACCTATAAGTTGATATTGCATGAAAGAGTATAGGTGATAGTTGAGCCATGATTCCAATAAGATGGAGATTCGGGAGCTGGAACTGGAGCTGGACTTACCGACTGGGATCATACACTCGCCATAATTGTTTAGATCTTCCTTGACAATTTCCAACAAACTTTCAATCGGTCTCCTTCCATCGTCCACTATGCCCTCGGAGCTAAGGTATCCACCCTGCTTCTCCATCTCAGCAAAGGTGGTTGCCAGTCTTCGCACTAGGCGCTCATAAGGGATGAAATCGCAATCAGATTCGACCACGAGACCGAAATTGAAAATGAATTCATTCCGCATGTATCTTTCATGCTGAATTGAAACGGGAAACCCCAAGATACTGTACTTGTTGTCCGGAGTATTGACCGTTATAAAACGGTTGAAGAATGCCTTGCGCGGAATGATGTATTCTTGGATGATGTCGAAGTCCACCAACGGCGGCTTTGCATGTAACGAGAACTGTGAGGCTACAATACAGCCTGGAGGCGATTGAGCCACAACCTTTGTGCCTACATTATCGGATTAGTACATATTGTGCTCCGTTGAACTATGTATCATGATGGTTGAGAGGAGCTTCATGCCAAGTGACTATAATAAGATACGTCGAGGAAAATGAGAGGTGTCTGGTTTATGAGAGACGGCAGGCCATATGCATTGCACACCAGTCAGGGCACAATAGAGGGAAGACCTACCCTCTTGAGGCAAGAACCTCGCATAAAATATGCCCTGAATCATGTTGTTTTTCTGATATCGTGGCGCTAAATCGCCATGATTTCCTCGCTCGTTTGTCTCCAAGGTTTAGTTGTGATACACGTCGCGTCGACTTATCGTTTCCGCAGTCATGCCACGCTGATGTTTTTGATCACGTATTACCAGAAGCTACTGAAAAGCTGAAATGCGCTTAGGGAAAGATTAATGCTCGTGTATGTGCTTGTAATGATAAATAACCGCAGCTAGAACCATCGCACGGGAGTTGCATAAGCCAATCTTCAGTGCTAGCCTAGACTAGTGCTAAGCCTGGGATATCCGAGAGGCACTGCCAGCTGCCCGCACTGTTAGTGGCAGTTGCATATAACTAACCTTAGTCTAGGTTAGACTAGATGCGAGAACAACCAACAGGCATCAGAACGCGCTGCAAAACAGTTCGTGACTACATACCTACAACACTGCAGACTGTTTACAAGAAATGGCCAACCACATGTGTATGTGATTGCACTCACTGATTATTGGTAGCGTAGGTGCGACAGTGGTAATAGTTTCGAAGTTCAGCACAAGTCATCAGCGCACAAACAAGAGGGTTTTGATCGTTATCATGAATTGATTATCCGTACATCATCTGGAATACAGAGTACAGTGATAGATACAAATGTGTTTCGCTCCCAATCATCTCGATAATTTCCTCAACACCAAAACTTTACACCATGCGCAAATCCTAATATACTCATCGAAAGGGCTCAGAGCTTATGTATGGCCAACAAGTCCAGTCTGGGGAGCGTTATCGGGGTTGATGTTGGTACCGGCGAAGCCCAGAGCTGTGTTCCATGCATCGGCGGTGGTTTGATCTTTGGCACCACCACCAAGCGTAGCCTGTGCGTTCTTGCAGGCAGTGTGGGCATCATCGGAAGCACCGCAAACGTTTGTAAGCTGATCACAGATGCGGTTGAAGATGATGTTGGGGTTCAGAGCCTCCTGTTGCCCCTTATTGACGACGGGGTCCTGGGCTTGGAAAGTGAACTCGCCGGCCTTGCGGCCGTTGAGGGACTCCTCGAATTTAACAGTAGGTGTGCAGGTACCAAAGTCAAGACCGAGCGAGGAAGCAACGAAGCCATCAAAATTTCCAGTGACGGCATTGGAGACAGCACCAGCGCCCGCCGCAACAGTGGCTGCTCCAGTAGCGGCAGAGCCGGAAGAGGCAGTAGTGGCGCTGGCGGCTGATGTGGCAGCAGCAGCAGAAGCAGTGGTCTTGGCCTTACCGCACTTGACGGTTGTTGCAGCAGCAGCGCTGGTGCTGGCAGCAGCAGTAGCAGTGGTAGCAGCACCAGTTGCCGAGGCAGAAGTATCACTGCTGTCAGTGTTGCCACCAGTGCTGCCCGTCGATTGGTCCTGGCCGTTGACAGAGAAGTTGGAAAATCCCTGAGCGATCATGACCTGAGCCACACTCAGACCGGTAGCGTCGAATGGGTTGGTGAGAGACGTAGCGGAGTTGGCGTTCTCGGCATCGGAACCGGTGACGGCAGGGTCTACCAATGGCACAATACCACGGAGTTCGTTGGTGGCGGGCAAGGTTGCATCGCCACAGATGTTGGGGATGCTGACCACGAAAGGGTTAAAGTTCTGCTCGGCAGCGACAAGCTGAGCAGCGGCAGAGATGACTGAGGCGTCGGTACCCAACGTCGAAACGATCTTGTCGGCAAGCTCGAGTTTGGCACAAGGGTCGGCAGCCGCAAGAAGACTTCCTGGGATACCACCAGCTAAGGTGGCGGCCTCACCTGGGTTACCAAAGCTTCCGAGAGCACTAACAGCGGAGACGGGGACCTGTTCCTGGCCGAATCGAGCTTCGGCGATGGCCACAAGGGCGGAGATAGCAAGTGTCTTAGCGTACATGTTCGAAGATTTTGTTTGGTGAGCAAAGATTCAATCTCTGGCAAATAAGTTATATGAATAAAATAGTGGTTTATAAAGATTGGCCGGCCGTGCGGTTTGTATATTGTAAAGAAGGACAGAAAGAATGTAAGGAACGAAAAGTTCGCAGAACTTAGAGATTGTATGTCAAAGAAGGAATTGAAGCTGCTGAGTAGATAGAGACGATCTGCAAAAGAGAACGGACGAGATGTCATATAAGTAGTGAATCGTGGGATGACAGATGGCACTAGCCTCCACTTGATGGCTGCCGCCACTGATAGTTGTTCACCAACTACCCTAGTGAAGATCATACATGAGCATTGAGATCAGATGGTGCGGCGCGAACATAAACCTCCCCCAGGTCCTGGGGACTTCTCATCCCATGTCAAACACGTTAAGTGCGTCTCAGTACGTAGTCAAGGAGCAGGGAAACGGCCGTTCGGTCCCTGAACCGAATAATTGCTTGGCCATAGTACAAAATGTTGAGATGACTTCCAAGGCCATGATTGGTCGTCTGAACCATGTCGCAATTTTCTCCCATATCCGGGTTCGCCGTGGGCGACACAGCAGTCGGGCCTCGACTTGGCCGCAAGGAGGTGGAGCATATTGGATCTTGGAAGCCTCCTACCAAGCTTTACCATAGCAAAGGGGTACCTGGGCAACAAAGGCTCAAAACAGCAAGGATGTTCAGCCTCCTGAGTGCGACAGGGCAGATGCGGCTCTTTCTCAGCGACGCCATGACAGCTCGTCTACACTAAGTTACTCTTGGTCAACTGGGTTCGGGCTGCTCAGGCTCTGTCATCTCATCAAAGAAAGTGCGATCAAGTCGTGACTTTCAAGCTTGGGGGTGTGTAATCGGGATGAACACCTCAAGCATCCAAGTAGCGCCCGTGACAGACGACATTGTGTTGGCGAGAGACCAATGCGGGCCACGAATTCCAGGCTCTAAGTATGTACCATTTCGGAGTACTGGAGGCGTGAGATCTCAAGGTATACATGGCTGCTGCAAGATTTGGGCAAGTTGTCCGGGTAGATTGCCGGACGCCAACCCCCAAAGCTCCGTCAGAGTCAGAGCGGTAACTAAAGTGATCAATTTCTGACCACTAAAAAAAGCTTAACGGCTTCAAGCATACGGGGATGTCCAGCCCCTTGCAACTTCGCGCTAGCCTAATCAAGTGTTATGATGCTCGCTTACAGGGGTATGAATGTTTGAACGATCAAACCGTCGCAACAGGGGTCGCCTATTTTGAGACGGCATTCGAGACCGCATGCGTTTGATCCGACCTCACATCTTCAAGCGAGCCTCAAGTTCGCATTTCTGCCTCATCGCATGCAATACCACCGCTTAGGCTCATGCTGGCGGCGCTTCCGTCATGGCTTGATACCATTATGACTGCTTTGCGCGGCCCTCGGCATCTGAGACCTCAGCTACTTTGTCATCTTTCCTGTCTAGACTAAATGATAATATGCCACGCCAACGGGCTCCCCGAAAGCACTTGCTAGAGCGAAGTGAATCAAGCACCATTTGCTTTTCATCAAAAGCTCATTCTACGACTCTCAAATGCCAATCACATGGGAGAAAAAAAAGAAGAAAAAAAGGGTGGCTAACTGATCGTCCGATAAGTGCAAGTCCTTATAGGATATTGTTTGTAGCCGCGCTCATCCATCCAGGCCAGCGCCGTTGATCCTGAATACATTCAATGTTGATCAATCTTGACAGGCAGATCATGTTCGTCCAAAGAAATCGTACCGACTGACGGGGTCGAACCAATCCAAGATTCATGCGAACATCCTGCAATCATAGCGTTTGATCGGCTGAATCATATCTGACCCTGTTAACTCCTGCCGCCCTTGATTGCCACGATATTGCTAATATGCGACCATGTGATAACTTGCCGATCATATAAGGCTAATCTGCTCTTCATAGGCACCGCCATATCTTGTATTGGCAAGACATACCCGAGGTACGTCACCCTAGACTCAGCTTACTTCCGCTTGTATACACTCCTCTGTCCTCACACCAGAGAAAGAGACGAATAGCCGAGTTCCTTGTTTTTCTATAAAATCACTGCATTACAGTGAAGGACCGCTGCTGACTCGGGCGCATATATCTAGTATATGCATCCGTATTCCGATGTATACTAGTTATGGCTGATACTCTTGACTGCACGGTTTTTCGCTAACCACCAAAACAATGACACGTCAGGCCATGTTGAAAGACCTACGTTCTCAAATCACTGCACATTTATTATTCCAATTTAATCATCTGTAGATGGCTTCTCAGCGTTACTGGACATTGTTGAAACCGTGACACACGAGATGGCCAATATCAATAATTTAACTAATAGTAAAATAAAATTACAAATAGAGAAAAGTTCCAATAGAAGAGAGCGCAGCAGTTTCAAAGAAGCTGATATCTGGACTGCTGGCAGATCAAATTAAGGGGCCTTTTTCGTTGACCTTCAGTACAGCGACGCTTTACTTAATGACAAAATTCATGGGCGAAAGCTTGCCAGCATCACTTGGCTCCCGTGGAATGAAGCGGTAGACTAAGCCGTAGGATAACAAATTACTGGAAGAACTAATTCAAACGGCTTGGTCCACGGTGTTGAACACAATCCGAAAAATGGCTAGAACAGATGCGGCCCACAAGTTGCCTGATGGTCTGCCGGAGAAATCTTTTGATTCATCTGGGTTTCTGGATGGTGTCGAGCGCGCCTAAGGCGATCTGAGATCGTACCATGTTAAGAGGAGGGCACTTTCAGACAGTTTGCCCAGGCTCATCCTGCATGCTCAGTCAATTAGGGTGATTGGCTTTATCTCAACTGACTGGAGCACCCGGTGGGACAATGGCGGCGGCAAGTGTCAGAATTACGAGGTTTGATGAGGAAGATAACTTCAAATATGTCGCTACTTTCTTGATAGACTTAGGGTAATCCGGTACTACCCAAAAACATGATACACAGGCCGGCCTCTATCTGATGACGACCGAGAAGGTGCGACTGGGTTGCTTCTCTAAACCCCACAAGAGTTACAATGTCGTCTCTTCTGTACTAAACAATGCTAGCTGGGCCACGCCGAAAACCGCGCGCAGAAGGGGACATTATACGTCGTGTTTGGCATGAGCGTCCCTCCGCCTTTGTGCCCAGTGCAGGGAGGAACAGGACAACTCGAACTATCTTTGTTCAAGTGAAAGAAAGTGGTGAGTTTGTACGTGCAAGTTTCTTTCATAGCACATAGGAGTGGGGAAATATGGAAACGAAGCAGCACATCGATTGTCTTGAACTAACATATAAGTGCACTTCATTACCAGCTGGCTTGAATGTGTATAAAGACTGTACTCTCATCTCTTTCAAAACATCTTACCCCAAGGTGCAGCCACTCGAAGCGAGAACAATCCGGTATAGTGTGTATACCATGTTGTTTGTTTAGTATTACATTCGCCGAAACCAGCAATCCTTCCAAATCTATAATGCCGTGTAGTCGATAGCTTGATACAAGTATCTCAGACATGTACAGAATTCCGTGTATTCTGCCCTTTATTTTCTTCGTCACCTCAATTACGCTTTCGCCCGTCATGGTGCAGCTTGTCTCCCTGTGGCCAAACCCAGCACATGGTCACAGACTCGACCAATTTCAAGGTCGACCACGAGAGGAGCTTGTTGGCTCAAAGGCACTGGCATCTCGCTACGGACACATCTGGCATATCTGTGTTCGCACAGCTGGCGACGCAAGGAGCAGTACAGGTGACCAACACGACTCTCGTATACTTGTGCAAGATGGGTGAAATATTTCGCGGTTGAAGATATCGTTTCTTGGAGCGTTCGAGGGTTCGGTTACGCGGCTGCTTAGACGGTCGAATGGCGCCAAAGTCGTTCACATTCCTCCGACATGGCTTTTCAAGTACGTATGCCGGACCACTTGCTCATACAATGCTCCTGGCAGTCTCCTGCTTGTCGAAGCTCTTTGCCTCGTGCCCCAGAGCTAGACGATCGAAGAGCACATAGGAAGTGACGAGCAAGATGGGCATTGCGACCATGAAGCCAACATATTTCCTCGACGCGGCCTTGTATGCGGGACTCGAAGGATCGAATGGCTTCGGTGTCGGAGCTCGTAGGCTCTGCGGGAGACTGACGGTAGAGCCTTTCGCGGCTGCTCGCACAGGTGCTGCAGAAGCTGCGTGTGCCTCGACGGAGGGCATCAACGCTGAATTCTGACCAGCTGCTGCGTCGGCTGCGGTTCTGGCTTTGTAGGGCAGGGGAGGAACCCTGGGCGCTGCGGATTTGTTCGCAACCCGTGTTGCTTTTGACGATTCGACAGATGCCGGCATTACTGACTGTCGTAATCTGGTGCAAGCTTGAGTTGTTTGTTGAGTGCCAATTGGTTAGGATATGTGCATCATCAAAGTGAAGATGGGTCCGCAATCACCAAAAGTTTTGGGGGGACACTGGCAGGCGGGCGGACAGCTGAAAGCGCTAGCCTAAAGGTATATAAGCGACGCCCCCAGCGACGACAGCAGCGGAGGCAACCACTTGATCATACATTTCATATCAACCCGGTCGGCCATGGTCACACCTACAAATCTTGTACTCGTATATATTCAAGGCATCTTCAATTATTAGTCGCACCCGGCAGCGATGAGGCCGTGCAGATGGTTTGTCTCTACCAAGATTCCGTCGAGACCTCATAATTCCACGCACATAGCCTTTCCGTTCTGTCTTTTCTCCACTAAGTACAAATTGCCCATATCTCGTGCACACCATTGCTGGGATGACGTCTTGCAACTAGAGCAGTACTGCTCTAGTCTAAGACAAGTCGTTGGCCTGGTCCACCTCTATAGATACGCCGTCGACCTCTGCCGGGGCCTGTGAAATCCAGTTCTTCCATCTCTCCACGTTCAGGTTGTTCTTGCTCAGTGTAAGTGTAAGTTGGACCTCAAGCTCGTCTCCCTGGCTCATATATGAGAACCTCTCCAGCGGAGGGTAGCCCAAATGCGACAGGACGATGGTGGTCGGTCTGCCTGCGCTGCGGGGAGGGCAGGCAGACAGGTGACAGTAGACCGGGCGCGTCTCTACGCCACCGCTGAACCATGGCCGCGGTGTTACGATCTCGCCCGAGTAGATGCTGCTCACTTCCTCGTCTTGTCCGGGCTCTGCTCGATGGCGCTGGGTGAGGTTGATGAGCTTTCGGTGGACGTCCACAACGGAAATCCCATCTGCTGCTATCTCGGGTTTGTTCAGAACACGGATGAGCGATTTGGTGAATGAGCCGGCACGATGGAAGTTGGGGACTTGTGGGAATGGGAAGGAGCTGGCGCCGATGTGTTCGAATATCTTTCTTCCATCGACACTTTGTCCGTGCAGGCTGCTGCCACAGTCGTACAGGGTGAGGACGTCTGCGTCTCCAGAGCCAAGAATCTGCGGTACGATGCCAGAGTTGACTCTGGGACCCCATCGCCTTTTGCCACTTGTTAGTGTTGTTACTCGTGATGACACCAGGTGTGCAGTAGCAACAAGAAAGACTTACTCTCCGAGCCACTGTGTGGAACCCATTGCAACTCCCGAAGCTTCTGCGGAACCACCATACCTGTCAAATCTGATATCAGCTCGGCCCCATGTTGGGATGAAAGTAACACTGACCAGAAAATCAGCAAATTGCCCGTCTGGCCATAAGTTTGCACAAATGTGGTCAGTCTTGCCGCCATGACCTGCTGCGGATGATCGATAACCGGAATGAGCCAGGTCTGGACCTTGAACCCGTAGAATTGTCTAAATACCTCCCCGAGCTTCTCGGCGGCCTTGTCAGCACCGAATGTAGGATCCTCTGGATCAGCCCAGTAGGTCAGGAGGACATGGGCCTCGCGGTAGCGGCTGTCATAACGTGTAGGCCAGCTCTGGCTGACCGCCTCCTGCAGTCGTTTCTGCAGGCGGGTGGTTTCTGAGGTCATTCTGGCACGGCGCTCGATGATGTTGTTGACAGCTCCAATAGCCCGACTCCATCTCGCACTGAGACCACGGCCCTCTGGGGGTGTGTGGTTGTATGAATCAGGTAGCGAGAACATTGTGAGGGGGTGTTCTGAATGACTCTGTAGGGCTGTCTCGGCGTGTATTGCTCAAAATATGTCAGTGGGTTGACTTCACAATATTATCAATTAAAATGGCCGAATTGAAAATTGATATGGTGAAATCCTGCCTCTTCGACATGCAAACGCATCATTTGAGTAGTTAAGGGAAGCTGCTGTCGTGTGTTGTTAACGCTTGTGGTTTAGTTTCAATGGTGTCGTTAGACAGTGATGGGGAGACGACCTTCCAGGGGCGTTGGTGAATCAGTGAATCAGTGAGTCACAAAATGGTTATGAAGTCGGTAAGTTATAGAACAGTAACAAAAATGGTGATATGTCAAAGAACTTCAAAGACTCAGGAGAAGCAGTGGTAATAAATGGCCTTTTCTCCATGGGTAAAAGAAGTGAACGAGGGCGCTGTTTCTTGAGTTCATATAGACATACATGCATTGTATGCTAAGAAAGCATTAGTATACGTGACCCAATAGAGCTATAATGCGTTTTGACTTGATCCTGTCTGATCATCGCCTTGTAGCTTCTCCCAATATCACCTATAAACCTAGGATCACTACCGCTCTGCTTTGAGCTGTGTTCACACTTTGACAAACATGACGAAGGACATGAGACTGGGGCAGGTGGTCGCTTGACATATCTTGTCACGCACGACCTACTATGGGTAGCATGCAAAGCAAAAGCCATCTCTGTCTCGGTATTTCAAAATGTACTGTTGATCGCATAATACGACGCAATAGTGTGTTTTGTTACATTTGAATGAGGAATACTAACTAATTGTCAAGGTTGAGAGCCTATATCAACCCCTTACTCCCTCCAGCGAATGGACCAGTCTCCTTTCGCAAAACTGGGTTCCACCACTTTCAAATTCATGATAGCCTCACAAAGCCTTCGCTCCTTTTTACCGCTTTCCTTTTCACCAGAACCACTACTATCAATATTAAACCCAAAGACGACGCCTCGCCTGGCAGCGCACTTAACCATCTCCTTCTCCTTCGCTCTCTTCTGCCCCAGTCGACGCTTCTCCAACATCTCCTCGTCTTCTTCTACGCGCTCCTTCCAGCCCTTCTCACCGCCCACACTGCCATTGACTTCGGAAACATGCTGAGGAGGCCTGATCCTCTTGCCGCTGCGAATTGACATGCGCGCCAGGACGTCCCCATCGACGTGCTTCATCTCTTCCGACCCAATCGCGCACTCAGCAACCTCCTCAGGCGTCGGATCAACACCACCCCGCCCCGACTCCTGATCAACTGTCAGGCCCACTTGGTGTTCCTCATTCTTCGCCTTGGGCTCGGGCGTACCCCCAGAGCGCTCCGATCGAGCAACCTCATCCGCCACACCACCAGCACCGCCACCCTCCTTCCTGCCAAAGACGAGGTCCTCGACCGCGGAACAGGGCACCAAGATCCTCCGGTCACCTTTGATCTTCTTGCCGCCCTTCTTATCTTTCTTAGTAGCAGCGGTGGTGTTAGTAGCGACAGTATTAGCCACCGCCTTCCCCGCGTCCGGCGGACTTGGCAGCGCAGGCTCTTGCCCGCTCAACAACCTCACGAAGGCGCTCTCGATCTCACGGTCCAGCTTGCCCGGCTTCTGGTGCCTGCACCGGGCCGAGCAGTACTTAGCCTCTGTCTTGGAGCTGGCGGCCGCGTGCGTCTTACGCTCGCCGATAACGCGACCGCAACTATGGCAGTAGGGCGTGTTCTCGCCGCCAGGCAGGAGGTAGTACGGCACAGGTGTGGCCTGCGACTTGGACGGGCGCGACCAGGAGTCCATCCACGACATGGTGGCGAATTTGTGCCGATGCTGCTGGTTGTGGTGGGTACCGTTGATGTGTATTGTGGTGTGAAAGGCGGTCGAGCTGGTGAGTAGAGTGGTTCGGCGAATGCGACTGAGTGAAACTCTTTTTGTGACAGAGGTTTTAAGCATACGTGTTGTTGGTAGAAAGTAGTCCATAATGTTGACGGTGGCTTGAAGCCTTGTGCACTTACACGGCTAAAATCGTATAGATGATGTCATAGTTAGATTGTTTAGCCAAACATGCAGCTTTCCCTATGCTTAAGAAAGCAGCGATGCAGGCCGTTTAACGTTCACATAACCTGGGTTCTTATGATAATTCGGCGTCTACAGCAAAATCTGACGCACCAAGAGTGCCGGCAGTATTGGAGTCTCCGTTGCATATTACCTACTAGTCTCATCTACACTTCCCTTTCCGAACCTGACACCCAATCCTCCAATGTCCCTACGGAAAAACTTTCCAAAATTCTTCAGGTTCTCGTTCATCGTTGCGGTTGCTTGCTGCCCAGCTGCGCCTTGCTGCGCCGGGGTACCAATTCTCTCTACGCCGTCTCTTGCTGCACTGAGTAATTTCTCCCCTATACTCGCAGCATCGAACCTGGTAGCACCTTGTGCAGCCATCAGTGCAGCACTGGGGTTGATGCTTCCGACCGTAGATCCAATTCCTGGTGCGTTTAAGAGTGGTGTCAACAAAGGACTTTGGGCCACAAGCTTGTCATTCGCAGAACCCTCCCGGTGTATCTGGAACAATTCGAGTAGGTGTGATTGATCCAGCTTGCGCACGCCCTTGAGTTCGAGGATCTTCTTAAAGTTTGTGTCGGACTTGTCGCCAATATGGATAAGATAGGCTTGTACCAAGCCTTCCGGTGGTGACGGGCGGACTTGCAGCGTCTTCAGTAACGGGTCTATTCGTGTCATTGTGTGGTTCACCCGCTTTACGAAACCAGCTGCAGGAACATGAGGCGACGACGATGGGTTGTGATACTGGAGTAAATTCTCGAATGCCTTGGTGAGAACATATTTGTCCAATAACATCTAAGTAGGATTAGTCAAGACCGCTGGAGAGCTAGGGAAGTGCCTTACCTGTTCAGCGCCGACCTCGGACACAGGCCGGCATTGGACGATATTGCCAATGTACGTAGTCGCCAGGTGCTCGACCAGGTTATCCGCAAAGGCTCGGGCATACTGTTGCTTGGCCAGCACACCCAAGATTGCTTCCGCCTCAGTATTGACGTGCTTCAAAAGCTCACCGACATAAGAGCTCTGATCACCGACACTCTCCATCTTGCTCCAATTGGTGTTCTTCATTTCGCGCCATGCGCCTTCGCAATCCGCTTCAACCCTGTTGACCAACGCCATGACAGCTGCACTAGCCACACCAAGGAATGAGTCTGCCTGTGAGGAGAGGTCGACTCTTTCAGCCAATTCAGGATCTATGCGCTTTTTTATGCTATCTTCAAGCTGTCCCGTATTAGTATGCCAAAAGTCTGCTGTATTGATGACCAATACTATATCCTCGAGAGACGCCGCAACCGAACCTGTCCTTTGGAGGATGGCCAGTAGTACCTGTTGCGCATATTCATCAAGATACTTCGAGAATGTCCTGGTCAACTCCAGCAACCGATCTCCTGTGGACAGCTTGGCACACTGCGATAATGTGACTTTGTAGAAATGAAAGAGCTCTATGGAAGAGGCGATGACGGCTTGCGGCGAGAATTCTTCATCGGGCGGTATAAGTGGTTGTGTTCTATATTTGGGTATCATACTCGCCAACGCCTTGTCTTGGGATTCCACCCATAAGCTCAGATATGGCTCGAATGCAACAGATATGGATCCGTTAAAGGTTTGACTCCTCTCGTCGGCGGAGCTGAGCGTATCGATGCTCGCCCTTGGCTTGTCGGTAAACTTCCGTTCCAGGCTCTGTTCGAAGTCCATGGTCTCTTGCAGGCAACTGAGGAGTAGGTTGACGTCAATCTTTGCGCCGTCGACCCTACGCATGCTCCGTTCCAAAATGCCCTTGAAATCATCTCTTGTGCCGTCACAGAATGCCGTGGCCAGCATCTCGCCAGCCCGCCAATGCGGGGGGAAGATGGCGGCATGTTCTTCTTCGTAGCCCTTGATCATCCTCTTAAACCAAGCGTAACGTCTGCCAATATTATCCAGACTTCCTGCTTCATCGTTGCCCCTGAATACTTGACGGTATTCCCTGAGCTCCGTGTTGACATACCAGGTCATGAGTCTCGACCTGGCATTGTCACCCAGAGCATCCATGACACCGCAGGCTTCGATGAGAGTCGCTTTCCTGGCACTGACCTCATCCTTGGTGAAAGCCAGCTCGAAGTCCTCGCAGACCTGCTCCAGCAGCTCGCGCTGTAAGTCGCTGACGCCTCTACTCAGTGTGGCGATCTGTTCAATGCTGCGATAGCTGTTGAAGTGGCGCATGAGCTGCAGCACGGCAGCCAGCAAGCTCGCACATTCCCTGTACTGCCTAGTCTTGGCCAGACCTCGCAGCTGCTCGTAGGCCGTCGTCAGCATCTGCAGGCGCTTCAGGGCGGTCATGGACAGGGTCAGGTTGCGCTTGGTGCCGTCGAGGCGTTTGATGTCGGCGGTCATGCTCGTGATGTTCTGCTCGGTCTGGATGGCGCGGCTGCGGACGGTCTCGATCTTCTTGAAGAGGCCGGCGAGCTCGGCCTGCGCGGACTGCATGCGCTCGAGGCTGCTGTCGGGCCCGTAGGCCTGCGACTGCTCGAGCGAGGTGATCTGGCGGGAGAGGGCATCTTGCTGGGTGTGGAGGGTGGTCGAGACGTGCGAGACGGAGGTGATGGTTGAAGGGTGGGAGAATATCTGGTTCAGGTGCGCTACAGGGTCGTAGTCGGCTGTAGAGAGGAACAGAGGCGTCAATGGAGGTTCTGCGTTCTACCTTGCATATATGCAGACCGTAGGTAGTGCTCGGTGGAAACCCTGAGCCATGCTCAGGGATGGAGGAGGAACTCACCTGCGTCCAGCGCCAGCGATTCCGCTGTGCTACCATTCATCTTGAGGAATGTGTACAGGCTACTATCGAACACATTACTGGCTACAGAACAATCAAGCAAAGCTTATTTGGTTCAATTGACGTTTGTTACTGTTGTTGTTGTCCTCCTGAAGGTCCCTGGAGCCAGGTAATCATCACGTGTCGCGAACCTTATCGCTTAAGGTGCTGTAGGATCAAAGGTCCTCGTTGACGTAAAAGCAATCCAGACGCATCCTCAGCTCAGGTATGTTTATGTACCCAACAGTAACCTTGGGTAGTTTATTTAGGTGCCTACAGTAACTTACTGCATGCACCCGTACCTTTGCCCTAGCACCGGATACTAGGTTAATCACTTCAAGTACCTCCCCTTACGCTACCAAAGCTCCAAAAGTGGCTGTCCCCCTGCAGGATGAGCAGCTGTCCAGGCACTTTAGCGCCGACTGGGGCCTCTACCGCAAGGCAGCATGATTATAGAATGTACAGCACACGAGACCATTCCGGCGCCGGTATATGCTCAAAGTTGTTTGAGCGCATGTGTCGTGTGCAGAACCATGTCATGTCATGCAGGTCCGTCTCTTTCTTCTGGAAAGATCTGAGCTGGTGTCAGCCCGACATTTTGTCGCTGTTCCAGAATCACTCACCAACAGGTCTGAGCACCTGCAGCGAAAGGTATGTGGGTTGACGGAGCCGATGCCCAATGTGATGAATCCACCCCCATCGCCTAGTCAAACTCCGTACAAAATGAAAATTGCATGCATACCGGCAGCAGCCAAGAGAGAGAGAGAGAGAGAGAGAGAGAGAAGAAGAAGAAAACAAATGTTGCTCTAGGTGCTCTTGAGTATCATGTATTTAGCCATTTAAAACGTTTTGTCATCTCTAATCTCCATCTAAATCACGACCCTTTTCCATGACCTTGGCTGTCCCATCTATGGTACCAATATAATAAAGACCTTTCCCAAGTTCTGAACCGTCTAAAATGAAATCCCGCTCGTCCTTCCTAATTCCCAAATGATATTTCGCAACAGAGCCGCCGGCTAATCTGACTCGATGCGAAAATGCAATGCCTTGTCCCGCCAAGCGAGCCGCTCTGTAATATCTGCCAAAGTGTATCGTCTTTCATTCGTTCTGGTACCCATTTTGAAGGAAACACCTTGATCCTATTTTGTACGCCTGAATTGGTCGCGCTGAAACTGCAATTAAATCCAAAAGACCTGGACCACCCGAGCCAGTATGCCAAACCATGATCCCCTATGAGGAATGCAGCGTCTTGAACCCTGTTGCGATAAGGCTCCGGGATGTTTCTCGCGCGTCAGAGGGTCCGCTCCAGTAAAAGAGTCCCTGTGTGCATAGACTTATCAGCAGCTGCTCGGGTGGGTATTGGTTGGAAGCACTTACGCCTAGTTTCTTCTGTTTGCAATAACTCGCCTTCATTTTCACCGTGTCTGGGTTGTCGTAACTCACGAAGCCTCCATCTCCGCCAACACACATGGCGGCTCCTGTCCTCTTGTCCACCTGCTCCTTCGCACCCTTTCGCGGTAGTTGGTTGTAGTCAAATATCCCCTCCTCGCCGCCGACGCCCTTGAATCTGTGACCAGGCCCAGAGACCCCAAGGAAACTACGTCCGTACAAGGGGATACCGAGGTTAATTCTCTTTGCGGGAAAGCCCGCTCCGACCAGCAAAGAAACTGCAGAAGCACCTGATGTTTCGTCCTTGTTCACTGCATACAACTGCGACTGGTGGCCGCTTCGGTGCGTCCAGGCCCCATAGAAATCGTATGCCATTAGATTGATCATGTCGAGATAGTGGGCCGCTGTGTGGAAGTCGATACACTGCAAAATCCCTGGCGCTGCCGGCAGAGCTGCAGTGAGGAAGTATTCGTCGGCCGGGAGATGCATCCTGGTTGCGTCGAACAGCGCAATCAAGTCCGCGCCCTGTTGTGCATCTGAAGGATATTCCCAGCAGACTAATCACGTGTAAGCCTATCGGACACTATAAATAAAATTGGGCCGCGCGATCTCACTGTCAATGCCGTCGAAGCCCGATGCTTCAACTAGCCCTCTGGCAGACCGGCCAAAGTTATCTCGCAGAACCGGGTTGGCAGCGACCACAGGGAACACCTCGGTAGAATTGCCACCGCCAACTGATAAGATGACTTGGAGATGGGGATGGGCTTGTTTGAGGTGCATTAGAGACCCGAGTCCACCGCGTACTCCATCACATGGCGCTTGCGCATCTGCCCACTCGTCGCTTAGCTGGAACCCGGTATTAGTCCCCGACCTTCGGAAAGTCGTCAAGCGAGGGCGCAACTTACAAAAACGGATCCGTCTGCGGCAACGCTTGCGAAAGCATAAAAAACGTGGCTGATGCAACTGTAATTCATCATACCCGGTGATGCACCACTGTAGATCTTGTAATTGGGAAAGTAGACGGCATTCGTGAACATGACGTTGGCGACGCTTGACGCCATGCGCCGCCGAGACGAAGAGGAACTCATAACTATAAGTGTCGTGTGACTTGGGCGAGCAGGGATATGCGGAATACTCTGGTAAGGGTTTCCGGCTCTGTATAAGTTCGATAATGACAGTCTGGTTGATAGATAAGGAACGAGACAGGAGAACAAGAAGAATAGAAAGTAGTTCGTTCAGTGATGGTGAGATGCAGTATAATAATAGAGAAGGTAGGGTCAAAAGATCGGACACATGCTTTGATCTGCCCCAGGATTTATCAAGAGCCGAGAATCGAAGAAAAGCCGTCCTGGGTTGTTCCTAGGTCCCGAGGCTGTCTCGACTGACCAGGAAACTTTATATGAAGTTTGATGATGTTGAGTACGGAACAGTGGAGAAGCGCCGCATCATCGGAGAATTCCCAAAAGAGGACCATCCAGGTAGACATGGGGATAACAGCACGGAGATCACCCTTGGAACGATCATGCATGACATAATGAGCCAGGGTCAGGGACACAAGGGCCGCCGTTGAAATACGTTGTCAGGATGAGCCTGCCGAAGAGGCATGGTGGTAGTTGAGCAGGGTCCTTCGGCAAGATTCAACGCAACCGAGCTGGTATTTCTGAGAAATATGAGAGGGATGACAAGAGGCTTCGCAGCGAGCCAGCAACCTGGTGCATGGGGATCTGGCTCGGTTGGGCATCTTAGTCCCTTCCATCGGGAATCATTTTGATTAATGGATCACAGTATGACAGATACGGGGCGTTGAAGGAGTGGCCGCCTTCCTGAAAAATAATGAAGAATGAGCATGTTAGTTAGTGGGGGGCCGCTCGAATGTCAAACATTCCTAGGTTGGCCCTGACAAGTCTTCTGAGAAGCACACGCCCTGAGATGGCTATGTGTTCCTGAAGCACAGGGCATTGTCCTATGGAACGGAGCGACGGTCGTTTGCGAAATGAGATTGACGTCTGGAGACACCGAGTACCGTGCTCGTTCCAATTGTCCGCGTCAATCAATCGGCCGAGAATGAACTTCCTACTTGGTCGTGACGTTTTCAAGCAAAGATGATTACCGAAATTCGATTCGGAAGCAGGCTGGAGCCTCGCTTCGAGTGTTGACGAGGCATATATATTAATATGGTCTGGGTTCTTCAGAGGAATCAATGAGATGAGGAGGGATGGACACAGTTTCTTAGACTCGTCGGACCGGGGTGCCGGAGAATTTCGGCCAAACGTTTCGGCCCATTCAAAACTGGAGCATATCGCAAAAAGTCCCATTCAGGCTTTATTTTTAAGAACAAAGGCTAAGGTTTAATCACAGGCATAGCGCATTGCGAGAAACATACGTGGCCAGTGACATCTGTTACATAGTACAAGCCCGATCTCTAGTCTTCGGCTTGGATGAATTCGTTTCAGCAAGGTCAGCCATTTTTCCATTGGGCAGGCAATGCTTCCCGAGTACTATTGTCTGTCTCTCCTTGTCCTGTATTGTCCCCGTTAGTTTTGGCTACGGGACCGATGGGACGGCCAAGAGGGGACTTAAGCCACGAACAGCAAGTGATTGATTGCTCAATGTCATGGATACCAACTTCCACGGATTAATCGCATCATATACAACCGACTACAGAAGGTTGGAGACGAAGAAAGGATTAAAAATTACTCACAATGCAACGAGATGAGCAGCAATGGGCATCGTCTGAGAAGTGTGACTTGCCTGTTCAGTTACAAATTTCCACAAGTCGAATTAGTTGTCTCAAGTCCTTCCAGAAGCATTCCCCACTTCTTCTAGGCGGACCGTCCCCTGTCCTCATCGTTAGCAGTTTGCAATCGTTGATTGGAGGATGCAATGGCGATGCCTATCGAGGTAGTATCGGCATGCACTGGGGTCGCAATGATGTACAATTATTGAGGGGAACTGAACATTGGGGAAAACATAACGAAAGCTGCCAAGACCATTCATCAGCGGGCAGTGCTTTTGAGGTGTGGCCGAACAGCTCTCAGGAAGCTTGCTCAGGATGTACTGGTGACCGAGAGGTAGTAATTTCCACTAAGGTTAGTACTTGCTAGCTATATTGTACTGAACTATCAAGCTACGAAGCCAAGATCGGAGTCACCGTGGTCCCAATGATGCCATCACAGGCTTCGATGTATCACCATCGGGGACGGGACCCTGCGCTTCGTAGTACTGTCAGCCTGTGTGCCATCCTGACCCTGGCAGAGCAAGGGAGTCTAATCCGGCCGCTCGGTGATATGAATAAGCCTCCGAGACACAGCACTGGATATGAGCGCGAAGACCACGTCCGTATTCAGCCATAGAAACGTGCCAAGTTCTTGTACAGCAATAAATATCCCGCACAGGGGAAATATCGTTAAGCATAATAACCAGTTACGACGCCCAGAAAGCGGTTAATCGAGCTCCAGTGTTGAAAAGAACGGGATCGGCTCCTACAAAAGGAGGCATTCCCAGATGACCACTATCAGGGTTAGATAGCGTGACTGGTGAGTGAGCGTTAACCAAGATGAGATGGAATGAACCGGCGGCGCACTAATTGAGCTTCGAGAAGGTCAGGAGCTTCACCACTGCTTAGCTGCAGTAACAAGGCTCAACGGCGTGGGGCCGTCAGCTGTCATCGCCTTAAGTACGATCTCGTTCCTGGTTTCAGACCGGCGTTACTATGGATGTTACAGTTCTTGCGCAAAGCACTCATACAGACATGTTTGGAAAGCTGCTGATGCCCCACTCAATGTACAGCCTCATTTGTTCTTTGGAGCACAATGCAGACGGGAGTCGAAGCCGAGATCGACATCGTTGGGCATGAAATATGCAGGCGATGTCTCGGTTAGCTGCCACACGACGCCTTTTGGTCGAGTCCGTTCGGGCTTAGGGCAACAAGCTTAAGCACCATAAATCCTGCAAGGAATATGTACGTCGGCAGTGGAAGATTGCGTTTGGGTAGGACATGCCGGAAGATCTCAGCGAGGGTCCAACTGTGGGGTTTTGTTAATCACCCAGGATTCGACTAACCTAAGGGGACAGCACGGCTTGCTTGTGAATGTGTCCACACAGCCATCGAGAAGCATTCTGCGGACCCTGTGTTTTTTTAATGTTTCTTAATATATAAATTTGATAACAAAGTACAGCCTCTACTTGGAAACCGGACTCCGTATCAAATGGCGTGATGTTAGATGTACTTTTGATGCTTTGAGTTTGAACAGCTCAAGACAAGATTAGGATGTGGAGGCATGCTCGGGGATACCAATGGAGGTCATATCGATCTGGAAGCCGGATCTGGTGTTGATTGACGTGAAACAACCCATGGAATGCCATCAAGATGCTCGTGTTCCTGCTCAAGAAGATGCACTGCATCCTGTACATTTCATCACATCAACCAATGCTTGATTCGTCCTGTTGCGTGATGGATTTTGATAGCACCTAATATAGGCCCGTTGACTTGCCCATCCCGGCAGGCCCAATGCCTGTATGAGGTACATCCTCGGCGGACTCGACTTGAGTGACATTCTGAGTTCGCTCTATGCCGAGACAGGGTGTAGTGGATTTGGAGATGCTGGCCACCTAGTTTTATCGTTTCGTTTAAACATTTCTGATTTTCGATACAATATTACATACACTTCGCAGGTATCATCAAAATGATGAACGCTGGGTTACTTTGCAGGACCACCTCACCGGCTGTCGGCAACGCCCGCATAACTACTATAACATAATCTGCCATGAATAGTTCTTCCATGATCAACAATTACAATGCTATGTGCGCGATTCGCTGTGTCTCAATTCTTTCGCGCTATCGACGCCCAACTTACTACGACCATCAGCAGTCATGATTATTCACCCAAATAGACCATGAAAACAGTCAGCCAGCCTCGGCTCTCGCTGACCCTGGCTGCGGCTGAGATGCTAGATCATGGCAAGTCCACACTGATCGATCGTGTTTTGTCCCGGTTTGCCTCGAAATGCGTTCCAGTCTGCACAATTGCCTGCGGCAATTGTTATCCCCGGCACCCGCTCACCTACAGAATCCCTTCCCAAGCTGGGACTAGAACTTTTGGACCAAAGCCAACCAAAGACGGACAATTTTGCTGTGCGGTGGACACGCAGGCGCACATCCACATCTATCGTCAGCGGACGAATTGCACACTCATCATAGCTTTTGTTCATTCTTTCGCACTTTCCTCATCCCCTAAGCCCCAAACTCATGCCTTGAATCGCCCGGTACTCGGCCAACCGCAGAACCGGGAGTTGGAGCTGAATGCCAACGAGAGACAGTAAGAGAGAGAGAGAGAGAGAGAGAGAGAGAGTAGGAGAGAGAGCGCGCGCGACAACGGACCGTAGCAGCGCGGTATACATTGTGTCATCATGTCGCCCACAGAACCAGGCTCATCGGCAACCACCTCCGACCCAGCAAATGTCGCTACTGTGCATGCGACGGTTAGTGAATATGATGCCAAGAGCGAACCGCCCCAAGCGGGGCAGCCGTCGAGCGCAAACAATTCGACCACTGCGACTGCTACTGCCAGCAGCTATCCAGCGCCAACAGCTGTAGTACCCCCTGAAGAGCTCGTCGCGGAAGAGGACGAGACGATCGAGGCAGCCGAGAGCAGTGTCGACAGTGACGAATTCGAGCCATCAGAATGGGGAGACGATGGGGGCGCGTCAACCGCATCAACATCCGTCAACTCGAGCATATACGCGCACACGTACGAAAATGGCCGGAGATACCACAGCTATAAAAATGGAAGATACCCGATACCGAATGATGATCAGGAGCAGAATCGTGAAGACATGAAGCATGTGATGATGTTGGAGATGACCGATGGAAAACTAGTATACGCTCCTGTAGGAGATTACCCACAAAAGATCATCGACATTGGCACGGGTACTGGTAAGCAGTCAAGTTCATGCTGAGCTTTCATCCAATCGATTGCTAACATGCCGTTACACAGGCCAGTGGGCTATAGAAGGTTCGTTGAATCCATGCCGCATAGAAGCAACTTCGAATCTTAAAGTGTGACGAAACGGTTACTGACATGTCGTCTCACAGCCGGTGATAAGTTTCCGAGTGCCGAGGTTTTGGGCATAGATCTGTCACCTATACAGCCCGTTTGGATACCACCGAACGTCAAATTTCTCATCGACGATTGCGAAGAGGACTGGCTCAACGGCGACAATTATGATTTAGTACATTTACGTTTTATGTCGCCAGTACTGAAAAACGTACCAAGAATGTGTCAGCAGGCTTTCACTAATCTGAGACCTGGCGGCTGGATTGAATTTCAGGAGTTGCATGCGTGGCCACAATGCGACGATGGTACCATGCCACCTGATGACCCTGTGGCTGCGTTTTATAAGCTTGTTGTAGAATCGTTCGCTAAGCTTGGCCTTGACATCCACGCACCGGCAAAGCTGGACAAGTCTCTGGCGGATGCAGGGTTCACAAATGTGCAGTGCGTGGTGAAGAAAGTGCCCATTGGTAGCTGGGCTAGAGACCGACGTCTGCGGCTGATTGGTCATTACCTGAAGCTGGTCATCCAGGATTTTCTACCAGCGCTAGCGAACAAACCGTTTGCGGCACTGGGCTTGAATCAAGTCGAGCGGGAGTTGTGGAGGTCGGCAGCCTTCAAGGCTCTCGATGATATGTCTGCACATAGATACTGGAACTTCTACTTCTGGTCTGGCCAGAAGCCGCAGTAGAACGCCTCCGCAACTAGGTGTCAACTCAGCAGAAGTCTTCTAACCTGGTTGTCTTGGAAGTCGAATTTTCTGAGTTTCCTGGTTCTCGATCCCGAGACTACATTGTAGCCACTGTTTAGCCGGGGCATTTTCGTTTTATACAGATCAAGCAAGACGGGCAGCGAAGCATTTACAACAAAGGCGTTCAGGTTGATGAATATAGAGATGGCCTCAAGGTCAGGCAGAACTTGAGAACTGGGGGCAACAACATTCACTTTTAACGGCAAATAAATAAGCGAAAATATGGCTAGACCAGTACATATCAAGGATATGTATGACAAGAATTCCCTCGATATAATTCTACCAACCAATGCTGTCTTCGTAGAGGATTCTGATGTTGGAAAAAAGAACATTGCGTGCATACCACAACTGGTCATCTGTGTCTCCGTCATTCAAAGCCTGTATAAGATGGGGGTCGTAGCATTGGAACTTGATTATGGCAAGATCGCCACCGTATGTAAGTGCTACACTGGGTATTACAAGGCTCCATGATGGTCGAGTTGCCCATCAAGATATGGGACTAGAAGTGATTCTGGAGCGGAGATCACAAGAAAAACCCCGCGGCATGATCGCAGCATACCATCAAGGGTACAAAACAATGACCGAAGCAGCTTTCGAAAGGAGTCATGGTAATAGCACTGCTACGCAAAATTGAATAAAAACAATTTAAAAAATTTGCGCTCTAATAAGCACCCTAGAGAATTTGCCGCCGACAGTGTTTCTCATTTGCTTGGTTCTATTATTGTATATACAATGATAAGACATGCCAGTATTACAAGCATCAGGATGTCAAGGGAAGACTTCCAGATGGAATCTGTAAGACCAGAAAACTAGAATACGCCCGTGTATTTGGCCAAGTGAGGATCCGATAAGTATGATAATGAGGTAGCAGACGGCTTGTTGAATGGCAGTCTGGTCTGAATCTGGCGGGGATCATGTTTGAATCTTTTCCGCAACCGTGTAGGAAGCACACGACATCGAAACACCAGATCTTACAGCGACACAATCTCGTGGCATTTCATCTCTAGTGACCTCGACAATAACTTAAACTGTTTGAATCGTGGGAGAATCCGGATGCTGCGTGGTGGTCAATCGAGCAGCGATATAATCAAACGCAACAATGTGTACGCGTGGGCAATCGCACCTATCGCACCCGGCTTATGTGGTTGAGATGCAGGCATATGGTCATCATGTAAAGCGACTCATGGAGTAGCTGGAATCAAACTCTCACACCGCGTGGTCTGACAAAATTCGAAGATAATGAGTCAATGTATACATATACGTATGGAAACAAGTTTTGAATCCGTATGGTGACCGTGATCCCATCGCCACTATTCCTGTACATCTTCCTCTTGAACAGTGCCAGAGTTCTTCACCACCTTTCAAACACCGAGAGGCTGTCGTCTCTTCTTGTTTTACGACACTTGTTAGCATTGACAGTGAGGCTGGGATCCTGAATCAGCTGTCTTGATTAATATAGCATGTGATGACCGTTGTTCCTCCTCCAAAAAAGCACACACTTTTTCGGTGAAACATAGCCACAATGCAAGTTTCCTTTTCATTTATCTTCTTCGTTTCTATTTCTCATGTTCCACGGCGAGCGACATATGGTTGTCCTTCGCGAGGCCATCTATTCATTTGTCTTATTTTTATTCTTGACTGGCAGTTTTTGTCCCCGGATTGCTATAGATCCTGGGGGCAAAGAGCGTGGAAGCGCATGTGGAACAAGAGTTACAGTGTCCTGGAACTTCGCTATATTGGTATTTCCCGGACACAGGTTGAGAGTTGATTCCAAGCCTCTCGCCACTGAACTTGGGTACCGCATAACGAGCAAATGGAAACCTTGTAGAATCGATTGCAGACTCAAGAGAGTTTATTGACGAACCACATAACAACGAGTGAACAAAAGCAAATATATTTACTCATCATATGTAGTACACAGCAATTTGCCGTCTAATGTTCCAGATCCATGGTTTGCAAAGGCCGGTATTCAAGTACACTTTCTTCTCCGAGCCAGCCTGCCGTCATGGCCTGACCGATATCCATTCGTCTCCATATCCCATAGCCCCCCACTTAAGCCTTCCAGACTCTCTTGATCGCTTCAGTGACACCAACATCGTTCGTCTCGAACTCGTACAAACCAATTGCTACAAGTACGGTGGCGGCGTTAAGTCCCCACATGAACAGCTTGCGCATTCTGGGGTACCGGCTGTTGGGGATGTAGTCAATGAGGATGTTTTGGAAGCCGGTGTGGGAGTGGATGACGATCATGCCGACAAGGGTGGCGTCGAGGACTGGGTTCAGCGAGCCGGCAGCAAATGGCGCGACGGTAATGGGGACGAGACTGGCGGCAAGCAGACGGTCGAAGGTCCAGTGGTAGGAGCCGTGGGAGGGCGACGGGGAGGGGACGGGGGCAGGGTCGTTGACTATGTTTTGGTCAGCCATTCGTATTATCTATCTGGACAAGCATCTGCAGCCATGGTTGTGTCCCGTTGTCTCATCATGACCATGATTTTGATCGAGCGCCCGAGAGCAGTTTGAGATGATCGTACCTGTTCCCTTGATAACCTCTGAATAGTGACTGTCAGTACTGCGATGGCCGATAAGGGCTTTCGGTGGGATCAGGCAACATACGTGGGCCAGGAGGTAGCAAGTTTTTCCTGGTGGTGGTGTGGAAAGCAGACACGCGGGCAATATCCTTCAGGACAGCACTGCGCACTGCCGGTGTTGCCTTTCGGGTGGCAGCGGCGAAGGCAGTCCGAGTCTGCCTCAGCATGACGGGTCGGATGATGGAGGCCATGATGTTGCTACCAATTGCTTCGACCGGCGGTTGTGCTGCTGATGTCTCAATCGAAGGCTTAGCTTAGCTTGGGCTGAGGCTTGTCGCGATGGATGATGCCGCGAAGGAGCAGCAGGCAATTAAATGGATTGAATACCTCACAGTAAACTTGCCTGAATTACCACCGGAGTCGTCGCTTTAGCGCCAAATGGAGCACCCGATTGCATTGCCGAGGAAGGGAAGAAAGCAAATAGGAGCGCTGTGATTGGCTGACTGTTGTGTACTTCAACGTCGCAGTCGCAGTCGCAGTTTGCAGTCTTCATCTTTGATCTTTCATCTGGAGGACTGCCCTTGAATTTCTCTTGAGTTATACAACTCTAACCTCGGGAGACATGCATCGGAATCTACTGATCAACTACCTTCTACCTCACTGGTAACCATCCCAGACATCTTATAGTTATGCCATTCATTCCCGCCTGTCTTACGTGACATTCTTTGCATGACATTCTTCGCGCGTGACGGGTAATCCCGACACTTGCACCACCCCGTAAACCATGTCGCAATATTATTCCGCCGAGTTTAGTCCCAGATGTCCAAAAAGTTGGCCAAAGGCACATACGAGAAAAGCCGTGACACGCGCTGAAGAGCTCACTGGAGGCTCCAATTCATACTGCGGGCGCAACCACATTTTTAATCTCTGTTTTTGTATGTTGTCGCATTTGAGGCCATCGTCGTTTCCAGCCAGTGAGCTGTATCTATTTTCTCTTCTACATGTACCAATAAATATTCCTACCGCAGTTGCGGTCTACTAGTCTACTATTCTTGTAACCTACGACCCTTCACCATCTTGCCAATATGGCCCCAGGCGCTCTTTCGCAATGCTCCGTCAGCGCCCGTGCGACTCTCTGCCGGCAATGCTTGACAAACTATACCAGGACAGCCCCTTCTCAAATTCAGAAAAGGTTCATTTCTCAGAATGTCGAACGAAGGCGGAAACTGCAGGATGAAGCATGGCGGCGCAAGGCCAACAGGATCAGCGCCGGCGAGGACTACAACGTCTGGGATCTGCTCAACGAGCGCGGGTTTGTTAAAGATACTGCCGGGACGCACACACAAATATGGGAGCTCATGAGAAAGAAACGAATCGGTGCCTATGTCGGCGTTGATCCCACCGCCCCGTCCTTGCATGTTGGGCACCTGCTGCCAATGATGGCACTGTTCTGGTTATACATGCACGGATACGGAGCTGTCACTCTAGTTGGCGGTTCGACAGCCAAGGTAGGTGACCCGACCGACAGATTGAAGGATCGTGAGAAAATGGCGAACACCGACCTAGCCACGAACACCACCAAAATCCATTACCAACTTAAGCGATTATGGATCAACGTTGAGGAACAAGCGAGGCGATTCGACTTCCGGAAAGAAACATCCTGGAGCCGCGCGGTCCTGAACAACAGCGCATGGCTCAACAGCACTCCAGTCATGGAGGTCGTTGGCAGGCTCTTCAAGGGCATACGCATGGGACCACTGTTGTCGCGAGACACAGTTAAGAGAAGGCTCGAAGAGAACAACGAGGGTATGCCACTGGACGAATTCATCTATCCCCTGTTACAGGGTTGGGACTGGTGGGAAATGTTCCAATCCAAAGGTGTACTGATGCAGATCGGCGGATCAGACCAGTATGGAAATATCGTGACAGGCGTCGACGCTGTCAAGTATTTAAGGGATACCGAGCCTAATCCGGAACGTCGCCTACCCAACAAACTGGAACATACACCAGTTGGCTTCACGGTGCCATTGCTAACCGATTCGTCTGGCGCAAAGTTTGGCAAGAGTGCAGGCAATGCAGTTTGGCTTGACCCATTCATGACGAGTTCCTTTGACCTGTATGGATACTTCATGCGCCGACCAGATGCCGATGTTGAGCATCTCTTGAAACTGTTGACTTTCCTCCCTATGGAGACAGTGCACAAACTTATGGCGGAACACCTTCAGGACCCCTCGAAGCGCGTTGCTCAGCATGCTCTAGCATTTGAACTGGTATCCTTGGCACACGGCGCTACCATGGCCAGTGACGCACAAGCGGAACACCGAGCCGTGTATGCGAGTAGAAATGGCACAACTGTTGCTCCTGGGACACCTACGACTCAGAACGAGTTGTCGCAATATCCAGAGGGCCGACCTGCCGACAACAGCACTGCGGCCAATTTCAAGGTTGATATTGAATTGCCCGAATCTCTCATCATGGGCAAGCATATGGGCCACATTTTCTATGCCTGCGGACTTGCCAGCTCTATCTCTGATGGTGTACGGCTCACAAAATTCCAAGGTGCCCATGTTGCCGGAGCGCCCGGCCAGAAAAGGGGCATGACACTAGGCGATCTGACGTACACACCTGCAAAGAACTGGGTCCCTGAGGACACCAAGAACTTCCTAATCGATGGGGAGCTGCTCATAGTACGTCGTGGCAAGCACTTCATCCGCATCATCAAGATGGTCTCAGACGAGGAGTGGAAGAGGAGCGGACGCAACTACCCTGGAGAGCGCGGCACCGGCAAAGTTCGAGAAATTAAAAAAGCCATTACGGCTATTCGGAAATCCGGCACTGATATGGACAGCAAGGACTGGAATAAGCTGAAGGAAGAACTTGCGCACGATAAAGCGCGCGAAGAGGCCCAGTCAAAGGGCCAGTTGTATATCCCAACTGGCACACCACCCGACAAACCCACGTCAAGGGAGGAAACGATGTAGTGCCTACTGTAACAACATAAATATGTATAATAACACAACGCCCCCCCCTGACATTGCAAATGAATACCCACCTGAATTTGATATTATCTGGAAGGATCATGCGCTATTAAATCGTTAGGTCATAACTTGGATGACTTTCCTTGTGGAACTTGGACTACCACTTTTCCCCAGCTCTCCCTTCCACCCAGAGCGATCAACGCGTCTGGTACACTTTCCAGGCCGATAAACTCCGTGTCCGAATAAACTGTGCCCTTGAACTTGCCTTGCCCAACGAGCTTCATAATGCCCTCCCACACAAGAGGAATACTCTCTTTCTCGTGCACAGCGTACTGTCCCCAGTGAATACCCACTAGGCTGATGTTCTTCAACAGAACCTTGTTCATAGCAACCTTCTCGATCGTGCCCGCCGCGAACCCCACCACCAAGATGCGTCCGTTCCAGGCGATGCACTTGGTGCTCTTGTCCACCAACCCCACGGGGTCGTAGACGATATCCACGCCCCTGCCCTTGGGCGTCAGCTTCTTGACGAGTTCCGGCCACTTCTCGTCCCGGTAGTCTACGACATGGTCGGCGCCGAACTGCCGCGCGACCTCGCGCTTGCGCTCCGTCCCCGCCGTCGCGATCACCGTCGCCCCGAACGCCTTGGCGATCTGCACCGCCGCCAGCCCGACGCCGCCCGCCGCCGCATGCACGAGGACGTAGTCGCCGGCCTTGACACCGGCCCGCAGCACCAGCGCCCCGTACGACGTCGGCGCCGTCACGAACAGGCCCGCCGCGTCCCGGAACGACCAGCCCTCCGGCACGGGCAGGAGCTGCACCTCGGACGCCGCGACCTTGGCCGCGTAGGAGCCCTGGGAGGCGCCAAAGACGCGCGCGCCCACGGGGAATTTGGGCGACTTGGACCCAGACGGGGTGGAGAGGACGACGCCTGCGAACTCGGCGCCGGCCACCCAGGGGAACGGTGGCTGGTTCTGGTACTTGCCCTGTATCTGCAGGATATCAAAGAAGTTTGTCGCCGCCGCGTGCACCTCTATGACGTACTGGTCTGCGCTCGGTTTAGGGTCTGAAAGCTCGGTGACCTTGAGCTCGTTGGGCCCCTGGGGTTTCATGGTGAATATTCAGGTTAAGAGAACCTGGATAGGTTTCGTTATATGAGGCTCACCTTTACATATTGAGCGACTTGGATGCCGCGCATGTTGATGGCTGAATGCAAGAAGTGCTGCGAACTGCCTACGAAAATTTATTGACGAAAAGGCAAATATAGACGGGCGGTCTTTACAATTTGTTGTCTCGGTTTAGGTATCGAGACGAGTATTTGCAATTAACAACAGCTATTTAGACGAAGAGCTTCGGTTGGAGAACGTAGAAGCCGAGGTAGGCTATTACAAGGGTATAAAGCGAGCTAGCCCGCCCCGGGATTGCAATTCCGGCATGGTTTGGAGCTGATGATGTCTTGACGCGGGGGACTGCAAGTTGACAACCTTCCAGATAAACGCCTGGATTTTGTCCCACCAGATCTAACGCTCTGATCTTTCGAGTACTTAGGCCACCAAGGGGAGAGGAGGAGTTTTGAGGTAAATGCACACTGCGCAATCCGCCAGAGCACCTCTGACGTGGTTCGAAACTTGTTTACTTGATCATGCTCAAGAACTGCTTCAATGCCATTTCGTCTAAGTCAGACCATATTTCCGACTGCAGGTTTTTGATTTGGTTCAACAGGAGCCCAGATGCGCCAGCTGGGAGAAGCTATAAGTCTTGAGTGGGTGAGCTATTTGATCCAGAAGGCTAAAGACGCCGAGAGAAGCAGTTGATTTTGGATGACAGTTTCCACGAATGCGGTGTGCCGGTAGGCTGGCACTGACTGTAGTAGCGTATGTGATGGAGACTAACCTTGGGTTGATCTAATGAAAGTAATCCGCGCCGATGAAGCTCAATGATTATGTTACCGTTCCATCTCAGAGTTCTGTTTCCAGTTTGATTATTCCAAGCTGACTGTCAGGCTGGTTGACTTGAAGTGATTGTCGAATGTTATTTCATGTCATCCTACTTTGAGAGTGGCAAGGACCAACAAAAAAGTCGATGACCTTAGCTTACAGGGTAACCTAAGGTTAACCTAGTCTAGTCCCCCATTCCCACTCATGCCAGCGCCTACATACATCTACCTACACACCTACCCTCTGGCCCCCTACCTACCTACGCCTACGCCTACTCGCCTGCGCTGACGCTGACGCCGACGCTGACGCTGGGCCAACTACCCCACTACCGTCTCGTCTGGGTTACCGTCACCTTCCATACCGTGCTGTAGGCAATCCGTACACACCTAACCTGCCTAACCTACCGACCTTTCCAGGCTCGAGTTGGCTGAGGTATCATCCCACTTGCCTGCGCAACTCAGTTGAACGACGAGACCTGCGCTCGCTTCCGATTTTGCACGTTTTGTCTATTTCAAACGGACCATAAGCCAGTAAGCCACGAGTTCCGTAGAAAGAGACGTCCCAGGCACCCGTGCATCTTTATTGCATTACTTTGCGCCTCCATCAGCTTATCGGCGGCCTCATTCCCTGCTCGACTGTCACTGTAACCCCGCGGCTCACCTGCGCAACAAGATACAGATACGGATCCAGACACAGTTCTGGATACCCATAACCTGCAACCAATCCAGAACTAGATCAGGCACGGCTACACATCACCGTTGACCAGACATGACGGAGGCAACTGAAGGATCGGGCGATGCCCCTATCAGCTTCAAGGTCAAGACCTCGGGCGAGGGCAACCACTCTGTCACCATGCCCGAGAGCGCCACCGTGCTTGACCTCAAGACGAAGCTGTCCACAGCCGAGTTCGAGAACATCCCCGTCGAGCGCCAGCGACTAATCTACTCGGGCCGTGTCATGAAGAACGAAGAGCCCTTGGCCACCTACAAGATCAAGTCTGGCAATACAGTCCACTTGGTCAAGAGCGCTGCAAGCAACCCAACACCTGCGCCTTCTTCTACCTCGTCGCAATCGGCTCCCGCTCGGCCCCAGGTGCCCACCAACATGGCCGCTGGAACCGCGAACAACCCGCTGGCTGGACTTACCGGCGCCCGCTACGCTGGACTCACAGGTCTCCCATCTGCCGACATGTTCGGGCCCGATGGAGGCATGGTTGGCCCCATGATGGACGAGGATGCCATGAACAGAATGCTCTCGGACCCCAACGTCCTCCAGCAGATGAACGAAATGCTCAACAACGACCAGTTCCTCGACATGATGATCCAGCAGAACCCCATGCTCCGTAGCCAGCCCAATGCGCGAGAGCTCCTACGATCCCCAATGTTCCGCCAGATGATGACAAATCCCGAGGCTATACGTAGCGCCCAGCGCTTCGGGTCCATGATGCGTGGTGGTGGTGCTGGTGGGGGTGGCCAGAGTGCCTTCCCTGCTCCGGGAGTCACGGACACGACACCACAAGACAGAAGTACTACTGCCAACAGTGGTAACGCGAACGATAACGCCGGCCAGCCCAACCCTTTCGATCCCGCGGCATTAGCGCAGCTGCAAGGACTCATGGGCGGACAGGGTGGGAACAATGCAAACCCTCTGGCAGGTTTGTTCAACCCCTTCGGTGCAGGTGCCTTCGGCCAACCACCCGCTGGCACGCAGACAGGAACGGGTGCTGCCCAGACTGAGGGTGGCAACACTACACAGAATGCTGCTACTATAGGCTCAGTTGACAACGCAGCCAACCCTACAAGCCCGTCTGCAAACCCTTTCGCCTCTCTATTCGGTGGTGCTCAACCTGGCGCTGGCGGCGCCAACGCCAACAACCCTTTTGGCCTGCCTCCTATCTCGCCTGAGGCACTGCAGCAGATGATGGGAATCATGGGCATGGGCTCGCCGGGTGGTGGATCGCCTGCTCCCCCCGACAACAGACCACCTGAGGAACGATACGCTGAGCAATTGAGGCAGTTGAATGACATGGGCTTCTACGACTTTGACAGGAATGTTGCTGCTTTGAGACGGAGTGGAGGAAGCGTGCAAGGTGCCATTGAGCATCTTCTTAGCTCGTAGGAGAACCAGACTTGTGGCCGGGTATCGTGGTGATGAGAAAGAGCCATCGACGATGAGTAGTCTGTGCATCGTCCTGGGATATTTGGGGATTCAAGAGCAGTACTCGACGTTGGAATGTGGCCGACACCTGTGATTCAGCGATTACTGTTTCCGGATTTTTCTGGGGGAGGAATTCCATCATTAATGACAAATGAGCCTACCCACTCGTAGTGAACGAGAAACAACGCAACATTGTTATGCATGTGTGTGCTATCTACACCAAGATCGTAAAATTGCAGCTGGTTCCGTTAACGAAAATTTGGGCACTGTGAATGTTACTTAGCTAGTTCTCGCCTAATAAAGGATGCTCCGTATAGCCCATATTCCCTATCTGAATTTGCATGCTTTCCAAGACTCTTCTTCGCATCTCCTCTTCCACTTTACCAACGATATCCGTCCCCAGGAACGCTCCGTGCGAACTCTTAAATCTATGATTTTTCAAGACTTGCCACATCCGCTCGATCACGTCGGGCGCCAGTGGAATCATGTTTGGAATACTCCACATGAAACTATAACTATTCAACCCCTCTGGCCTGCCTCCCTCCCGTGCCTCGCCGAGCCCGTCGACCTCCCAGTTGCCCAGTCCGGCCGGCGTCGTCATGAGCGTGTCCGCCACCAACAGATGGGACTTGTGAAGCACAACAAGGGAGCCAGGGAAATGCCCTCCCAGCTTTAGGGCCTTCACGCCCGACGGCTCCCCGTCGATGGGGACATCGAACTCCCTCTCGGACAGGAACACCTGGTGCTCCGACTCCCGGGCAACCCACCGCCTGTCCTCGGCCGCAAGGTACACCGGACATCCAAACGCCTGCGCCCACTCCACGTGCGTGCTGTAGTAGTGCGGGTGCGAGATGACGATGGCTCGCAGCCCGCCCAGCTCCCGGATCTTGGAGATGGTCGCCAAGTCCAGCAGCGTCACGCAGTCCCACAGGATGTTCCCCCGGGGCGTGCGGACCAGGATCGCCCGCTGCCCGATGGCGAGTTTGGGCTCGCTGACGATGGACGTGAAGGTCTCGGGAGCAGAGGGCAAGGGGTGGAACACGTTCTTGTGCTTCCCGCGCAGCGCGGCCAGCGTCGTAAAGGACTGGCCCGAGGGAGGTGTGTATTGGCGTGGGTCGTCACAAATGAAGCAAGTTTTCAAAGAGGACCGATCTATGGTTGGGAACTGCGTTCCGCAGGTAGAACAGACGAGGTAGTCTTCCGTCTTGAGGGGGTCATTTGATGACATCTCTTAAGCCTTGGGTGTCGACAATGGGGTTAAGCGACGTGTGGCTCGCTAAGGATATTTCAATCAGTAAACGTTACTCGAACGGAATCATCGGAATCATGGACACAGGGTTTTATTTTTCCTCTGCAATGACATGATTACAGAATGGGTGTATTTACAATAGCCGCCTCGTTCGGTAGTGGTCCGAAACGTGGGGAAGAGTGGGGTAGTCAAGTATAGTTCACATCGTATGTAGGGACGCAATAGTAATAATAATAGTTTAAAATCGACTTTGCGAGTCATTTCGTGATGACGATACGCCACTATAATCACACTGGAATGGTGTTGCGTTCTACTGTGTGGACATATCGATGAAATCATGGATGACCGTCTGCTCCCTGTGACATTTGACATGGTTTAGGCATACAGGCAGAACAGAATGTACATTACACGGCAGCTGTTCTCTCTATCATTGGTCCGCATATGCACAATGCCAGGTGACAAGGCAGATTCATGTCTACAACTCTTCGATTCCTCGCCCCACCTTTACCCCATCTAGCCTCGTGCTGAAGTAAGGCCATATAAGAAACCACGTTATGTGCGAGTACAGTCAACAGCGGAATAAGCCCACATTAAAGCACAGGAACCCTATTGATGCCGCTCCTAGTCACCAGTATCCGATACTATCGTAGTTGGAATATTTCTACGAAAACTCTGAGCACCCAGTCCGCAAGGACGCATGCAGAAAGTTCTCTGTGACTACATGGAGTTCGCTGGCACTTTATTCGCGTCAAAGATTCGGCCACCATTTCTCGCAAACCATATACACTCACCCGCGAAGTACATCCATTGAGCGTCTATGCTGATAATGTCTGCGAAAACATCGACCCTATCTCCACCGGACTTGACGGAGGACACGTATCCACCCCCTCATCGCCACAGTCCTAGTGCTCTCTCCAACTCTGCAAACCCAGAGGAAGACTGGAGCAAGATCTCAGACGCTTCTGAGCGCAGGAGAATCCAGAATCGAATCGCTCAACGCAACTACCGTATGTCGCCCTGAGAACCATGGATGCATTGCCTTGCGAGATTGACATACTTTTACAGGCAAGAAGCTGAAAGAACGCTTGGAAGACTTGGAGAGGCGTGCTAATATCTTAGATGATGATTGGTTTGCTACTAGTTTGGAGACACCCCCGGGGGATGAACAAACCAGTTCTGGAACTTCATCGGTCGCCGGTATTCCCAGACCACCAGAGCTCAATACGAGATCGCATTCAGATCATGAAGAGAACAACAAGTTGTTTGCCGCACACAACGATGACAAGAATCTCTCCAAGAACAAGAAAGAAGAGAGCCAGCCTAGAATTTTGACAAAGCTTAGTCAGGGCAAACTCCATGACGAATATATTCATTTCGATGATTATGACGACGGGAATAGCGGCTCGGAGCCCGAGCCGCATATGGCCCTTGTTGACTATCGCAACACACCCAGTGCACATAAGCAATTTGCGCCAGACACAAGAACAAATACACAGGGATGGGACAAGTGTATACATCATCGTGTGCCATTCTACAATGATATAGTCGCGACAATAACTCGATGGTTCCAGTATTCGAGGAACAAATTCGAGGCGGCGTTGCAGCCTCAAATTCCTTCTGCTCATGTTCGAGTATCATGGATTTGTGTAAGTCGATGGCACCATCTGAGTACTGATGAAATTCGGTATCATACTTCTATTTTTATCTTCTTTCTTAAACTAAGCCCCGTCATTCAGACTCATAGGCGGTCTTTGTGTCAGCAACGCCGCTGTCTCTTGGAGAAATTAGATTGTGGTCTCGAAAACCAAACTTACTCACATTGTTAACCTCTACTTTTGTACTTACCGAGTACTCAATATCGATTAGCTAACAATTTAGACATGTGGGAGACGATTATATGTAGATGTCCCTGCAGACAGGAGATCATACGCAGTCTACTTAGCAAGAAAGGCGGCCGGGCCACGGAATTCAGACACAATCACGACTAGAACTCGGGATAGCAACAGTCCAGAACATACCGTGCCTGAACAATCGTCCAGCGTAGGATCCTTGACTCAGCCAGATGCCTCGGTAGCAACTTCTAGTGACGATAGTTCACAACTTACAATCCCAAGTGCCGCAGATGAACTTGACAGCAGCCACATGAGTGGGAAACCCCCAAGTGGCACAGCTAGATATCTACTGCTGTGTCTTGATGTCGGAGTTCATCGAATTTCCCTGACGAACGTAGATGCCACAAGAATAAAGTTCGACTATGGTCTGTACAGAGAAGTCAGAAGGGCTTATCAGGAAATCCGCCTGCGAAGGGCAAAAGACTGGCATAGTGCTTTCATTTCATGGTTCTACAAACCTAAGACTATGCGTTACGTCAAGGTGAGTAGCATAGGAGTCAGAGAAGAGGAAACGAAAAAAGTATTATAATAAAAACTCAGAAACGCTAATGACATCCATTAGTTTTCTCTAGCGAAACATACAGTCTCGGGTCCGTCTGTAAATGTTCGCAGATACGATGTGCTACCGCCGGCGATCGAGCTGAAGGCGGGCCGATACTTTTACAGGACAGAACATCTCGAGGCAGGAGAGTTTCCGATGCATCCCAAAATCTTTAGTAAGTCTTTTTACTCTTTTGAGAATGGTGCTGAGCGTACATTGCCAATTCGATATGATTGAGCTCTTTATGTCTGTCTCCTACCTCCTAAAGACCCTCCAGCCCTCCAAAAGAGGTTATTATTGACCCAGAATACTGTAGTGCACTGTTTATTCCATAAAGACGACTTCACGGAGCTAGACCTGGCTGTGGAAGGGCTGCCGAATAAATTGCACCAGCCGATGGAATATACAAAACCTAATGCGTATCCGGGCTGGGGGATCCATATTATAGAAAGTTTTGATTCTGGCCTCGTAGCCTGTATCATTACTTGTGCGTCACTGCTGATCACACTCATTGCCTCCCTCTGGGCTGGCTTGATGAGTGACGTCCAGGGTGGGACAGGAATTGGGCAGTACCTATTGGCTTTCGTGGGGTCAGTCGTTTTAGTGGGCGGGGGCTATCTCAGCACCGCCTGGAGTCTGGAGAGCTAGCGTACCTAGCACTATCTGGGCGAACCTCTCGGCATTCGTGCAGAGATAGACTGTGTTTTCCTCAATGTTGGTCTCTGTGATTAGTGCTTATCATCAAGTACACATAGTATAATGTCAGCTAACGTTCTTTTGCATCGCGCTTTTTAGCTGAGTACCGAGGCTGTCGGGCAGCTAGTTGAGGAGGAGATTTGGGGATATACATAGGTTAGATGCCCCACGAAAGCTAACTATAATCTGGGGAAGTTACATTCCGCCAGGGGTGGATGTCCATGCCGCTAGCTAGTACGGCATAACAAGAACACAGGTGGTTAATATTCCACATGAATCAAATATGCCATCACACCGATACGAAACATTTTATTCCCAGATTTCCCTATATCTACGACTCATGTTGCCGGCGGCTGGCCGAGGTAACATAATGTGAGTCCTTTCCATACATCGCTACACTACTTAGGAGATTGTTTGCGTCGGCGAAGGAGACCGATAAGAACTCTTACAAATAAGCTCCCGTGATTTGTCTTTGCTGTGTGGCAGCAAGCGGCTATCAGCGGTGCGTGCATGAGCCCAGGGAGGCTGGTTCGTTGGAGATAACCGAACTGTGGAGAGACTGATCCTCCAACACGCTCTACTCCGTACCACCTCTACCTCAACTCTCTCATTGTACACCGTCGAGACCGCTAGTCACACAAGAACTTACAAGAACAGTTGCAAGAGTTCAAGAAGTGATACCCATAATTTCAAGACCAGCTTAGTATGGCTTCCTACATTCAACACAAGAGGGACTGGTGAGCTTACCCACAAGCCACCACTTTACAATGAAGCTAATTCCCAACGATTAGCCGCTCCAAACAAGATGAACGTAAAAGAAGACTACAGGGATTGACACAATGTCGTGGACCTTTCACAAGCTTTGATCGTGGAGTCATTGACAGACCAATCGAGGAACTCGTTCATGATGTGCACAAGGGCGTTGTCCAGCCCGTAGATATCCTGCGAACTTATGGTAGAGTTGCGTTGAAAGCTCACGAAAAGACAAACTGCGTGACCGAAGTCATGGTGAACGAGGCAGAGGGCTGGCTTGAAGATGGCTCGATCAATCTGAAAGGGCCTCTAGCGGGTATCCCTGTCAGCTTGAAAGACACGATCATTGTAGGAGGTTTCGACACCACTGTTGGCTTTAGCAGTTTTGTTGGCAACCAGACCCCGTTGGATGGTCCTGTCGTGAAGCTTTTGAAAGACGCTGGCGCTGTCCCCTATGTCAAGACAAACATGCCCATTACGCTTTTAAGCTTCGAATCCACCAATGATGTATGGGGCCGATGCACAAATCCTCATAACAACAAATATTCCCCCGGAGGTTCGACTGGCGGCGAATCTGCACTGCTTGCTCTTGGTGGCCGGATTGGTATTGGAAGTGATGTGGCAGGGAGCGTGCGGGTACCAGCTCACTTTGCGGGCATTTACAGTCTACGGTGCTCTACTGGACGCTGGCCGAAGCTAGGATTCTGCACGAGCATGCCCGGACAGGAGGGCGTTCCTAGTGTATACTCGCCCATGACTAGGACTTTGAACGACCTAACTTATTTCACGCGCTCAATTATCAACATGGAACCCTGGAAATACGACCCCTCGGTTCATCCGCTCTCCTGGCGGTCTGAGATTGAGAAGGAGTACGCGGCTAGATCCAAGCTCAAGGTCGGTATCTTGAGGACAGATGGTGTTGTGGATCCAAGTCCTGCCTGTGCCAGGGCAATGAGACAAGTTGAGGATGCGCTCAGAGCAGAAGGGCATGAAATTGTGGAAATCGACCCGCCATCGCCATACGAAGCACTACAAATTGGTTCACTTTTACTCAATGCAGATGGATGCCAGATGTTTCGGTCTTTCTTCCGAACTGGCGAATGGAACGACCCTGGTGCTCATCAGATGGAGTGGCTCATGAACCTGCCACGGCCTTTCAAGTACTTCTACTACCTCTGGGTCAAGTACATCCGAAGGGATGATATCTGGGCCGGGCTAATTCGAGGATGGCATCAGAAGAGTGCTTTTGAGAACTGGCAGCTGGTGGCAAAACGAGAGGCTTACCGAGTAAAGTGGTTTCAATGGTGGAACTCGGCGGATATCGATTTCATCCTGACACCACCAAACGCCACTCCTGCAGTGCCTCACGACGGAATGAAAGATGCTGTGAGCAGTTGTGGCTATACTTTCCTGTTCAATGTTCTCGATTATACAGCTGGTGTGCTACCGGTAACACATGTCGACAAGAACCTTGATCAGCTTCCCGGCGGGTTTGATATCAAGAAGCTCAACGGTGTTGCCCAGGGTGCTTACAAGTTATATGATGCCGAAGCGATGCACGGCCTGCCGGTTGGTGTCCAGGTTGTAGGGAGGCGTCTGGAAGAGGAGAAGGTTCTCGCTATTATGAAGAGAGTCGAGAATGCACTCGGCGACAGCAAGTATAAACACCTTGACATCGACTAAAATGGGTTCGTCAAACAGCTGTTCCATATGATAAATACATGTCATGCTACTCTATTTGGGACGCAAATATCGCGTGTGTATCACCAACCTCCAGCTCCCTCATGGTACTTGTTGTTTGGGTTCGGACGAGTCTCTAAATCACTTAATGCCTGCATCCTGAAAGTTTATTCTTTTCGTCTATTCATGTTTGTGTTGTCTGCGGGCTTGCTCCGAGATCGGGCTCACCCCGTGTCTTATTTTGATCTCCACTTTTAAGGTTGGCGGCATGTATAAAGGCAAGCCGGCACACTTATACCAGCATACTTCAAGGTCTGGAAGCAAAGAAGATCATCAGTCCATTCTGCTCACACAGTATCTAGCAATGTCTAAAACCCAAAATGATCACTGGTCTTCAGAGGTGTGCATATTTATACTATGGAACTATTCACTGAGAATATTTTTGACTAACCAACCACCGTTCCAGGCCTATCAGAATTCAGCATCGTTCGTGCCAAAATTGGCTACGAAGATTTTGCAATGGCTTGATCCTCAGTCTGACGATGTGATCCTGGACATTGGTTGTGGAGGTGGGTCCAGTGCGCAAGTTAAATATTAAGCATCATGGAATTAATGTTTATGTAAGATGGTATCATTGACCTTCAAATCGCCGCGGTGTTGGCTCAAGGTAGCGGTAAGGTCCACGGTACCGATTCTTCGCGATCAATGATAGAGTCATCCCAAAAGGCAGCCGGCGAGGCCGGTGTGACACGGTGCACTTTCGAAGGTCTCAAGCATTCCTACATGATGAGTGAAATCATCGCAGAGAGCAAAAAGGAGAAATAACTGACCATGATACAGTTGTTGACGCACTTGAAATAATCAACACGCCTTCCCTTCAGCGGGGAACTTTCACGAAGGCTTTTTCCAATGCTGCGATGCACTGGATCTTGCGCTGTCCTCAATCCAGACGTGAGTCCTTTTTCCGTGGGATTCGCGAGTCTCTCAAACCAGGCGGCACGTTTGCTTTTGAGATGGGCGGCCTAGGGAACGTCTCGGAGATGCGCGCTGGACTGCTCATGGGCGTCGCCCGGCGAGTAGGGATGGCAAGGGCATTGGAGGCAGACCCCTGGTTCTTTCCGGACGAGGACTGGGTCACGGAGATCCTGGAGAAGACCGTGGGCGGATGGAAGGTTGAAAGGGTGGAGAGGGAGTGGAGGCCCACGCCTGCGGACAAGGGTGGCGTTGACGGTTGGGTGCGGCTGATGGGCAAACAGTTCTTCGAGGCTATTAATGATGGGAAGGAGAGAGAGGAATGTGTGAGAGAGGTGGTGCAAGTCTTAGAGGAGGTCTGTCGCAACCCCTCCGGTGGGTTCATGTTTAGCTATGTCAGGTTGAGAGTGCTTGCTAGGAAAATCTGAGTTGAAGCGTGGCGAGAGAGGCCGGGTTTACCAAAATCGTGCACATTGCAGTGCAAAGAAGACTGAAAATGGATGCGATGACCATTGCGTTGATCATTGCCTTTGACAAATGGATCTCGCCAGAGCTCAAACGAGTACCTCTCCGACAAGTCTGCAACTTTACTGATAGCAAGTCTGCTGACATACTAGAAGAACTTTCATGAATAGGTCTTCGTCATTATCTTGTTCTCATAGAACGCGAAATGCAACAAATGTTCGGGTGATGTTGAAACCTGAGCCATCCCTTGCAACAGTAAGACAGGATATTTGTTCAAAAACAGGGAGCATCATGTTCTGGAGTACCTAAAGAATGTATGTGCGCGAGGTTAGTAAGTTTAGAGCGATAATTCAATAGTGCAAATACTACTTATCAAGTCCAGGCATCCTCATAGATGCATGGCATAAGTAGGTCTTACGTAGTCTCATGCTCTTCCAAGTACTCACCATTCTCAATTTATGCATGAATTTAAATTAATAATGAATTTTATGGCCTAGTCCGGCTGATCTCGTTTCGTCAGATACTAAAGATTACGAACATTTCGCTGATGGACTCAAAAGGCAATCTTCCCGAATTGACGCTCCCTATCTGCATAGACAATGAAAAAGAAATCCCCAGGCATACTGGCTCAAAATGGAACAGGAAACAGTCCGCCCAAGATGTACTATTGTAGGTCTTGGCGCAGCGAGGCTGTCAGCTGATGTGTCGATTGCGTGTCTTGCTTCAAAAATAACGTCGAGAAGCACACTTGTTGGTGCATTTGTCGTACCCGGTCTTCCCGGAGAATTCAAGCCGTCATATATTGAGGGGGAAAACAATAGCTCGGATATTCTACTCTTTTACTACAATCGGAAGTTCGGTCGGTCGAAGCGAAAAGTACAGGCGGGAGTCTTAGCTAGGGGAATTTAGCAACACACTAAGATTCATTTAAAATAAGATATCGGGCCCTACTGGTCTGTCCTACAGCATAAATTACTCGATATAACCAGAGGAGTCATAAGAGAAAAGCAAGGAAACCATTGTGCAATTAGGGCGAGGGAGCCGTGAGGAAGCTACTTCTCCCTACGGCACAAATCATTCCTCCATAAGTGTGGCCGTGTCACTTCTGCGATGATAATCACTGTTAGACACGATACGATCATTGAAAGCAGGAAATCGAAGAAAGCTCCGCAGAATAAAAGAGCTAATGCATCAGAAAACCTTTTGTCGGATTGGTAGCATTGTGGGTTGGGTCCAATATGCTGCAAATATTCAACTGCGCCATAAGCACACCCTTGCTGATTCTCGAGTGTCTAAAGGATTCCATTAACAGATAGCGATTGCTGATTGTTACATATGTCACTTACTAATATCATGGACTTTCTCTCTCATGTACAATATTATAATGTCGCTTGAGAAGTGCTTCACCGTTTTGAGTTTTTCACGTTGACACGTTGTCACTGATTTGCTTTTCCCACTGACTTCAATGCGGATGCTGCACTGCAGGCTTTCCGTGGATCTTGGATCTTTTCTGTCAAGCCATAAGTGCATACAAGCATCTGGTCGGTGAGCAGAGCGACTCTTTCTATGTGGTACAGTGCTATGGCGACGGTCGATGTAATATCATCGGCAATACAAGCGATTGGCGGACTATACACGCCACTGAGGCTTTGGCATGAGCGTATTTCGACTTCATATGTCCCCTCAGCATTTCTAGTACGTAATCTTTTCGAGTAACGCATCAACGAAGCGTTGAAATGAGCCAGGATGTAACTCTGAGGCTTGTAGCCGGCAGTAGCCAAGCAGCGACCGTCGATAGCGTCAAATTCGCCCAGCCACTCTGTCCTTGCCGTAATGCCAATGAGGCGTCTTCCTCCCGCATGGAGCCACGTACAGCCAATGCTGCATGCTTCATACAGCTTCAGTTGAAGCGACATCTGGTTAAAATAGTGTGGCTTGAGCATGTCATCAAGGCACTACCTGCGCCCAGTCGTGGCCCTGACTGCAATTTCCCCTCAATTACAGTAAAATAGGTCTAGGCTTCATGGCGTCTAGCAAGGTAAGTGTATTCAATTTTGACTCGACCCTCTTCAGAAATTTGGCGGTCATTGGTGAGACAGCCGACAGTTCCGGGTGGCTTGCATTAAGCTTAAAAAATTCCCGATTGGATTTTGACAACATGCTGTTGGACTCAGCTTGCCATTGACTTCCTCAAAACGGAATGTTTCCACGAAGGACAATCTTACGTCTTCCGCTGCCTTGATCAAATGTGTCGACACTGGATCCCAGTGCCTTCTCGTGAATCGGCAAAATGAGCACCCAGGATTGTTTGCTGCTCTACATCAACGATCCCCTGACGCTTCGGGACATTCCGAGCTATTTTTATCTCTCTGGCGTGGCACACTATAGATCAGTTCACGGTCTAAGCAAATGCCCCATTCGTGAGTTTTCAGAGCTTAACAGCCTTGGCAGCATACTCGCACCGATCGGCATAACTTTCCAGACCAGCCAAAGCGGATGCATGTGCTATTATGTCCTTGGTAGACAGTAGACGGCTGGGGGCCAACGGTTTATCAATCTCGTCCGAGCTAAAAGCTTTAACAACACGAGGGATCGGCTTCTCGTGGTAAACTCTATGTGCCGCGATACATCTTCTAGCAGAACTTACCAGCAAATCAATTGTCAATCTCACTTGCAGTCATCTCGCAAAGTATTTCAACTGCGGCGCAACGCATCTAGAGAACATCGGGATCCTTGCCAGGTTTGCATTCTCGTCTACATCCACCCGAGCCTGGCCGGTCACACAGACAACTGGTGATGCAGCACTCACCGTATATAGTCGGTTCCGGAGATCGCTAATCGCTGACCTCGCATATACGGGCCGCTGCACGACGAATCACCACTCAGCTGCATTCCAGGAGAGCCAGGGGTTATGCACCCCGGAGAAGCGAGCTTATGAGGCTTAATTCCTCCTAGCCACCATAGCTTCAGTTTGCTCCAGCGCCCATTGGTGTATCCAAAGTGACCTAGGCGAGGAGCGTTTTGACTTTCCATTACAATGGGCTACACAATAGCCGGACCGGCCTCACAACACTCGAAATATGTTGAGCTTATTACAGCTTACTGCATGTGGTCCGCTTTTCCAAGCTGTGAGAAAGCTCGGCGTGAGGATGACGACTTTTCTATGGCCCCCATTCAAATTATGCCTCTCCAACATTCGTGATCTGATGGCATCACCACTGGTACGAGACCTCCTAGTTGAAGCTTAATACAGTCCCAGTATTTCGTATCCGTGGCTTAAACTATAACATCACAGCCTAACGGTCAGACGCCTCAAAACCAGAGCGTCGGTATAGGCCGGGTAGACACATGTTTTTGACGGGAGCGTGCTGCGTCTATGGCTTCGAGAAAGAAAACAATGCATCCGATATAGTCAGATTAAGTTCAAGGTGTTTGCCTGTTCCTCAATCGCACAACATCTACAGCCCCACGAGGCTTCAATTTGCAATTGCAGCGGACGTAGCACGACCACGTTGCATGCAAGGAGCTTCTGCAGGTGTATACGCGAGGCCCAAAAGTCTAGTGTCTATGTCGTACAGGTCAGCCACGCCGCCGAAGTTTCTCTTCCTAGTTGACGGTGTACTATGTAGAATATGGCATGATCGATCTGCTGGGATTCTATTCGTAGCTGATATTATTTACTAGACAACCACGTCACGGCTTGAACCTCTCTGGCCATCACGTAATAGCAACTATGGCGAAAACAATATTCACCGATTCGGAAATATTGCAGATGTTCCATGCACCCGTTATCGTAGTGGCACTGGTGAAAGTCGTGCTTGTAATGTGGGTTGGAAAGTCAACTTCAGCTGGGGTGGAACTACGGGCCGTACTTTGGATGAACGTGCGATGATATTCTATAAAGTCGAGACTGACTTCCACCACAAATACCACAGTCTACTCAAGTCACTTCCATCGAACAATATCACCCCGTGCTCCCTGCTTTCAATCTTCTTTCCAGATCAGGCTCATATACCCTTCTGTACTTTGAAACAGTTAACACCATCAAGATGCAATTCAAGACCCAATCTCTTTTCCTTGCCCTAAGCACTCTGGCTGTTGCTAGCCCTGTGCCTGGAGATGGTGGCTATGGTACCACCCCAGCCCCAACCACTGTCACTGTCACCGCAGGTTACGGTACTGGAAAGGTAGTATACCCACTGACAACATCGACCAGAAGCACAATAGCTAACGCCTCCGTCTACAGACTATCACCGTCACAAGCTACACTACAGTTGTCAGCACAGCGTAAGCAACTTCCAACTCATTTCCGTTTCTTCCAAGTATGCAACTAGGAACATAGTGGCCAAATAATCCTTTGTGCTCCTGTCATAACTATTATTAACTTATAATCTACCTAAACTATCTCAAAGAAGTATCTGCTGATTAAAAATCTTGCAGACCGGGCTATCCAACAACAGTCACAGGCCCTGGAAAGACAGAAACTATTACCGTCACTGACAAGGGTTACCCGTAAGCTTTTATATGTCCTCCTTTTTCTACATGAAGTTATACGGCAACCTTAACGACTTCCACCTGGTCAAGGACTTTTCACTCATTGCGCTTAAAGCCAGACTGACATACTTTCTGCAGTGTTACAACGACCAAGACCGAGACAATTACAGCACCAGGATATCCGGTAACTGTTACAGCCCCAGGTTATCCGGTGACTGTTACCGGTCCTGGAAAGACAGAAACGATCACTGTCACTGATAAAGGCTACCCGTAAGTTCCGGCTTATTCTTATATTACACCTGAAGTGTTGAGGCCCTTCTTGATTCCACTTTTAATCATAGAAAACTTTTATCTATCGTTACAAAGAATGTAAACTGACGATATTCTCCGTTATCAGCGTCACAACGACAAAAACAGAGACAATTACGGCACCGGGTTATCCAGTGACTGTCACAGGTCCTGGAAAGACAGAAACGATCACTGTCACTGATAAAGGCTACCCGTAAGTCCCGACTTGTTATTCTCTTACATCCCAAGCGTCGAGGCTATCGTCAAAGAGAAGATAAACTGATAAGATTTTCCGTTATCAGCGTCACAACAACGAAGACAGAGACAGTTACCGGTCCTGGAGAAACAGTTACTGTCACTACAACTGCTGTAAGTAACCAACCAAGCTATTGAAACCCATTGCTAGCATAGGCTATAATGATATTGATTTGAGTAATCATTTGTGCTCCTTCAACCATTTGGGATTATGCTAGTATTGTATATCATGAACTTCAAAAAATTAATACTAACTTTGAGTATTATAGGCCGGCTACGTAAGAAACCATTCATACTCTCTTTTTTCAAGCATCTAGGATCATTATTCTGGCATTTTATACCTCCCGTATTTCAGATATAGTTTGCTCGCCACAATTTTAGACAAACCACTAACTCATTTCTTTATCAGCCTGTAACGACAACTAAGACAGAGACAATTACGGGGGTAAGTAGATTTTGAACTTGTCCCATTCCGTGCTCCTGAGATGTTACGGCACGTCCAGAAACGCAAAGGTCTAGAAGCTTTTGAGGCATCTTTGCCAACCTTCTCAAAACCATCAAACTTTATCGATGAAGCAATAACTGACTCTTGTTGATTAGCCTGGCAAGACTTTGACTAGCACCATCACCGTAACAAAGGTATATTATTCTTCGGTGTCCTCACTAGACTCCCAACTACTCCCTTCGTTGCCGTAAATTGCATTCGCAGTCTCTTCACACTTTACCAAGCAGAGCAACACTGACCTCTAATTGCCATCAAAGCCCGGGAATGAAATCACAAAGACAGTAACCAGCTCATACACCACTACTGTGACCAAGACGGGTGAAGGGAAGACTGTGACCGAAACCAAGACTGTGCCAACTACGGTGACAGGTAAGACTCGCCATCCTTCTGATATTTCCTTTGTCGCTCGGACGCTACTCGAAACGTCTTCTTGTCCTTGCTCTGATATAGCTGTATTAACTTCCGATTCACAACAGCCCCTGGGTATCCGGTCATTACAACTATCACCAAGACAGTCACTGTTAAGTCCCCCACTGGTGGATACCCAACCTACCCGACCAAGATCTAAGCGGGTCATTTCCCCGGCCCAGCCCAGCCGACTTTTTCGAGGCGGCGAGTATTGAAACGACGGCTCTTAACAGCTATACGAAAGGGCTAGCCATTCGGAAATTCAATTCCAGATTTTGCAAGAGCAGAGTGACCATCACTACTTTTGGTTGACTACTTTTGATTAATGTTTTATTTCAAACGAGCGATACCTCTCACCTGTATACACTCTTTCGGCACATATTTCTATTACCATTGATGCTTTCAGCTTTTCGATTCTATAGCTAGAAGTTTCTGAAGGATGACGGCTTGGAGAATATTCGGGGAGATAGTATGCAGAAATTCAAAAGTTTTGATCAAACCACCGCCTTCAGATGTTCAAAGCTTGTATCTTGTTATAAATTAGACTCAGGCGCCATTGGCAGCTCCACGACTAACGTAGCAGCAAAGTTTATCGTGATAGCTCCGCATAAACCTTGCAGTGTGTTCACAGCATGCCATGTAAATTTGTATCAAATTAGATGTTAAGAAATCGCCTAATTCAAGCAGTAGTGCTATAGTGCTGAGTTGCGATCTATTTTAAGATATACATCATGCGTAGCTGCAAAGGATCTCGTAATGCCTTGGGAATGGTGTGTTCGGAGAACACCACACGCATAGGCTAGTACAGTAAGCAGTGCTAAGGTAGACCGAAAGGTAGCAGATGTACCGTTACTCGAGCGTTTCAAGCGGCTTGCCAGCTCTATTGCCGCAAAACCTGGGAATGAGGTGCAGTATGATCGGACAACGTGAGATATTCAATTGAGCAGTCTTTTTGTTCGGTCCAAGACGAAGTTGCATTGGAGCATTTATCGATTCGATGCGAATGAACATGCAACATGCTGGGGAGAGCCTCTCGCAAGTCTTTTGCCAGCTATTCACCTAGCACTACACCAGTAGCAGCAAACCCTAAATGGACCTTACGCGAGGCAAGTGATATGTTCACTTGTACGGGAGCATAATCGCAAGGCTAGAGTACTGTAATCTCATCTCTTCTAATCTCGTTGGTAAAGAGGGTGTGCACTAACCTATGCCACTGTGAAGAGCCACCATCATTTCTTCAATGATTGATGTGCCCTGGTTTCCTACATCTAAGCTCACAGCACCTGTTATGAATCCTAGCCCAAGCGGTTGTTGGGCAAGCACACCAAAAACCGCCGAGGTACAAAATCTTATTTGAACAACAGAGTGGTCACATTGTGGAGCACGAGACGAAATTGCCAACTTTCGTGGATATCAACTCACCAGTCTTTCACTTCGTCATGCTGCTTCAGAACCAGCAGAAGTTCATGAGCGTACGAAATTTATCTATTCACTTCTGTTATACAACGAGACCTGTGATCAGTCCTCACGTTTAAGGGACATAAGAAAGAATGGCATTCATATCAGCATTTTATTCAAATGAGTAACGATAGACTTGAAGGCAACATTCTGGCTCGATAAAAACATTGTAGAAGATATAATTCGAAGTGACTGAAGTGCGCTATGCATAGCACACAGATTCTGAGATGAACATGAAGGAGAGATAAATCGTTAAGCCGGCTGTCCAGTTTGCGCGAGACTTCCAGTTATTCCCCCGAAAAAGTCAAACACGTCGCCAATCTATCCATAATTATATGCCCAGTTCTGACAAGCTATTTTTCAAAACCAATAGTCCATTTGTCGTCCTTAATTTCATGAAGAACAGTTATGCTGTGTACATTTTCCGCAGTTATGACGATTGTACTACGACGAAATTGATGCGTGCGATATACCGCGCAGTGGATAGAACTGGAGTGCTCCACAGACTACGTGGCGGTCGTAAATGATGCCAGGAAAATGGTACAATGACAACAATTGGTCACATAGAAAGCTTGTCTGGAATATCAAGTAATAGTGGTTCTATGCCGCGTGCATATGCAGTATCATACAGTTCTGATACCAGATCATGTTACCACCCAACGCTGCCATTGGAGACTGTTCAATTCCATCTGGTTCAGATGTACTATTTATTTCACACAACGCTGTCGCTAATTACCATAAAGGATGTTTCACCATTTCTGGGTGGATATGACCTGTATCAATTGGACTAGTCTTCATGAAGGGAACTGCAAACGTTGCTGTGGTGCGGGCTATCTATGAACGTTGTTTGAACGTAGGCGTCTATCTGGGGAACGACTTGGTGACCCAACTAGTCCAAAACACTGCAGCGCAGAGAATTTCATTTATGGCAAGGTATCGATACAAATCTATCAAAGTTGTTACGGTCATCCAAGAATTGGTATTAGACTAGTCTAGCTCCAAACGCTCTTATCCTGACTGAAGGTATCAATTATTTTGTAGGCTACGAGCTGCCAGCGCAGCTGGGGGGATTTTGGAATTGGAACGATATAGCTGCAACCTGGTTGCAGAATGTTGCTAGCGGCAAGATACGCAAGGAATGGAAATGTTCGAGGTTCTGGAACAGACGTGGAAGTCAAGAACTTCTGATACGTACGACAAGATAATTGGTGTTTTTGCACTGGTTAACAATCATGCTGTGCACAAATCTAACACCACAATACGCACTTTCTGTCATTGAGACATTTTTTAGAGCATTTGATTACATTCTTGTAAATGAGCAGCGCCTCGAAATATTGGTTGGTGCATGCGGGGGGGTTGATGGCTGTGCCTAGATATCCCACGCGGATTCCCGGCTGGGAGCGTGGATATGCTTTATAGACTTATGAGAGTCATCTCCCTTTCGCTTAAGCTATCTTGACTGACTTGCGAACAATAATCTCGAATTAGTATTGGTCCTTGCCTGTGTCTAGTCTGTTGTGTGTGTATGAATCGGAACGCACTGGAAAAGCTTTGCAGAGCTGGTGAACATTGCAGACGCAGCGAGTACCGAGAGTACATCGATAACTATAACTTCTGTTTCGAGGATAGCAGTTATCTTAATGTCAATCTCTAGTAATACCGATTCTTAGAGCATGTGTTTCATGACGGTACTTGGCCAGCCACTATTAGTGTTGCTGATAACTCATGCGCGGCTTTGTCGATAGGACCGGTGCGTTTGTGTCCAGTCACGTCTAACCCGAGGCTTGTTTCAACGTTATATGGCGACAGGCACAGAGCAATATGCCTATTCGTGATACGGCAAACACATCACAGTTGGCGTGTTTTTACCTAATAATGTGAACACTTGTGAGCTTATCAATTCTCAACTTCCATGCGTCCTCTTCGCGTTTGAAAGGCTTAGTGACGCTAGCAGTCCGATCTTTTTCTTCAAACACTAAGTCAGCTGGCTCATACATACTAATATTATGGTGTATTTTATATATACTCCTGGTCAGTAGGTGGCCACTACCAAGTGCAGACGAAGGATATGCTGGCGACTGTCAGAAGTCGTCAGTGCCGTTGGCCAACGCATCACACAAGCCTACAGTTCATGACCGAGGCGATCCGGTCGTTCAGTCCTGCTGGTCAACTTATAGATCCAAGTTCTAGTCTGAAATTCAGTGCTCGCGACGAGAAGCTATTTATGGTAGTTGTCCCAGTCGATGAAGTGGCCTGCCACGAGATAAGAACTCTGATTCAGCATTTACTATACAATGGAGTGGATGAGAGCATTTCCGACAATCTCAATCGTTAAGTATTTGCCAGCTTATACGAGACCTGTATTCAACAGAAATGCCACCAATATCGGCCTAAGTGGTAGACAGACTCGACTTTTCTGAAAACGACTCCAACTGGAAGAAGACTCGGGAGCCCGCGTGGAGCATATTTGAGTAAGAATGGCGAGATCAGCTGATCATGATCAATCAGGATCCAACTGGGCTTATATTTACGGAAGCGTAAGGACAACAGATTGCAGTACGAGCTCGCAGTAGTAGGTAAATGTTTTCAATGATGTATTCTTTGTCGACTAGGCCGAACTAGGAGAATGGGTGCTACTTACCTTTGGAGCCTCAGAATTGAAAAGCGTGATGAGCATGTGCTACAAGAAACACATATTCGTGCAATACACTGTGAGAAACAATACTGGCAAGCTCCTAGACCATTTCTTACTCCTTGGACGCCACTGATTGATACAAATACAATCGCTTTTCATTTGGTAAAAGAAGTAAAAGAGCTAGGCAGCGTACTATCAGGCAGCACCGTTTCTGCTTTCTCGGCTCGCTAGCGGAATTCAAGGATAACAAATGTCAAAAGCGGCCGAGATGATTGTGATTGACCCACCAGACGGAGACAAACTTATTTATCCCGATTTGTGGCCTGAGTGGGCATTACATGATCTAGAATAGGTATTGTAGGCAAGATCACCCAGGCGTTGATCATATAACTACGTTTGCGGACTGTTGAATACTTTGATCCAATAGCAAAGCGAATAGAATCACCAACATTGCTTCACCATGCGCCATAATCTAGCAGCTAATAGTTATATTTTTTCTCGCACGGGGCTTCAATCATTGTCTATTGATCACTGTTCACATCGGTGTTGACAACCTCCATACTACTACTAAGCACTAACTTAATGTTCAAGCTGGTGCCCAATTTCCAAGCGTATAGTCAATCCTTCTATTACAAAAATTGCTGGTTTGACCAGTAGGCTTCGAAATTTATGGGCAATATGGAAGCGGCGCTTTTCCAGTCAATGTCACTTGAACACCGTATTCTCCATACGGGTTCGATGGTCTTGCGGAAGCGGCCCGAAAACGTTTCATGACTACAGCACTTGAATCGTTTTAAGAACAACTTTGGAGAAAATAAGTATTGACTATGAGCGCTGTTGGGTATCGGCCGCCTTCTGACGCAATGGCGCTCGCTAACCTAGTCCCCAGAATGATGGTCTATATTCGAATTCACCCAGTCGATATTCATACCCAATCTCGTCTCTTTGAGCCCAGGAAGATTGACAATTTGGCCCTCGCAAGACTGCTTTTCACCACGGCGATCCGACGGTAAATTGTGCCTGTTCCTAAGCTCAGGCTAGTACATCGCTAGATCGTCTGATAGTTGATGATCTCCGGGGCTGTGATGATAGGTGTATCGTCAAAGACATGCCCCACAAAAGGCAGCCTCTTGCGGGGGAAGAGTGTATAGAGTTGGTGATAATTGTACACGGTATGGCTCATGTTCCTAGGTTAGACGTAGGCCCAGATTGCGCTACGTCAGTCCTAATGCCTAGAAAGCTAATATTAGTGTTCATTACGTTTCTGGAGTGCCGTTACGGTAGTCTGCAAGCCATGTGAACGTTATATGAGCTGCGTGCTGAAAGTACTTACTAAGGTACAGTGGTTAGTTGCGCAATTAGACCCATAACTATTTCGAGGTTCCCCAACATTGAAAGGATGCACAAAGTTGGAAGGTTCTGGGAGAGATTACCAATCGCACCGCTGATGATTTCAGGCGCAGGAGCTAAACCCGCGAGCCTAGAGATCACGGTTATTACAGTCCCTCACCGCAGCAGTTTCGCAGAGGCCCAACCACAATAAATCACATAGAGATTTGAACTTGCTCCTTTTAGAAGTGCCAGTTTAGAATTATTCCACAACCCAAGGTTTGCCTACATTAATCAACTTAGAACAATTACAGTCGTAACTTCCACAGTGCATGTATGGTAGCTTTGATAACTGCGGAGCATTAACATTCCTCCATTAGTAAAGCATACTGACGCCATACCTGCAGGAAGTGGTGTGTTTTACGGACATGTCGGCAGTAGTGGTTGCGCGCTATAGGTAGTGCACCTACTACATCGATGACAAATGTGCAAGCAACCACTGCTGTCCAGCAATAATAAGACTACGATGGCGGCAAATAAAACCGCACAATGTTTCTCCAGACAGTTTACTTCTATTGCTTCATCACTAATTTCAACGGTCTCCTGTCGTAACATACGACCACCAGTCACAAGTCTTTCCAGGTTGATTCACGTAGCAACACCCAAAGTCAATATGGCGGACAAGTTGTACATCTCCGAGACCCCCGATGAAGTCAAAAATGCCAAGGGGCTCCATCTCCTTACCATGAACACGCCAAACGGGCAAGCTGTTCAGATCTTCCTAGAGGAGCTGGCTCAGGAGTACAAAACAGAGTGGACAACTACTTTAATTGATATCAGTACCAACGAGCAGAAGAAAGAATGTAAGTTACCACGATTTCATGCCTCAAGATGGATCCCGAATGATACTAGTCCAAGTACAGCTGAAGAGTCTACATAAGTAGCAACTCAAAGTCACGTATTTACTTGGACTTAGCTACTTGAAACTAACTCACTTCGACTAGGGTTTCTCCGACTTGATCCCAATGGTCGTATCCCGGTGCTCATTGACAACAGCCAGAAGCCTCCATTCACAGTCCATGAGACCTCAGCCGAACTCTTGTACCTTGAAAAGCTCGTCGACAAGGACGACATCTTCGGCTTTAAGGACCCGCTTGAGCGAAACGAGGCCCTTCAGTGGCTTTTCTTCTGGCATGGCTCTGGTGCCCCGTACCAGGGACAGACGAACCACTTTACTAGACAAGCCCCTGAGAAGATTGAATGTAAACCTCAATTGTGATCCAGTCAAAATGAATCTACACTGACGAATACCTCTAGACGCTATCAATCGATTTAGAAACGAGACACTCCGTGTCTACGGTGTTCTAGAGATCCGTCTCTCTGGCAAGTACACCGGTGAGCCAAGGGATTATCTCGCCGGCAAGGGCACAGGCAAGTACTCGATAGCAGATATCAAGACTTGGCCGTGGATCAATCTATGGGAGAGAAGCGGCTTCACTCATGAAGAGATGAAGTCGTTCCCACATTTGCTCAAATGGGTTGACAGAATCGCTGCACGCAAGGCTGTACAGCAGGGCATCGGCAAAGCCTACATCAAAAACTAGCCTGGTAGCCTATGGCTTAATCAGATGTATATGTATCGTGGGGCAGTTTGGTATTGCGTTGCTATTAAGTAATGTTACAGGTTTTATAGCTGTATCTCGAGGTCCATCTGCAGAGCGTGTTGCTCTGTCGCATCAAATCCTTCATAATCTGCTTCCAAAGAACTATTGGTCCCCTTAGCATGAGTCGCCGGACAAGGTATATAAGCGTCAATCTTACAATTTCGGGTCATGCTTCCATCCTGGCATGTCCGCAAGATCTTTCGGCGGTGCTGCACGTCTGGACTTGAGTGCATCACCTCCTGGACGCCACTTCCACTGACAGGCCATCTCCTCAGGCAGCCTGCCTTCTATCAGTTCAACTACATGCTTGCCGACATTGGGCAGAATTTTGAATGAGTGTCTAATTTTATTAGTTATCATTTGACGAGCATGGGTTGAGGGGCAACTTACCCACTGTCGCCGGTTGCTAGAATAAAGTTTCTCCATTTGGGGTGTTCACACATCAACAGAGCAGCATCTGCCGTATCTGTACACCAACACAAGGCGCGATTGAATATCTCTTTTTCCTTAAATCGAGGCAGAAACGTCGCGATGGCCTTCCTGATACTCAGCTCAGATGCGTCTGGGTAAGTATCGGTGGGATGCTTGGCATGTGATCGTGGTACTGATATTTGCTTTGGGGACGATGCACCATAGGGTTGATGTTGCTTGAAACGGGAAAATCCTGGAAACTCGTCGCATACTTTTATCACACCAAATCTAGAAGCTTCAGTACCTTTATGCCGCGTGCGCCTTGTTCAGTACATGCTACTCACTCATTAGGCTCGAAGAAGAACCCAACTTCGCCATTATACACAACTGGGACACCCTTATACTCAGCGGCCTCCTCAGGCGTCAATTGAATGTGCGCATACACCCAAGCCTGAATGGTTTTTAGTTTCCTAAATATTAACGGTCGAAAGTACGTGTATAAGCATACCTTTGAACAACATTGATCTTCTAAATCGACCAGAGTTGGGCTCCATGCGCCAGCCGCTAGGACCACCTTATCAGCATAGTACTTCGTTCCATCTACCGTCTCAACGCCGTGGCAAGCTGTGCCATCGGCATCGAGAATGGGTTGTTTGAAAGATCCAGCACTTTTACTAACTTAGTAGTTATTCTGGTCGTGTGTTGTGTTGACTTACCCGCCGAACCCGAATTGTACGCCGCTTTCTTTCAAGAACTGTCCGATTGCATTGATGGCCTTCGCAGCAGCCAGCCAGCCGCCATCCTGACTCCATATCGCTTTCCATCCCTGTATCTGGTCACGTTGAAGCAATGGCATTTTAGCTAAGATTTCATCTTCGTTGTCCAACCACTCGTGGGTCTTTTCCAGATCCGCACCAGCATCGCGGAGGGCCGAGTACTGCTTTTTAAGGCCTTCAATACCTTCTGATGTGTGCTCACAGTCCATCTGTTGATTGTTAGCAAGTTGGTCCTAGAGAGAAGGCATCGTTCGTGTGCATTACTCTGCCGGTGTTGTGAAAGAAGGGCTTGAACAAATCATCCTCATTCCACATCTTCCGAGCCTCCAGGCTCATCTGTAGATCCACCTTATTGCGCAGTCGCACGCCCATAATCTTGTTGAGATCATGGCCGGCGGATTGAGCTGATGGTATCTCAAATGTGTCCAATACCGTGATATGGGCGGGAGTATAGCCACTCCTAATAAGATGCAGCGCCGTCGAGGAACCAATCGTCCCTCCTCCACCAACGACGATGACCTTTGTATTCGCACGATGCGCAGCCATGTTGCTCTGTGTCCCGAAGTCTTGGTTTGTACGTAGATGCTGAGCTAGCACTGACTTCTTTCAGGGGCTTTTGCAGCGGGCTTTATAACGCTATAAAAGTCACGATCTTTTCTCCATTCGAGTGGAACATGCATCCAGCGTCCGGGTTACTAATTCCCAACTGCACATGATCGCATGACCATGACGAGGTTCTGTGGCAGCTCTGAACGAAGGATTGTACGTAATTGTTGTTGGAAGCAAATCAGGAGGCGACAAAGATGGCGTTCTCGTCGCTGCTCAGAGCAGTGGGGTGGAGGAAGACCCACGAAGATAGGCGATTCGGCTCTCACCAGCATTCTGACTCGCTGGAGGCCGACAGGGTCGTGCCCGGAGCAATGAGCACCTAGGGACTCTAGCGAGTTTCGCTTGGACCTTCTTAGCATTATTTTCGCGTGGACCTTCACGGCTTTGATCTGCTATTATCCACCCAATCAACAAAGGCACCAATTCCCGAAATGGTTCAAACTCGACTTGGCGATGCTGGTCCTCGCCTGTCGACGACCCAGCACCGTGATAAGAGCAGGATCCACAAACCTGGGGTAATTCATTGTATCTATCATACAAACAAATGCGAACCCCAGATACCGGGGACATATAATAATGACGGGCAGCGCATCCCTCAGTCTCTCTCTCGTTGCACTCATTGTTCTCACCAGTTGCCGATAATCGTGATTGATTGTGCGACTCCTTCAACATGTCTGCTGCTTTCGACACTGCTCCGCCCAACACCCACGCCGGCGGAGACGACGATGCACTCCGAACGCGGGGCACACTCCCCATGAATGCGCCCGAGTTCAGCAACGGCGCCAAGGCCACTGTGGATATGGAGGAGTATAGGCGGACTGTTCCACTCTGGAAGAGAGTGCACCAGCACAGTTTGACGCAGATGATGCTCATCAGTGTTCAAGCGTTTTGCGGGCCGGCTATGTCTGATGCGATTGCTGGTACGTGCCAAGCTCTACACTTGACGTTGTCTCCAGGACGCGCATACCGATGCTAAGCAAAGTATAGGTCTCGGCGGAGGTGGTTTGGCGACTCCACAAACGTCGAACACAGCGTAAGGAATTTGCTACGATTTCGTTGGTCGTATTGGACTAACCAAGTCATTTAGAACTGCACTTCTTTATGCCATGCTTGCAACCGGTATGTGTACTTTGACTTCCTAGAGGATGATGAAGCTTACGGTCTGTAGTCTGTTTCCTGGGTGGTCCGCTGGTGAACAAGATTGGTGTCAAGTGGGCGCTTGTCATTGGTGCAATGTCTTTCCCTATCGAAGGCTCAAGCTACTACTGCAACTCCAAATTTGGTAACCAATGGGTAAGTATATGCTTTGCGTACAGAGTCTCAAACGCATGTTGTACTGACCTTTGCCAGTATCTGATTCTAGGAGGTGCGTTATCCGGTATCGGTACAGGATGCTGGTACGTAGCAGAAGCTGGAGCGATCATGTCGTTGGCTCCTTCTGGAGCGCGAGGAAAATACTTGGCGCTCTGGATTGTCTCACGTAACTTGGGGCAGCTTGTCGGAGGTGCGATCAAGTAAGTCCAGAAGATGCCGAGGCAATATAATTACTCGAGTCTGATACTGACTTTTCTTCCAGCTTGTCAAAGAACTATCAGAAGGGCGTTGAGGGTGGAGTTACCACCGAGACCTATGTCGCATTCGTAATCATCGAATGCCTAGCGTGAGTATCAACTTTCCAAAACTATTTGCACAAGGCTTTTGTCACGGAGAACGTATTTGGGAACTAACCTCAAACAGACTGCCATTCGCATTCTTGATTTCTCCACTGGAGAAGGTCGTTCGTTCTGATGGTACGCGTATCTTGGTCTCGGAGAGTCTGTCGACCAAAAGGGAATTCAAGCAGATAGGGCGCACCATGACATCGAGTCTCATCCTGCTCTCGGCATTCTGGGCTCTGTGGTCGTTTTTCTACAGTGGAACCTGGTCGACTTACCTGGCAACTTACTTCTCAGTTCGCGCTCGCGCTCTGTCTTCGCTTATTTCGCCATTCTTCTGCATGTAAGTGCACTCACGCATTGACTGACAACACGTATTAACTTGAGTAGCGTTGGATGTTTCGGTCTTGGTTTTATTCTCGACCTGAAGCACCTCAGCCAACGTCGCAGGGCGCAGATTGGTCTTTTCACCGTGATCATTCTAAATGTGGGCGTCTATATCTGGTCTATCATCATGCAAGTGCGCTTCGAAGCCTCCGATCCTGGTGCTATAGACTGGGATAGTAGCCTGTACCCATCCGCTTTCTTGCCATACTTCTTCGTCCAAACCACTGGCCCATTGTCGCAGTCATATATGTACTGGCTTTTATCGTCCTTCGCAACAGATGCACAGTGTGAGTATTCGTTGTATTTGAACGAGTCATAATATACTAACGGGTTGTTAGCAAATGTTCGAAACGGGGCCGCTTTCCGTTGTCTCGAAGCTGTTGGTCAAGCCATCGCGTATGGAATGAATACCAAAACATCAACAAGTCCACTTGTCGGCATGTTAGTATTTCTCAGCAGCTCCTCTGCCTCTCATTTCATACTGACTATTCGTATCAGGTGCGTCAGCTTTGGACTTATGGCTGCTGCGTTGGGTCCCATGATTGTCTTAGTCAATCGTACACCAAATAGCATTCCTGCTGATGTCATTATTGCAGAACAAGAAAAACAAATCGATGGTGTCAGCCTTAAAGGACCAGCCCCAGATACCGTTCCCATTGATTCAAAAGTATAGGCGGCTTAGATGGTCCAAGGCGCATAGCCTACAGACAAGCGGTGGAGTTTGGCATGATGGATGAATAAATTTGCTACAGACTTGATAATATTTAAAGCAAGAAGAATCCATTGGCCAAAACATTCATATTTAATGCACCTAACATTGCTGATTGGGTCGCCGAGGATCTGCACTCGAACTGATCAGCCGCTTTTTTTGCAATACAAATCGTGCTGATGATTTGAATGCACACAACCATGTAGAGGTGTGGACTAGCAGAACGGCTTACGGGAACCATGACAGACATGAACTCTGTGGGTAACGCAATTACATTACAGGCTTCTTGGTGCATCCGCGGCCAAACCTGTCTTGATTTATGGTCGCGACAAATTGACTTACTTTCATGTGCAAATAAATATTCCGCGTTCTAAGCGGCCTTTAAAGCAGAATCGGTTTCTGTCTCACTCACCTTAGCAACATAGTCAGTCCTATTAAGACGATTCTGAAATCGATCGGTTTGAGGAGCAGTGTATAGGTATGCCAGGCAAATGGTCCGAGAACTTCCTCTTCGACCTTGCATACCAGCATAGGTAATGTGTCTTCCTCTTGTGTAAGTCGACAGTCTACGCAAACGATGTGGTCGGAGTTTTCCAGAGTAGCATTCGAAGCATTTGGCCAAGGTATTGGAAGCAAAGTTCTAACCACGACCAGCTTGAGTCGGCCACTGACTTCGAAAACACATTGCGATACATCCCCCGTGTTGGTCACATGGGGCTAAGTGTATTTCTTTTGTGCAGGCGGCAAGATTTTATGGGCGGGAAAGTCCATTGACCAACAGTTCATTTGCCAAGACATCTCCATATGCTTTTACCGGAAGCGAGGCATATGAGCTGCTTCAAAACCATAAGAGCATGCTGATACTGTGCATATCAACGTGAGGGGCTGTCTGGAAGATCAAAAGAAACGTCAGCCCCACTGCTGACTTGGCATCAAGCACCATTGAGGCCCTGTGATCGAGACGAAGTTGGTCCACGCGTTTTCAAAACGCCGGGAAAAAGGAACAAAAAAGAAAAAGATAAATGCTCAGCCACAGGATTGAACTGAGGACCTTCGCATGACTATGTATAAACTGACGAGCTTATATTAGTACGACGCTCTAACCAACTGAGCTAGCCGAGCAAGTTGAAAATTTGTGTCTTAACAATACATATATAGCTAGGTAATCTTAGTGCGGAGCACTTAGCCCTATCTTACCTATATTTCACACTTAAAGAATTAGTATAACAGCCTGCAGGTGTGGTAAGTATCGTTTTCAACTAACCAAGATTCTGGGTGACCATAATTACAAAACTGTGTATTGTACATCTGCTTGTGCGAAAAGGCTTCGGGAGCAGTGTCAAATAGTAAAGAGGCTTTTATTTTTATTTTTATATACGAGTCTGTATCGTGCTAGTGATTGTTAGTGAGTTTACGACTACTGCTAGTTAACACTTCTACTAACATCCTTTGGAAAGATGTATCCACGTTTCAAGTCACTGCCCCCAGGTTCGTAGTTTCGAAGATAATCTCTTCTCAAGAAAGCTCCTGGCTGTCGCCGGTTGAACCGCTCACATGTTCCGTCTCCGCCTTTTCAGGGTCTGCAACACTCGACCTGCGTCGCATAGCAAGTTGCGCTTCTGGAGTTTCCTCGTAGTTGATGAGTAGCTCTCCCTTCTTACCGTATCTTCTGGGCTTGTGCTTGGCCACCCGTACGACACCAAACGTGCCTTTGAAGCCATGTACGTCGTGAAATATCTCATCCATCTCTTCTAAGCTTCTCCCTGCAGTCTCGGGGAAGCAAAAGTAAACGCAGGGAACCATGAAAGCATTGATCACTGCGAATACTACGTATGTGCGCCATTGTATGTTGGCAAATGCGACGGGTGTCACCATGACCACCTGGCGATTGTCAGCGACCATTCGGCTCGTCGTGGACAAAGCTTGATATATAGAAAGCTAAGGACTCACCATGAAATTGAAAATCCAATTTGCCGTTGTCGCTATGGCGTTCGCTGGCGCTCTTATCTCCAGAGGGGTGATCTCTGCTGGATAGAGCCTGAATATGTCAGAAATAAGATCAGACATGATACGCCAGGGAAATTCTTACCAGGTCATGCCTAGCCAGCCAATTGCGAAGAAGGAATTGAACACAAATAAGAACACAGCGGCGGCAATTCCAGATGCATGACTGACATTCGAGGTGGTTCCGGCGAGAACTGCAATATCATGCTGGAATCAGTCTCCGCTACAATATATTCAAGTTATTCAGACGCTGTCGTTGCTTACCTGCCATAGACAGTGCTTGGCCAATAGCACCAAAGAGCATGAGCTTCCGTCGCCCGTATTTCTCAATGGTAAAGATAGCGATCCAGGAAGCAATGAAATACTCGGTTCCGTTGAGAGCTGCCAACAGTCTGCTCGTGAAACCACTCATTCCGATGTTGTTCTCGAAGATGGTTGCAGCGTAATATGTGATGATATTGATCCCCGAAACTAGGAGCAAGACTATTAGTAGTTTGTGGTGAAATAAGGCACACTCACCGCACTTACTTTGCTGGAACATTTGATTAACGTAAGCCAGGATGGTTCTGTGTAAATTTCTGAAGGTAGATCTGGGTTAGAATAACGAGCTTCTGGAGACGTATTAATGCACCACCCTTACCTATTCTTGTTACGCTTGAAACAGTCAGCGAAAGTGCCTCTGCTCATTTCTTCAACGACATCTCTCATGGCTCTATAATCACTCTGGACTTTCGGGTCTTCCGGCGGTAGCTGGGAAAGAGCACAAAGCACTCGAACGGCTTCGTCGTCGCGACCTTTCAGAATAAGCCATCGGGGAGACTCAGGCAGTCCTGGAAGTAGTATAACGATGAATAGGGCCATTACAATCTGGAAAGCGATTGGGAAGCGCCATGAAAGAGACGAAGGCTCGAGGAACGAGAAACCAAGATCTATCCAATAAGACAGCATGACACCAAAAACGATTAGTGATCCTTCGATCATGACCATTTGGCCGCGACGATGCGCCTTGGAGGTCTCGGATTGCCATGTTGGCACAGTAGAAGTGTTCATCCCATTGCCTAATATGTCATATCAGTAAATTATAATGAGAGTTAGCTGGCTCGAGGGCTTTTACCAAAACCAGTAATCCATCTCGATACTATGAGCTGAGGCAGACTGAATGACGCAGCTTGAATCGCTGCCCCGACAATCATGATGCACGATCCAAGGAAGATGGTCCTTTTGCGACCAAGTACATTTCCAAGCCAGATCGTGGCCACAGCACCGAAGAAGCATCCCAGTGTGTAACCACCAACGGTGATTCCTGGGTTAGAGGTTAGTTGGATGATTAAGAACGCAACGTCTGATGAGTAACATACCTTGTATATTCGAAGCGTGAGGTCCCCCTCTGACCGTATCTATCTCCGGAAAATATCTCAAGAATGATGGAAGGGTAAGTAATCCTCCCATAACACCCTGAAGGTACGTAAGTTCTCAGTTGAAATAAATAGTGGAGGTTGTAATGCGAACCTGATCATAGCCGAAAAGGGCGAAATCGGTGCCTGCGATGATAGCAATGGCGACATTGAGCTTGAAGCCCGTCAGACCGTAATAAGGCTTCATTGTAATGAATTTCTGTGGTTGTGTCACATATGGCAATCTCGACAAAAGAAGTGTCTATTATATTGCAGTGGAAGGATTGGTCTGAACGCCACGACGCAAAAAGTGCCGTAAGCGGCTTCTTACCTGGTATACACCCGCACTTGCATCTCATCGTCATGCAGCCAATCTAATAAGATCGAGTGAGCCGTTGACTTTACTATAGTATGTGGTAGGTGGGTAATGCGGGGCCCCGCGTGCGGAGACGGGCTTCTAAGGAAGTCTATTCTATAGTTGGAGCTTCGGAAGGACAAAATAGGTAATCCGCAAAGGAGTCGAGACGCTATTCCTCTTGATCTTCATCGTGAACTGACTCAAGAGACTACAACATTTACCGGCAATAATCACAAGGCCAACAGCGAACGAGGCAATGCTGTCCCTATAAGGCAACTCGAAACACTTGATCGTGGGGTTGAGAAGTAATGCTAGTCGTCAAAGGGTTTGTGGGACTTCTTGAGATCTGCCACCTAGGTGTTTGTGGCGATAATTACTCGAAGATACCAAGTTGATCGACAGGTCTTCTCGTTGAAGGCCAACTTACGAACACACATCGCACCCATGGTATATATATTCTGGAAAACCGGGCCGTTGATACTTCAGACACACATTTTACAATACGACAGATCGCAGATTCTCAGGATTCCCGATGTAATGCAACCATTGATGTTACCGCCAGATTCAACGGCGGCACCATAATTCTTCAGGTCCATTCTTCCCCACGACGACTCCATAATACATAGCAGGACTAAAGTAAGCGCTGCAGTCATCGTACCACCAGCTTGTCGTAACTCCACAGGTGGCCAACTATATAAGCCTTGCTACTGCCAAGAGAAAGACATAGACTCAAGCATTGCAACCGATCATACGTGCCCAACACACCAACACTGCCGCCATGTCGAATCCTAGCCTCGCCGATCTCGACTCCGCAACCCTGGGCGCTAAGATGCCCGAAATCACGCTTGCCGATGGCACGGTGGTGCAGACCGGCACTGTAGGGTACGCCGGCGCGTTCTGACGTTCAATAAACGTTTGATGGAGAATTGGCTTACTAATCTAACAAACGGGCTGCAGAGCGCTTCTCATGAACATCAAGGCCTGCAGCAAGGCCCATGCAGCCGGCGACGGAGAGAAGATGGCGAAGCTTCAGGAAGCTACATGCGCCAGCCTGCCACTCCTCCAGGTGGGCATTTTTGACCTCTTCACACCCGAGGAGTGGGCGCAAGGTAGCAATGAAGGCAGGAAGCTTGTGGGGAAGCTTGCGCTTGAGTCTTCAGACGTTGTAGCTGGTCTATTGGGTGTGTGTTTTTGTGTAAACTCTCACAAATTCCTGAGGCATGAGTGAGCGAGCTCTTCGGAATTTGGGGCCTGGGAAACATCAGCGACTTTCCCATCCCCTTTCCGCCATGAGTTGTAATCACCACCGGCGTCAAGATATCGGTAGAAACCCTCTGAGGTGAACCACTTCACTGGTATGCTCATTATATATTCCATGTCATGCTCTATATACATATAGTCGTTAATCTTGTTCATATAGGCTATGCCGCACTGTCCACTCGAACTAGTCTTGCTCATCAGTTCAAGCATTTATGTCTTGCTTATAGTCAATGTCGCAGGTGGCCCTGCATATACACGCCCGCTTCCAGTCCCTTTAATAGTGCGCAGGCTTCTGAGGTTGCATCTCAACACCGTGCTGAGGATTTCCGTACACCGCATCCTGTCCATAACCAGGTGGCGCCGGACTTGTCGATCTGTACGTCGTGTCATTGAAGGGGTTCTGCTGGCCGTACGACGGAGGATACGTAGGCTGGGCGCCTGCGTAGTAACCGGGTTGCACACCACCTTCCACATGTCCGGTAACGGCCGGCTTGTAGTTTCCTCTGTGGTCGAGGGTGCCCTTGCGCTTCAGGTGCGTGTACTTTGCGCCCAGGATGAGCTGCGTGAGCGAAGTCGAGACGAGGACCAGGCTGAGCAAGATGTCCAACCAGCCGACGCTGCCCCGGGTGGCGCTGATGATGGCGAGGATAAAATAAACGCCCCAGGCCAGGAATTTTAGGCAGGCCAGGACGAGCAAGGCGACAGGGCTGAGCACACGCCGTGCGTACAGGATGCACTCGACGATGTCGAATACAATGGTGCAGATCGCGAAACCCATGATGACACCCCCAGTGATGGCGGCGAATCTCACAAGGTCGGAGGCGTTGTAGCCATAATAGTTATAATCGCTCAGGTCGAGTTGTGAGTCTTTGTTCTTAACATAGGCAGCAGCAGCGAGAATCATGCCGGCAGCGATCATGAAGATACCAGCAGCGATGCATTGTAGGACCCAGCACGGGACCAGCTGCCGCTTATGCCAGATGTTTTCGTACTTGCGCATCTTTGCGTTATTCTGGCGAACGGGGGCTGATCTTCGAGGGTATGGCTCGCTTATTGTTTTGACCGGAATATAATCCGCAGTAATGGTTTTGGAGTGCTTGAAGTCGCGAATCGGTCAGAGTGAGGGAAACTAATTTTCCAGAAATCTTACGGCGCGTCCAAGGCGTCTTCTTTAAAATGCCGACCTCTGAAACATAAATCCTTCGACTAACGAGTGGTGCATTGAGAGTGGGCTGTGCTATTATCAGCTTTCCCCAAGCACTCGCCCACCGCCTTACAGGTGGATGCAAAATAACCAGGTGCGCAGGGTGTCAGTGGATGGATTTGGACAAGCGAAATTTGCTAAGCTGCTAGATTATGTTTATTTTAGAGTCAATTCCCACCGAGTGTTGAGCTGCTCTGGGCAGGAAGCAGCCCCTCCACAGACCCATAACAGAGTGGGCGGAGCTTTGTGTAATTCAGCCTTTGAAGACTGGCACCGAATGTCCCACTATTGTATGAGCTGGATCTTTCATTATGACAGTACACGTTGTTTCGCTATCGAGCTTGTTAATGTGAACCCATTGCGACTTGCATGGTCTTAACGGGTGCACTTGGCTCATTCATCCATTAGTCTAACCTAGTCTAGTGGGTTGGCGTGATTGGGCAGCTGAACAATGATCTTCAGGGCCTCACTTCTCAACTTGCCAAACTTGTTTGATTTCATGTTTGACAGAGATTCTGCATGATCATATGGATCTGTATTGACAAAGGGCATCCGTACCACCCTTACATGTGTTTCGCGTGAGGCAGCTTGACTACCGAAGAACTTGAGGGGTTATGTAGACCCTACTCAGAGAAGCAAAGCCATAGGGACCAGATGGGCACACAAGAAAATGCCAAGTGCCACCCAAAGGCTCAGCGCCTTGAGGCATCAATGCGGCGGAGCGGTTTGGGCTCGTGTTTTAGTAGGCCACACAATGCGCAACTGTAAACATGTTTGGAAGAACTTGGCGTCGTTGACAAATATGGGCAGTGTTGCCAAGGGCGGACGGCATAAGTGTGCAAAGATGGCCAGCTAGAAGATCATGAGCGTCGTTCCCACTGGCCGCTCCATCTTAGCCACTGAGTTAATATGGAGACAGCGCCAGCTCTTGCGCCTACAGATGGATACTTCAGGCTAACAACCGAGTGAGGGCCAAAGATTGGCAACGGACTGATGTCACTTCATATACACGGAACAAACGCAGTGGTAACTCATCAACTTCAATAATCATTAAAATTATCTCATTATAGGCTCCTCAGGCTGGGCTCGGTCCGCATGCGCAATGCAGACCAGCCTCAGCTTGATGCGCCCCCCTTTTGACATGGCCCTCAATTATTGCGTAAATGATGAAGGGAATAATCCTTTGATTCTTGTGAGTGGAATCCGCTTCAGCGTTCTCATTTGGCTGGCTTCTGCAGCCTGCCCTCAAACGAGGCTTCCCAGTAGGAGTCACGGAAGCGATCCTTGGAGCCCTTGACTTCCCTTACAGGTTTGTCCTCCTTTCGCATGCCTTCGCTCGTACCGGGACGCGAGGAGCCGGTCGAATCTCGAATTGCAGAGGGTCGCTGGAACTCCATCCGCCTGTCCTCAGTGGGCGTGCCAGCCAGGCTTCCCAGCGCGTCGCTGTCGCGCCTGGGTCTGGGAAGCTCGACTTCCCTGTGCAGAGGCTCGGGGTCGGGCTCACGACGCTCCGGCTCACGATGCTGTGGCTCACGATACTGTGGCTCAGGCTGAGGCTCGTCGCGGTACAGCTGGCCGCCCTCGGCAATGATGTCGCGTTCCAATAGCTGAACACGCTCTGCGGCCTTTTGTTCCTTGCGGCGCTTTCCGCCACGTCCGGGCAGTTTCCCAAGGCCGCCGCCATGGCGGGTGCGCGACATGACGTTGCCAAGTTCGATTCGCCTGTGCTTGCGGTTCCAGATACACCCGCCGACAAGGCATACAATGATGAACCCGAAGACTGTGGGGAGTGCTATGTACAAAGCGGCACCAGAAGGCAGCTTGGCGGCTGGCTGGTGATATACTGGTGGGTTCGTGATGGCGATAGTTGGGCCGGTGACCACAGTGCTGTTCGTACCGGTCGTCACGTTGACTGCATTGATCGATACCGAGATGTTTTTGGGCGAGACAAGGCTCGACTGGACGTTCATGGCCCAGAATCCCCACGACGCCACCATCTTGTCGGACTGGAATGCCTGAGAAGATATTTCGCCGGTCGTCGAGTTCAGGTAATCGCCCGTGATCAAAATGGTCGAGTTGGCGGCAAAGTAGGAGCTATCCCAGGTAACTGCACAGAACTGTATTAGCCCACTGTCCGGTATGACACGGCCATGCCGGTCTCCGATCAACGCAGATGCCCAAGCTTACAGTAATAGGTGAGCCCAGGGTTCAAAGTTGATCCTCCCTTGGGCCAGCAAAACGGGGCATTGGCCCCATCTTTGTTGTTGCATTTCTTGAAGGAACCGGCACCACTCGTCGCTGTTGCCGTCGCCGCATTAGGAGTTGTACCAGTACTCGTAGTTACTTTGCCGTAGTTCGTTTGCGTAAAGACTGTTCCTGTGATGTCGTACGGCGCCGCAGAGACGGTGGTAGCAGCACCGCTAATCGTAGTCACATAGGGCGTCACCGTGTGAGCCGTGCCGTTATCATCGACACTAACCCATTGCGTGAGTGAGGTGGTAGTGGTGTCGCGGGCCCAAATGTGCGGCGTGCAGGAGCCAGTCGTCGCCAGAAAGGCGATCGCAGCGAGAGATGTCGTCCTGAGCATGCTGGGCCTTTCAGGAGGACGCTCCGGTCGGCGATGGTTCTATTATTATGTATTACGACTGGTTCGAGAGTATCGATGGTTAACTAATATAATGGTTATAGCTGAGTGTTCAATTGTCGCCGGAAACGAACGGCAATGACCAATTGAGATCCGGAATGAATGAGCACGGCAGCAAACCGACTTCAAAGGACCAAAGACAAAAACAGAAATTATCTCAAAGTTGGCGCGGTTAAGTGCTGCTTGACGAAGAGAACGCCGAGCTGCCAGAACCTAAAGTTGCCATCGCGCCGCGTCCCTGCCCCTGAGCCAGTCCCCGCATGACATCTAATTTCGGGGATAGCGGGCGTCATTAGCGTTTTCGCATATCGTATTCAACCCAGAGCTCCAATTTTTTACATGATTGAACGATTCCGGTAGCCGAGTTTGTCCACTGCAGTTTAACTAGATCTTCCTTGCTTACGCAGTACACCTCCTGCGAAGATTTGCCTGTGTTGTCGAGTCTGTATACTCCGTAGCTATTCGTGAACTAACTATGTGGAATAGAAAACCCTCACCACAGTAGCCCGGTTTTACGCGGCGTTGAGGACATATCATCTTGTAACCACCTCCGTTACCTCTTTAAGAATTTAGATGATGTCAAACGAGGTTTCTTGTACATCTGCGCGACAAACGATTCCCATAGTGCTGCTTGGATTCATGTCACGTTATTGATGGCCACGTCTGGTAGAGGTCCTATTAATATTTTATGAACTGTATAGTATGTAGCGTCTCATCCCACCATAACTAGCATTATGCTCTTTTCATTTTCCTACGTCCAAGTCAAAGTCCAGTCCTGGCCCCAAGCACCGTCTTGAGTCAATCCATCCAGACCTGTGACGCTGAGCTTCCGAGCTTCGGTATCGAAAGCAAATAGTGACCCAACATCCTGGCCATTGAGTTGCACCACCGATGGGCTGCTCTGAACGCCAAGGACCGTGACATTGGCAAGAGTGTTAGTCTCGGTGAAATCACCCTTTGGAGTGGCTATGAGACTCGTGGAATCGGCCTTGAAGTCGATCCAAGTGCTATGCGACTTCAGGCTCTCCCCGTCGTCAATATACAGACCACCACTGGCCTTGCCTTGGCCGTCGAGAGCGACGAGCAGACTGTATGAGCTGTTCCTCACAGCCGCGGTAGTCAACCCTGGCTCCTGGAGCGGTACAACTTTGCCGCCCTTGACGTAGACGGGGATGTGTCCTAGCGGAGCGTCGATAGTAACGTTTTGGCCGGCGGTAACACCGGTGATGGCAGTCTGGTTGTACCAGTCGTACCAAACGGTGCCGGAACCAACACCGGGGAACACGCCGTCAACGGTAGAAGCACCTTGCTCCAAAACCGGTGTGACGAGGATTGCATCGCCAAGAAGGAACTGGCGGTCTGCATCAGCCAGCCAGGGCTCATCTGGGAAGTCCCAAGCAAGAGCGCGCATGGTTGTGGAACCGGTTGAGTGGCTGAGATAGAACGTGGTATAAAGATACGGCAGCAGAGCGTACCGGATCTTCATGGCGACTTTAGAGGCGTCGGCAACAGCTTCCCAGCGGTAAGGTTCTTGAGGTATCGCAGAGAGCACGTTGTGGTTCCGGTAGAAGGGGAAGAAGGCCGATAGTTGCATCCAGCGGGCGCAAAGCTCCATATCCGTATTGCCGTTGAAACCACAAGTGTCTGGGCCGAACATGGGGAAGCCAAACAGCGAATTAGATAATGCCTGGGGAATAGAGAAAAACATGAATGCCCAAAGAGAATAGTTGTCGCCGCCCCAGTGACCTGCCCACTTGCCCGACCCAGCAAATTGGGAACGTCCGATAATGAAAGGTCGCTTATCAGGGAATACATCTAGGAGAGCATGGTAGGTAGCGTTCAGGATTTGGTGGCCAAAGACGTTGTGGAAATCGTATTCCAGAGTGCCGCCATGGTGGGTTGCGTTGGGGCTTACCGCGTGGACAGCGAGATCAACTCCCTGGAAGTTATTGATGGTGTAGGGGGGGTAGTTGATGTTTCGGGATCCAGGGGTGGGTGTTGTACGTAGATACGAGGTCGTGGTAGTAGAGGAAGTTGTTATGGTTGTGGCTGCCGCAGCTGTTGTCGTTGAGATTGCAGAGGCTTCAGTACTATTGGTAACATTGAAGCCTTCGGGATATGCTGTAATTTTATTTCCCGGCTCACCTGGCAACTGAAACGGAGGATGCACTGGATTAAGCGTCAAATTGCCGCTGCCGCAGCTTCCCACACAGAAGCTGGAGACCTCGGACATATCAATCCAGATACCATCGAACTTGACCTTGTCGTACCACGTGGTGAATTCAGAAGTCCACCACCGGTTCGCGCCCGTGTCGTTGAAGATGGCTCCGACCCAGTCCGGGAAGACAGTATAGCCGGGCCAGACAGCTCCAATGTAAAGAGAACCTGGAACGAATCAGCCATCAGCTTGTGCTGCGTGTCGGAGTACGGTTGAGTAGCCACTTACCGTCAGGGTTGAGAAGGAAAGCATCTTGATCAACACCTCTGTCATAAATTGGATACTGCCCCTGCTCAGTCTCGGGGTTGGGGGCGTAAATGGCAGAATCGACAATTGGGACGTAATGCTGGCCGTTGGCATGAAGTTTCGACAAAAACTCAGCACCCTCGTCATAAGGGTAGCGAATTGCGTCATTATCAAAGTCTCGATACTGGTTCATATAGTCAATGTCGTCTACAAGTTGGTTAGCACGTCAGTATATCTATGAAGCTGGGCATGTGCGCTTACTCCAAATTGTTTCGAGAGGAATTTCGAACTTTGCGAAGTCGTCCACAACGCCCTGAAGCTCTGTCCAGTTGTTATATCCCCAACGGCATTGATGATACCCGAATGTCCACCATTGCTGAAAAGCAGGCAGGCCGATAATGCTCTTCTGATACGACTTTGAGACGGCATCTTGCGTAGCACCCTCGAAGAAATATAGATCTGAGCAATACATCAGTGGTCTGTAATCGGAGACTATTGTAGCATGTGTACTTACCGATTTCACCACCCAGAGCCCTCCAAGTGACACCCGGTTCACGGAGGAGGACTTCTTGACTGTGAGCATTTCTCTGGAAGACACCATGAGTGTAAGACTTGTAGGCCTTGGAAGTGTCCGTTGCATTGACAGCGTAAGTCAACTTTCCGGCATCATCGACTTCGAAATAGCGTGTGTCGTAGTAGACAGGGTGATGTCCATAGATGTTTGCATCGATATTGTCACCCACATCTGCGGCAAAAAGAGTCCCTATGGCAGTGTTAAGGCCTTGTGTGTGGACTGATTGTGGTTTGCCTTACTCGTAAGATTATTTCCAAGTCTCAGACCATGAATCACCTCGCCCAATCCATAGAGATTGTAGTTCTCTGGCAGGGCAGTCTTGAACTCAATGAACTGGTCTTCGTACACTAACTTCGTCCCCTCCGTGCTGAATAGAACGTCCCCCGTGCTGTTGCGGGTCACCTTGAATGAGAAAGTCGGGTCATTGCTCCATGTGAAATCCAGATCACTTTCAGACGCACAGCCCTCGGTGTCCACGCCAGGCTTCTGGAGGATCTCCTCAGGTAGGATGAACCAAGTCTGGTTCTCTTGACCAATGTACTTGGGCTGGATCTCAACGTGCAATCGGTCAACAGCTTGATACTCAACAGTCAAGGTGAGATCTGCAATATCATTTCCGTATACATTGCACGCAGCTCCAGCGAGTGAAAGGTCTGCGGTGATTCCATTGGCAGTTTCAACAACGTTCGAAGCAGTGTAACCTGGGCATACTGATTGCGGGTCGACTGCTTCGGGATCAATGATATTGGGGATGAGAGATTGGCCCACGTCTGCGTCGCTAGGTACAGTGAACACGGAGCCCGCAGATGTAGTGGTCGCGGTCTGTGATTGAACAAGTACAAAATATCCAAGCACATGTGCCGCCAGGAAGGCATATATTGTGCGGGCCATGTTGCCAAACTTGCGATGCCTGTTGAGGGAGTACCGTACAACAATACAAGATGAGATGAGTGTGCTGGATAAGAAGAGAAGACGCGATGCGTTACTCAGTCCTTCATACCAGTATTCGCAGGTAGAAAGGATGCGGCTCAGGAGAGATGAGACCGAGGAGGGCGACAGGGCATGGTCGAACGGTACTTCTCCTCCAGGGTTCGGCCAGACACCCGCGTACATATATGCGTCGGGCATCTTCACGATGACATGCCTATAGCTCCAGCTCCCGGGTCTGTGAAGCACAGCCAACAGACGGTGAACGAGCCGACTAGGGTACGAAGCCAAACTCACCCGGTCGTCATTGATCGCAACAACTATCGGCTAGGGTAATCGGCGTTACTCTTGCTTGATACGGTAACTGCGTGCGGAGTACCTGCAGCAAGGTCTGGAGGCTTCTCGGCGCCTTTTCAAGATTCCCCTCTAGAAGTAGCTAATTGCGGGGGACTATGGGAAATAGTGATGACATGTGCAGCGAGAAGCTGGAGTGATGGTTCGAGCGAGAAATCGAGGAGGCTAGTAGTTGGGGTTTAAACTAGTCTAGACTATACCTTAAGCCCAAGTTACAAAACCAGAGAACTCCATAAAATCCAGGACGGGCAGCACGGCTGAGCTATGCTTGAGCTATGCTTGACCTCATAAAGCGTGCCGGACCCGTGGGTCACGACCATGGGTGTCGGAGTTGGTCCTGCTGGATTTTGTGCATTCCGCCGACTGTCACGATGTAGCTAGTGACGAAGCCGGCATGTTACTCGCATTTGTCCTCGCAGAAACTGGTTGCCGGTGAAATATACGGCGTTAATATGCCTGGTCATGCAGAACCCGCCTCCACAATGCTTTGCGGGGAGTTGGGGAGAAGTTGGGGGATGGCGACGGCCCTTGATTGACACTAGTTTAGGCAAAGCTTAAGGCAACACATTTGTCTAACCTTGCCCTGTCTAATATGTACTATGGTGGCCGACAACACACACGTGTGGAACCTGTACGAACAGAAAGAGGACTCGAGAAAGCATTGATGTGATGACTTATGTGCATCTTTCAACTTGCTCCAAAATTCAAGCTGATCGGGCGCCTGTCGTTAATTCTGCCGCAACTCTCCAATGGATTCACAGCACACTGTTTTTCTGCTGCCTGCAAGGAGGGCACGGTCATGTAGAGTCTGTCAGAGCTGCTAAACTACGAACTTTTCCCGAGCAGATATATGCAAGACAATATAGGGAATGCAGCAGCGCGGTGGCCTCGACCATTTCAATGCAGAGAAAGAATAATAAACGGTACCTTGGGACTTGCCGAAAGTCCAACCGAGCAACGATAGATCATGGATTACCATGGTACAATCAATCATCGAGGTCCTGTAATGGTAAATTACTTAACCTACCTGGGGACCTGGCTTATGTACTCCGTGTTGGTAATCCACTAACTTAGACTAACCTTAACTTGGCTAACCTAGACGATCGCCCACAGGTCTCTGTCTGGTTAGCCCATACTAGTAAACAAGCAAGTCAGAGCCGTCCTACAAATCTATTGCATTCTGGACGATTGCAGCTATTGTCGTGCTGCATGTCCAGCAAGCCTGCCGTCACATATACGTGAACAGCTCAAGGACTCGGTACAGTACCGTGCGGATGATATAGGTGATTGGAAATGCCGTGCCCCCCCCCCCCCCCCCCCCCCCCCCCCCCCCCCCCCATCAAGGTTATGTTGAAAGCACAGACAGGTTTAGCAGTCAACCCAGACTTGCTAGACTAACCTGGAGCATTCCAATTTGATATCAACACTTGGGCCAATTTTTGCCACACTAGCCCTGGAGCTTCTTGGATCTATCTAACCTTAAGAGGCTCAGAGGAATTTCAACTTATCGTAGGATGGCATTCGCGATACGTTAATGACATACACATCCCACACAACACGACACAACACAGCATTGCCAGTTCAGTACGGCAGCGGGCCCCGACTTTGAAACGGACAAGACACGCGCAATCGTTGCATTCACGACAATCAACACGACAGTCAGCCAGCATGGCGACCGCCGCCACCGCGACGCCGGCCCAGCTGGCGCAGCAGATCCTCCAGCACAAGGCGCCCACCTACACCTTCACATTCAGCCCCTTCCTGCGCAAGACGTACGGGCACGGCCTGGCGCCCAACCGGCCGATATGCAAGTCGTACGCGTCGACGGGCGCGTGCGCCCTGGGGACGGACTGCCCGGACCGGCACGAGTCGCCCAATGCGGCGTCGAGCACCAACGCCTCGTACAACAGCCTCGTGTGCAAGCACTGGCTGCGCGCCCTGTGCAAGAAGGGCGAGTCGTGCGAGTTCCTGCACGAGTACAACCTGCGCAAGATGCCCGAGTGCAACTTCTTCGTCCGCAACGGCTACTGCTCCAACGGCGACGAGTGCCTCTACCTCCACATCGACCCCCAGAGCAAGCTGCCCCCCTGCCCCCACTACGAGCAGGGCTTCTGCCCCCTGGGCCCCAACTGCAGCAAGAAGCACGTCAGGAGGACCCTGTGCCCCTACTACCTCGCCGGCTTCTGCCCGGACGGCAAGCAGTGCAAGGACGGTGCACATCCGCGGTGGGAGAGGAACCTTGAGCGGCCGATACCGAAGAGCGAGAAGGAGGCCGAGGACGCTGCCGCGAGAGCGCTGCGGGAGGAGCAAGGCTTCGGGGACGACGATGGCGGATTCAGGAGAGGTGGCCACAGAGACGACGGAGACGACGGGAGAGGATTCAGAGGCGGTAGGGGCGGCAGGGGACGTGGTGGGTGGAAACCAAGGGGCAGAGGGTTCGGCAGAGGTAGGGGCGGTGATCGCTAGGATGCGGATATCCCGACTCGTCTCCCGGGACGGCCATTTTTATCTTTCCTGGGGACATAACGGCCGTCTTGTTATGAGGCGTTCGTGGCTCCCCGATCAATCTTTCCCAGACTGGTCAGGCGCTAGCTTTTATAGAAATATGATACCCCCAATGGATCGCATGATTCGAATCAATCCTCGCGCCTTCTAACATCATGATCGAGTTGACAATATGCAAAGGGAATGGTCAGCACCTACCGAGGCAAAGAAGTACCCGAGCGGGCGCTGATAGAATGTGCATTGCTAAAAGGTGAAAGCAACTACGTGCAGCCGCGCATCACGATGCTCCACCCAAGCGTCATCTACCCATTTACATATACAGATACATGAATACATTTATTATGGTGTCATTTGATTGATTCCAGAGTCGTGAGCCTTTCCAATCATGATAGGGGTGTCGTCTCTTCATATGTACAGCCACGTTCCACAGCCACTCCTTACACGCTCTACTGCCATTGCATCGGCTGCGATTAGCCAGATAGAACGCAGATCAGTCCTCCTTCCAAACGTTGGCACCAGCATCATCAACTTTACCAACGGCGATGAATTCACTCGCATCGCCGTTCTCGCTGATGCTTCTCTCGCTGCCGCTACCTGTGTACGAGCTTTCGGTCCATGTGCTCAGCTCATCGACCTTTCGGATACCCATCATCCATGAAACCAGGCTCCTTGGTGCCCAACGTCCTACAAACCCATACAGGCCAGCTCCCAAACCTATGCGCACAACGCCGCTCTTCTCGGATCCATCAATGACGTCGAAAACGGAGTTGTGCAGGTCCCGCAGAGAACTGCCCCTCAGACCCCGGATTCGGCCAGCTGAGATGGAAGATGATGCTTGGGCCACGTAGTTCTTGCCGTATACATGCCGGGCTGCCTCGGGCCAGTTTGTTGTTTCCGCAGCTGGCAGCAAGTTGGAGTGTCGGGTGGGTACGAAACCAGCGAAGTCAAAAGTACCGAGTTTGATGTGAGTTACGGGGATGCCCAGCGGCCGCAGCTCGCCAGTGAGTACATCGGTGAAAGCCGACAGCGCTGAAGAGACTGTCGCCTCCGGTGCGTGAAACGGCGGGTTTATGGATGAGATGATGGAGGGTGTGAAGACGAGGACCTTCGGGCTCGTGGGCGTCTCGCCTGGTGGTGTTATCCGAGATGTCAGGAGGGGCAGGAAGGATTGAATTGTCAGGATCGGGTGGAGGAGGTGGGTGTTGAAGAGGTCGGCGAAGGAGGAGGGAGGAATGGTGGCGATCGGTGAGGTTTGGTAGTTGAGCGATGGTATCAAAAGCACCGAGGTCAGGGTCAGGTAGTTTGCTTTTGTCCTCGGGACGGCCGCATGTGGCGTCTGCAAATATGAGGCGAATCGTTCGATCGAAGAGCCTGCGCTCGGGGGCTGCGTTGTTGTTGCGGCGTCAGTCTCGACCTCGTTTCGTTTCTCGTCCGGGTCTCTTCCGGATCGGGTGGCAGCACTTACGTCGGTGATATCAATACTCAGGGGCTTGATGTCTGGCCTCGAGAGGTTCTGCACCATAAGCTCCTCGTCCATGCTGCCACAGACAACATAGACAATGAATCCTCGCCTCTCCAGATCCAACGATAGCGACTTTGTCAGGGGCAAGGTGGGCGACCCAGCAATGACGACGACTTCTGATCTGCCACCATTCCGAGCCCTCTTTGCCCGGCGCGACTTGCGCATCAGCTTGCTCGTCTTGACCGCCTTGTATGTGACATAGCCGATACTGATGACGACTATGCCGGTCAGGATCTTGTGTCGAACGACCCAGCCCTGCAGTCGCTCATAGGTTGTGAGGTGGACGATGGCAACGGGGGGCGGTCGCGAGGGTGGTGCTGGTCTGATGTAGTCGGGCAGCCACTCTGCTGTTGAGAGACTGTCTCGTACTTGCTCGGCGGCCTTCTCGACCGTCTTGTCGACGTACTCGGCAACCTCGCCCGAGTATCGGCGGATCTGGTTGGGCAGTGACGAGAGCTGTGAATCTCCGGTTAGCCGTTGTCTTCCTTGGCTTCACCCGGGGGCCAAGACAGCAATACATACAACGTCTAAGAACTGCTGGTCATCGGCGGACATGATGGGTAGTGATTTCTGGAGCGCTGGCAAAGGTGCAGGTGTTGCTGGCCGTCCGCATTCACCGTCGTAAGTCGGATGGGAAATCTGAAGCTCTGCCTTGTCGATAAGAAGCTGCGCTGAGCACATGCCCACGATAGGCTACCTAAAGCCCTGGAATCTTAGCGGGTGCCAAGGGTGCTCTCCACTGCACTGAAGGTGGCGTTGAAAGAAGTCCAAGGTTAGCACGCGTCGTCGAATCACAGGTGATGCAATATCGTGCCGCGCCGGCCTTCTCCGCGCTGCAGTGCTACTGTGGTACACACTCAGTGCAGCAAGTTGGCGCTGAGATGTCTGGCCCCACCAACTCATTCGGTCTCCTCGGTTACAGGACAGCATTGAGCAAACAGCATTGAGGTAGCCAGATCGTTTTCTACTGATTGCAACTCCGGCAGCCCACTTCCTCTAGTTCGACTTTCGAACGGCTTTGTTCTTGGTCGAGGACGGTGGTGCATGAGCAAAACTCTCCATGCCCCAACAGCCATGCCGCAATGGGCCGCCCAGGCAGCATATCCACCAAAGCTTGGAGGGATTGGCGGGCTGTAAGTATGCAACGACCACAACCTGACTGCTAGTATATGCCAAGGACCTCTAGAGAAGGGGATAAGTCAGAACCTCCGTAAGACCTTCTATCGCCTCGGGATTCTGAACTATCATGGATCACATCATCAAATCCGTCTTGCGGGTGCTCCGCAAGCTTCATCCATAGCCGCCGTGATCCATCGCAGCAAGCCTGGACTGCTCAAACGGGCAGTAGAGTCACCTAGTGAGCTCACCAACGCTGAGATCGCGCTCCGCCAGGCACGATACTGGAAGGGCTATTCGTGGAACGAGAGTCGTGCACGAGAGAAAGCTCGTGAAGCGCTGAACCCCGGTGCTTCCTGGAACATTCAAGGCCGTTACGAGGACCTCTGCAGGCACTTGGACGAGGTCAGAGCGCCTCTGTACGAGGCGAATGAGCTGGAAGCATTCGAAAACCCCCAGAAAGAATTTGTAAGGCGTCTGAACGAGCAACGCCAAGTAAATGAACAGAAGGATCTCGAAAAGGCCATGCAGAATACTCATCCTTGGATAAGACGCCTGTGGGAGGAAGATCTGGAAAGCCAGAAACAACCATATTGGGGTTATGCCGTCTTCTATGATCCCGAGATCGGGCAAAACATGGACGAGTCGCAGTTCGAAGATTATGATTGCCGTAAGGGTGGTGTATTGCGATGGGCTATGATCGCGATCTGCTGCGGGACAACTATCAGGGCGCGGTGGTTGATGCAGAAGCTAGATTGGCCTGTCGAAGATGTCTCCTCGCCACAAGAGACATCTGTCGCACAGGTGATAGTCAATGAACATGACAATGACTTGGACGGTGAAGTCGTGGATGTAAGCGAAGCCCGTGACGGAGACGAGGACGAGAACGAGGACGAGCATGGGAACGAAAATGGAAACGAAAATGGAGACGAAAATGAAGACGAAAGTGACGAAGAAGACAAGTCCATAGATTTGGACGATTACGTAGACGAGGATGAGAAAGACCTTTTCGAGAAACGTAATGAACGTGAGAAAAATGAACCTACAAGGCAGAACTTCGAGGACGAAGAAGAGGACGAAGAAGAGGACGAAGAAGAGGACGAAGAAGAGGACGAAGATGAGGATGACGGGGACGAAAAGCCCCAGAAGTTAGTTGCCATATTCCAAAAGCTACGGGAAGAGTTCAGGTTCATTCGAATCCGGCCGCGGAAAGAGAAGCGACGGGAAAGTGGTGAGAGTCATCTGAACAATATTTTGCAGAACGTAATTCTGTTCATCGACCAAGATTCCGCTGACTCCGTCACGTCAAAGTACAACAGTGTGGGCGGTGTGGGTTTGGGCAGTCGACCCAGACTATCATCCCGCTATTGAAGTACCATCCTCTGGCACCTTCGGCCAAGAGTCAGAGGTCTATCAAGGGTTTTCTGCGAGTGCGGTTACAACATCTTGTCCACAATTTTTACAACTTGCGACGATGGCACGCAGAGGAGTATCCGATGCAAACGCTATGGGAAGCCGCTCGAAACAGCAGAAAGCAGGCTTTCGTATCGGTAGATGAGGTGGAAGCAAAGAATTAGGTGAGATCAAGGGATATTGGCAGCGCTATAAGGGCTACTAGCACGATTGTCGAAGGTGGACAAAAACCTCTCGTGTATGGAGACAACATTTCATGGCAAAGCTGAATGTCTGAATTAGGCACAAGGAGAACCAACAATTCGTCACTTCTCTCTGCATGGGTTGCGCAGGAAGCTAACATTCGACTTGAGAGAGTGCCTCCCTCCTACGTTTTCTTCACACCGAGTCCAACCAACTCCTGTACCGTCTGCATTTTTGGCTTCGATGCAGCACTGGGTATACTCATTGCATTTAATATTAGCAACGGGATCGCTGCTTGGCAGGACGGCTTTTGCTGGAAAGTGCCACATGTTACATCTTCCGTTCTGATAACAAATACCTTCGCTACAGCTCTTACAGGAATTCACAACGCAGAAGCACCCAGCTTGTCGCTTTACCGGAATTATGCTGAAACCAGGAAGAGCCTCTAGTAACTCGCAGGAGCATCATCATGTACTTTACAGCTGTATTCAGAGCGTTGTACGTCATCAACTCTTCCCATGTCATAAGATATGTAACACAACAAGAAGATGTATTATTTTACAAAACTATCGCCGGCATCACAAAGCTTACTCACTCTTCTCTTTATAGTACCTCGTCCATCCAACGGGAGACCAGCCTCCTGTCTTCTCGACACTCCAAGATCACCCTCCTAAACAGCATGCAGAGTCCACAGCCGGCAGCGGCTATACCCAAACCAATAATCAATGCCAGGCCCCCACCATGCCTGCCAAATAAGTAATTATCTCTCTTGTGTCTAAAGCCACCAGTCTGACTGTTGAGTACTAGCGTGTTGTTGAAATCTCCGGTCGAAGAAACTCTACCAGCCGGTGGAGTAGTCACAACGACTGCGATGTAGATAACGCAAGCGACAGTGCAGAGAAACAAGAGCCCTGCATGAACGGTTACTATGAAGGTCTCCGGCCTGAAAGGCTCTTTTAGTGTCAGATTTCTTTTTGTAGAACGGTGGGTATGGACAAACAAGACGAAATAGACCTTGATATTGACTGCTGAGTGAGTGGCCAAGCTGATTCATGCAAAGGAGCAGCTTGACCGTGTAACGTCACATCACCCAGGAGCCACTATCACAATATTTCACTATAGAATCAATCTCTATCTCTAGAATATTTTGGCATGTATATATTTCGAGAAGATTTCGGATACAGTGTAGAATTTCCATTGATCAATCCAGTCACAAGTGCAAAACTTGAAATGGTCTCGACTGCATAATTTTGATATAGAGCAGGACCCATGGCTGACGTTCTAGTTCTTATAAAACATCTACTGACATCGAGATTGCGGATCAGAAGATTCTTGTTGAGTCGTCATGTTCTCATTCGGTGAGAATCAATGACGCGCAACACCAGGCTGCCAGTAACTCATCGCTGCATAGGATAAATCGTGCGAATCAGTTGTTGCCATGGACAAATGGGAAACCACTACGATAACTCAAGACTTTCGTCGTCGACGGCATATTGGGCGCCAATTTATCCGATACGTTTGAGCGACACCATGTGGCAAGATGTTGCGCACTTGTTCAATAACCAGTCGCTCATTTTTCCGCAAGATAACAAGTTGCTGATCTCCCATTGGGTCTGGGCAGTATCCATACTTAAAGAGGCATGAAGACTTCCGACTCCTAAGGTCTTGTGTACGTATGCTTGTGACGCGATGTGCATGTGAACGTTGCAGCCTGGTCTGGTATCGGCGCGTTTTTCGAAAGCTGCCCCGTTTTTGTGCCTACCGACGCTACCAACACATCCCTTGCATACAACTTCGTGTCCCCCACCAAAAGGGCCAGAATCGGTTCGTTGTGAGTTTAAAGGATTTCGATACAAGCACTTCCCCCCGTTTCTTGTAAGTGTGCTGATCACATAGAGCGAGGCAAGCCTTTGAGATCGAGGTGTAGCCTTAAAATGTCTGGCAAATTTCCCACAGCGAATCCTACAGCCTCTTTTTGGCTCTCCGAACCCCATGAGTTACACGCATATCGTTCTTCGGACACAACACCCGATGGGTGCGATATCGCCATAATCGGCACCGGAATGGCAGGCGTAGCGTCTGCCTATCACATCCTGACCAAGTGTGCAGCGGAGCACCAGAGGCCCAGCATTGTTCTCTTTGAGGCACGCCAGGCATGCTCGGGCGCCACGGGCAGGAATGGTTAGGCCTATCTCATATATCACTTACCCTACTCGCAATGTGACAACCATTGATGTTCTCTCAGGTGGACACAACAAGAATCTTCTGACCTTCATCAAAACTATATATGATAAGCACGGCCCAGCTGTAGGCGAGGAATTTGTCGAGTTGATGGGCGCGCAGCGGAGAGCCATCAAGGCAACGGTTGAGACGGAGGACATTGAATGCGAACTACTCGTGAGGAGGTCGTTCGACGCTTATTTTGATCCCGTGCAGGCAGAGACGATGAAAAGATGGCTCTACGGCCTGCGCCACAATGGCGTTTTGTGGACGCAGGACATGCAATGGCTCGAGGGCCCAAACCTGGAAAGGGTGAGCGCTGGTGATAGTCTTCAGCCCACTTGAGAGTGTTGACAATAAGTTCCAGATCACGGGCGTTAAAAATCTAGCAGCAGCAGCCTGTGGTCCTGCCATCTCCTTGTGGCCGTATAAATTTGTCACCTCACTACTGGCACGTGTGGTCGGGATGGGTGCACTCCTCTACACGGAGACTCCTGTAGAGGTGGTCAAAACAAACGGTGACGAATCTGTGACGATCATTACACCACGGGGCAAGACGAACGCTAAGAAGGTCGTCTATGCGGCCAACGGCTATACTTCTTCTCTGCTTCCGCAATACCAAGGGGTTATCGTCCCCAATAAAGGACAGAACTCTATCCTGAAGCCCTCGGCGAAAAGTCATCATGGTCTCAACCTAGCACATACCTATAATCTCGTCTACAGCCCGACCGCCGTCGACTATCTCGTTCCTCGGCCGGATGGAAACCTCATTCTTGGAGGCGCCCTTAACAAATACTGCATTAACGCGCAGGACATGAACACGAAGTGGTTCGACACGGTCGATGATACAACTTTGATCGACGAAAGCGTAAAATCTTATTTTGATCATACAATGGCCAAGCACTTCCGTGGTTGGGAGGATAGCGAAGCCAACGTTGCGATGACCTGGACCGGAAGTGAGTGGTTCTATCGCCATAGTCTTATATATAGCTTCTGACCTACCATCATAGTTATGGCTGCGACGCCGGATAGTCTACCACACGCTGGTCTGGTGCCTGGCACCAAAAACCAGTGGATTATTGCTGGCTTCAATGGAGCCGGCATGACAATGATCTTTACTACGACGGCAGGACTTGCTGACATGGTTCAAAACGATAAAACTCTGGAGGAAACCAGCATACTCACTGCTTTCAAGACAACAGAAGAGAGACTTACAGTCAGGTTTCCCTGATGTCGTACGTGGACCTTTGTGGAGAGGAAGATAAACCCCTGAATTCGTTTAGGGCCAAATTCATATTACAGAATGGTAAAATGCCTGTCGAATAGTGGCATAACAAGAATTTTAAACGCCGCATAATATCCGTCTCACAACTCCTATAAAAAGCAACGCAAACCTCGTAATATTTCTTAATCAAAACTCATCCAGGCGAAAGCGCCGAGCGTACCCGCAATTATGGCCGCTGTTAACACGCCTGCGCCAGCCTTGTCACCAGTAGTGATGTCAGGCAGCTGCGTCAATTTTGTCTCGCCACTGCCCGCATTCACGTTGCCGACACTCGTTCCACCACTGGAGTTTGTTAATGGCGGGTTGGCCGCTAGTAGTGATGTGAGACCTCCGAGAACGTTCATCTGTTGACCCGCACCAACTTTGCCGTCGAACACACCTGTTGTCCAATGGAAACCGCAGAACCGGCCGTTATCGCCGCCCGTACACTGCACAACAGCACCTGCCACCGAAGTCTTTAGCACTGGCATAATTGTGTCATAGGTGAAGGGTGCCAGGATGGCAGTCGATGCCATCCAGCGGTGCAGAAAGCCCTTGAACGAGCGCATATCGGCATTGCAGTTGCCAGGTTCGCAGGAAGGTTCAAAAGCGATACCTCCGGGGAAGAAAACCTCGAGCGTACGGTCCAGAAGACCCTGGATTCTGTTTCGCCAGACTTCCTCGCCGTCGGTCTGTATCGTTTGATGAGATAACTACTCTGGAAAATGCTTGGAGTAGAAGACTTACAAAATTGTACATAAAAGCCGCTCCTTGCAATAACATTGCGGCATTATACGAGAATTGTGCCTTGTTAATATCGGTGCAGTCTGGGAGATGAGCACCGTCGTACACGTTCCAGTCCTTGTCGACATATCCCAGTCTTTCCATTAGATCGAAAGTCCGGCCTGCTAGCTCTCCGTATGTAGCGTTGTCTGTGTACCGTGCCAGGCGAGCGCCAATGTTGAAGTAGCACCCATTTGCAATAGCTGTCCCTGAATCAGATACATTCGTCCCTCCCATACCTTTGGATGCGCTCGTGAACTTACTGTTGATATAATCATATCCATTGTTTGTAGGATACACTTGCCATCTCAGCCCCCACTTGCAATTTCCCGACGGTACTCGTCTATCCTCGTGTGTCTGCTCGTTGAATACGGCCTGGGCCAACGATAGCCACTGCGGCTCTTCTGCTGGCGGGTCTGTAAATCCCGTCTCCGTAGCCACAAGCGCCGAAAGTGCCCAGAAAGCCTGATCGTCATTGCCCATGGATGCCGACCAGTTTCCAGGCATGAAATCTCTGTCGTCTCCTACTTGGAATAGCATGGCCGTAGTCGTTGTATCATCGTAGGTTTTGTCACCTGAGTGATGTCTATAGTCCAACAATGTACCCCACATAGCACCTCCTTGCCACCAGTAATAATCACCATCCGGAGGAGGTCCAGGTAGGATGCCGGGGACCCATCCCGGTTCGTCGCCGCGGTAAAACGTGAGAAGATCCTCTGCAACTTGCGACGCTGCTTGTTTGATGGATTCTGATGACAATATTGTCAGACCACGTCAAGCAATGAACTGGGTAGACTGCTCACGAACCTGGAGAATCGAGGTCGACTGTCAAAGCGGCATGGATTTGTTGCGTTGCCAGACAAAGCCCGATCAATACCGACCGTGAAGAGAGCCTCACCATACTCTCAAAGATTGACCCTCCAATTAAGGGACCTCTGTTATTCCGGAAAGGTGATTATGTATAAACAAAACGAATGACACGGAATAATAATGATGATGATGTTAATACAGGATGAGTATGGAAGCAAGTGAGCGCGAACTAGACGTGGTGGTATCAAGCAATTGTGAACCAAGACTTGAAGAAAGAGAAGTGACGATGGTGGACAATAAGAGAGTGGAACAAACCAAGAGGCAAAGAACTACCCAAAATACAGGCCTACAGGTTCCAAATCCCCGGCAACAACGGGAACGAAAGGCACTCAATGTCATGCCTGTGCCAAGATGCCCAAGACTTTGACCAGCGTTACCAAGAGAAAATGGCTCCATATCTCCAAGACTTTTTGGTGAACAAGAGCACGAGGCGGTCCAATTGTCAGCTTCGTGCTGCACAAACGGGTGTGCCAAGCTTAAGCTTATGGTTAAAATAAAGGAACGAGAGCCAGGATCCAAGCGCCTGGAGAATGAACCGTGGGCATCCTGGAAACCCCAATGCTGAACGGAATGGTGACAAAGGGGAGATGCCTGACACGAGTTGTAGAAAGCTGCAACAAAGCATGGCTCCTTGTCGCCCAGAGCCCACAGTGTACCAGCGTCTCTTGGCCCGGGCTGGGCAGATCTCATCGAGACAAATCAGACTTTCAGGTGCTGACTTATGTAGGCAGGCTGGCAGAACGGAACCGTGTCATTGACGTAGCAGACAAAAGAAAACATGCTCTGAAATCTGATTGTGTCTCTTGGGATACGCTAATGGTAGAAAAGGGGTATAACATCGTGATTTCGTCGTCGTGACCATCATTGTAATAAAATAAGAAAATAGTAAAGTTCAACTGCGAGGAGAAGAGCGCCCCTCCACGCACCCCCCAGCTCCCCACTCGCTCAAGGGAAGGCCCCCTGGCGATCTTGGATAGTGCCAGCCTGCCAAGACTTAGGTGCTCTAGTCGCATCTGTTGACGTACAGGTGACTGCCGAATCTGCCGAAGTGCATCGCATTGTTCCACGATACGAATATCGATCATCAATGCACCTGTCATCTGAAGACGCGAGAAAACCTAGCAGGGCTTACTAGGCCTGTTAGGTAAGCCCGGAGGCTTGAGACAGTAACGGCTTGTGTGAATTGTAAAAGGGCCACCTGTGCTACAAAACAGTGAGTGCGGTAGGTGCTAACAATTGGTATGCTATGTTTCTAAATTAGATTAAAGCCGTTGCAAGATGACAAATATTTTCATCGCCTTCCGTCGCTTGCTTCAGGACTCTCTGTGCTTGGGACAGCAATCAATTCAGCGGCCAACTTGCCTTACTCAGCCGTTATGGACAACGGCCATGTTAAATTCAAGCAGCGGTGCTTGGAGTTGAGTGTACTTGCGACAAGTAGCTGCGGAGGAGGCAAAACATTTGGGTATTATCAGTTAACTGTTCATCATAAATTGGTGGTGTCCTCAGTCATATCACGAACTATAATGACAGGGCGGCTTCACTTCAAGTGTATCAGAATCACTGAAAACGAGAATCAGACGCATTGTATTGTTTCTGAGGACAAGGGTATGGCCACAGAAGGGTCAATGCCAGCAGCTACAAATCCAGACTGAAATAAAGTTCAAAAAGTTCAACGCTTCGCAAGCTCTTTTTGAGCACTATTTCCTAATCCTGTAATCCATGAAAGACGATGTCCTCCTGGCTGCTATGCACGCAAATGACCAAGTGTGTATCCACTATTTCTATAAAAAAATATATATATATAAACCCCCCACAGTTCCCTAACCTTTGACCTTTAACGCCGTGTCCTATCCCTATAGTGTATGTCGTGAGCGAAAGTCGTGAATGCCGGTTGATGGTATGCAGTGAAATGCAAAGTAACGATGATGCTTCTGTTAATGATGCTGTAAAATGTGATATTGTAAAATCCACTGTTTGTGAGATGTGCTGTTGTTGCCATCTCCATGGCTGATGTTGCTTCCTCGAATAGAGTTGTCGGTGTTGAGGTAGGCTTGTATATGTACCCCTTCGTCATGTCATTGGACCTTTCCGCTCCTGTGACCGCAGGAAGGTCTTCAGTGGTGTTTCGTGTCCCGCACGCTCGTGACAAGAGGGGGCAGTCTATATACGCAACCAAAGCGTGATAGACCACTAGGTAGTCTGGCCAGAATATTTGATTTGCGGTTACCCGCTCATGCGGAGCAATCTTGTCCTGAGCCAGAGAATAAAAGAGGTCCAGGCGCCGTGAGTTTTGCGCTTTGCGGTTTTGGTTCGCCTGGATGATTGGAACGAGACATGACGAGCAGAACCACCTGCCTGGCTACCAAATGCGGGCGGGCTCTGATTCTGCATTGTGTCATAGTTACTGTTCGCGACCTTTTCGTTCTCGACGACGTGCTGTACACGAGACATACTTGGTCGACCGCTGCTAGTCGAGCTCGGCTTTCTGTTATGTTTACTGTTGGGTGGCATAGCTTCGGCCAAAGCAGCAATTTCTTCGAGCCGCCGCGCTGTGTCGGCTTCTTTCCGCATGGCAGCAGCTCGTCTCTCAGCCTCTTGTGCCCGCTTGTTATCCGCACGCTCTCTCTGCTTGATTTCTTGCCGCGCGTATCTTTCTTCTTTGGCCTGTTGTTTGGCTTGTATTTTTCGCCTGGCCTCGCGGAGGTGCTCGGCTCTTGTAGCCGTGTCGAGGTCGGATTTGGCGCGAAGACGAGGGAAGCCAACGGCTTCAAAGGACGTTCTTGAGAATGGCGACATGGATGCTACAGGGCTTGTGGGGGAGGCAACTGGGTTCTTCCGTTGCTTCGAAGTCGGTACATTCGTTGAGCCCGAAGAGTCTTCGTCCAGGTACAGGTTGAGTTCAGACTGGCTGGATACATGTGCGAGGCGAGAGGATGTTGCAGGCGTGGTTGACATGGATCGCATTCCGGTGTTGACACGCAAAGGTGCATGCGCATGCGAGTTTGGAGTTGAATGCGCATGCGAATGTGCATGTGATTTTGTGCTATCCGAGTAAGATGAGGTCCGTTGACTGGCGAGCGATGGGCGTTGCGGCTGGGAACTGGGGCTTATCAGAGTCGGTTGTGAGCAGGCCTGTGGATTTGAGTTCGCTGTGGGGGAATGATGTTGGTGTTGTTGAGAGTGAGTATTGCTGCTCTGGTTGTGGCTGCTGTTATGCGTGTTATTGCCATTGCTGTTGCTATTGCTGTTGCTATGGTTGTGTAAGCTTAGGCTGATATGGCTGGAGATGGGATCGACGTCGTAGCTGTCGTCGTCCTCGGTAATTGTGGGCGAATAATCGCGGTCAGCAAAGGAAGCCAGCGAATTTGCGTATGGCATGGTCAGAGGAGGGGTCGCAGTGCGCAGAGGCATCTGCTGGAATGGGTGTACAAATGTTGTACCATTTCGGATTGCCAAACCACTCCCGCTGGCGGATGTCGCAACCGAGATATGGCTGTTGCCACTGATTGAACGCGAATGATGGTATCGCCGCCCGCCGCCTCCAGATGCTTCTGTATAGGCAAAGCTCACATCTTTAGAGGAGCCGCTTCGAAGGGCACCCGACTCATAGAATGACGAACCGCCCCATACGTCGCTTCGGTATTGCTCATCCTGCTCTTCCCAGCTGCGATCCAAATCTATCGAGCTCTTTTCCGATTGTGATAACTTCTTCAATATAGGCTTTACCACCTTGTGTTTCGGCTTGCCGTACTTTTCGCTCTCATTGGAGATAGACCTCAGAGCACTGAGACCTTGAAAGGACGCCATGTCGATTGGCCCAGATGCATAACCAATCCACTAAACCAAATTGCTAACCGCAACCTATGACAGACTTGAGGCCTTGGATCTGGCCGCGAGTGAGCGGGATCAGAAGGCACGCAAAGGGCCACACCCGTATCACCTGAACGAAGACATTGGGATCGCGGTCCGATCTGAGTATACAAGAGACTTTCTATTGCGGTTTCGGGGTCGGATTGGACGTTAGATCTGTCCACGCTGTGTCACAACACTGATCCAGAGATTCTGTGCAGAGACGCTGATCATAATAACATTTGGACAAGTCGATGATGCGACAGGAACAAGTCGCGTTCTATGTAAACGACGAGACTGTGGTTAATCAGGTTTATTGATTGAACCAGGAATAATAGCGGGAACACGGCATAGGTGGAGTTCGAATGGAATGATGGGAAGATTACGAGGCCCCAGAGGCGGAGGAGTCGGCGGTGTCTTTTGAGTGAGAAGCGGGGGGGATAGACGACGATAACAGCATGGGCCAGACTTGCAGCTTGGACGATGAGGCACAGCACACACTATAAATTTGAGTTCACATAGATCCTGGGCCAACCGACATGTGCCAACGATGCATTTGTCACTTCTTCTGGCTAGATAATGAGAGTGAGAGTTCAGCCTCATTCCCCCCTCCTTATTATTAGTTTGAGCATGTGGGGGGGTTTTCTACGAAAGCTGGTATAACCTCTACATAAACAACTGCACGCTATGCTGCACCATTTTGGCATGCGAGCAAGTGAAATCGGTTTGTGCCTCTCCGGCCATTCGTCGATCACAAGGGCCAAGGGGAATCCGACTGAACTGAGGGGGAAACCAGACAAAGAGTCTCCTGATGGACAGGGGTCAATACAGCACTATTGAACGGGGAACAAGCCATTGGGACCATTGGAACACAGCGACTCGTCGAGGCCATCAGTGGCTCTTTGGGAAGCTGAGCCGGCTGAGTCCGCCACAAGCCACCAATAGGAATCAGAGGAAGTCGTCCACGGTGAACTCGATCTCCATTCACTATCCACCATCTGTGCTTTCTGCAAGATCCATAAAGATCCATGATATGGAGCTTATGAGGGCCTTTCTCCCTGATCGAGCCAATCGAGATTCAAATGCTAAATACTCTCACTATTTACTGATTGTCACACCGCAACAACATACGGTGAACTTATCTTTTGTTGAGACCTTGAGTGTTTTGCTGCCACGGCAACTGTTGCAGTTTCCGCCGCCCGTCGTCCGCTCGGGACGCTTCCCCGCTCGACCCCGGAATCGTTCTCTGTATGAAACATGCCAAATGCTCGTTAGGGATCACGGGAATAGACCCACGAATTACTCATTGAGGTATCGTCGTCTGACGGTGACCTGCCGTTGTAAGACACTGGGTCTAGAAGAATCCTCTTCTTCTTTCCAGAATGTTTTCCGAAGCAAGGGTGGCTCAGATAATAACAAAAGCACGAGATTTTCAAACGCCTTTCAAAGGGGTAGCCGAAGCTTATGTCAATGTTGATTAATTATGTCAGCCAGGCCTTGCTGACGGACTCAGCATCAGCCCAATCATGGCATTGGGGTAAGTACTCTTGGCTGGTCACTAGAATCGACAAAGCAGTCCGATCAGAGAAGAGCCACAGGATTGCGCCTTGTCGCCCTGGATAGTGGTCCAGCAGGTGGTTGACACAAGAATTGGCGCAGCGGCCACTATAGCTCACTGCTCACTTACTATGTAACAGTGCGCCAATTCTTGTGGTGTCGACCACCTGTCTAAGGTTAGTTTAAAGCGGGACGAGTCATCTTGGGTCCACCATTTTATTTCGGAACCAGTGCGAATTTTCACGTGCTTTCGAGCCTCATCGCCACTAAGGGGTAAGCTCGCAACGCACACAACACTCACAGGCCATTCAAGAGGTTAAAGGCAGTCTCTGTTTCGCGCCGATGGGCACTACAATCCATACAGCACACACAGTTTATACAGATATACTATAGGCGGAATAGTGGTGCACCTAACTGCTCATCAGCGAAGCAGCAAGGCTGTGTTAACCGAAATCGATGACAATCTTTCTCCAAAACACTACTTCGATCCAACGAGTCCTAGGGCTTTATCGATGCTCTCGAAGAAGAAGCAAATTGTGTTGTAAATGATATATTATTATTATTAAATACGCCGTAAGACTCTAAGTAAATGATATAATTGTAAACTCTATACAGAATGTTAGGTTGTTCTATTTATACCCCATTTCGTTAATTAATGCGATAATTCCCGTACTCCAATCCCAAAATGCAACCAAAATGCAACCAGAATCTAAGTCTAATTGAAACAGAAAGCAACCAATGATACACCCTTACTGGACTCATGGTTGTGATGGCGTTAAGCTCGAATGTATAGTGGTTGATGAGGTCGTCACTGATTTGGGCAGTTTGTTGCCCAGTTCACCGCCAACGTTTTCCTTCCGTCGTTTCGTTTTTGACGAGAGCAGGGCAGCGCGATCCTCGTTGACCTTGATGATTGCTTCCCGAGCGCCAGGCCAAGCCTTACGCTTCCCCGTATCAAATAGGCGGTAAAGATGGGGCGTGAACACACCATCAGCGCATATCTTGTAGAACTTGCGGTCGCTCCACCAGAACTTCCACGCATTACTACTCCAGCCGATTCTCTCGTACAGGCCAGTACCGGCGCATTCATGGACCCAGCGCAGCCAGTGATATGGCTTCAGTTTCCCTTTGTAGTGACTGTCGAACTTCTGTCGGCCATGGGTCAGCCATGGCTGATACTCGTAGATCCACTGCCACATTGTGTCTTGGTCTGGAAGATTTGACTTTCCAGCCCATACTTGCGCGACAGCCATTGCTGTCAGTTCTCTAAGGCTTCCACCGCTTTCGGGGACCATGGGGTAGCAGATGCATGCAATCGACTCAGGGTACTCTGGTGGGAAAACATTTTGGTATAAGTTTGGAAGGGGGAGCTTAGGATCGATGACAGTCCAGGTCAACGCGTCGTTCAGGATACCGAAGTCATTGTTGTAGCCTGTACCCAGGACGATGGCGTCGATATCGTCGATAAGGTCACCGTTGTCCAGAAGAACCATCTTCGGTCCAATAATAGCTTTGATCTTCGATACCGACTCGACCTTCTTTCCTCGAACCATGGGGATAAGTTCATCATTAATGGTCGGTGTCGAGTAATCTTCACATCCGGGTGATGGCTCAAACCCCCAGGCTGGATCCTGAGGTCCCCAGGCTTTCAATACCATCTTGCTAATGGCCCAGTCGGTCAAGGTGTTATACAGCTTCGGTAAGTACTCACCCATCCAATAGGCCATTCTGGTGGTACTCCAGGATGACGCGAAGTCCAGTGGCTTGCCCTCTTTGTTGAGCCGAGGCAGAATCTTAGCCCCACGACGATGAGAGATGTACGTTTTGGACGCCTGAGACGCGAGGTCAACGGCAATGTCGGCGGCAGTGTTACCCAAACCGAGTACAATAACATTCTGATCTTTGAACTCTTGAGCATCGACGTATTTGATAGAATGCAGGATTCGGCCCTCGAAGCGCTGCTGGCCTTCTATCCTGGGTAATTTTGGAATCGTGTCACAACCTGTGGCCCAAACAATCTTATCAAACTCTCTGGCATACTCTTCATCATCGAACCAGAGAAGCCATTTGGTGTCTTCTTCATTTCGCTTGACGGATACAGCGGTTTTGTTGAACTCGATGTATTGCTCGAGGCCAGTATCACTGACATAAGATCTCCAGTATGCACCCCAAAGAGGCGCAGTAACGTGTAGAGGGTATTCTTCGAACCCAGAAGATCAGCATGAGACACTGACATGCAAAAAAGGAATTGGAAGTAGCTTACCATCCGGTACAGGATAATCAGCTATCGGACAGGAGAATTTGCTGGTCTGATACTTCGTGCAGCTTATTGAAGAGACGTGCCCAGGATCTTCGGATGCTGTCCAGACGCCACCAACTTGAGGCCGCCTTTCAAAAGCTGTCGCATCGAAGCCTTCATCAAGCAAACTCTTCAGAGCAGCTACCCCAGCTGGACCTAGGGAGAATATTAAACATGTCTTGGAAATAATTTCCTGGAGGTGGCATTACCTGCACCCACAACCGCCACTGTTGCCGGCTTCAGAACCATTTTGAAGCTCAGGAAAGATCTCTGGTACTCTGTGTGTCAAACTTTTCAAGTTGCTTGAAACTGGGATATTATACAATCATGCGAAGTCTGCGTTGTTTTGAGGACTAGATTACGCCCAAACCTGTATGCTCGAAGTTCGGGGAGTATCCGAAATATCAGGGGCGTGAGATCTGGGGGTTCCGTTTGCTGGAGTTTGTAAATATGGAAATGAATCCAGGCAATGTTGTGCTTTGAGACCAACGAAACTGCCATCTCGACTGCCGCGCTTGACTTAAGTAGTGGTTTTCATATTTACAACTTCCTTGGGAGGCCAGAGCGTACTGATCAACATGCCAAGTGGAATAAGCTTCTTCAGACAGCAAACTACAAAATTTACAAATTAGATTTGTTTAGTCCTTACTCTTTGTACGACTTCAATGGCGATCTTTTCCAGAATCGAGACGTAATTGATGGCAGTGTTTTGTGATCAGCGTTTTGTAAAGACTGCTTCGAATCCATTATAGACGTTTCATTCGCATCAGTGGTGGTTGTGAAAAGGGACATACGACAAAGCTAGTAAGCAGTGGGGCAGAACATGACGATTAAGCTTCGTGGAACACAAATGGAAGCACTGTGCACGGAGCCGCATCTATTCCTGAAGCTTATCGTCCAAGCTCTTCAAATTCATGCAACACGTAAGAATGGGATACCGAATTTTCTGTACAGTTCATAAGAAAGAGAATTGGCGATCATAACATTCAGTTGGTAGAGCATACGGGAGGCACTGAGCTCAGCCCGTGCAGGATAGATCGGCTTACTGGCTCGGTAACTGCCAGAAATTGGTCTTGACCGGCATGAAGTCTAAATAGGAGAGAGTACTTGAGACAGTTTAAGTTTTCAGTCGCAAACCTCAAGTTGCAAGCTAAACTCGTATATACAGTTGTCATGTATGCCGTGAAGGTACTGTCGGGTTGCTACACATCTTGCGAGCGATGGCGGGCCTCAATAGCAAGCATTAGATTTTTCATCGTTCTATAAATGCGAGAGCGTATGGAGTGATTCTATGACTATGGATAGCCATATTCACATGTGACATAATGGGCTACAATCGTATATAGCTTATCCCCGGTAGTTGCAACGCGCGGACAACGGCAGTGGAAACTAGAATAGCACTTTCTAACATGAGATATTGCGCAGTTTTGGGTATTTTGATGTTTTTATTCTTTTAAAACTCGATGAGATTCTCGCAAAGTTGATAATCGTACATTATTGAGACACATACAAGGACGTTCGAATTTGATCAACGTGACATTGACTGTGCATTCGGCGACTAACTGCTAGATGTCATCCGAAAGTGCTACTTATAGATACATCAAAAGGCAGTAAGACACAAGTAGGTCGCATTTGGTTCGCTGATAACTGATCATCTCCTGAACCATGGGAATTATGATAGCAAAACTGATCCAAGCTCGCAAACATCGGTGCACCCGCAGCACGATGCAATGTTATCAAAAATAATCCCACAAAACTGGCCCACAGCCGAAAATCAGGCAGGTCCTATTCGCATAGGCATTACGTTGCTTCTATCATGTTCCGCGTGGCCTCCGAAATCATAGTCCCCTCTGATGGCCAGTATACATACACTGTTTGACCGGTCATATATTGAGAATATCTATATATGTCTCAAGCATCTGCCACCCCGTTGGTTTTGATGAGGGTAGCCACACTGCGTACACCCCCTGCGTTTTATCTGTCGAAGTGATGCTAGGTCGGACAGTTGCACCGATGTAATGAGACGTTTACTAAATGAGAAATTGTTCGCCTTCTCGGAAAATATCGGTAGAACCGTTTATATCCCCAGCGAGTCCCCTTCTATTGGTGAGAACTACTGTTCACATACTATTAACCATAATAAACAGAATTCTCTAATTCTGCGAGCGTCCCTGCAGACATTTGCGTGTCCCACTTGAGACCAACTTCCGCCTTTGCTGCAATAGCAACGTTCATATTCCTTGCAGCACTTCACACTGTCGACTTCATGAAGGCATACATCCACATTGAAAAGTCACTCGACCGGCGGATCTATGCGCAGAGCTGATCAAGTCCGAAACGCAGACGAATACTCTAAAAACTAATCAGCTCAGTGATCACGAAACTGACTTGAGTACTAGTGTGCCACATTGATAAGAATGTTGCTTTCCTCTATTACCGATAATGTTCAGAAGTGCATACCAAGAGGGCCCTATCAGCGAACCGGCCGCGTTGGAAATGCAAGGTCCCGTTTCCATGGGGCTATCGAGTGTAGTAGATTAGTCCTAGATACGCACGCATATGTTTTGATTCGAAATTTCAAAGTTCATATATGCAACTTTCAGAACATCTGACTTAGTCTTATTCATCTAATATGATGCACCGGAATTGTGCTTTTGGTGTTGCGAGCAGTGATATGCAGAAAGTGCCAGCTAGCCGTGGCAATTCGACGACGCAAGTGCTAAAGTCTTGTATAGACCAGAACAAATTGTAACATCCAACAGCAATGCATCCGGTTCGATGTCCGCTCGCCTATGGAGTATTTCGTGTGACATATTTTATTGAATACTGCAGTCAGTCGACTGGCGAGTGAGCTCATCGTTCAGCAGTTACTCCTCCGGCGTGGGGTAATACAAGAATCTTGCTGGTGCTGGTGACTTCTAGCTACGTTGGTAACAACATCTATACCTTGATACACTGGAGAGAACATGCTCCGCTACCTGTCCACATACCGATTCGCTGCTGTAACAGAATCAATAGTTAAATATATCGATCACGTGGCGATCCTTGACTTCTGGCCGAAAACGAATAATGCGATTGGATATATGATGTGGCAAGCTGAGGGGAAAGTGGCAACGGATGTAGACCTTGCGTTACCGGCAGAAAGCAATCCGAGGAGGAAATACACGAGAAATTCTATGTGCTGCACGTCACTAGAAGGAGTCTCTAAATCCATACACTTAATGTATATCACTTCTCTACACGCTTTGCAATGCAGGATTCATGACACTGACCCACGTAGAACGTGAAAAGGAGCACACGGGACTGGCATCAGCTATGACAAAAGAGCAATTGCTATTCGGAAATGATATGCTGCCGCCGTGCTCAAACGGTCAAATTCTATCCAATGGAATGAGCTCTATCAAATCGACCATGGCGGTACTGTGAGATGATGTAGAGCATCAACAGGTTCCGCTATCGTCACGGCGATACTACGGAATTCCAAGCCGAGTCGCCAGCCAAACAATTGCTATTGTTTCGCGCGTGCTGGCGCACATAGGGTTGTCTAGCCCTTGATTAGTCAAGGATATCATCTACGACCACTGGAGATTTTGTATCTTTTCCCAGTACTCTCGAGTAAGTGCTCACGATCAGGCTCCAAGGAGTATGAGATACTTATTGCATCATCCGACATATCGGGCAATAAAGTCCAGCGGTACCGCGTCCTTGCCAGCATCGTTCAACCAGTTATTCATAACGAAACGGTAGAATTCGGGTCGCCAAACGCAGTGCGCCAGTATTATACTAGGCTCTGGATAGATTATGTACGTAAGTCTCTGTGCTCAAAAGAGATAGTTCAAGGTGTGATGTCCACCGTTCATGGCATTGATACTGGCCAGACTACTGCATGTAGGTAGTAGGACAACTCATGCATATGCGGCGCTATGCCTAATTCCTTGTCCAAATCGTAGCTAGGGCAGATGAATTGACGTCAAGGAAGAGCCCGCGGCTTGTCTTTGCGCTACATCAGCGTTTCCGTTTTGATAACTGAGGGAATCCTGCAAACTTCGCTAGTACTGCAGAATGATGTTTTGGATTTTATCCAGCGATGCAACCACGAAAAACCCTTGCTGCGTGGAATCCAGATTGCTTCCACCGGAAGCAGGTCGTACATTCCCCGTGGCTTGCTCCCGTGTGGACCAAAGTCCACTCGGTTCAGGGTCTGGTTTCATTCGGACGTATGTGTTGACAGTGCAGCTGCCGAATATAGACTCAGAAATAATTGACGTAGTGCGGCGTTGTGACGCTAAGCGCTTGTACCGCTGCGCAGGGACTCGAGAGAAACCTCTTATTTACGTGTGATCAAAATTGTCGAAACTGCGACGGAACTGCTTGTTGCGGTTGTGGGTGTGCATGCCATTTCTTGATGCGAGAAACGGCATGTGTTGGAATGATAGAATTTTCTGTTACCATAGGCATATGTAACTCATTGCGACTTGCGCAATAACTTTGCGCAATAACTTTGCGCAAAGATATTGGTTCTGTCTCTCGGCGTCCGAACTGCATAATTCTTTACTATGTAGACGCTGATCGGCCAGGTACTTAGGTTCTATTTCATCCGCCTAAGGTTAGATCCGATGTGGGGTCATATTTTTCAAGGACTTCTGCCCAAAAAAAACCCAAACCCCCCCCCGCCCTTGACACTCACAATGGACGAATTTCGCGGCTCCTTGTATTGAAAGTTGTCCAATGCGGAATCAGTATACTATAAACGTTCGACTAGACTAAGAAATGCTTGGTATAGAACCAGAAATTAACTTGATTTGATTCCATGATTCCATGCCAATCAAATGGAAATCAGGCCCGAGCCACCACAGGGACAGCCTTTTACAACGATATGTTCCTGAGTCCCGGACAAATACTCGGCATGTGTTTTCATTGATCTTTTAAGGATTGTGAGTTTTGATGCTTCAGACGGAGCTTAGACGCTTTGATATTCTGAAAGAGTCAATACTCTGGTTTTAAGCAACAATGTCAATCATCCAAGGACGACTAGTAGTATACGAACCAGCGTGGATAAATCAGACTTGAAGTGTCCCCATCCCAATGTGAACATGGCACTTGCCTGCTTCTGAGGCGAATTTGATGGAGCGGCGTTGATCATAAATCATATTTTGGAACTTCTTCGGTCTTCGTTTCATGAGGTGACAGTCACGCCTAAATTGGTTGGAAGATCATGCGGCTGCAACGAAGGTTTCCAATCTTTATGCCTACGAGTGCTGTGATGTATGCGACAGTGGAACGGCTATTTGCCTAGTTCAGCATATGAGCATCTCCCATACTGCAGGAACGTTGCAATTTAGAGGCCTTGTCCTATATTGGCGTAACTATGTCATTCTGACTTTCTTGTTAGTAAGGCTGAAGATAGACGAGCTATATTTCCTACAGAAGCAATTGTTCAGCATGCGAGCTGCCCTCTCCACTAACCCCAACCGTGGTACCCGCGCTGTTTATTGGGGCGTGATGATCTTCAGGCCCCGGGAAGGAATATACCCAATTCGGAAGTGGTTTGTCGGTCACGTTTTTTTTTTGTCCCTTTCTTGCGGAGGCTGTTTGTTCGGTTCTTTCAGAGTCTATTATAGGGCCGGCTTTACCGCAACGCAGTTTTGCAGCATTCCGATCATTTGTGCAGGGTGCAGAGTTCTAGTGTTGTCATGCGTGCTGTCTGCAACGCTCTGCTGTTTGTAGAAGTAGACGTGGGAACTCTCGCGACTCTCATGAGTTGGCAGGGCCTCTGCGGTATAATACTAGTTAGACAAAAATGCTTATAAAGAGTAATTTACACGCATGTGCTCCTGCAGGCATGTTCCGTTGCAAGCCACTTCGACACATAAACTTGTTCCTAGCAATAAATGTTGCGCTCGGCTGTTGTCTCAGTGTACGACTACATACGATATAACGCTTACGAATACCATAGCGACGAGCAGAGAACGGAAAACTCAGCAAACCATACCGTAGCTTGCCCTATCTCACATATCAGACGAGATCACGAGTGGTAAATAATCGCGAGGAGATATTTATATTGTGACCAGGGGAATGAAATTTACATGCAAATGAAATTAACACTTTCATAACGTGTTAATTAGTGAATTCGTGGAGGCAGTGACATCTTGCATTAACGCGTTCCTAATTCGGTGACTTGCATCGCGCGGGACGTCCTGGATATGAAGTTGGCGGAAAAGTTGGCCGGAACTATGGCCTTGCTTACCTTGCCAAGTATTCTCCAATCAAAAGCGAATAGCGCTCACTTTACCAGACCTCAGTTGGGGTATCAAGCATTACATACAGGTTGGTGAATATGGCTCGCAGACTCCGCCGGGTACGCCGCATGGAAGCAGCATGGATAGTTCAAGAGGAAGGTTGCCAGACATGCTCAAATGCGTTGTGATAATGCCATGTCAAACCAAACGTCAAGTAGAGGGACGCGCACGCTCGCGGATGGAACCTGATAGTTAGTAGCAGCATGCTTTTAGAAGTGGAAAACTAATAAAGCCGCAGCCAGTATCGCCAGACTAATGCGTTACCTTAGTGTACTTGGTTGGGGCAGAGGGGTACAGGCACTTCCACTGGCGAGCACTTTTCAGCTAGGCATACACGGGAGAACCTCTCTGAAATTTATGGCAATAAACACACAAATTATTTAACCGAGGTAGTCAGTAGTTTACAACATGACAAATTGCTTATTACGATCAGACTCGAGGCAAATAACTCGCTCTGTGTCACTATACAGGCCACGTGGGCGCTGTACAGATCTTGCGTGCCGAAATCTTGTGGTTTGGAGGGTTGCATATGGGTAAACCTTAAACGTGGTCTCTCAATTGAGGCGCATATTGATTCCTATGGATATACAATAGCACACGCTGGTCGTTGTGATACTTTGGAGGGAGTCAACGATCAGTGATGACGTCTCGTATTAGTATTACGTCGGTAGTTTCTAGTATTTCTAGGATAACGTCAATATCACCATGTCATATTCAAAGCCTAGAGCATCGGCCATTTGAGCATACCGAGACTCGGCTACGGCAAAACATTTGATTGGTCAATGGCTTTGGTTTTGCAGATCATCCCAAAATTCCCGAACTTCAAGGTTGATTTTCATGGTTTGAAAGCACACAATATTAGTGTACCCAGCTCACAGCCACGTCCATGCTCCGCGAAATATATATTTGACACAGCATTTGCTATACTATTGGGCGATGTTATTGAACGAAGCTGCCATCATATACTGCTTGTATTGTCCTTGTACTTTGCTAGACGTTGGAAAAAATCACATCGCAACTTGCAGCTTGCATCCTAAATCCCTGAGCCCAAACCTCCCTCGGCGCAAGGATCAGACCACACTCCTCCAGGCGCGACTGGGGTTTGAAATGTCATGGAAGCGCATGGAGCGAATCCCCGCCGGAATAATACTCTGAATCGGCAGGTCATCTCCCGTTTGCATGAGTATTTCAGGTCAATCTGCAAGCCAACGTCTCCAGCGAAATTTAGCGATCCTTTCTTGGTGAAGTCGAGGCGCATGTACTCCTTCTTCTCTATTACCGGTAGGTACAAAACCTTGTCCGGGCTCCTTGGCGCCAGTGGCTATCAGCATCTGAAGATACAACTGTACTTGATCTCCGGTCGCTCGTCTAAAGCACCTGAAAGGACAGCTTCAGCCTACAGACATTGGGCGAAATGCGTTGTTAATTGCTATAAAAGATACTTGGTGGGGTGACTACTGGAAAGGCTGAATTCCATTGCCTAGTCCCCCAAGAGGTGCTGCAATGCGGCTCTGGCAGAGGGTGGTACGAGCTATGCACCGGAATGATCCGCGAGCAGTTGCCGCATTTATGCCTTGTTTCAAAACGACATCAACTCAATCTAGAATGCTTCAGTCGCACGAGCAATTCTAGATCCGTGATATAGTGCTCCGTACTGCTTACACAAACGTGCTCTTATGTCGCAGCCAGGGCTTCCGACAGAGCGGGATTAACTTGTGGAATTTGGGGAACAATAAATCCACTCCAACGTTGGGATTTTCAATCCCTGAGCATTAGAGAACTAGATGTCCTTAAATGGTTTTGCTAGCTTTGGCAATGACCTTGTTGAGTCTGAAAGGTTTATCCGGTGGGCTCCTCTTCGATTCGTGGCTGGTAGCTGCATGTTCACCTACCAGACTGGGCAGCGATTATCCATCCGTAGAGTTTTTGACACAAGTTCCGAGGCTCGCAAATAGCCATGCAGTATGAAGCCATCTATCCGTCATGGTCCAATTTGAAGTAGGTAGCATGGGAAATTGGTCTCGGTGAAGCCAAGGTGAACTGCTGAATACCTAACCATGTGAAAGTTGGAAAACCCGCCGGGGCAATGCAACCGGGGTAATCTATGTGTTCGCAAAAATGGGCTTTAGCCACGGCGTTTGAACATTTTCGGCAACGGAAGTCTATTGGGTATATGTTGGCGAAGCGATTCGCACCGAACACATGATCATGTCCTTGCTATTACAAGTGAATATCATTATTGGCTGCTTGTGCACTTTGAATGGTTGGCAAAGGGCTATCACGAGGATCTCCCTTGAATAGCGTTAATCTTGTTGCTGAGGCTCCTGAATCGGCGCTAAACAGCAAGAGACAAATAGCAATGACCAGATTGCGACTCGAGAGTTTCGATGGCCCGTTATTGCCCGCTCGCTGCCGTCCATGGGCCTGCAAGATCAGGCGCGCCGCGCTGGTCTGGCGCTTGCAGAGCCTGGCCTGGGGCGGAATGGGGTCAAAAGACTGGATCTACAAGTATGAACAGTGCTACTTAGTGTTGACGATGTCGCAATACTCCACAGCCAGCGTCAGCGCAAGTACGACCAAATCGCTGCCGTTACTGGCGCGAACCCATCCTCTCTCTACGAAAACCGTTATCGCAATCTCCTGGGAACCCTCGGGTCTCAGTGTTCCCAACTGCGATGCGTGTGTACATGTATGCGTCTTCTCTTGTGCGAGCTTGGATCTCGATATCCCCAAGACCGTGCCCAGGACAGATTGCGTGACGACAGGCGCCTTTACCGAATTGGAGGACCTGGGGTCCTCCGGCTTCTTCGTCTACTGCTAAGTTCCTCCGTGCATATGCTGCCCATGTCGCAACTGCTGCCAAATAACTCCGTGCAGGTTGAATATGATGTAGGGGTATCTTTGTACTTGACTCTAGGTATACCTATATGATTCAGTTCTGTCTCTCTTGTCGCGTGGACTGTATGCACCCGCCAGTCAACGAGCTTATTTCGATTTCATCCAGTGGCAGAACAGTTCAAGGATTCATTCGCTTTTGTGAACCGTCGTTCCGAGACCAAACATGCCGGGCTATCTAATGTACGTATTCATCCTCAGACTTCTCATATCTCACAAGTTGCATGCCTGTCCACTCACAGTGTAGTAGAGCCTCAAGCGTTTACAGATGGGGGCTCGCTTGCACTGCAAGAATACTCAAAGTACCCGCGAGGTACAAGATCGTCCTCCACGCTACTTCAGGTAGATTCTTGTGTGTGAGCCGGGGCGCCGACGTACATACAGTATGTGGCAGCGGCCAAAGCAGCGTCTTTTTTTTTCTCCCTCATTCTCCTCTTCCTTGCCTGTCCACTTTGCGCCGCTTCGTCTAGGGCCCCTGTCACCCCACCACACCCCTCCTAGCAAGGGTCTTCTGCAGTGCGCCATGTCCACAGAGGGGAAGCAACAGCAGGGGCCACCAATTCAACTACCACCCATCCAAATTTGTTCATGAATTTCAAACGAGGTTTTCCAAGCAATCGATTAGGACGCAGCAAATTCCCATCAAAAGTACCTGGCAAGTGAACTACTTTGCTCGAACGTACCCCAATCCGGGCCGCCCAACCTCGTCATGGTTGTAGTTCAACCGTTGCAGTTGTTGTCCAGTACTTACTTGTTCAAGCACTCGCTCGGCGCGGCTTAATGCTAGTCGACCATGGGCCGATACCCACACAAGTGCCTGCCCTACCTACCTATTATTTCCATAGTACTGCTTCTTACTCACTTCGCATACGCATTTCCCCAAGGTACTTGCAATCGACAGCCGATTGAGCTCTAACTTAGCAATTCTCATGCTAGGCCGCATCCGTTTCCTTGCGTTTTACCCATCGGTTACGTTATTGACCGTTGCTGGAGTGGTTCCATATCGCCTGCATTGGCCTATATATCCTGATGCTTCCCACCGGGTCTAGTTCTAGTCCACCTCATCCCCTCGATTCTACCGTCTTAAGAACTCTTTCTCTCTCGTTTCTTGTCTTTCGAAGCTCATTCTCCTTTGCAATGACTTTATTCCTTTGAACACCCTGTCTCTGTCCTATGTACAGTATTTGTTTGTGGCAGTTCGGGTCGACCTAAAACGGTAGTCTCACCAAAGCACGTGTGCGACTCTGATAATATCCAAAACCACTCGTTCTGGGTCTATATGTGTGTTTTCCTATTTGTCGGCACTTCTGTTTGAGGGTTCCACAATTTGAATCAGCGACCATACCGTGGCCAGAAAACCGACCCAGGTCTACAAAAGGCAACCGTTTACTCGATTCTCGAAAGAATCCTTTACTGCGCCACTGCGTGAACAGCGCCGGCCAGACATTACATCATACTCTCTTTGCACCTAAACAAAACACCACATCCCGAAGCGCTGTTCAATGGTATATCTAGTTGGCCGCTGATACGTTCATATCTCTATACGCAACCCAGAAGTTCACGTTAGCCAGGCAGCCTTAATTCACAGTACCCGAGTCACGTACTTCACTTCTCTTTGCTACTCCACTCCAGAGCTTGAAAGAGGGATATCGATGGAAGCAGAGCGGTACAACATGGACAATACACTCTCTTCAGGTTTTGCCACCGTGTGGCAGGTGCTCTCAGGCTGTTTCTGGTTTTTAGAGTCAAATCGCTTTTGGTTTTGGACTGCCTGTATTCTCTGGTAAGTTCGATATTCATCCCACGTCTACATCTCCTCTGGTTCGGCCACGGGATGAAAAATCAAGAAGTGCGTTGTAAATTGGTTTAGTATTAACCTTCCAACAGGCTTCACCGTTATCTGCGGTTGATCGTTCATTGTTTCAGTCATTGGTTCTACAAATCGAAACCAATTCCCGAAAAGCCCGGTTACACGGCCGATGATGTGACAGTAGTCATTCCCACTATTCACAATTGCTTCGAGGAGTTGCGACCTTCTCTAGAAAGCATCCTTGCGTGCAAGCCGCAGGAACTCATTTTGGTGACAACCTTCGACAAAGAGGTCAGCTTGAGAAAACTCGCTAGCACATTATCATCGCGCAATATCAGGGTGTTGTGTAGCAGCATAGCGAACAAACGACTGCAGGTCTGCGAAGCTCTTCCCCATGTCAAGACACGCATCATTATCATGGCGGATGACGATGTGACCTGGCCATCGACTTTAATGCCATGGTTACTTGCCCCATTCGAAGACCCCAAGATTGGTGGTGTTGGCACCTGTCAGCGTGTGCGAAGAGACAGGGATGGTTCATGGGCAGCTCAATCTTGGAACTGGTTGGGCGCAGCATATATTGAGAGGCGCAATTTTGAGATCTCAGCTACCCACAATATAGATGGAGGGACGTCATGCATGTCTGGTCGTACAGGAGCTTACCGAGCTGAGATCTTACAGAGCCAAGATTTCCTTGACGGGTTCAAAAACGAGAGATGGCAGAAGTATACTCTCAATGCAGATGATGACAACTTCGTTACGCGATGGTTGGTCAGTCACCAGTGGAAAACCTGGATTCAGTACAATGATGAGTGTGAGATTGAGACCACACTCGAGGTTGGCCAGAAGTTCCTTTACCAGTGTTCCAGGTGGGCCCGAAGCAATTGGAGAAGTAATTGGACCAGCTTAGTCAAAGAGCACTATGTGTTATGGTAAGGCAACCAATTCTTTTTTCCTACACCTGCCCGAGTTGCTAATCAGTTGGACACAGGCAGCAACCATGGTGCACTTACGCTCTACACCTCGCAACATTCACCTCATTGGCCTTTGTGTTCGATCCGTTGATTCCCTTTGCCATGTGGCGCGGCAGTCAAGGATGGGACTACAATACCCGTCTCGCAGTTCTAACTGCTCAACTTGTATGGATGTTCGGCTTCACGAAATGGGTCAAGTTGCTAGGCTTGTTCAAACGTCATCCTAGTGATATTGTGTTCCTTCCAGTCTCGATTGCTTTTGGCTGGTTCCATGGATTCATCAAGTTGTACGCTCTTTTTACACTGAATATGGTAAGTGGATCGCGAACTTGGTAAATGGCTCAGCACTAATTGTAGTGCAGACATCTTGGGGCAGTCGGCCAGATGGTGATCTTAATGATGCATTGCGTATGTCGCCTCGACCGGTACCTAATGAAAGCATCATTACGCCCATGGCTCGTCCGGATGATCTCGAGCACTTATATCGACGACCTTCTAAGTCACCTCGAGCAATAGCGGAGAAGGCCATGCTTACAGCTTATGGGCATGAGTATCCTACTATAGCAATGGTCGTTACACCATTACCTGGTTCTCCTTTTCGACCACAGACGGATCAATAGCAGTTTCTCGTCTAGAGAAAATCTGTGCATGATATCATGAGTTATGAATTAGTTTCTTTTAACGTGCAGGCCGTGGTCATGGGATGAGGTCGTGGGACGAGGTCAACTGCACTCTCCCCTTTCGTCATATAAATGGATATTTACACAAAATCGGCAACGTGGTAGCTTGATTGGGATGGGAGACTAATCACTTCGGCCAGGGGTCTTCTTCATTCAAGGGCGGCCAAATCTCAACATGGTCAAAATATGACACGGAAAAGTTTAGATGTTCCCTTGGGCGAAAGGGACACCTGGATATCACAAACGCATAAGTGGCGTGCCTGGGAGGATGGGCGATCTTATTCTTACGGGCATTGCGTTTATTGCATTGGCATATGTATATGCCCCGGCGTGCAGCATTTCCCGGCTATTAAAATGGTGTACGTTTAGGCATTATGGGATAAGAAGGCGTATTGTCTCGTGGCTTTGCTCTCAACGCCACCCTACTTCATATTACATCCTGCTAGATAAGACTGATCCATAGATGACTTGGCGTCTAGCTATGTCTTCTTCATTTTAAAAACTAAAATTCACCCATTATCTATACATCCAGTACTCTGGTTGGATACGGTATGTTTGTACAATTCGCAAATACTATCCGTACTTTGAGATGGCAAATTGTTTTCACGAATAACGGATGAACTCGGCATTATATGTGTGTAACACAACAGCTTCTGATAAGTACGAACCGATATTCATCAGCTCTAAGCGGAGCAATTGGTATCATGCGATTCGTCAATTCGTTAAACCCCAGAGTCCAGCATACCCCCTGCAGGGCATCCTTGATCGCGACGAGGCTCTCAAAACGGGATCTAATATGTAGGTAGATCATTATGAAAACGGAGTACATCAACCTGTATTTTTCCGTACGAGGTTTCCGCCAGAAATGGAAGCCAATCGACGTTCTTTCATACAAGAATCGAAATCCGTCGTTCAAGCGAGACTATTGAAACGATTTGAAGGTTTGATACCCGTCCCTCGCGGTTTTAGCACATTGCCCGTAAAAAAGTGAACGGCATTTGACCTCATCCCAAGGTAACCCAGATTCGAGAAAGCGATCTCAAAGTCTAAACTCCTCTCCAGGGCGGCTACCGACGCCTCTAGCAGAACCCTTCCGATCCACTTCACGATAGCGTGATCTCCGTCTCAACTAATTACCCTTAGCCTCCTCGTCCTTGTAGCTTATGTGGCCATTCCACCAAGCAAGCATCTTATTAGACACGAAAGCTAGCCTCACGCCCGTCGAAACCGACACAGCCGTGGGGATGCCTCTCAGATGGAGTTGATCAATAAGCGAACAACAGAGGTAGGGAAGGAAGCCCTTAACCTAACCATGGCTTAAATTCAAGCATGTTCTCAAGCGTCAAACTTGAGCCATGTGTGGAACATTCAGAAGTACCCATGGAGTATCACCCTACATCTATGCTAATGTAACTGCTAACTAACCTTGAGATCTTACACTAAAGGCTGCCAAGATCTTGAATCTGATTCGCATTTTTGATTTCTTGTCCGACGGCGTACCACCGTCATGGGAATCAATGCCGCTGCATCGTGTCAACAAGGCAGCTGACTGCAGAAACGTACATGGTGGTGGGTTCCTACATAGCTTCTGACGTTTTAGGGTGCTGGCATGACATGCACACGCAGAATTACTCGCATGAAGATGGTGTGGACTTCTACCTACCATTCAAGTTATTGTCACACTAGTTGTCTAAAAACTTGCTGCGCGTTACCCCTCACCAGCGAGTGAGACGACATCATTCACTTCAGTGCCCTTACCAACCCTTCACTCGGACTGACTTGTTTTGATACTATAGCCTTCCAGCATCCAATACTCTGACTCGGCATATTGCGACTCGAAGGGACGGCTAAACCAATCGCTGCTGTTCCCGTGGATTATAAGTCAGCATTAATATACCATTCTACCATTTCTCAGCCAGGAATACCTTCCCTGTTTGATGAAGCCCGATTCGGCATGCTGATGGCTTGTGGGTTTATTTGTTGTGCAGAGATCAAAGGACTATCGTCCGATCACGCTCGACCGAGTGGTCATCTGTCTAGCCGAAAGACTGTCATGAAGCATCGTGATCCCACCCATCACATGGACTCGACACTGACAGTGCCTAAATACCCGTGATCGACGCTACCACCCAGCGTTTGGGACGGCTGTGACTAGTCAACGATCCCTTCTGGCAGAGTGACCCCCGATAGTCCAACTACCCCACCACACCTTGCGCCGAAGACAGCACACCCTTTCCCTTCCTACGAAGCTACGCAGACAAGGAGTCCCATGTCTACATGCAACCACCTGTACACTGGTATGGGGAACCTGGTTATTCCAACTGATGTGAGCAAGGTGAGGTCTGTGTGTGTGTGTGGGACCTCAACCCACGCTTGTGGACAAGCGCGTGCGGTTTTGGGGTTTTCGCAGATGCACTGGGTTGCATTGCGCCCAGCTTCGTTGGTTGCGCTTAACCTCATCCTCTTGGACCTGCGTCTGCAAGAATCATGATGCTAAAAACAAGAGACGATGACTTTCACGAGCTAGCGTGCAGGTCGTCTAGGCCGGGGCGGCACCAATGAACAGCATCGCGAGCCAACATGGAGTGTTCATTGCACAATCTACCTGCATATGCAGGAGTCATGAACTCGGCATACATACTACGATGTATGTATGTACTGTAGTAACCCCCAGATGGCTTCGCAAGGAAAGACTACAGTTTAGGCGCAATGACGAGATTGAGAGAGGCATGGCAGTCTAGATCATTCCAAAGATGGCTGACTACAAGACCCTGATGTTGCTTATCTGTCAATCTTCGTTCAAGGACTTGGCCCGTCTTTCGCAACGTCAACAATAACCAACGCTTACATGCATGGACTCGAGGTCACGTTCCACTAAACTACATTGATCCAGCAATGCCACAATTCACTCGCTCGGGGTGTCTAGGCCAGATCGAGGAGACCGCCTAGACGTGTATAAATAATAATATTAGATCCGGAACCAAAAATTCGCCTTACTACGTATTTCCGGAGGAGCACACGAAATGTCCGCAAGCCCCGTAAGGTTGGTGGGGTATGAATCAGAGTTGGACGTGGATGCTCTCGGTCGAATACCTCCGAAAATACGATGCTGCCAGAGATAGGACGAATATTGCTCTTGGCTCTACAGTAACTCGTCCGCTGCTTTCGGGGTTCTGCTGGCAATGAATCGATCATAAATCGAAATGGGAAGAACGTGCCCTACCGATATAGCTCAAGTTAGCTTGTTTTGCTTGTGAAGTTATCGCATCAACAGGTTGCGAATTGCACTTTCACCATGAACCATGTCTCCGCATAACTTGCTTAGACTCGGCAACATTTCACGGCGGGGTTGGCGTGGTATCACCGCAGGCATCGTATCATCCAGCCAAGAAGACGACTCTGAAAGCAATTGCGACTTTTACGGCGACTCGTTCATTCTCGGCCCACCATCAATAGGCTTACAATGCATTCCTTGGGGCAAGGCGTAATGAACTAATCCAACTAGCAGGCTTGTCCAAGTCTAAGCATTGTTTGATAGGTAACATCGATCGCGGGCCAATCTGCTTTCGCGAATGACTGCCAGGAAAACCAGCCTCTTTTGACAATTTGCCGCATTAGGCAAGTCCTCGGCAAACTCCTCTAATTCCAGTAATTCCAGTGGTGGGTTCTTCCATTCTTATCACCACATGCGTAAGAATTCTTATTTATTTATTTTCGTCTTCTTCTTTTTTCCTTGCGGGTCATGGCTACCTTCATGTCAGTAAAGCGACTGACTGTATTCTCCTCACATGAGAACAAACCCGATTTCGAAGCTGGCGGCTGGGTTTAAAAACGGGTTGCCGAGCACCGCAGCGAAACAAAAATCTGCTCTGTAAATAGACCCATCTAAAATCTGATGCTCAAATCCTAGAGCTTGATGGCTCCAACTACTGCAAGGCCAGAACTACTTGGTGTCCATTCTAAAGGCTAGCTAACCCCTTTCGCTCTGATGCAATCTACTCCTGCACAAGGATTGCAATTAACCAAGCCATGCCGGTCATTTATCGATTTCTTGCAGTAGATACACTCCTCGCACTGGTCGTAGTTTGATAAGACGACGTTCCAAAATTGAGTTAAGACGACGACGGTGGCAGGTGATAGCGATCCGATAGCAGTACCTACTATTTATGTTAATAAAGGAAGCGACCAAAGAGCGGGTTGGATTGCCGTTTCGGCACTTACATTTACTTTAACGGCCTTGCACTGCAAGTAGCGTTTGTATCATGTCCGTATTCAATGGACAGCCATTCGCCAGCGTTTGGGACGAAGGGGGAGGGGAGCAACATGTCGGGATTTAATACTGACGTCGGACGGTTTTTTGCCACTGTCGGGCTACGGCACCGGGCTTGGTCGCGGATGATGACCGATTGTGAATGTAATCCGGTCCGACATCACGACGCACGCACGCACGCACATAGTCCCTCTACCTACTCGCAGCTCCTTCCTGCTTTGACCCAGAACAACCCTGCAGACTCACTCGAACGTCGTATGTTAGAGTCATATACTTCGCATTAAATCATGCAACGTAAAAATGCACTACTGAGGGTATGACGAATTGAAGCCCACAACCCCAGATGACGAGCCACAAATATAAGTCACGAACTACCGCAACGGCATCGGACGTGCTGCCATGGTGGATTGGCGATTGGCGCACGTCGCTGAAAGCAGTGAAGTGGATATGGTCTTTTAGGGACCCTCAAAAGGCCATGAATCATGTCATCAGCCCACGGACGAACAAGAAAAATTCCCATTGAGCCACTCTCCTGCTGTAGTTAGAGAACGGTCGTGTGGGTTGCACTATCGCCGACAGCGACCCTTTTTCGGCGCAAGGTGCTCCATTGACTCGTCTTTGCGGCAGCATCTATGCTGTATTTCTTGCATGACTGTGGATTGGCACACAAACCAAGAACGGTTGACATAGAGCAACGCGAGGCTATGCAATAAGAACCAAGATTATATCCATCCCGACGCATTAGAGGGGGGTAAGAAAAAAAAATTCTCGTCCGATGAAAAATTGAGGGGCAGGAATTGGTATAACCGTCCAGTCGCAGAGACCTTTCCGCATGCACATGAATATGTACAATTCTGAGAACTGACAGAACTGCAATGCCACAATATGTCCACTGACATCAATTGGAGAAAGGCTCTGCATATGTATGTAGCAGTAGCGAACCCCTCACACACCCTCCACTACGCCTGCGGAGTACTTGATGGTTTGCATCCAAAGTGGTAATCCGGAAACCCGCGGTGTCTAGATTCACTTCGCCCTACCGTCTCTCAATGCGAGATCCCGCGCCGCGGAGCATCGCGAAGGTACCTTTTGAATTGTTTCATGAGTACGAAACAAATTATGGACTGGAACAAGTCCTCTACACTATGATGAATGTACACATCCGTCTTCGGGTCCGCGGCCAAAAGTTCCGGAAGCTGGGGGTTTGTAGTATTAAGTATACCTTGGGCACGAATTGACACGGATGACAAGGAGAGAAGTTTTCACGTATTTCTCTTTTTTTTATCCGTCATGCGCATGGAAATAAATTTTTTGGATCTAATGGCAGTAACAAACGGCAGCCGACAAGGCAGCAAATGTTGAAGGCTTCCAAGCTGACCACCACTTGTCCCGACGCCGTGGGCTGGCTCGGTGTGGCACACACCTCACTGCCGAATCAAGCCAAGTGCTTCCGAGTAACCTGTAACGTGACGACATTCGCTGCTGGCTATGGACCAACAATGCCGGATCGTGGTCCCCCTTCAAAACTAAGAGGGTAGTGAATGCTGTGCTACCAAGAGATCCTAGCAGTTTGCATGTATTGAAGATCGTGCCGTGACGGCTCCTTCGGGATGTAAGGAGGTGCAGGAAAATGATCGATCAGTTCTAGAATACGAGGTGAGCCGCACAGAATCGTGTGACAGCAGCAACAAATAGGGCTGGCACAGAATGATGTGTGGCTTACTTCCAATTGACGAATCAAGTTGCAGGACTTGGCAATGGTATATCACAGCGGCTGAGAGGAAGGCATGCCGCTATTAAGGTCTGCGTACGTCAGACGAGCTGGAGGTTGATAATCTGGCTCGGTTTTGTAAATCATTCCAGTTTGAATGTACTCAATGATCGGTGCAAGTATCTCAAGTTGAGTCGCCAAGGAAATGGCCTCGTCAGCTCCGCAAGGTTGTTTCAACACGGGTCGTCTTATGCCCTTCGGCGGCACTGCCATGAATGAGTGTCACCATACCATGCGATTTCCTTGGAGGGCAGTCTTTTTTTGGCACTCTGCAAAGAATCGGCATTAAGAACAATGGCAAGTGAAGAATTCTGATCCGTGGGTATGCTGTTCGTACTGAAAACAGATGGCTGCGGTGACTTGACAATTATACGAGGCACGAAATTTAGATTTCCATCATGAACGGGTTTATTTACAGCCTGTGGTTAAGACTTAAAATGAAATATTACCGAAACCGTACAAGAAAATGCCACTGTTGGCATCTATTGTCATTATCATCAGGCCGCAAGCTGGCGTTTATGGTTCAATTTGCAAATGCCATCTGTATACTCAGCTTAGAGCCACACATGAACGACTATATCTTGGTATTCATCATGTGTTATTCTAGGTATTTTTATGTCAACTCAGCATGTAGTAATTACAAAGGAGAATGCCTCAGTTTTGTCTGATGAATACCTTCATGATTGAATCCAGCTATGCATGTACAGGATGTTACTTAGGATGCCATTGGTGACTGGACTCGTTGACAATGTCAGGAAGTAGGTTATATCTCAGTCGATTGCAGCGTCTGACCACTTGAACAAGGAAGCCTACGTGGGAGCGAGATTTACTCTATAAGCATCTGTCATTGCTCAATCGAGATCTTGACCAGCCATGTTCACTGTCCGATATGAACCGCTTAGAGCACACAAGCGCAATCATATGACCACAATCGTTGAATTACGACAACAGTTTTGAATTCTATGATTTCAGCGAGCCATCACAAACGTTGCTGTACGACGGCTGGTGGCACATAATTAATATCTTCAGGTGGCGCTCCCATCGCCGGCGCAATGCCCTGCAGAAAATGAGAACCATATTACAGCCGATGCAAAGAACGAGCGCTTGACGCAGGCCGGATACCCCCTTTCGCTAAACTCAACCTCTCGTGGAATTTTGAGGCTCGCAACGTCTTTTCCTCTATCTCGGTCCACCACCAACCCGGACCTCTGCCTCGAGGTTTTCCACGAGCAACATAATCCAATGGGCAATTGCGTGGTCAAGGGCAGAGGCGAAGAGACCCAATGTACGTAGACCAAAAGTGTTACAGCTCGTGCTCGCCTAAGGGTATTCTCGACGACACTAACGACATCCTAAACATACCCATCAAGCTACTCGCTGTGTTTATGTGTCTGTTTCAGTTATCACAGCGGCCGATCAATCTTGCAGCACTAGATAAGAAGTGTTCTATTGTCCTTTATGTGGCAGGTTGGGACACTGCTGGGCCTGGCATAGGATATGGCGATGGTACAAATCACAATATTACAATGCGGAGGCACAATGGGTAGGCTACTGGCAGAGACTGCGAAACTCGTCGACTTGCGAACTGGCTGAGAATAGTGACCAACAGGTATATAATAAGCAAAGCGCCAAGGTAAGAGCTATGTATCTTTACCATTCCGCGATTTCACCAGCTTTTGGCTTCTTCGTTCTGATGACCTTGTCTGGGTTGAGCAGGCATAGCGGGTCGAGCGATTGCTTGAGCTGTATCCATTTGTTAATGTAAGTTCAGATAAGTTGAGTTCTGATGTTGACTCGTCTCATCTCAGACAAAGAAGGCATTTGCCAGCGACAGGGCTTGCCGCCGGAAACTCGAAAGGGCAATGTAATGGAGACTTGACTGACCTTTCTCATGGTATCCACTGTGCTCTCACCAAGCTCGTGCGGCAGGTAGTCTCTCTTGACCAGTCCTACTCCATGTTCACCCTAGCACAGCCATGTCAGTCTCGGTTCTAAACGGAGCTAATACTGGAATTTGGTGACGGCAGTTTGGAACTCACAGTGACAGTGCCTTCCATCTCCACGGCGCGCTTGACCATGGTATGCATCAGATCCTCGGCCTCAATTCTTTGCTGTTCGTTCGAAAGCAGAATGACGTGGAAGTTGCCATCACCAGCATGTCCCACAATCGTAGCATACAGTCCGCTCTTCTTGATATCAGCCTTTGTCAATTCGATGAGTTCAGGCATTTTGCTCAACGGCACAGCCACGTCACCAGTCCAGACATGATCGTCCTCCTTTGCCACCGCTTGAGTACTCCAGAGAGCCTCTTTGCGTGCGCTCCACAGCTCGGCCTTTTCTTCTTCGCTCTTGGCGAATTCGAAGCTCTTGGAGCCGGTCGATCGAGCCATATCCCTGACAATCTGAACCTGCTCCTTAACGCCAGACTCTGTGCCGCTGAACTTGAAGAACAACGTGGGGGCCTCCTTCCAGCTCTTCGAGGTCATACCGGCGGCGTTGATGCATTTCATCTGCTCATCATCGAGGATCTCGACAGCGGCAACTGGCACACCCTGACCGACGACCTTGGCCACACAGTCAGCCGCCTGTCTGATGGTGTCGAAAGCACAGACAGCGACACTTGTGCTCTGAGGCTTGACAGTAACCTTGAGCGTTGCCTCGGTGACAAGACCAAGTGTGCCCTCATTGCCGATGAACAGGTTGTTAAGATTGTAGCCTGCAGATGATTTGCGGGGTCGCTGGCGTGTCTTGATGATGGTACCATCGGCAAGAACAACAGTCAGGGACAGAACCCATTCGCGCATGGTACCGTAGCGGTAGGCGTTTGTACCACTGCACCCGGTGCCAATCATACCTCCAATCATGGCTCCTGGGCCGGGATCAGGCGGGAAGAACAGGTTGTCCTTGGACAGCTGCTCGTTGAGCAACTCCCACCCAACTGCCGGCTGTACTACTACGTCGAGATCGTCCTTGTGCAGCTTGAGGACTTTGTTCATGCGCCCAAAGTCGATGCTGATACCTCCCGAGGTAGGCGTGAAATGGCCCTCCAAGCTCGTACCACCGCTGTAACCGACGACTGGTATCCTCCTCGAGTGGCAGATCTTCATGATCTCGGATACCTCCTCGGTGGTGCCGGGGAAGACGACGCAGAAGGGTCTCTCGTGGTCGCGGGCTCGGTATGACGACCAATCGGAAACGGCATGGGTATGTATGTCTGCGTCTAGGGTGCTGACGTTGTCGTTCCCTACAACGGTAGCGAAATCGGTCCAGGCTGCTTCGAGGTTCGCCTTGCCAAGGTTGTACCGGGGGGCGCGGGATTGCGACAACGGGATGGTCGAGTTGGGATCGATGTCTCGAGGACTCAATGTGCCTAGGTAGTAGGACCCGAGGGCGCCGGCAACAAACACTATGGACCAAAGCTGTTTAGTTACCATGCCAGGCTGTCGCCCATTGGCTGCTACGGGTTTGACTGACTGAATGTAATGCCCCAAGCTCTAGAGCCGGCTGTGTTTTGCCTTTGCGCAGCGAACTTGGCACGCTCCTGTTTCTCACGTGCGATACGTGTTTGTATGCTTTCGAGCATCTGTCCCTTGAAGCTGGGACCGTCCCTTTCGTTGGCGTAACACCGTATGGACTGCAACGACCCCAGGGCTCCGTTTCGTGATGCATTCCGGAGTGCTGTGGCATGTGAGGCAGCCCCCAGCCCCAGTCCCAGGCCACGGAGGGTAGCTTGGCCCTGCCTCGACAGAAGGCGCGACATGCTGGATTAGGGATATGTGCTTGCGTCTGTATTTGTAGTTGTACTTGTACCTGGAAAGGGACAGAGCGAAAGATATACAGGCTCTCTAGAATGTCAACAGCACGTCGCCGTCATCGCCAAGCAAGACGGAGTTAAGCAGTGAGGATGAGACACCCTCGGGGGAAGATGATAATAAGCAAGGCGATAACACTCTATCTAGGGGGCCGTCGGGAGTTCGCTAAAAGTTTACTGAGCTCGCGGGCTTCGGAGCTGGAAGCTTGAGAAGCTATCCACTCTCCACTTTCCACTTTCCACCTTCCACCGGCCGCTGGTGGGGCACACCCCCCGATGCTCGCTAATCGCCATAGTGGGCCGTGATTGCGCCTTGCACGCACTCGACTGCTCCCTTTCCTGCATTGCATGTAAAGCACTACCTACATATTATGTATTTCTGCGGTAGGCCGTCTTGAACTGCCCTTGTCTTTGGGAGTGGAGGCTGATCGCTCCGCATCATGCTTGGTAAGACGTTGTGACAAAGCAAGGCGCCTGATGCGACGAGTCAATTGGGGGGCATAACGATCGAGCCGACCTGACAGCGATACCGTCTGCATTTTGTTTAATGTATTTTTATGGAGTTGACTACGTAGATACGTTTCAAAGGAAGCCAGAACATGCGTGGGACCATGGCAAAGCAGCGTGTAATATCTAGCACCCGTCAACTGCCCATGGGCCAACTTCTCGGTAGTGAGGCCGATGCTACAGCATCTCTCATTGTCCGTCTGTCGAGGCTATGATTATGCCTTCCATCCGCCGGGCAAAATCTGGACATAAAAGCACGGCGAGCCCGGCATCCCAGCCGAGCTTCTACCTTCAAGCACAGCAAGGTAGGCCGTCAGCTCATCATCTCGACTCACTTCTATCACACTTTCGTCGAGGATACCAACGACACGTCCACATACCATACCGGGAAGTTCCTTGACCGCGACATGGCGCAGCTCCTCGAACGTCCGCGCTCTAAGTGTGACAATCCACACCGAGGACCCCACATTGATTGGCGATGAGTGATGCCATCGCAAGTACACGGCAATTGGTGGTTTTGCACTTGGCGAACCACCATAAGGATTCGGCACATATGCATGCGGGGGGTGGACTACGTTTGAAGCGAGATCCTGCGCAAGTGGGAATGGGGATTGCGCATGCTGAGTACCTAGGGCTTGCCCCTGTCCGTTCAACAATATAGAGATGGCACCGCCAATCTCTGGGTCGATTGGCAGAGCACTACTGAGCACATTGTCAGGCAGGAGTGACGCCGGATGATGTGTAGGACCATTAGACAGAAGTGAATCACTTGATAGCGTGTTTGCAAGGCCCTGGTGTTGCTGTATCGCTTCTCGTGGCGGTGGAAGGTGCTCTCGCTGAGCGTGTGGCGAGCCATGTCCTGTGCCGTGATTTGACGCATGTGGTGTGCCGAGGGTCACCGTAGTTGAGAGGTGTGAACTCCCCCTGCGTGGCGAAGATGCAAAATCGTTGGTTATGCCAATTTCTTGCCCGTTATCGCTGCCACGCGAGTTTATCGCCTCGGGGCCAAGTTCGCCGTTCGCCAACACCACATGGACATCAGTAGGTAACATCGCTGGCTTCGACGCTGGCGGCGTTCGTGGCTTGTGCTGATTGTCCTTGCTTCGGCCGTCTCTTAAACGCTTCATGACGTCTCTTGCCACAACGTCTATCGCCCGTAGCTTGTTATGATATACATGATCATCGTCATCAGCCGTAAGCACCCTCCGCAGGATAACTGAGTTCGCTCGCCACTTCTCCTGCAGCGCTTCCCAATGTTCCGGACCGGCCTCGGTCTTGCTTTTGAATTGGTCCTGTCTCAGGACGCTTGCAAAATCTTGACGTATAATCCTGTACTCCTCCGGATTGATCCCCAAGACAGCCTTTGCATCAGTGATGGTCAGTTTGTACTCCATACTACGCATGCGCTTAGTGACATCCGTGCATATAACGTCTAAAGCCAATCGCCTACTTTCCGCGCCCTCCGTATTCGCCCAGATCACGGACTGCAGATGCGCCATCTCCTGAACCAAGCGGCCTTTCACGCTCTCCCATCGCTCAGGGCCGGCGATGGTCTTCTTGATGACGCCCTCTTCGCCGCATATCCGTGCAAATGACGTGCGCATGTGCTGGTATTGTTTCGCATCGAGCTTGAGGATAACCCGACTCTCGTCGATGGTCGTCTCGGACGGAAATCGCGGCTGCCCTGGACTTCCTAGAGACATACCTGGGCGGACACGGCCGCGCTGCCGTCCCTTACGTGTACCCTGTGTCTCCGCGCCCACCGCTCGCGGTTTGTCTTGCCAATCGGGTTTCCCAAACTCAGGCTCATCGTTTACACTATCCTGAACCAGCTCACGTTGCTGTGGTTGCAAGTGTTTACTATGGGACGTGTTGTCGGCTGAGAGATCGTATTGGCTACGAGAAGTGACAATGTCGTCCGGTGGACGTTCAGCTGTCTCCTCTCGTGACGGTCGATCGGGATTCGGTTTACGAAGCAACCAGCGGTTACGCGTACGCACGCGCATTAGTTCCCTGTGTTTAATATCGAAGCCATCCTCGTCGTTCAGCATGCGCAGTATTTCCCGTTGCGATAAGTTCTTCTCCCATAGTTCCTTCACTCGCGCGACAAGGCGGTCATCCTTGTGGGCAGGATTTTGCTTCGATGGGAACTTCCATCGTCGAAATTGTGTTTGGTATGCTCGCTTGCTGCCATGGGGAAGGGCAATCAGTACCACGACTGAGTTGGGAGTTAGGAAAGGCGTTCAAGAGCAGTGCCTAGTTGGTTCATAAAACCAATGCTTGACATGGCGGTGAGATCGTGTAAGTGGGTGGATCTGCCACTCGGCTGTCTGCGCAGCCCACATGGGCGCTTAGACTCCGACACTCGAGGTCGAGTACGGCGAGGCAAGCATACCTTGGGGTGAAGTTGTCCTCAACACGCATTATGTCCATAATATCCTCCAAGGACTTATTCTCATCAATGTACAGACGGTAGCATTTGGGCTCGTACATATCCCAGTTGTACACCATTGTTTCGTTCAATGCGAACACACGTCTTTCACCCTCAAATCTGAACTGGATTGAAGTTGAGTTGAGCAAGTAGTCATAGGGTATGTACTGTAACTAGGGAATTGCGGGAGCTGTTTCTGCACTGGTGGAGAGCCCCGGCCGACAGGGCTTGGCAAACCCCACTTGCAATATTCCGCCGTTCCGCTGCTCCATACAGTGAGAGAAGATCCCAAAACTGTGTCATATCCCCAGGATAAACCCCAGGTGCGAATCAGATCGCTTGCTGCCATGGGTTGGGTGAGGTGGAAAAAGTGGCTCGCCACTTGGAGGAGCTTGAGACTCCGGTGAAACTGGTGCATCGCAAGCCCCTACTTTAAGTCTACGGTCGCTGATCGACCGTGATAAACCTAGCTGAGTAGCATTTCATTATCGTCGCTGAAAATTTAATGCCATCACCACGAGGCACCTTGGCTCAATGACAAAGTCTCACTTGGCGCGTTCCGGCTCGACCGTTCCGTGTGTTGGGTCTGAGATACCACGATCTGCTTCAAGAAGTTAAAACCAAAAATAAAATAAAACTACCACTAGAGGCCCCTGCCAGCCTGCTAGTAGTTCGAGCAACCATACACCAAGACTCCCTGGTGTATATGTGACTAGGGAATACAAGCCCTTTTATGGTACAGTCTTCAATGTCACCATTACATAAGCTTAGGAAAACTGAATAAAATACAGTACTTGTAGACTTATAATGACCGCCCAATCACATTACCCAGCTTGCACAATTCACAGCCAGGCAGGAACATGACTGCTCTTTCCAAGATGCGACAAGACCTGGCGTGACCAAGCTGGGAACAGCAGAAGTTGAAGCTGTATCTTATCTCGCTTCGTTGGGCATCATGGCCGCCTGATGAGTTCTGGAGCACCATGCTTCAACAACCATACAAGCTCACTGACTGTGTGCTGACAGCACAAGTTTGAAAAGCCATGAAACAGGTTGAGGTTGCGTTTGATGGTATGCCCACATGTAACACAAACAGAGTTATGGGACGTCGGTACTTGGAGCTGCTTTCGTCACGACAGTCCGCCAGTGCAATATGGGTTGACCGCGCAGTACCACCATAGCGAAAGGGTACCGAAGTCACTTCAGCAGCAAACTACGTTTGCAAGGAAGCGGAAAGACATTATGAACACCCATTTGGATAAATACTATTGGTGGGTACCATTCTGAATTGTTACAAGTCAACATGCGCTTACAGCAATCCAAGAAACCCTCCTCCCAAACCCCAAAGGTGACTCGATCGGAAGACCATGTTTTGAGGTTAATAATTAATCTCAGGTCACTGGAAGAAAAGTTGAATAGTTGTTCACAAATTTCTTCACAAATTTGTTCTAGGTGTTCTAGTATGCACCCTTTCGTAGCTTCCTTTGGGATTTGCTTCTGGCATCTCGTGGCCAAGCTACTCACTATGCAGTACCCTCGTTGAGATTGAAGGGTTTGCGTGACTCACTAATCCACCAAAGGGTTCTGGATCATGTCAAGAGTGACAACGACTGATCACTACAACGATACGTTGAGTAGACTTACAATCGACATGGTTAGGATCAGTTATCATTGTTGATGAATGAAACCACGTCGCCATACCAATCTCCCGCCTATACAGGATTATCACGCCGGAATAAACCGAAATGCTCGTGGCAGTTTTGGGGTAGAGAGGATCCCCTTGCTCTTACTTGGATTTGTCATTGCTGGCGTTTCTTCTGGTTCGGTGCGTTTGTTGCATTGTGAGCTTTAGATGCCATTTACTTCCAGGCAAGACTTGATCTTTTTGACTTTGATAATAAGCTGTCAGGGCTGTTTCTTTTGTTTGGAGACCGAGACTAATGGTTTTTGGGCTTGAAGGTTATTGTTGGATGAAGGCATTCTGTATCCCTAAGACATGGAACGAATTGCTTCTCGTGATGCTGCGAAAGCTCATAATTGCGTAGGATGGGTGACTAGAAATGGCCCAGAAGCTATTTCTTACATATTGTCTTGCTTTTATGGGGCGGAAGGAGGAGCCATTTGTCCGGCCTTGTCCGCCATTTGCAAACGTCTGCCGCCCATCGTTTTACGGGGGCACCTTTGTATTTTTGTGGCTTCAATGACGAATTATCGACGTCACCGCTGTCGGTTTTTTTTTTTTCCTGCTCGGCGGTAGAGATGGTAATACCCGCCGCTCACCTCTCTCCATCTATCTGAACTTAAAATGTCATACTCACGGATTGACTCAAAAACCTTCCTCCCATGCGAAATTGAATACAATAACATATCCGGGTGCCCACCACCCTCCGGACCACATGCGCTGTGCTCTTCAGCCCATCCTATCTATCGCTTAGGCCAACGCAAAGAAGACACAAGCTGACGGGGCACTTTGCTCCGGCGGGTTTGATTGGTCTCCCGCCCATTTAAACCAATTGGATTGAACAGACCCACTTATCCACTTCCAAAAATCATCACTGTCGCATACCTTATAGATCTGAGTGACGACGTTGTGTTACGGGCACATTCTGAGCTGGCAAGTCTAGGCCTCAGCAGATAGAAGAGTCGACCCGCAACCCATTTCACTCCAATCCAGGCACTTGATACTAAAAGAGGCACACCGTCGATGTATACAGCAGACGTATTCATTCCACTTTCGACACCCGTCATTACATGCGCGTGTGCGTACAGCAAACCGTGAGCTTGTGATGGGCTTTGCCAAAACTGTCGAGTTGAAATATGACTGCAATTTGCCAGCATGTGGAATACTGATACAAACCATGCCCTCAAACCTGAGACAGACCCTGGCCCCGGCCAGAACGAGCCCTTTGCCTTCTCTTCTATACCCTATAGCTCGTCGGTTGGTCCACCCGGGCTGGTAGATAGGAGACCACTGCCAAACATCCACGCGCAAGCCGGAACCTCAGCACCTGCTGCCTCACAGATGCAAACAGCGGCTCAGCGAAGGGAAAATGCGAAAGCCAGGCGGCGAGTGCCCACCTCACAGAGGAAGCGCACAAAGCTCAGTTGTGATGCATGTAAGTCGAAGAGATGCAAATGTCTTCGCACTGGCCCGACGCCCGAATCGGATGACGCCCAGGATGACAGCTTAACCCCCTGCAAGAATTGTGTCGATACAGGAATATCATGCGTCACGACATTGCCTCGGAAGCAGAGGATATATGGAAGTGTCGAACAGCTTGACCGACGTTATCGAGCGTTGGATGCCTTTGTAGCCGGTGTGTTTACCGACTTGCCTCCAGATGCGACCGCTGACGAGTTGGTTGAGTACGGCAGACAACGCGGCATCGCTATGCCTGATCTGGGTCCTGACTGTGAGACCTCAAAATCGCCACCGACAACTATAACCTCCGTCGTCTCGCCCACCTCACCCTTGGCCGCGGGGCAAAGGATTGGCGAAGACAGTCCCAAATACGACCCCACCAACCCCCATTTCCTCAAAGATACCAGCGGACAGTCATACTACATCGGTCCTTCTGGAAGCCTTGCCAGCTTCGCCAGAATACGGGATCTGATTGCAAGACGGTTAAGAGCCTCCGGAGACCCAGACGCTGGCCGACGTATCCAACACCTTTCCTCGGAATCTGTTACGGATACTATTGCCGGCTCATTTGACGAGACATCTGGGCATATAAAACGTCCAGCACCGTCAGTGACCAATTCATTACACATGAACAATAAAAATGCTCTCGAAGATAAACCTACGAAGCATAGCGACTCCGATAATGCGAACGACCCCAGATTCTGGGTACCAACCTCCAAAATCAAGCTTCCGAGCAAGGAGCGGGCAGACGCTTGTGTAAACGCATTCTTCGACCATGTTCATCCAAACTTCATACTTTTACATCGACCGACGTTTGAGCAACACTACGAGGATATTTGGAAGTCTTCCTCACATCGTCAAAATGTTCCGACGCATGCGGTGCAAAGAGAAACGTATGTGTCGGTAGGGTGGCTATGCTGTCTGTACACGATATTTATTTTGGGATCCCGATCACTCCCACAGGATTCAAAGTCGCTTGAATTTCAAAGGACATGGCACGATACGGTGAGGGAGCTTCCATCTTCGTTGACGGCTTCAACTCTTCCGAATGTCTGCGCTCTCATGCTGCTCGGCTTGTACTTCCAAGGCACGAATGACCGAAATAAAACGTGGGTCTATATTGGTGCGGCATGTCGTCTTGCTATCGCCCTAGGAATGCACCAGGAGCTTGCGAATGAGGGCATGGAATATTCCGTCAAGGAGCTCCGGAAACGTGTTTGGTGGACTTTGTATGATTATGAGCAGCATCTTTGTTGCTCGCTCGGGCGCCCGAGTGCCATCGGTGATTTGGAAGTCAACATCGGCGCTCCCGATGAAACTCTGCTCCAGTGCATACCCAACTTTTCTCACGACCAGATCGGACACTGGGTTCGTCTCGTCCGCCTTCAATCTGCAATTCGAAGAGATGTCCATGCCCCGCCTGTGAACACTACACAGGTAATTCCTCGGACGATACACTACCTTCGCCAGCTCTGTGCGTGGAGAGAAGAGCTCCCATCCACGTTGCGACCAACAACTGCAGATCATGCTCAACCAGACCCAGCAAAGTGGCGGAGAATTACTCTGCTTCATGTCCAGTATCAGAAAGTTTTGAACCTCCTGACACGTCGCTTCCTGCTTCGCGAAGTTGAGTCCATTGATCGAGATCAAGGTCTAGCTCAAGATGCCTTTGTTGTTGTCAAGATGGGCAAGATCTGCGTCACTGCAGCAATGCGCTGCGTTAGCTTGCTTGTCGAGCTTTGGAAAGCCGGCCAATTCAATGGCGTTACATCGCTGGACACTTACTACGCATACCTGTCCAGCACTCAAATATGCCTCCGGTTGCTGGAACCTAGTCGCCCACCGTCGGATGACCGGCTTGAAAATGAACAAGCGAAAGACTGGAGGTTTCAAGCACATGAACCCCATATAGATGGAGAGACATCGCAGCCTCGGTCAGTGTTGGACTTGGACCTAGAGACTCTCATGGCCCGGTGGAACATTGTCGAGGATTACAGCATTGCCCAGCTTGCGGAGGCCATACGGCGAATCCACGATCTACTGCAGACCGTTCCAATGTCTGGGTTCAGTGCCAAGTGCGAAGCCATATCATCCGAATTCGGCAAAGCTGTTGGTGCCATTGACGGGGTGCCTAACTCGACGCTTTTCGGTGGCCACCTTGGTGAGGCGCTGAATAAGGTGGAGGAGAGAGTACATACTCGCCCAGTGCCCCTCAATTTCCCTGCACAAAACGCACCGCTGTTCCATGGTAATGGCATGGGATTTCCTGACGACCTGCCATTGAAGGCCTCACACCCACCAGCCACAGATGGCATTGCAGTACCCCTCCCAATGACAACGGCTATGCATTATAATGTCATGGACTATGTTTACTCGGGTGTCCTCAACTGGAATAGCCCAGGCGGCGCGGCAGCTTTACAACAACCAGCCATCCAATGGGACTTGGTTCAGCCACCTGAAGAATGGTCAGAAGGCAATGGTGTGTTCATAGATATGGCTGCAAACTCGTGGTCTTGGCCGTTCCAGGGAGACTACCCACATAATAACATGGACCCGGGCCAATAGACACATTACTTACCGTTGCTCCCACGGAGTGTTGCTGCAAATACGATGCGCAATAGAGCACCAGTATTGGTGTACCTCGTCATTTGGAGCAAGATACTTCGCTCTCGATAGCAAATCATTCTCGCTTTGATGTGCCTCGTTGATGGTGTATCCTCGAGAGCTCTATCCTCTAGCAATCGCCGCTGGATGTGTGGTCCATATAGATGATGGCGCAAGCCATTACAACTACGGATTGTCTCCAAATAGTCTGATGGAATTGGCGGAGTATGCATAATTACTTTCGTATTTTGTAGACAATGACATCAGCGCACCATATAGAGAGTTAGGAGCTAGGAGAAATGAGCACTGTTCAAAAGATACTCCATAGATACTATGTTTACCAGCATATTATCTATATATGGCATTTTTTCGTCACGTACTAACCATGCCGCATGGCTATCTAAGTGTTCGTGCGCCTCACGTTGGATGTTTTATTTGTCTTACGATCGCGCCCTTGACGATTCTTGCCAAAGCGACGACTGTTTAGTTGCGCTATCAATTTAACCAATCACACTTTTGGTAGTTGTAGAAGCTTTCAGTGCGTCCTATAACTGTCACCAAGAAACATAAGAGAAAGAAAAAGAGTTTTGGGGGGGGACTACTTTCCGTATTAGTTGTAGAATTTCTATTGCTAGCGTTGTCACAAATGTACTGTGTCTAACAGTAAGTTTACCATGAATATTCTTAACCTGAGAGCAGAGTAAGCAGTGGAAACCGCTACTTCGTTTGATATGCTATTTAGAGCACATTCGGACGACCATAGGGTTATATATGAATATTAAATTCACTACAGCAGAAGCAAATTATTCTATTAAACCACACCGTTTAACGCCCAGTACTCGACTAACCCAGAGTAGTCGTATGTGGCCAGTATTATAGTGAGAAGAGACGCCTTAGTGTAACGGCCGCTCAACTCATGAGCTATCAAGCTCAGGAGAATCGCCAAAACACCTGGACATTATCGCTACCGGGTAGCGTTGGCCTTTTGAACCTCCAACACTGTTGATGGCCTGTCTAATCTTAGACTCGTCATCTTTGGAAAGCTTGATGTTGACTGCTTCCACATTCTCTTCGAGGTACTTGATGCGCTTTGTGCCGGGAATAGGAATGATATCTGCAAATATTAGTAAAAAAAGAAAACTGAGGGCGCTATTGAACCTACCTTCACCTTGCGCTAAGACCCATGCTAGAGATAGTTGTCCGGGTGTGATTCCCTTCTCCTTTGCAATATCTGCCAAGACTTCGACCAACTTTAGGTTATCTTTGAAGTGTTCTCCCGAGAATCGTGGGTGATAGAAGCGAGAATCAGACGGGTCAAGCTCCTCCCTGCTCTTGATAGCACCAGTCAAAAAACCACGACCGAGTGGAGAGTAAGCAACGATTTTGACACCCAATTCTCTGGCTGTCGACAGAAAGTTGGTTTGGTCCGACTCGATTTGTAGAGCGAAAGGCGAGTATTCCATCTGTGCCGCAGCGATGGGGTGGACCTTATGAGCTCTTTGTAAAGTCCGCGCAGAACACTCAGATAGACCAAGGTTGCGCACCTTGCCCTCCTTGATGAGCTCAGCCATAGCGCCTACGGTCTTTTCGATAGGCGTATTGGGGTCTACGCGATGTTGGTAGTACAAATCAATGTAGTCGGTCTGCAGACGCTCCAAGCTTTTCTGGCAGGCTTGTTTGACATATTCGGGGGTTCCAACAATCTCCACCTGTCCGTTGATCATTGCGTGGGCGAACTTGGTGGCTAGAAAGATCTCGTTACGTCGACCGGTCTCCTTAAACCACTTGCCGATGAGCTTTTCATTGGTGAATGGACCATACACGTCGCTTGTGTCCCAAAAGGTGATGCCAAGATCAGCAGCCCGTGTAAGAACCCTGAGAGATTCCTCATCATCATAGCCACCGTAAGATGTATAACCAAAACTCATACCCATACAGCCAAGACCTTGGGCCGAGACAGACGTGTCCCCAATCTTGCGTTGAGGATACTTGGATGCCATTGTACTATGTCAGAGGACGTATAAATTTGGATTTCCTCTTAGTTAGAGGTTGTTGAACGGGCACTAGCTACAGTCTCGCTGAATTTTGAACCTGTGGTCCTTGGGTGGCCAAGGCACTTGGAACGACTCTTTTATCTTCCAGAACTCAAACCCGTGGTCCAATATCCCAACCTGTTTGGTTTTTCTGATGATAGAGGGGCATTCGCTTTTAAGTCCGAATCCCGTAGATGAGATAACGTTTACCCCACACTCATCAATTGCATCATTTCCATCCATGACAGTCATTCGTTATCATTGCAACTAGACTACTCTCTAAACTTGACTTCCTATTCCGGTTTCCGACAATGTAAGATTGACCGGAGGTAACCCTTATCGCCGGGCTAGATATTTGGCAGAAAAAAGACTATGACATGGCACCGGCGCTAGCACCTGGCTTCGTACCCAGCAGCTAGCACTATTTACTCCCCTATAATATACAACACACTCAACGGGTCACGGGCCCAGTTTTGACCTAAGGTTATGTGAATCATCCTGCGGTGCTTATATTCATCCTCCCAACTTGATGGTGATTAAGCACCTAATTCTTAACTTCCTTGCGCTATTAAACGATTAACATATGGACGGGTATAGGATATACCAATATAATGCCTATGGATGTATGGCGATTCTCGGGTGGGTGCGAACATCATTGCTAACGTTAACTAACTGGTCACTGTAACCATTTCCCTAAAAGGGACAACATCCGATACACGAAGAACGCACGAGCGAGAGGCATGAGTAAAACTCGAGGGAAACGAGTCAGATTTCTGGTACAGTTATAATGTAATATACGATAATTCATGAGGATAGTACTGTGTTTGTCACCACATATAACGTGTTGTTTTACATGGGCAGTGAAGCAATATTTTTAGTTCTGGCAATACTATCACGGAACAACTTGTTTATCGACGACTACACTAGGCCAATGAACTCCATAACACCAGAACGCGATGTGTGCCTCATGACTTCAGTAATGTCGAGCACAAGCGACGTCAACCAACCACCCCAATGCCAGGGAATCAGTGTGCTCACAGTTTCTCCGCATGAATAACATGGAGCCGTAAAGGCAAAATGCATGCACGTATGCCGGCTAAATAGAACCCCTGTTTTCCCCAAGCTCCATTACTCCGCATTCTAGAGAGAAAGCTAACTTGACATCCAAGACCTATTAGGCTTACAGTGAGAATCAGACAAGCTGAGGGGTGGCCCCCCCTGCAAAGAAAAGATTGTGGCCCGTGCACAACGTTACCTGAGGGGTGGTCCTATGTGACCTGAGGGATGCTGTGGAGTGAGTGTTTTTGTAATAATATGGTTGGTTGGATTTATGAAGTGCTTGTATAAGCCCTCAAGTCTCTACTTCATAACCGATTCTGGTAACTTATCATCCTTTTGTACGATATTTTGTTGTTTGCTTTCTAATTAATTCTGTACGCGACTAGATACGAAATATTGTTATCGATAAAAGGGTAGTTAGAGGTTTATGGTGAAGTCAAAGGTAAGGTGAAAATCTATTCAGGATTAATTCAGAACTGGTTGGCAAGGCTATATTGAGCAATTCGCAAGGCTATGGTTTTTGTGCACGCCAATCTAATTCATTCAGTAGCTATCAATTCCTGTCTGCTATGCATAAAAAAGTATCGGCCAATCAAAACATCGCGACCCCATAGTGTCCCTTAGCTTTACTCGTGGGCACCCCTCAGGTCACGTAGGACCACCCCTCAGGTAACGTTGTGCACGGGCCACAATCTTTTCTTTGCAGGGGGGGCCACCCCTCAGCTTGTATGTAGTCTCCTTACAGTAGTCTAGGTTAGTGTAATTCTCCAAAGAATTATACACGGCAACGATGCGGCAAGAGCTTCTCCCACTGAGGACGAGCCTTGGAAGGATAACCACCAGTCAATGCCTGTTTGGTGAATTAAAACGGTCTTTCATCACTTCTTTCCAACCTGTTACTCGTCAGTTACGAATATACAGTCTTAGCCGCGGACAGAATATGGATTTCAATTTCAACGTTACCCAGTCCTGTCGAAGTTCCCCAAAGACCGGCGCGGAGAATCTGGGGTCAGGTGGGGCGCTGCTGGCGGTGTAATGGCTCTCGCGTGCCGACATAGACATTGGAAGATACTTATTCTCCAACCATGAGTTCACGATATTCTGTTGCGTCGGTCTCAATTTACCCGCCAACCGGCGCTAGAAAGTTAAGATTCTCCAACTTCGAGCCCTTGGCGATGCCGATCCATAGGTGACCACTTCAGGCACCTCGCCGTTCCACGCATGATGCGGGCCGGATTGCGTCGTCCGCTCACCATAGTTGTTGGAATAATGTGGTGGTATTCAGTCGTCTACCCGGCTAGCCTGCTATGAATGCAGGGCCAGCGTTGTGCTGAACATGGGTCTCCCAAGGCTTCGGGTAGGCCTGTCAACATCCCAACCGAGGATGTTACCCATTGATGTGTATTTAGAGTAAGTCGTCCCTTCGTGAGCTCTTACTTGGTTCAGTCGAGCTTTTGGGTGTGACTTCTGGGATCGACCAATTGCCCAATCGCATCGTGACCATGTACCACACAATGAAGTCACTCTTGTTGATAGCGACGGTGGTTTTTGTACCGCTAGTAGCTGCCCTTGGCCAAACACCAGTGATCAGCTTCACCAGTGTACAAGATGCTTTCCAATTGGCGGGTGGCGCTGTTACGTCACCCCAGATACTTGTGTCCGACAATGACTACTGGGGTGTTATTCGCGCTGCTGGTGATTTGGCCAAGGACTTTGGGCGTGTAACAGGCACAAACTTCTCACTCAGTAATGGCATTGCTGGTGCCGGCCCAGCTTTATATGAGTATTATCCAGCGGCCTCGAATTACACAGTGGTACGTACCAAATCTGCCGTTGCATCTTCTATAGGTATTAACACAATTCCAGTACTCAACGAACGGCACAAACTACTTTGATGGCCCTAATTATACCAACCCATCCGCGCCCGACACTGTTATAATCGCTGGCACCATCGGCCATTCGAAACTCATTGACGACTTGATCGCTAAGAAGAAAATCGATGTGTCTGACATCGAAGGTCGATGGGAATCATTCACCACAAAATTGGTTGAGAGCCCAATCTCAGGTTGTTCAAAGGCTGTTGTTATAGCTGGTAGCGATCCTCGAGGAGTCATCTACGGCCTTTACGATATCAGCGAGCAAATAGGGGTCAGCCCATGGTATTGGTGGGCTGATGTGCCTATTAAGCAAAACAAGAATATCTGGTTCTTGTCCAATGGCAAAACCCAACGCTCGCCGTCTGTCAAGTATCGTGGTTTCTTCCTCAACGACGAGCAGCCTGGTCTATCCGGCTGGGTTAGTCAGAATTTTGCGGACACTCCATTTGGGCAAGGATACAACAGAGACTTTTACCCAAACGTCTTCGAGGTGCTTCTGAGATTACGCGCGAACTATTTGTGGCCCACCGTCTGGGGAACCATGTTCGAGGTTGATGACCCTGCCAATCAGCCATTGGCCGACGCATGGGAAATCGTTCTGGGGAGCTCCCACACCGAGCCAATGATGCGAGCTCAGAATGAATTTGGAACGTTCTACATCAACAAGGGGCTAGGTCCTTGGGCCTATAACTTGAACAACAAGACTATCGATCAGTACTTTGAGTATGGCGCACAAAGAGCCAAGCCATATGCACGCAACAGTTTATGGACAATGGGTATGCGTGGGACGGGCGACACGGCCATCGAGGGGTTAGGCAGTCAGACTATTGTCAGCATGCTAGAGACGCTTGTCGATCATCAGAGAAACATCATTGCGGACGTGCTCGATGCCAACATTACAGACGTACCTCAAATGTGGTGTCTTTACAAGGAGGTCGCGACTTATATCCTGGAAGGGCTAGAGGTACCGGACGACGTCACTCTGTTATGGGCTGATGATAATTGGGGCAATGTCCGGAGGGTGCCAATCTCGAACGAGACTGATAGAGCTGGTGGTGCCGGCGTTTACTATCACTTCGACTACGTTGGCGACCCAAGGAACTACAAATGGATAAATACCATCCAGCTACAAAAGACTGCCGAGCAAATGCATCTCGCCTACTCACATGGCGCGGACCGTATTTGGATCGTCAACGTAGGTGATCTAAAGCCTCTTGAGCTGCCAATTAGCCACTTCTTCGATATGGCATACGACGCTAATCAGTGGGGTGTTGACAATGTCAATGACTGGCTTTCTGCCTGGGCCACGCGAGAATTCGGTTCAGACATTGCGGATGACATTGCTGACATTCTTACACGTTATGGCATGTATGCTGGTCGCAGAAAGTATGAGCTCATCGAGCCATATGTCTATTCCGTTATCAACTACAACGAGGGAGATGCGGTTCTGCAGCAATGGGACGACCTTGCTGCGGATGCGCAGGCTGTGTACGACAAGTTGGAACAAGATCAGCAGGCTGCCTTTTTTGAGATGATTCTTCATCCAATCCTAGGTGGACAGATTGTGCACAAGGTGAATATCGGCGCTGAGAAGAACGCCGTTTATGCCAATCAACACCGCAACTCCGCTAACGATGCTGCCATGCAAGTGTTGGCAGATTTCAATGCTGACGGTAACTTGACTTCTCGTTGGGATGATCTGCTCGATGGAAAATGGGAACATATGATGGATCGTAAGTCTCAAGCTTTGTTTCGTGCAAATTCTTGCCACGTTAAACTTACAACTCGCAACAGAAACCCATATGGGTTATGACGGGTATTGGCAACAACCTATGAGGAATATTGCTCCTGCTTTAGCTTTCAGTCAATTAGGAGTTACTTCTACGGCGGGTGCTGTCGGTATCGCGGTTGAAGGCCTGAACGCTAGCATCCCTGGAGACGACAAGTATCATACGAATTCTGGTGCGACTCTGACACTGCCACCACTTGATCCATATGGTTCTGCAACACGTTGGTTTGATATCTTCTCACGAGGAACTGTGTCCTGTGATTGGGTGGCGCAAACAGACAAGCCGTGGGTCAAGCTCTCTCAGTATAACGGAACTGTTGGTCCAGGCAATGGCACTGATTCGCGCGTTTATGTTTCGATTGATTGGGAGTCTGCACCACAAATCACCAACAACACTAACAGTAACATCAACTTTACTACCGGATGCGGCCGTAAAGGTTTTGCTGCCTGGTACGGCGCACCGGTTGTACAACTTCCCATCAACATGAGAAATATTCCGTCAAACTTCAGCACTGGCTTTGTGGAATCAGACAAGCACGTCGCAATCGAAGGTCCTAATTATCAAAGGGTCTACCACCCATCAAACAGTACCTCCAACGTAACATATCATACACTCAAAGACTATGGACGAACCTATGGTGGTGTAAGCCTGTGGCCTCAGGACACGCAGCCAGTAACACCCGACTCTGGCCCCGCACTGGAATACGACTTGTACCTATTCACCAATGTCTCCAACATCAACGTCACCTTATATTTGAGCCCAACACAGAACTATCTGTCCGACAAGAACCCCCTTCACTTTGCCGTCTCCATGTTCCCAGCTGGCGCCCAGCAAGAGACGCCAAAGACCGTTCGCTTCATCGGCGATAGCATCGGGCAGGACTTGCCCCCGTCCTGGGGCTATGCTGTTGGTGATGCTGTTTGGGGCCACCACCCTAGCCATAACACTACCACACGGTGGAATGTTACCCAAGAGGGCGCGTATAAGCTCCGTGTCTGGGGACTAGCCCCGAGTGTTATTGTTCAAAAGGTTATTGTGGATCTCGGCGGTGTGAGACCAAGCTATCTAGGCCCCCCAGAGAGTTTCCTGGTCGGAAGAGATCGATCCGGCGAGTTCAACGGAACAAGCTTCGCGAACCAGGTGACGGTCCTTGGGGCCATTGGAAACACTAAACAGGACACCACAAGTGGTAAAGCTAATGCTGGAGGTAGACTCGTGGTGAGCTTAACGGTGGTTTTCGTACCACTTGCGATGGCTTTAATGGCAGTGTTATAAATAGTTGGCAGCCACAATTCGAGCTAAGGCTTAACCTGTAGTCTCTCCAATACAACAGAGAAAGAATATCATAGCAGCCTGTAGCTTTTACCGAGACACTTTCGTCACTGATTCGATGTACGGCATTCTGAGAGCAGCACTGGTGAGTACTGGACTGCTGTTGACCTGTAGTTGTCTGGCCCCGATGAATATTAAGAAAGTCAATGTAGAGGATGATCGGCATATGTGCACAGTTGAAGTTGATGCTGCTTGGGACGCTATATCGTCCATTTCACCATGAGCTTGAGACCTCTTATACCTTCACCTCGACTCACCAGATTTATGTGTTATTTAATTGTTTGTCAACTTTGTGTCAAGCTCGGGCTTGTTAACAAATCCCGCCACATGTCTCGAGCGATTGCCATGACGACCATCAGTGCACTTCGTTCATGTTGCCGACATGGCTGTCATGGGTGTCATGGCGAGACCGTCCCGCCGCAACGATACCATGTACTCCTGCGCCAGCTCGGGCTGCATTGAGGAGCTCGTCATGGACAATATTTGACTAGTTATAAGACTACAAGAGGGCTAGATTTCTCAAGCTAGTGATCGGGCGTCTGAGCCTCTGGCCTCTCTCTTCATCAGGACCACTCCGAGGCCACAGGATAAGATGAACAGGATGCAAATGCACCCCAACAAACTGACGGCAGGTCCGGTATGGTCTCTAGGCGAGTACTGGTCTAGGCTTTTCGTCCATGGTGGTAATTTGATCGTACCGGCGCCGACGAGAACTGCCACGGCAAATATCATCAGCAGGACACATGCGAACAGACATTGCAGTGAGCCACGGATTGTCTGCGAGACGGTTGCGGTATGTCGGGCTCTTGTGGATGTGGGCATCTTGGTGGGTTGTTAATGGGTATCAGAAGGGAGAAATGAACAGCACCAAGTACGATTGCGGAATCGAATTGAAGAAAGAGTTCAAGAACTTGACTGTCTGATCACCCAGGACTCCCCCGGCGTTCGTGCCGTAGATGACATCGAATGGGTGGCTTGGCTTTGCAGGAGTCCTGCAGAAATGCCACTTACAAGGTTTAAAGCCAATCGCGCGGCATCGCTAGAGATCGTGTTGGGACAATGTGTTAGCTTCGGGTCGGAGACTCTTTCATTCCCCCAAACATCTGCTGACTGCTCTTAAAATAAGGCTTAGCCTTAAATATACACGTTTGGTGAATTGTACTGCGACGACACCGATCTCATGTTCTATGGTTTGCTTTTAGGCAGCCACAATGCAATCAAGCTGTTGCTTTCGTTGTAGTATGCTTGTTGAATTTAGTGAAGGTTTACTTATTATACTCAACCTAAGGTGGGGGCGAGAGCCGCAGCAGAACCACTGTAGCTGCAGTAGGCCGACAAAATCTGTTGATATTCATAGCTCAATGGGCTGCATATGCGTTTGAGGTCTTTAGGGAAAGCTCAGATCATATCCGTTGCCCTTCTCCGTTGCCCTCCTCCATGCCGGTCTGTTGGTGAACCTGGAGTGCCATGCGCCAACGTTTTCGTACTTTTGAGTGTCGTACATTCCCACCTGGTAACCCCAATTAATGTACCAGAGATTGACAAAGTTCGTTCTTTGTGGGCTCCTTGCCACCCTACCGGTGGGCGTGATGAGCTGCGGAGACTCCCCTCAAGGATGGGTTTCCTTCAGCTCAAGGGGGGGGGAGGGGAGCGTCGATTCAAGCGTTTGAAGAGCTTCAGCTCATAATCAATACCCAACTCCTCCAAGAGCCACGGGATTATCTGGGACTGGGAATGCTGAGAGGCGCGTTGACTTACATTTAAGTGGATTAAGGATAGGTTGCCTTCAGCCGTCGTGGGTAACAGGTGAGTAATGTTCTCACAAGTTCAAAGAGGCTAGAATTTATAGATACTTGATGTTATATATATCCTAAGATTAGATTCATAAATCAGCGACCATGCATACGCACAACAATTCAATTAGGCTCAATACGCGCTTAGCCTCCCTTCGAGACTAAGCAGGTGGGCTTTGAGCCCCTTTTAGACGCGGTCATCGACAGCGTGATCACTTGGCAGCCATGAACAATCGTTAGATGATAATGGGAAACCAACGCTAAATTGTGATTATGAATTCCATGACTTGCTCTTATAAAGTCCCGAGTTTTATCTTTGTTTCAGTATCGTATAGTCCTGCTCCCTTGCTGATGCCTTAGTTAGGCGGCTTTCGAACCTGTTGCGGCACCGTTGATGTGGTCTTTCGTGGCAAACGAAAATATACCGAACTTCTAACCTCTTCGATCACTAATGTCCCTGGATGACCACCTCATCAATGTTTCGTTCAGATTTTGTGAATCGTAGCAAACAAGACGCATTGGTTGTAGGGCAGCAATGAATTGATTGCACATGACTGCAAATAAAGTAGCAAGACTGGGTCTGTCACTACGCAGGTGATGTTGCCCAGTTCAAGGGCACTCAACAATAGTTTCGTGTACGATTGTGATGTAAAGATAGAGTTATGTACAAGTATGGTTGGACTATGAGCCCAGATTGGTTCGTCATGGCTCGTATATCGCACTTAACTTAGACTATCATTGTTTCCAAACAACTCTCTATATTATGCTATCAATGTATGAGCCGAGGACAATATCTTGTGAGGCTATGCAACGCTACCAGGATCACGCCCATCGTTTCGACGCAGTTAATTACCAACATCTCTAAATCTAGGGCAAGATATTAAGCTAGTAAATCACGATGTTAAAGTTCAGCTCTAGGATGAGGCCTAGCTAAAACCTAAATCATCAGCCGTTTACTTGGCCTTATTAATGGCACAAAGAGACTGACTTTAGTTCATCATACGCTGCTGCTCCGTCTGCAATCTTTTCTATCTGGAATCGATTAGTGACTATGTTAAACATATTCTACGGAGGAACTATCCACGCGACCAGTTTGATGATCCAAATTTTCTGATTTCGCACTTCTATGTTCTATATCTGCATTCTTCCCATTTTGGTTTGGACCTTCGGGTTGCAAGCATTTAAGCTTATTCGGGTTTGCGCAGCGACCGATGAGTATATAGCCTAATATCTGGTCTGTGCAGCAGGCGTTCCCAAGTGCTAGACTAGTCCCAAAGGTTGGACCAAAGCTGGCCAAGCCACCGTCTATTATATATATGAAGGTATAGGCTTTTTATTGCATCAACTTCAAGGCCGAAATGCTCACTGAATGGGTTTTACATCCCCATAAGCAGTAGGCTTGGCGTACGTGCAGGACTTGGTGTTGGATGATCGCCGGTCATGAGACGAACATGCTCGCAGTGAATGTTGCGGAAGGAGGGGGAATCTTACCTTGAAGTAACGAGAGGAGAAAGATCATAAAATGTATAAAATATAATAAGTAGTGGGAGTGCTCCCTACCTCACAAGTAATCGCCGGGACGAATCGACAGAAATAAGGTTGACAAATTTATGCATGCATTATCGTAAGACTCCAGGACCATCTGCATCCGGATGAGTATGAACAAAAAAGAAAATGATACAAGTCGGGAAGCCACAAAACTGTACTGCAACACCATGACACCACCAACGGCCTGAAAGGCCCCGAAAAACTCCGGTATCAACCAAAAAAAAAAAAAAGTTAGAGTACATGGTGAAGACAATCTTATTCCTTCATTTTCAGGTTGCAGAGTATGATCCAACTATCGCCAGACCAGGCCCGATTTGTCTCTTTTCGCGGAAGCGAGGGAGTTGATCGCAGAACCGCCAATAGTGATTCTACGAGATTTGGACTCCTTCTGAACCCTCTCTGGGCTACCGTGCATCTTCACACTTCCCCCCATCCCCATTCGTCTCGCTTGTCCAGGCGTGAAAGATCGGATCCCTCCCACCGACGTATCCGGGGGCGAGCAGCTTATTGGTGGACTACCAATCTTCTCTCCACTCAGTCGTCTTATTCTCGAAATGCCGTTCGCGGCGCTGGCTGTAGGACCTGAGTATGAGTTTGAGATTTTGTGGCTGGTGCCGCCATAGGATCCAATTGAGCTCACCCTCCTAGCCCCCGTCGAGGCTATGCCCAACGATGAGAGACGGTCACGCCGATTGTTCGCATGAAGCGCGGAGCGCAGCTTGGTCGCATCGATAAGAGAGCTGGGCCCTTCGGAATCCGAGTTATAGTTTGAAGGTGGGCGGTTCTCATCCGTGGTGATTCGTGGTGCTGTTGGTGGCGATATCGGCACAGGCAGTTGTGATCCAGATAACACTCTAGGGCTCAGCGAATTTCGTCCAGTATATGATGGTGATCTGATGTTAGCAGTTCTTCCAAGGTCGAGATTGCGAAGAGGACTTGTTTTGTTGTCATCGGACGAGACCAGGTTCAATGATAGTGTTGGGGCGACAGGGGAACCACCCATGCTGCCCGTAGTAGAGGTTCTCGTCTTTGTCAAAAAGCCTGCCTGGAATCGATTTGGTTTCGATGGGATATATCTCGCGGGAGATACCGCAGGAGACATGGAGACCGGCTCCGGAGCAATTAGTGACGGACTGGAATCGCCGGCTGTGTCGTTGAGATAAGACGGAACTAGAGGGATTTCAGTAGTCTTCTCAGGTGACGCAACCTCCGGGGTCGTCTGGAATTTCTTAGGCGTTTTCTCGAAATCTGCCAGTGTACCAGTCTCTGACTCGTCGTCTCGCCATCTAACCCCTCGAGACTTCTTCTTTGCTGGTGTAAATGCGATACCTTTCTTCGCATTCAGGACCTTACGCCTTCGTGGCGAGCTCTTGGCTGGCGACATAAAGATGGATGGTTGTTCCGCAGAAACAGCTGCAAGTACTGGATTGGGGATGGGCTTGACGCCTTCTATCATGACGTTGACAGCCTTCTTCCTCTTCGGGGTTCCACGCTTGGAGGGGGCAAACTTCTCGACAGGGGCGCTTCCACCTTCAGGCTTGACAATATGTGATGCTGCTGAGTATCCAGTCTCTAGTAAACGGTTGATGATCTTCTTGGCATGAGCCACAGCGTCGTCTGCACTCATATTCATGGTTTCAGCTAATGATGCCATGATATCAAACTGTGCCGTCAAAAGAACCTGCATCATGCCGGCGTCTCCAGCCTTATCCTGTTCGAGTACTTCCCTGTAGGCTTCCCTCGCGAAGTTGGACTTGAGGAGTTCAGCTTCTCTTTGAAGCGTGGCCATCTCACCAGCATCCGCGTGCGCATCCCCCGTGGGAAGCTGGCCAATGCTGTGTTGGAGAGCAGAGTCGATAGCTCTCTCCCAATTTCCCTTTTCTAGCTTTTGGTGTATATGGTGGCGGCTGTTTTCGAGCTCGATCAAGATGCCTTGGGCGGTATTGCGCATGGCAGCCAGGTTGGAAGGCATGCAGTCCTCATCGTCCTTGGCATCACAAATGGCATCGAAAGCGGCGATCCACGACGATAATAAGCCGATACGACGCTCGATAGCTCGCTGCTTCTTCAAATGAGAGATCTTGTCTTGGCGTTCGGGTCCTGAGTTGTGGTAGGCGGTACGGATCCTCTGGATGCCTCCAGTGGCAGATGCGCCTCGCTTCTCCAACTGTTTTTGGAACTTGGCAAAGGCGCCCTTTTCGGCGTCCTTCTGCTGCGCCTTCAGCTCGTTGATGATAGCCATTTGTTCGTCGATCTTGACCAAGAAGTCCTTCACATGGCGGTTGACGTTGAAGACATTCCTTGTCACCTTGGTCTGGATATTCTTTGCGCGGTTCGCGTATCGCAGAGTGTTTTGGGTTTCGTCGAAGTGTTGGCTCGAGGGACTGACGCAGACAATCATGACTGTTTTGCAGTTGCCGCCGAGGGAAAATTTGAGCAGCCGGGTGAGTTTGCTGTTTCTGTACGGGACGTGGTTCTTCTTCCGAGGATCGCACAGAGCGTTGATGCAGCTGCCCAAAGCAAGTAAAGACTTGTTGATGTTGGCACCCTCCAACAGACGTTCTCCTCGGTTCTGGGTCGCGCTAGCTCGTTCGCTACCGGCAAGATCGATGATGCTCAGGGTGGCCATGGTGTGAGGCTCGGAGACCGCTGCCGTGCGGTCCCTCTGAGCTATGTTGATCTGCAGAACGGCATGTGACCTCGAAGAGGTGGCGTTGGCCGCTGTCGGTGAAACTGTCCTCCATTCGTTACCTCGGATGATCATATCCATAACCTCTTGCACGTCCCTTGGGTGATGACTGGTGAGACCAGCCACTGTGACGGCCTGGTTGGAATCTTCTCGTAGCATCAAGCCCTGCTTGCTGCCACCAGGGACCAACAGGTCTCGAATGGTCTCGTTGTAAATCTCGAGGTATGATAGGGAGATCTCGGTATGCTTGTCTTCTTTCCGCTCCGATATCTTCTCGAACAGTTCCTGCATGGTGAGAAAGATGATACCGGGCATCTGGGAGGTGCCGGTGATGGTGTGTGTTTTACCACATCCAGTGGCGCCGTACGCGAACACGGTGGCATTGTAGCCGTCCAGGATGCTGTCGAGCAGGTTCTTGGTGGTCCCTTCGTACACTTCGTCCTGCGTTGTGTTCTCGTCAAAGACGCGATCGAAGGCGAATATTTGGTCCTTGACCTTTTTGCCTTGAGGAACGAGGGATCGGGAGAACTTCTGCATAGGGTTGTCTTCGGGCGGGTCGAATACTCTGGTGGATGGAGAGGAATCAGCAAGGACATCTGGGCTCTTTTCTTTTCTTTTCTTCTTTATTCTTTTTGTCTTTCTTCTTCTTCTGGAGCGCTGCAAGGGGGAGAGAGAGCAGAGGGAGGATAGCGAGGTGCAAGCACCAACATACAGGCATCTGTCGTCGACGACTTTCACTACGGATCTGATGCCGCTGGACTTGAGCTTTGGTGTCGGTACTGCTGCCAGGGAGCCATCTCCCAAGAAGACCGTGTCTCCATCGGAGCGGTGTAGTTGTGCAGCTTCGCGGATGGTGAAAGGCCGAACTCGTACTGTGAGGTGTGGGTGTCAGTGGCCATGTGAGTGAGAGTGCGAGACTGCGTGCGTCTCTGTGTCTGTGTGGGTGCTTACCGGCGACTGTGATGGAAGAGGCACCCGGGTCTCGCATAGCTGCCATGTTGTCTCGTTTGGTTTGGGCTCTCGTTATGGTACAATGTTGGTCAAAAGCCTCGCCCACATGCGTCCCGCACTACCTCGGGACGCGTCGTGTGTGTCGAGTCCAAAGTATTGTCGAATGCACCGCCTGCTGCCCTGCTGTGGTCTTTTGGCAGTCCAGCAAACAAGCCCGGAGGCAGATGTCACAAATGCCGTGTTAGGGGGGGGGGGGGGGGTATTGTGGTATTTAGCAAGATACTCTATGAGTCGATTTGGGTGGTGGCAGGAGACGCGTTCAAAGGGCAATTGCAATGTTATCGGTCAACGCATTGGCTGACGTGGAAAAGAAAAGCAGAGAAGAATGACACAGGCTTGATTGTCGTTGGTGGAGCAGCGTGAATGTGCTGTCATGGCTCATGCTCGTGCTCGTGCTCGTTCTCATACACACCCATGCCCCCGGCTCATGCTCATGCTAACTACAGTACGTAACTACAAGTAACTTAACTTACTGATGTTCATGGTTCACGCTCAAGAGCTGCCAATGGGGCGGGGCGGGGGGAGTTCATTTGCCGGCACAAAAGACTGAAGACAGCAGCGAAGACAGACTACTGTAAGTGGATGGGGAAATATTGTGGTGCTTGTGGGCGGCGTTGGCTGGTCAACGCGCGGGAGCTAGCACAGAGTCAGGGGCCTAGCGAATGGGGGCGCGCAGCCTTTTTTATGGGGCTCTCCAAGACATGGGCAGGCTCAGATGGTCATGGTCTCAAAAGCTGCATCCATTCCCATAACAATAACTATGATATTCAGGGGTGGCTTGGTTCTCAGCACTAACTTAGACCTCCAGCCTTGTTTCTCGAACGAATGGCTTTGAAACCTGGAGCAGCTGGACCTACCCCAATTGACCACCTTGATGAGGCTAAACATATTTGACGCTAATTTAGCCATCTCAGATGCATATGCATTGTTTACTGCCAGGCATAAACATCCGCCCGCCGCCCCATGCTAGCCGTAACGCGCTGTGTGGTTGATTGGCATTACCTCCATACAATGACACCCTACCTCCGTCTTCAGCTGTACTTGGATTGAATGGTGGATACATTGAGAGGTCCCCGAGGTCAGGCTGGGTTGCTAGTAAGCTTTCACCTGTTTATCTTTTCTTTTTCCAATTTCTTTTTGATACACTATCTTAGAGACCCTGGCTTGGCTAAGTGCTGTACATACGACACCAGTAGTATCTTTGCGTGTATGTGTGTATGTATGTATGCATGGGACAAGATTGGATCATACAGCCAGACCAAGTGCGTGTCAGAAAGCCATACGATTTTATGTCTTTACTCCTTCCATGCGCATTTCTCCTATCTTCTTTCTAGGGTATCTTAGATGAAATGAAAACGAACTGCTCTCCAGCGTGTTTATACGAGTGCTGCTTTTTTTTTCTTTTTGTCACCGGGGCAAAACTCGGAGCCCATCTTCAAGAAAACCCTAGTTAACGATGTTCTCTCGTAGGCCTTTGGTCCTCAACGTGAACTTGGTGCCCTCGCCAAATGGTAAACCTCCAGCAGCGGTTTTGTCACCGCCGGCATGTCCGTTTTCAGCGCCGTCAGCCCCAGCACTGATGATCCTTCTGAGCTCATCCCTTTGCCTGGTTGCCACCTCGCTCTCCGCACTCCCACGGCGGCTTCCGGCAGTACTGCTAGCTCCATCATCCAAAGACGTGTTGACCTTGCCCTTCATCTTGCCCGCCCAAAGACCTCGTATACCCCCACGTTTTCGTTCCGGCAACTCGTCAGAGCCAGCACTGCAGACGTAGAGAAGGTATTTGAGGTTTGGAAGTGTATGGCGTACGTCGACCACTTTCAGACCGGCACTCGCGCATAGCATCTCAATGTCCTTGTTGAGCAAGAACCATCCGTAGTCAAATCGGTATTGTGCCGTCGCCCCGCCTCGAAGGTACAGCGGAAAGGAGCGCTCTCGGTCAGCTATCTGAGATATGTCATCTCGAACGCTGCTTCTCGAGCCATATGGTGTAAGTGGATACGGCAGTGGCACGCTCAGGTAGAACTGCAGGGTGTTGGTCAACTGAGCAACAAAGCCTAATGCTGCTGAAATGGCGTTTTCCTCTGCAGTCTTCATAGCCGGGTCATAGTCGGTGTTGGGCAAGTCGAGCCCACAGATCTGGAAAGCCAATGGAGTCCCCGACGGAGCAGCTGTGATGGGGAACACCTGACTCAGCTCCTCACAGATCCGGCGGCGTTGACCACGAATTCCGTCTTTCGTATTGTCAACGGAAGCACGAGCAGCCGGTAGCTTTGTCGTGGCATCTTCGATCTCTTCAGCGGCTTTCTTTTGTGCTTGTCGTCCCTTGGCCATGGCAGCACGTCGAGCAGCAATTGACTCCTTCAGTTCTTCCTTGCGGGCCTCGGCGGCCCTGACGGCGCGTTGCTCGGCCGTCAGATACTTGTTCGCCAGCTTCGCCTTCTCCTGCGCCATGGGCACCGGATCAGGGGGTGTTCGCTCGAGGATCTCGTTGATCTGAGCCTTGAGAGAGTCTTGAGTCGCGAGGGCATCCTGTATAGAGGCGTCCAGATTTGAGAGTTTCATAAGCGCATTGTAAGTCGAAGTGGGCAGTGCTGGCCCTTGTTTCGGTTCAGGCACCCTTGCAGGAAGGTCTAGGCAGTAAATTCCGTCAACGAGGTGGAATACTAGACAATTGGGGGGGAAGTGCTGGTTGCGTAGACTGCCGATAAAATTCAAAAGACGCAAGTCAACGGCCTGGTCGAGTAGAAACATCCAGTGGCCGCGCCGTTTTGCCCATACTTTTATGGTGACGAGAGCTGATCTGGTGATGTCCGAGTGGGCTTGAGCCAGATCGAAGAATCGAAAATTGAAGTTCTGTAAGTTGCCGGCAACCGTCAGCTCGTGCGCTTCATCTCCCAAGGCATCTCACCCCATAGTTGGGGCTTGTGCTGCATACATACCGTGGACCGCTCGGCCACCTCGCTCACATAGACGGGATCTTGGACGCCATCGACATGCAAGCTGAGGAAAACATCGGCAGCTCTTCCCTCAATGGCTGTCTCGAGGGCTTTCTGCCTAGTCATGGGACTCTTACTGGCAAGGTTAGTGCTTCGTCGTCGGACCTGGGCAGGACGATCGCGCAGGGAGTCGGAGGAGGCGGCATGGTGAAGCTGCTGGCTACTCTTCAGGGCCTGAAGCTTAGTCGGCGATCCCTTTCCCAGATGTAGGTCATCAGCTGTCTTCCCAGTCGGGCGGAAAAAGCTCAAGTTGCGTAGGTAAATGCCCTGAAGATGCCGCAAACGTCGGTTTTGCGGTAGAAGCAGGGGGCGCGTCGACTCGGCAGACAGAGACATGGCGAGGGCGTTGAGGTGCAGCAAGTGGCGGCGTGTGTAGTCGTGCTCATGGGGAGCTTATCCCATCAATCGCTTGCACCTTCTTGCGACCCCTTGGGTTTTTATCTTTCTTCACGAGCGTCGACGAGCCATAAAGGGAGAGCAATGCTAACTTGGACAAGCAAGTGCTTCGCTCGGCATGACAGATGTCGAGGAGGGATAGATTGCAAGCTTCTGCCAGACAGGACAAGACAAGTCAAGACCAGACAAGAGGTCGAGTGCATCGTCCGCAGCACAAGACGATGACGGCGTGTACAGTTACACACAGTGGGTTACTGCACTGAAACGTCATGGATGCTCTGGGGAGCTAGCACTGGACTAAAGTTGGCCTTGGCCTTGGAGCCCGTCATATAAGTCAAGTTACATACTTTGTACTCTGCTAAATCATGCAACCTGGGTTAGCTCAGAGCGGCCGCTGATGGCAGAATCGCGGGGTAACTTTAGCGCCATGCTACAGGCACAGGCACAGGCACGGGTACTGCTGCTGCTGCTACAGCTACAAGCGGGCACACTGCCTGTCAGCGGTGTTTTCAGTGGTCGCCGAGCTCCCGAGTCCTTACTCACAACTTCACTACAACACCAATTCAGCGACAAGCTGCTGCCATTCTGCTCCAATCGAGCTTCGCTGGCGATTTTGCTGACGTGCCTTGCAACGAGCGCGTTTCGCACACCAGACTTGGTGTTCTGCGCACCGTACATGGTCGGTTAGACTCTTCCTCGTACCATCATGACATCCGTATTCATGGCGCTGCACGCGACGCGACTCCGACATGTATAATCAAGGCAAGATCATGCGCCGCCTGCTGGGCAGGCCTACCAACGACTCGACCGCCAGCGACAACAACCTAGGTCATACTGGTTCGCCCATCCCTCCCACCTTTCGCCCCAACGCCTCGCAAGATGTCGACTACACAGCAGGTGGGCCAATCGCATGCTTGGATAAGTCACCGGACGGGAAATTCGCCGTCCTCGGTGGTAGACACATTCTCAAGACAATCCAGATCGATGGCTCCAACATCAAGGAAGGTATCGACTTGCGCGCGATCATTACTTCCCAGCCCAACACCAAGCCCGGCACGTCCACCACCGTTTCCGACCAGCTGTCAATCAAGGATGTCAAATGGGCCATCAACCCCGCGGGAGAATCCGTCATCTTCACGGCTTGCGCCAACGGCCGCATATTCCAGTACAACCTGACTCGCCTCGGATCTCGCCCCCCCGGCGGTCTCGGGCTGGAGTTTGTCCAGGCTCGGGAGGATTCTCGTCAGATCAACACCCTGGACATCAACCCGCACAAGAGCTCGTGGCTGCTTTCCGGCAGTCAAGACGGCATTGTGAGATGCTTCGACACCAGGGATTGGGGTACAACCAAGAGTGGCCAAGGACCACATCGAGCCTTCAAGTCTTTTAGGTGCAATGCTGAGGGCATTCGCGACGTCCAGTGGTCACCAAAGGATGGCTTCATCTTTGCCTGCGCAACCGAGTCTGGCGCAGTCTTCAAGTGGGACATCCGGAAGACAAGTGCTCCTCTTCTCAGAATCAATGCTCACGACCCCACCAGAGGTGTCTCCTGCATTGCCTGGCACTTTGACGGCGAATCTCTCCTCAGCGCTGGACTAGACAACGCCATTCATGTTTGGGATGTGTCGGATGGCGCCGACAAGAGGCAAAAGCCCAAATGGACCATCTCGACACCAGCTCCTGTAACCTGTGTATCCTGGCGACCAGCACTGCGGTCTGTCTCTGCTAGAGGCAGACGAGCCGCACAGATTGCAGTCTCCTATGTTGACGGACCAACCAAGGGTTATGGTATTAGTCCGGTACATGTCTGGGATTTCGGTAGGCCCACTATGCCATTCAAGGCGATCGATCGCTTTGAGTATTCCCCCAATGTCACGTTATGGCAAGATCAAGATCTGCTCTGGACGGTTGGTCTAAATGGCTTTTCGCAATGCGATGTAGCCTACGCTCCCAAGGTCGTCGATCGAAGGCCTACTTCGGCTCTTGCTTTTGCTCCCCGTGGCCACGTGCTTATGGTACTGGAAGAGCGGGCACCCTCTCGCAAGCCTCACCCCGCCATCGCCACCCAGGATATGCTTCCGTCTTCGTTCAGTTCCAGTCCGAACGCCCAAGTGCTGAGTCACAGTCGTAGTGATTCTGAGGAAGACGTCGTTGGTAGTTTTCTTGGTCCCTCAAAGCTGGCGGGCCGACGCCCCAGCGCCAATGCCAGCTCCCGTCCTGCCGCCTCCTTCAGCACAACACCCCCTTCTGGCACTGATGAGCCTGTCATGCCACTGAGCCAATCAATCGGCATCACTCAGGGTTTCAAGCCGAGTCAAGTCATGGCAATAGGCCAAGTAACTGCATCTTCAAAGTCTAAACACTACCTGTTTCTCTCGCGTCATTACCTTGAGACGCTTTACATGGATTTGCCCCATGTCGAAGGCGGCAGTCCTCTCAATGTGCGCGTTTGTGGTATCATGGAACACTGGGCTCGCGCTGCCGAGAGTATTGGCCAGATCCGACTTGCTCAGACCTGGCGGGTTCTTGCTCCAGCTTTCAACCATCTACTCAACAGACGAGCACAATATCACCTTGAGCTGCGCATGGCCAGGCGCAAGAATGCAAAGTCTCCAATGCTTAAGGCGCGATCCGATTCCAAGCTTAACCTTCAGAGGCTTAGCAAGTCTGCAGCGAATCAGGCAAGCGGCGACGAAACCTCTCGGAAAACAGGCTCTGTAGGATCGGTCGAGACTCGCCACTCCCTGGCGCCATCCCTCCTAAGTGGAGAGGCTGACAGTGAATCCAATGTCCCGACGCCTATCGCTCGTCCAATCAGGGAAGACATGCCTGAGTATCACCAATACGTTCCAGGCAAAGTCTTGACACCAGTGAAGGAATTGGACAGCTTTACGCTACCCCCCGCCTCTTATAAGGGGTCAGAGCGACCAGGTCTGCGACAACGGCATGACTCGGCTCCCTTATCCGTGATCAGTCAAGATACTCACATCTCTCAAGATTCACAGATATCCAGCACCGAGGGCTACGATTTTTATGATGTTGATGCAGTAGACGGGATTCCTCAAGCTATCGACGTACCTAAGAAGAAGGAGCCACTGTCATTGGATTATGTCGATGCTGGCCCTTCAAGTGACCGAAGACCTCAGCCGGAACGCCACGATTCTGACGAAAGTTTTGGACAAATATTTTCAGTCTCCGACGGCGGCCGCCTCCCGACTGAGACTAGTTCAGTTGCCGGCAGCTTACGCCGCGTGGCGAGTCACCCCGTGGGCATGGTCGGCTCCAACACGTCTTCCGTAGAGGAATATCAGAGTCGGATTCGAGGCAAGCAGATACCGGAATCGACAGGAACTTTGCACCCTGCGGTTTCGCAAGATTTAGTCCGCCATGATTCCGACAGCTCCAGAGACATCTTCATGATATCGCAGACTACTGCAGATAGTGGTGACAGTCAGGTGTCGCAAGAAGGGTATCACGACCTCTCACATCGATCCCCGCACCCTTCGCCCATCCAGCTCAGGGTGAAAGAACCACAATCACCTCGCAAACATTCCCACGAGCGTCTGGCATCAGACCGACCTGAAGAGAGCACCTCAACCGTGATCATCGAGGCTGATTTCATGCCTTGGGAAGATGATCCACCATATCCGTTCCCATTGTCTAAAGAGACGGACAGCAGATTGACCACTCCATCAATAGATCCCTACGAGATGCTCTCGCGAGCTCTTTCTCACGAAACCCGGAGTTCTGCGCTCAATGCATCCGCCATGATCCTACTCCTCCGGCCGTTGGTCCCGGAAGAAGTCATTGATCATCACCAAGCCACAGCTATTTTACGACATCATCACGACCGCCTGATGAGGCAAAAATACTTTGTCGAAGCTGCAACACTTAGAAACGTTTGCGTTCCTGGTTGGAATGGTTTGGACGAGTGGGGTGATAATTATACTAGCATATTTCATCCCGCCCAAGACCCGCAGCGCGTCTCGGCAAGCTTTACCTGTCCGAATTGTCATAAGCCACGCGAGATCAATCGTGGTGAAAACAATATGGGCATATGGAAATGCGAGAGGTGTGGATATGCTATGGGGCCCTGCGTCATCTGCGGGCACCGTGATGCCACTGTGGTTTCGAACCCACCCATGGAGATCACCAGAGGTCTTGCCCAGTGGAGAGAATCTCGAGAGTCCTCGATTTTGCAGACATGGTGGTATTGCTTGGGTTGCAAGCACGGAGGGCACGCTGCTTGCATAGAGGCATGGCATTCTCCGCTGCTTCCCGATGAGTCAGATGATGGTGATTCTTTGCCTGGTCCACCCGCCTTCCTGCCAGAACCGTTCAGCGAAGGATGTTGCCCTGCGGATGGATGTGGACATGCATGTCTCCCAGGTAGATGGCGAGATGCATTGAGCAATGCCAAAAAGGAACCACTAGAGCGCAAAGTGCGGGAGCAGACCAGAAGCACGATTCCTACCTTTCGTCGTAACGATCACAAAGTTGAACCTGCGGGCGAAGTCCCAGGATCTGCGCCTGCCGTCATTGGAGGTGTGAGAAGTGACGCGGTTGTTGTATCCCAAAGCAGAGCTGTGGAGGGTGCTCGTGAAGTACTTGCCGTACCTGAATCTGGGAATGTCGCATCAATCGACGATGGTACGCGTTTGACACGGGCTGCTGGCGGTATCCTCAGTGTCCTTAGCTCAAGCCCGGGCCGCTCAAATGTTCAAGGCCCTGTAGTTGCCGCAGGTATCGGGAACAAGTTTGTTGATAAGAATGAAAGGGAGAGAAGAAAGAGCGTCAAATTTGCTGGCGCCCCCGATGGGCGGCGTTAGAAACTGCAGCCGTCAGAAGGCGTAGCGTCTAGAAGTGCACTAAGCTCGACATGTGCACCTCCTACCACAGGCACCAGCAATACACGTTCAATTCTGAAGCAAATAGCACCCACCACCAGGGACAGCACGATACCACACTACGTGGAACCAATACCAAGCTTTTGGACAACATTGTTCACTTGGAGACGAAGTCGGCATGTCAATATAAGCACGAACATTCGTTCCTCCGCAGACAGCCGTGGCGACGAAGCATTGCGCTCCCGAAGTGTGCAAGGTTTCCAGTCCGAGATAAATATAGCAACAAACACAAATTCATCCATAGGCAGGGCGGGTAGAAGTAGCAATCAACCGGTGGAGAATCAACGCACACCTGCAAATTCCCAGCCGTCACAAGCTGGCTGGCTCACTCCGCGTTGGAGCTGGTTTGGACGCCCCCAAGGGCCTATCCGTTCCAATGCAACTAAGACTGTGAGCGCTAGACAGTTGCCCAGATCGCCTTCTGCCCAACTACCATTGGATCAGCCAACAAAATCCGCCAAGGCCAAGGGAAAGGAACCAGAGCGCATTGGGATCACATCATCGAACGCTGAACAGTCCGGCCCGAATTCTTCTGCGCCTTCTGCCACGAACGACGATGACACCCCTGTGGCCCCAAAGCTTCGGCAAATGACTGCAACGGAGGCATTCTTTGGACCGAGAGCGTTGGAGCCGTGCGACGACCTGTTCTTCTAGCCGCGGAGACGATGGAAGCACTGCTGGCATATAGTCACAGCCAGGTGTTTACTTTGGGAAGAATTATTTGGTTGATTTTCCGTCCAGAATGGACAACACGGGTGTAAGGGAAAGATGGTTGGGGGGGCATGGATTTCTTTGCTATACCCGGATGAAGTTGACCAAGAGATGGCTTCTCCATCATGTAATGATCTAGTCCATTATATTTGACATACAGTAGCTAGCAAATAGAATAATATTCTACCCGCTGGGAAACTCCACTATGATATCATCCCGTGACTATACTCGCCGAGAACGGAGGCTGTGGAGCACCTAAACTCGAAATCCGTCGACTCGGATGTGATCACCGAGTTGACCCCGCCATGTATGAAACGGCCCCTCCTCTAACTACGGGATCATGTATACTATATCCTTTTCCTGGTAGCTTGATATCGGCAGCACATCCGATATTTTCGGCGTTTAGCATACTCTCTTAAATCGTAGCGGGCACTGCCATTTTTTTGGTTTTGGTTTTCTCCCTCTTTTGGCACGCATTCCTTCGTGTACTTACTGTATTTCAAGATGGCACCCGCAGTACCCCCCTCAGGCATCTGGGCCCCCGCCGTGACGCTCTTCGACCCGGAGACCGATGCCCTGCTCCCGCAGGACCAGGCCAAGTACTACAAGCACCTTGCGGGCACCGGCCTCTCAGGACTGGTGGTCCTCGGCACCAACGCCGAGACCTTCCTGCTGACGCGGGAGGAGCGCGCGGAGCTCCTGCGCCTCGCCCGCGGCGCCGTCGGCCAGGACTACCCCATCATGGCCGGGGTGTCGGGCCACAGCACGAAGCAGGTGCTGGAGTTCATCGGGGACGCCAAGGGAGCGGGCGCCGACTACGGCCTGCTCCTGCCGCCGGCCTACTTCGGCAAGGCTACGACGCAGAGCGTTATCGAGGCCTTCTACGACGAGGTCGCCGCGAAGAGCCCCCTGCCCATCGTCATCTACAACTTCCCCGGCGTCTGCAACGGCGTCGACCTCGACTCCGACACCGTCGCCCGCCTCGCCCAGCGGCACCCCGGCAGGATCGTCGGCGTCAAGCTCACGTGTGGCAGCGTCGCCAAGATCACCCGCCTCGCGGCCGTCTTGAAGCCGGACCAGTTCGCCACGTTTGGAGGCCAGAGCGACTTCCTCCTCGGCGGGCTCGCCAGTGGCAGTGCCGGGTGTATCTGTGCCTTTGGCAACGTGTTCCCGAGAACCGTGGTCAGGATCTATGAGCTCTGGAAGAACGGGGATCTCGAGGCCGCGAGGGAGCTGCAGGGGAAGCAGGCCTTGGCCGAGCAGGCCATCAAGGCGGGAATCGCCGTGACCAAGTATGCTGCCAGCGTCTTCACGGCACCCAAGGCGGGCATTGAGGATGCGGAGAGCAAGTTCAGGCCTAGACGGCCGTACGAGGAGCCAGGACAAGCGGTAAAGGAGAAGCTAAGAAAGACGATGGAGGAAGTGGCGGGCTTGGAGGAGAGTCTTCAGAAATGAGCGATGAAAGGGGCATAGATTTGGGAAACGTACTCGAAGGATGAATCAGAAACAAGTATGAGTGGAGGCAGGAGAATTGCTGTAACATAAATCATATATCAGAAGACAGGCCTAGGGTTTAACTCTAAATGCTCAGCATCGATGGTAGTTTGCTTTAGCCAGCAGTACTTAATGTTTGCTAATCTACCTAATTGTGCGTGGCATTAGAACACGACTTGGTGTTTGATTTACGTAAGAGCCCTTTTACGCGAACCAGTACAACAACAAACAATGCAGCCCTCTTGATGAAAGTAAGTCAGCAGTGAGCTGTACCCTCACCTTAGCTACCAACTCGACAAGGGTGCAGGACAAGTCTGTATGAGCATTTCCAGAAGGTTTTGTTGCTGTTGTAAATTCGGACCTTATTCTTATATTCACTGTTGCGGAACTGGCTCGGCGGCATTCTTAAATCGTTCGATGGCAGGGAGGACAGTCGCAGTTGTCCGACAGGATTCCTACACAGCAATGACTCGCTTTAGATTGCTTCTTCAGCAGTAGGACAGAACATGAACTCAATAATGCTGGACGTCCAATCGCTTTCCCTATGGAAGTAAGAAAGAATCATCGATGTCGTTCTAAAGACAATGTTAACAACAAGATGAACGTCGAGGTAAGCAGCACTATGAATTACAAGGATTGGTGTGCTCAGCGACTAAATATGAATATCCAAGCTTGCAAAGCACACCATTTGATGACTGGGAGCTGGAAAGCGTTGATAGTCATGTACGGTGCGGGATACTGCTCCAGCTTTACAGATAAGATTCAGCAAGATGACGGCAGTAATGGTGGCACGAAGCTCCCAGCTTAATATTTTATTAATTTAGGGCTTATGGATCCTTGTGATGAATTAAATCCAAAGGGCAAACTGACAAAACCAGACAGCAAAACCTATATATGATCCTGGTGTCCAGGGTAAAATAGGTAACAACCATCTGGTAGCGTGGTTCTCTTGGAATTAAATTTCAATTGATTGAAGAGAAATATGACAGACAATACCCATTGTGACGATAACTAGAGTGTCCAATTAAACGACTTGGCGAAAGCCTGTGCCCCCTTCGTTGTCAGGGATAGCTTCCCCCCTCCCATTTTTGATGCGAGAGGCCGACCATCTAGTTGCGCTTCCGAGATTGAGTCAAAGATACTTCTTGATACATTCCGTGAGTTTCTTTTCACATTCCCGAAACCTTCATGCCATTAATGCTGTGTTTGTCGAGTGTATACGTCAGCTGTGCTGCTACTGTGGACATGGGAATATGTGCTGTTGAAATAATTTTTTAACAATCCAATAACGTTTAACTACATGAAAATTGAGATGAAAACATGATTTTGGAGATGAGTAGTGAATAATAACAATCTGTAGATCTCTGAGATGAGCTGAAAGCATGACCCGGAGCGTACATATAGTAAAGGAAAATAATGCATCGTTAGTCGTTAAAGAGTTGCCCAGATAGGGTTCTTTTGATAAAATCAGGTGGCGTAAGCAACAATTTACTGATAAAGAGATTTAGGAAAAACATAACATCATCTACTGGATTCGTCGAGGCACTTTTTGCGGTACTTTTTGCGGTGCCGGTCAAGGTTGTCCTCCCGCGTGAAAACGGTTCCACATTCACATTTCCACAGGTACTCAAATTCGATCCCATACTCTTTTTGGTTCTCCCAAGCCCACTGGGGATGATTGACAAGAGCATGTCTCCGCATATCTCTCTGCTCGGCTGTTCTGACTTGGCAAGGCTCATCATAAAGATCTAGTACTGGACACAGCACCGGCGGGTTGTGTGTCCGCACATGTTTTCTACCACGCACTGGGTTAGATCACTCTTGATTGTGCTGATAAATAGTGTGCTCACCTGAAGTCCCTTCCGGTGGGACACACCTTTCCACAATACCACTCCCCTTTTTCCGTGACATATTCGTGGTCACAGTAGAACTTTCCGTCCTTTGCTGCCACGAATTCTTTCGCCGAGGGCATTGGCAACTCTTGAAATAATTTTTTGTTGTTATGTTTTGCGTTACTTTCTGTTTCCGTCATTGGTTGGCTGAGGCCCGGGTTGATGTCAGACTCGAGATCTAACATCGTGGATTCCCAATTTTCATAGTTCGTTTCTGTGGTGATGTAGTTGTTGTGTCCAGAATAATTCAAGTTGTCAGACTGAGGTGTATAAGTATCCTCAAACGGTTGTACAGGAGTCCCACTCTATAGAGCTGGATCCAGAGCACCTGCATCGGGGCTCGCACTTCTGCTGAATTGTTCGAAGTACGTGGCGTCATTGAAGAATTCGTTACCTTCATTGGGAATATAATAATGGCCGGCATTATTATATTGGCTTTCAGTGGTACTGGAACTTGCGCCCATTTGATCGGAAATCTCAGATGAGCCATCGCAGTCCAACATAGTCGAGGTCGGTTGATCACAGATTTGTGATACTATTTCCGGATGACGATTTTGCTTTGGCATCTTTTTCACCCTGTATATCAGAAGCTGACTGGAATTTATGTGATTGGACTATTAGTGGGGTGGACTGTATTGAGTTCTTCTTCATGTCACCAAGTTCCAGATGCCATGATATAGGTCACAAATGGGAATCGAAAGGACTTGGTCCGCAGTTTTCTACAACAGCTCCTCTGACTTCCCGGCATTCTTGTCGCTCTGGCGCATTTCTTTTTACAGATCATGTCAATCAACTGTTAGGCGCTCTACCAGTAAAGCAGCCGCAACCCCACCTGGCTTCATGCACATTTGGATGTCCTCTCGCATCTTCAAGGCAAAAACTGCCCTGCTTCGCAAAGGGGCTGTGCCGCATCTGCGAGAACTGTTGCCCGATAGCCTTGTGCGTAACGATTCGCCAATTCGAAATGCGCGTTGGCTGTGCCGTTGTCATTAAGAGACCCACCATTTTTCATTGGACACCAGTTCAAGGTCCTGATTGGTGATGCGGCGTCTTTGAGCTCATCATTCATGAACCCAAGGATAATCTTTTTGATCCACAACATTCTGGATGGTTGCAAGAACGAGTTGTACTGGGGCTGGAGTTGGAGTGCATGCAGACTTTCGTACAGAACTGCAGTATCTTTCGTTGCTTTGCTGCAAAATTGAAGTAGCCAATCTACAGTCCCATACACACCGAACGAAGGCGCAGATGATGTGCAGTTTTAGAAGAGCGGTGACAAAGCTGGTGGTAGAGAGGCCCACCACTTTAACCCAAGCTCGGTCAGGCTGATATTTTTGGCGCATTGCGTCGATACAAGTGAGAGGGTATCGCAACAGCGAGGAAGCCCAACTCAGCCGTGCCATGTTCAAATTCCGGGATGACACTCCTATTAATGGTCTGCGCTCACCTGAAAGTTCTAACATCAAGCGAAACCACCTGTGACTCATGCTTGTTGTGAAATTTCCGACTCGTATATCACGCTTTTTTCTTCCACATGTCTCACACATGAGTCATACCGTCAATACTATGATGGTCTTACCAATCAAAGGGAAGATGCCTCGAATGGACCCTTATCAACGTCTGATCAATCGCTTCTTTGAGCCATTGATACTGCAGTATAGCCTCGGAAAAACCCAGGGAGATTATATACCAGGAACCCAGGAAAAAGGGACCACGAATGCAAGACGTAGGAGACTTCTTGAAAACATAGTAAGCAAATTCAGGAATTTGCTGTACCCCTTTGTCTAAGGATCGTATAGTGCTCTTCAAAAGGCATTAAGTTCTTATTGACTGTTCCACAAAGCTCCGGAACACTGTCCAGCCCATTGCGAACAAGTAATCACTGACTCCAAATGGTGTAGTGCTATATATGCGACTACAACAAAGGTGGCGACACAACCACGTCCATCGGCTTGGAAGAGCGTCATGATTGTTTCAATTTCTGGGTCGCGTCTAACATCGGATCCACCGGCATGGTGGATTTCATCGCAGATGTGCTGAATGATACGCAAGTCATTTTGACCACAGATCAGAGACTCAGATCCATACGAGAGCAGCGACTTATCCAGAAATGCATCAATTTCGCTAGGAAACGCGTCAAAAAAGAGGCTAATCTGCTGTCGAAGGTTGTTGAGAAGTGCAAGGATCACCTACGTGAGGAGTCAGGTATAGTTAGACTCTAGCTCTCATAGTTGATACATTCTCACAGCTCAAGATAGACGGCGTGCTTTTGCATTGGCTTTCCACATTCGATACCCAGGACAGCATCGCCTTGTGTGAGAGGGCATACGAGGTCAGAAAAGGGCTAGAGATGAAGGAGCTCGTAATTAGGAGCCAAGTGGGTGAGGATGAGCCAGCCAACAGCGATAGAGCTCCGACGTTTGCACTCGTTAGACACATGCTAGGACGACTAGCTCACCATGTGCGTGCACCAAGGCAGATCGTCGATGATGCTTCTCATCTAAACGAGTTGCTTCAGAACTACGTCATCCGCCGAGTGGATATACCTCCATGTATCCCACCCCCTAAAGCGGACGGTCTAACAACTTTGCCTTCCATTCTCAAACGAATGCTACCAGCTAACGACTCTACCCTGCCAAATTATGAGGCTGCTTTGCTCAATCTAGACAGGAAATTACAGATTGGCCAAAGAGTACTGGAACAGTACCAATTGCCATCCTTCAAACCTAGAGTGCATTCCGAGATACAAGTCCTGGAACACTTTTACAAGGGTGGGCTGGCTTTTGCCGGTAATGACTGCTTCATTGCTAGTAGTAAACCAGCATGCTATTGTTGCCATCTTTATATCCGAAGCCATCCCCTCAATTTAGTTGAGCCAGCGAGTCACAAGAACCTCTACTTAAATTGGGGTGTGCCACTTCTTCCTGGCGGCGTGAGAGATCCAGATTTTAAAGACCAGCAAAAGATAATTATCAAGATGCTTGAGACAATACGTAGAGAGGCACTCGATCGGATTATGCGACAAACCGGGGGACCCAAAGGACATCCTGACTCTTTGACGGGGATTACTCCCTCCATGTCTGTAATTTCAGCAGCGCAGGCTGCCAGATTGACATCATTGGAAAGCCAACTTTCGGGCTTGACCATAGGTAAGCCTCTCTGCCTCATGGCTACAAAGATGACCTTACGGCTGATTTCAACCAGACTCTAACGGTGTTTCTTCTGTTAATGGTCGCAATGGATCCGAAGATTCGGATTTTGAGGGGTCCGTTGGGGCGTCCTCAGACTCTTCCGATAATAAATATGATCACAAGGTATCTCAGTTGGGTGATAGCGACAGCGACGACGATTGTGCTTCAATTGGTGGCGGTGCTAGACTGCATCAACGCCTCTCTACAGACTCGTTGTGTAAGGTGCAATCTCTACGTCGGATGTTATGATGTGTTTCAATTACATTTTGTTTGAAATTACGCGTCAGGAGCAAACGATTAGTATGCTTTGTGATTTTAAAAGTGGTTCGAAAATTGATCATGTACACAAACCGAAGAATGGCAAATGATTTATACCATAACCGATCATTGGCAACGTCTCTATGTGGTGTACTTCAATTCGACCAACAACCAATCATTAGCCAATAGTTGGTATCGTTCGTATTGTCTCACTTTTAGGCAACTGAGAATTCCAGTGTAGGCTGCGAATGTCATTGAAATTCACACCACGCAACAATGTGGGCCATACAAACAGAACGATAACGTATCTGCATCATGGTGAAGTCTTTTGGGGATAATTCTGCGTCGATTCATCTGGTGCTGCGTGTTTCGCAAGTAGTTCCGCAAGGCCAATATATGTAATTTATGTCACGATCACGGCGAGCGATATAATGTGCGAACCCTTTCTCATTGTCTTAGCTAGGTAATTATTACCTATGCAAAGCTTAGGTCATAGTTTTATCAACACTGAACTTTTCAAATTTTAGCCAGGACTAGACTAACTACCTAGACAGGTTCGTCCGCAAACCACAGCATTATGCAGTATTTCATGCTCTCACTAATCGCACTGTTTTGGCTGGTTGGAAACCCGTCTTTTTGTAACACCGTCACCTCTTTGTAATGTACATGGATGTTGCCCTTCCGGACATGTTTCCCTAGCTATTGTCAATGTCAGTCTGATGGTCATTACCTCAATGGCAATCTAATATTCTTATGTTGCTCCGATGCACGTAACATTTCCTCTCCTTCCATCAATCATCAACAAGGTGAAAGTAAACGCGCCACGTTCTTTGCACAGTTTGAGTTACTGTTTAACGTTTACCATCCATCCTTTGCCATAAAAGTTTGGATGCCCCCATCGCTATAATGCTTTAATTAAGTTTACCTCCAATCCTAGAGCTTTATTTTCAAAGATATGGCTATCGTTCTTGTCCATTCCAACTTTATAGCTCTTCTACTGTCAACCTCCGCATCGCCCGTCTCTATACTGTCTTGCCGTTGCTGCTGATATCAGATCCCAGGCAAATCAACTTTGCAGGTCGGTACCCCCTAGTTGACATGCTGTTTACCATAGCAGTAATTTGTCGGTGTATTTTCTTACTTGTTCCGCAAGATTGATGGTCTCCCAACGACATTAACTCTCAACTCTACCACCTAGATATACTATATAATTTTTTATCCCGACACCGACTCTCCACATTCCAACACTTTGTCGTTTACTGCTGTGTATATTTTAACAGTTTGTTTGAGGTGAGCAAGTCAACACGAACCATGCACAAACTGCCTGCTTCCATCGCATTTCCTTCACCCCAAGGCTCTTTCGTCCAGTCCTTCATCGGCCCGCTTCTATCCAATTTGTTATTTATGTCACCACTTATGACCATAGTACATCAAATACGCGTGCCGCTCACCACAGATAATATTCTTTAAGTATATTTCAAGTAGAATTTCAATCCCGTGCTTGTTCATTCATCTCGATTGAGACCTCGCAATAACAATATATTCCGTAATTTGTGTGGTATACAACACATACGACCATAGCTCCTAGAAAACTCGGCATCCCGTCCGCTCTGCCCTAGATAAACTGGGAAGCGCTGGATTAGTACTCAGGTGGGTGACCACTGGGGAATCCCCGGTGTTGTATGTTTTTTTTTCCAGATTTTCTTTTACATCTGGTTGCATTAATGGATTGGGCTGTGGACTCGAGTACAATCGCCGAAGCTTACACGAATAGCTTTGTAGAGCACATCGGACGAAACCATTAAAAGTCGAAAGACGCGAGTCGAGCCTGTAGTTCTGCCTTAAGTCGTTTCGTTGGAAAGCCTGTCATCAGAAGCAATTAGCCCGGTGTGCTGATCAAGCTGAACAGCCTTGATTGATCCATCCATACTCTACCAGGTTTCCATCCGGGTCACGAACGTAGACGCTCCTAAGCTTCGATCTTGCCCCAGTACGGTTGACGACCCCACCACCCTCCAAAACCTCGATCTTATTCTCGTGCAGTTTCCGTGCAACCTCGTCCACGTTGTCTTCGACCAGGAAACATAGATCCCCAGAACCCGGCTGGACAATTTGAGCTTTCGGCTCAAATTCTTTGCCACTGATGTGGAGGTTAATTTTTTGCTGGCCGAAGACCAGCGCGTGCCGCTCTTGACCACCGGATGTAAACGACGTGTGCTTCATTCCTAGAACGCACTCATAGAACTTGACGGTGGCCTCGAGATCCTTGACAGTCAGGACCAAATGGTCAAGCGACTTGGTCCTTGCGATACTGGACATATTGCGAATGCCGTTCGCAGCTCGTGGCGCACGAATTTGGGTCAATCGGGCCAAGGCGATCCGATCTAGAGCAAGACGAGACATGTTCTATGGTAGCTGATTGACGTTTTCGAAAGTTGGAAGCCAACTGCAAGAATTAAGCCTGGCTTTGACCGGTTTCGGCATTGTGACAGTGGCGGGGCTGGTCGCGTGTCGCGCTAATACCAATGCTATGGTGAGTACATATTCCACATACAAAGACGTGCAAAACTCAAGTGCAGTCCAAGACAAGACATTGGCAATGCTGTTACTCAAATGGACTCCAGGGACATGAACGCTATGGAGAAGTTGTCTAACCTAGGACCACAAGGATGAGGCAGGCTGTGAACTATAGTTACACGCCACAATGTAATCGTAACCACCTGCTCGGGAAGTAAGCCCACCGCGGTGAACCACAGCCATGAATCATCTATAAAGCATTGCTAGTGGATAATATACACCAAGATGTAAAAAAGAAACATACAACACCGGGGATTCCCCAGTGGTCACCCACCTGAGTACTAATCCAGCGCTTCCCAGTTTATCTAGGGCAGAGCGGACGGGATGCCGAGTTTTCTAGGAGCTATGGTCGTATGTGTTGTATACCACACAAATTACGGAATATATTGTTATTGCGAGGTCTCAATCGAGATGAATGAACAGGCCTAGTACGAGGAAGGGGCACTGCGGTACCGTTGAACGTCAGAACAAAAAAGGATAGAGCCAGTGCAAGTGGAGACCAAGGCAAATGTATTGTTCGAATGATAGGATATCTCAGACGAGAACTACTTAATGAACACAAATTCGAATTACTTTACCAAGGTTTGTTGCCAAATTGACAGGCTCAGCATCGCCGCCGAACAGCGTCTCCCTTCTTTAGACAACCTTGTTCCTTACAATCTCGCCATCCACAAGATGCTGGCTGAACTCCCTTGCTGGTATGTTGTTTGCATACAAAGTGCCGATCTCCTGATAAGTCCTGTTCTTCGTCTCTGGTTGGACGAAAAAGAGAATAGCCAAGATGACAAACTCCGCAGCGACAAACAAAAACATGATTTTGCCACCCCAATCGAGTTCGTCGGGGTTGATGAAATATGGGAACACCGATGAAGGTAATCTCGCCGTCAGTTGCTGGCACATCAAGGTGAAAGCGACTGTCTTGGGCCTAGTAGCTTGCGAGCGATCTCTTGTGCGACGGCCCAGCCATAAATCCTACTGATGCGAAGTAGAGCATTGGCCATGTGATCATAAAGGCGAGGATCGCTGTGTTCGCGGTGTGGTTTGACATGCTTACCATGGATGTGCTAGCAATGATGATGAACCAGACGCAAAGCAAAGCGCCACCACCGACTAGACCCTTTCGGCGAGGCAAGATATCAGAGACCATGACGGCCGCAGTGTTCTCGAGAAGTTGCAGAGCAGATGAAATTGCCGTTAGAGCAAACGAATTTGTCTGCCCAACGAGTCGGAAGTAGTACGTCTGGTACGTGTCTGTGAAACTGTTAGTGCAGCCTTGGAAGTTATCGTCATTTCGCTTACTAGCGAAGTAACCGCCAGAAAAATTCTGAGAGTGCAGCCCGAGAACGGCAACAAGAGTTCGTGCACGGTGCTGTTTAGTGAATGGAGCCTTCCAACTCATTTGGCTTGAAGACTCGACTTCTCCTGCATCAATCTCAAGCTCGGACCTGATACATACGAGCCTTTCTTCGACATCGATAGTTGGGCCAAACAGTTGGAAGATTGTTTTCCGAGCATCCTCCTCTCTTCCCCTTTTCATATACCAGACGGGAGACTCGGGAAGAAATGGGAGGACTGTCGCGAAGAGGCCCGGAACGAGAAATGTTAAGACAAATGCAGTATTGTAGCTCCATGCTCTCTGGATATTGGATACTCCGTAACCAGTAATCGTCGCTAGGAGGAAACCAATGTCAATGGTGACATTGGTTACTGAACTGAGTGTATTTCGTAAGGTTGCGGGGGAATTTTCGGTCACTCACAATGGGCGCGTTGCAATCGAGAAGCCGAGCATAAGTTTCGAGACGAATAGGACGGGCAGATTCGGAGCGAAAACCTGAGCGAACGAGGATGACAATGAAACCACGATGGCAATCCAGAGGGGAGCTTTGCGACCGGTGTAATCCGCGAATTTACCAACAAGAAACGCGCCGAAAACTTGTCCGATTGTGCTCACTCCATTCCAGAGTGATTGCCATAGGTCAGGGACGATATATTCATCTCCAACGGCATAATAATCTCCATACGCTTTTCCGAACTAGGGAAAAGCGATGGCCAGCCCTAAAATACCATAGTCATAACCCCAGCCGAAGACTAGGGTCATAACATACAACGACCATAGTACAGAATGGTTGTCTTTCTTCAAATATACCCATAGCTGACGAAAGTGATCCTTAGGCGTCAAAGCTTCAGCAACGATAGGGTTTGAACTGTAGTCGTCTAATGAGTTCTCTGCATATGCTGCGATAGTCATCTTCTCGGTGATGACCGGCGTTTCAGCGCTGATGCGCACCTGGTCGGATTCCATGGTAGAATTCGAATAGGAATGATGAAGCAATAACTTGAGGCAATGCAGTCACAAACTCAAGTGGTGAAGTGGATGATGCTCAAACGATGAAGTACCCTACTCTGGTCTTAGAAGAAGGGAACCCATGAGGTCATTATATAAAGCTCCAGAGTGGTGGAATCTACTCCCTTGTATCTTCGATCTCGTCCCGGCCATCGTCCAGGTTGATTTGTTCCCATGCTTTTGTCTGGCAATAACTTCAGATGCCCCGCGACCCCAGGAAACCGAACGATTCGACTGCACTATTTGCACCACATTGCCGGGGCCCCGTGGAGGACAAGATTTGAAAGGGTTTTTGGAGTTTACCAAGAGGGTGAATTTCACCTCACAAAGTTGACCCACTTATTCGTCCTTTGTAGACTCAGTCCTTTGCACAACGAGGATGCGCGCTTGTGTCTCATATCATCTAAATTAGACACAGATCCAACTAGTCTTGGGTAAAGTATAATCTTCTTCTAGCATAAACTGCGGGGAAACACAAACCCCCAAGACCTTTCCCCAGATGTGGCGTTATTATCGCCAAATGATTATGTCATCAGCGACGTCTGGCGTTGCAATATGCCAGCGACATCAATGTGGAACTTCCAATCGACGGAACAAATGGGTGAATTATGATTGGTCATTACACAGGGGCATCAACTATTCACCCGCCGATTGCTTGCCAAGGCTGCACAAGCGAGCAATTGACCAATCACCAAGATAGTCATTCATGACCTCTCCAGAATCGTCCCATGGAAGGTCCGCCTCTATGTTCCCACAACTACTTGTCTCTGAGACTAGAACGTTCTTGCTATAAATCCGAACCACACATTGGATTTAGTGGCTAGCCATGATCTATATCGTTATCTACGTAAACGCTAATTTTACAGAAGCTCTTTACTCTGAACATCGTGCATCGATACATTCTTCACAACTCGCACCCTGATTCTGCTCTACCACCGCCGCCATCCCCCGATTGAGATCATCCGACATGGATTCCAATCGCTTTCGTCCAATTTCTCATTTTATTGCGCCCCATTCATGGTCCAACGACCCATGTGGCGCTTGCTATATCCCCGAAACCGACGACTATATTGTCTGTTATCAATGGAACCCCGGTACTTCTGAATGCGGTAATTGTGCTTGGGGAATGGCAAGATCTAAAGATCTGGTCACCTGGGTGGATTGCATGCCAGCATTGGAGAACGGTGATACATATGATTCTAAAGGTGTTTTCTCAGGCTCCATCGTATCACGAGTGATAGCTGGGAAAACTACACTGTTTCTCTTTTATACCAGCATATCCGCCCTCCCTATCCATTGGTCTAAGCCTTACGTTCCAGGTTGCGAATCCCAATCTCTTGCATACTCAACAGACTTTGGGAAATCCTGGAAACGCAGGCAGAACAATCCTCTGCTCAGCACACCACCAAGGGGCGCACGCACAACAGGATGGCGTGATCCCTTTGTCTCAAAATGGTCTTCTCTCACAACACTGCTTGGTGTGGATAGAGATACCAATTACATGCTAATTGCTTCTGGAGAAAAAGAGCACGGTCCGCAATTACACATTTACGAGTCCCATGAGCTTTGTGACGGCTGGGAGTATCTGGCCACTATACTCGATGTCAAGAGCGGCACAACTATTTCAGACAATAGCCACCACTTCTTTGGAATGAATTTTGAGTGTGCGAGTTTCTTCACGCTGGACAGTCAAGACTATATTCTCCTCGGAGTTGAAGAGAATGAAAGTAGTATCCGCCACAGATGTCGGTACACATTATGGCTCTCAGGCAGTTTGATACTTGACGACGGGAAACCACAATTTATCATAAATAGCCATGGGGTCATCGATCATGGAATCTCCTATGCGCCACATATTTTCCGTGATAAAAGCAACCGGGTGCTCCAGCTTGGATGGGCGGATGAGTGTGCTAATCAGCACATCGTCAAAGACCAAGGATGGGCAGGGTGCTTGACATACCCTAGAGAGATGTTCAAGTGTGTCAAGTCCCTTGATCTTGAAGTGGCCAGAAAGTGTTCTGAGTGGACGATTGATCAGGACAACCAAACAATGTCAAGCCTTGGCATTCGGCTTGCCCAGCAAATAGACCTTATCCGAGGCGACGAGGCTTCGATGTCACTGCAGCAGTTTCAAAATCTCCAGTCAACTACTTATGAGATCTCCGCAAAATTTTCTAAACTCTCCGGGTCTGAGAAGTTTATCATCAATGTTCGACAATCCCTTGACTATGCAGAAATCACTCAGCTGGTATTTGACATTGCTAAAGGTCTGATAATAGTCGACCGGAGTAGGTCGTCATCGACGAGCTTGGGGTCAATAGTGCCGGACAGCGGATTATTCCAATTGTTATCTGGGGAGGAACTCAATGTCAGAATTTTGGTGGACGTCTCTATCATTGAGATTTATGTGAACGATAGATTCGCTCTTACCTCCCGCGTGTATCCCTCCTTGGAAACATCCATTCATGCTTCCTATGATTTTGGCACCTATCGGGAAGAGAACCTTAGCTTCGAGTGTTGGGACAATCTGAAGGAGGCATGGCCTGTTCGAGGAACCAGAGGCCATAGCTTAGAAGCACCGCTTGCTACTTCAGCAATACAAGAATAAAGCACAAGTCAGGGTATACAGGAACTCATCTGTGATAACTCGGGAACTGTATCATCTATGGCCTAGCTAGATAATACATTCGACCATGTGCTTTTGATGTTACTGGTGTTTCTCCATAAGGCTCTTTATCCGCCTATCTCTATCAATACAAGCTGTGCAGTACTTGTAATTGTAGTTGTAGATTGTAGTGTACTTACCTCTATAGTGTTGACCAAAGATTATCATTACATGAAGACTACAAACCTCGCCATCTCGGTTATCTGGACCGCGTCCCTACCTGCAGTGTCCTGCAAATGAGCTCATAACACAATATGGCATATACTGTTTCAGAAGCGTAGTAAAGCTCTAAGTGCAGGATGGTTCCTATGAAAACGGACATGTCTGATAGTTCAGATACTATTTTAGGGAAACATGATTAAGTCATTCAGTCCTAGCGTGTGAACCACTCCTTCAGACTGGGCTGATGTGTTCACATATTACTTGTGCGGCATCCAAGTAAGGTAGAAAAGAAATTTGCCTCAAACTGACTATTAGTTCATGAAAAGCCACTGTGTATGACTCTTTGAGTACACAAAGTTTAAATAATTTCCAAGTTAGGTCGTCAACTTGTATTCCGGGTATTGCTCTGGATCCTACAGTACTAAGGATTTTCTGGCACCCGTTGCTAGGGAGTAGAGGCATCCCCGCTGGGACTGACATCCAAACCCCACAAGTTCATATATACTTACAGCCAATCGCAATTCACCCATTCCCAAATTCACTCGGAAGTTTAGTTGGCACTAATTTGCGACGCAGCAGTGTAGTTTTACCGAATGACTATGCGAGCCAGCGATATCGTGACCATCTACCTATCTACAGAACTGATGGTGGGACGAGGAACAGGTTTCTGAACGCAGAAGTGCAAGGGTCTCTAAAGTATCTATATACAACGAACTGTGGTCTATTAATGTGGAGTGTGATAAAACAGCGAGGAACAGAGCTATCCTCTGATCCACTGAAGGCTACCTAAAGTAGTTGCCCCAGATGTGTACCTGAGGCAACACGTGGAGACCTGAGGCATCCATTATGCCCATATGATCCTGTATGACAATCCAGACTTCGTCTTCAATGCTCTCGGGAAATTGACTCGCTGCCGGAAATTCCTGGATCAGAACGAGTCGGTGTGGACTCTAGAGTAACTAGTTGCAACAAACTTCAAGAACAAGAAGAGCCTTATCGAGGCTGTCAAGGGATATGCAGCTTTCCTGCAATGGGAGAAAACCTTCACAATGGGACGCAAGCGTCGTTGAGAGCCTCACATTCTCAAAAAAGCTAGTGTTACCCTTAGTAACATTGAGATAGACGCACAAGGTGCAGAAGGCAATAACGAATCTAGCGAGACCGAAAGTCAACGCACACTGGAATTGATATGGGGAACGTACTGTATCTTGTAACAATGGTTCCTCGCACCTCGGCTTGTTTGCCACATTACTGTTACACACATAATGAGGTTCTGTCAAAGAATGTGAACGAATGCGTTACGCCAAATATTTGATGTGATCAAGACCGACTTATTCTTGGAACAATGCAGGAGAATACATAACAGCAAATTTACAGAAATCCAAACAAGTATATGCCATCTGCTAACAATATAACAATAATAGAAAACCCTCAACCTTCAGGTATGTACTGCCATAGGAATCGCGTCTTGTGTAAATTTCCGGGTTCTTGTGGGAAGCATCAGAAATTGACCAAGGGGAGTAAGGCTCAGAACAGCTCTGGATTCTGGTTTATGCTGGCAATAATCATTTGGCATCTCACTTGGTGAGTACGACGGATAGGCAAGTACCACCATGGGAGTAGTGTCTATAGCTTGTGGCTCTGCTATCCGTGTACGATCCCTTCTGAATGCCAGCGAAGCGCAGCAGTAACAGACAATCGCTGCCATCCCAGACATACCAGCTCCAACACCAATACCAAACTTGAGCGCCCAGAGAAAGGCTGGTATCTTGACTAACCTAGTCTGGTCTCCATCGGCTCTACACCTTACTAGAATATCTGACACTCTACGTCGGGGGATACACACGATTGAGCTTCGACATGGTGCTGTCAGCTGGAAAAGGCCGAATTGAGCATTGTAGTCGGTGGCCAGTCATCCATCTTGCTTACGGAACTTGGCTCTCAATGCGCAGTTATATTCGATATGAAGAAATCGTGACGGTAAAACGCTGGGTGAAGGCTCGCATGCCAAGGACTTGCAGCGTTTCAAGCTGTCTCATTTGAAGCTCAAATCATGAGCGTGTTGCGTGTTTGACGGCGTCTTGTTTTAGCCGTCAGTATTACGCATCGATAACTGATTGGGCTCTGCTAAACACAAAAGCTCTTTGCGCCAAGCAGAGACGGCTTCGAAAGCAATCGAAAAGACGGTATCGTCACGGTCGATATAAAGATCAAATTCGTTTTCGCGCTGAGCTAGATGTGAAGTGGCTACAAGGTTACAACGCTCGTATTGGCAAGTTGTTGAGTGTGCCGAAAGTGTCGCAAACTACTTGACGAGAATTGATCTCAAGAACATTGCAAAGTTCTCATTAGTCTCCCCACGAATCAATCAGCTGAGGGTTTGAGGATTGAAAGATCCGGGTTTGAGTCGCAACGTTACTAGTATCCACCTAACGTTTAGTTGGTGGTCGGGCGCAGCCATGGCTACCTAGACTACGCAGGCGGAACAGCGGCACGGCTGCATCTGAGTGCTTCTTTTTCCGTGGTGTTGATGTCTGGCGCGCTACTAGAGGCACTTACAGTAGTAGAGCTGAAATAAGCTTATGTGCTAACCCAGCAGATCTGGTGCTTTATCGTCCGGCAGATGTGATGATGTCGTTCTCCGGGCCGGTTGAAAACGATAGTCTGTGTGACATTGGCCTCGTGTCAACGATCATTGCATGCAGTGGCAGCTCCGAAAATAGCCATCTGTCTCTGGATGGGTGTTTGTGCGCTAATAGGTGAGCTGGTCACCATTGACCGCTTCACAGAGACGAGATAAAACGGTTGGTCGAGAGCGCATGAGGCGGTCTATATTCTCAATAATTCAAATGGCAAACCAGCGAAAAAGGAACTTTTCTTTGGGAGAAATCTTCAGTAAAGAGGCCAATGAATCGTTTGCCGTGGGGTGACAGCAGAAAACCTCGTGTGACGTGCATGCACCGGCATCCCCGCAGCTGTATTGGTCTCACAGACCAACCACCCGCCAGAGCCAATGGGTCGTTGGGGGAATACGAGTCTTGGCAACGCTATCGACGTCAGGATACTACGACCAAAGGGCCCGGCAACCTTAGACGGCGTTGGTGCCGAATTTGTCACTGCCATGATAGAACGGATCGTCGGTGACTACTGTGACTACGGTTCTTCCATATAAGCCATCGTTATCACCCTAACATCTGGAATTGATTCGATCACCAAACAGCCTATCCTTACTATCAAGATATTAACTTGCACCATTTTCACATCTCCGCCTCGATTACTATTCGTTACCAAATTCAGCAAGATGCACGGTTTCATCTCAACCCTTTTAACTATCCTGCCTTTGGCAACAGCCGCACCATTTGGTCTTGGTCTTAATTCTCGGGACGCTAACCCCGGATGCCAAGCCGCATCATTCAACAACTTCTCATGGACTGTTGAGGACTTCGACTACCATGCTTCCTATATCTTCACAACCCCAGCGCATCAGGTAAGCATTTTCAACGAGCTTCAAGGCTGCCCAGACAGTTTGAAGCCCGAGACAGATGACTAACACGCAACTAGAACTCCTGGGGATACGTCAACTTTAACCTCACCAACCCTGCTCTGACGTACAAGGCATCGTGCAGCGGCACCAGCAACCAGCTGTCTGACTTCTTCTATGGCACTGTGCCCTACACATGCACCACTCCTGCCGGCACGTCCGCAAAGACCACCTTTGATTTCAGCAAGGCGAGCGGTACCCTGAACATCAACCAGACTTGGACCTGCAGCGACCTGGACCCCCAGTGGCCGGCCACCATCAACGGCTACGGTCAGGTTAACCTCACCCTAGCGTGCACGGACTCGACCTACCAGAACCAAAACTGGACCCTCGGCCAGATCTATTCTGACCGGGAAATCAGGTGTGCCCCGGCCACTGTCCCGGTCAAGCCGTATAAGATGACGGCTATCGCATAGGCAACAGGCAAAGATGATTGATATATGATTGGAATGATTGGATGAAAACGGGACTGCGAAATGGCATAAATAACACACGCTTAGACGATAGATACTACAATTAATTGGTAATGATAACAAATATGAACACACAATATGTTTGCATTTTGTCTCATTGGTTTACAACCATGGTGAACTGCGTTACCCACTATTGGTGACGGATGCTTTCTCGCACGCTACACAACCAAGAATGCGCCAAGGAGCATGTGCTGAAACGCGATCACGGGCGAGAAAATAGAGAGAGCCAAAGTTGTGTGCATTAGGACGGGTGGTGTGCGACGAGAGCTTCCCTTCCCGGATGTCCACTTTGAGCTCCTGAGAGCGCTATGTGTACGTCTCGCTCCTTCTGGGTGATAAATGGTTGCGGCAACGAATCTGAAGAACGGCTTGAATTGGCACGGGATATATAGTTTGGCCCGCACCCGGGTACTGTAGCCACTGCCGTCATGTTTGGGATCAACAAAGTTTCAGATACAGCCCTGACAACTCAAATCCTGAATTACCGCGGCACTTCTGAAGAGCTTCATCTACATTTTCAAGATTGAATCGTTTACAAAGTTTCTTTTTTCCCCTTCCCCCCCCCCCTCCCTTTCTCTCTCCTGCGCATCACGCACATCGATGCATGGTCAGCTGCGCTCACTTTAGAACTTGCCGGCAAGGTAAGTAATGTTCTCCTTTACTGCTTCCGTAAGCTCACCATGGCCAGTATATAGGTACTTGATTGTCTGTGGCCAGGCTTCAGCATGGGGCAGTGGCAAATAGATGATATCTCCTTCTCGTATATGGCCCGACTGGAGCAGTGCGGCCAACACTGGTAACCATGCTCTTGCATATTTCAAATCTGCTTATAATGTTAGCTTCTCGATATGTCTGGAGTGGAAGGAGATGAAACTTACGAATCGGTACAGCTTTAGCATCGTGAACCAGCGCCTCGTAGTCCATGCAGACGCTTGTTCTCCCATGTCGCGATAGCAGTTCGATCGATTTAGCACTGCTTCGTCTTCTATGGTAGATTGGCCTTGGTAACGCCTGAAGACCCGAAGTGGTTGATTGGTGTTCTTGTATAGCTGGCAGCGATGATTCGACGGGATCTGGTACCGACGTGCATAGTGCTTCAATATCGAAGCTCCGCTGAATCAGGAATGACTGCCTCTCTAAAGCCCTGGGACGAATGATTGCTCGAATGGTCATTTGATTTGAATTTCTGATCTTCGGAGATCCTATATCTGCCTTAAAGTCTACGGCCGTGCCACTATGTTGCCGCAGTGATCTCGCAATTACGAATGCATCTGCTGTTTTGGCATTGCCGTAGTATACGTGACCCCAACTTCGGAGCTGGTCACGAATATCCACAAAAGATTCCTTCCGAATCGGAGGTGGAGGTGGAAGTGGACGTGTCACTTTCGCTGTGCTATTTCTTCTTTCGAGTTCTCGAAATGGCTCTTCTGGAAGGGCATGGTCTAGAGTCATCGTCGTTGGTTCTAATACAGTCCTAGATCTCCGCAAAGGATGCCTCGTTGGCTGAGGAGCAAATATCGGTGCAGGTGAAGGAGGCGGTGGAAGTCCATGCTGCAAGTTCAAGGGCGGCAGGATGGTGACTTCCTCGAACTGTTTTGCCAAGGGTGAGTCTTCATCGTCATGTCTCGGGGGCGTAATGCTCGTAGTGCTTTGGCGGACCAGTCCGTTCAGACGACTAACCATTGCTCGTTCGTGTAGTTCCATACAACGGTCATAGGACGGGTAGATGGGACTAGGCAAACTTTTTGGGGACATTGGCGAAGGTGTGAGGCCTTCAGGACTATTGGCCGGTCTGAAGGCAGTCTTGGGCAGGCCGTTGAGGTTTTGGTAGAGTGTCCATATTGGCTCGAGACTCGGTCTTCGTGTAGAGTCTATAGTCTCGGTAACGTTTGGCATTTCCCCGAATACGGCTTGACGTTTGCAGTATAAAAGCTAGGTTTAGCTATCCAATGAATTGGTGGAGTCCGGCAACTTGGTGTGCTTAGAAAGGTGGATAGATCCAACGGTAACGTGTTGTATCGTTAGAGAGCACCATGGGCTGGGTAATAACAGAAGACGGTGTCCATTGATAAGCGGGATTGAGATGACATTTCTTTTGTGTCTCGTCTTTCCGCGCATTGAAGAAAGTCAAATAAGTCAAAGGCGGCATCAGATAGACGGGAAAATCAAAGCTAGACTCAAAAGAAGTCATTGTCACAGTGTAACACAAGGTCATAAAGAATATTATAACCGTCAATTGTGGCCTCATATGCTATTGATCAAGAGATATTTGGGAGGGCGACTGGAGGTGTAGACATGTGGCAAGACAATCCCAATGGCAAAGAAGACAACGAAGACAAAGCCAGAGGCTTGCTTCGGAACGTGCACGACCATTAAGTTGTGTGCAAAAGTCATGTCCTCTTCACAGAGTATTCCCTTCTTTGCGTTACGGCGCACGGACTTTGCAGGGGTGGATAAGCGATGACTCTGTACCTGTGACTACAGAGCTGGTAGTGCACAAGCCAGGTACTTGAAATGAACGCCAGGAGGTCATCTGGAAAGTACAGTCTATGAGGGCAAATACAGGTTGTTATCGACTCCAAGGTCGCGATTGTACTGTAAGTGTCACCATATTGCTGACCGATGAATTTTTCTTGACCAAAAATGCAAGTGCAAATTCATCCTGTCACAGGAATGGCCCACCACTGTCTTGCATCACTGGCTCTTCCAGGGTCAAAGCGATTCCCGCCTCGTCACGTTCGATTATGGCTCAAACTTCTTACTACATTTCATTCCCAACTCATAGAGTGGAAATACTGTAAGAAGAAGCCATTGCTGTACTTATACCAAGAATTTGCTATATTGCGCCGAAAGTGGGTAGATTGTGCTAGTATAAGAATGAATCAATGACAAACCTCGTATCTTAGTTAGTCACCAAGTATGGCTTTGAACAAATAAAGTTATCATGCACTTTATCTTGACAGTATTGAGTATAGTACTATGACATTATACTTTCATAGCGACCGATAAGCTCTTCAACATAAAAGACTACTTTACTATACATCAAGAAGTTTGGCTACAGTGTGTACACACTCAGAGCTCAAGGTGGTGAGTTCAGATCTTACTAGCTTAATAATTATCACACACGTTTTATACGCATCCCTCCGTCAAAAACGTCTTCGATTCAATCATGTTACTATTCATAATTACGCACTCGCTTTACCGTTTCCGAATTAATGAGCAGATGGATACCATGCACTTTTAGTTCGGTCTTTCCCTTTCTTCCTCTAATCGCGTGCCTCCTTTTAAGAAAACATCAATCGCTTCGTCCTTGGAAGCAGCTTCACCATTATCAAACACCCATTTCTCGACTGCCCGAGACAATAGCTTCAGGCCAGAGCAACAGCTTGATAACCTTCGTATGTCCACGCTTAGCTGCCCAAGTCAGCGGCACCCAGCCAAAACAATCTCTTGCGTCGATAATTACTTCTTTAGTATTGAGGAGCAGCTTGACGACCTCCGCAGATCCATTCTCAGCTGCGCGTGATAGCGGTGTTCGGCCTTCATCGTCTCCCGCATTGACATCTAGTTCACCAGTATCAAGTACCATCTTGACCAGGTAAAGATGCCCATTACCAGCTGCCCACATCAGGACTGTCCAACCAAATTTATCGCTTACAGCAGCATCCACTTCCTTTATATGAAGAAGCATCTCGACCACCTTCGCATGGCGATTCCTAGCTGCCCATAGAAGCGGTGTCTGATCATCATAATCTCTTGTGTTAATATCCACTTTCTTAGTCGCAAGAAGCGCCTTTACCACTTCCAAATGTCCACACTCAGCTGCCCACGACAATGGTGTCCGGCCATACTCTATATCTTCGGCATCCACATCCACTTTCTCAGTCGCAAGAAGCAGCTTTACCATATCCACACGTCCTTCCTCGGCTGCCCATGATAGTGGTGTCCGGCCATCACTATCTTCGGCATCGATATCCACGTTCTCGGTCGCGAGAAGCAGCTTTACCACACCCAAATGTCCATTCATGGCTGCCCACGACAGCGTGGCTCGACCATAACTGTCCTTATCATAAACATAATAAATATCTAACAATGTCCCAACCACATAGTGCAGACCAAAAAGTGCAGCCAAATGCAACCCATTCATATGTCTCGGGATAACCTGACTGTACAACGGGTGACCACGCCCGTGCCTAACTGCAAATAATGCCTGAATCGAAGCTGCGGTCTGCATTTCTTTTCGAAGAAACTCGATTACTCCGTGCTGAGTTGAGTTCGCCCGGGCATGATGGCCCCATTCACTTGCCGCATAGCTATAAAATGGGAATGTGATGAGCCGTTCCTCAAACTCCTCGTCTGTCTCACAATAGCCGTCGAAGCTAGAGAAGGAAAGATACGTGATGCAACTTTGCGTTATATGTTCCTGTACATTTCGAAACCACCTCTCTCCCGTTTGCTCCAAGTACCCCTGTATCGTATAGTGGACCAGCCGCACCATCCCGCTCTCCTCGTCAATCGTAACCAAGCCAGCACAGACAGACTTGAGTATTTTAACAGTCGGTATATCATCTTCGTCGATCCTGTCCGCACTTGGGTTTATGCTGAGCGCATGTCGGATCTCCAAGGCAGATAGCGGTCTACGAGCATGCACAATCCACAACAGAATCAGTTTCGCCAACTCATCATAGCCATTGCCTTGGCTTGCTATCCTGGCCATTGCCAGCTCATAGACTGCATGTAATCCAGTCGGTCCTGTGGCAAGTCCTTCAAGCGCACGTTTGATTTTTCCTCTCGTCGGCAATCCAATAAGGACATTTAAATGCAGCTGTGCAAGCAGAAACCTAGATCGAAACCATTAGTCGATACCCTAAGAGAAGTGCTTGTACGATGCCTACATTCCCTCCGTTACTTGAATCACTTTGGAGGCCACCAGTTCTCGAAAAGAGCCATCGAAGAGTTCTTGATCGTGAGCTTTCATCTGACTATCTAACACAACTCTGACATCTCCGTCCCGCGCCAGTATTGGTAATGTTGATGATGACGTGCTTAAACAACTCAATCTGGAGGCAATCTCGTCATGCACCCGTGACGTTGCCAGAACATTCGTACCTGTCTTACTTTGAAGCTCCATGATATCTGTCAAGACTTTCGCTCGACACTGACTTTCGGTGGTGCATTCGTCTAGAGCGTCCAGCACGATGAATACTTGGTCATATCCAGATACCACACGACTTAACACTGCAGAAAGCTCGGCGTACGTGGCTTGTGTACCGTTCTTTGTATGATGCTCATAAAGGTCGTGTATAGACTTGGGCAGGGAAGATTGTCGCCGCAGTAATTGCATCAGAAGACTTGCTAGTATATGCTCGATGGTCTGCTCTTGCTGTCGAGAGAAGGTGAAATAGACATAAGCTAGGCCGATAGCTGGATTGGTCGAGAAGCGCTGAGTGATATCGTGGATTATTGCCGCAGCCATGATCGTCTTTCCTGAGCCAGGAATGCCTGGACAGTATAACGTCCTTCCCCTTGTCTGGAGCCAGTCTTGGTAATCCGCGGATGTCAACAACCATTGCCCTGTTTCCGGATGCCATCGCTTTAAAGTGTCGCTTTGCTGCGTACCATAGTGATTAGTCGAGAGCCAGTTGAGTATATCCGTATCTTCCTTTTTGAGCAGTAACTGCTTAATGTCTGTGGTGTCTCCTTGAATAGACGTCGCAGTTTGAGATACTATACAACGTGATTCGACCAAGTAAGCACGCGCCCAAGTTATTTTTGATTGAGTGCGGTTGGAAAACTAACAACTTGAAAGTATGTCTTTGACTGTCTTCTCTCCCTCCACTTCGCCCACTGTCACATACCCTAGCAGCTCTTTCGTGAAAGCAGCCGCCACCGCGGCAGCATGCTCCTGCCAGGCTTTGTTCTTGTGCGAATCTGCATACGCACAAATTCCGCGGACAACAATACACGGAAAGTTGTCCACCAATCCTGCAGCCTCCGTCTCGACACACAAGACACTACCGCCAAGTTCTTTGACAAGCCTTCTTCGGCGTGCAGCATCTTTGATGACCTGGTCGCCAGATGCAATGAGTCCATAGTGGATCTTCATATCCCGCGGCTTTCGTTTGATAATCTGTGTTGGATCGCAGTGTCGGCAATCCTCTTCCGCTTCTTGATCATATTCGTCCTCTTTATTCTCGTTTGCCTCGCTTCCATCTGCGCCGTGGTTGTCTGGCTTGCCATGACCATTGGCATGATGACAAGCCGCCTTGAACAGAATGTCCTTTAAAGACTCCGACTTCAGATAATCATTCGTCAATCGCGGGTATTTTCGCGCCAACTCATCGAGGAATTCTGGGATCCTTGACCCATTCATCGCCTGTTCCGTTTCGAGTATTGTCAAAGCAGTCAGCAACGAAGTCGGCGGGTTGTTTAAGGCCCCAGTCCGCCTGAACGTGCCACCTTGCTCTGCTTTGCCCATGTCCCACTGCACAACCCCCGGGTATTGATCGGTCGGCACGCTGACAACCACATCTCCGAGCCTGACCTTGGGCGGAATACCGCCGCCAATGCCCACCATGAGACCAAATCTGATGGCTGGAAATGTGCTCAACATACGCGTCGCTACCGTTGCGGCCGAGGTCGTGCCGTACTTGCCCTTCGGCAGGCAGGCTATCACGATGTCATGGTCGCCGATCGAGCCTAGAGTGTAGGTATTGTAATCAGTAGTCGACTTAGACAGGCTCGCGTGGCGCACGTCCAACATGGCAACCGCCGCAGTCTGTTCTTTCGGGAGCGCACATATCCATCCGACCTTGTAGTCCTTGTGGTCCTTGCGTCTTAGCGGCTTAGTCGACATTATAAAGAGCAACGTGAAAGCGAGTATTCACCAATTACTTATTCATCTCTCATCCGAGATGGCAGTTTAGTGAATTCATCGAGATTGAGTGCTACGCGATGCTCTACGCAGAACGTATATGTTCTATCGGAGACCATGCGATGCAATGCGGAGTGAGGCAGGATTGAGTGGCCAGGGGCGAGAAGTCTGGTCAGCCTGGTGGATTGCGCCTCCATGCACACACCTGCGTATGTGAGCCCTGATTGGGGTTTCATGGTCAACCTGACAGGTCTCGCCAGTCGGCGCGGATATGCAACGCTGCACATGATTAGTAGCTGTCGGCCAAACACTGTATCCAGTTGCGCGCTTAGACGAAGCCACGACCGCTACAGTATAACATCACCGGACCGAATGTGTACGACGGCTTATAGCTGAGACCGTTCGTTTCGCGATTTTTAGGTTTAGCCACACCTTACTTCCATAGATCACAGGGTGATGTTAAAATCGCGCAGCCGCCTATAGCTGCCACTATAATTTTTGGGCATATATTAGACTATTTATCATACGCAACGTTATATTTTCAATATACGTAACGTTAATTTTCCTAGCGCACGCAACATTATATTTCTGTCGTACATCGCGCTGTATTTCTAGCGTATATAGCTGTGCGCTACGGGCTCTGTATGGTAGACATAGATAGGTACCAAGTCAACGCTTGTCCACCCCTACAAAGTTCGTGCGCCGAAACGCGAAGAGTGCGAAAAAGAGGACACGGCTTTTGCACAAGACGGTAGCTCTATACTAGTTAGACTATTCAAGATCAAATGAGTTCTCCTTAATGCATCTGGTCAGAGAGGCATAACCTAATACATGGTAAGAGCAGCGTTGAGGATACGTTTCTTCAGAAGACTCAAGGCTGGTCGAGAGGAGACAATCGATGGTGCCTGGCAGTTGACACCTGGCAGATATGCCCCAGCCCAGGGGTGGGTGGCTCATGGCCCAAGATACGCCCCACCATGCAGCGTCATGTCCATCTTTCTACGGATTGTGTTGATTGGACACGGGGCTCCTCGGAAAGCCTGGATGCTCGACTTGAATTCCATCTCGTCCGTCAAATCTAACCATCGTGGCATTTTCTCGGCACGGTTGCTACACCAATTGACAGGCTGTCCTCACGGCACCAAGCCCTGGGTTATATGGCTTCGACAGCCTTCTACCGTCTAGCAATAAGCGCGTAAAAGAGACCTGTCTCCAGCCATCTCATCCCTCCTTGCCTTCCTGCTTCCTCGTCACCTCGCGCATCGACAGCGACCATGGTAGCCAATTCGACGAGCTACAAGCAGTTGAAGGAGGACTTTGTGTCCAACCTGGCTGGCGGCTCTGTTTCCGAAATCAACCTTGTGACCACCGTCGCTCCAATCGCGTTACTTCTCTGGTCTGTATTACAGGCTCGCCAGTCCTTTTTCAGGACCGCAAACCCTATTTCCCTGCTGGTCGATTTCCTGCTCACCGTCGGAGCGCCTCTGCTCGCCATAACCCTATGGTCGTCGACGCCGCTGCTTCTTCTCGGCCTGATCGTCTCGCCTGCCATCTTCGTATATGTACTTCCTCAACACACTCCCAAGATGAAGAAGCCGAAGCTCCCGCCGAGCGCAAAGACCAACAATGGTGCGGGCAAAGCAGGAGGTGCGCTTGGCGTCTTGTCGCTGAAGCCCTTCTTGACGCAGTATCGGGGTTCAATGCTGGTACTTACGTGCCTCGCTATCCTCGCTGTCGACTTTCGCATCTTTCCACGCCGATTTGCCAAGGTCGAAACATGGGGGACTTCTCTTATGGACCTTGGTGTGGGAAGCTTCGTCTTCAGCGCTGGCGTAGTGGCAGCTCGTCCCGTCTTGAAAGAACGGGCCGAGGGAAAGGCTACGCCTTTATACCAGAGGTTGCTCTACTCCATGCGGCACTCTTTCCCACTTCTTGTGCTAGGGTTCATCAGGTTTCTGACCGTCAAAGGCCTTGACTACGCGGAGCATGTCACGGAATATGGAGTCCACTGGAATTTCTTCTTCACGCTCGGCTTCCTGCCTCCCTTCGTTGCTGTTTTCCAGAGCATCTTAAAGGTTGTGCCCAGCTATGCTGCGCTTTCTGTCATCCTCGCTGTGCTATATCAAGTCGTACTTGAGAGCACCAACTTGAAAGCCTATATCCTCTTGGCTCCACGGATCGATATCGTCTCTATGAATAGAGAAGGAATCTGCAGCTTCATCGGATACCTGTCCATCTTTCTCGCCGGACAGGATGCGGGGATGTATGTCTTGCCCCGTCGTGTCAATCCAAACAACACGTCGACTCCTGGGACCCAGCGTAACACTTTACTCCTTTTGATGGCCTTCTGGTCCGCAGTCTGGAGTGCGGCGTACTACTTTAGCACGAACCCAATACGTGGTGCCGGGCTTGATGTGTCGCGACGCCTTGCAAATCTCCCTTACGTCTTGTGGGTTGTCGCTTTCAACAATGCGCAAATATTTCTATTCTGCCTCATTGACACCGTCTTCTTCCCGGCTTTCTATAACGCGCAAGATGCAAAGACTGAAAAGGATGCATATGAGACAGCCACAAGCAGGGTGCTGAGAAGTTTCAACAGAAATGGTCTGGCGGTATTCCTGGTTGCAAACTTGCTGACAGGCTTGGTGAACATGACAGTGCCTACCCTGGATGTTGGGCCAATACCGACAATGGGTATTTTGATTGGATATGCTGCCGCAGTGACAGGAGTTGCTGTCGGTCTGGATGCGTGGGATATATCAATCAAACTTTAGCCAGAAGATCCAGTATATGCCAACGTTAGATGCAAAATGATGTGCTTATCAGACATAATTCTTGCACCAGCCGGCCGTGTTTTCTTTCTTGTGAATATTTATCTCTCCTTCTAGGAGCAATACAGCCACATGTTTGCTCAAAATAGAAGACATGCGAGCTGCAAATTCCGTAACGGAGTACTTTGGTACTACGCTTCGCTTCTTGAAACCATTTGTGTGAGTTTGATTGCATTATAGTTCCATAAATTAATCATAATGCCCCTACTAACTTGACTCTTATTTAACTGGGTCTTCACAGGAAAGAGAAAGTAAGAGTATAAGTTTAAATAGGCTCGACAGAAGAAGCTCTTTGATTTCCATCGGAGATAGATCATCATACCATCTGACTCGGTGATCTTGGTCCTTGTTGTCCGCTCAGGCTCGTAGAGGTGCCCCGACGTAAGATGCTCTGCTGCCACGAAAGGTCCGCCTCAGCCATCCGTTGTTCTACATCTTCGTGAGCTCTTCAAATTCTCTCTTCTTTCTTAGCTGCTTCTTGTGCTTTCTGCGTTATGCGATTGTCAGTACCCGGTGGTGATAAGGGTTTCGTTTACGTACATTTAATCATCCGTCTGCTGCCGAAAGCCACCAACATTGCTCCTGTGACTTCCTTTCTGAGCTTTTCGAGATCGAATGTGGTGTAGCATTCGGAACCACATGGAACTTTTCATATCGCCTACTATTCATATCTGATGCCGTCTACCCAAAGAGTATAACTTCATGCGTAGAGTAAAAGTACACTCGCCAAAACATGTGATTTCGACCTAGTCTACTGTAGGAACTGGTCTCAATCATGAAGGTTGCATGTTCCCTTCTCTTAGTATTCACTCCGAAACTTCGTTCACGTCACTCCCAGAGTCCCAGTTACCTAGCGCCTTGATCTCCGTGAGATGCGTCATGCCGTCGATTGGCTACCGGTCAATTTTCATAGTTATAGCTTCTTTAAAACCGGAATCTATGAACTGGGCAGCCGCTTCCTCTACTGCTTCGCACTCTGTACCATCGGATCAGGAGATCGACCATGTGATGGGTCGCCTCTTCTAGCGCGCTTAAAGACAATTTTAAGGAGTGTGCCTCATTCTCATCTTCGTCTGAATCTTCGGAGACTAATGTTGATATAGCCGAACTTCCAAGGTGTTAGTCTGGTCATATTCATGTGTGTGGGGGTTAAAACACATACGCCATAGGTAACATCTGACTGTTGATGTTGATGCTGCGTTAATCTTGTCCAGACCAGCTACTCACTTGAATGGGTAATAAAAGGACTCAGTCGGATGAGATACTCCTTCAATCATAACCGCGTTCGAATGCATCGTACTGAACCATGATTTCTTTCTCTTTGGTTGCCCATGTGAGCTGGCGTCTCAACTGTACCCACGACTGATCCCTCGCTCTGTCACTGCACATCTTTTCAAGCAAGTCCATCGGTTGGAGATCCCTTTCTTGGCAGAGTATCATTGTTCGATGTTGATTCTGAAAGCACATTGGACTCAATTATGCCTGGAGTTTCTTGCATTATAGTAGCCATGACCCGAACCTCACTCGTCAGCATTTTTGAGCGACTGTTCGACGTTCTATACCTGCGTGATGAGTGTAATAGAGCTTACAATCGATGAGTTGTAAACCCGAGAAACGCGGTACTCAAATCCAAGGATAATGGATCTGCTAAAGCTACTGCTCTATCATTGTTACGTCTTTCATTCAAAACTTTCAGTCTCAAAATAACGGCTGCGTTTAACGACGAAGGGCAAGTAGGGGAAAGAACAAAATGCCACGCTTTATAATTTCGAATGTACTTCGGGGTGTAAATGGGAATGCCAGTCTACGCTAACTGCGATCACAATTCAGTTTCTCGCTCAGCATTTCACAGAGGCATACGATGGCCCTTAGCCAACCTGGATAAATTACGCCGAAGAATCTGGGTCTGTATCTCCTAACCTTAGGTTGTTCGGCCAGGTCCCGAGAAAGGCTCAAAGCTCAGCCTGACGTACACTACCCACACATTTCGACCAAGAACAGAAGTGTGCCCATAGAGTTGACAACTTCTCCGAAGTGCAAAAACCAAGATGCTTTTCGATCATACTTCCACTAGGAGGATTTTAAACCAATGACCATGGTTTCTAATTGCAAACCAAAAGATTATTACAGGCTCGCCCATAGGTGGAGGGTGATGGCAACCTGGCTACTTTCCTGAGGTTCGATGACATATCTGCACTCTGACTGCTCAGCTTGCAGGCTGAGATATTTATATCTCAAAGAATAATTTACATACCATTATCAACTGAACGATGCATCAACGTGCGATTTGGAGAAGGAGTATCCGCAGAACTTTCGCAAACTGCTACTTAGCCGATCTGAAGGAGGACAATAGATTCGCGTGATGGATCTTTTGTTTGCAAAATTCGACGAATATCATCAGCAGCAAAATAGTCGTTCAGATATTTAGCAATCCTGATTATTGCAAAGCCGTACATAAATCAAGGTTGGTGAAGTCACCTCGAATGCCTGACTGGTTCTGACCCATTTAAGCATCTCAAGTCGGCCAGCAAGCCTCCAAACGGATATCAGCTTAAGGCACTTTAAGAATGGAAATCGAGCTCCAAGGGTAACGATAATTTCCTCTCGGACGTCGAAGCCGCCATATGGTACAATGAAGATCCGAGGAGTTACGTTGTGCCGGAAGCTCCGGCCATAAAAAGTGATGCATTTGTATCCTGAGTGGCGGGACCCTTCCTCAAGAGATACCATCGCCTATTTGAACACCGCAGAAAGAAACATTTCATTGACGAAGATTACGGTATGCACTCTAACGATGACTCCGCCATAGATAGAGCCTCGCGCGTCATTACCGCCAGTATTTCCTCTGTATCGCCTGTTCTCACTATTTACATCTCGAACATTTGAACAAGGCAGAGAAGCGAGTCGGCCTTACAGCTGCGATGACAGCGGTCTTCGCCGCTGTTCTTGCTATGTTCACCAACGCGAAGAGGGTGGAGATGCTTTCAGCTACTGCAACGTAGGTCTTCATGAAGCTTTATTGGTATCCACGCCGATATGATTGACGTTCGCGCAGCTCCGCAGCCGTGGAGGTTGTGTACACAGGGAGCGTTTTGGGTCACTGATTAGACATAACATTATGGTGGATACTCCCATTCTACACATATATCTAGAATCATTCAGCAACTGTATTCAATTATACTTATTTGAAGTGCATGTTGAATATAGTTCTCATCGCGAGACCCAATTAATCCATGACCAAGCCTCGGCGCAATCACGGAACCCGTATACAGGAAGCTATATGCGGTAGGAATAGTCCCATAGCTTCCGAACAAGCTTATATTGAAGGCTAACTAGATAAGGAAAAAGGAAGAGAAGAAGTAGAAATAAATAACAACAGGGTGAAATAGCGACTGGGAATGCTGGTGGGGATTGTCCTAGTTCAAACTTTGAGGGTTAAAATACTGAATAAAGGCCAAATCGCAGTCAGTCATAGCTGCCCAGAAACAAAATGCTCATGGTCACCGATGTCTGAGTAATATAGATCGAGGCAAGGATCGTAAATATATTCTACAGACTTACAATGTATGAGACGACTCCACGAGAGTCATGTTGTTGACACTTATTCAAGAAACAGGCCAACAATCTTAGACGCCGCGAGAGTAGTCATTATATTTATTATAGCAGTGGCTGTAGGCGTAGCCTCCCTCCATTCGCCCAATGTATTCATGGATACTTCGGTACTTTTCCCCTCCCGAATCCAGGGAGGAACCAATGAGCTAGGTTGGCATACGAAGGAGTATTGTAGAGACGATCGAGGCCTGTTGTAGCCTCCTGGTTCTGTGAAATCTGCGCTGGCACATCGACTTCGGATGACTGTACGAAGATAAACATCGTCGTTGCAAAAAGGAGGACCCCGCGGACTACGATAACGCCAAGCAGAATGACTACAGGTACGCAATGAGACTCAAGAACCTTCCACGGTATTATTACCGTCTCTCCTATTGGTGTCGTTATTGATGTCATGCCCAAATACAAAGTCAGGTAGTCAGATATAACACTGCCTCTAGATTTGTCGTGCCGATAGCGAAACTACATGACGATCCTGTCCATACACATAGAAATTGTATTCAATATCACAAGCTATCTATATATCTCACCTTTGTACACAATGAATAAAGTCCCAACGTTGTTTACCCGGCCGTAGCGGGCCGTGTTTCGATAAATGAAAGTTCATCTGCCGTGTCACATATGTAGGGTCCTACCGCTGGGTCTTGCATGACCTTTGAAAGATCTAGTTGCTAATCCTGGGCACATCCGCTCAAGTCCGTTTGCTCTTGGAAGTGGAACACAAAATATGGGGGATGTGTATCATGGATGTTGCTTGACGCATGTACGGCAATGACGACATACAACTTTCGCAAGGTGGTCCGTTGTGATCGCAGTCATGCCAGGTCCACGCGACGTAGTCTGTAGTCGAGGTCGATCTATACGTTTCTGCGCCGGTAAACTAATTTCACAAGACAGCTATAGTGGACAGCCGGGCTCCCGGAAATCTCCATTGACTTCAAATAGCCAGGGAGGAGAAAAGTTTTAACACCGCATTGAGGCATAGCGCATTGATCGAATTTGCTTTTGACGCGCTCTTGACATGGACGCGCCGAGGGCTTAAAGCATTGAAATCGGTAGCACACCAAGTTAGTGGAATATCAACTAAAAAGGCAATAGAAAAAGAAATCAGAAAAACAAGAAGGCAAAGCAAAAAAAAAAAAAAAGAAAGAGGAAAAGGACTTCGGCACTGCCAGTCACACAATGACTTAGAAAAAAGATTGGCAATTACGACGACTTTGGTGACTGTGTACGACCACTAGCCAGATGTAAAAACGCTGAACTCGTTCGTTTCTGTGGAACTTCAACGTCCAGATCCATGGATGAACCTAGCTGTGCTAAGACTCCATAGAAACTATGCCCAGCTCCTCGCCAGTACCGAGTTTGAGTTCGATAACCAGTGTGGCGCCGGCAAGGTCGGGTCGTAACGTCACGTCTCCTTTTTAACCTCGACTTTTGACGTTTTGGGCTTATTCGTGGTGAGCATCAAGCGGTTGAAAGTTCGCCTGATAACCTTGCAGGGATCTCGGAGGTCAAACCCCTGGTCCGGGCCATAGGGCTTCATCTCCGACTTCAATGCGAGATCTGGCAGGTCGATAAAAATTGCCGAACGCCCAGTAGCTGAATGCCCTTCCGGAAGGCTGGAGTAGCTTTGGATGTCTGTCACTTGGAAAGACATGCTGTTCAGAGTTTCTTGTCTCAGCCTTGCAAACCTATTGTGGTACTGCACCAAATTCTTGTAACTGCCGACTCCACAGGCCACTTGTACGTACACCTAGACGGTGAGAAGACTGGTTGCATTCGGAATGTTTCTGAATAAAGTGTGTAGTGACTAACCCGATGAGAAGAGAACTGCATAAAGCAGCAACTTAACACAATATGCTGTGTTCGGGAACCGGTTGTCACCTTGGCAAGCGCATCTCATCTCATTTCGCGGTCAGCAAAGTAATCCAAGGCCATCCAACTTCCGATGATACGCTGCGTTTGTTGCGAGCACAGACTCGGCGGGATGACTGCCCTGTGGATGCTGGAGAGTCAGCACAAATTTGATGACGATTAATATTCATGCCGACTCAATGCCATGAGTGAGAATGTCCCTGTTTACTGTAGGCATTCTTCTAGAAAGGCGCATGAACAGACAAGGAGAGCCTCGCATGATATAAAAATGCACAGCGCGACTGGATAAAGTCATGGCAGATGTGACGCGCCATCCGCGTCGGTAGAAGCTTGTCGAGTTCTCAAGATCTAGGTTAGTTGCTTGAAAGAGTAAAGCGCCTGGTCCGTGTTGCATTGACCCTCGGCGACTCCAGCGTCTGGTTGATCCACAGAATGCTACCCGTAGGGGGGGGGGGGGGGGATCACTGACCCTGGCACCCTTGTAAGCACTTGTCAAACGAGGTTTTGGCAAGGCCCGATGGGACGATCTTGATAAACACTGGAGCGGCATTATATACATGTGCCGCTACATACAGTACGTAGGTGTGCAGTCGAGAAATAAGTTGTCTTACGTAGTAGTGAATCAAGTAGCCAAACGACTATAGTCCTGCAGCAATGGATACGAATATGACGATTCTAATGCAGGATGTTGAGGGAGAGCGTATGTTTCAAGGACAGGTGTTGAGACCTCCCTGCATTGTACCTGCGCGATCCAGCTGCAGGCTTGCTTCTTTCCTCAGAAACAGAAACGTGCAGGAAGCTGAGCGCATCCTGATTCCATAGCCATGCTTTCGATGCAAGCTACTCCTGCGTCTGTTGATTGCGAGTGGTGCTCGCTGACGGGGATTAGATCTGCGGCTTCTTCAGCCATTGCGTGCCCCTTCATGGCGTTGGGATGGATCTGAGGTCCGGACTGGACTGAGCTTGTTGGCTTGTTGCTGGAGTCGGCTGTGGACGCAGGGAGAAGAAATGGTTCAACAATAGCGATTTCCGTGCCAAGGAAGTGTTGATGCGACGATGTTCCTGGCAAGGTGGTTTGGCCGCATCAAGATGTAAATAATACGAGTGGACTATCTGCCGCACCGTGCATAGCCGCGGCGGACCCATTTGATAAACTTTTAGTGCAACAAATTGCTGACTGAAGAAAAGGCAACGGATGACGATGATGGCATCTGGCAGATTGGGTCTGCTTGTTTGTTTTGTTTGCTTGCTACTGTAAGTTGCCAGGATCATGTAGGCTTCTGATCCACTTTGTACGGATAAAGTACTCGAAAGGTGAAACACTAGACGAACGGTCTTGTGGGCGGTACCGTACCTGCATACTATAGGGACTGGAAGACAGCGTCTGTCTACGCACCTTGGTCCTTGGGTGGTTTTTGGAGATGCCTCCAAATTTCTGCTTGACGTTGCATCCTTGACGATGGCGTCTGGTACAGAAATTACTTAGTGGGTTGAGATGGCAGCAAGACACGATTTGGTACCTGGCACAGACCCCTGCTAACCTGCTGGCGCAAGATCCATGAGGGACAAAACAGCGCCAAATGCAGAATAATTTCGCCAAAATGCCCACATGCTCAAGCTAAGCTCCAGTATGCATTGAATGAACGGTGCATGTGCATGTGCATGTGCTGCTCACTTCGAGTTTCCCTTCAAAGACCCAAGCCATCCGGATCTACGTAGATGGATATTCTCGACTGATTCCCCCTTTTGTTTCTTCTTCTTATTTCACAAAGAGGAGAGAGAGAAGAAAAAAACAAGAAAACTCCCCCACGACCCTGGAGTTAATTGGTCAGGCGAGAGCGGTGCCGTATTTCAGAGGGTATTATCGTGGTTGTCGTCCGATAATCTGACCTGGGTTGCACCAAGATAAACTCATCCACTGGAGTCCCGTCAGCTGAAGTTGGGCAAGCGTTGTCTGGAATTGAAGGACCAGCTACGGCCACGATCAGCGCGCGATAGAGACCAAGGACCCATCAGCGACAAAGTCCCTAGCCAAGTCCCGTCTAATCTTAACCCAGAGTGTCGTACAGTACATACACACAGTCCCTCGCGAATTCCCGAAGCGAAACCTTTGAGTCTCCGGAGCTCTCATCTCTACTAACTTGGTAGTTGCATGAGCAGAGCAGAGTAGAGCAGAGCTTCTATTCTCCAAAACCAGGCTCCATTGCATTCTCAGTCGCGCCATCTCCTGCTTCGTTTGGGAGCTGTCGTGGTTTGTTGGTGGCCGTGGGCATCTGTGTTTTTGATCTTCCCATCCGAGATTTGATGCCGCATCGTGCACTCATTCATCCACTCACTCATTCATTCGTTCTTCGTTCATTCCATCATCCGTCAGCTACATAACGCCCGACCGGTATCACTCCTGCATTGAAGCATTGGAAAGCGTTGTCAACACCACCCGGGCGCCCGCCCCTTTTGCTTTGCGGCAGAAACACGGGATCCTTGGAGGTGCAGCTACGACGCCTGCCCGCTAAACAAACAAGAACGTTGACAGCGCAATCGCAATTCCCACCTCAATCCACGGCACGATAACGGCTACCCGTATCACATCGTACCGGACCAGGTGGAATAGGGGGCACTACTGCCGCTGGATTCACGTCAAGCCAACTCAAGTCAACTCAAATCAACCCAGCTCGAGTCGGATTTTGAAACTAGCTAGTCTAGCAGCGACGCGCATCTACTCGACCTCAAGATTAGATTGTGCATTGCATTGCATCGCATTCTAAGGTTAGTCGCAACGCGCTTGAGACCCCATCGGCCAGCGCCTGTCGCGGATTGGACCATATCCAGTCAACCACCATTCCAACTCTGCCGTCAACACGCGCTACTGACCTACAGACACCCAAACTGCCTGTAGCGCTTCGTCGTATGCCCCCTCCAGCTGGATCTTGACGGCGAGACAAGGGGTTTCTTATTGCAGCCCAAAGAGGATCCGAGGCAATCCAGGGCAATTCAATCCAGTCCAATCCAAATCATAACCACTGCATACCGCCAGCCCCCAGTGACTTTCCAACTCTTGATGCTTGGAAAGTTCTTGCGTGTCTTATTAACCATCTGCAACAACCCACCGCGCAGCTGGACAAAGCATTGAGCTTTCCCGCCAACGCAATTCGTTTGCCATACCACACCGGCATATCGCGACCGCCCAGAAGCAGACTGACGCATCACATATACCAAGCACGTCTGCCATGACATGCTGCTGAGCTGGCTTATTGGACCATTTCATTCCAGCCCAAAACAAGCAGCTGTCCTTGCAGGGCTGCAGCCGCCTGCACTTTGAGTGGAAACGTATCTAGAGCACAGAGCAAAAGCAAGCTGCCGTCGTGGGAAACTTTTCGGCTCAAAAAGTTAAATCGTCTCCAACAAACACCCACGTGTGCTAAGCTCTTCTCGAAATCCCTTGTTCTGAAGAACTGGGTTTGTAGCTGTTTTACGAACACCGCCAGGTATGTCCATGGCCAATCTTACAAGCCACTACCCATAGTAGTACCGAACCGAAATTGACCCTCGAACTTATTTTCTAGACCGAACTGAAGCCTCAATCGCTTTGCGACCTTCTAATCTGTACCGGGATACCGCAGTTTCCTAACCTTCCCTCTCTTTTTTCTTTTTCTTTCTCTTTTTTTGTGTGTTTATTCCTCTTGCGCGTTCTCGCGTAGAAGATGTCTTCGGCCGCTTTGCAACCACCTGCACACCAGCCAACATCACTACCGGCTCTCGACCTCCACGGGTCTGGCCAATATACGCCCACTCATTCGCCTAGCCGTGACGGCTATTATGCTAGGGAAAACCAGAACACTCAGTCACCTGCTTCATCCAAGCGCCCCTCGAGAAGACCGAGCGGAAATACGCCAGCCTATCCCGAATACAGCCAAGGATCTCCAATGGCATCGAGGACCGCTCTAGCCTCACCTGTGGCAGTGACGGCAAGCGACCCCGCGACTTCAAATCGACGAAGACATGACCCTCCCGTCGCTCCTCCGCGTGTATCATCCAGCCAACAGCCTTCGTCAGGCTCTAGAAGAGCTGCCCGCGCAGAAGAAAGAGCAACCAACTCTCCTCGGCGAACGGGAACAGCTGAAGGCAGCCGCAACGCAACTAATGGCTACGAGGACTCAAGCTCATCTCGGCGGCGGGCTACGCAACAAGAAGCCGCGCCAAGAACCGGGTCACGGGACGGATATACCACGACGATGCCGATAAGGACAAATACAAGCTCTTCATCGAAGCAGCCATCGCGAGAAGCCAGCGAAATCCTCAATCAAGTTATTATATCTCAGCCCGACGAAGATCTGGAACGAGAGCGGGAGAGACTCGAAGAAGCGCAACCGCATCATCTACCTACGTCACAGGATGACTACGATGATGCTGTGCCGCCTGCTATCACAGCGTCTAGGGATGCCCAGGACGATAGCCGGCAAGGTCGCCGAAGCCGTCATGACCACTCAAAGAAGGAAAAGACCTCAAGGTTCGGGGATTATTACCTGGGCCACACCATTGGCGAAGGTGAGTTCGGCAAGGTTAAGCTTGGCTGGAAGCAGGAGGACAAGGTTCAGGTAAGCACCAGATTTATACTGCTCAAGTAGACATGCTGACTCATGACCACATAGGTCGCCATCAAGCTGATCCGGCGCGACAGCGTTGGCAGCAACCCTAATCGACTTGCCAAGATCTACCGCGAAGTAAACATTCTTCGAGGCGTCTCGCATCCTAACATCGTAAGACTACACGAAATGATGGAAACCGACCGATATATTGGTATAGTGCTGGAATATGCGTCGGGTGGCGAGTTGTTTGACTACATCCTTACCCACAGATACCTGAAAGATAACGCTGCTCGACGGCTATTCGCGCAGCTGATTTCTGGTGTTGGGTACCTCCACAAGAAAGGCATTGTGCACAGGGACTTGAAGCTGGAGAATTTGCTGCTTGACCGCAACCGAAATATTATCATCACCGACTTTGGTTTTGCCAACACTTTCGATCCACACGATGAGCTGACTGAAGAGGAGGAATTGGGGCTGGGAGATCGCGACTTTGTCAGGAAAGTGGGACTGGACAGGAAAAAGAACAGTGGCATGCGAAAGGGCGACCTGATGCAGACAAGTTGCGGCAGTCCTTGCTACGCCGCTCCCGAGCTTGTGGTCAGCGATTCGCTATATACTGGACGGAAGGTGGATGTTTGGAGTTGTGGCGTAATCCTGTACGCTATGCTCGCTGGTTACCTTCCCTTTGACGATGACCCAGCCAACCCTGAAGGCGATAACATCAACTTGCTGTACAAGTACATCGTCAACACACCTCTTACATTCCCTGAGTATGTCACCCCGCACGCGCGAGATCTCTTGCGCCGCATCCTGGTTCCTAGCCCTCGGAAACGAGCCGATCTTTTCGAAGTTGCCAGGCACAGCTGGCTCAGCGAATACGCCCATGTTGTTGAGTTTATCACCAGCAGTACGACGACATCTGATGAAGTTAAAAACACCACGGTCCCTGCTTCGGATGATGATAATTCAGGCCTTCAAAGAAGTGCGTCTGTCAGGGAGCCGACAAAGGCCAAACAGGCACCACCTGTCGTTGGCGACTTGACCAGGAAGCAAGGTCCAGTAGATTCGGAAGACACTGCTGGTCATGCCAAACAGAGCAGAGATAACAAGCGGCGCACTGTGCAAGTTGAGTACGTGGCCCCGAACACACAAACGCAACGCGGTGGTGAACCTTCAAGCCAAACGACCCCTCGTGGCAAGACTCGCGCTCGTTCCTCTAGTAGAGGGACAGCCGAGGCGCAGACAACCCCGAACAACAAGCCTTTACCCAGAGATCCGCCAACGGACAAAGACAAGTTTACGGGCTCGCCATCTCACCGGTCCAGGCCGCCTAGTTCACACCAGAATGTGAATGTGCCAGTTACAAGGCCTCCCCGCGAAGGCGCTCGCGCAGCCTCCGAGGCATTTATGACAACCGTATCAGGAGCTACAGTGCCCAGACCTGCCACAGGCGGATCAATGCATTCCACTGGCTCTCGGCATGCACTTGGTGGTGGAGCTACACGAGCTTCGTATGGACAACCCATACCCCCAACTGTAGCCGGTACTAATGCACATGGAAGGATGTCACAACCAACTGGCGGGGCCAAAAACTATGTTATTTCGAACCCAATTCCCCAGGAGCAACCTGACATGGATTTTGGTAGACCCAGTGTCAGCACTGGCGTCCCGCCTAAGTTTGCCCGCGTTTCTGGCTTCACCACAAATACTCCACCGCAGTCATCAGGTGGATCTGGTGGCGAATCGAAGGGCCACAGGCGGTCTAACACTATTGGCGAGATTGGAGGGAAGATTTTCGGGCGCAGTGGCTCTATCTTCGGCGGACGGAAGAAGCGCAACTCACAGCAAGCCGCGGAGAAGCCTAGCCGGAAATATCCCCCTGTCAGCATGTCCAACACCATGCCAGGGGAGCCTACCGGCCGACCATCGATAGACTCTCGGGCTTCTCGGCGATCGTTCTCTCAAACACTAGGTCTTGGTAAAAAGCGGAGTGGTAGCATCAACGAATCTCAGACATCACAAGAGCGGCCCGCCAACCCCCGACGCTTCTCATTGATGAGGGCCATGGGACTTGGCAAAGAGCCCGAAACCCCCCCTCCTGAGACGCCCTCAGAGCAGTACTTCTCGTCGCAGAACGCACAGCAGCATGAAGACTATGGCCATTACGCCGAGCCACCTCAGAGCCGCGGAAACCGTCAACAGTCCGTCGATGGCGCATACGATGAGCCTGAGCGTGTAAACACAGCCCCAAGCTCCTCCGCTGGAACTTCCAGTCAACATCAACGTCATGCATCCGGTTCTCGTCCTAACGCCTTACCAAGTCACATGCAACAAACTGCAGCATTCAATTCCGGCTCAGAGTCATCGGTTGATCGCCCCCAAAGAAGGCCGCCGAATGCTGCCCCATACCAAGGTGGATATGACTCGGATGGCCGAGCGGGCAGCCGTAGCCGTGGCGTTCTGCAGAAGAACAAGAGGTTTGTAGATGCATACGACGGTGAGGAGTACGGCAGACAGGGTGATCATGCCGGAAGCAGCGGCGCGGCCAAAAGAGTAATGGACTTCTTCAGGAGAAGAGGCAAGGCTCGTGGCGGAGAGGCATGATTATACCATGGGGACAACCCTCTTCAAGCAGTAACGCCGACAGCCTGAGCGAAACCAGGGTTTCTCGCCCAAAGATTTACACATTTCACACGCCGGACCTTGACTTGGCTCGTGTTATGTTCAGATTATCACACAATACCCACGTGGCGACTTCGGAAACGACGGGACCACCTACTTACTTTTTTGCATTCTATATTGTAATGGCATTGTAATTTTCACAGCGTCTCTTCACACCCACCGTTTCGCACTCTAATACCCACCTTGGCCTTTCTCACACACACACACACACACTCTCTCTCTCTCTCTCTCTCTAAGTTCTGAGATACCCCTCATCCACGGATTTCAGGCCAACATGAGCACGCCTAGTGCGAGGATGGGCATATGATGACGAACTTTTGAGACGACCGAGCGATGAAACAGAAACACATTTATACGTCATCCGTGGCAGGGCAGATATTTTGAAGAAACATTTCCGGAGTTTCAAGGTTGCTTTTATTTTAGTCTTTGGCATGATGGGAGTAGACCGGATTGAGCGACATGGTATCGACTGCTGAACATCGCCATGCTGCACTTTAGACAGAAGATGTTTGGCAGCCAATGTTTCTGAAACTACTACAGTGGGCGAGTGAAGGAGAAGATGCGAACTAGAGCAAGAGACTGGAGACGATTTAATTTGTTAGCATCTAAATCTAGTATTGAACCTGCCTTGGTTTGGCCTGTCGCTGTGTATGAATTGGCATGTAGAACTTGACAGTGCGGTTCCCTGGAGCCAGTTTTGTGTCGTGTTATCCCATGAAATTGTGGTAGACCCATAGTGTCAAGCTGAAAGTGACTCTTCCCCGAGCACAACATTAGAGTAAGCGTGTGAACCTTGTATCTCTCTCTCGACTAATCCAACACTGATTGAAAATTTATCTTCTTGGAACCGATCATGGAAATGATTAGTGCCCGGATACCCCGCAATGAATCATTGTGGTTCAACCCGAAAGACTGCGCTTGTAAGTTTCATCCTTTTCTCGCGGCATTGGGAGATAGAATTACCACAGAAGTTCAAGGGTCAACACTTGCGGACGCCACTCCCTCAAGACACAAACAGCTATTTTCGTTGGAATATCAACAATTAACAAAGGCTTCAACTAAACACAGTTACAAACGCAAATATGTCTACGGGTTCAAAGTCGGAAATTAGGCGACACGCCGTAGTGTTCGGAGCCTCGGGACTCATAGGATGGTCATGCGTCAATCAGCTTCTCTTGAAGTACCCGCGAAAGGGATCGTTCGAGAAAGTGACAGCTGTCACGAATCGGCCCGTGAAGCTCGAGGAGTCGTTCTGGCCGACGGAGTCCACGACGCCAGAATTGAGATTGGTGTCCGGTATCGATTTGGCAATAGGCGATGGGAGAGGGGTGGAATTAGCAGAGCAGCTGAAGAGGGAGGGCATCAATGGGATCACGCATGTGTACTACTTTGGTGAGTGGAAACTTCGACACGGGAGCCAGAGACAGGGCCAAGACAATATCAGGCAGCAGAAACAACGCGTGCAAAACACATGATCGGGAGAAGAAGAATCGGGGACAGAAGACAAATACTGAAGCCAGCGACAACAGTTTTCACATCGCTCAGCGATCATATCGAGGAGGTCGCAACGAACAAACGGATGATGCAAAATGTGCTGGGGGCTATAGACGTATTAAATGCGCCTCTACAGTTCGTTGTCTTCCCCGGCGGCACCCGGGGGTATGGCATATATACACCTGGCGGGACGTTTACGCCACCTCTGCAAGAGGATATGGTCAGAAACCTCCCATCGGACTACGCAAAAACTGTTGCTTATCCGGTCTTCCGTGAGGTGCTCACAGAGGCGTCCAAAGAAAAACCATGGACCTGGTGCGAGGTCTGCCCAGACGCCATCGTACGTTGGAAATCTTGCCCGCAACACGGATTGGGGAGATGATGTACTGACCGAATAACACGTGGTAGATCGGATTCACGCCGAATGGTTCCCAGTTCTCTCTTGCCCTGCATTGGGCGCAGTATCTTTCACTATATGCGCATCACCACGGGAGAGGTGCGAGGGTGCCGTTCCCTGGCATCGAGGCGGCATATCTCGCCAACATGACGCCTGTGTCTGCGGGGATATTGGCAAGATTCGCCATCTATGCCTCACTCAACCCAGACAAGTGTGGCGCAGGACAACTGTTCAATGTCGGAGATAGTGCAGAGCCGACCACTTTTGGACATATCTGGCCGCGACTCGCAGAGTGGTTTGGACTGGTAGGTGATGGTCCGCTGTCTAGCTCTTCCGGCACAGAGCTGGAGGAGAAGGAGAGTCTCATGCCGGGAGAATACATCGCAAAGCATCGAGGCACCTTTGATGAGAGGGGACTTGGTAGGGCAGAGAAAGCAGGAGTCTCGGCTGGGAGCCTCCAGTTGGATAGTGTTGGAACTTGGTTGACATTTGATAGACAATTGAGCCTGGACAAGTTGAGGAGCACTGGTTTTGAGGAAGAAAGAGACGTAGTTGAGGGTTGGCTGGAAGCTTTCCGGGGATTTAAAGAAGCTGGTTTGATATTGTAGTGCCAGAGAGACAGAGGTAGAGAGAGGTAAGTGGCATGATGTCGTTCCTCTCGAACAGTGAAATTGCTCGATGTCAACAGTCCGAGTATTCCCCAAAGACACAGCCTAGCAAACTATTATAAAAATTTTTTATACAATCATGAAGAGTCTTACGCATTGAGTTTCCATTGCGAGCTGAAGCAGCCTATAAGCTTACGCGCAACTGTAAGGTGGTCCAAAAAGCGACTTTGTGGATCATTGCATGAATGGGGGGTGCCTATGAAGTCATGCATTGCTCATTTCGTCACTTGCACCTCCAGCTGCGCATCATGTCATCGGAAATCGAGCATCTATGCTTTTCCAAAAACACTGTTCTATACCACATTGAGAATTACACTTAGAAGTTGCCCGTTCAAACCATTTCAGCCTACCATGACTTCAGAATTGCCTACCAAGGACCAGCTGTACCAACAGGATGTGGATGGTCGTCCCATCACTCAGACGGAAGCGTCTGCCGTCGGGTCAGACGCAGGCGGTTCGGCAGTCACTGCGCAGAGCTCATACGACAAGCAACAGAACCTCGTCGACAGGGCTGGCGAGGTTGCAAGCAAATACCCTGCGGAGATCACAAAGGACGATGCAGCTGAGGTGCAAAAGGCAGAGGTTTGTCCGAGCAGAGCTCCTCAGCGTGCGACAATGTAACTGACAAAAACAACGTCATAGGCACAACTGCTGGGAGAGCGTCCCGGCAAAGACTCTACATGGGCCAAAGTGCAGTCTATCGCTGATCAAAATGCTGCCTCGATAGAGCAGAAAAAGTGAAGATAAAGGCTTGTCCCAATCTTCCCCCTTGACGCAATGAAGCCGAAACGGGTGAACGACGGATAACTCTGCCAGACTTGATTGTGGCGGATATTTGAGGCAAATCAAGCTGTAGCCGTTATTATCTTCAATACGACATCACAAGTGTAATGCAATCATAAACAAGATATTCCAATTTCTTTGTCAATTTAGATGCGCAATGCCGCCTGGGCAACTCATGGAAAAGGAGTAGGAAAATAGAATAACTTAGTGAGTTTCCGATGAATGAAGTTTCCATAGTTTTCGGCCCCTAAATAAGGTATGTAACGTTAGCGACCGTGGGAGTCTTTCACATCCACTATACCAGTCAACGGCCAGCGCTAAACATTGCGAGGTTGCACACTATGCCTGGGCCCTGGGGACTACCGAGACCGTTCAAGGTAAAGCCACCAAAGACGAAGCTTTTCGCTGAGACGGGGGCGCTTCTGTCGTCCAGAAGCAAACAAGTCGCCCTCTTGCTGTGCCTGAAAAGGAAATCCGGGGGCATATGCTCCCCATAGTTACAGGGATGGGTACCCTGTCGCTGGGTTCCGCTTACGAAAATAATGGATGGGCGCGAAATTACTACCCCACATACGGCACTTGCACGAGCTCTACTCCAAACGACCGGTCCCAGCATACCAACCGGACTGGGATCGGCGCACTTCGATACTATGTAATTCGTGGAACAACAGGCCATATAGACCCATTCGCCAAGTGGCTCGGACGGACACTGCGGAAGCCGGGTACTATGTTGAAGGATTAGTATAAGTTGCTCTGGTCCAGCAGTTCGTACCAAGCCTTTTTGTAAGTGATCAATCAATCCACTAACGTTCATTCCCTACTGTCTCTTGACACCTTTCTCCTTCGATCCGAAACATATACTTCATAATCCGACCTTCAAGATGAAGTTCACCTCTTCTGTGGTCTCCATGGTGCTGGCCGCCTCGAGCGCCTTTGCCGCACCCGCTACTGAGCCTACGCCTACCCTCGACAAGCGTGCCACCACAATCTCTTGCGACTCCTTCGGCTCCCTGACCACTGGTGGCTTCACCATCTACCACAACAACTGGGGCGCGGCGGATGCCACCTCCGGCTCCCAGTGCACCTACTTCAACTCCCTGAGCAGCGGCTCTGTTGCTTGGTCCACCAGCTGGACTTGGGCCGGCGGCGCCGGCAAGGTCAAGTCCTACTCGAACGTTGCCCTTGAGAATGTCAACAAGCAGCTCTCTGCTATCTCTTCTATTCCCTCGACCTGGAAGTGGTCGTAAGTTCTTTTTGCCATATTACTACAGCATTTTTTACCCAGACTAATGAAACATTCAGGCAAACTGGATCCAGCGTCGTCGCCGATGTCGCTTACGACTTGTGGCTCTCTTCCACCTCTGGCGGCAGCAACGCCTACGAGATCATGATCTGGCTCGGTGCCTATGGCGGCGCTGGCCCTATCTCTGCGACCGGCAGCGCCATTGCCACCACCACCATTGGCGGCGTTAGCTACAAGCTGTACTATGGCCTGAACGGCAGCGTCAAGGTCTACTCCTTTGTCGCCACCACGACCGTCACCAGCTTCAGCGCCGACCTCAAGCTGTTCTTCACCTACCTCACCAGCAACCAGGGTGTCCCCACCAGCTACTACGTCACCTCGCTCCAGGCCGGTACAGAGCCCTTCAGCGGCTCAAACGCCGTGCTCACCACCTCTGCTTACACCATCTCCGTCAAATAAGCGAGAGATCTGTTAGCACCGTTGGAACTTTAACTGTATATATTGGCTTTAGCTTCAGACATTGCCACATCCAATGCTTGTAAATACTTTACTCACATGCCTGTTAATCATTCGATTGAGGCGTAGCATGTTTCAAGAAATTTAATAATTTTCTTGACCATTTCTTGACCATTGTCTCCAAACTCCCGTACCTGTTGTGGACGTGTAGTCCTTGAAACCCTTCCCACACTGCCACCTACTTTATGCGGCATTTAGTGACCCCCAGTTTTGATGGGTTTACTGCACTTACCTAACATTATTGTACTCCGTATAACAAATAGCATTATGATTGTTGTAATTATTTTTATTAGATTTTGTGGTAGGCGGCTAGACCCTCTCACATCTCCCAGAAGGACTGGAGGTATTCATGCATTTGAATAGTCTGGAGGTTGTCATAAGGACGCTTATCTAGACAGAAGCACATATTTGAAGCTGTCGAAGCTTATGATTGCTATGGATTGAAGAGTCATTATAATACGCTCTTTCAAGTAACTTAGTCAGCGAGTCCACCAAAAAAGCCCAAAGGTAAGCTTTAAACCAACATGTACCCTCCATGAGCGGCCAGGTATCCCCTTTGTTGATACCAATACTATCGCTCAAAGAGAGGCAAGGCAATCTATCGTGTTGTTCGTAAAAATATCGACATTTCGCCCACAGAAAAATTACGACATGGTACTTTGCTCTCCCAAGGTTCCCTAATTGTAAAGCCATGGAGTGTTTGTGTATAGACGTGACTGGTGACAGGATCCATAGAGCAATGCCGTAAATCTCGTAGCAAACTCAGAACCACCATGTCAACGTCAGCGCACAAGGCTCGGCGATCCTTTGTTTTTCTTAAAGTAGAAAACTTGTACACACTAGGAAAATATGTAATCAAATCACTGTAGTGTCGTAATGTGTTAAGTAAAGAATTTTTCTGTTATGTGTGACCAATGCGGTGTAGGAAAAGAAAAAGGAGAAGAAGAAAAAGGACCGGAGACAGGATTGAACAGGAGTTCTTCTAAAAACGAATGCAGCCAGTGGGATTTGCACCCACGTCTCAGCATTACCAACTCGGCGAAGCCGCCTGGGAGTGCTGCCAGTTAACTACTACTGCATGACTGCTTGTACCTTCGTTATTGTTGTTGTGATTATAGGAACTTATATGTCGTTCCTCGCAATCATTCCCAGCGTTTTTCGTCATTTGACCTGTGCTAGATACTACTTCATGGGAATACAGAGATCTATGCCATTCAGAGAACGCGTGATCTACTACACATGTCAAATTCCTTGTTTTATGGGGATCTCCCCGTATGGTTTGGATCACAACTGTTCTTCACTCATCTAGACTAGTGCAAACCATCGTGTTTCTCATATTACATTCAGCTTTACACAAGGTTGCAACTGTGTGATTAACTTATGTGTGATATCCTCTAAAATTGTACGACGTGCCATCCCTTGGACTATCGTTTGGCATTCCCCATTCCAACTACATTCAATTAGCATGTCCATTCATAGTCAGCACCGAATATGCACAACCCAACACAAAGGCTAAGAGCGTCAATATTTCTTCGTTTTGATTGAAACTCACAGGACGCGTTTTGAGGAAGCTTTCTTGTAGTTGAACTCTTATTTATATTTCTTTCTCTTTCTCTTTCTCTTTCTCTTTTTCTTGTAGCGTTGAGTATTATACACTAGTGGAGAAGCTTTTGATGAATATTGTTCAAAATACTGACGTTACATAAGGATTACATATTTGTTAAAGTAGATGAACCGGCTCGATTAAATAAAAGATCATGGACAGAGTTTTGGACCACAATGAATAATAAGAAGAGCGATGGTATGAAGTTTGCTAAAGCTCCAATCTACTCATCTCCTTGCTCGAAAATTTCAAGATCAACAACGTATCTCAACGCTTAGTTGCTACGTGTTTCATAACTCGGATTATGCAGGTGCAGTTGCGACGATTGATAGAGTGATTCAGTCGCAGTTAGCTGAATGTAGGTGTATGTATTCATGAACAAGTCGTTCTGTTTACATCAAGCCTCTCAAATAACATCCACTCATAGCGACTGCAACAAGGTGCATACACCTCTAAATGCGTTCTACGGCTACACGTTGAGAAGGATCCCCACTTCATTACTGTAATTGTATAATTCATGCATGTATTTTCTGACCAGAGCTCCAGGAATGTTTCATTGTGTTGCACCAGAAAATGCCCAAACCACAATGCTCAGTCTGCTGTGTACATAATTAAACTGTCACATTATATTATACCAAGAACTGATTGGCTCGCTTTGCAGATCTTTACAGCGAGCTGCAGACCATCCGTGCACCTTTCGAACAAGTCGGTATCGCTGACAGAGGTGCAAAGACAGCGACCAGGGTATGCAGCAGCCACAGCTGCAGCTGCGTCGCACCGGGCAACATTACGACTCATCATGGACCAATAGGACAGCAACAGCCAGAGCCTGATGATCATCGTATGAGGTAAGAATGGTGTTTGTTTACTCTACCAACGGTAAATAGAATACCCCGGCGCGTTCGTTGCATCGAAAGCATCGATCTACTTTGCAACAGTGAATGGTCGAACACGCTTTACTCTTCACACCCTGTGCCTCCAAGCATCACAAGCCTTGAGGAAAATATGATATCTGCTCTCGCAAAGAAACATATATACATATGTAACGAGGCTGAGAAAGCCTCATTTTTCTGCCATAATTAGTTCACAGCCAAGTCGGGCTGTTCCATAAGAGCTTTGAAAGCGACTTACACGGTCCCAAGTCAACGAAGAAGAGACAAGCCGCTCCTTGCTGTACATATGTCCAACTCGACGCCTGCAACCTGATACTCTTTACGATGGTCAAACCGAACGATGCTATAGCGCTGATTATAGCTTTACACATTCTCATTCTTATCCTACTATCCTGGGCTCTTGTCAGAGTCGCGAGAATAGCGCGGAGATCGCAACTCTCAACTAGCTCGTCTTCATACGGTTCATATTCATACACGTCCTCTTCGCTTACACCACCTGGACCGACAGGAGGCGGCGCCGTGCCGCCTAGGCCTCCAGGTTAACCCAATATTGGTGGCGGAGTAGGGCCAAGACCAGGTGGAGGTGGAAACGTGAATATAGTCAATGCGGGACCACCCCAGGGCTGAAGGATGAACATTGTAACGTGACGAGAAGGAATCCGGTAGGAGGAACCAACTCCCGGGGCTTCATGACTATCTATCGGTTATATACCATAACACTTCCCCGGGCTATTCGGATACATATGAGGGACATCATCTCAGAACACAACCTTGAACGACAACACAGTTTGCACAACGCAATCACCTGACAACAAGGAGGTTTTCATGCCAGCGTGTCCCCTTCTTTCTACTTGCTGTATTGGCAAGTATTGACTGCACGGCTGGACTAGATGTCCAATTCAGTTTGACTCTACATTAACACACAGCTAATGGAATAATGAAATAAGAAGCAATGAGTTCACATGGTGTGCCCGGCAACTAGGCCAATGGTGGTAGCTGATCATATCGATCTAGAAATTGACACGCTTGAGGCGGTCGTTTTGCGGAGGCAATAGCACCCCCGGCTACAATCAAGGCGATCACCACCGCTACTGTGAAGAGATGTTTCGTTATCTATATGAAGATACAGTTGATTCGAGGCGAAATCTCGTGCTTGCTCCCCAGTTCCGGTGGATCCGCATGCGAAGCGCACAATGAGCTGTCCTGACGGGTCACATAAATATCTGTGGAACGAGTGTTGGAAGGAAGTCTTTCGTGACAGCAACTTTAGTGCTATCAAATTTACGTTCTGGCAAAGCCCAAACAGCAAAGTGTTGGCGTACTACCACATCGCGTGCGGAAATGGCATTGAAGGCATCATAATTGTTGGGTTTAACGTTTAGAAAACCTGAAACCACAGACATGATTTAGCAGACTGGTATTATCGTCCGAGTCTACTTTGGGGATGACCCGATGCATCATTAAATTGTCCCTGCAGTATGGAAATCTTCGGGCGGGCAGGGGAGCACGAGGGAGAACAAAAACGGAAAGAACGAAAAATAAATAAACATCCCAGGCAGATTATCTTGACTTCTTAAACGGCGCTCGTTGGAAATCGTATAGTTTTGACCATTAGAAAGTATGTTTTGATTAGATGGGTTTGTTCATGATTCTTGTTACTCAGAAAGGAATTATGTTTATAGCTTGGTTATATACGTCAGGGGCGATCACTCAAGGTCAAGCGTTTAGGAGAGTAGTAAGTTCTCCATGGACTTAGAGCATGCATTAATTTCAAAACGCCATGTCCTATGTGTGGTCGTGGGTACATTGATGTATCGAAACAAGAAACGCTCCATGATTCCTCAGTGCCTAAATAGCCACTACAAACGTTCCGCGTGTACCTGGGACGTTGTACCCCTTTCCAACGCCAGGAAAAAGACGCTCAATAACTTCAGTACCAACAAACAAGCAAACGCGACAACAATATCCATGCATCATGATGCTTGGGAATGACTAGCAATTTGATAACGCAACTAAGCACCACCTGCTGTTGCAAGGGGCTTCTTGCGCCGTCCCAAAAGCGTTGCGCCATCGAGGCTCAATTCGAAAGCGCCTTTTTGCTTGTTGCGTTCCCGAACTTGTTGACGTGCAGCTGCTGCGACGGTAGCACTGTGTTGACCATAGCCCTTGGCTTCCTTTTCGGTCTGGCGTTCACGTTCCCGTCCACGCTCCTGGCCCTTACCCAGGTTCGTGTCACGCATTCGTTGCTCCAAATTCGAGGCGTCTGTCTTGTGGACGTATTCAGGATCAGACTTCTCCTCGTCTTCCTCTGACTCGTTCAGTTCCTGCAGGCGAGCTGGTGTCTGGCCCTTGGTACCAACTTGCTTCCTGCGCTTGGCCTCCTCTTCCTGGCGGTGTACCGAGTAGCCGACGTCGAAGATTTCACGGAGATTGACAGCTCCTGGTGAACGGAAATCCATACGTCTATCACCATCATTGAACCGGGCGGCGTCGAAAGCTTTGAGGTTTTCGCTGCTAGGCTTCTTCTCCTCACGGGGCGTGGGACCAGATTGGTTGATCCAAGGATGCTGCAAGAACTCGGTAATGGTGTAACGCTTCTCCGGGTCCACAGTAAGAAGATGTGTAATCAGATCCTGAGCGGACTTGGAGATCTCGTCCCACCAAGGAGACAGGAAGGTATATTGGCCCTTCGCGACCTTCTCAGTGAGAACCTCAATACTTTCGTCATAGAATGGTGGGAAACCACAGAGCAACGTGTATAGTACACATCCTAGCGCCCACATATCGACAGACTTTGAGTAACGCTCGTCCTTGACGATTTCAGGGGCCGTATAACCAACGGTTCCACAAGGCGTCATTGTTGAGTTTTCCCAAACAATCTTGGACAAACCGAAATCGGCAATCTTGATACGTCCGATACCTCCAGCACCCAGGCCCGGGATGAACTCACCCTCGTCAACCTTGTCTTCATCGCCAGGCTGCTTAGGCTGTGGTGTTCGAGAGGGAACAACAGGAATAGGTTCGAACAAGATGTTCTCCGGCTTGATATCACTAGAGCAGTTGTGTTAGAATACAGCTCTGAAAGGCATCATGGCTGCCACCATGACATCATCGCATCTTCAGACACGTGAGCGACGTACCGGTGAACCACTCCCCGCTCCTCGTGAAGGTATTCCAAAGCCTTGGCCACCTGGGTGATGACGTGGCGAGATAAGTCTTCACTGAAGTAAGTAAGTCTGACAATCTGGTGGAATAATTCACCACCTGGCGCGAGCTCAAGGATGATGTAATAGTATTGCCTCGATTCCGAGAAGTCAATGAGTTTGATGATATTAGGGTGGTCCAGTTGGCGCATGATTTGAACCTCTTTCAAGATGTTCGCTCGCTATCCGCACATTAGCATCAGCATATCAACTTATGCAAGTAGATGGCCTAGGCAAACCATGCTATTGGATTAACAAGGAAAGTTTCGAACGTCAACACCGGATTAGAAGAACGGATAAGGAGAGAAGTGAATGGGTAAGAATTAGGCAGACTTTAGGAAAAGAAAATTTCTCGCACCTCTGCAGCCTTCGGCACCTTCTTGAAATCCGGATGCATATGTTTCTGGCCCTAAGACGTCCCCTTGTTGGTAAAGAAACTTCGACATCATAACCAGAGCAGAAATGGAAAGTAGCAATAGGAGAGGGCGGGGTTGGGTTGACGAGGACCAGATAGAGGAAAGAATACGTGGTCGGCAGGCACAGGACTCAACCACACGGTGAACTCACCTGCATGTTGTTCATTTCGTATTTTCTGACGACCTTGATGGCGACCTCACCGGCATCTCCAGTCAGGTCTCGGGCACGATAAACGTTGCTGAAGGCGCCGTCGCCCATCTTCTCAGTGAGCTCCCATCTCTCCAGACCGGGATACCTGGGGAATTTGCTACGGCTCTGGTTCTCCTCTTGGACCAACTTGGCGACGTGAGCTTCCTCATGTCGCTGCTGCTTGCTGAGTGGCTGGTCGGCGTGGTGTGCAGCGACGTCATTGGCCTGAGCGACACGGTTTTGCTGTCCATTTGCACCGGCTTGGACAGAGTAGGCATCTGGGAGAGGTCCGGCCTGTTGAGCTCTTGCAGCGCCGCCGACGCCCATAGCTGGTTCAGTTACATGGGCCATGGCTTTCTGTGGAGGATGCACATTTGTGGGTGAATGGTCGCTTTTGTGTTGCGAATCGTCGTTGTTTGTCCTGGCTTGCTTGCCTAAATGGGGGAGAGGAATGATGTCAGTGGGCAGGCATAGAGCCGGGGGGTTGCAGGTGCTGGCACAGGTGCAGGGAAGGGGAGATGGAACAGAAAGTGGGAAGGGTGTAAACAGATGGAGGTAAAAGTAAATGAAGACACGGCAGCAGGAACCATAACCAAGGGAAATTTAAAATAAAATAACAATGGAGAACAGTCATCCATGGCCGATCACTATTCTTGCATATGGTATGGCATGGTTGATCGATTGATCGACTGAGTGAGAAAGAGGGATGAAGATACGAATGGATGATGGGAACAACTCACCATGACGAATGAAGTTCTTCAATTGCTGAATGGTAGACATTGTTGCAAAGACGTCACACTGGGAGACGGCCTCTCTGCCTTTCCTTCCTCACTATGACGGAGCTGTGTGTGCGACAATGAAATGTGAGGGCCTCTTGCCAAATGCTTTAGGTTATTGCGGCTACGATGCAGCGTGTCGAATGAGCCCAATATAGTACGATACGATACACCTCAGCAGATGGTTGTCGGGAGAAGTCGTCGTTGTTGCTGAATGAATGAATGCTACTCGGGTTACAAGTATCTTTTTCAAATGCGGCCCAAAAGCGAGATGAGATGATGCAAACAAGCGGCCGGGGCGGGCTGTGGCTGCAAATAGGCGGGGTACTATTCTTTCGTAATGATATCTATCGGAGGCGGCGTCAAGTGGAAAATCAATATCAGCGTATCGTTTCGGACAAATAAAATCATATGAAAAGGGACTTTGTTCTATGAGAGGTCGAGAAAGGTGTCTCAAAATTAAGAGGAAGATTCCCGAGAGGATGCAGAGCAGGAATGGACTGGATTTGAAGCGTTGCAGCTGAAGAATGACCCTGGTGGGAAGGGGAAAAAAAAAAAGTGACGATGATGCTGCTAGGTTGCGCTGAGTGTGCCAATGACAGCGACCGCAGCCACCTGCATGCCTGCGACCCTGGAAAGCGGGAGCCGAGTAATTCAGGCCGTGCGCAATGATGTAGTGATTTCCTCCGTCTCGCGCGCCGCTGGCAACAAGCAACAAGTCGCCCAACCCGTGAATGCCGCCATTGAACAAGACCAACAAAAGTGGCTGACAAACTGCTCCTCGATCTAGATCTAGTCTAGTACGGAGTACCAGAATGAGAACAATATTAGTAGATAGAGCAACGAATCATTGGTCGCGTAGCGCACGGTTGGAGGTATTCTATGACGGGGAGAAGCAAGGCAGAATTGTCACCTAATTAAAGCACATAGAATAGTACACATCGATCAATGGTCTCTGTGACACCATGTACAAAGTATCAAGTAGAAGAAAGCCCGGCAGTCCGCAGTTCTTTACCAGTTTATGAACAGTTTGATCCATCATGCCACTCAAACTCCCACTCCGTGGAATGAAGGAGAGTACCACAGTATACCAGTCGTCATCGCTGTCGTTGGGCTGTTCGCCATCACCTGTAAATCGGGACGCCAGTCATAATGGAGTACCCCTGGCTGATGGCGGCGAATGCAATTGTGAAACAGCCACTAGAATTGTAGCAAAAGGGGGTAGTTTGCTAGGTTAGCTAATTTGACTGGTATTACGTCGCGTACTGGTCCAGGTTACAGCCAATTCCCCTCCCGAGGCCCTCATTCAAGTGTCTACATTCGTAGTAAATGATCTTTGAGAATTCCTCTTGACAGTGGTTCGACGTTCGTGAGAAGTAAGTCAAGGGGATCTTTAAGGATCTTGATCATCAGATATGCTTTCTGCCAGTCTCATTCAATATCTACTTGCAGTTGATTTGACCTCAAGGCTAGCGGTCTTCGCTTTGGTACAGTAGGCGTAGTCACTATTGTAAATCAAGGCATTTAAGATTCCATCTCTAGGCTGGACTAGAGACCCCTGAACGGCACAAATGGCATGTGGCTTGGAAGCCCCATACTGTTTTACCTCAAGACAACTACTGCTGAATGGCTTACTGAGACAGCAATCTCCCATAAGCAAGGCTTCAAGAATTCATGCCTAGCCACTCATGCCAGCTTCTGGGCTTTTCCCAGACAGTGCCTTGCTCATTGTTGCACTGCTGTGATCTTTCCCCATACCATGATCCATGATCTTCTGAAGTGTTTACGCGCTCGTTTAACGAGAAGACCCGTTATGACGTATGGCTAAGCGTCATATCGGCCCCTCCCACTCTCAGAAGCCAGCACACTTCCGATCTAGTGACTCTATGCTCTGCCCTACGATTGGTTAGGCCGACATCCATAGAATGCGCCTGACGCATGAGCTTCGCATGGGTTGTTTGGCTTTTGTCAGATCTTCAATCCACATCGCCAAAGCATCGTCATCCTCATGGACGAAGCACTTCTTCGAGAGCTAGGCGTGGAGCCCAGAACTTGATGGTAATTTCGTGCATGGAGTGAGTCTCATTCTTGAGGACAGCCCACAACTACAGGAAGCAGCTTGGGAGACAGGCCCTTTCAGACAGAGTTCAGAATTGCATCCCGCAACCGGAGCGATCTCCGATCTCAAGGTCTCTGAAGGAAGGTTTGCAGACACATGTGCAAAGGGCTTTATCATAGTTTATTCAGCCTTCCAGGAACCGGATCTGCATGGCACCGTTGAGTGTGCATCAAGTCCTTCGTCTGTAAACATGGTACACTAATTGTTAACAACTTAGGTCATGTGGATCGCAGCCGATCATATTGCGTACTCCGCACATCACAAACCACTTCGTTTTACCATCTCATGAGCTTATGCTGCGATAGTCTAAACTTTGGGGAATCAGTAATCCTCCACATGTCTGTTTACAACGGCACTGTCTATTGGTTACGAAGCCTGGGCTGCAAGTTCAATGCAGATCGCTTCAAGTTGCATGAACCGGAGGTCCCCGTCCGTCATCCTGAACATCGTATGTAAGGATGAGATCAGCCACGTGCTTTGTCAACAGCCGCATCGTCTCCTGAAGATGCGAATCATGTTTTCCCATTGCCCATTGCCCCAGCTTAGGCGTGCTTTGTGGGGTGTAGTAATCAACCAAGCGTTTGGCGCTCTTCAATTGTGAAAATCTGGCTGATCCCTTAGCTCAAACTCCACCCATCTATGTAACCACGAGCCCCAGTAACTACATGGCTCATCTAGCTCTGTACATCTGCCGCTGCTGATATCGATTAAGTATATGTGCCGGTACAACGGAGAGAATCCCAACGAGCTCTGAAGGCAATCATCCCGCAATTGTGGTTAAACCTTATTCCCAAAGAGAAATTACAATTTTAACAAGCAAATTTTCATTGATGGAGCCTTTCCCCTTGGCGTCACTAACAACAAGCTTTGAAAGGACCCTGGATTTTCGGTACTGCGGGCTTGCCCCATGTCGACGGGTTTGGTGAATTAAAGTGTTGTTGCGTTTGGGCCTTTGCATATTCCCTTCCGCGATAGGCGTGACCGTTCCGCGATCCTTCGTGAGTCATGCAAATGAAGGAGTCAAAACAATATATCAGGCCCCTCAACGCATAAGTCTAACAATGGGGGGCGGGGAAAGAAATCCGCGAAATTGAGCGAGCCTTCTGCCAAGCGATATCATCTATGAAATCCTCATAAGGTCGTGCATCACGAGTACTGGCAAATCATGAAGTGTCGACGAAGTTAAGGAGTCTCTAATGTTATTCGACGTAAGTCTGCTTGAGCCACACGAAGAACGCATAATAGAGATGCCCGGAATGGCTACTTCAGAGCCATCGGTGGTACCAGAATAGAGGAATTATCTTCCTCAATCGCTTTGCAAGCTCGCCTTTCGGCAATCAAGCGCATACCATGAATCCTGAAGCAGTTCCCCAGCTGTACTGCTGAGCGGTCGAGATCTTGGCGGAGTTCACAGCCCAACCATTTTCAGGTTTCTTGATGCTCCAAGGCGTCGGAGAAAGGAAATGATCAGCGTCGTCCTAGCCAACTTCAAGCGAATCAAGATCGGGCTCCATGCCTGGGGCTTCTAATTCATCAGGTGGCCCGATATCTAAAACATGGTGGTCAGCAAATTAAGCGGTGTTTTTGATGTGAGCGAAGTTCGCTGGAACTTACGGAACGATAGTGTAATAACAAACTTGGAAGCATCAGATGTTGAGGGGTGTGGACAGCTCCTGCAGAAAGAACAGTTGATGGCCCAATATCTGTGTTCCGTTTGCACACTCTATCTATGCCCGTGGCCGTCAAGAGCCCGGTTGGGGTTGAGAGCAGTACGTTGGCCACAGCAGCCTCTGTCAAAAACTTCACGTTGTCTGTCCAGTGGGTAGACAGCCGCCGCAATGCCGCGTGTTCCACTATACTTGTTCTCGGTGTACCGAGCGACACCAAAAGAATGCCCAGAATCACCGCGAAGTGATGGCACAGGTGCAATGCCAGCCTCCTGCCATGAGTGAAGGGTTCACTCTCGAAACGTAAATGCGTCATTCGTAGAAGTTACAAATTGAATGGGAATATTGCCATTATAGCTATATAAATCCGGGTTAATGTTTCCATCCGGGTGTTGTTTCCTCTTTTATATACGGCAAAAGATCATCATGCCGATTCAGTGTAAAACGTTGTTGAATACGATTCACAAACTCTGGCTGAAAGACCTATCATTTGGTCGAATGTAAACTTAAAAATAATGTAGAAATGGCGATATGCATCACGGGCATATTACGAATACTCCCTCTTATGGCTTGAGATGAGTACAAGCAGTGCGTGGCGATTCACTTTCAACGCAATGTTTCGAAGATTTAAACAATTCTCGCAAAAAGGCACGATGTTGGCTGAGCGTAAGAATTGACAGGCGTCAATGAGGAAACAGTCATTACCTAGTAAGAGTCATCGTCGCACCAAGAATGCCAAATTCCCCGACATGGAACACATTTCTTGCTCCCTTCATAGCAAGGAACTCAATGCATCAAGGAAACCTATAGTTGAACTTCAAATCCAGTAACGTACAGTTTCGGGGAGTACATTCAGATATACTCTTCAGTGTCTAGCTACTACCCAAATATCAAAGAAATCAAGCTCCAGCTCTACCTCCAGCTCAGGCTCTCCCGCCGGCGCCCGGTAGTCATTTCTAGTACGTCTATAGAGCTTATACTACCTAATCAAAGGCATCAAGTTCTTCATAACTAGTTTCATAGAATTCTGGAAGACCCTTAACTCATTATGGAGAGGTAACTATCAACGCCAAATGCTACAGTATATCCTCACCAGCCGTCAGCGACTTCGTTACAGGTATCTGCGCGATATCGTCAGTGAGCAGACGCATAAGCGATCAAGGGTTAGTTTCGGAAAGTACGTTAGCTGGCTGGACTTTAGCTAGTGGTGGCAGTCTGGTTAGTTCTACGATAATATTCTGGCTCAACCCAACACAGTACAAGTGATGTTCAGTAGCTTGAAAATTGGTCGACAACTGAAAATGCTAGAAGGCATCCAGTCTGCAAAGACGGCACCGTATTAGTAGCTACTGGAATAATTCATTCTACGCAAGCGTGTAATCCATCGGCTAGTTTACGCTCATTCTCGAACAATTATATCATTCATGTTGACATCAATGTCTATGCAATGATTAGACACATGATTGTGTGTAAAAAACATTCCAAAAAACCGCTGAATCTATGCAGAAATCTATGTGCTGATGCGCTCATCTATTGTTGTACACGGTGTTGCTAGATGGTGGATTGTTCTTCGCCTGATCTCGAGTTTCTAGGCAAACGCACCGACCAGAGCCATCAAAGCTGCTCCACCTACCACAGCTAGGAAGGCGTGCGTCCTGTTTTTCCCTTTCAGTGTCTTGTAGCTCTTTTCCGTGAGGAAATCCTCAGCCAGTAATTGCACCAGTCCCGCAAACAAGAGTAGTCCACTTGAGATGGCATTCATAAAACCAACCATTAGCAAGCCAGTTTGTGACATTGGATCATACATGTTATGCACGATCAACCCAATTACCTGGCCGATGGGGGTCGTCGTCCCGTATGCAAGAACCATCAGCCACGGTCGTACGGAGTGCTTGGGGAACTGAATGGCAGCAATTCGCGATCCTAATGCAAGACCTTCGAAGGTTTGATGGAAAGCAATCGCGATCAGGAACACAATAAAGGGCGGGCCAGTTGCGACGGAAACGGCCATGCCGATAAACACAGAATGGAATAGAATGCCAGCTTCTAACAACATACACTGTAGCATGAGCCGCTTCTGTTCTTCGGGGCTGTGAACTCGAGGTGTGGGCGGTTCTGATTGATCTTTAGCAGCAGAGCCAGCAAGTGGCTGTTCATCATCGTCAGCAGTCGGGTCAAGCTCATCCAAGTCAATATCGAGATCATCGTCGTCTTCGTTGTTGTTTGTTCTGATTAAGGGGTTCCTGCTGGCAGGAGGCACCGACGTAGGTGTTGTTTCAGGAAGTGGCGATACTCCAGCCATAAGCCCTTCGCGATCGCCTAAATCTTGCAGTGGAATATCCGCGGGTCTGTGGCTGGGGCCACGTTTGGCTGCAAGCCCATTCCCACCTCCGTTTCCATGTATGTGGACATGTTGTTCTTCGGATTCGTCTTCAGAGTCCCACGCATGACCATGACCATGAGAATGTCCTGCTCCTCTTGTGGTCAAGTATGATTCGAGGCATACAACAACCAAAGCTGAAACCATAGCGACCAGGCCAGGCATAGGCCGGTAGCCTTCGTTGAAGACATACGGAAGGCATGGGTCGTTCAGCGACGTAAAGGCGGTTGGCAGCAGGTGGACGAAGGCGGTGGCTAGAAGCACACCAGTGCCGAAGTGTTGACATAGGAAAACGATTCGATTTGAACGACGACTCTGCGAACCTCGGCGGGAGAATAATGGGAAGCCACATGCTGAAAAGGTAGGTAAGCATAAGTTCGCATCGCTGGGTCATGACAATGGTAGGGTTTCTTACCAAGAGTGCTGAGAGTCAATATCAACACCAATGCGAAAATATGTAACGGTGTGTCATATGCTCCCCTTTCTCGCGAGCCGCAGGCGGGCTTTTCGGTTGCATCTGCGTCCTGTCTTCTTGTGAGCTCGGCCAACAAGACATCGGTGGACAGCCACGATATGTCTGCAAGGTGATGCGCGAGTTAGTTTAACACTATCAACAGAGACTGGGTTCGCAGATGCGTGATATGACAATCGGTATGACGAGGTTGAACAAAATCATGGAAAGGCCTGATCAATTTGGATACCTGTACGTACCTCGGCCAGCGTGTCCTTGGATAACATCCATGTCGAAAGTCGTGCAGCGGAAAACTAGTCACACGTGTCGGCGGCAGCGTCTTCCACCATTTCCCTATCTACAGCCAAATCCAACAAATCCACCGGTATCCATTGGGTGCTGATTGACAGAGTCTCTTTGTTGCGAAAGTATAATCTAGCCTGGAAGAGCACCATCCCCTTGAGCTTTGTTTGCGACACGAGTCCAATGCGCCTAATCTTCGGATAAAGCCGCCATTCTCGAGACTTGGCCCGCGATGAACAAACATGTCCATTTCACTCATGGGGCTTATAACAACAATTTCAAACTCTCCATAATAACGCTATTACTTCACAATGTTCTTCGTGCTGTTTCCTGCATCAGCCAGTACCCCATGGACCATCCATGCCTCATACGATAATCCAGCTACATTGCAGACATCCCGAAAAGAAACATCTTTTATATAAAATCAATTAAAAAAAACTGCGGACTGCCGACATCTGAATGTGCCGAACACCAATACGTGCCGTTACACCAAACGTTGCAATATCCAATCGAAATATTAAATGTTTCTGCTACTGTCCCCAATCAGGCTTGAAAGTTTGAAGCGGTCTAGAGGCGAACCGCAGTTTGACCATTGTTGCCGTTACGCAAGGGTCATCTGCCTCGCTGAGGATTGATTGAGATGCTCTGACTAAGAAGCTCAAGGACACCTCAAGTCACAGCCTCCATCCATCCATCCATCCATACATCAGACGCCTGTCTGCATTAGCTCGTCAGCAACAAATGTCCGAGTGGCACAGCTGGATGCAACGCGATCAATCCTATCGCTGCCATGTCTTTACGGATTGAGCGTGCACCACCTTTATCGCAGCGCTCGACATGAATCTATACGTCAGTCGCAAGCACTTTTCATGGGCCTGGTTACTATTTCAAGGTATAGTACGCCGCGGCGAATGGCCGGTCGGAGGATATCGATTCACACGGTGCTTAATGCAGCGTATATTACATATGAGGCGATCTGACCATCCGTCAATCTAGTTGATAAGCGGATTACCACCTCAGTCTTGTTTATCATGCCCGAGACCTGATTGAGGCCTGTCAAAATTCTTGGTCGGCGCTCAAAAGTACTGAACTACTGACAGTGATGCCGATATGTTGTCCGCTCTCCAGATTACTGTATGCATTGTTTGAAGGATCATTCCTGTCTTGATTGACAAATGATTGGTCGTCGTTAAGCATATCGTCTCTTCTGCAACCTAAATGACGATACCAGCAGATTTGCTTTGAAATGCACACAGAGTCGTATTGCTTGTATTGCTCAACCAACCTTTGAATGTCGACTTTAGTGGAGACAATCACCCATTTGCTCGTTATGTATAGCCCTTCTAGCTCTCCCGAATTGCACCATCGTGGAGCGCTTTTACGACGGTAGTAGGTCCCCTACTCAACGGCAGCCAGGTAACAAACTACGAGTCAATGCGAGATGTGTATTGTGTGGAGAGCCACCGAAAACGGAAGTTGTTTAAGGGACCCTAGCAAACATTTGAACACGCGAGATCGCACGAACAAGCAGAGCCCGGTTGGCTGGTTTGCCAGAAGCACCCCATATGGAGTGTGGACGCCTCCCACTTCTGCCGACACCCGACTATGCAGTGGCTTGCTTGGTGGGGAATGATCGACTCTTTCCGCTACCCCAGCACAGGCTCAATGCCGAAACCAATATAGCGCTACTGTTAGGGTATGTAATTACTATGTAGGTACATCTTCCATCGTCTTTTGATTCATTATCTAAGCTGTGCCGCCAGGCCTTCGCTAGCATGTATCGCGCCATGACCCTCCACGCGCATTGGGGTTTATTTTGTTGTCAACCTATTTATTTCGATTTCGATTTCTTGGGCTGTTTTATTTGTTGACAGTTCACGACAGCTATTCGTGCATGCGAACCGCGCGACATGAGACGGTAAAATGATGTGTTCTATATTGGCTTACCCCCTCATCCAAACACGCAGAATGCACGATGAAGAACTTTCAGCAAGCATGTCGGGTGGGATAGTCTGTATGTATGCGCGCATTGCGCGAGCCTCATCAGCGTCTTGGCAGCATCGCTTGATCCTTCATCGTCGTATATCCTTGCTTATCTCGGCGACCATCTTTAAGAGTAAGGACCAATGATCCCCTTCGATATCGATCACAGGCTAAGTCAGTTAACCTTAGTGTTCAATCTAAGATCGACGACAGCTGCGGTCTAGCCATTTGTTTTCGCTATCAAGTTGGGTCCGCCTGAGGAGCACCGTCCACTCTATCAGTGTGGATGTTATCCTTGATTAAACTGGACATGGCATCCCATGCGCTGAGCCACGTCTCCGTGGCAATAATGATCGTCTGCGCCCACATCCTTGACTATTGTGTGCTTGCCGTGGGATTGCGGGGCGCCAGTCGTGCCTTTGCCTTGACGTATCTTAAATGCTTCTTTTGTCCGTCCATTGAAGACATTTGTATAACATGTCTTGGCCTTCTAGTTGCATTGCCAAGTCCTCGTTACGCCCCTGTCCCTACTTCGCAAAGAGAAAACCAGGCTCAAGATTGACCACCTGCCGTTTCCATGAGATTTCGTGCTACCAATTTTACACACTGAAGCGTATGGTACCATGTCGCGATGATCTTTCACCGATTTCTGATTCGTGCCCTCGGTTTTGGGACCGCTGTTTGTGCAGCTCGTCAGCGAGGCACGTCGATCACGAATGCTCGAGACCATGAGACCCTTAACCGCCCTTCGTACCATCACGAAATATGGCGGAAGATAGAGCATCTTTCAATCGTCTATAAAAGCTGACCGGTCAGCTCATCGATTCGATGGTCATATCTGTATCAGCCATCACTCGATTTGCCCCTCCTGTTACCACCTTGGAACAAACATCACAATGGTCAACTTTCGCCGTCTTGCTGCCACATTGGTAGCTCTGTTGCCTTTGACTTCTGCCGTCCCAACGCAGAAGCAACAGCAGAAGCGTGAAGTCATCCCGGGCAAGTATATTGTCACGTTGAAGGACAGCGCCAGCACTGCGGATGTTGAGTCTCATCTCGGCTGGGTACAAGATGTCCACGCTCGTAGCTTGACTAAGAGAGAAACTTCTGGCGTTGAGAAGACCTATAACATCAACAGCTGGAACGCTTATGCTGGCGAGTTCGACGACGCCACAATCGAACAGATCAAAGCCAGCGCTGATGTAAGAAACTGACTCGATGGACCATGGAAATGTTGATACATGCTGACGGTTTCTCTAGGTTGCTAGCGTGGAAGAGGATCAGATATGGTATCTCTTTGACGAGCCGGCCAAGACCGAGCATGCTTCTCGTGCCTTGGTCACCCAAACTGGCGCAACATGGGGTCTTGGGACTGTTTCCCATACTACCTCTGGCTCTACCACCTACATCTACGACTCCACTGCCGGGAGCGGAACATATGCCTACATTGTCAGTAAACACTCCGAATAGACTTAGAGCAAGACTGAGGCCAAGTGATTGAGCTGGGAATGACCAGATTGACTCATTTACTTGCCTTGACGAGAACAAGTACTAACCTTGATATTGTAGGTGGACACCGGTCTTTTGACGACCCACACACAATTTGGCAGCAGAGCGTCGTACGGCTATAACGCTGTTGGCGGATCCAATGTCGATAGTGTTGGTCATGGCACCCACGTTGCTGGCACCATCGGTGGTACCACTTATGGTGTTGCCAAGTCTACCACACTCATTGCTGTCAAGGTGTTCCAGGGTGAATCTAGCTCAACCTCCATCATCCTAGACGGCTACAACTGGGCTGTCAACGATGCTACCAGCAACGGCCGACAATCTAAGAGTGTTCTCTCATTGTCTCTTGGTAAGCGACACCCAATCACAGGCGTGAGCGGACGGCCCGATATTGACCTTTTTTGTCCTTAGGTGGAAGCTATTCCGCGACTTTCAACAACGCTGTCAACGCTGCGTACACCAGTGGTGTTTTGACTGTCGTAGCTGCCGGAAACGACGCCGCCAATGCTGCCAACTACTCACCTGCTTCGGCAGCTAACGCCATCACAGTCGGCGCTCTCGACTCCGACTGGAGCCAAGCCTATTACAGTAACTACGGATCTGTTCTCGACGTTTACGCCCCGGGCTCCAGTGTCCTGTCTGCCTGGATCGGTTCCAACTCCGCCACCAACACCATCTCTGGTACTTCAATGGCCACTCCTCATGTAACTGGCCTTGCTCTCTACCTCATTGCTCTTGAGGGGCTTAGCACCCCATCTGCTGTCATTGCCAGAATTAAGGCCCTGGCTACCAGCGGCAAGATCACGGATATTGGCAGTGGAAGCCCCAATCTGATCATCTACAACGGCAACGGTGCATAAATGACGAAACCTTCCGAGGTGACTGTAGCATCCCTTTTGCTTCAGGGGTTGATATATTGGAACGTCTCGGAGGTGAGGAATGCTGTGATTGGACGGCATATGGTGCAACGATCTGGAATTAACATGGTGGATAAGTCTCAGTTCGGTCGCTCATTTTTGGAAGTAACTGTTGATTTGAACGAGTGATGTGCTTGACATATACTTATGTCCGCATACAATACATAAAGTTTACTCAGTGTCCAAGCTCGTTTTTTGAGATGTTGCCGCGTTCCGCTCTTGACCCCGGTATACAGATGCGACCAGTCGAAGTGACTCACAATGATTGTGGAACATTTGTTGCCCACGGGTAAGCAGAGGGCGTGTGCGACCAGGGGCTCAGGTCATCATAATTGCGTGTCGTATTTTTGCCCTGGAGGACCTGCTGCACGAAGGGCAAAACATTTGTGCTGCCACATCCATATCAGCCACCGCGAGTCTTTTAAGAGCGTATGCTTGATCCAAGAAGAATTGGTACTTACAAGCCACTCATGTCACAGTGCCCACCGCTCCTAATGGCCATCCCGATCTGCTCACCAACACCCAGCCAGTCATAGACGAGCTTAGCCGCCGGAAACACGACCACTGCCGTACCTTTGGAGTTTGTATACGGGTCGCCGCTTCCCTGATCGATGATTAGTGCCCTGGGCGCTATGGCAGCCGCGATAGTATGCGCATCATATGGCAGACTCTCTGCATGATTTACGAAAGTACCCAAGGTAGAGTCGCTCCACCAGCCCGCGCCGGCCTTGGAGTTCTCGAGGGTCTCATCTTGACCAGACATATTGTGATACCGATAGGGTCCTAAACCCTGGACGCCCGAGGACATGGGCATGGTTAGGGTGATACGTTTATCAAATAGCCCTGCGGCCAGGGCTCCCTTGCCAAGCCGCGAGCAACCCGTCACGCCGACTCGTCCTGAATCAATCTCGGGGACGGTCATGTTGAGCGCGTCGAGGGTACGATGGAAGCCCCATGCCCAAGCTGTGAGCACACCTATGCAACGTGAATTAGAATCCCTTGACTTGAACTTCGTAAGCAGGCTGAAAACAAAGAAGACCATACCAATGTCCCGCCCCTTGTAGATATCCCAGAATGCGCCTGTTTTGGAATTACTGTCCGCCGCCACAGTTGTATAATCAAACCCTACAACAGCAATACCGGCCTGCAGGTAGGGTTGGTTCTGTATGCCACCAATGTTAATCACCACCGGTGCCTTTGCACTCGCACTAGCACCACTCGGTAGTACCAGTGTAGCCTTAAATTTACCCGTCTTCCCGTTGGCCGTTACTTCGATATTCACCGTCGTGCCACTGCGCGTCGCCTTTACGGTCTCTTGTGAGTGATCTGGGTAGTATCCGTACTGATACTCCTGCAGCATGTTGATAATTTCAGGTTGTCGACACTGGTACCATTCATCGGGTGTACTTATCCGACCAGAGGCGCGACCGGCCATGATATCCGATGCGGTGTTGCCCGAGTCGGCTGTTGTTTTGGATAGCGGCAGGAACGGGTCCGGCATTGTAGTCTGCGTAGGCAATTGTTGCCATGTGGGATATTTGCCTGAAGAGAACGATGATGCACAGGACACTGCTGCTGGAACTCTGGCCGTAAGGTCCGATTCTGGTGCTGGCAAGGCAGCGGCGAGAGCCAAGTGCGTGAACAGTGCTATGAACTTTAACATCGTAACAAATTTTTGCATATCTACCTTCCAAGGTGAGACATAGATATCAGAGATATCGTGGCATGAACCTTCTTAAACACAAACACGTCTCACCCGCAGTACACGGACGAGCGGCTCCGCCGGGTATATCATATTTTCCGGGGAGCCGGCTCAACGGCGGCAGTTGTTCTGGGTGGGGTCTTTTCTGTTATGAAAAGAGAAAAGAAGAAAAGAGAAAGTAATCAATTATCTTCGGTTATTTGGAAGTTCTATGAGATGAGGTCAATCGACTTTTTGACCTGAACGACGGGGAAGCAAACACACACATGACTTGCGGCATCAAACCCGCGTAAACAGCAGGTAAAAACGTCTAGAAAACATAGATTGGGGATCCAAGGTGGCTCCGAAGTCTATTTAAGCTTAAAGGGTTTGCAGTCACAGCGCCAAGTGATAGTATGCCGATTGATAGCCAATTTTAGCCGCGACACTGACCAAAGCGGCAGGTGGAAGTTTCAATGGCCACGCTTGGCTCCTCGACCGAGGAGAATACATGCGGTCAAAATATTGGCAATCCTTGGTAACGAGGACTATGTCAGTCATGCGGTCGCCACTTCGGTTCCGCAAACAGTGTTTGCTGTCGACGTAAGTACCCATCGTAAGATGTTACCTAATACGACCTTGACAACCACACGACTCTCTGAGGACCCTACGGTTAAAAGTCTGCATACTCTATCCAAAGATATTGCCATTGAGTTTGTCGAGTTGTAAAAAGGGACGGTCTCTCCCAGTGATGGGAACTGAGACTGTATCAAAAGCAAACATTCGTGGAGCTGGTTTCGTAGGAAGTAAGCTAGGGATAATGCAAGCGGTGGGCAGATCGCAACGGCTTTTGAAGCTCCTCGAGACCCGGAAAACCCATGAGCTGATCTGATAAATACTATAACGCGGTCGTTACCTTCTCCAAAATTTTTCATCTGGTGTCCTGCGCTTCAAGTACCTTCCATTACATGTTAATTTAATACTCAGCTCGATATCAAACTAGCTAATGGCTAGGTCATACATGATATGTGAGCAGTACATAGTTCGTGCAACCTTTTGTTACTAGTAACAGACCGAAGCTCAAAATTGAATTTGGAATCACTGGGCCTACTGATTGCTCACAGGCCCCGTCATCCACGGACTCATATGGATATGCTTGTTGTCCATCATAAGTTGTCGCATCTCAAGACCAGAAAACCTTCTTTGACCTGACTTCCTATAATATGTCTCAAGCCCACACAAGGCCCTGTCATCTTGGAACGTCTCGAAAACTGTGTTAACTTAAAATGTGTCTGACTCGGCGGAGTGCGTGGCCTTTCGGTTGAACCTAGTCCCAGCATTGGTGAGAGTGGGCTTTCGAGCCCTGTCTGATGGTGTTGTGACACGGTCTGCTGTCCATCAGCTTTCTCGAACTCTCCAAGGTCAGTTATGTTCGCTGACAAGATTACGTTTAGACTCTTGGGTATTCGCTTTGGAGGGACAATATTGGGTATGTTGCTTAACCTGTCCTTTCGTGGAGGTTAACTCCCACTACGCTAAAATAGCTAACCATTTACAAAAGAATCTTTTTATTTTTATTTTTAAATTTTTTTTAAAAAAGGGGTGGGGAGGAGGGAGAAGAAAAATCTATAGGTCCAAGTAGTATACAGCTGAAACATTTGTTGTGAGTCAGGGCCCAGTTCATCTGAGCGCCGTGAACTAAATGTAGGTTAGTCTTCCGAACGTCCTAAGCGAGAGTCTCTGACGCTCCCTCAACCTTGCGACTCTTGACAATAAACTCAGCGTTGATAGATAAGACCTTTGTGTCTCTGTGTTGTGTATTGCCAAAAACCTTGGCCATTGATTGCAGGTGGATAAGTGGGTTGATTTTGAATCGAGGATCAGAAAACAGGGGACAACGCGTGACCTAAAATTGATTATGGCAATCAGAAAATCCGAAGGCGTATTCAAATCTGCGAACTGTTGTATGTGAGAGAGTTGTTTCCTTCACAAAGTCATTCGCCGCGACAAACAATCGCTTCAGTGGCCTCTGTCTACTTGAAGACTTTTGGTTTGATTTATGTTAGTCAAGACCCTTTGCAACTGTGTTTTCATAGCAAACCCCGTCACTTGCCTGCACTAGGAATAGAAAATACTGAGTTCTTTTTGACTGCACTATGGTCGGATTACACTTCTCTAGGTAGGGTGGTTATAGTCAAGTGTCTCATGTGTCGTGTAGCTTGATAGTTTTGAGATTAAATGTGGTACTTCTGTTGAGACAATATTTTCAGCAGCCCGAATTATATGGGAATGAGCGAGAGCAGTTCCTTGATGCAGTTCGAATTGTGATATAATAGCCTCAAGTGCTTTGCTACTATAAACGCTTCATTGCGTGTATGAGTGCGTTCGGTTTCTAGTAATGGCTTTATTACTGTTCTCCAATATCCACATCGCCGAGATGCTCTTGAATTCGCCTGGATAATGATGCCAGCACTCCGCGAAAAGATTCGTGTATCCGTCGCTTCTTTGTTGATGAGAATCAAGCTGTTGCAGGATAGTAGCAAGCACGTAGTCATTAGGACTGTTCGAAGGGGGGGTGGGGTGTAAGACTTCACCCTCTAGTAGGTCACTTGCTCATGGATACAAGTGTTGGCACTCCCATTGAGCTTGAAGCGTTTCGGCTGTGCAATATAATATCACGAAGTAGAGGATAAAAGTCTCTAGACTACAGGAAATGAGTTGAATATTTTCGAAATACGATCTTATGAACATATCACAGGTAAAGAGATTTTGGTTACATATGCTGAATAGTAAGAAGATTCGGGGCGGCTGCACTACTAGTAATTCTCAGTCCACTGTCTGGTTAGCAAGGAAATCTTAGTCACAACTCCACTGAGCATTTCCCCATTTCTAGGTTAGTCTAGGTTAGCGCATTCGGCCTCAATAACCCTGACCACTTTAGGTAGGTTCCTCCCTTGAGTACCTACATACTTTCTGTAGATAATAACAGACACACAACTGCAATCGCTGTACCCCCCATCACCAGACTGACACCTCATGCAAGACTCCGCAAAAGCCCCATCTCCTTCCTATCAAGATCAATGTGCTAATGATGAAACAACAATCAGAGAGCTGGACCTCTGCCAATCCATGATCTGTAGCTTCTGAAAGGACCTCGTCGCGCGTCGACATTCTTGTATTGACGTTGCGGACCTAGTTCTAGTTGATTCGTGCAAAAATATAGCCATCCATCCAAGATAGCCGCAGAATCCGCATGCTGGATAAGCCCACTTCTTAGCCATGTCTTGACGACATAATCTTCTGTCGGAACGAGCCCCGCACCACCAAGTGGCGTTGCGTTGACTTCTTCGGTAATCTGGCTCTGTTGCGTGTCCACATAGTAGATTGCATTCTGCTCGCTGGCCAACATGTAAAGCCGCCCATGGTCATCCGCAGTAAAGCCAGCTTGCTCCGATCCCAACTCACCGGGATCCTGGACCGCAGCAAGCACTTCATTGTCGGATAGTGAGTCGTCAATCAGAGCTTCTTGGGATATGAAGTAGAATCGTCGTGAGGCTAGTACGCCCCAATAGAGGTTTCCTGACGCCAAAGCAATCCCGTCGGCACCGGTCGTGGCGTATGATTTCTTGGTGTTGTTCCAGATATAGATGGGTTCGCCGTTATAAGAGCCCACATAGTTGGCGTCCGCTTTCGTGACCGTGGTATTGTGAAGTCTTCTCCTGACACTGCCGTCATGGAGATTAATCGCCAGAAGGGAACCAGAGTTCGACGCATCTGTAATGAATGCATATCCTCCTTTTCCAAGTGTATTGTTGATCCTCAAATCGTTGGCGTTCATGGAGTCGTAGTAGAACTCGTCTGGAACGATATAAGTTCGAATAGTCTCTCCATTTTGGCTGAATGCTATAATCTTAGCGCCCCTTGAGATTGCCGCCTTGGCACCCGGCGGGATTCCGGAGTCTAATATCCATAGCTGGCCGAGCGCATCAAGCACCACGTTCTGTACATTGATAAAACACTCCGCAGGATCTTGTTGGGCGGTGCAATTTTGAATTGCGACATTCGGCCAGGCTTCCTCCGACGTGAAACTCGTGGCTTTGACGACGTTCACAGGGGTAACGCCTCCGTTGCGCGGATAGGTGAGGTACACGTTCGAATCCCGGTCTACGGCCAGTCCTGTGGGAGCATCTACACTTTCGTGAATCGGCTCAAGTTCTGAGCCAATGACTGTGAAGGATGTTGGACATTGCCCCAAGGTAGTGTTAGGACTCAAAGATGGCACCGGAGGACAGGTTGAAGGGAACCCCTGAGATACCACGCCGGCGGCAAGTGCTAGAATATACACGAGCATCATCGAGTTGAATGTGTATTTGGTTGAGAAATGACACCGAAATAATTACTATCGCAGGAGAACCTTCGGCTCTTCTAATGTTAAGACCAAGTCATGACGTGCTGCTTGCACGCGGCAAATCGATTATGGTTTCAATTTCCCCCGCATCCAGACAAATTTTGTTTGGTTCCCATGAGCAGAGAATTCACTACAATTCGCACACTACGAGTGTTACAGCCTCTCTGCTGGTGAAGTTACATCCAAAGAAGATTAAAAACTCTCAGTTAACTAATTTGTGTAGCTGAAATTCATTCAAGAGCAAAAGTAGCGAGAGTCATACGAAGATGATCAAGTCGTTTGTAGAACTCTTTCCATACTTCAGCCCGGTAGAGATTCATTAGTTACATTGTCGTGGATTTAAGTGCTGCATATTTCATGGTATTTTGTGTCCAGTAAGTAGTTCTCTAATACGAGAGGTGCAGATAATTGGCTGTTGTCCCATATCAAGTCTCATGGTCTGTCAGGCGTTATCTAAATAGTATAGACCAGCTAAATCTTACAAAATGATAATCACGTTCAAATAGGGGTATATCTGGTTGCTGGCAATGGAGTATTGTTTGATGGTTTCTGCTAGATCGAATTCCTATTCACTCTCAGATGCCGCATTGGTAACAGGCAAAGAAGTTGAGTATAACTACTGAAGTTGGTGCAGGCGCCAAAGAGCTTCATGGCTGGAGCTAATGGATGCGGCAATAATCTAACCTAGGATAGAATCTAGGAGAGAATCCAGATGGCTGTTCATTAGTCTTGCAGTATGACTCAAAGGCCGCCACTTTAAATTATTGAGCAGGCAAGCAGGTAAATCTTGCTGGATGATGTACTGGACAGTCGCGTGATGGGCACTATTAGCGCAAATTCAGTGCAGCGCCGCTACTGTACAATACAGGCCTGTGATTAGTTAACCTAGCTGGAGATTAATGGCCCGAGAATACCCGCGTTCGGGAATAATTGGAACAACCATGACAGGATCCTGGAAGGATCGTACTGGCAAGACTACAAGAGCCTGTGATGCCCGTTGCGCAGTGGTGGGCGATATTTGGTGTCGCAAAATATATCAAATTCTATTTTTTTCTCTCTCGCTATACTGTATTGTTCAGATACCGGTAGCATACGGTTGTGGTTAACTTAAAGTGTTCCAGTACGAATCGCCACCACGAGGGCAGTGTGTACCCCACGAAACGGCAATGGGTGCTGCTCCATCGATCCCACAAGATCCGTCAAGGAAACTTGAGGTTATAGATATGGGATATTCCCGGACTGCCACGATGTCCTTTGCCTTTGCTTTTGAGAAATTGTTAGACGGCCCTGCTATGCATGGGGGGACACAGATGTTCAATCGGGAAGATGGTAGGTATGCGTTGACACTGAATAACTACCCTTCTGACACAAGAATGCAGCATACTGCAAGAAGATCAGCCTATTATACAAATACAAACGTGATGGTGACCGAGCACGATTAATGAAGACGCTGCAGGACGTCATCGGTGGCTTTGTGGGCTGTTCAGACTGCCCCATGATCCACTTCCTTCCAGAGCTCATGGAATTGTATCCAGATGCGAAAGTAGTGCTCGTTACACGAGATCCAGAGAAATGGTGGCGAAGTTTCGCAGTATTCGGCGATGAGAACGTGAAGAAAGACTGGGCGAAACGTCTCTTCGAGATTTTCCTGGCTCCAGTCCCAGGAGCTCGATGGTTTCCAGCAACAGCTCAGGGATTCGAGGAAGAGTATTTCCCCGAGTTATTTGATTTTTCTATAAATCAACAATTGACTCGCTTGCAGCTTGATCCGAACCCATGGCATTAAATCCCACCCAAAGAACTTTATTGAAATGCATAACGACTGGGTGCGGAGCCAAGTTCCTAAAGATAAACTGCTTGAGATGGATCTTGCAAGTGGCTGGGAGCCCCTTTGTAAGTTCTTAGGAAAGCCAGTACCTATCGAACCATTTCCCAGAGAAAATGATAGAGAGGCAAGAGACAAATTCAGTAAGTAAATTTCGAGATCATTCGCTATACCTTTTAACTTGTCTGTGGTGTATTTATTGTCCATTGCCGTAATTAAGTTCACTTTCCGACCGACTACGAAAGAACAATTGCTGATTAGAGGCTGTAGTGAAGCAGAAAATAATTCAAGCTAGTATTGCATGGGTCACGATCCTGTCAGCCACTACTGTAGCCGGGTATGGGGTCTGGCGCTTTTGGAAGAAATAAAAAATATATACGGAACCATGCACAGCACCTGTAAATTATAGCTCAGCCAATCTTCTATCAATGCCAGTCGAGTTTGGGTACATCATGTACTTGACAGAACTTCTAAATCATTGCGTGTGGAGAGGTAGTATCACCCCAGACATGTAATAATTGTTACCTTTTTGTCGCACATAGCAGGACTGGAGCTCATACAGCTTAGATCTTATGAGAATGGATTCTATTCTAAATACAACCCTACCCTTAAATCGAATCCCTCGCCTGTTTTGTGTTGTACATGCAGCTGTGAACGTCACGGCCACATGATCTTAATCCGTCCACTGTGGTCCATGCACCTACCTACATAAGGAGTAGTTTACTAGGTTAGCTCTCTTAGGGTAGTACACACTGAAGAGATCTTCTATTCGGCGTAACGCCGTATAATATTGATGACCTTTATAGTGAAGCAATAAGCTCAAACAATATAATACCTACATTTCTTCCTGAATGGAATGTTTACCGATGAGTATTCATAAGAACCAATGTGCTAGCATGCTATCTCTGTCATACGAAGCCTACCTACTGGCCACTGAAGATGTATCCAGATTGACTTTTGGGCATCTCCTCTTAAATTGACGATTGAGAAAACTTGCGGAAATTGCGGCCGTCGGCCGTTATATTCTGACACCGACTCCGACCACCGGATTCTGGGTTAGATCGCCTAACTCTCGGATATAAAATGGACGACTGAAGACAATCCTTCCAAATTTTCATTACAATCTAGAGTCGCCTTCCATCCGTCCATCATATTGTGATTCTGCCATAGATATCCCTACTGATCCATTTCAGATGGCCAAACGGCCACTAACATGGTTCATCACTGGATGTTCTTCTGGTTTCGGCCTTGCATTAGTACGAATCGCCCAGGCACAGGGTCACTTCGTGATTGCAACCTCCCGCAACCCTGGGCGAACACCGGAGCTCGTTCGTGAAGTGGAGGCCAAAGGCGGCAAATGGTTGCAGCTAGATGTCGACGATCCCAATAGTACGCGAGTAATTGAAGAATTGGAAAAAGAGGGACATGCGATTGACGTTCTTGTTAACAATGCGGGCTTTGGCCTCTATGGGAGCGCAGAACAGTTTTCGGAGGAAGAAGTGCGACGCATGTTTGAGACGAACTTCTTCGGCCCATATCGATTGACCCGAACAGCCGTACGACCCATGCGCGAGAGGCGCTTCGGGATCGTCGTCAATATTTCGAGCGCTGCCGCTGTGAGTCCCGTTCCAAGTATGAGCATCTACGGAGCGGCAAAGGCTGCCTTGGACAGTAAGCGAGAGAACTCTGCTCGACCGACGTGGTCAATGGAAATGCTGAATTGTTTCCAGGTGCACATAGGACACTCGCAGTAGAGATGAAAGACTTCAATGTTAGAGTCTTATCTGTAGAGCCGGGCGTCTTTGATACGTCCATAATTGGAGCGCTTCAGTTCCAAACACAGCCACTAGAAGCGGATTATAAGAACAAACCCATAGATATGATGCTTAGTCTACAAAAGTCTAAGAGCCATATACCTGATGGAGATACGAAAAAAGGCGTTGAGGCTATCTACGAAGTAGTCGTTGGTGAAGGTGTGGGTACGGGCCACGAAAACGAGCCAGTCCTTCCGCTCGGTCGTGAAGCATACCAAATGTTCCAAAACCACATCACACAGTGGAAGCAGACAATGGATGTTTTTGGTCATATCTGTAATAATGTTTACGTGGATCGGCAAGAGACGGAGAAGAAGGGTTGAGTAGTTCCCACATATGATACTGTCAGGTTCGCTATGTTCATGCCTTAGGCGTGAGTGTATTTAATCGTTATGTGTTGGTAGTTCATTTCTGCACTCCTGATTTCGCCGCACTTTTAGTTCACATCTCAAAAAATCCCACGAAATCCGCCGAGTAGGAGTAACGTACGAGATCCGGGGGGCGCAGTCGTCGCTTTGATGGGTAACGGCCGATTGCAACTACAGATCCGTGCCGACTAAATTTCATGTACGCGTACCCATGTTCATCTTACCCGCCGCACTTGCAACCAGAAATCTGCTCCTCCCGAGCACGCAAGCAATGCCATAAGACCTGACACATAGAGTCAGCCAACATGTGCTTGCATTGCCGTATTCTTGAGTAAAGCGTGGTTCGTTTGAGCTGTGGTCACGCCGGCGTAAGACCAGAGTCGTATCAGGAGCAATAATAACAAGAGTCACAGGCCTGAGGGCGGATTATTTTGAAGTTCCTGAATGGCTAGGCACCAGCGATGTCACTTTTCATGACAAGGTACGCTTAATAGGTGGGGGTTTGATAACATGTTTATACCAAGCTCTGTTGGCCGGCGGAGAAGTCACAAATTCGGGCCCAATTTGCGGTCGGTCGATGTCCCAGAGGACAGGAAGATTATTGTACGACTTTTGAATTATGCCCGGAATGATTGATACATCAGCTGGCGCTGCAAAGTAGCATGTGCTCTTTACTAATCTATTAACAATAAAGTCACGACTTTGATGGTCACGGCGCTTGATCTCTGAGGTTGTAACAACTACTAGCAAGCTCCTCCGCCAATAATCCTGCGTCAACAGGGTTGCATCCCCAGTGCTTTTGAGCACTCAAGTTGGTCTTCTTTTCTTCTTCTCCCCCCCCCCCCCCCCCCCCCCGGCGGGTCGGGTGGGTTTTTATTTTATATTTTTATTTTATGAAAATCAATGAAGGCTTTGGCTTATCTTACTGAATCTCTGTAAATAGGTAAGTATCGATTGTGGCTTGATGTATTAGCAAAGTATATGTCAGTCCCGGGTATCTCGGTCGATATTGGCGGCATTGCCCTGTGTGTAGCTTGTTGGAGCTAAAACAAACAAGCATCCCATCATATCCTCACAAAACCATTTTTGAGCGCAGTCTGGCAAATCTAAGACAAGATACGTCACGGATGAACGAAGTTTCTATACTGTACGTCACTGAGATCATGGCACATGAAATCACGTGATCTACTGAGCGGACCGAAATTCATGGGTGTCATCGGTATTTCTCAGAATACCCTATAACTAGTCTTCTTCGTGATACCAAGTTGCAATTCCTCCTGGCTCTCACTCAGAGGTATTGTAGATGCTTCCTGCTGGTGGGAACCATTAGCATGTATAGAAACACGATAATTGACACCATCTGTTCGAAAGCTCGTTCTTGGGTCACCATGTGGGCCAAGTTCAATATCGTTGGAGTCACACATGCGCCCCTGCATCCCTAACTCGTTACCATCGTCTTCCATCCTAGTGAACGTCGAAAGACTGAAAACAATTCGTGGAGTTTTCCTGCTAAAAAAGCTCTTGCCGCTGCTTTGGCCAAATGATCTGATCCCGCTCGAAGAAGAGGCTGGTTTTTCAATTGAGCGACGACCATTCAATTTGAGCTTTTTGAGTATTTTCTTCCAGAGTGGTTGCAGAGTGGCCAGACTTCCTGCAGCAATCGCCAGTCCTTGTTCTATTTGGGACCACTACAACATTTAGAATCAGTGACTACTTCTTCAAAATAGGCCGAGGGTTCTTTAGAGGTATTGTGAGACGGTCAGAAAGAAATAAATGTTTTTGGTAAACAGTTTACGCCGCGCGGATACGCTGAAAACAGTAGAAAAGAATCCCGGAATCTGCTCACGATAGCAATGTCAGTTGTGCCATCTATATCAGATGTTAGCATACCTAACAGAATGCTTGGATATGAAAATATACATAAAAAGTCGTTGGTTCGAAACTCTTTTATGTAAGCCAATCGCACTGTGACCGCACAACTTGCTCTGATGTAGTATTAGGTCGAACAGTCAAAATTCCATCCTGGATTAACTTACACTAAAGCATTTGGAATTAGTAGAAATTAATTATTCAACACCGAATGGGTTGGTGAGTCTTTAGAAGTATTGAGAAACATTCATAAAGAAGTCATTACCTCCAATAGGGAGTATACGATCAATGAAAATGCTGAAGAGAGTGTTAAAAAAAAACAATCCGGAAATTTGCTTACTGCACGCCATGCTTAGAATAGGGATAAGAGCTAGCTTCGTTTTCTTATCCATTTGTAAATGCCAGACTAGCCAGACGGGGAGGATCGTGAATGTAGAATCAGTAATTATGGACATAGCACTGTATGCGTATACAATGTTGATAATGACATCAACCGCCATGCAATACCCAGAGCCGGTTCTGGTCCAGAAATATTCGATAGGCAAACATTGAAAAAGTGCAATGCAAAAGAATGCCAAGCCGCAGAATATTGATAACCCCAGCGCGATATAAATGATCCATCGATGTATTCGGTGGGGCGTAATACGCACGAGGAAGCAAGCAATTGATGTTTTGGACAGTATCATACTGATTGCGTAGCTCAAGTAGCAGTACCACCAATACTAGTTGAAATCAGATGAGAATGACTAACTGTTCGGAGAGAGAGAGAGAGAGAAGGATAGCGACGGGGACGGGGGTTAAAGGTGTTACCATCAAAGCTGCTGACAGATCTTTCGTATTTGATATATCCCAATGGTGTCGACCCGTGCCATGATTCACACCAACCAAGCAAGTTGCTGTATTAAAAGTGAAAGATATCTATGCGGGTGTGTCAGTCAGGCTCGAGGTGACATGAAGGAGAGAGTGTTCGGAAGGACGTTACCATAGCCGCGACCATGAACCAATCATCTAACCCAAAAGCTTTCGTCATCCTCAAGCGCACATAACATCGCAACAACAGAGATACAGCCGCAAGCGCGAAAAATGCTACCGCAACAGCGTATACCTGCGGTCCACGGTCGTTGATGCTTGCCATATTCGGGGGATGACCATTATACAATTCCTACACGAAGATGGTTGAAAAGATGTCAAGTCTCGTAATTCATCACAAAATGAGCAAAAGCAGTAGGCTGGACATGACAGGAAGTCTCGAACCCAATTGTTCCTAGTCGGGTTCCGACATCTTTATCATCGGACCTTTGCGAGTGGCACCGCTTCGTATGCAATGGCGCTTTCTGAAACCTTATAGTGTGAGGCGTTAATCTCATATGACCAGGCACCTCAAATCATCTCCTCTGTCGGCCTTTGTCGGCTCATTAGCTGTTGTGAATCAAGTTGAACTTTTCTCTAGGTTTGTGCCCAAGTCACAGCGTCAGTAATAGATATCACAGATGCCCTATTGGTCAGCATTAAGTCTTCGATATGGGTGGGGAGAGTTGCTTAAGTTTGCGCCAAGTCTGTTCCTAGTCTGCAAGCCACGAACCGTGCCGCCACTACGTGCGTTGCTGACGCTGTCATCCACGTGGATAATGAGTATAGGTAACTATTCCGAGGTCCTCTATGACGTGGCGTGCGCTAGCACCGTTACATTACTCACGATCTATGAATTCGACTATCAGTAGCATGATCTGGTGTGAGCTGTCTGTCTTTTGCGTACACGATCCTACATTGAATTCAACCTGCCGGGATGTTTACTTAACTCCGGCGAATCTGCCAGCTCTTTTGTTACAGACACTGTCAAAATAATCTGAGAGAGAGGAAAACCCTGGCAAAATGGCTTTCTAAAGACATACCAAGTATTGAGTCATGACGCTGGCCCAAATTGGCTTGCTCCAGTGAACTTAATTACTAACCAACTATCTAAAGCCAATCGCTTTACAGGCTGAAAGGCGCCGATATATGCATGATAATGGCTTAACCACAGCCAACGTCTTGGAATCAAGGCAATGTTTCTCCGCTGCAGCGAAGGTAGGTGATTCAAAACTAACAGTTCAGCTTAGCGCAGCAGAAGTTGTTTTGAAGCAGTTTCAGCGCCTGCCCACATGTACCCATGGCCATCAGTCCAGGTCTTCCGGATTTGTGTCTAGGCTCATGTCTATGCAGCATGAAACGCGAATTCCAATTTCACTCAGATTCACGGCGCGCTATCAGTAATAATCGATATATTGAGACCATGAACACAACTTCACTTTGTACCATTTCACATAGGAAGCAAAGCGTTAGCTCTGACTTGGTATTATTCTTCTATTATTTTACTTATATATTTAATGCTGCTGGTTAGGCCGGCGAGTCACGCTTCTTTTCGTGTTGCCCTTCCGCATCTTCTTCACCCTGGGCACGCAGAGTTTGTAGACCGGTTTTATGCTCTTTGTGTTCCTTGGAAAGCGTTCTTTGGCCGATGAACGGACTTACGAGCAGCCCTATGCCGGATACGGCGGTGTACAGATAGAACATGGTCCGTAGACCGGTCCAATATGCACTTCGAGCAATCTCTCCTTGAGTGCCCTGTAGAGCTGCGACCACACTGACACTGCCGCCTGCGCTCGAACCCGACAACTGATTCGCAAGCTCTGGCCCTAAGCTTTGTAAGAGAAATGGATATTGCTTCTGCATTTCGTTTTGGAAAATGACACCGCCGACGACGACCGAGATGGAAGTTGATAACTGGCGTATGAAGCCAAATGTTGAAGTAGCCGCCGGGATATCACGCTTCTCCACAGACGATTGTAGAGCGATGAGCGGAGACTGAAAATTGGGGCCAACACCAATGCCGGCGACGATTTGGAACAAAATTATCTTTGTCCAATTTGCGCGAGCCTCGAGATCGATGAATAACCCGAAGCCAAGTGTCATGACAAACATGCCAAATATAATTTGAGGCAAGTATTTCCCTGTCTTTTTCGTGATGATACCAACACCCGCAGAAAAAAACGAGAGTGCCAATGCATAAGGTAGGATGTAAACACCCGACATGAGAGGCGAAGCCCCCAGGACGCCTTGGAAATAGAGAGGCAGGTAGTATGAACCGGCTATGAAGACAAATGCGTGGCAAAAGCAGACAATGAAAGATACGATAGCGGTCCGTGTCTTGAACAGCCGCATTGGGATGACAGGATATGTTGCAAACTTCTCGACAATCACGAATAATGCGACAGTCACAAGACCGAACACAATCAAACAGATCGGAGGCGCTGAGCTCCAAGAGTAAGAGATGCCGCCAAATTCCAGGCCGAAGAGGAACATGAGTGTTCCGCCAATAATGAGAAGACTGCCCAGCCAATCGATGGCAGCCAAGCCATCACGGATGGACGTCTTTGGGTTGTGTAGCTTGAGGACGAAGAAAAGAATTCCAAAACCGCAAGCTGAAACCGGAAGATTAACGTAAAAGCACCAACGCCATGTGACCTTGGTGGTAAATGCTCCTCCGATAACTGGACCAATGGCGCTGGAAAGAGCCCAAACCATTCCAATGATGCCGTAGTAAACGCCCCTGTTACGCATGCTGAACAGATCCGAGATGGCAATGTTGACCAGCACGACAATACCACCAGAGCCGGCCCCCTGGATAGCACGGGCGGCAATGAGCATTCCCATGTTAATGCTGAGAGCGCAAACGAGAGATCCAACCCAGAAGACAGCTACTGCACACAACAGAATAGGTTTCCGACCCCATATATCGCTAATCTTGCCCCAGGATGGTACAGTTGCCGCATTGGCTAGTGTATATGCCGATCCAATCCACGTATAGCCTATATATAATCAGCTCTCATGTTCAATTTATGATTCGGCGACTTCCAAAGGCACTTCATTCTGTTTGCGTACTTACCTGAAGATGACTTGAATTCGGCTACAATGGTGGGGACCGCGGTGGCCACAATAGTAATATCTAATGCCGCTAGAAACAAACCGCTACATAAAGCGAACATTATGAGAGACGTTTCCCATTTTGTTCGCGTGGCTTCCGGCTCATCGTCGAGTGTCTTTGCTTCTGCGAAGCCATGTTCGTTCAGCCCTGAATCGAAGCCCCTGGGCGCTGCGTCGTTGCTCTGGGTCGTGCCGTTGCCGTCGTTCGATGTCACCGAAGTGCTGCTCCCACCGTTTGACTGCTCCGTATGGGGAAGCTTCGCAACATTTTGACCTGCACTGTTGGGCGAAGTCATGATGATTACATGTGTAACAAGTGCTTCTGATTCGAAACCACAGAGAAAGCTGCACCGGCTGTCAAAGAATCTCTTACCCAAGGTCTAGTCTGGGGAAAATTTGCTTGGCGGTGGTGAACGTCCCGAAGCGATTTGCCCTGTCCTGGCTTAGCTTGGATTCTTCCCAGGTCTGCAGATTGTATGACGCTTCGAAGTGCAGATGATAATCAAGGAACGTATGTATGTTTCTTTGGTTGCAAAAGCTCATTAACAATTGCAATTCAACAACAAGCCGATATTAATGCTAGTGAGATGAAAAAGAGATGAGAAGTTCAAATTCATTATCAGCTATAGTTGACAAGTATGAAACTCCGACCGAGCAAAATCCGAACCTCGCGGTGCAAAATTCGTAAAGTATGCATCACGTCAATTCTTAGGGGCGGATCCCGCCGTCCAGTTGGCGTGCAGATGCCCGGGGTAGGTATTGACCTTAGCAATCGAATGCCACTGAAAAATATCCTGTCCATGTAAAGCAGGCATCATGATTGGGACATTTCTCATGTGATCTTCCCAGCACTCAAAGCTCGAACCAGAGCTTAATTCAATCAAGACTTGTGAGCTCTGCTAAGCCTCACGTCACGACAATACTCAGCTCTCGGGTGTATGAGACTAAATCCGAGCGCCGTAAATAAGAAATTAGACCAACCAACAAAAGACTGCGCCAGCCCTATCCAGAACTGCGTATTAGCTAACAGCTTAAGCTTTTACGGCAAGTGGCGGGCCCTAGAGCCGGATCGATTTCTCGCCAATGTTCATCTATCGTTATTTTGCAGTTTTAGACTGCACATTAAAGCCGAAGGCAGGGCAGCTACGAGTCATGCACAACATTCCGTATTGCTCACCAAAGCAACACAGCTTGACCCCTTCTCATGCCCCTATAAGATGCTGCAAGGGACCATCGCGCACCTCTGAGCTGCTGATTTGAGACAGGGCATTAGTGTAACAGCGATACACCACACAGGTGTATGGAAGCAAGGATCCACATCTCATTTTACATATATTTTCTAGCTTCTAAGCGTGAGTCGGCGAATAATCCTCTCCCTCAGGGGCATATTGTTTCTCTCCGACGCTAAATGCAGATAAAGTAAAGAGTGGAATAATGTCCAGAAAATCTCGTCGTCGTCGCCGTTCTTTCTCAACCAGAATACGAGGCTGTTCTTGCGACCATTATTATTTATCTCATGAAGCATGAAGACGATGAACATTGCGTAGTGTTCCTGTACGTTCCACTTGGCCATGACCTTACAGATGGATAGGGAGTGCATACCGTTTTGGATTAGACCTGTGCTCCATGACGAGGTCATATACAGGAGTCCATTCCGGCACGGGCAACCCCCGTTGTTTACATATGTAGTTATCCTCAAATCGGAGGAGGGCCCCGGTGCGCTTGATGTGTAAGAAGAGCCCTCTGATGAGCAAGGATACTTCTGCCAAGCCCAAAGATGGGAGCTAGCTCCATTGCTACCTGGTCATGGTCTAGCTTCTTACTCACCAGGCTCTTCACAACCTCTGCTGTTGCCGTCGCGTTGGCTGATGTTAACTCCAAGGAAATAGAAGTCATAACATGCGTATTATTGGTCAGCCTGGTAACTTTGGTGAGAATGCATTACAGAAACCTGTCTGTAATGTGATTGAAAATGCCCGGCATCTACTGAAAATTTATAGACTCTCTCTGAAACCAAGACATGCCCCATCATTGTCTTAACAAGATGCGAGTGTTCAGGTTTTCTTTGTTTAGTATAGACTAGCAGCGATGTCCTGTTGCTACAATGGTCATCAAGATGGATGGTTTTGTGAAGCTCGGTTGATAATGTCACAGGTATACAGGTTAAGTTTCATGGATTAAAACGGTATAAAAGCTTCTAGAACTTGTGATTTCAATCGACAAATGTGGGCCATTATACACACGAATGTCCTTTGATACACGACTGTGGCCATATCATATTCTAACAAACCCAGACTTTGACAAACCGAAGAGTGGTTGTAACCGCAGGAGGTAGGCAATTATTAAGAGTTTAGGACATAGACTGCGTCATCCGAAAAGAACATTTTACCAAGCATGTATTGTATATTATGTCTCTAGTTTTAAAAATTATCCAGCATTTTGTTGATGGTCCGCCACTACTGTCATGGCCGTGGACCCGTCGTTACGTGGGTCCACACTCAATGGCTCATGCTTGGAGTGCTTAGATTGTAGACTGCGTAAGCTTTCAGAAGCGGTTTACTCTCCAGCGCAACAACAATGATAACGGTGGCCCTTACAACTTTCAAAACCAGATCCGACCTTGAATCGGCGCTGAGCTTGGAGCAAGTATTTCTGGTACCAAATACTGCGCCATTAATGGATTAGCCCTGGCACTCAAACAAATCCGCTTGATGGCCCTCCCATACCGGCTATTCATTTCCACCTGGTCCCGAGCACATACAATGAACCAGTGAAGCATTTCATAGAGGAAATACGCTGTTGCCCATAACTCTGATTTATTCCACCTCTCCAAATATAGCTCCTCTTCCCTATTGACTCTCAACCTGAGAAGACGAATAATGAAACCGCGTACATGATCAACATCGTCCCACTTAGTATTGTATTTAGAGAAGTTCTGTTGCACATGTTGGTAATCTGCTAGATTCTCCGCACTGAGGATGTGGATCAAGCGCTCTTAGACGTCATACCAGCGAATGAAAGGAGTTGCGAAGTGCGACAAGAAGTAGCTGATCTCAAAGTCATCAACAGCTGCGGCGATTGCTTGGCACTCAGCCCCAAAGAAGCCTGTAATGAACGCTCTATTCCCATCCCTACACAGAATATGCTCTGGAATACCAAGAGTAGAAACATACCCGACCAGGTTATCAAAAATGTGCGGTCGGTGCCTGAGGAACTCCTGGAATTAATATTCCGCTGTGAGCTGAACAGGAAGTAGTACTTGTGACATTGCTTCTGCGCTATGTTAAAGAAGTTATGATCGACAAGTGATTGGTTAGGTGACTCTTTGCTTTTAGTGAGCGTTTCATAGATCATTATACATACAGAATTACTGTTATTTTGGTTTACAATATGATCCATATATATCTTATCGTCTTACTTCTTTCTAAGGCTTTGAGAAGAACAAGCCAGTTGTAGTTAAATTGGTATTATTGCCGTGTCGTCATTGGTGCAGTATTGGTACAGGTAAATCAAACAGGGACAAGGACCGATTACAATGGCCAAAGATTAAATCTTCTGTTTCGTGGCCATTCAAATTACGTAGCGTATTTTCATGATCCCTTGTGAATGATAGGTCTTTTGTTTGGGTCACAACGAACTTTCAGATCTTTGTGATCGTAATGCGAAATCAGACCAAGCAATTTTCTTTTTTTCCCCGAATCGCTCGCCCCATGATGCAAACAATAATGTGATCGTTTACAAGAGAACTTTTCCATTTTGACAATGGCGAGGACTCTAGTGTTTTTGGTTTCCAGAAATAGTATCTTAGATACGAGATGTTCTGTCAAATCTAAATGATACATAAATCCTCATAATAATGATTCATCATCTTATCTTGTCATATTTCAATTCATAAGATTTGCAAAAGAATGGTAAGCTGCTTTTTGTTGAAATGCACACATTCAGTTCAGATGCAAATGATTTGAGAAATGGCAGATCACAACTGTCAAAGCAACTGTGTAGGCCATCTGCACTGGTATCAGTGAAAACTAATAGTTGATTACGTATGCTTCTTAGGTTAGCATCTACCTCACAAAAGGCTAGAAACGACTTTTTGGTATATAACAGCTGCACTCTGTAGCAATATGTACAAGAGGAATGACTATGCATGATTAGGGGATGAAACAACGCCTGACATTGTTAAACCCTTGCTACAACGACATAGACCCATAGAGACTACTGTAATATAATGTACGCCTATACTCAAGGAGCCGTTCGAATCCTGAGCCTTTTCATTTCTTGGCGTTTACGCGTCAAAAGATTTAGTAAACCCATTTACCGTTCCTTTTTTGGATTTTGGCAGATCGGTTACAAATCATATCCTCTTGATTGGAGGATATTTGTTACCAACAAGGAGAAACACCGATTACGACGCTTCAAATTCCAAAAACACTCATGTCAACATGGAGTTTGGCCAATGTTCTGAATGTCCTCCAAAACGAAAGATATGGTCATCTTTCTGACTCAAAACACGTCAAATTCTTATTCTATAGACTCTCTTTATTCATGATAAAACCAAATATCCGCATTCTCCATATCCAACGATTTCACAAGTTCTCACTAAGACACAATATAGACGACTGTCGGACCCACTTGACAGAGTGAGCGCCAAGCATAAACTTGAGGTAAGTATTACGGACCCGCGGGCCCGGGACAAATCCCAGTCACTCCAGTGAACCATTGCTCAAGGGGTTCATCTGCACAAACAAATTGCCAATCCTACCTTGGCGTCCATTCTTAAACATCTGCGACAGACTAAGATCTGCATAGTCGTAGTTATCGACCACGCGTCAAATCGCCGAGGGTCATCTATGAAATATATGCTGTAGCCAATAGAAGATCACGTCTTAACAATCTTGCAGGTTATGAGGCCGTTGATACCGGTATGGGTATGCATGTGACGATATCGTCGTCAGCATGTCTTCAGTAGTTCACGGGTTGATCAATAGACATCGAACTTATTGGTCACACAGACCAATGATGCATTAATAACTGACCGAGATAAATTTGAGAGTTAAGAAAATAAACTATTAGGATCCTTTCTGGAGACATTTGAATAAATCAAGGCACGTTAACGAGAGCATTAGCGATGGTGACGAAGGCGCCGAAGTAGCACAATACATGATTGTATTGGAATTTGGGTATTAATTCTAGGCGCCAAATATCTAAAAGGTTTGCCAAGCTTGACCCTGGGACGAGAACCAGGTGCTTATTTGTTGAATATCTTTATTCCAGATCAGGGGCCTACGCGGCTTGTACAGAACTGACCTCGTTCATTCAAACATTGGAAAGTATGCTGTTATATATACCATGATGCCAACTGTTTGCGATTTTTTTGAGAAACCTTTTCTAAACAAAGACACATGCAAAATATTTGACTGCTCCTAGCTTTTACGCTTTTCTTAAAATGCACTTCAAAAAGACATCCATTCTCGCTCTGGCAGCGCTGGCAGCAGCTCATCCCGGCCATGAAGCGGAAGAGAGCCGCTCAGCTATAGCTGCCCGGGCCTATCGCACCCAGACAAAGCGAGCCCTTGAGAACTGTGCCACTTCTCTGCAATCCCGAGGTATCCTTCAGCGTGGCATCGAACGTCGTGCTGCTGAGGTCACCAGCCAGCGTATTGCTCGCCGTATTCCTGTCAACAGTATGTGGGACAAAGTAACCAAACAGACAAGTAGCTAATACGCACATTTCAAGATCCCTACCGCAAGCGAGACCTAATCAAGCGAGACACAACGAGCGTACTGAACAAAAACCATCAGGGCACGTTGGATCCGGACGAAGCTCTGGCTGATGAGACGTACGTCTTCAACAGCACCACTTGTGCTGTTCTCAATCCTGAGGGTGAAGTCGGTCCCTTTTACGTCCACGGCGAGTATGTTCGTGAGGATGTGACGGACGGTGAGCCCGGTGTTGAGATCATCTTGGAGGCCCAACTCATTAATGTCAACACCTGTGAGCCTCTTACTGGGGCATGGCTGGACATCTGGAACTGTAACTCCACCGGGGTTTATTCTGGTGTCCAGTCTTCTGGTAACGGCAACTCTAACGATGCCAGTAACCTGGATAACACTGCTCTACGTGGTATCCAGCAATCTGATGACGAAGGTGTCGTCAAATTCACTTGTAAGTTGCGCTTGTCATAAACGTGTCGTATTTGAAACTGACAACAGTATAGCAATTTATCCAGGTCACTATAGTGGCCGTACAAACCATATGCATGTTGTTGTGCACACTGAGGCGACCGAGCTTGCGAACGGTACCCTGACTGGTGGTTCCGTACCACACATCGGTACGCTTATGACATCGTTTCCATGAACAAACCGGGATTCGCTCATCTAAATTATGTATAGGCCAGCTTTTCTGGGATCAAAGTCTCTCGTACTCTGTCGAAGCTCTAAGCCCATACAACACCAACACCGTCACCTTGACCACTAACGCACAGGACCGTGTTTTTGGCGAGCAGGAAACCGCTGGCACTACTTCAGACCCGGTCTTCAAGTGAGTTATCAATGTTTCAGTCCGCGTAACGTATAGGGCTAACAAGCGAACCTAAGCTATGTATACCTTGGTGATACTCTGAGTGAGGGAATTTTTCAGTGGATAGTCATTGGCATTGACCCTGACGCTACTTATACTCCCACCTATTCGTTTGAGCTGACCGAAGAGTAAGTATCCTCCCTTGTCATTTTGTTCCATTTAGTATATCCCCAAACCTCGAGCTGATGCGAACAATATTTTCTGCCATGTTATGACCATTGTCACTGCTGTGTTCTGCCAAATCACCCGGAAAAGAGTACTTACTGATTCGGACTGTTGTAGTGGCGGTGTCGCTGTTGGCGGCTCCTCTGGAGGAGGTGGTGGTAGCGGCTCTGGCCCCGGTACTGGTGGCCCCCAGTAAGCAATTTGGTATGATTGACTTACCGACTTTGAAGATGTGCCCACTAGCTAGGAATCGGCATTGATTTGACTGCAGCTTTGGCTCGAAAAGGATGGGAGGGGCTTCCCTGTTTACTTCTTAAATGGATTTCAATTCTTTTGGTGATATAAACTATTCACAAAGGTACATTTGCCTACGAAATGAAATGTAGTATGATCATTTCCTAAAACAGCCAGATCCATGCTAATATATGCCGTCAACCGCATATCCTCATCTTACTCTAAAGAAAATGTGCCAAACAGAGAACTATTAAGTAGCCGATGCTGTGCCATGATTAATTTTGGTGCTGGTATATGTGGCAATGCCAACGGCGGCATGCTTTTACCTGAATGCTGGAGATGATACTTGTGCCGGTGTTGCTGTTGATGCTGGTATTAGGGAAATTTCGGACTGTATGGCAAGAGATTTCTCTTTCCAGAAAAACACCAAAGAATTATTCGTTGCCATTGTCTGTTGTGACGAGTTGGTTGCTGGCAAGATTTATGATCACTCTCGTGATGCCGGCACCACAGATTACATTAAACAAACGACTGGCTTATTTTCTTTCACGATTTGTCACTATTTTCATCTTTAATGGTTACTGTGAGAGGTTTAACGGGTGTACATATAAACTTCTATTCTGCACTGGGTCTGATAGCTTCCCCTTGATCTAGCTGAACGGCTAGCTACTGCCAGATCTGTGTGAAAAATCGATACTAATGCTGTCACCATTTGCATGGATTTCATGCAACTCATTCATGTTTTTAGGATGAGACCGTCCGGGCTCAAGTTCATGGCCGCATTGGTGTCACTCACCCCGAGTCGTCCGCTTGGAATTACCTGTGGTAGATTGTGTACGTTAAGCAAAACCTTCTTCGCTCTGTTCATAGTAACAGTAGCTTACATTACTTGGAGACAACTGGAAGACTGACTGATTGTAAAAGTTGCCACTGTAATGTGCGAAAGAGCCATTGGGTCCTTTTCTAGTCTCCGCTTGGCTGGTGGCAAGAAATACTTGCGTTTCAGTGAGAGAGCGCCCATGCACCTTATCATCCTGCCTCGTGGCTCACTCGCTCTCGTTGAGCCAAAATTGGAGAGGTTTACTCGTTAATAATGACAGGATGGGAACTGCAGGCTGTAAAGTCTCGATTTTTCTTTCCTGTCATACATGATCACTGCTTTGACAAGCACTATCATGAAGCTTACCTTCTCCTAACTAGTCTTGTTTAAAGACTGAATAAGCCTATGCGGAAAGGAAGTAGGAACTTTACAAAGACTATCGCGTCGCTTTGTCCCCGTCATATTCATCTGATCTTACGGTAGTATCTGTCGGTCACGTAGAGTTTGTTGGTGGGATGTAATAAGCCTGGTATGTCAGGGTCAGTGCGAGAAGCACCGCTATGCTACGCTTGTTTTAAATCGACAATGGGACAAAATCAAGAGACGTTAACGCTTAGCGTAAAAGACAAACAAGCCCGAAAAAGCAGAAGAGTAGAAGAAAGGGAACAAAATTTTTTTGTAAGAGCTAAAGAAATAAAAGATTACATCGTCGTCCATCCTTGTGAGTATAACAAGAATTTGGGGAAAATGGGGGTTCGTCCCAGCATCAACTAAGAACCAATGCACTAGCCTTAGGTTAGATCCTTCAAAACAGTTCCGGCTGGAGAGTGTTTCTCTTCAGCGGGCTTGTCCGTTTCAGGCGATCTGTCTACCTTCGTACCGTTTACTTTTGTCTTCCCAGTTATTTTGATTGGCCGTCGCATTTGGCTGGTAGTTGCTGGTCGAGAGGACAATGCGTTTTTGGCAGGTTTCCACAAGGTTGACACAATGTCAGGTACAATGGTGCCTCGTTCGCAGCGGAAGTCGCCCCGTGCTTATAGTACTCTTAGTCGTGTCCTGTACGACATAATGTGACAGGAGGACAATCATCATCTTGTCCTGATATCCAAGCCGCTTCGCTACTTGTCAGTCTACATAAAGTCGGATATACATCATGGTCAACACTGGACGCCCAAGTCCTGCTTGCAAAGCGTGTCGCGCTAAAAGACTGAAGTGCGACCAAACGAAGCCAGCTTGCAACAAGTGCACAAGAGCTAAGAGAGAGTGTCCCGGCTATCGTGAGGCATTTGAAGTCAACTTCAAAGACCAAACGGATCTGATAATCAGAAAACATGAGCAATCAAACCCGATCACAAAAGGATCAATTCATAAGTCCCGACGAGGACATACAAGGTCTCTCCCAATGATCGAGTCAACCAGTAGCGCTTTGCTAACAAGTGCATAGATCCAGTTCTTCTTCAAGTGAAGAACCCGTTGCTTCCACGAACAGTGCTGACTGCATGACGTATAAAAGCATTCCTACGTATACTTGGTATCCGTGTCCAGGAAGTCTGCTTCATCTTGAAACCCCAGTTGCTGACCAAGCATCATGTTACTTCATTGCCAATTACATCTCTCTAAAAACGCATGCCCCTACCTGTGGGCTCCAGTTCGTGTGGCCACTTGTAAAGGTTGCAGAACAGAATGAAACTTTCAACTGCGCATTCGAAGCTGTTTCTATGGCTTCCATCGCCAGTCGACCAAACTCGGGAGCACTTGTCCCGCTAGCAAGAGTCTACTATGACAAAGCCCTAAGGCAAATCGCCAGGACGATCCAGGATAAGGATAAGTCTACAGAGGACCAGAGCCTAGCCGCGATCATAATGCTCATCATCTATGAGGTATGTTCATATATGATATAATCATCCGAGCATCGTTGACTAATATAACTAGGTTCTGATGTGGGAAGACGCTCGGAACAGCCTCAACTTTCATTTACAGGGAGCACAAGCAATGATCAAAATTCGCGGCCCTGAGCAGAAAAATAGCAAGCTAGGGCAAGCAATGTTCGGATTTATTCGCGGTTTCATTGTGAGTGGCTATCTGTATCATCTAGGTTGAAGACCTTGTACTTACTGACAACATAAGATACATCAATATGCGCATTCGCCCAAAGTGGCTAACGGGTTTGAAGACATGCTGTGGTGGGCGTTAGAGGGTCCCGTAGACGACGAATCAAAGCAAGCACTGCGAAGATTGAATGTTGAGACGATCATTTTGCGTAAGCAAGTTATCGACTTTATGAAAAATAATCCGGTCAGATCCGAGTTCCCTGTGGCACTCAGAATATACAGAAAGGCTAAATCAATCGACGCCGAAGTGGCTCGGTGGTTTGTTGATGGCCCTCATCTAGATATGCGACGTGTACAGTACTGGCAAGACGATGTATCCGAGGAAACCATTTATAGAGCTACAGCATTTCCTGGCAAGGTCTATGACTTCGACAATATCTTTATTGGCGCCAAGTTTTTAAGCTTACATCTTCATCGGCTTGTTCTGGCCGAAATCCTGCTACAAATCAGTTCCTGGATTGAATCGTGTGGAGTTTGCCTCTCCTCAACATGCACAGAGCGGCAAGAAGCTATCGCAATAGCTCAGAACGAGATCTCTGAGATTCTTGCTATAGTACCCTTCTACACGAATACCCAGTCACCATCTCCTTTTGGAGGCATGCAATGCAGCTTTCCGCTGTTCGTCGTTGGGTCAAGCACAGTCATCACTAAGAATCAGAAGGCATTCATCATTGGAAAACTTAGTCATCTATCACATACTACTGGCTTGAAGGTTGCAGGAAAGTTCGCAGAGGTATTGCGAGACCACGCCTCCCCACCACGAGACCACCCTCTTTGTTAACAGCAGGTAGCAACTTCTACACGGTATGAGATAGGATTCTACCGAAGACAAGGGATGGACAAGTTGTTCCTATATATCATTTCAAGCTTAATGCTGCATTTAGCTATTATTTTATTAGTTTGTTTACTGTATTGATAAGGTACTCCATATGAGATTGGAAACGCCGCTTCGAGAGCTCATGATGAGAGTCATCCTTCCGATCCACGCTCTTACTTCATAAGCCGACGAAAGACAGCCTAGGTAATGGGATAAGTCTTGCGTCAACCTGGTTAATGGTATACGCGAAAGATCAAACGGAGGGCAGTTCTCGACCGATCATCCGGCGGTCTCCGCACACGACCCCTCCACCGGAAGAGTCGTCATCCGGGCGGGTGGGCAGAATTTACTCAATAATACAATACACGAAACATTGATGCAACATTACACGCCGGCATCTCATTTTCCTCTTGCTCTCCGACCCTATTCAAACTCCTGTAGCACCGCTGAGGTTGTTAAGATGCCCACCACCAAGGTCGCCGTGCTGGACGACTACCAGGAGCTCTCCAAACCCCACTTTGACCAGTTACAAGGTGACAAATATCAGGTAACCATCTTCACGGACACTTTACCGCCATACAACCATCCAGACACACCTCAGGATGCCAAAAATGCGCTCGTGAAACGGTTGGAACCGTTCGAAGTCATTTGTTAGTTCGCACAGACCCTTGTGTCCCCAAGTCCGTTGACTACAGACGCCTAATTGCCGTGATTAGGCACTATGAGGGAGCGCACTCCTTTCCCGGGCGATCTCGTGTCCAGACTCCCCAACCTCAAGCTGTTGTTGACAACTGGACCGCGCAATGCCTCCCTGGATGTGAAAGCTTTCTCAGACCGCGATATACCCGTCGCAGGCACAGTAGGCGAGAAGAAAAGCCCGGACAGCACGACACAGCACACAGTGGCGCTGATTCTGGGCCTGGCGCGAAACCTTGCCCACGATGACAAGGTCATGAAGTCTGGCGGCTGGCAGACACAGGTCAACACCGGTCTCAGTGGGAAAGTCTTTGGCACTGTGGGTCTGGGGCGACTTGGTTCGGCAACTGCCCGAATCATGCATCTTGCCTTCGGCATGCGAGTCCATGCTTGGAGCTCAAATCTTACACAGGAAGCGGCTGATGAGACAGCAAAGGCTGCGGGGCTACCTGTCGAGGACGCGAATGGCGAGAAGACGTTCCAAGTCGTAAGCAGGGAAGAGCTGTTCAGTCAGTCAGATGTCGTGAGCATACATATTGTGCTCTCGGAACGGTCCAGAGGTTTGGTCAACAAAGATGACTTGAACAAGATGAAGAAGAGCGCTTTGTTAATCAACACGTCGAGAGGACCAATCGTGAATGACGATCATCTACTTGAGGCGGCCAAAAACGGGGCGATAAGGGGCGTCGCAGTTGATGTCTATGAGGTCGAGCCCCTTCCGAAACAGAGCGAGTGGCGGACGACAAATTGGGGTGAAAACGGCAGATCTCATGTTCTCTTGACTCCTCACATGGGCTATGTGGAAGGCGAGCCGGTATCGAACTGGTACAAACAGCAAGTGGATAACATTGTCAGGTGGGAAAAGGGGGAGCCACTTGAAACCGTGTACAAAGACTCTGGATATTAATCTCTGACTACCTTGAAAAAGAACAAACTACAAACTTGCAGATCTTTCAGCTTCGGCTCACTTCAATTAATGGAATCGTGATATGCAGGACCGTCCACTCCCAAACATTCAACGCATCGAGTACCGGTTGCACTAACACATGTCATGACTTTTCAACTCAGTCCTCATAGCCACTCTTCCTCCTCAGCTCATGGCCCTTTTTCTGTAGACCTTCATTATGCACCAGCTTCCCTATGCCTTCCAAGGTCTGGCCGCGCAGTGAGTCTACCCGCCATCACAATGAGTAACTTACATGCCAAAAAGTTTGGGGATCCCTTACCTTTCCGGAACTCTCCTGTTTTGTTACCGTGGCCTGCCCCATCGGTCATTCCCGAGCCGTGCTTTGCTTCGCTAGCCGAGACTGAACTGGCGACGCGCTGCTTGAGCGACAGATCTGTTGTTTGCTAGTAGACAATGTCAGCGTCGCCAATACCGAGGCATGATTCGTATCATACATCTGCCATGTTGGGATCTGTGGGCTAGTAGAGAGCTAAATCGAATCGATGTTTCTCCAGTAAAGAGATCATTGGAAGGGTGCAGCCGTGTCATCACTCACCCGGAGCTTGCCAGAATTGCTGCAATACTTGTATCCAGCTTTGAACGGTGCGATCTGAGATCCAGGAGTTTGCCCTTCGATCCCCCATACGTCATCTATGCCATTTGGAGTAAGCAATGAACTTTGATGGATCAGATTCCACCATATGAGTGGCCGGCTCTGTATTGACATTATCTATAGCCTATCAGGGGCCCCATAGTCGTAGGCCCCCACCACCGGTTGACTTGGCACGGGAGTTGTTGGAACGTCGATCAGAACCCCAAGAACGTCCTATCTTATACCAGTGATTTTGCACACTCGATACATGCATAGTCATCTCGACACAGCCGATACCTTGCGCAGGATGCATAGCGGGAAACAGGGAGTGGGTGCATGGAGGCAACAGTCGCTTGATCAGTCGGATACATAACGCAGAGGTAGCTCTTGTACCCGAGTAAAGGATCGGAAGATTAACCTGCCCGAAACGACGTCCATCCATTGGCCATATTGCTCTCCGTCCTCGACAGCTTGCTTCGCAACCCACCCGCCTCGTCATTCAGAACCCTGCGAACCCACGAAAACTGGTCCTCCAACCCCATCGTCTGTCCATCTCTCCATCTCTCCCAACAGGGTTTCCCGTACGTATTTATTCTTGGCTTGAACTTCAATCCTGGTTTTCCATCCATTTTTGGCTCATGTCCTTGACCACTTCGAGCCCCCTCGACCACATGAAGATGAATCAGTGGCGGTGACAACTAGGTACATCTAATGTCTCGCTGGGCCAATGGCATTAGAAGGGCCGGAACTACAGCTCGTAGCCTGCAGCCCTGCTCAGTCATATGTCTGGTGTCCGGCATCACCTGATGGTGACTCATGCTCCACAGTACGGAGTACCGTATATATGTTACTGCATCGGAAACGGGAGCCCGGCCTGCTTTGGCAGGAGACCATAAGTGGTTATTTAAGGCACAACCGTATAGTATTTTAGTCATGGCTTGTTGTTCCGGGGTGATATCTGAGTATATCTCATCTAGGATACTAGCGCAAAATTTATCGTAGCGAATAAGTTAAGTGGAAAGTGCATCTAGACAAGCTGACTGTGGGAAGTTTCAGCGATCCGGGAGCACCGTTGTTGTGGTCTGAATTTCTGCCGGTGTTAGAACAGCTGCTCTCCATCACATTCTTTTGTACTCGACTGGCTCTTTCCGGTGCCTGTCTGGGGGAATGGAAGAAAATGGCGATCAAGATGAAGAAGGATAGCAGATTGGCGGAGACGATCATCAAGAAGGGATCTACTTTTCTGATATGTGCTCAATAAGGGCCGGCATCCATTATGCGTCGTTGGAGAAATGTGGTCGATTTGTACGAGTTACTGGCGGATAGCTAGTGGTAATTGTAAAGATAGGCGGCTTTGCCTAAGAATTTCGGGCATCACGTTCATCCATAAGCAGGCAAAGGATCTTCGTTTGTTGCCTACTTCTAGCTCAAGATAAATTTTAGATTCGGCCGTTCCCTCATATATCAATATAGTATGATCTGGTCTTCTGTGAAGTTACTTAGGTAGCAAACATCATTCCAGTGGTGGAAACTACACGATTACAACATGAACAACAACTAGCCTAGAGCACCAAGCCCGCATTACCTACTCACGGAGTGTTCTCAACAACCAATTGCTAAATATCTGATATTCACATTACATCGTTGTCTTTGTGAAAAGACGGCGAGCTACTGAGGACGACCGGCACGAGTCATTGTTTAATTGTATTGATGTTTCCAGGGTTACGCCCCTATTAGTCTATCAGACTTTGCGTCACAAAGTCGTGTGTCGTAGCAACTCAACGTTGCCGTGGGATTAAGCAAGCAGATTGGTATCGTCATGTAGTCGTCCAACATTTCCTAGAAGCCATGTAGTCCAGCACTCGCTCCTTTGTTCCTCCTTTGTCCCTTCATGGAGAGATATCAGTGTCTTCCCATCATACTTAGCAGCACCCGCGTCTACGCCCTCCAAGTGAGAACACCTCTTCCCATTCTCTCAGGGCCACGGTTCCCCGACCTTTGCCCTTCTTCCTCCTTCTCACACTGCCGACACCGACATCGTCTGTCATGCCACTCTTGATACTCCCACCATCGCTTGCGCCTGCATTCCACATTCCTCCGTCTCCATACTGAATACCGCTCATTGGATCGTCGGGGTCAATCTCGCCCAGCTCAATTTTGGTGAGGATCATTCTGGCCAGCCGCGCAAACACCTCATCGACCCCCTCCCCAGTGAATGCAGAAACTTCCATGGTGACGGGCACGCCCACCCGGCTTGCCCACCTGTTGGCGTCGGTGTTGGTTACTTCCCGGCCCTCGGGCGCCATGGTTGCCCTTTGCTGTGTCCCCAAGCCGGTGATTGTGGCATTGCTCTGGAAGCTGGTGCCATAAGGCCCAGAGGCACTTCCCAAACTACTTGGTGTGGTGGGCGGTTGTCCAAAGTCGATCAGGCTGCCCTCGTCGCCGCTCAGATCTATCTTGTTCCCTACGAGAATTGTACTGAGGTTCGGACTTGCCAGGGCCTTCGCGTCATTCAAGAAGGGCTGCAGCGCTCTGAATGTATTGTGATTCGTGAGGTCGTAAACCAGCACTGCGCCAGCAGCACCGCGATAGTAAGAGCGTGATACGGATCGAAAACGTTCTGTGCCTGCCGTGTCCCAAAGCTGAAGCTTGATCCGTTTCCGCCGCGCGCCGGTGCCGACTTTGATTATCTTGCTGGCGAACTCGACGCCGATTGTTTGCGAGGATAGAATGCGCCATTCGGACTTGACGAAGCGGTGTAGAAGGCAGGACCTGTAGTTGGACAACAAGACGACGGGGTCAGTGGCTGGCCAAGGCGGTATCGCGAGTGACATTGACGTGACCAGAAAACGTGAGGGCTGAGGAGACAAGGGGGAATTATGCAGTACTCACTTTCCTGTTCCGCTGGGCCCAAGCAATACGATCTTGGCCAGGTAGTCGTACATGCTCCCAAGCTCCTAAGCACAACGCCATCAGTATGCCTTCTGTGAGCCATCTCTCAGGAGAGTCGTGCTCGTACTTGATCACCAGCTGTCACTGTACTATCCTCGCTCGCGGCGGAGGAGCGCCGTGGCCTTGTCATGGTCGCTATGGTCTCGATTTATCTCGTCTCGTCTCGTCTGGGAATATCGTATCCGCGTGTTCCGTTTGTGAAGGGACTCTCGTCGTTTCTGACGGTTTCGGTGTTGAACGGGGAGTGGGCCGCTAGAGGCCAAGCAGGCGGTGTGATCTTTGCTTACCGTAGGTGATTTCGGAGCTTGAGATTGGGTGGCCCAAAAAAACACCAAGACAAAGTTACTGGAATCTTGTTGAAAGACGGTTGTGACTGCCAGGCTGCACTGCGATGCACTGCACAAACACCAGAAACCAGAGCCCTGAGTTTGTCGTGTCGTTTCAGCGCTTCCCAGGTTCTCTTATCAGCCATGACATTGTGACGCCAGCGCCCGAGTGCACCGGGATGGGCCTTGTCAGCCTGCTGTAGCCCACTGTGATGGAGCCGCCGATCCAGTACTAGGCACTCGCTTAGGGTATCTGTGGGGGCCGAGGCATTGTATGGGGTTCCATGGAGCTGGCCCGTGCCTCAATGTCCTGGTGCCGAATTGGAGATGCCGGCCGGCTAATCACTTACAAGAAGGACGACTTCGCATACTCTGATGTCCTCAATACTAAGTCTCTTGTAGTCACACAATCGATCGGCATCCTATTGGGCGCAACATGAAAATTGACGGCCGAACATTCATCATATCTGGCGGGTAGGTTTCATGTATACAGTCCCTTGAGTCTTACCCTGCTTGTTCACAGGTCACAATCACATGCTATCATCTGTCTTCATGCCACCCAGCGTGTCAGTCGGTACACTGACATACTTACACTCATACTCTCATCCACTTTTACATATTGTTACACGCAGTACTGATGTCATAAATAGTGCCTCTGGGCTGGGCCAAGCGTGCGTAGAGATGATCGTCGCCTCTGGCGGCTATGTAGCAGTTCTCGATATGAACGATGAGAACGGCGCCGACGTCGTCTCAAAGCTCGGGCCCCAGACCAAGTACTTCAACTGCAACGTCCTCGAGACCGATAGCATCAAGGCAGCGGTTGAGGGAGCCGTGGCATGGGCCAAGGACACGGCCAAGCCACTGGGAGGCGTGATACCAGCTGCAGGTGTCAGCACGCCGGCAACAGTGAGTCTGCCGAATTCGTAATCCGCTGAGCGGACATGGACGTCCCCTGAATACTGGACTAATAACCCGCCCAGATGCTCGACCGTGACGGCAACGCGATGAGTCTCGACGACTTTGATTTTGTCATGAACGTCAACCTGCGAGGAACCATCGACCTCGTCCGGCAGTCTGTTGTCCACATTGCAAAAGTGGAGCCTTCCAAATCTGACGGCGAGCGCGGCATTGTCATCATGGTTGCTTCATCAGCGGCGTTCGATGGGCAAAAGGGCCAAGTTTCCTACTCGGCCTCCAAGGGTGCTGTCACTGCGATGACTCTGCCTATGACCAGGGACTTGGCGCGCTATGGTATCAGAGTGGTAACTATCGCGCCGAGTTTGTTTGCAAGTAGAATGACGAGCATGATGAGCGACAAGGTCAGAGCTAGTCTGGAGAAGGCCATGGAGTTCCCTAGACGCGAGGGCCAACCGGGCGAGTTTGCCGCTCTGGCTAAACACGCCATCGAGAATGTCATGTTAAACGGGACCGTCTTGCGGCTGGACGGTGGTATGAGGATGCCTAGTAAGATGTGAAAAAAACCTATTCGTGTAAGCATATATAATTATTGTTGTGATCAAACGCTAAGCAGCTTGCGGGCCCACCGGCGTTGCTTTTGTTAGGGGCTGGGGGGTGAGGGCAGTTGGCGGATGTGACATATCCAATCACTTGACTTAAAGCTCCATTCAACACAACATTATGGCAGGTGAGACAAATAGAAGGCTGCGACAGAACAAAATCATCATATCCGAGCGTCCATACCTATGGTGCATGCCAACTAACTAGACCATAGCATTGTCATCGTACAACTAATTGATGGGTGGTCGTCTCCATTCTGAGCAAAGCAACATGAATACATATTTTGCTTGACCAACTCGACCCTTGACAAGCCCTGTCCGTCTCACAATACGTAAATCGCAACTGGGACGGCACAGGTGCCGAGGAAGATCCTCACGGGTCTATTCTCGCTTAATGAAGCCATTGTAGGAGCCACGTTGGCTCTGGCGGCCCTCGCGAAAAGGTGATCGTGAACGGCGGCGCTGGTCGCGAGAAGTCTCCCGCAGCTTGCATCCTAGGGCAAAGCCCTCCAAAAACGCGTGGGAGGCCGCAGGATCGGCCATGACGCCTTCGCTAGGACCACCGCTGTGGCCATAAAGGCTCTGAATGCGTCGCAGGAGCCGACGCTCGTCCTCTTCCTCCGACAATGGCTTGTAGGACTTCTCCTTCGGTCTGAAGGACGTGCCCCGAATCTTTGGTTTGTCCTCGGGCTTGTAGTATGAGCCATCCGGAAGTGGCAGTTTTCGAATGTAGTCGACGGCACGTCGGGACAAGGCCTGCTTGGCGTCTAAAGCAGAACTCCAGCAGCGCGAGTCGTTCAGGACTCGACCGTTGAGGTCCACGGTGCACTGGTATGTACCATCTGGATTGATCCATTCATCGAATTGGGGATTGAAGCGCCGTTTCTGACACTCTGAACTGAGGATGGAAGTCCACGGCTGTGTCAAAGTCCCAGCAGTGTGCACTGGGGCTCTAGCACCTTTGCCACCACTGTAACGGTCATGCACCCATTCTCTGCCACCCTTATCATGATTGGCAGCGCCATTCGGCAAGGGCATAAGCACCTGAGACATGGGCCGTGGCAGGTTGGCAGCGGCAGAGGCAGCGGTAGTTGCAGGATAGGTGATTGGGCCGACAGCAACACGGTGATCAACTGGAGACGATTCACTGTACATGCCTGGGCTAAAGCCTGGAAAGAGAGGATCTAGTTGGGCGAGTCGTGAGTCAAGATTACCGCCGAGAATATTTTACTACTTACCATAGATTGGTACAGCAGCGGCGTGAAAATAACCTTGCTGATGATGGAGGATGTTTGTTGGAACTGACTTCAAAGAAGCAGTGGCGGGGTTCTCGGCATAGCCAGAAACCCCAGCAAGCATCTGCCGAAAACGGTCCTGTCCTGAGCCTTTCTGAGGGCTATGACTGTTGGGTCTATGGCCGAAGTTCTCCATATTGATGGAGACCTTGGTTGAACTGAGATGTGTAGGGAGTTTGGCTGGTGGACCGTCAGAAGGGGGGCATTGCTGAAGGGAAGATGTTCCTGAAGAATGTACTGGTCAGAAAAGACATGCAAACGCGTTAAGTCAATGCGAAATACGGGGACTTGCAGCGTGTGATTGCTATGGAATGCAATCACGATACTCACCTTCTTTAGCACCCTGACTGGTGTCAATGCTTTCAGTCGTATCCATCACTGCTATGATCGGCTGAGATCTGGCCATAGCAGTCGATGTTTGGTTGTTGAGCACTGAACAGTTGTGAAGAATTATGGTTGGTAATATTTGTCGCCGTCACGTCTCGCCGATCTAAAGGTGAATGGTTAAGGGTGAAGCGTATTTGGTTGGGTGCACGCGTCTAGCCCACTCAGTAACTGTGGTTGCAGCCTGAGGTTGTTGCTGCTCCTTGCTGCTCGTTGCTGCTCGGACCGTCGCAAACCGAATAACACAGGCTAGGTGCTGCTCTATGTTCCAGAAAGCTAGAGAAAGAGCAATGTGGCGATCATCAATAAGGACTGCAGTAGATTAATTCAGCTTTGATAAAAATTGCCGGGAGTACAATTCTAAGGCGCGTACAACATGCTGAAGGCAATGATTTTACCAGCATTTGTGAGTCTTCCTAACATTTAGTCCTTACAAGTAACATCCTTTACCTGGATATACAAAACATGCTGTCTAGTGCCTTTGTCCAGAGGCTCGTATGCCACTTTTTCTGGCAACATGTTAAACACATGTCAAGCACATGGATGTTGCGGCTTTCGAAGAATTCGGCTCTGCTCATACTTCCTCAGAAAGGATTTCTCACTGGCAGACACCTTGTGAGGAACATCATGAGCGCTGTTAACTAATGCTTTCGAATCCTTTTAATATTTCTCTTTTACCACATGTCAAACGCCTTGATGATGACTACTTGTCCGTTGCCATTTCCTAGGGTTGCTCAAAAGCCTTGTTCGGTTTATGGCCCTAGGTCTATAATATGATCCTTAATAAGTCCCTATTTATTAGAAAGGGCATCAGCATTTTCATGTTCGATATTTTGATAATTCTTAGTTAGCAGCATAAATCTTAACATTTGATATAGTAACACTAAACATGATCTTATTTATTTCTTATGAGAAACATTTGCTTTCAAAAAAACTTTTTCTCTTTTATAAATGAGAAAGTCTCGAGATCTCCTCCAAAGACGATACCCTTTTTCTGGACATTCTATGGAGAAATTGAAAGCACAAAGCCGTTGGCTGGGTAGATACATATTTATAGCTTATGATGTTTGGCATGCGATTTAAATCGATTCTTCTCAATTTATGTAACGAGTTCATACGGGCACTATATTCCCGGCGCTTTCATGTAATTGTATATACCTGTTAACCGGAAGAAAACATGTAAACCTTGAACTTCAAGTTGAAAGCTCGCTGGAGCTGTTCGTATGTGTATGTAGTTTTATCAGTCCAAGAATTATCCCTGCTTATTTCCGTTAGTCACATCGCAATCACACAAAACAAGGGAGTATTTCACTACCACCACCATCGATGTACAAGCGTATTCATGCCGACTTGTGTACGCCAGTTGCCTGAGAAAAAGGATGTTCCCATACTAGAGAGACATTAGATTGTTTCCCACATGTTGAACCCCCTTCAGGTCACTTTGATAGTACGATGGTAAGTTGCAGTGAACGATATCCAGACACCAACGACGTTAACCAAAGCCAGAAACCAGCGGATGGTTGTGGATTGGTAGTAAGTATCAAAATTGGGGAGAGGGTTATATTATGTCTACGTCTTTGCAATAGTACTAGACTGTGTCTATACCTGAATAGTTAGCTGCAACAAGGCCGTGCTACAGTACATGAATAGTTGGAGAGTCAGTCAAGTGGATGCGCATTATCCCCATACTCTAAACCTTAGGTATGTTGTGCCTCTATTTAGTACGGATGCCGCTACCAAAAGTCTTCGCCCGCCAAGACTTTTCGCACGTACCCTGGCGGCTGATTGGCGGATCGATTCAGGGTGGCCCCAGTTGTTGATAAAGTCGTCCGCTAAATGTGAATTTTTAGAGGGGATTGCTTAATGGATTTATCGCTCTGTAGTGTGGTCCCGATTTAGTGAGTCTCCAGCGAATTTAGCGCTTAAGTGCCTGAAGATAGTTCTGCTCTCAGCTGGGAGCAGACCATCCCAGCTGGCCATACAAAATCAAGCGGGCTTAGACTTCTGGTAGCGACATCCATACGTTCCTGTCTGCAGGCTGTAGTTACTCCGTCCCCCACAATGATGGATTGGGTTTCAAGTGGGGCACGAGACCACGCCAAACCTGAACAGGGCACGGAGCGCAATCCCCCGCCTCCCTCTTTTGGGCTAGCTATCTGACCCCACAGTCCATAGTTGTCACGACCAGTGAACAACGCTATCTTACATGGAACATTGAGAACTTCGACCTCAAGCCTTGGACGAGTGTTTATCGGTGTTATGTCACAGGAAGTACTGTTTGTGGTCGTAGACATGGCAGCAAATGGCATGTACTTTCTCTGTTGAATTGACTATTGGAAGGCGACCGGTTCACAGCTGCTAAATATTCGGACAAATTCGCCGGCCATCATAAGTAAGTGCTTGAGGTGTCAGAGCAATGCAGGTATTCAAGATCGTAATACTGCAGTCAAAGCTGCAGCCTCACCCGACTGTGGTTCACTTGAACATCCGACGGCTGTGGAGCTCTACGGACATGTCTTGGTGCACCTCGGTGGCTACCATCCCGCATTCAATGTTATTGTACCTGGTACATCATCCACTTATTTCTTGTCCTTCGCCTGTTATGTATATAAAGGCCAAGTTGGCCCAAAAAGCGGACTTCGATTTGCGAGTTATCCTACTTTCTCTTTCATATCACGCCTTGGGTTGGCTTGCTGCAGCCGTGACTTCTTCAAGCATTTCACCATGGCGCCCCGCATTGTAGTTCCCATCGACCAGCACTGGTCCTTCAAGCAAGCGGATAAAGATGACAACACATATCTTCCTGTCGGACAGTTCCCGACGCATGTACACCTAGATCTTCTGTCACACAAGCTCATCCCTGATCCTTATATCGGCAAGAATGAACTTGAAGTTCAGTGGATCGGAGAAAAAGCCTGGGTGTACAAGACGTCATTCAAGTCCCCAACCGTTGAAGGCTCTGCCAAAGCTGTGTTGGCTTTCGACGGTCTCGACACTTTCGCCACGGTGGTGCTCAACGGCAAGATCATTTTAGAGACAGAGAATATGTTCCTCCCAGAACGCGTAGATGTGACATCTGTCTTGAAGCTAGACGGCGAGAACGAGCTCGTGATCAGCTTTGACAGTGCCTACTTGCGAGGTTGGAAATTGGTTGAGAAATATCCAGACCACAAATGGGGCTGCTGGAATGGTGATAGTTCTAGACTTGCAGTGCGCAAGTCACAGTACCATTGGGTATGTACCAGGATCACCGCGTTCAGCAAATATGTCACTAATAGTACTAGGGTTGGGATTGGGGCCCGGCTTTGCTCACTTGCGGCCCCTGGCGACCGATCAATCTTGAGGTGTATGATTCCAAGATATCCGACCTGTGGTGTGATATTGACGTTGAAGAGTCACTGAGGACTGCCACTGTCAAGGTTAACACAAGTGTCGACGGAAACACCGCTAAGGTGCGCTTCGACGTTTCCTTGAATGATCAATCACTAGCTGGCCAGGAGGTCGAAGGTACAGACGCGACTTTCACTATCAATGATCCGGAGTTATGGTACCCTGTTCGATATGGAAAGCAGCCTCTCTACACCATCAAGGCCACCTTGTTAGAGAATGGCATAGAGATTGATTCAGTCAGCAAGAAAATCGGATTGAGAAGAGCACAACTTGTCCAAAGGCCATTAAAAGAGCAGCCTGGGACTTCATTCTTTTTTGAGATCAACAATATTCCCATCTTCTGTGGGGGTAGTGATTGGATTCCGGCAGATAACTTCATCCCGCGAATCAGCAAGGAGAGATACTACGATTGGGTCAAGCTCGTAGCGGATGGCAACCAATTCATGATTCGAGTCTGGGGCGGAGGTATCTATGAGGAACAAGCCTTTTATGATGCCTGCGATGAGCTAGGTATCCTCGTGTGGCAAGACTTTATGTTCGGCTGCGGCAATTATCCAGCGTGGCCAGAGCTCCTTGATTCTATCAAGAGGGAGGCTGAGGAGAATATCAAGCTGCTCAGACACCATCCCAGTATCGTTATTTGGGCTGGCAATAACGAGGACTACCAGTACGCTGAGAGTGAAAACTTAACCTGGGATCACAAGGATCACAACGCTGAAGGCTGGTTGAAGACCGACTTTCCTGCCCGTTACATCTACGAAAAGATTCTACCAGATGCTTGCAAAGAATTAATACCTGCCACCTACTATCATCCAGGCAGTCCCTGGGGTGGTGTAGATACGCACGATCCAACAGTGGGAGATATCCACCAGTGGAATGTGTGGCATGGAACTCAGGAGAAGTATCAGAACTTTGATAAGCTTGTGGGCCGCTTCGTATCTGAATTCGGAATGGAGGCATTCCCTTCTGTCAAGACCATTGATGCATTCCTCCCACTTGGCAAGGATGATCCTGACCGTTATCCCCAATCGTCCACTATCGACTTCCACAACAAGGCAGACGGGCATGAGCGCCGCATTGCTCTATACCTGGTTGAAAATATGCGCTACGCACCAGATCCACTAGAGCAATTCGTCTACTGCACCCAGCTTATGCAGGCTGAATGTCTTGCCTCGGCTTATCGTCTCTGGAAGAGGCAGTGGAAGGGACCCGGTCGGGAATACTGTGCCGGTGCCTTGGTCTGGCAGATCAACGACTGCTGGCCCGTGACGAGTTGGGCCATCTGCGATTACTATCTTCGTCCGAAGCACGCGTACTATACTGTGAAGCGCGAGATGGCGCCGATTAGCGTTGGCATGACGAGGCGCGAGCACAAGACGCCTCGCGACAAATACACCCGTGTCTATATTGACACCAAGGTCCAGGTTGAGATATGGGGTTCCAACTTGATGCTGGAAGATCTTGAGGTTGACTGTATCGTCAAGGCTTGGGATGTCGAAACAGGCAAAGAAACGTACTCCAAGACCGTAGCTGAGAAGCTGCGTTTGCCCAAGAACCAGAGCACGGAAGTGATCGCCATGGATGTCCCGGCTACCAAAAAGGGCGAGGAGGGAAAGACAGTCGTGGCAAGCTATTTGATCCAGAACGGCAAGCAGATTGCTCGGTACGTCAACTGGCCGGAGCCGCTCAAGTATCTCCATCTGCAAAAGCCCGAGCATCTCAAGGCGGTGCTGAGTGATGACGCCACGAGCGTTGCTATTAGTGCCGAGGTACCAATCAAGGGTGTTGCATTAGAGTGCGAGGATGACGATGTAAAGTTTGATGACAATTTGGTGGACATTGTACCTGGCGAGACTGTGATCATTGCAGTCAAGGGTGCAAAGAAGTCGTCCAAGATAACAACGCGCTACTTGGGCATGATCTAGCGTTCTAGTACTGGCCGGCTAATTTTGGAGTACACGCTGTGGAGTATATGGCATTTTAGTATAGAGAATTTATATGATGGGCCGACAGATATGTTAAATTTGCTCGGCTCGACTACCCTGCAATTGTGCCTCTTCACATAATTATATCGTTTTGTAGTATTCTTTTCTCAAGTTGATCTGAGTTCAATTCTCTGGCACATCCGTTAAAAGATCAGAGGACATCTATCCCAACACCTACGCTACTTGACACCTACAACATAACGAGTTGAATTTCAGGCTGTCGGAGCAACAGTTCTGGTAACGGCCTCACAGCTTTTCGTTTGGACCAGCAATCAAGATCTTGATAACCTGGCCCTTGGAAACCTTCTCGAAAGCCTCTTCTGCCTTGTCAAACGATACGGTGTCACTGACGAGCTTCTTGACGTCAACCTGGCCACTGGCTACTAATTCGACAGCTAGTTTGTAGTCTCCGCTGCCATATCGGAATGAACCCTTTGCGGTGACCTCCTTGAGGCAGAGGGCCATGATAGGGAAAGTGATGTCAGGCTTGCCCATACCGCCCTGAACGTATGTACCACCCGTGCGCACAGTGTGCAAGCTCGTTTGAATGCTGGGCTCGGCACCGCTGGCATCGATCACGGCGTCTGCGCCCTCGGGCAGGCCGATTTCTTTCTTGATATTTGCTGCGTTCTCCTCGGCCGACACACGCTGCGAGATGTACGTGTGTGTACTTGCAAAGTTCTTTGCGAACTCTAGCTTTGACTCCACAATGTCCACGCTGCAGACCTTGGTGGCGCCGAATGCCTTTGCGACGGCGGCACACAGCAGGCCCACGGGCCCAGCGCCCATGACGACCACCGATTGGCCAGGCGTGATGGCGGCTTGCCGCACAATGTGTACAGCAACCGCGAGCGGCTCGACAAGCGCACCCTCTTGCAGCGAAACGCTGTCGGGCAACTTGTAACAGAAATCTGCCGGCGCAGCCCAAAAACCCGTCAATGTACCATCGTACGGCGGCGTAGCGGCGAACCTCATATCTGGGCACAAGTTGTACTTTCCACCCAGGCACGGCGAGCAGTGGCGGCAAGGGTATCCGGGCTCAAGGGCGACGCGGTCGCCCTTCTTGAGGGTAGTGACGGACTCGCCTACCTCAACCACTGTGCCTGCACTCTCGTGACCGAGGACCATGGGGTCCTTGACGACAAAATGTCCGATGGCGCCATGCTGCCAGTAGTGCACATCGGAACCGCAGATGCCCGTGTAGTTTATGGCGACCAGGACGTCGTGTGGGGTGGCAAGCGAGGGCACCGGCTTGTCGGCGTAGGAGACATCGTGCGGTTTGTTCAAGATGAACGACTTGTTCTGCGGAGCCTGTTAGCACGAAGGACGTATCAAACCTGCCAGGGTATTGCAAATAGCGAGATACAGGGGACTCGGCTGAGAACACAATCAATGGCAGTTCTCAGCATACACGCAGATTGAGCCGTTTCTGATGCTCAACAAACGTCGTGCCAGTGTCTCCTGGGTGGCCCGAAGTGTTCTACTTACGCTTGCTGTCTTGGGGTCCATCTTGTGAACAACCGGGACGCCGAAACGACGTGTGTATGTCTTGGAAATACAGTTCTCGGAGAGCAATAGCTAGACAATGCTTTGTTTCGGGGAAGCTCAACACAAAGGCCTAGATTTTGTAAAGTTGAGAGAAAATTGTAAAAGAAAGCGTGTACCTACCGCCGTGGTCGGAGGGCGATCACTTGATTGAATGCATATTATCTTATTCGACCGCTTGGAAGAAGACTGCCCCTCTCGTGGAGTAGATTTCGTAAAGTTCGAAGCCAATTAGGAAGGACACCGGTCCAACATCACCATGATGCTCACCGTTATGCGACGCGGGGCAGGGCTTGAGGAGTTCGAGCTATCAGCGACCCCCCACTAGAGCTAGCATTATTACGACATAGTGCAGAGAGAAATGGGCAGCTTTTTACAACTACATACGGATCCGTAGGCTGTGGGGAATCATATTTAGCCGCTGAATATAGCCGCGCCAATCGTGCTGATGTCCGGGGGGAAGGCAACTTGGGCGAACTTCATACATTGCTCTCAGGAGGCGCAGGTGCTTCAATGGTTATCAGTGCAAATATGAAGTGGCTAGCAATCATTCCATCGGTATTGCTCCAGGTGTATGCATGTAGAACATATCTCCACTAGCTAGCCTAAAATAATTCCTATGTATGTAGGATCACATTGTGTGGAGAAGATCCTGATTACTTCGTGCTGGACGAGTACAAATCTGCAAATCTTGACTGTTGCCCAATCAGTGATGTCGGCGTGTCAAACTCAACCAACGAGCCATTGTCTAGCAAAGCTACTTTGTCGTACCGAGTAACATGCTTGAGACGATGCATGACCGCAAGAACTGTGCAATCCTTGAAGGTGGTGTCGATAATGTCCTGCATGATGGCCTCAGTCTCGGCATCAACACTACATACGCGTTAGCATTGCAAGGACGGCAATCAGCCGGCGAGTTTCTCGAACATACCTGCTTGTGGCCTCGTCAAGGATCAGCACTTTGCTTTTTCTGACCACGGCACGAGCCAGGCATAGCAGCTGCTTTTGGCCCGCTGACCATGCCGCAGTGTCCATTTCCTTCTCGAGGCCGCCTTGCTCCTGGACTGTACCCCATAGGCGAACACTTTCTAAAGCGCGGATTATTTCATCGTCAGATATCCTTCCGAAGGGATCAATATTGAATCGTACCGTCCCCGGCAATAGAAAGGGGTCTTGCGGCACAACATTGAGATGTGATCGTACATCTGTGCATGCGACCGTGCCTACGTCGATATCATCGACGGTGATTTGCCCACTTCGGGTCTCGACCATCTGCAGTAACGCCAGGATGAGTGATGTCTTGCCCGATCCGGAGCGGCCACAGATAGCGACGTGCTCTGCGGCCTTGATCGCCAATGATACGCCCTGGATGACAGGTTCGGCGTCAGAGTTGTGGGAGGCAACGAGGCTCTTGAACTCAATAACACCCTGTCTCGGCCACTCATCCGCAACCTCGGTCGTCCAGCCTGCCTTTTCTTCTGATTCGGTATCGGCTACAAACCGCTTGACTCTAGCCACCGCACCGATACTGGACTCCATCATGGTCCACATCTTGATGGTTCTCATAAGGGTCATACTGAATCCCATTATCATGACAAGACTAACACCAACATTACCAGCAGTGAATTTATCCTTCCAGGTAACCACGATGGCCACCAGAATGACCGCGAGGGCTGCAACCACCATATCCAACACAAAGGCGAGCCAGTGTTGGATCATATGCTGCATGTAAGCCGGGCGTTGTGCTTGATCAATACGCTTGAAGTTGCGTTCCTCATACTGTGATTGCCAGCCATATGCTCGTATAGTAGCAGCACCGGCCACAGATTCAGTAAAGTGCGTGAAAAGAGGCGCCTTGGACTCTATCTCAATCAGACGAACCTGTCTGGAAGTATGCAGATAATAATTCTGTAAGAAATACAAAACAGCAATCACGAATGGCAGTGTCGCAGCAAGGTATTGCGAGAATACAATGAGAATGATGGCCTTGCAAAGACAGCCGAACACAGCTACAGAGTTGTCAGTAGAGGCTCAACATGGAGGTGAAAAGCCAGGAATGCATCGTGCGAGGACTTACACGTAGTGTAGTTCACCATTAAAATAGGGAGGGCCATGTCGATGAGCTCCATGTCCTGACTAAATCTGCAGCAAAATAGTCAGTGATCGAGGCCGGGCGCAGTAACAGCAAATCCTGCTGCCACATTTGCAGTCTTGCAACATACCTGTTTGTCAGAGTTCCCGTGTCCGTAGCGGTGAAAAACCGAAGCGGAGCTCTGATAGTACTATCGAGCAAGTCCCTGTGAAGTCGATAGGAGGAGTTCGAAACAATGAAGACGAAGCCTATCCAGCATGCGAAACCTGCCATCGTGATCCCAAATACACCGAAGAAGGCGTAGATACCCACATACATACCCAAATCCTTGTTCGGCTCGTTCTCATTAGCAGTCGACCACCAATCCAGCCACACCGTTGGGAACTCAGTAAAAAAGTCCCAGATGAACATGCCCCCCGCATACAGAGCTACAATCAAGTACCCGGAGCTTCTGAAGTAGTAAGTATAGACAGACCAGTTCCCCTTTTTTCGAGTAGCATCGGGTGTATCTTTGTCCTTGGCCGAAGTTACTGCCACAGATGTGAGTGACTCGGCAGCAGTGCTTTGGACATGTGTCAGAGCTATCTTGTCCGAGTTGGGTTCCTCCTCTTGTGGTTCGTTTTCTTCTTTTTCTTCTTTTTCTTCTTCTTCTTCCTCCCGCATTTTAAGGTCGAGTTTGGCAACATAACCATCACTTGAGAGTAATGCTTGCGGTGTCCCGGACTCGACGATCTTGCCGTCTTCGAGGGCAATAATGGTATCGCCTTGCGTCATCAGCTTATCTGCTTCAAGTCAGCATTGCAGCCACCAGGATCGGATTTTGGTATCCCTACGACTATGCGTGGCAAGTATGACGGTCGTTTTGTGGGTACGGAATATCCCGTTGCCGCCGAAGAGGCGACGGGACACAAGTTCGATAGTGTGCGCGTCCATACCGCTGAAGATATCATCAAATATAACGGTGTCCCGTCGGGAGTAGACAGCACGTGCGATGGCCTATGTTTTGAGAGGTTCCCTTAGCTCTACATGACGATGAAATCATGGCTTTACTCACAATTCTTTGTTTTTGACCACCGCTGAGATTGACTCCCTTGCTGCCTACGATGGTTTGATCGCCGTTTTCTAGTGCCTGTATATCCAAATCGAGACCACAAGCAGACAGAACTGTACGGTACCATCTCTGATCATACTGAGATACGCCGATAATGTTGCTTCGAATTGTCCCATTTTCGAGCCATGGTTGCTGTGCGCAGTACGCAACAGACGGGGCCCGCTGCACTGTACTGCCTGGACCAGATAATGTCTCGCCCAATATGCTCTCCAAAAGCATTGTTTTGCCTGAGCCAACAGCTCCCACAACCATGGTGAAAGCCCCTTTCTTTACTCGAAAGTCGATGTCCTTCAGGAAGGCAGGTTTGTCTTTGGCCCATGCAAAGTTCTGTTTCTCCACGGCAATGGCATCACCGCTATGACCGGAGCCTGAATTCTCCATTACGGGCGGTAGTGATTGAAGACTGATAGACGACTGGGGGCGCTTCTCATCAGTATGGTCTTCTTTGGACGAGACAGAACTTTCTGCGTAGTTGCAGTACTCCTGAATACGATCGAAGCTACCAACACACTGAAGTAGCCGTGGTATTATTTGAACAACGAGCATGACCGGCATCACTAGCACATTGATCAAAGCAATAGAAGTAAAAGCCTGTGCCGTTAAGAGAGTATCGTTCTTCCAAAATACTGCAATGATGGCATAAACGCCAAATGTCACCACAGGCGCAATATTGCCAGGTCCATTAGCTATGATTTAGGTCAGTACAAGTGTCGCATAGTACGTCAACCATCTTCTTACAAACGACTAGAGTCCATACCAGCAGTTTGCGGTACGCACTCGAGGTTTTTATCTCGACTTTGCGAAGGTTATCGATAATACCGGACACTACATTTGAAAGACCTAGCATTTTCACCGCTTTCATGTCATCCAGAATTGCTGAGGTGATTCGGAGGCGTGCTTGAACCTTTTCGATCCAGGCTTTCTGTGCCGTCTTGGCGCCAGTCGCAATTGGTCCAGTCGCAAAGAAACAGACTTATTCAAGTATTTAGTAGATATCGAAGTGGTCACAAGGCAACGACGACTCACCAATAATCACCGCTATTGGCGCCAAGCACGCGATAAATATTTGCTGCTCGAGTAAAAAGATCGCTACACCGACCTCGATCACAGCCGCCCATACTTCATGAATCATTATGAAGTTCTGACTGATGCGTTCGACGTCAGTACCCATCAAGGCTATCGCAGTGGTTTCGCCGAGATCAACAGTCCTGGCTCTCATTGTTTCCCGATACACCAATCCAATAAGCCCACTGCTGAGCCTGGTAGTGAAGCGGGTGGTTTGGTAAGATGCCAGACCAGTGGAGAACTGCAAGTGTCAGCTTCAGACTATTCGATAGAGAACAACACATACACCCAGACCGAGAAACACCAGAGCATATGCCCCTATCAAGCCTTTCCCGTAACTAGGGTCGGGAGCAGCCTGCCCAACATAGCGGACCGTGGCATTGATCAGTAGCGGCTGAACCAAAGTGAATGCCGACTTGCATAATCTTGGGGGCACGCCGGAGAGAAATGAAACCAGATTGCTGCGAAAACATGCTTTCAGAAGGCTGTGTCGTTGTTTGCGGTCGTCTGTTTGTGGTTAGACTAACCCATATCACTGTTTATTGCAGTACTGACAATTCGCCCAAGTCGCCCCTAGTTTGTCACGCAGGGCATGGCTTTTCAACCGAGTGTCCAGTTTCGGTAGGTCTTCCACGGAAATGATCTTGGCGTAGCCAGCTCGGAAGGTCGATACCAACCATGCAAAGACGGTTCGCTTCCAGAATCCGCTATATTCTTCCGGGGCCCCAGAGCGTTTCTCCTCCTTCAGACTCGATTTCTTCTCGGTAGACTCGAGGACCAGGGCGACTATAGAGAGTGCCAAGGTCGCTGTCATCGCTGCAGCCACTCCATCTTGAGATCCGATCAGCCACAATGTCCGAACACGGGCTATGTCAAGAATGCTAATCGTCGAAAGGTAGAGGCTGAGTAATGTTGACGGCCGAAGTGAGCGCTGATGGTCAATGTACGAGACCCAGGCAGCCCCAGCAGTTCCAACGATTGACAATGTATCAGCTGTTATCGATGCGTTGGTTTGGAAGATTTCGCTTCGAGTTCGCAAGGCGAGTAGGATTATTTGAGTTACCAGTATACCAGTGAGGATTGTCTACAAATACAGTTAGTTGACCCTCTACGCCGTGATGTTTAATACACTTACCAGCTTGCTTCCCAGCAGTTTTGACCTTACTGAGCTGACAGCTGGACTCTTCGCTAACACGGTGACGTGCGAAGGTAGAAGGGAAAGGAAAACTGCAATCGGCAAACACGTAAAGAAAATGTCCTCAAACAGCAGGGTGAAATCGAAGGACCGGCAAGAGGTGTCCACCCTCGGGCCGAAAGTCTTGTCGGCCAAGCACGATGTTGACGCCATCATGGGGAGCGAGTTCGGGGTATCATTGGTTGGCAATCAGATGGAAAGCCATGAACAACAACGAAAAAGAGTTATGTGTTCGAGCAATGTTTAAATGCTCGAATTTCTCAAAGATAACCATGCAATCAACATGGTTGCACATGCAACGGGCTTAAGACGTAACAGTCGGCACGTATGAGCGATGCCTTTGCATCTAGTCATGGAGCGATGCAAGGCTATGGCACAGCTATTCTATAACTCACATCCCATGCCGAAGGGACTAGACTGTTGAGTTAATACGACCTTTCGGTTCGATTGGCCAGTCCGATCCCTGCTGCGTCATGCAAGGCTCGATTTTCTCATGCAGTGCGTTCAAGGGTCATGATAGCGACAAATCAAATCACCTTCGGACCCACACTAAGTGGTCGAGATCATCAATCTGATGTCATGTCTCAACGGATGAATTTGACCCAGCCGTCGTGAGACCCAACTCTTGTGAGACCCAACTTATATAGAACGGAGGAGCTAGAGCCCCTTAGCATATCATCCATGATTCGCAGCGTTTGATCACTAAAGATAGCCGTAGATGGCGTCGTGGCATAGAGTTGAACGCCCTCGTACTGGCCACAGTTCGCTAAGGTTAGGTTGGGTCTCTCAGCGAACAGCTTGCACAGCGATGGATGAAATGTTTGATTGATAGATTTCCGTGTTTGTTATCCATGGTGCACGTTCACGTTCACGTACTTTTGTCCGTCTCCCGACAAGCCACTTCCAAATCTGGGCAGGCGGGCCGACGGGAGCTAGGGCGGGCTCGGTGGGGGGCTACAACCTCATTAGCCGCCTGGAAGTGCCTGGATGTACATACATGCTATGTACTAACCTATGTAACTTAGGTAAGTTAATAGTAGTAAATAACGTTAGCTCCACGGCAGAACCTCTTCACCGCCTGCCTCCTGTTAATAATTTTTCCCATGCTCACAGCTTGTGTTGCAAAATGTTAACGCAGATACCAATGCAAATGCAAATGCAACAAATCTCGGTCTGAAGCACAAGTTGACCCCACGTCACCATGGATCTGCTCAAGATACTGTCGCGCGGTACGAAGAAAACCAACAGCCAAGCTACCGCTGCCACCACGAGCGCAAAACCAGCAAACCCACAACTATACCATGATGCGACAAAAGGTTTGAAGAGGAAGCGCAACGAAGAGGCACTGGATGATGCTGTCTCCAAGGACACGACAGAGGACCTCGATTTCTTCGCGGTAAATGACGCCAAGAGTACCAAGGGTACCAACGCCGCCGAAGCCGAGAAAAAGAACAAGCAACAAGAGGACGCTCCAAACCAAGAGCAGGCTCGGTTGCTCGATGCCGACGACGTTCGCCAGGTTTTACGATCGCATCGGCTAAAATTCACCCTTCTTTCGAGACACGAAGAAAAGAAGTCAAAGGTCAAGAAGTCCAAAAAGAAGGATCAAGTCAAGGCAAAGAGCAAGGAATCCAAGCAACCACTCTTCCCTCAACCGCTAACGTCCTTCAACGACTTGCGGAATACCTACAAGATATCCCCAAGACTCGTCGAGAACTTGGCGAGACAAGGCTTCAGATTACCCACAGAGGTACAATTAGGAAGTCTGCCGCTCTTGATCGACCCCAAGATAGCTCTGCAAAACCCCACAGGTCATGAGCTGAACATACCCATGCATGAGTCCGTCAATTTCCTGGCAGTAGCACCTACCGGAAGCGGAAAGACACTTTCGTTCTTGATACCAACCATCAACTCTATTTTACGCAGACGAGCTGAGCAAGGGCGGCAGAATAGTCATGCATTGGAAGGATTGGTCATAGCACCTACGCGAGAGCTTGCTCACCAGATTGTCCACGAAGGTCAAAAGCTAGCGGCTGGCACCGGTGTTAAGGTCGTTGGCTTCAAGAAAGGAATGCGACTGCCTACGGGAGATGATTTCATAGATTTGGAAGAGGAGAATGGCTCGGCTGCACAAAATTCAGACGCCTCAGAAGCTTCCGATGCCGATGACGATGATGATGACGACGACGACGACGAGAAGCGGGAGGATGATGCATCGGAACGTCCAGTTACAAAGGCAGACATAATTGTCACCACGCCCGGACTGCTTCTGAGTTTTCTTTCCAAAGGTGGCAAACGAAAGACTCTGCCAGCTGTCCGGTCTGTTGTTTTGGATGAAGGTGATGTTCTTTTGGACGAGCTGTTCCGGGAACAGACACTGGGTATCATTTCTTCCTGTACAAATGAGTCCCTGAGATTCACGTGTTGGTCCGCTACCATGGGTTCGAACATCGAGGCACTTTTGTTAGAAAAGTTTGGTGTCCAGGGCTCTGCTTCCAGTGCTCCGCTCGTAAGACTGGTGGTAGGTCTCAAAGACACGGCTGTACCAAGTGTAAATCACCATTTGGTTTTCACTGGAGATAGTGAACGAGGAAAACTCTACACTCTTCGACAACTACTCCACCCCAGCTCAGCGGGATCGTCAACCACAATTCCTGAAATGGCCCTGCCGTTCCTCGTCTTCGTTCAGACCGTTGAGCGGGCGTCTTCGCTTTATGACGAATTGAAATTCGAGTTTCCAGCTGAGGCTGGCGGTTCTACTAGGATTGCCACTTTGCATTCATCCTTGTCTGAATCAGCAAGATCAAAAATCATTGCCAGGTTTCGAGCGGGTGAGATATGGGTACTCATCACGACAGATTTGTTGATGCGCGGTATCGATTTCCGTGGTGTCAACGGTGTAATCAACTTTGATATTCCGACCTCGCCTGCAGCTTATGTGCACCGGGTCGGCCGAACCGGCCGCGCAGGTCATGAAGGTGGTGTTGCCGTCACGTTCTACACCAAGGAAGATATTCCTTACTTGAAGAACATCGCGAACGTAATCTCATTAAGTGAAAAGCAGGCTGGCAAGGAGGACGGTATTCCAAAGTGGCTTATGGATGCCTTGCCAAAGGTGCAGAAAGATGATAAGAAGAAACTCAGGAAGAAGGGTGTAGAGTCTCGCAGGGGCGACAAGGCTGAGATTTCGACAAAGAGCGCCTGGGAGAAACGTCGCGAGAACAACAGGAAGGGTGCCATTGCAGGGAGTAAGAAGAGGAAACTCGAGCATGGGGATGACAGCGACGAAGGGCATGAAAGCGAGTGGGGTGGACTGGGTGCTTAAAGTGCCTCCACAGAGTGGCTATGGGGTTAGAAATGGATTGTCACAATAGCGTATGACCCAACATGCCTAACAGTCTTCACCAAATGTCCTTTGCATCCGTGTTGGTGATATTGTAGTACAAAAGCTCGCCTGTCTGAAATTACCTCCACCCTAACGATGGACGCGAAAAGTTTCGGACGGGCCAGCATTTAGACATACAATCTTTGGATGACTTCAAAAACCTGCTGCTCACCAGTGAGAGTTCCTCTGACGTGCTGGAAAAGACCGAGACTACATGAGAATATTCTTCCTGTTAGGTCTGTTAGTTAGCAGCAAGAGCGATCGGGCTCGTTGGCTCTAGAAATAACAGTGATAGAGCAAGTCGACGGAAAAGTGTATCACTTGGCACTTTACGAGGTACAAAAGGTGGTGCTCCCAATCTTCATGCTCCCTACTTCTATGCTCCTAATTTTCATGTTCTTCACTTTAACCCCTCAACCATTGAGCTTCTGAAGACTGTCCAGGTTTCGCCCATTTCATTCGCTTCTTGAAGTGGTTGACTCATCTAATAATGTCTGAGGTGCGACGGCAATTCCCAGCCTCTCATGCCCCAATACCTCTGCCATTTCGACGTTCTCAACCAGCGAGCAATCAGATTTAGTAATGGCCCCTAGATTATAGCAAAATAAAATTCCTGCTTGCCAGTACTAGGACTGTTCATGTCAGGAAAGCCAAGCCCTTGATTAATAAAGATACCATGAGCTGCTCGTTGAAATCGACAATACAAATCTCGTCAACTTTGATACGAGCTGCAGCGTCTGGGATATAGTTTTCCATTACTGCTGACCTGCAGCTCTGATTGCCTATCCTTTTGAGCTTAGCGACCTACCACAACTACACGATATCTATCGGTTTGAAGCAAAGGACCCAGGGTTCTAAGAGCTCGGAGAAGTAATGGCAATCCCCGGAAACTCTGAGTAGGTTCAAATCATCTTTGACGAGGGCGGGCGGCTCCAAGCTGATCGTGATCCGAGGGGAAACATGAACTTTAGACGGACTTGCGAAATCATCGTAGCAGAGTACGAAGTTACAGGTCAATTCAGCATAACGGAGTCAGGGTGGCCAGTACATTATGATATTCTGGACAACCAAGGCTTGGCTTTTGAAGAGGGCATAAAAGTATCCGGTATTTATTGGCTTCCACAGCGGAGATTTCAGTAATGGATGGCAGTATTCTAGCCGACGATGGCGGTGGAAAGTCAGAATGATAACAATAGTGCCTCGCTATCGGATACGCTCACGGTGACTATCCCACCTTGCACCTCAATGATCAAACTGTCATTCCTCACGCCTTCGACTTCATTGCCTAAACTCTCATATGTCCATTGACTTCCTGCGTAGGTGATTGTGTCTGCTCCGGCTCCGGCGCCAATTGGACTAGTTAATCTGGCGACACTGACCTCTGTAACGCCGTCTGGTACATATAGATCAATGCTGGTCGAAGGCCTGGGCGTCCCCGAACTTGTCTGATTCCAGTACTGCAGGTTTGCAATGGCTATCCTTTTTAGCACTTCATTTTCGAAAGCACCATACGCAGCCAGGTTTGGACTTGTCTCGCCGCCGGTAATGCTCAACCGCTGAGTAGTAGTGGCGCCGGAGCTTCCAATGAAATCTGCCACAAAAGGTTGGCTGTAGAAGTTCGCGAATACTTGGGCTTCCACCCCAGCACTGGCAACGGGCAACCACATATCATATCCCGCGTGCATGATCTGTTGATAATTGATCCGAGCAACACCGATGCTCATTGCATAAAGATAAAAGTCCACCTGCCAGAGTGCCGAACCGAGGCGAGCCTGATATTGGTAGCTGTTCGTTGGCTTCAGGGAATTGCCTACTTCGGAGAGAATGAAAGGGATGTTTGGTTTGTTAGCCTTCAGCCAATCAATCCGCCGTTTCAGATAGTCCGCATGACCATGTGTGATGGTCATGTTCATCAACCCACTGGCCAGCGTCGAGGCATCGCCTGCAATGTTCTGGTAGTAATGGTGGGCAACGGTCTTGATGCGGTCATAAGGGTCGATGCCCAGCCCGAAACAAGTTTCGACATCCAGGACGTATGCTTCCTCGGCGACAGCAGGGCCGAAATGTGTACCGATATCGAAAGCCTGGAGAATAGGGTAGTCGGGAAACTTTACTGCTTCGGCGATAGCATCGGCGAATTTCGTGTAATTCCCGACATACGTCTCGTTATTTAGAGTACCCAAGTAAGCAGAGGGCTGCAGAGCAATACCGTCTACACCAGTGAAAATGTCGTTGAATAAGTCGGGCTCGTTGCCAATCTCAATGGCTTGGATTTTGTCCCAGCCGATGATATCGACAGCACTCTGAGTCCAAGCAATCGCCTCGCTGGTGTTGGTGTTTGCCAACGGGACTTGGATAATGTACTGAGCATCCGGAAAATTATGTGCTAGCTCCCAGTATGCTGGTCCTATTGTAGTATTTCCGATATTCTGGTAGTTGTTCTGCTCGGCCTTGGGTAGTGCAGGCGCTGACTGACCTGGCTCATATCGCCCGTAGTCCGCAGATGTGCCACCTAATCGAATGATAGGTTTGCCACCGGTGCGAGATGTGATGGAACTAATTAAGTTGATGGAAAATTCGTTGGGATTCCCTTCGACATCCATTGCATACTCTTCAAAGGAGGCTTGCTCGAAGGCCAGCCCACAGAAGTCTGAGTCGATGACATGTGCATCTTCGCTAAGGGCAGGTAGTCCAATACTCAGACTGTTGGTGTTCGCAACAAGTATGCATAATGCTGTTGCGCAGAGCGCAGGCTTGTGGCTGCAAGACGACATCTGGGGCGCCATGACCATCTTTTGAAAGATGTCTATTCTCACTATAGAGGATGTGATTCCAGATATTGTGCCACATGTGTAAGTTTATCGAAATATGTTAAAAATGAGATTAAAGATATATTTTTTTAAAACCCAGCTTGATGTGACAAGATAATATGAAGCTAGGGTAGGAATTGCGGTGTCGGCTCTTTTCTAATGCTTTTGCAAGTGCCTTTGTGGTGCCTATCGTTGATTCGAACGATATATAGTACAGATCTGCTGTGGAGACAATTGGGGTGGAATGACGGAGCTGCAAGATATACCGTCGCTTGCTTGAGAATGAACCTAAGGTAGCAGATTTAGGTTTCTTCTTTTCCCAGCCTCCCTGCATTAGATGGAAAGACATAGGATCGAAGCACGACCCTGGAGAAGCTTGCAATATTTGAGCGGCACCAGTATGTATCACGACCGCACGTCTCACCGTCAACACACTCTGTGGTTCTCGTCTGCATTGCATAACCCTGAATATGATGCATTCGGCATAAGATTGTGGGCTTCCACCCATAAGACGCATGCCAAAGCTCATCCAATCTGCAACAGAACATGTTGAACATGGTCTAGCTAGTGGATGTTGATGGTGTACGACATGGGGATGATCACGTTCCCGGCAGTCGGGCTGTAAAGACCGAGATTGGTTTATAGTGGCGTTGTTCTCCTCATGCATCCTCCTGGCGCCCCTAGGTAAGGTGCTCCATACCTACGGAGACAATAACAAGTGGATATAATAACCCGGAAGCCGGCCGTTGGAATGGCTACACAGTAGAGAAAATCTAGCTACGTAGTGTACACGTGCTACAGTAAGTACTATATCCTTGACTAACATAGACCTAGTCTGCATTAGAGCGGGGAAACCGCCAAGAAACAAAACGCGATCCTACTTGTACGCGTCCAGTGAGATTTTGTCTTCCAGCCAGTCTGAAAGGCAACAGCGATTATGATTAGCAGGCCGCTTCTGGAGGACTATCTGACGGGTATCTGTACTAACCGTAGGAATGGATACCTGAAAGCCTGTTCACGCCAGTTTAGCCTTTCCAACCTTTTTCTGAGCCACCTTTTTGAAAACGATGACGAACATGCACGTACACAGCTAAGTCGCCAATAAAGCACACGGGTTGGTGTCGCAGTGGTTTGACGAAATGTCATGGATATCTAGCATCTAGCGGCATGATTTCCAAAGCTTTTCTCGACCCATGCTATACCCTATTTGCCAATACACATTGCCTTGGTGAAAGCCTACTCCCTCCTCCGTACATACTTTACACTACTAAAATGGTAGCACCGCGTCTTAGTGCATGTTCCAGATGGCTACCTACTGTCAGTGCTCCGTAGTACCGTTAGTGCTCCCGGACGGGGGCGCTCTGGGGGGGGGGGAGGGGGCGCCCCAGGGCCCTTACCCTTGTTCCCGCCGCCAACCCCGCCACTCACTCGCTTGGACTTGAGCTCGAGCTCGTGATAGGGCTGAAGCTCCCCATGTTGTGACCCCGTCTTTGCGTTGCCCGTTCAATAACTCTCTCTAAGAGGTCAACGGCCTTTGTTGAGCCACCAAGGCCATGAGCTACCACCGAAGACAGACAGCTCAGAGCCACCACAACCCACAGCCTGACTGACCGGGCGAACCAAGCGAGGCAGCCACCTCGAATCATGCCCTGAGTTTTAGTCGAAGCCAGAGCCTTACCGATCACCCAGATCAAATGCGCGACGGTCCCCTGGGTTGAGCATTTTACCAACCGCCAAACCGATTGAGCAACCGATGACCAGAGATCACCACTGAATCAGCTGGCCCGCTCCCGTATTCTCATCCGCCACACCCCCAGCTGCAGCCGGGGTAGCGAGAATCTGAGCAGGCAATACCAAACATGGCCAACAGAGACGAGCCTGTACCGGAGGACTGGGAAGATGTTGCCAACGACAATCTATCCGTCGTCTCCCTTCCCACATCCGACGATGAGGATTTTGTCCCCGTCCGCCACACTGGTACAAGCCCAGATGCCGGGGCCCACACAAAGCCGCGTGACGACAAGCACGATGAGGCTATCGCCAGCCCGACCGTCTCGGTCTCAAGGCAGCTTGCACGGCTTTCACTAGACGATTCACAGGAAGAGAAGGCCGGCATACCTGCCCAGCAGCCACAACAAGGCAAGATCAACATGAATACCAACCGTTTGGCGAAAGTCGACATTGCGGCAGGAAGTTATGATTCGGCCGATGACGAGACACGTCTCGCCGACCATTTAGATGTCGATTTGGACCCGAATTTTCTGCAAAAGATGTCCTCGTCAACTGTCAAGCTGATTGTTGAGATCTTGGGCATCGTCCACTTCGGTGCCCACAGTCACGACGGAGACGACTCGACCGATGGTCGAACACAAATTGGGGATGTCTGCAAGCGTTTACGAAATCACCTCAACGACTTGAATCCCATTCTAGAAGGATACTCCAAGCAATGGACCACCAAGCATGCCCATGTCAGCTTGCCCATCGACCCGGGCCTGTACGAATGGATGTCTGATCTGAGGATTGAGCTTCTAGCCGTACAAGCTCTTTTACAGGACCAGATGAGCAACCGTCGTTCTGATTCCGGCCCATCAACGTTCATCTCGGATCTTACAAAGTACGAGGAATCATTGCGCGAGTCCTGCGACCATATGGCTAGTTTTCTGCCCATTATTGCGGCCGATTTTGAGGATTTTCACACGGCAAATTTACCTGTCGCTGAGGAGGAAGAAACCACGGAGGCCGAGGCCTGGGAAGCTGGCGATAGTCATCATCGCTACTCTACTTCTGGTACTTTGAGCGGCCATGCTCAGCTTCGACGTGAGCTATACGAGCTCAAGGACCAGGTCTTGGCCTGCGTTGAGTGCTTGAACAATTTCTCCGATCGACATCCGCGGGCCTCGGGTCGCCTGCTCTTCCAACTCAGGGATTCATACAATTCCATCAAGAGCACCTTGGATATACTCTTGTCAAACCACGCTTCTGAGTGGATTGACCACGGGCTTGCTGGTGGGATCACTTACCCTGAATTCTGCCGGCTTAATCCCGATACCGTTCGCTCTCTGAACGTACAGCTCAAGGAGATAGTGGACAACTTCAAGATGGAGTGCTTCCGTGCCCGTTCGTTTAGATACACGGTTGATCCCGATATGGTGCCGGCAGATGATAACGAAGAACCCGACGATCAGAATATTGATGCTTTGGGGAGCATCCAGGAGGTCTTGGCGGATCTATTTCAAGTCAAGAGGAGGCCGTCTGCAAGCACTAGCGATTGAGGATTCAATCATGGATGCCACTGATATTTAGGATTGGAAGCATGGAGTTTGGTTGAACCAGGATATTGGGCGTGCACATACAGTCGCGCCTTGAGATGTACTCAAAGTTCTTACTTACAGCTAAGCACTTGAGTAACAATGTGCTTTGAGTGGTAAAACAAGTCTCGACTCAAGTTTTCTTTCGCAATATCAGATTTCAAATCCATGGGTGTCGCCGTTGCTATGCTGCACTATTTACTCGAGTAAGATCGCTATGAGTGCGCGCAATACATCAAAGTAGCCCTTCAGTGAGACTCTCAACCCCGTTGTTTTCCGTTCTGTACGAGTAAGGTTTGATTTCTGGAACAACTTTCCCTTCCTGGGAGGGTGTCCATCTGAATGCAGTGGCAATTCAATCCACCACTTTCAGCATCCGGTACGCGTCATGGCTGATGGCCTTACGCATGACCGCGACGGAATCCATGCTCTTCTTCTTCTTTCCGAGCACTACAGTACCATCGTCGGACTCTTCATCTTCCACCACCTCTTCAGCATCGTCCTCAAAAGACCCATTCTCGAGAAACATCTTGAGCTGGCCTTGGGAGTAGCCACTCACGAGTACGGTGTTGTCTTCGTCAGCGGTCACCGGCTTGGACGCAACTCGGTCGCCCCTTCCACCTGCTAGATTCCAGAAGATGAGCCTAGGAAGCTCGTAACCAGCATCGTTAAACTTTTTCTTGATACGCACAAAGGATGTCGACCAAGTCGCGCCTTCTGACGATCTTCTATTGTATGAGTGTTTGGAACTCTCGGCCTGGTTGAACTGCATGTCGGAGAACACGAAGACCTGCTTCACCATATCTTCAGGCTTGACATTATGCTTAACTGCCATCGGAAGAAGGAGCTTTTCGAACACCGCCACGAAGTCGGTGCTCATGGACCAATTCGACCTCTCAATGTAGGCTACCTTCTCCTGGAACGTACGCTTATCATCACGGCCTCCCGCCCGCACGACTTGGGGTTCTTCTGAAAACGTGATGAAAGCGCCACCGAACGGGGCTTGGGTAACCTCAGCGACCAGTAGCGAAAGACCGATTGCAGAATCCATAGGGCAGGTACCGTCCTTAAAGACTGGAGCTTGCATTGAACCGGAGACGTCGCATACCGCTATCGAGGACTCGAGCTTTCCAGAGTCCTGGATACGCTGACAAAGGGTTTTCCATTGTCCATCAACTGCCTTGGTTGCGATTTCCTGCTCAATCTGGCTCTTGCGAGCCTCAATCTTGCCAAACACACCCTTGCCAGTGCGACCGGAGGGACCGAACTGTTTCCCCCGAACACTGTGCACTAGTGTAGAAGGAAGGAGTGTGGCACCCGAGATGCGAGCCTTCCCAGCAGCAACGTTGTCGATATACTTCTCGAAGTGCTTTTCATCCTTCTTAATGAAGAGCGAGGTGTATTGGTTCATTGCAAGCGAAGGCACTCTCTCATACTTGATGTCCTCAAAGCGGTTCTCGGAGATGGGGCGCTCCACGACATCCAAGTGCTTGCGAAGCTTCGATAGAGTGGAAGTCTGATATGCCTGTCGCGCATACTTCAGATAGAGGAAACGATCAGTGGGATCGGTGCTATCCGGACAGACTTGATCGAAAGGGTAGAGGAGCTCTGCAGTAGAAGACACGATAAAAGTATGGCGGTCGTGGGACTTCTTCGAGGTTGGTGCCCACTTTCCACAGAGTGATATAAGTCTCGTCTCCGACTCGGATCCGGATATACGTGCCATGTCTAGTCTTAGCTGCTCAGAAAATATTCGAGCAACACTGACGTGGAGGGCGCGGTAGAAGTTGTCCATTTCTAGGAGGTCGATGACTGCTTTGTGCCGCTCCTCCGTCAGCGCCTTCTTACGACCTAGTGTCCAGTCTCGCTTCTTCCTATCCTTCTCCCCTGCATCGTCCTCGAGCACACAGTGGATGTCTTCTTCGGTGATATTAACCGTGAGTTTACCACGGGCAGCCAAAGCCAATATGTTCAGGAGATCTTTCCAGTATCCATGGCTGACACCGTACTTGACCTGAAACTCTGGGAGCTCCGAATCCGTTTCGGGGGTGACCCTTCGCTTCTTGCTCGGAGACTCTGAAGCTCCTGTCTCCTCGGTGTCGATTACCTCAAAGTCATCAGCCACCACTGCTACCGATTCGCCCTTCTCATTCTCGCCATCCTGTCTCTTCTTAGGAACTTTCTTCTGAATAACGGGTCGGACAAGCCATTCGAGGTTAACAAGGAACGTTCGCGGATGGTTCTGTGCTAGCCACCCAGCAGCCTGTTAACAAAGACCAATCAGCATTCTTTGCTTTCAAAAAAGGAAGTTTTCAAGATAGTTTGGGACTCTCATGAGAATGTACTCAGATACGGAAAGCTCTGCACACATTTTCTCAGCGAAGGGAGACAAGTAAAAGGGAGACTTACGCGATAGAATGTGATCTTGTCACTCTTCCCTAAGTGTATAGAACGAGAATTCCAAATCAATCGGAGCGTTGCGTTGGCATCATCCTTCCATGCTCGCTCAAGGACCACTCTCAGCCTAGCAGCGGTGATAACGGTCTCCAACTCCGTGAACAGGTCCACAAGAACGTTTCCAGACGTGCGATAAGTCACATCACCGTTCTCCGTCAACATCTTGCCGTCGTGCTCGTCCAGACTTGGCACAGAGTTGCTCAGGAGCGCGTCCATAAAAGGAGCCTGAGCCGGAGCTGTCGTATTTTCCACTGGCTTCACATTCTCGCCAACGACAGAAGACGAAATGGCCAGCTTGTCGATATCGCTGCTCACTGAGGTCTGAAAGACAGCCGTTCTCTTCAAGAAATCCTCAAAGCCGGAAGCAGAAAGACGCAATTCCGGTAGCTCGGGGAGGAATACCGGGAACTGCGAGTGGAGAAAGCTATGCCTCTCAGCCTGCTGTTCGAAAGCCATGTTGAACAACGACTGGATTATTATGCAATGACTGCGCTGTGATGGGAGTGGTGTATTGGTTGTTTGCTTGTCCAGTACGCGTTTGCACTCGCGTCGTAGAGTGTACTCTCCGTTGGAAACCCACCAAATTGCTGTGGGATATGAGAAGAGCGTGGCTGTGATGGTCGAACACCAAATAATATGAGCACTAGAAAGGAAACAAGAAGATCACATGAAACGGTCTTTTTTTCTTCACTTAAGTAAAGAGCATCACTCACTTAGCCAACGGAATAGTGAGCTCTCATTTGTCACCACGCCGAAGGCAGCGACGAATCAGGCAACCAAAAGCCCCATAAAAGACCTGACGTCAAACGCCATTCGTCACTTTTTTTTTGAAAAGCCCCCAAAACAGATTTCGTGAGACCCACGTGTTGGTTGGCCGATGACTAAATTACTACATTACACCTAGAACTGCAGGTTCTGCGGCGCAGTATGGTGAGGCACTCGAGATAGCGGCTACCTGGAGTTCAATATACGCATACAGTTGATGACAGCCCACTTGGCGATGAGTCACCGGCAGGGACAAAAAAAGAGATCATTGTTGGTAAAAACAACTGCTTGCTCTGCCGCCTAACAAACTTTCGAGACACAATATTTTATGCAATTGTCCAAGCTTGCCTGCTATCTTCACTTTCAGTATAACTAGTCCATTCCATGTAATCTCATATTATGTCGGTTAGAGATAAGATTGAGCTATTCTGTATCGTCACACTTCTTTTCTTGTTCTTTTCTTTCTCTTAAACATTGGGTCGGAATCTTTCTGAAGCATAACGCGAGGAGGCAATAGGTTTATTCCTGATTGCCACCTTGGAACTACATACTCTAGAGCAAACTCCTAGTCGTCTTGCCATAATATGGGGTTGGTCGAGTTTTTATCTCCTGGAAGGCTCGTTGGCCAGCCATTATTGCCTGATTAAGCTCCAATGCTCACAACACAAACTGCTGTCGAAATCGTGAAAGATAGTCAATTGGATATTATAGGTATTAACTCGTCGTACTGTTCACTCAAATACGGTGCGTCAGTTGATAGTCGCTTTGATTTCCCTTTATGAATTACAGGCCTAGGTTGTCATTGAGAGCACAGGAAGGTGCACAGGTGTTACTCATATGCTTGCCTGGTTATTGCTAATCGACGGTGGAACCTGTACCAAAGAGTGACCAGATCACTCGCGATGATTCCTTTGCAATCTGGATTAAGATATGTTTTTCAAAGTTTGAAGTGATAATTTCGGGTTTGTTTGTTGTTAAATCCAGCCAACCTTGGCTTGGAGTCAATCAGTTGAAGAAGAGGCAAAAGCGAACTTTCCACAGCTGCGATCCGTACGAGCCTGCAAACCTCGGAAATCAATCGTGTGATTTGATGAAATTTGTGGTGAATGACTTGTTGGCTCTGGAGCAGAATTACAAAGGAGGTTTGTAGCAGTAACGTTTCACCTTTGAAGGAGGAAATATGTGAACTGGCGCGGATATCTAACATGGTCGCAACGCAAACAAAGACATACATGCGCAAAATAAGCATTGCACAGGAAACTTGCTCAGAGACTCACAAATTTCAACTAAACTAGTGACCTTCACGGTTCGACCATTTGTTTAATCATGGCCAGCAATATATACATCCAAGCGCCCACTCAGCGATTTGAAGCTGCAGGAGCGGGTCCGATTGGTTTCTTGCACACCGTGTCACAGTTTAGCAGCCTAACAGACCTGTCCCATTCAAGCAAACGATCAACACTCATACATCTTACCTAGACGCAGAGACAAAATACATGGTTCCGCAATATCTAGACAAGAAAAATCTAATACAACAAGCCTGTGATTCTCTGCGCCCGTGCAAGCTGCTATTACCCCACATATGGGCCCATGAGGGCATTGATATATCGCTGGCTCGCCTGTCCACTGGTTTATACACTCAGTAGTTACCGTATTGGTAACGTTCGGCAAAATCTCATTCCAAATAGTCAAGGAAAACGCGCCGTTATTAGCAACCAGAAGCTCCACGATGATAGTGTCTAGACCACTTTTGTATGGTGGATCCAAGATTATCCTATCCCCACCAAGGAACAAGATTTATGAATGTAATCATGATAGCGGAGCGGCTTCATGAAGTTGTGAGTCAAATCACGTGGCCTGTATCACATCAAAATGTATGGCTGCCTAATATTGCCAAAGACAAACCTAAAGAGGAGAGCCTTTTATTTCCGCATTTCTTGGATTTCGTGAGACAGACATTATGGAGGCCCTAACGAAACCCGAGATCTTCGCTTTGTCTCTTGGTGATGCCGTGTCACAACCCTTCTTGCAAGATGTCCACAGCCACCTAATGCATGAACTAGCCGCCAAGTCCAATCTTAGACAAGCCACAAATTCTCAGGAAGCCTTGGGTCTGTTGAACAGAATTACCAGCCAAAAGGAGTCTTGGTGACGGATCCAGGAAGTCTGGCGCCTTGGAACGACGCTGTATCTCAAAAATTGGCTGACTACGTCCGTATAGGAGGAATTCTTGTTCAAGGGGTGCATTCAGTGCACAAATACGACCTAACGACTTGGGGAAGTACTCGAAGGAGAAATTTGATCTCCCTTGGGAAGTCGGTTCTTACCATCGCACAACTTCGTTTTTGAATTAAGAAGCGGGCAATCGAAGAATGAGTGGACTTCCGTCCTCATATAGTCAGAAGGCGGTATTTCCGACTCATGTGGACCTCGATACAGCATTGTATGTTGCATCAAATCGTTCAGTTGTCGAATCACTCATTCATCTGCCCGGGTCGGGAATCGACCTGCTGGAAACTTCAGTTGCATTCACCAGGGTGAGAAATGGCTGGGTAGGATATGTTGGCGATGTGAACGGCGAAGATGGAACTAACGCAGTCGTTTAGGAGATGTTTGTTTTAATTGCATAGGCGTCAGTCACCCGTAGACTGCTGTCAGAGGAGCGGAACGCCGTATATGGATGGATTGATCGCTAAGTAGCATGGGAACCGTTGCTGTAAACTGCAAACACATTTCTTCTGCCCAAATTCTTAATGCATCGTGTATTGCCATCATAGCCGAGAGTCATGGGACATTGCGATGGACCGCTAAAGTTGCTTGGCTCCTTCGACCAGGTTTGCTGGGCGATCTTCCTTGATCCAAAATCAGGTAGCATATGTGTGGCAACAAATTTATACCCTAAGATTATTATCGTTCTATAGACGGTGGGCCCACTGTTTTGAATGTCACAATACGGGCTGTCTCTCCCGCAGAGCAAGTCACTGGCTTTTCCACAGTGCTGGTGTGTGATAAGCCGAACATGCGCCCAACCGCCCATGCCATCTAATGCTTTGGGTCTCCAAAATAACGAGCTATATTCGTCACATTTTCCACCCCAACTTTCCACTGAAATGCAGACAGTAAAACAATAGGTTACACATCAGGATTCCACTAGTAGAGCCCGGCCTGTCGATTGTGGCTATTTACTAGCTTCAAAATGTAGTTTGAGTCTCATGCTTCAGAATCAATGATAATGGGAAAGATGTGGAAGATGGGCCGAAGAAGAGGAAATTAAGTTCTTAGTTCTATGGTGTGCATTGGTCAAATATCGAGCCACCGATCTTTCTTTACTTGGCGGTTCTCTCATTGAGTATTATTGCTTCCATCGTCGTCGAACACGAGCTCATCTTTTACATCCTCGGTCAACCAAGCGCCGATGTCAGACCGAGTGCACCTCTCACAAAGTCTGTCCTGGAGTCGAGTAAGCGATCGTAGTATATCCTCTGAGGCGACCTGGTTAGAATTTGGGGGGTTGGCCTTTACGCTGTCTGAGAAGGGTCTTTCGGATACTACGCAGCTTTAGGACCATTGTACCGACAGCAAAGACAGAGATAGCTCATGTACGTCGTATATTATACTTGTGAATGCAGCAAAGCTAATTGAAATCCTGTCTCGAGACGAAAAATAATCAAATACTGTTGGCAAACAACCGGTGCGCAAGTCCACTTCTAGAGTAAGAGCCTTGCCGGGATATTTTTAGAAGGACCAGAGAGGGGAATTCTTGCACACGTGCAGGCTGATGCCCAAATATAACTGCCACACAGCACCCTAAAAGGCCCAGCCCGCTGGCGTGGATCTAACATACTACCACAATATCACGACCAGGTATTTATGATCTCTTGTGCAGTTGAAAGATTGACCATGAAGCTGAAAGTTTGCCACGTCCAGCATTTTCAAATAGGGATGACTAATTAAACCCAAGCGATCCACGCATGGTCTACCACCACAATAACAACAGTGAAACGGCGTTGCTGGTTAGTAATGACCTTCTACTGTTAAGGTGCCAGACTTTGTGATCATGAATTCGTTGATTGCAACATCCTTACCGCTCTCCTTTCCCATGCCACTGTCCTTTATTCCTCCAAACGGTGTTTCAGCAGCAGAACAGTTGCCAGTGTTCTATGCCATGTTAGATGGGTACGAATAGTCATCCAGAGTAGGATTTAGGACCTACCAAGCCTATCATGCCCGCCTCTAGGTTCTCGAAGAGTCTCCATAGTCGATCTACATCCTTCGTAAATACGTAGCTTGCCAGCCCCATACTTGTGTTGTTTGCACGTCGGACAACTTCTTTTTCGGTCTCAAACGCATACACACCAAGTATTGGTGCAAAGTTTTCTTCACAGCTCATGAACATATCATCGGCCATGTTTGTTAAAATGGTTGGAGCCATGAAATACCCTGCTGGATATCCTTCAACCTTGTGTCGCTGACCTGTGCCAAAAGCGAGTTTTGCGCCGGAAGCCACGGCATCCTGGACTAGCTCTTCTGCATGATCCAATCCCCTTGATGTTGTGACAGGACCCATTGTTGTACTTTCGGTCATGCCATGACCAATTTTCAGAGTTTTGGTTTTCTCCACCAGCCTTCGAATGAACTCATCGTGGATGCTATCTTGCACGTATACCCTGTTCGCTGTAACACAAGCCTGTCCTGCGTGCCTCCACTTGAGACCCATAAGTTGATCAATGGTATGGTCGAGATTTGCATCGTCGAACACGACGAAAGGGCAGTTTCCGCCGAGCTCCAATGTTGCTTTCTTGAGATTTCTTGCACACAGCCCCGAGATGATTTTCCCCACCCGCGTTGAGCCGGTGAACGTAACTTTCTTGACGGCGGGATGAAGGCATAATGCCTCTACTAAGTCGGGTGTATTGTTGAGACTAGTAGGTATGACATTGAGTACCCCAGGTGGAAAGCCAGCTCTCACTGCAAGACATGCGAGCGCCGTGGCGGTGAAAGGCGTTTCTGGCGAAGGTTTGACAATCATTGTACAGCCGGCAGCTAGAGCAGCACTGGCTTTTCTGAGCATCAATGCTCTGCGTACAAAAGCAATCCAGTTAGCATATTTATTCAGAATGAAGCAAAATTATTCTTATGGTTGCATCTTTATCACCGCCGGTAATCTCGACGAGACAGGTCAACAACTAGCAACTTCTCAAATGACAAAGGAGATTTGTGGACGTCACTTGAATTTTACACGCACATTGGGAAGTTCCAGGGAACCAAGCCAGCAACAACACCAATTGGCTGCTTGATCACCAATGATCGCCTACCATGAATGGCTGCTGTCGTCGTAGTCCCTGTGATGCGATCGGCTTCTCCCATAAACCACCATACAAAACTTAAGGCGTAGTCGATTTCACCATCAGCTTCGGCGAGGGGCTTCCCAGTCTCGTGAACCAATATCTTAGCCAAATCATCCCGTACCGCATCAATGAGCTGATGCCACTTCAACAGGAGCTGTGATCGCCGTCGTGGAGTAAATTTGGAGTAGCTGTCGAATGCCACATGGGCCGAATGGACTGCAGACTCGACATCGTCCGTGGCAGCATCGGCACATTCCGCCCACATTGTGCCAGAGCCCGGATCAATCACAGGAAACCTCTCGCCCCGCCTTGCTGGGACCCATTTGCCATGAACATAACAGTCATATTGTAAAAGGCTCTCGTCGTTGAGCTTGAAAGGTAGTGTGGATTTGTTGTCACCCATTGCGTTCGGGGTTTGAGTAGGATTGGGCGTCTTGACAGAAAATTGACTCTATGCAGACGTTGTTCGTCCCAGGCATTCAATAAACGGTACTACTATCGCCAGAATTGAGATGTGGAAAGCTCTCTTGAAGAACGGATTGCTATGTAATGGTATCCCGATGTCATGCAGCATTCTTTCTCCACATCGGCATTACGTCGTAGTTTTGGCTTTGACTTTGTGCAACCTACCGTGGTGAATGCGGAGGAAAGTGCGGGGATCACACTGTTCTGGTCACCCTCTCTTTGCCGAAAGTTCTCTAAGTAAATCTGTCAGCAAGAACCATTCATACAAAAATAAAACGGATTGTATGAGGACGGAATCATCAAAAGCCAAAAACATACAACACCGGGGATTCCCCAGTGGTCACCCACCTGAGTACTAATCCAGCGCTTCCCAGTTTATCTAGGGCAGAGCGGACGGGATGCCGAGTTTTCTAGGAGCTATGGTCGTATGTGTCTGAGATTGGTCGTTGATGTCTAAATAAAGCAATCCCCATAATGCAACCCCTGGTGCAGGATTTCCATTTCTCATTTACGTCTTGAAAGCTGCCTTGAGAGGCGGACTTCATGATAGACTGCTGAATCTTGTCATCTATTGGCGTTGATATTTACCTACAAAAATTCGAATCGATAAGTTTGAAAGTAAAGATGGACATTGTGTGTTTGATTTAAATTGCTCGCCACAGTTACTCTGGGCTTCACTAACCTATGGAGAAGATCTTGGACGCAATAGAATAAAGAATATTGTAAAACAACTGTATATGGACGGTGAGCCGAACATGGATTGATTCGGTCGCTTGTGACCACTTATACACATCTTCCGCCATCTACTTCAATATTGACACCTGTAATGAAAGACGCCTCGTCACTAGCTAGATAACATGACGCATTGGCAACATCTTCGGGTGTAGAGCCTCTGCCAAGCGGAACAACAGACACGAAAGCCTTGCGGTTTTCCTCAGTATCTGGTTTCCCTAGAAAGAGGTGTGTCCTGAAGTATATCAGCCGTTGGTACATCGTACATTATGAACATTTATTCAGAGCACTCACATGCCCGTCGAGCCCACTACAGGTGAGATAGAGTTGAATCTGATGCTGTGGGGGCCATACTCGACTGCCATAGTCTGATATGTCGTCAGTTAGTTCTTCAACAAAGGTCCAATGAGGATTGCATACCTTTGTGGCATTGATAACTGCTGCCTTGCTAGCGTTATACCATGTCAGACGGGGCCGTGGTCGTACACCAGCAGTTGAAGCAATTTGGATGAAGCAACCAGGTCTCTTCGTTGAGAGAAAGTATGGCAGGATGACGTTGGTCGAAATATAGATGGATTTGACATTGACGTTCATGACAAGGTCGAAGTCTTCCTCAGTGACATCTTCGGTAGCTTTGTTGGCGTATGTTGCTCCGGCATTATTTACAACAATGTCAAGTTGCCCGAAAATATCACGAGTACGATGCAGCAATCTGTCCCAATGATCTTTCCTTGTGACATCGGCCACCTCAAAATGACAGTCTAGTTCATCAGCAACCTTCTGGCCTGACTCCGCTGACAAGTCGGCAATTATGACTTTTGCGCCTTCTTGAACGAACTTGGTTGCTATTCCCCAACCGAAGCCAGAAGCCCCACCGGTGATGATGGCGACTTTACCTTCGAGTCGAGGTTTCGGCGACATGGTGTAGTCAAATTAACAAAATGATAGGAGTGTGCTACTGGTCAATCCAAGTTGTGAAGACTCTTCTGTCGCTTTCTGAGTTTTAAGGACATTTGAAGCCTTTGAGACATGCAGCGGATATCCGACCCAGAGGTGCCGCAGTTTGGCGTAGTAGTGCGGGGAGCATATTGACTCTGGGGTAGCTGTGAATTGTAATTACCTTTCTGTACCACCCAACGCTAATCTTTGCCATGGTCGCAATACATATGCTATGTACTCTTGATGGTTTCAAGGTTACAAACTCGCTGTCCAACCTAGGGATTTTCATGAGGAGCGCATCTGGATCTGTCCAGTCAATTGCAAATGAGGCGCCCAGTCGTGAACAAAGTGAACCACTCTTGATCAATAGACTTCAAACACCTGAGCGGGATGGGTAGTGGGTAATATGTAACTCTTTGCAAGGTTTTCCGGTCAGAAGAGCTACAGATCAAAGTGTCATCCGCCATGTTTCAGTATTTCAAACGACACATCGGTACGATGCCATCGTGGCGCACTTGGGCACAACGTTACGCAACAACCATGCATGCTTGAGGATGGAACGCCCCGAGGTGAAGAGTATCCACTGCCCCCTCCCCTCTCAGTTAAACATTCTCCAGTTGCCTCAATTGATAAATGCAAGACTAAATAGGAAGGGGGCGAGGGGTATTGAAGAATTATTAAAGAGATTGCCATCTCTTTCAAATGTATTTAGTAGTTAATTAATGGTTCCTGAGATTGAGTATTCGATTATATTGTCGAATTATAAATCCCAGAACCATATAGTGGATTTTGAATTGTGCATTCTTCAGACTGGGGGATCTTGACGGCCCAGCGGTGGACATGGTCACAAACAGCTTCCTTCTTGGGAAAGATTTGCCCCTGCTTCTTCTCAGGCAACGGACAAAAAACCGTAAGTTCTCCACCTCCTGATATTCTATGGCTCATGCAGACAGGCTTGTTGATTGTTTAAAGTCGACACGGCCACAACTTCCCGAGGGGTATAGGACAGAACAAGATATATGCAAAGTATATGCAATGCCACTTCATGCCTCAATAACGTAGTGGATGAAAGATTACATGCTGAGGGGTTACTTACTGCATAAGAGCAGGCGCCCAACTTAATATTGACTACTGAATGACCGTTGTTGGATTGAGGCCGTTGAGTCGCTTTGTTCGGTATGCACACCACACATATCAGTCTCAAGATTTTCATGATCTCATAACGGAGATTTATCAGGGTGCGATAACGCATTATACGCAAGAATCACAGCTTTAATACTGCGCTCTTTTTGCAGACCTCTACTCTTGAGTACTCGATGACAGCATGGATCCAAGCATAATAGAGGTCGCCCTAATCGGTGCAGGGCTTGGAATCACCTCTCATTTAGGTTACTTTATTCGAGGCGAGTTCGTGGAATCGGCTCCGCGCCTGTTAATTGTTGCGCTTGCCACTCCGCCAGCATCAGTGGCACTGCTCACGGCGTATACTCATTTATCACTAGCGGGAGCTATCAAGATTACAACCATTGGATATGGCGCCTACTCAGCTGCTTTAGTTACCTCGATGGTTATGTACCGATTGTTCTTCCATCCTCTTCGCCACTTTCATGGGCCGAAGTTTGCGACAATCACTCAGATGTACCACGCATATCAGATCTCTCAGGGCAATAACTACGTGTATCTGGCTCGAATGCATGCAGCATACGGTGGCTTTGTCCGTATTGGTCCCAATACTTTGTCTGTTGCAGAACCTGACTGGGTAGATCTGGTACATAATAGGCACACCCTTTTCAAGAAAGCAGACTGTAAGTCTTTAGGCTCACCAAACCATCAACGCGCCGTCTTCTATGGACTAAAATTGATTATGGTTAGGGTATGATCTGGGGAAGCCTCGAATAAGTTTGCAGCAGATACGGGACCCAGTACTCCACGATAAACGACGGCGTCATGGCTGGGACAAGGCATTTACAGCGACTTCCTTGCGAGCATATGATTCCCGAATTGTAAAATACGCTGATATCCTAGTCCTTCAACTTCGGAAGACTGGGCTACGCACTGTCAATGTAACTGAATGGTTTAACTCGTTCGCATTTGATGTTATGGGTAAGTGCTATTGCCTAAACGAAAATGCATTACAAGCTGATACTGAGCAACAGGTGAATTGACCTTTGGTCGAGCCTTCAAGGCACTTGAAACCGGCAAATCTCATCCAGTGATTGATGCAATTCATGTAGCCAACACAAACGGAAGTAATCTACATTCACTACCCTGGTTATGTAAGTTTGCGAATCCTTCCAAGCAAGTATTCGTATAAGCTCGAGATTTGGTGTAGAAAGGACGTATTGATTGGTTTTTAGTTGTAATCATGCTTCAACTTCTCCCAAAGAGCTTGAGTGGCTTCGGCCCCGTGCTAGCATATGGCGACAAGTAGTAAGAAATTTTGAGTTTATTCCTACCACTTCTAGCATGTCTAGAGAGCACGTATCGCCTCACATAGACAGCTAGACTCCTTTTGCTTCTTTTGCGATACTACTGAACACCCCCAAGACTATCTGGAAGTGGCAATGGCTGACCTCGAATGCTATAGTGTGAAGGAGCGCCAAACCTACGAGCCGGATGAGCCGGATATAATGTCCCGCATTCTTGGTGCAGGGCAATTTTTCCCTAATAAAAAGGAAGAAGAGGATATTTTAAAAAGTGATTCAAGGCTTTTGATCGTTGCTGGAAGTGATACCACCGCCACAGCGTTGACTTTTGCGTATTACCACTTAGCGAGGGACTCTTCTATCGTTGAGAAGTTGCGAAAGGAGTTGAGCCAACATCATATTACTGACCAAAAACAATGCAACGTTCAACAACTACAGGATCTGCCTTATATGAACGCAGTAATCAACGAAGTTCTTCGGCTACATCCTCCTGTGCCAAGCGGTTTCTTCCGTGAGACGCCTGCCGAAGGAGTCAACATAGGCGGCCACTTTCTGCCTGGCGGAGTTAAACTACTGACTCCCCCATACGTCATTCAGAGAAGTGCGCGCGCCATCTGAATTCTTAATTTCATGTTGATCTGGCTGATTAATGTATGCAGGTCCTAAAGCTTTTGTAAAGCCCAACGACTTTCTTCCGGAACGTTGGACCACTCGTCCGGAGCTTATCCTAAAGAAGGAGGCGTTTTTCCCCTTTCTGATTGGACGCTTCTCATGTATGACTATTGCACGATTCTGCGACAGTTCATGAAAGGTACTAAATTTCAATAGGTATTGGAAAGCAGCTTGCACTCAACGAACTTAGGCTAGTCCTTGCAAAGTTGATTTTGGAATTTGACATCACTTTCGCCGAGAACGAGGACGGACGGGCTTTGCTTGAGGAATCCATTGACGGCAATACAATGGTACTTGCTAAGTTGAACATTCATTTCCATAGCCGAAAGTAAGCAGTTGCTTTCATATTGATCACGGAAGCTTGAAGGATCGGCATAGAATGGCAGCATTCTCAAGAGCGTCAGATGAATTATGTGTTATGATATATCACGATTTTTGAAATGCCGTAACTGGAACATATATTAAATTTATTGAAGCATGTTTGAAGGATCAGAGGTCGCATTATGGCGCTCTTAGTGCATATTTTCTCTTTTCATCCCATGAATATATGCTTTCGCCGCATTTACTTCATCCATGTCAGCCTCTCCATGATTTCGCGGGACGTGGTTCAACCTACACTTTTTGTCCATATTGGACATTTCTCTTGGTATACAAGAGCCTTTAGCAGATCCATTGCTTTCGTTTGTTCTACAACAAGAACAAAAAGCAAATTCTCCATCGCAAATAAGTTCTAGCGCCGGGGTAGGGAGACGTGGCACCTCCGGCACTCTTGGTGGAATGGCAGTCCGCGAAACTGAATCGGATGCCATATTTCCACGACTTTCCGCTCGAGTCAATGGGTGTTTCCAATCTTGTGCCAGACCCAAAATCTGCACCCCTTCGCTGTGTCGGCTGTCAAAGAATGTGCAATCTTGAGGAAGTATCCGTGCTTGCGTCGAAGGCTGCATTACATTCACGACAGGCATTTGATTAGACGAAGTTTGTCGAAATGATTGGTAATGCCGTGATAGATCACTATTGACAAGTTTTCTCCCAGCCGTGTACGGCTTGGTTCGGCTGTGAGCCCGATCTGTACTGCACGTGGACCATCTAGAGTCGATGGTACTACGATCCTCCTCTATCCCGGTAAACAGGCTTGAATCTTGGAGTTTTCCATCGATATCGATATCTTTCACATTTGAGGGGCTCATCTGATGGTTAGAGACCCTGTCGTAATGACGATAAGGCCCTTCCATCTGCTGGTGTGACGTAGACAATAGACCATTTTCGACGAGCAAAGGGGCTGGATACGAGGAATACTCCAATGCTCTCTGATGCGTATTGTCTCTCTCGATGTAATCATCTATCATCAGATCTATTAGATGGTGATTCTCTTTGCAAGTTCTGATACCTACATGGAACAGCCTGCCTGAATAATGAATCTGAGGACTCAGAGGCTCGATGCATCGAATACCGATGAGCCATGATGAACAGTCAGTGTATTTGATAGTTATTTTGATGAATAAGGTTGTTGGAGATGGATCCTGAATCGGAGAAGGAAAGTTTAGAAAGAATGGGCGAGGGCAGGGGAAGGGTATTTATTGTGCCAGGCAACTGACATATCAGCCCCCTCCCGGCCAATCATGAGGGAGCTCCTCGGATAACCCCTGTACCACAGCCAACGTCCACCCATCCATCAATCCTAGCCATAAGCCTGGGCCTTGACCTCTATTTCTACCAGCCCAGTAGCATTGAACCTCTTGTACAACATAAAACATAATTATGATGGTATCGACTACAGCCACGTATGTGCGAAATCTATTGGTGTTTGAGGTCTACGTCCAAGCCAAGCAGCACTTAGAGCAATATGTCCGTGTATCATTTGAAAGCTATGAGGACATTTTGATGGGCACATGAGCAACATATCAGTGAGGACTCAGATTTGGTTCATGTTTCCTATTGCATTTTCTTCTTAGACGCGTTCTCAGCTACCCTCATCTTATGGCTCTAAGTAACCACTGATAATTGACGGTCAGCCACACTTGTTTAATACACATATCTGAACGTCGGTGCCTTGTCCCCCATGGTAGCAAGCTCCTTCTGACTGAGCTGATCTCCGCCTTCCCGCATGATGCGTGCGCGCTTCTTGTTAATCGCAGTATACAGCAAGACTTGTATGAATGCAGCGATAATCCCAAGGGATATGAAACCCAACTCTAAAGCATGCCCAAGAATGTATCGTGGCTTGTCGCGCGAACGATAAAAGTTCGAAGCCATAGCTCCTCCAAGATTGCCAACTCCGATTTGTATGGCCATTCCGGCTGCACGCTTATAACCGCCAGCCAGGTTATTGCTGAGCCATGCAATGTTTCCAGGGAAGGATGGGTATATAGCACATGTCGCGACGAAGACACCTCCGTATACAACCTTTGGGTTCGAAGAAGAAATGCACATAGCAAATCCGACAATCATCATAAAGAGGAATGTAATCACGAACGGGCTTCTTTTCCCAATGCGATCAGATAGATAAGCGAAGATCACTGCTAGAATGGCAGCCGTGATATACTTAGACAACTATCAGCATGAGTCCCGGATTACGGAATGATGGTGCGCTTACAATAGGCACTGTCAACAGTTGCGCAGTGCTTGAGGTATAACCCAGATTTGCGATGATAGTCGGGAGGAATAGACTGATACCATAGAGAGGACATACAATCTAAGACTTTGGTTAGCACAGCATCACTATTTTGGTGGTGCTCTGATATGATTTGCATCGACTCACCCCCCAGTAGACGAATATATTGGTCCAGATCTGCCAATCACGAAACGCCTGCCAAACATATCCCCACTGGAATTCTTCTGCTTCAGCAACAGACTTTCGACCTTCTTGTGTTGCTTGCTTGTCCTGTCCATACTTCAGACGCCATACAACAAAGGCTCTTTCTTCTTCCGTTAGAAACTTGGCGGTTTCGGGAAAGTCGTGTAAAACTAGGAATGCGAGCCCCGCAACTACAACTGTGACAATACCTTCTAGAATGAAGATCCATCGCCAGCCTTCCAAATTTCCCACACCATCCATGTGCGAGATACCGAAAGCTAGCAGGCCACTAAAAGCGCCAGCTACGGAGGCCGCAGAGAAGAACATAGCCTGTCTCAACTGAATCTCGTGTCGACAGTACCACATAGTAAGCTACCGAATCATGGATGTTAGTAGTGTCACATGTTGACGGCAAGTCGTACACAGAAAACTCTACGATGCTAGTCAGTACAGGTTGCAAATTAGAGAGCAACGACATGAGTCTTGCATACCACATAGTACTATATGGACCGTTTAGTGAGGGTTTCATAGTGATATTTAGGCAGAAGCACTCACGGCGCAGCCAGGATATAGACCAGCTTCGGCGACCCCAAGGAAGAACCGAGCAGCAAGTAAACCCCTGTAGCTCCGAACAATACCCATCAGCGTCATGACTGTTCCCCACGCCACCATGATCAAAGGCAGCCATCGACTGGGACGAAGCTTCTTCAAGAGAAGATTGCTCGGCACCTCGAAGAAAGCGTAGCTGAAGAAAAATACCGTAAGACACCAATTGTATTGGTCTGCCGTCATTCCTAGGTCTTCTTGGAGCCCTTCGATCTTGGCATTACCGATATTTCCACCTGGTAGAGCTTTCAGCTTCGGAAATGAATTGAAGAAACCGCAAAGACAGCTTACGATCTAAGAAGGACAGGAGATAAAGCAGAGCCAGCATTGGGATCAAGCGCAAATCCATCTGAAAAGGAGTTATCAGTTGATTATTCAAAAGTCGTCAGGCCACAGTGCTGACCTTGCGAAGAATTTTCTTCTCGTCCAGATGCGCAAAAGACTGCCTGGTGACTCCAGGTGCTTGCGCCATCGCATCAATCCGACCAATTTCATCATTTCGGCTGGAAGGTCTGCGCACCTGTTCCTGGTGAACAGTATCACTTTCGGCGACTTCCGCCTTCTCTAATGAGTTGTGTGAAGCCATTGTCAAAGGTCAATAATATAACAATCTCAATAGCACGTGGGTGGAAGTTGATGTAACCAAGGAGACAGGGAACAGGTGCGAGAATTTCTTGTTCAGCCTGTTCATGATTGCAAGTCTCTTTCTACTATTGCATAGAAATGACTGGGCCAAGACTACCTAGGCTAGCTGATGGGAAAGCTGGGCAAATAATACCAACGCGGGGAAGATGTGAACTCCATCTTTTCAACTCCACCCCCGGCTTTGACTAGCAAGCATCTACCATACAAATTATCAGCAATGCCGAGGCGGAAGCATTCCGACTCAAGCGAATAGCAAGGGTCCCTTGAGAACATATTCAAAGGACTTATGATTGCAACTGAGGTATAGTCTATATGACATCACAATCTTCATCATGAATTGAAGTGCGGGCAGAGCACACCTAGACGAATGTTTATGGACAGATACAGCCCTTGAACCAGAGCGGTGCTAAATGGTCTTGTATAAAATTCGGCTCGGAACAATATTCCCTTCCCTCAAAGTGCTCGGCATTTCTATCGGTAAAACGATTTACTGCAAAATGCTTAGTAGAGAGGTCTGCATGAGTCGCCGCAAACAATAAGAGGCTCTCATTCCAGCCACTAAGCAGCATGGACGGATCAGGCAGTTCTAAACACTCCGGAACACAGACAATTCGCGACCACACCGCATTCTCCGCACTATCCCCAGGACTAGAACTGCAGATCTGGGGATTTAGTGGATGGCGGCCACAGGCAGCGCCCTCCACTTATGACGGCATGGCCAGAATCTCCAAATGCACACAGTAGAGAGGCTGCAAGTTGTTTGAGACTACCAAACTCAGAAATCAGAACGTGATGTAACGAGTTCGACGCACTCAACTACTAATCTGCATGGTGCGACTTCATGCGACTTTGCAACAACCGCCGAGCAAGCCGCAGCCCGAACTGCGCGGCATGCCTGTTTTGGCCATGAACGGACCTGAGCTCATGAATGGTGTGCCAGGGCGTTGATCAACCTGTAGTATAATAGACAAGATTAGTCTCTTTTTTTTATACCCATGCGATCTTATGTGTGTTTTCTTTTGCCACGCTCACGATGGTCTTTCATACACCACAATACAATCTCTTTGGCACTGGCTTTAAGTTGCGGGCGGCCATCACCATAGCCTGCCAATGCGCATTCGTGCTATTCGGCTACGACCAAGGAGTATTCGGTGGCATCGTGGGCAACGCGAACTTCCTCGATCAGTTTGGGCACCCCAGCTCCTCGCTCGAGGGTATCATAGTGTCTATTTATAATCTCGGCGCATTTTCGGGATGTATATTGGCATTTATAATATGCGACAAGACGGGCCGGCGGCTCGCCATGTGGATAGCCATGTGTTTCATCATCGTCGGCGCCGTACTACAAGCCTCGGCCTTCTCTGTTCCTCATCTGATGGTCGCCCGTTACATTACGGGGATCGGAACAGGTTCGTTCAGCCTCTGATCAGGCACCATTACTAGTTGAAGCTCATGAGAACTAGGTATTGAAACCTCAACTGTGCCCATGTATCAGTCCGAGTTGTGCGAGGCCGAGAAACGTGGGCGGCTCGTATCGTCCGAGCCCCTCTTCGTGGGAGTCGGAATCGAAATTGCCTACTGGTTTGACTATGGCATGTCTTTTGTGCCGGGCTCCATCGCATGGCGACTGCCTATCGCTTGCCAGATGATTTTTGCCTTCGTACGTTGAGCTTCGGGTAGCGCAAATGGTCAATTCCTATTTATTCTTTTTCCTAACGTTGAATTAGCTCGTCATTGCGCTGGTTCTTGGCCTTCCAGAGAGTCCTCGGTGGCTTTACAAACATGGTCGCAACCAGGAAGCATTGGATGTTCTTTGCCAGGTCTACGAAAGACCGCCAGACCATCCGAAGATTGTCAAGGAACAGAACGATGTCCTCGATGCTCTGAAGGTTGAGCAAGAGCACGGCGAATACAAATGGTCCCAGCTCTTCAAGAAGGATGAGGTGCAGACGGGGCGCAGGGTTTTTCTGGCATATGGCATGCAATTCATGAACCAAATGGGTGGTATTAACTTGATTGTGTAAGTACGGTTGTGGCTCTTTGATGATCTAGTCGCTAAGACTGAGTCGAGATATTACATCACGTCTGTTTTGCAGTTCAATGTGGGACTAGACCGTAACCTAGCTTTAATCCTCGCTGGAGTGATTAATGCCATGTTCTTCTTGGGGTCGTTGTTCCCAACATTCTTCTTGGATAAGTATGGACGCCGCAAACCCATGATGTGGGGATCCCTTGGCCTGGGAATCTCGATGATGATGGTATCTATTCTTCTGAGCTTTCAGAGTAGGGGTGGTGATGTCGCCAAATCAACTGCGACGGCCAGTATCACGTTCTTCTTCACCGTAAGTAACGCGTGTCAGATATCGGCGCCCTTGACTGATAAAAAACCAGTATATGCTCATCTTTGGAGCAACGGCCAATTGTATACCTTGGTAAGCACGTTTGAAAGATGGTGCTTGAACGTAAAGTACTGATCGGATTCTATCAGGGTTTATGTACCGGAAATTCTGCCTCTCCATGTTAGGGCAAAAGGGACAGCTGTCGGAGTCTCCTCAAATTGGCTCTGGAACTTCTTTGTCGTTATGATCACGCCGACGCTCATCAGTAATCTGGCGTGGAAAGGGTACCTCATTTTTATGGCACTCAATTTCGCCTTCATCCCTCTCGTGTACTTCTGCTACCCAGAAACGTCAAACTTGACCCTCGAGGAGATCGACTGGTTGTTTCTCGAACCTCATGCCGTCAAAAGAAGTAGGCATATCTCCAAGCACGGATGGGGAGGCGAGTCCGGTTGGGAAAGGCGCAGGAGCTCTCTGGTCGCAGGTTCGGTCGACCATAAGCCTGACGCATCACAGGTGGAGAATAGCGATGATATCAAGGCCGAAACCACCTCTTGATCGAAATAATGTTTAAGACTCGTTCTTGGCGGCTGAGATATATATTATATCTACATCCAGGTTCGCGCTTTGGTCAGGAAAGCTGTATATGTTTACGTATCATCATAGTAACAGGAGCACGTCTTGGACACGGTACCGAAGCCAGTCAGTGCCACCGCAACACAGGCCAGGCGAAAAGACCAAATATTTGCCAATGTGGAGTAGTCCACATAGATACGAAGCCGAGATGGCCCCTTACGTGACTCCTCCGAAGACCCTTTTGATCACGAGAATATACATTAAGAGAGAGAAACAAAAAAGAAAAAGAAAGTGAAGAAAATAAAACCAAGGTGGTGTTGGTGATTTTGTGCGGCATCGACAACGCATTATATTGATCCAGGTCAGAGTACATAGCGAATGGGACGGACTGATTATTTATATTTTTGAAGCACACTACAAAAACACATATTGAACAAGAGCTAATCTCGACGGCTTACGGGATCTCGAGCCCAACTAACACTACCGCAAAGGAGAATCTTTGCTACCGACTACGGGCGATCGAAAGCTATATAGAAACACCTGGGAATCGGAATGCCGCGATAGAAGGGATTGGAATGGCATCCACTTGAAGCACGCTATGGCTTCTCTTCTTTGTATAGGACGACAGCCCACTTTGGGCCTCTTATAAAGGCTAGTCACGTCTTATTACCCCTGGGAGCACACGCCGGCTACTTGTGCAGCCACCGCAACAGCGGCACGAAATAGACAAAACAAGCAAACAAACAAATAAACAAACAAACAAACAAATAAACAAACAAACAAACAACATGACGAAACAGGTAAAGCAAGGGGTAAGCCCATATCACATGGGTCAACTGAATACAAGCTCTACCTTTCAGACCACTGCCAAACCATGATTGCATTCTCACATATGCTTGCCTGTATAAATACAAGTGGTCTACCTGGATAGTCCTAAGAAGAAGTATCAGCCCACCATATTTACGTCCAGCAATCTCACATAATCTCAAAGAACAAGAGGTTATTCCGAGCATCCATCATCGTGTCACTGGTGGCCGGCACCTTGGTTGCAGCATTACCTTCACCGCAAGGCTTCATCGGGGTCACCAAGTGCGCTGGACACGTGGGAGGCTATGTTTGTTACGACTCCAACACAATCGCCCTTTGCAGTACCGATGACCAAGGGATTGCAGTCACTTATTGTGGTGTTGGGCAATCATCGGATCTGCCATACTGTGTCTGATTGATTGTCAGGGATCCAGGTTACCAAGGTATGACCTCAACTCAACCACTTCTTGTCCTCAGAGCCACTGAACGCTTGTAGATATTTTCAGTTACCAAGGGGTTTATTGGTTCCGATTACTGGAAGGCGGGCAGCGAACAAAAAGGTCGAATTGAAGTCAGATCGGCTTTGTCCCACGAGATGTTTCTGCTGTAGGCGGTCTCATAGCATGTCAAGCATTCTCAATACTACTGTTTACCGGAACAAATCTGTGGTATTTTGGAAACCGAAAAATAGCTACGACTGAAGTCTAACGTACGTGCAACTCGTCCGGTGCAGGCAAGCTAGGCATGTATTCTGAAACCGGCATGGATTATGCGTGTGCAGGTCCAATGATACTATGGTAGTACAATGCTTTGGGTGTGCAATGGCTTCCTGACCATCATCTTTCAAGTCAGAACTATTCAGAGTCCGTTGATCCCACATGCAAGTGTCGACTGAACTTTGGTTATGATAGCTTGTTTCCATCACTTAAGTATACAAATGATTCCCGGCCCTTTCATGTGGCCCTATGCCCCGTGCCCTGTGCCCTATGCTGCAGCTGCGGGTACATAAGCATATTTTGGCATGAGCGCGAGTCGTTCCTCGGGACTGATTTCATCATCGTAAATCATCTTCACGTTGTCCTTCTTCTTTGCTTTCTTCTCCTCTGCTGGGGCCGGCTCAGGTACCGTTGGCGTGGCTGAATCTGTCTTCTTGGGTGGTAGCTGGCCAAGTTCAGCCATTCTGATTAACTGATCAATATCATCGCCCTGCCTGGCGGCGCCTGATACCAGATCGTCCACGGTGCTTCCATATCCAGGCTGTCCCGGCCGGGGTGGCAGGCCCGGTGGAGCAGGAAGGTTGCTGCCTGGTCTTGAGGGAAGGTTGCCAGGAGGGTAGTTGAAGCCTCCTTGTGGGTATTGGGGTGGTGGAGAGAAGCCAGGGACTCCTTGGGGCGGGAAACCTGGAGGGTACTGGCCGCCCGGTGGGGGGAAAGGCGAGTTCTGAAGGGAAGGCGAGTGTCAGCATGCTGTTTCGCTTGCGTCATTGATAAGCATGAACTGGTAGGACTAGACTCACGTTCTGGCCGGGACTTTGGCCATCTGGCAAAGCAGTTGGAGGTGCGGGATTGCCGACACCGCCGGCGGCCTTGTGGGCAGCGACTCTGGCGCGGTGATCGGCTAGCCTCTTCTTGATCTCCTCTGGGGTCTCGATCTTGATCTTCTTCGCAGGTCCCTGCGCACCCTGGCCGGGAGGAGGGTTTCCAGTCGCAGCGAAGCGGTCGGCCTGTGCTTGGTAGAAGTTTTGGATGAGGCGCTGGTTATGCTGCTGGACTACGTCTTCGGGGATACCTTCCATACCGAAGATCTCGACCTCGAGACCTTGCCTGTTGGGCAAGGCATTCTCTACGAGCGACAGGGACTCTTTGTGGACTTGGTTCATGTGGACGGAAAGACCTGAAGGGGGAAGAAACAGATGTTAGCAGATGGCGTTCGCGCAGTGAAAGAAAAACAGGGACGGAGACGCCGTGCGTACCTCCTGCTGTGTTCAGCCTCCTGCCGCAACGGTCGCACTTGAAATGCTTGGCCTTTTGATGGGAGATCAAGAGCTTGAGATCTTCGAAATCTCTTTCGCAGTAGTAGCACCATGGCCGCGCCAGGAGCTCTTCGACATTGGGTTGCTTTCTCTTCTTCTTGCCCATCTTCGCGCGTCGAAAGAGACGATGGCGCTGGCTGCTCTATATATCGAGGCCTTTTGTGTTGAAACCGCGACGACGATTGGTTGGTTTTGGTTGGCGCGCTCACAATTATTGCGACGGGTTCAGCTGTTGATGAGATGTTGTCGCTTGGCCGGCTTGGATTGAAATTGGGAAGCTACCGGTAGAAGTCAGGTAAGTTAGTCTCGTCTAGGTGTAGACACTAATTATTGCTGGTCTAACCTTGGACGGGGACTTGGCTGGATGATTGAGGCGTTCCCCAGCCCACCCTGCCAGCCTTCAGGCACCTGCGGATCCGTCAGCCGCACACTGTCCCGGCTGCAAGGGAGGGGCGGCTCCACTGAAGAGACTTGTGGCAGTGCGCTCCATTCTCAACTCTGGCCTACAGTATGTAGAAGCTACTTTCTTTTTTGCCTTTCACAACACAACACAGCACACACATACAGGTTATGGTACTTTCCGAAGGCATTTACTTAACTCAATGCACCTGGCGGCTCGACTCAGATGAGTGGAAAGTCTATATTCTATTGTGCTCGCTGAGATCTTCTCCGAATGCTTCCTATGAATGTCTGAATAACAAATAAATTGGGTATCATCATGCAACCTAGTCTCCCCTCCTCTCCCTCTCGTGTCGCACCCCTGCTGTTTGAGCTCCCACCCTCTAAACCATCTCTTTATTCTGCTCTTTTGTGATTATTTCTGCTGATGGCGATCCCACAACCGTCTCGTCATCTGCGCTGTCGTCTTGGCCAAACGTCTCCGCCTCGGTGTTGACTCTCAGCTGAGCACCCTTTGCGTAGTCGCCAGGACCCTTGGCCCCGTTGGGAATGTGGAACCGCCTATCGAACCGGACGGCAGCGTACAAGGCAGAAACTATTATCTCGATGGCATAGTTGAAGCAGTAGTAGCAAGCCCTGGAGTGGTACCACGCAGGGTTGTTTGCTGCTCTCGGCGCGAAGTTGGTGCCTATTCTGAAGCCGGCACCTAGAGCGAGCAGTAGAGAAGTGAAGATCAAAAGCGCAATCTTGGTTCTAAAGCGGCCTTGGCCAAACTTCTCAACGCGCTTGCTGCTCGGGATCAACGCAGCGATCGTGACCGCTGGGGCGGGCACGAATGCAAGGAAGGCCAAGAAGACACCAGCGGTCAGCTGCACGTCTCTATCCTTGGACCGGATACCCGCGTCGAGCGTGTAGAACGACTGTACAGTGCACACGATGACCATGACCAGACAGGCAACAACACAACCGACAAGGCTGCGAAACACGATGCGTGATGCCTTGTGCCACCCGAAAGTTGCGTGGTACGCTCGCACGATGCGTTGTGCGAAGAAGAGGTTGGCGATGAAGATAACAATGACGCCGGCTTGTGTGAGGATGCTAGCCGCGATGGCAATAGAAACATTGGTCTGGTGTGTCGCCCATGCAATCCTCATGGACAAGGCGGCCGTTCGTGCCACAGAGAAGCCGAAGAGCATCGCTGAGAACACGAACTTGTGTTCTCGTTTTCGGTTCAGTTGGAATATCGTCATATGTGTTGCTGCCAGACAGATGTAGACAAAGATGAGGCACGCTGATATCGGTACGTCTATCGCAACTGTAGGGACGCCGCCTACCTGTGCTATCTGTGGCATGTACGGTGGCCCGGATGAGGACGACATCTTGATGGGTTTGTCGGTAGAAAAGTTATGGCCTCGATTTTGTGGTTCTGGTTGGGTTGTTCTCGTCCCTCGACGCCTCGCAGTCTAGCCGGATATAATATCAACTGCTCTCTTCTGCGATCCAATTTGCAGTTACTTCGAAAATTTTGCTTCTTCTTTTCGAGTCTGACGTAGGCTGGGCTGAGTTATGAATGTTGTATGATATGGCTGGCAAGAATTGTCGCATTATAGGATTTCGGCTTGGAGATTCAAATTCTTCATGTGTACCATACTGTCAGTCGAATAGATGCAGACTACATTCAGTGCCAAGCTGCCAACTATGAACCGAATGCACGCCTGTTATATTAATAAAATCAGCAACCAGCAACCTGCCTGTGACTCGTCATACACTTGGTTAACAACCAGCGGCTCCTCGCACAATACCAAAGAGCGACCCCCTATCAGCCGACATCTCCGTCGGCGTGTCCAACTGGTCGCTTTTACTTCCAGGTTTGTAAGTGCACTAACAATGGCTTATTGGCTGCTGGTTGCAGTCCAGAACAATGGAAGACCTCAGCGCCAAAACAGCGCGGAGCTAACGAAGTCCGGGGTTAAGTGACAGCTCCGCTGGGCTGATTTTGATCGAGGGTCGGCGAAAAGTGGCAAACGCGAGCCGATCGACAAGGGGCAGCATCGGAGCGTACGTCGCATTGATGCCGATGCTTGGCAGCCTTACGAATCAGACTACGTACGGATCCGTACTTGGTACGAGGACAAGGAGCATTTCCATCTCCGTCGGAATGTTTATGGCAAAAGGCCTCGGTTAGGTGGGAACGGCACAACAACGCACATCAATTTGCATTTGTCATTGCTCAGTCGCGGAGTTGTCACGAGCCTATATCTACCGCTCGTTCAGTTTGAAGATTAGATACACCTATTTCGTTACAAATCCACGTGGCAGAAATCGCGGCCGCATTAGCGTTGAGCTTGCACAATATCGGATTCTGAACCCTTGGTGTCACCCGTCAAGAAAGACAGACCTTGCACGCAATCACGTGGCTTATGGTACTCAACCACGTCAGAAACGGGACAGAGTAATGTTGCGGTATTCTGCTCGGACTGTCTCTCATCAACATAGCTTTACTTCTTTCCCTGACAATAGATGGTGTTCTTTCCTTTTGGGGAGAAGGGGGATGGGGGGGGGAGTGTTTGTAAAATTCAGCTTCGAAGGGTTCAAAATGCACAACACTGGGGATTCCCTAGTGGCCACCCAACTAAATACCACATGTTATCCAACACTTCAAGGACAAACCTACTCGAGCTCAGTCCTAATTGTTCCTAGGGAACGATTGATCTGTGCTGGGTCTGGCATTTCTTTGTGAAGATGGAGAGTTTAGAAACAGGAGGTAAGGAACATCAAGCACTAGAGATACTTGGCAGCTCTTGATATTGATATGCAGACGGGGTGGAAGCACTACCTGGCGAGAAGATATCGTTTGTACTGGAAACGTATGACCGTGACCCATAAGCTGCGCAGCAATGTTGGTTTATGTATTGTCCCTAGAAAGCTCTATAGTATCATTTTTCTGGTCCTCTCTTACCAACTATGGTACGCGAAGAAGGCCAACTCACGTTAGCCTACGACTTGTAAGAGTTTCAAGCTCGAAAAGTGTCACGCACGTTCAGAATCAATCTGGTTTAATTGGCATTGGGGGAGAATTCCTATGGATCAAAGGCAAACCTGGAGCTAGCAAATCGATTTAATGAAGTTTCCACATGAACAAATTCGAACTCGGGTCCGCCTGATAAAACGCGACGATGTTGTTATCTCCTTCTCTTCTCAGGCCAGAGACAGCGATCTGCTCATGATAGACAGTCAGAACGGGGAGCACTAGTCAGAGAAGACTTACCTAGGTTATAAGGATCGTTGGGCAACGAGTATTGTCTGTGGGATGATATAGGTCAAGGAAATCTCTACAGAATTCGCTAACATCAATGTGGCCATGGATGAACAGATCAAGGATTGAGTTTCATGCTTTCCTCAGATAGTCACTATCTCGGATAATACTAACATGATAGATATTTGCTAACAAGGTATGCTAACCAATAATGGGCGTATAAGAGTAGTCCCGAAGATTACTCAGTAGAATATTTCACAAGTGCAATCGTCAAAGTGTAAGTTGCACCTATTGATAAAATAATGCTTAGGTTGATCACTGTGGTTGTCTGACCCTGCCATAAAATCATCGCAAATTCTTAGAGAAAATGACTTATGAAAATTGAAGAGAGTGGAGGAGACAGCGTCACTAGTTGGGTGACCTCGTCCTACTTTGATATTATGAATGCGATGACTAAAAGTTAGACGAAGGCGAGCTCTTGGCCAAAGAAAGATCAAAAGAACCAAACTCCTTGCCAGTTTTTCAAAGGTGAAAACCTATCAGAGTTTGCATTCGGCTATCATCTTCAAACACCGGCCCCGTTCCAAACCATCCACCGAGATCCGAATCTCTTTTATCAAGCGTTAATCGTAAGGCCTGAAACGACGACATGAACATACGATGCCATTCGTGGCGAGATTACCAAGTGAGCTTCGGGGTATTGTCGCTAGGGCAGGCGTTCAAGCGAGGCAACACTCCTTCAACTTTACGATTCCGCATGGATCGCCAGCAGCTTCCCTTTTTTTTATTTTTATTTTATTTTTTTAAAAAGTTTCACTGCATGCTGATTATTAGCTTTAATGTCACCATCGCACTACTTATATTCGTTCTTCATCTTGACTTTAAAGATAAAAGATGTAAATGATATCAATAAGATGGAGAAACAGTGATATTAGATAGAATGATAATGATTGTGAGTTAAAGATTCTTCAGCTAACTATCTAGTTTGTACGGATACCCTTAATCTTTGAATTCCTGAAATCTAACACAAGCAGACTAGCACTGATAGACAAAGACTCTATCTAGTGAGAACCAACGGGACATGGTATGATTCTTGTGTCTAACGTAACAATCAAGCGACCAAGAACCACAGCAAAATATTAACGAAGTTGGCGATCGTCGAACGCTTCACGTATCTCCCAGACCTAGTCAAAGTACGGGTGATCAAGTAGGGCTTCAGCGCTTGACGTGCTGACCAGCCAATCAATCCTTTTCAGACCAATAGTTGAATGGCCTTGAATGGTTAAATCAGAGAGGCTTCATACGGAGCAGCGCACTCTCTAAGTATAGGATTTGCCCAGGTTATTAAAAAAGAAAGAAAAAAGAATTGAACTTACCAGTGCAGTCATATCCCCAACATATGTTTCCCACAACAACCTTTCCACGTTTACAATTTAGTATTACCGGCTTAGGCTTATAAAAACAACACCTAACAACACGATACCTTCTGCATGCAAACACGAAGGGCTGACATGCAATATCACATGGTGTTGGTGCGAGGCCATATTCGGTGACGATGCCTGAGCTAAGATCGATCTTCAAGATATGGCCATTCACATTCATGCACCTCGTAACGGTAGTATTCACGCCGGTAGGAGTCAACAGATTGGCAACATCTTCGAGCGTCGCGACCAGGCTCTTCAGCAGTGTAGCATTATCAAAGCAATGGGATGTCAAGACGAGCTGAAGTTACTGATATGCGAGGCTAGCTTTGAGCTCTTTCGGCGCATCGTCCCTATACTGCATGGCGGTGTGTCCTTGCCCAACGATTTGCATTCGCGACTGCATCCTGAGTCCCTCTACTTCAAAGTCCTGTGGACGGGGGATGGCGAGGTGCTTTTTGAGGCGCGGGATCTCCAGCCTCAAGACGCAGACACACAATTTGACTTGTGTGGGTGCAATAAGAGACAACGTAGATCGCCAGACTTACCTGATTTGCACTTTATTCCTGATCTTGACACCGTCCCCGATACATTCACTTGCTTCGACAGTGAGGTAAACGTTTTGGAAAGATTCGCGTAAGATAATATCACAAAAGCCGCCATCTCCTCGCGCGGATCAGGCCAGGAAATGCTCTGCAGGGTCGCCACTAGCGAGTCGTATTTTGAAGTTGTTATGCGTGAGCTCCAATGCCTCATTATGATCGCAGCTCTAACTCTGGTTGCCAACACGCCCCTGGCCCGCATTTCAAAACTCCTAAGGCTCGTTTGCTCTCCAGACTACGGTGGCTTCATAGCGATGGTAGATACATATGCCACACGCACATACACTTTTCGGGATGGACCTGACCAAGGTTAATGTCAGTCGACATGATTTTCACTGCCTGTTGTGTGGAAGAACTTTCCCTAGAAAGCATCATCGATAGCTTCGTGGAATGTGAAATATGCCTATTTGTCGCTTCACCTAGCTTCCGATTCAACGATATAGCCTAGATTCATGAACAGGTGCGGCAATTTCATAGCGAAAGGCCTGAATCGAGCAGAGGAATCAATCCACGATCCCCGAGATCTGATGAGCCTCAGTGTTTAGTAGTATACTGCCTTTTGAAAGTTCACCGTGAGTGACAACTTGGGACCATTCGTTGCTGAAGAGAGAGAGGAAAGTCCATTTCAATATCAGAAACTCCCGTACATGATGCCTTTTCCGGTGTCACCACTATCAAGTCGGCCTTGGTAAGTGAACACATCCCAAAGGTTCTTTTTCCAACATGTACTGCATCTTTTAGATGAAGCGGAGATGTGCACGTCCAGCTTTCCGGACTCTATTCGAAAGGAGATAATAAGTTTGACATCATCATTGCCAGTACCGACCACTGTGCAGCTGAGAGAACCTTGAAGATTATCAGGTATTAGTGACACGATATAATCTTCTCCAAGAAGTTCCTTTGCTCGTCAGTCAAATGAGTAAAAGTTTCCTCCATATCTCCAGGAAGAGCTTCGATCAAGGTCAACCAAGGCGTTTTGAAGAATTGTGTAGCTAATTATCAATGGTGAAAGTTGCGGTGATACTTCAATATGCGTCCGTGCAGCTGATAGTCAATTGAAGAACATTAGGCTGAAGATGGGCCCCAGATGTGTAGTTCATATATAGTTGCTCTTCTTTGAGACAATCATTGATTCATTGACTCACAATCAGGCAGCAATATCAAATAACCAATCTGACCTTCAGCTTATCTCCTGACATGATTTCGTCTTTCTTTTCCATCAACTCCGGAAGATGCCATGTTACATTGACATACCGGCCTGCGAGCCAATCTCGCTTCTCTGACGTCAGATACACAAGCGAGTCTGCACTGAGCTCAGGAGTCTCCACGAAAACTAATCGTCGTGTTAGCTTACCAGGTTGGGCCTAAGGAAAACAGCAGCTACTCACTATGTTTCAAGAAATCAGGTATCCCATCAGGTCCTGACATGTCTGTTGGAATGTTTCCAGGATGAATGCAATATGCCAAGATCCCCTGTTCGCCATATTCGGCACACACAAACTCATCTAGTCGGAGCGTAACAAGCTTCGACGTCTGGTACGCACTATATCCAGGCGACACCAAGTGAGCACCCACACTGGCGACGGTGATAAATGTCTTATCCCCACCCTCTAGCAACAAAGGGATGAGTGCTCGGTAAAGCAGGTAAATGCCTATGGTGTTGGTGCCGAACACTCGACCCCAATCATCCGCATCGCTCTCTGCGATCTTGCCCATAGTTATGACAGCGGCGTTGGCGATGACGATGTCGATCCTGCCAAACTCGTCTCTGATCTTCCGCGCTGCTTCGTCCACGCTCTGCTTAACAGACATGTCAAACTTAATCGGCAAGATCTTTGGTGGCGGTTTCCCGAGCTTCTCAACGGCGTCCTGCATGAGCTTGATTGTGGTTGACAGGTCACCTCTGGCGCCTATGGCAATCATGGACGCGCCAGCCTTGGCGAAGGATACGCTCATCGCACATCCGAGACCCCTCGACGCACCGCTGATGAAGACGGCTTTCCCGCTGAGGTCTGCTTTCGCAGAATCGATTGCTGGGTATGTGTCATTGTGCACTTCGCTGGTCATGTCATAGTCGCCTGTGCTCGAGTTTAACCAAGACGTCGCGGTTGACCTGTCAAGGGGGGTGCTTACCAGGACCTTCAAGAATGTTTGGCGTTCCACGAGGAGGAGGCATTTCAAACTGTGGCGAATCTAGTATCTGCTGCAACAAGATTTTTGGTACGGTGGGTCCAATGGTTCAGGGCCGCGAGATGTTTGGAAAGACGTGCCACAAGTATAAATATTCCATCATGGCGGCCGCCTTGTTGTAAGACACAACACCATGCTAATCGCCGACCACCTACGGCGTACCACACAAGTAGTTTCTATCTATATAGGCAGCGCTAAATAATGTACTACTGTATGGTTAATCTCGTTCTCACGTCAGCACAAAGTACGCTGTTGTATGGGACACCAATCAGAAGCTGCGGAGTTTGGCTTGCTGTTGGTGTGCAGGAGGCGATAAAGGTTGCTTTAGCCGGACATCGTATGGGCTATACACGGTGATACGTAATCTCCGCGAAGAGTCAGAAAGCCCAGTGGAGAGACGAGTGTGCTTCTCATGCATGGATATCTTAAGGTTTTTCGGTGTCCACCATTTCGCCAAAGTTAAGGGCGTAAGTGTGCATCGAAGCCGTCGTTATTTTATGTAGTCGTTGAGTTTAATGGTCATACAAGTTAAGTTTTTAACCTCGACAGTTGTAGATACCACTAGCAACTGCATGGGAAACCACAGTCCGTAGTGTGTCCTGTACGGAACATTGCATACTGAGGTTAGTGTATAAGTATGTGGACGTAATATATACCCGATGACTCGTCCAGCTCGTAGGGACCAGCGGTGGAGGCATACTTATGTACTGTGTATAGTATGTCCGGAGCGTCCTGCTTGAGTGGAGCCCGACTGCCGCCCTCTGCAGGTAGTTATGGAGCGATGAAAAAGAAAATACCCCGCTAAAACTTTTTGAAGCAAACGAACCCAGACGATCGTTTGCCTGCCTCATGTCAGAACTCCCTTTCAAGCAATTCTCTTTCACATAAAGAGTTTGTTCACCATGACCTCACCAGCCGGTAACCTTGGACAGCTGGAGCAACAGCGTCAACGCCTCGAGCAGAACGTCCGAAAGATACGCGCGCTTCTGGACGAGTGGAAACAATGGAAAAACGAGTACGAGAATCTGAAGAAGGAGGTGGATCTGCTCCCGCCAGACGCGTCGCCCAAGCTCATGAAAACGATGCGCGCATCTTTCGATGGCAATCTTGTCGACGACGATGAGCTAGCCAAGATATTTGGGGATGGCGGCTCTCAAAAGCCAAGCCAGGTCATAAGCACCCTGGTCAACCGGATCGACTACGTGAAGCGAAATATTACCACAATGGAGAAACGCCTCGAGACAGCCCAAAAAGAGTTGGCGGCACTGAACTTGCACGAAGACGAGGAGCACGACGCATCCGAAGACGAAGGTGAATACGTCCCAGAGGACGAGGGCTATGGAGGAGATGATGGCGGCTTGCCAGTCACCGAGATCTTGGAAGAGCTCGATGATGATGACAATGTCGTCTCATACAGCCTCCGAACCCCCGGCAACAATCAGTCAGAGCTCCTTGAGGCCCTGGAGAAGGCCGGTGTGAAAGAGCTACCGGCCTCTCCCGGCGCAGCCGAACAGAACATCAAGCAAGTCGAGCGCCAAACTCCCAAGCCGCAGCCCCAAGAGACCTTGGCTCAGGCAAAAGCAGCGACGACAGGCGATTCACCAAAGCCTAAGCCGCAGAAGAAGAGCGTCAAGTTTGCAGAAGATACAAAACCTGCAAAGGCAGTAGCAACGCCTGCAAACAAGCCTGTGGCTGCCCCTTCAAATCCAAAGTCGAAGGCGACAAAACCTGCCGACGAGAAGCCAGAATACATGTCGTTCACAGCCAAAGACATCGATGAGCTGATGCGGGAGGCTAAGCAGCAAGAGAGCATCATATCAGATCCCGTCATTCCTGCCGATGACTCGGAAGAGGCCGCTCAGCTGCGGAGAGACATGCTGGAATACAACCTGTCTGAACTGAACCCCGTGGTTGCGGAACTTACCTTGGAAGAAGGTGGCTTGACGGATGAAGAAGAAGATGATGATTGGGACATTGATCTAGACGAGGAAGAGGGGGAAGACGACGACGAAGACGAAGATCAGTGGGGTCGGTCTAAACGGAGCGTCGTCAACGAAGAATACCGTCTGAAGATGCTGGAAATCCAACAGCGTCTACAAGGCCACACCTTTGATTCTCCAGAAACACACAACGATAGCGACGATGACAACGGGGACGACCCGAAAGAGGGCATTGCAACAATCCGTGTCAAGACAGAGGAAAGCAAGCTTGACAGTACTTCTTATGACAACACTGGGGTTGAACCTGACGGCGTTTCTGGGGCCAAGAAAAGCGTCCGATTTGCGCCAGCATTGGACGTGGCGGAAAAGCCAACCCCTTCTCGAGATTCGGCACCTCTAGCTCAGCTTGAGAGACCTGAAGTTGATCCTCTCTCGCAGACCATTGTAGAGCGCAAGAGCAATGCTCCCCCACCCACTGCACCAGTTACCAAGAAAGCCTCGAGATTCAAGATGGCCCGTGGTGAGGCATCACCTAGCCAAACGCCCACGTTCAAGGCTCCGGTATCGATCGACGGCTCAGTCATCAACCCGGAACTGCCTGTTTCTGAACAGCAGTTTGCCCCGTCTGGCCCAGAAGGGAAGACGATGGCAGCCTCTGTGCTGGAACATGCACCATCCGAACGAGCCAGAGAGCCGGATGAGTTCGATGCCGACATGCTTAAACAGCAGGCCGCTGTTGAGTATCACAAGGTACGTAACCGAATGATTCAGAAGCAAGGCGGCTTCATGAAGGAAGACGAGTCGCCTATACGGCCGCTGGATGAAGAGGAGGGCGGCCCGAAGCGTTTGAGTCGGTTCAAAGCAGCACGGCTTGCGAAATCTTAGGGTCTCGAAAGTTTCAGTAGCTCAATCTTGAGTCTTCTGGTTTTTCTTGGCCTCGACTGTGAAGCTATTTTCGAGACGCCTCGTGACTTGGGATATATCCATGCGACTGTGATCACCGCACGCATATGCCGCCTGACTGGTCCGGTTGAATTGACTGGTTGTTCCCAGCTTGCTACGTGCACATGTAAGTCTGGCAGAGTAATAGCTCTGGTTTTCATTTCCGTTGTCAAATTTTTTTCTTGTCAAGTTATGCTGCCGAAACAACTGCATGACAACGTAATACGGAACGCTTCAATCTGACAATTGATGCATAGCTGCTCTCAATCTGCTATGGCATTACTCGCGATTCCAAGAGCAAGTCACCTAGGGCTCTCTGACGCCTTAACCCAGGGCCTTCTGGCTATATTCACCCGTGGTTTTGCGCGATTCGTTTCACCCTTGACATTCCATCAAGTACGTACATAGCTCAAGAAATTAAGATGTGTATCTTGGCCTCCTGACCTGGCCCGACCAGCATGTGGATATGTTTCTATTCTGCATCATGGGTGCTCGTCAATTAGTTGTTCTTTAATTAAAGATGACTTGTTGTTTCCTCTCCCCTCAGCTCATCTTGGCATTGCTGAAGTCCATCTCGGGATGCTGCTCCTGGAACTTCTTGAGGATGTCGGTCTTTTTCTGCTCGTCGCTCGTGGGCTTGCCCTGCTCCTTCTGCCGCTGGTCGTACATCATCTTCTCGACCATGCCGCGGGTCTCGCCGTCCAGATCGGAAAGCTTGCTATTGTCGGGCTGGATCTTGGTCACGTCGATCTTGGGGGCGGAGGTGATGACGTGTGCCCACCACTCCATCTTGTTGAGCTTATCGAGGTGGACCTCGACCGTCTTGGTGCCGTCGGGGGCCGAGGTCAACGTCCATGTGCTGTCCTCGGTCTGTACGGGGTGGGGGAGGTCGCCCTGTTGTAGAGATGGGGTCAGGAAGGGAGGGCATAGGCGGAACAATGGGCAGCCTCACATTTACGATGGGATCCTGGCCCTTGATTCCCGCGACGAGCTTCTGCTTCTTGATGTCTATGACCAGGTCACGGCTCTTCAGGTTGCCCGGGACGGAAAACTGCAGGTCGATCTCGCTGATGGTCTGTGTCCATTTGTACGGCAGGGCGGCTTGCTCTTCGGCCTCGGCTGCGCGGGCGGCGGCTTCTTGCTCGGGAGTGAGGTCTAAAAAGCCACGAGGAAGTCGGGTTAGATTCAGATTCATAAACAGAGAGATATGAATAATGGGACATTTGGAGGCTCCCATGGCAGCATAGGCATGAGGTGACCCAGCATATCACTGAGCTTTTGTTTACTTGCCTGACATTTTTCCGACTCCTGTTCCTGAGCAGCAAATACTGTCGATAGTCGGGATTGGTGTTTTGCTCGTATAAGTAAGCAATCGAGCGATGTCGTTGCTGCAGTAAAGTAGAGTAGAGTAGAGTTAAAAGGTTTCCCTCTGGTGGAAGTCTACAGAAGGCTGCTGAGAAATCGCGGGGCAGCTTCCGGTTGCGTTGATGGAGGGGTAGCAGCAAAAGATGCAGCAGCTGCTTGTACTGTAGCCTCCCCTGTAGCTTCCGCCAGGGTCCAGGGGGTCGGCTGAAGCTCTTACTTATTTATTTGCAGGTGCAGATCCATAGTCTTTGTCATGATCAGTCTTGCACCCATTCCATCATCATGTGTTTCTGAAAGCCGTAGGATATGTAGATCCATGGAGGTATCTTTTGAAGTGGCATCGTCGCACTCTAGTGAATAGGCATTTCATTTTTATTTTTCCGTACGGGCGCTCTCACCTTTTTTTATTTTTTTATTCTTTTATTAAATATTATAACAAACATCAAGCCGCCAAACTGTCAGTACTTGCGGTCCCACTTCATCCTCGACGTCGCCTGCCTACTTCTTATCGTGGCGAGACGCCTTTTTGGTTGCTACAGTGCCGGACCGGTTCCATCTAAACAACTCGATTCCCTCTGGTCGTGCCTTGGTATTCCCCCATTATCGACTGCCATCATGTCGCGCAGGGCTACCGGCGCCACGACCATCACGCAGCCCTTCAACACGAGGGCTGCCAATGTCATCCCCGAAGACATCTGCCCTGTCTGCAAACGAAACCGGTACCTGAATACCAGCATGACCTTCAAGATCAACCCCGAATGCTATCATCCCATGTGTTCGCAATGCGTCGAGACCATATTCAAGTCCGGCCCCGCGCAATGTCCCTACGCCAGCTGCAACAAGACCCTGAGGCTCAAGGGCTTTCGCGAGGCCATGTTCGCCGATTTGACCATCCAGCGCGAGGTCGACATACGGAAACGAGTCGCTGCCGTCTTCAACAATACGCAAGACGACTTTGAGACCCTTAGGCATTACAACAACTATCTACAGGACGTGGAGGATCTCACCTTCTCCCTCGTCTACGGCGACGACTCGGACAGGATGGAGGCCGAGGTAAAGCTTATCGATTACGAGCAACAACACAAGGCCGCCATCGAGAGGAACAAGAAGAAGGGCTCTGAAGCAGATGCGCTGCGCATCAAGAGGCAGAAGGAGGCCGAGGCCGCTGCCGTCGCTAGGAAGGCAGAGCAGCAGCACCAGGAAGAAGAGGCCAGAGCCGAAGAGGCCAAGCTGAACCAGGAGGTCATGGAAGCCCTGCAGCGAGGAGAGCCCGGAAGCGCTGCCGATATCCAAGCGAGAATAATGGCCAAGAAGAAGGCAAAACTTGCGACCATGAACGGTGGCCACTTCGCCGCAAGTTTGGATGCGTCCCGAGGCATTTCTATACGTGGTCTGCGCCAGAAAAAGACTGGTCCTTCTGCAGACGAGGAGGACAGGAACAAGCCGTACAGCCCCTATGCCGGCATACACTTGGAGCCTACCCGCTACAGTCTGCAGAGCGACTACGAGAACCCACATCTGGTCAAGGCCAAGACCGACAAGGGTCACCAGGTCGGTGGTTACAGCACACAAGAATATATCACACGCGCCATGTTCGAGGCTTTTGCTGGGCTGGGTGTCATGGTTGGTCATGAGAAGGCTTCAGACCAGAGGAATGGCGGCACCACTGCCCCTCGCGACGCTGCTGCCCGAAGTAAAACGAGCCGGCCTCTCACGACGGATCCCAGAGCTGAGATCAACGATGTATTTGTATAGAATCATGGGTCATTTAAACACTGTGCATAGCGATGGCGTCTTGGGACAAACTTAGAATTCCAATCTACATTAGAAGACTCAACTTGGAGAGCAGGCAGATCCAAAATCTCGACTTCGCCCCGACAGGTTACACTGCTCGGCCATCGCCTTCGGGACTCGATTGTGGTCTTTCTTGGCATTGGTTTCCACATCCTCTACCGGGGGCATGCACTTAAAAAAAAAAAAAAACTATACCAAGCTATCAAGGGATGATGCGTCTCTATCTGGCCCTCTGAGCCTGAGCTGGCTCTCGCCAAGTCTTTGGCTGTGGCGGAGCACGGCAGATGATTGGCTTCGTGGGGTCAAGACTATGCCAAGAAGGCAGGAGACAAACCTCACTGATGTCACTGCACGATGCGCGTAAGATCAAAACTCAGCTGTCATGGGGAGGCTGTGCATGCATCAAGCACCTATTCCTGGGAGTAAAAAAGAAGCCCGCTCAGCTAAAGCATGTTATTTATACTTAGGTCTTTAAAAACAACAAAACCAAAACCAGCTGATAATCGAATATCACGCACATACTGTAATATCTCAAGGCAAACCCCATCACTATCATATACTATCTTGTGCCTCAGTCGCGCGCCAGTCTCCCAAGAAGAATCAGGTGAAGAAAATGAATTCCAGCGCAGGCCTGAGCGCCCGAGTCGTCTCGGAACACGAAAGGGCACACGCAGAGATGCCGTCGACGTACAGAGTCTCTCTCAACGACAGGCTATGGCGGCCCAAGCCGTCGGCGGCCTCGGCCTCGTCGGAGAAGCCCCGCGGGGATTACGAGTCGCTGTACAGCGACGCCGGCAGCATCACGAAGGACAAGGAGTCGGCGAAGAAGCACCACAAGAGCCTCGGTGAGCGCCTGGGACTGGGGAGGTAAGCCTGAGGGCCACTCCGTTGTACGATGAGGAGCGAGCGAGGGAGGCGAAGCGGGATACGCAGGGTGCGCGGGATATATGCTGCCGAGTTCAAGCGGTGATGAGCAGAGGGGCGCCGGCCCGAGGCGCGTGGGATGGTAACCTCGTTCCTTGTTTCCTTGCATACGACGAGGTAACTTTTGATTTGGTCGACAGAATTTCGAAGGTCACTGTTCTTCCTTGCAAATATCTGCTTCTTGTGGTGCGATGATGATTGAGACGTCGATTGGAAAAGTGATGGGCAGGAAACTTGGCAGAAGCCCCTAGGTTAATGGCTCTATAGTCATCATCACGTAGGTGGCAGAACACCTTCTTGTAGGAATATACAGATCGTCTCATCGATTCCAAGTCACTACAAATGGTGTAAATATTTCAGAAGACTGTATGGAGATGTGTTACGTGCCAGGGTGTTGATACGGTGACATCTCCGTTAACGGACCTTCGTGTTAATTGGAGGGAATTTTCCTGTCTCTATGGCTGGGATCCATCATAATAAAATTCAATTGGCCGTTTGAACCTCTTCTTTCCTGTTGCTCTTCGTGGCATGCAGTGCGTGACATGCATTCTTCCGTTTCTGATACTGGTATGCGCCACATGTTTGTGCCTTCGCTTGCTGCTTTAAACCTGCATGATAACATCAAGATCGTGCGCAGTCCCATCGGAGAACGTCGATCAAAGGGTTTCCAACGGTGAGAATCGTCATACAACTCGGCATCATTCAGGATAAGAGTATGTTCATACCTGGCTGCGTGACATGTTCCTGTTCCGATGGGCTAGTCGACTTATTCGACCGCGCTTTGGGACAATGTCTTCCATAGAATTTTTCTGCATCGTTGAGGCGTCCAGAATGATGCCATCTTCGAGCAGTATCACAGTAACTCAGCGATCGGCCATGCAACATCTCCCTCGAGAGTATGTTCTGGGTTCCAGTCGAACTGTCGGGTGATGGTGTATCTGATGCACGTATCGGTCGATGCAAAATTCTGAGCTTGACACTTGCTGGTCTTTCGAGGTAGGTCTATGGGGGAAGTTGTAACCAATCCCTCCCCAGGGCATCAAGATAGCTACAGCGTAAGCGGCATGCGGTCGGAACGGGATGACTGTAGAGATTCAGCAGCCCGGAGCCCTCGATGCCAATCCTGCAATAGTCCAGATATGCTTTGAGATCGTCACCAACAACACCATGCTAGAAACAATCGATATCGACAGAGACTTTTGTGCCATCAGTTTCGCTTACTTGGCATGTAGAATAGAAGTGGCTAGGCACGGGATGAAGAGGATCGATTGACACATTAGATGGGCATAGTGATCCGTGGCTAGGAGGAAACTCTTGTGTTAAAGATTTCTCAGTCCGACGATTATAGTCCATTATCCACTCTTTATCGTACTTTATGGCTTCCTGCTTTTTCAGAAGTTTCCAACTAAAGAAGTTCTTTAAACCCCTTCGGGGAAGGCTTCCCATATCGCCACCTTTGCATGAGAAATATTTCTCGGACTGATAGCTTAGACCATTATCTTTCGAATAATTACTCGTGTTCTGCACGGCCTCTAATGACAGAACGTGGCCTTGACCTGTCAAGGCGATACTGCCTTGGCAGGCTGACCAGGGATAGAGAGCCTCGGTAGGCATACAAAGCTCCAGCTGCTAAGGGAGAGCCTTGTAACCAAAACATAGTGTCAAACAGTAGACTGAACATGCAGAAAGGATGGCCGTGGATCTAGTATGGAAAGCTGTACGATACCATAATCAGCCAGCGTGTTTGGTATCTTGCTAGTGATAGGCTTCAGCATAGGTGTATGTTATTGGGTTGGCCTGTCGTCAAGCAGCGTAACTATGGAGTCTGATTACAGATGCGAGGGGAGGTCTCTCTTCCTTTTTCCTCTTACTCTTTTTTGGCAGACAGGTGACACAAGATTCTGTATGGGTGCAGTAGTTGTCGTAATTACATGGATGACACACTATTGGTGTGTTGAACGTACCTGCGTACCTGTCCAAATACATTCCATTTGAAGCCTACACAACCATTCGATGGTAAATTTAAACCAGCGCTAAATTCTGACAAAATCATTTTGTACACTTAGTCACACATTGACTGCCTCTAGTCTTCGAGGTCCTTACTTGTCTCTTATGTCGTCTGTCCAATCAATCGATCACTCTCACCATGGTTGAACCCGTCAAGTGATGGCTTTCCATGAAAGGAATAGTCCGTGTGTGCACCGCTGCAACCTGGGATGCCCTCTAGGTCTTTAGCAGATACCTCTTGCAAATTCCCTTCTTCGTCCGGGACAAAGTGGCGTGCTGGCAAGAACTCCTGCTCGAATACAGGTTGGATGTAGTGACGATACTCGTGGTTATGGATATCCCGGTGGATTTCTTTGTGAGTGATCTCATGAATATGCGGCCGGACAACTTCATGTGTCACAGCTTTATAATTTACATGTCAGTACACCATTACAATACACAAGACTGGTTGCTTACCGGGAGCTTGATATGTATACTGATCGGTGTCAACAGTGTCGGTAAGGTCGAAGTCCGCAAAATCGGTTTTGCCAAAATCAGGAGTCGGAATTAGCCTCTGTGTCCCTTCTGTCCCTTCTGGCGTAAGCATGTTCTCCGACCCGGCACTTCCACGTGTTCCCCTTGGCCGGATGGCCAAACTATCTGGTCGAGGTCCATCTTGCATAGCCATACCGTGAGAGCTCGTCAATGGTTTTCGTGGAATCGATATTGAATCAGCCGTGTCACTGCGTCGGCGGTTACCATGACGTCCATGATGATCGGAAGAGCCAGTCGAACGTCTTTCCTTATTTGTTGCGTGAAGACCATTTGTTACTCTCGGGGGCTGAGCCGTGGCTGCAGCAGTTCCTGTTCCTTGCTCATCGTGGCCTAAATCTGCAAAATGATAATCGTTTAGATATACACTCTTGAAGCTCTCATCCACAGATCCACGCTTCGTACTCTTGTTCACTATCCGCAAATCGTTTTGACGTATATCTGTCCTGTTCGCTGGCGTTGAAGAGTTTGGGCGCCTATCCGTCCCGGCTGTAAGAGGCCTGTTGTCCGTCGTTTTACCACCTACATTCGTAAAATGGGTATCGTGGAGGTCATTTGCGTCGCTGTTTCCCTGTAGAGCATCCCGTGAATACTGCTTGTTGTCTTTTGACCGTCTTCTAAACTTGGCTTTAATCCTTTGAAGGAGAGATCTGCCCTTTTGCGACATCTGAATGTCTCGAACCACTATCGATTAAAAAAAAAACCCCTACTTGAAAAGGTACGGTGAATGAGTGGGCTCGCTAATCTATTATGATCGACAGGAGAAGTGACTACTTCTTCACAGACACATTGAATAGCCTCATACAGGCTCTGGTTAAGGACAAACGGTCAATGACACAGAACTCCCAAAATCAAGGCTGGAAGCAGATAGCTCTATACACTGATACCCAGCCAGTTTGAGCACTGCCACAGCGATTCTGGGCTCATTCTAGACTGACTCCGCAATCGCTCGTTACGACGAGTTGCTGTCATACCTTGACTTCGTCATATGATGTCATGATGCAAAACGTTTTAACTAGAGTCTCAAGCCACTATGGATGAATTTGGTCCATGGCGGCCAACTAATGACCTGTGGTAGAACCTCATGCTAAGAGGGGCGTCTTGTCTGGTCGTGAGATCATTCGATCTATTGCGACATCCACCCCTTACTTCATGCTAACTAAGCTCAAGTTGAAGCAATTGCCATACCGATTTTTCAGTTTCCTATGGCAAGAAGCCAGTGCTGTCAAGCGAATCTTAGCGCGGCGGACAAAATAGTCCCTGCTGAGAGGGGATGTGATAGTATCCATCCCAGCGCAGATCGAAATTGTCCTATAAATTGAGGAGAATCGGACATGTCACCGCAGAATGATGTCGGTGTATTTCTCCTACGCAGTGTCGAGACTATTTCAGCTTGTGATGCTTGGATCCATTCCGTGAATACCTTGGACGATTATGGCATTCGCTCATAGCTTTCGTGTTTCAAACCTTCGCCGCAAACCTAAGCCGAATAACGTGCACCATGCATGCAAAATGTATGATGCTGTTTGTTTACCGCATTTGTAAAAATGACGCTTTTAGAACTCCAACGCGCAGAATTCAATGGCCCACAGCCGGGTGCCGCTAGACGAGCCGCTTTCTTTTTTGCTTGGCTCTCCTATACACTAGCAGGGCCTGTAGTATGCGGTCGAGCCGCATCTCTCAACACATACCCGCAGCCCCATAGCTCGAACCTTCTCAGCTCGGGGTCTGATGATGTGTAGGACTCTGTTCCACAACGGGCTGGAGCTGGCGGCAGCGCGGCTCTACAATGTGTCAGTATGTTTTCATATCAATCTCCTGAGCCAGTGAGGGGTTATTTTGCAAACTAGATCCCGGTGCGTCCGCACGATAACGAGCAGCAGCCACTAGCTTGTGGCGTCACGACACGCAAACTCTTTACTCACCTTTCAATGAGCAGGAGAAACTACTATGACTGCACCACATCGAAGATCGTAAAGCTTAGCTCATTTATGGTTCTGTTGGACGCAATACTGACGGTTTGCGATTGGATGGCAGCCATCAGCGTCATGCTTGGTCTCAACACCTTGTACTAGATCCAAAGAAGAGCACGTCAAAAATATCCTGATCATTGATGTGTTCGATTGAGTTCTGACCACAGTGGATAGTGTTCTTGGCCGTCAAGGGAATATGACATCGGGGGATGATGATAACGTCATGGAGGAGATCTTGAGCAATGGTTGGAGTCTAAGTTATAAGATGGTCTTCGTCGGCCTGCAGATTAGACTTTTTATATGACCATTATCATCTCACCAAACACCTCAAACCACTGCAGCTAATCCACATATCATAACCTCAGTCCTAACTCCTTTTTTACACTTGAAGAATTCCTCAAATTTTACAGACACGACACGTTCAGTTACAATGGATAAGACTAAGGAAGCCGTCAGCAAGTTCATGTCCAAGGCTGGACACCACGATACCACCGTCCATGAGCACGTTCAGCCCGCTGTTCAGCATGAGACTATTCGTCCTCAGCAACATGAAGAGGTCAATACTGCTCTCGATCGGGAAGTTCATCAAGACCACTACCACCACACTGTTCAGCCCGTCCAGGACAAGGAAGTTCTCCCAGAACAGCACCACCATAATGTTGGACAAGTCGAACACAGATCGTTTGATCATCGCGACGAGTCCAAGGTGAAGAGAGCACTCGAGGCAGAGAGAGCCAAATTCAGCGACCAGCGTGTACGAGAAGAGGCTGTGCACACCCAGTCCAGTGCTCCGGTAGTTCAGGGCGAGCATGTTCACCAGTAAGCTTGTTTAGTTCGTATTAAAAGTGCATGATTTAACACATTTCCTCAAGTCACGTGCATGAGACATACCAGCCTGTCGTTCACAAGGAGACCATTGAGCCTCACGTGGTACACACCACTGTACCCATCCATGAGACACACCACAACGAGGCTAAGCATCATGCGACATCAACCCTGCCTGCTGTCAGCATGTCGGAATTCAAGCAGCACGGCGGTACTCACCGTGGTGGACAGCACGAGGAGCACCGCTTTGAGGGTTGTCCAGACGTTGAGGGAGGTGCTCACAGCCACAACAAAGGTCTCAGCAATATCACCAGCGCTGGTGCCGGCGTTGCCGGTGCGGGAGTGGCTGCCGGTGGTCATCGCCACCGTCGCTCGTCGTCTGTTTCATCTTCGGATCGTGAGGGTGTGAGTGGTCCTCACAAGTCCAAAGTCGCCAATAAATTGGACCCCCGAGTCGACAGTGACCGTGACGGTAGTCGCACCGTTGGCAACAACAACACAGCCTCTTCTGGTGCCATTGGCGGTTACTCTGCCGGTACCACTGGCAGCCGTGGTGTTGGCAACTCCGGTGTCACCACAGGAGCAGTCGGCAGCGGTGGTTACACGTCAGGAAGTCGCGAGGGTGTTTCGGGCCCCCACAACTCTCGTGCAGCCAACACTCTCGACCCTCGAGTGGATTCAGACCGCGATGGTAGTCGTACCGCTGGTACTACTGGCACTTCCACTGGCACCGCAGGGCAGCATCATAGCAGCATGCTGGACGTAGGTAGCGCACCCGGCACCACTGGTACCACCAGCTCCCGCACCGGCACCACGGGTCTAAGTAACACAACTGGCAACAACACTGCATTAGGCACTGGTACTACTGGTCTTGGTTACGCTCAAGGTCACAGCCGCGTTGACTCTGGCCACAGTACAAGCGAAGATAAGCCTGGTCTATTGGAGAAAGTTGGCAACAAGCTTGGTCTGACGAGCAGTCATAATTCAGAGACCACTGGCACTCAGAACAATGATGGTGTTTTCAACAGCGTGAACTCGAGACGATGATTTACCTAAGTAATGACCTATGATAGTGTAGTGGATAGCATATAGTATAATGATATATGACAGTCTTTTATCTTATTGCCACAATGCGAACATAATGTTTTCCAGTATTTTGTCTATTTTTTGCGCTTCATGTAGCACAAAGCTCAACTTTCTGGATTTAGCATTAGTAGTTTTTTATATGCAGTTGTTGAATCGTACATCGTCAAATAAGACTGTGTATTTGTTATACGATATGGTGGTACAGACTCAAATGAATATGTCTCTACCTGGAAATCAATTTACATGATCTCAGTATATCTAGCCGCCTTCTCGTATGAGGAGGGTTGTTTCAGGTAAGTCCTGAAGGCTCTATGTTTAATCTTGAAATTCTCATAGTGTCACGCTACTAAACCCCCGGTAGCCGAATTCCGAAAAGCGATGTTATGAACAAAAAGCAAATATATGGCGAGGCCCGGTATGTACATGATTGCGTCTATCGATGATAAAAAACTGCTGATATCTCAGTGGGTTTGTGTGCAAGTTGGAAGCATCACCGATATAACTATTATTATACTCAGGGCCAAAACTCTGAGCACACTTCATCTGTGCAAAGTGCAAAAGGATATTGAACTTGCCATGTGCAATTTAGAGGAACATAACCCTAAATGAAATGACCGCGTTTGACACACCACGAGCCTGAGGCCACAGTGGTATAGTTGTGGTCCACTTCATTTAATGTTAAATACATATCATTATCTCAAATGTCCGGATCCCCTAGCTGAGCTATCCTTCGTCGGACATATTTTTATTTCTCTTGCTCTTTTGTCATTTACTAGTTTTCTTTCCCTCAGGCACACGTTCGATGTGTTCAAACCTATTTCCGGAGAGAATTCAACTTTTGCGCTTTGGGTTGGGTGGCACGGCTTGCCGACTGATGACTACAAAGCATGAAAAGGATCAGTCTCGTGAGGAGTCCGTGGCTTTATGGCATCATCATGACCCAGAAATACGACCAGATTGAGCTGGTACCATTTCTTAAGTTAGTGTAATTGATGCCTCCTGTGCTCGTCAAAGCTGTTGTATCATTCTACTTCTGGCAATTGAGATCATGTGTCTGTGTTGCAGTTCGACTCTTGAAACAAAGTGTTGATTTATGTTGGATTTGTGCTGTAGTCAAATGAATTGCATTAGACATGGCAGCTGTCGATTGTCTCGGCATTCGAGAATAAGTTTCCAACGAACAAAAGAATCCAAGAAACGCCTCGCTACTGTGCATACCTCTCAGTATCGGTTGGCGAGATATTGCACATTATACATTCAGAGCCCGATCTTGCATGTGGACACAAATTCCCACCAGTCGCCACTGGTTATTGAACTCAGTATTCCAGCTTAATTCATCCAACGACTGATACTATCCAAACAACTTTATTACCAAGGTTTATTGGAACCTTAAGTTTGCCATGCTGTGCTGGTGCTCGGTCTCGGAAAGACCGGTGTCGATTGGATCTCATCGAAACCACCGCCTATCCTCCCCTGGTTATGCTGCCAACCTTGTCCCGTCTCGTGGTTCATGAAATCGCCTTGACGGAATGGGTTGGTGCTGCCTGTTGGTTGTGGCATAAGAGCACCACTCGTCTGTGGCCTTTGAAGTTGTTGACCTGTGCCACCGCCGAAGTTCTTGGCGAAGGGGTTGGTGCCAGTTTGCATGGGTTGGAGTGGTTGTGGTGCTGGTGCTTGCAGCTGCTGAGGTTGAAAGGCTGTTTGTGCTTGTTGGGGCTGTTGGGGCTGGAAAGGTGACTGTGAGGGCTGTCCAGAGAAAGGACCTGGCGAAGACCGCGCAAAGGGATTCGTAGATTGACGTTGCAGTTGTGTGGCAGGTGACGGAATCGTCGTATTAGTGAAATTTGGCGTTGGACTGGCCATACCTGTTGGGTTCGCCATGAGCATGGACTGACGGAACGGGTTCGTGGTTTGTTGCCCAGGCTGAAGCCCAGTCTGCATTGGGGGTGCCATGACTCCCGTCTGGAACGAGGCTACAGAGTCCTGAGGTATTGATGACAGCCCACCTGGTGTGAAGCCGCCTTGTTGCTGACCGAATCCGCCAAAGCCGGACCCGGTGAAGGCTTGCTGTTGCAGAACTTGTTGCGGAATCTGTTGTGGAACCTGCTGCTGTTGGGGGCTAAATGCACCAATACTTTGTTGTGGAAATGGCGAATTATTGGCAAATCCTGTGGGTTGCGGCGCGAAGCCTGTCGGCTGAGGCGCAAACCCATTGCCTTGAAACTGCTGATCTGGCTGCTGAGATACAAAATCGGTCCCTTGAAATGGCTGGCCAGTTTGCTGAGGTACTTGGTTGAAAGGGCTGTTCGAGGCCCATGGGTTCCCCAGGCTCGCTTGTGCGAATTGCTGTGGCTGTTGTTGCTGCTGCTGCTGCTGCGGATCTGCGGCCATGGTCTGCTGGTTCTGTTCTATTGAATCGAAGAAATCAATGAGATCAGGGGCTGGGCCTTTGGTGGCCGCAGCGGGTTTAGAGGCCGTGGACGTAGATGTGCCGTTCGTCTTCGAATCCGGGAATGGTTTCCCTTTTACCGCTGCGTCGCTCTTGCCGGCTTTAGAGCTCGACCCTCCCGGCTTCTTGACATCCATCTCGGCCAAATACTGCCTTCTATGCACTTCAAAGTCCGAGTCTTTCAGGTAGTCCTCGAGCTGGCGGCCCAGATTCACAGGAGCGTGCTTCAGCTTAGGGATCTCGACCCTTGTGTGATGTTCATATTGTCTTGCTACTTGTAGGTATTGCACGACGAAATCGGTCTGACGAGCAAAAGTGCGGTATATCTCCATGGCGCGTTCAGCGTCCGGTTTCGACATCTCGAAGAAATGGCCGAGAATGTTGATCATGGCTTGATTTAGTACCTGGAACAGGGACAGCAGGTCAAGCACCAGAAGCCTGAAGACAGTTATTGTAATCTCGTTCTCGGGTTCGTCCAGGACCTATGCGGGATATGTCAGCATTTGCCTCTTTACTTTTTGCCGTCTGCCTGGTGTCGGCAGAGCTTCCCTGTTCCATCACCTACGTCGCATTTCAACAGCGCGGTCAATTGATGCTGAACCACCTCGGTTTCCCGGAGAAGGCCCTTGTCCACAGATAGTTTTTCCAGTCGGGTTTCTTTCGTTCTCACCCAATCGGTTTTGGTGTCTCTATATGCTCGCGCTCGTTCGGTCAGATATGCGGCATAGTGTCGGATATTGCGACCTTGGGTTTGCGCTGTTGGGCCAGTGTAGTCAGCGACTGGTCTTGTATCAACATACTCGGCAAGATGTCAAGCCAGAGACTCATACCGTCAGTGAAGGAGCTCGTAGCTAGCATGCTCCTATGCCTAGCAAGATATGCCAGTGTCGAATCGGGCGAGCCCTCCCGGACCATGAGATGTACAGTAATCAGACTTTTGAATACGACAGTCCATGTCGAGTCGCGCAATCGATTTTGCAGTGCCCGAAAGACCTCTGCGACCCCGGCCTCTCCGGCATGTGTAGCGATCAGGATATGCTCAATGTATTTCGTTTTCGGCGGCGCAGCCTGGAGAGTCCACGATTAGAATGTCATGTCGCTCTCTCTTCTTCTTCTTCTCTTGTTCTCTTGTTCTTCTTTTCCTTGTCATCACCGATCCCTCTTCAAGACCAACGTACCTTGATCTTGGTGGCGCCTTTGACAGACTTTTCGAAAGAGCTCGCCATGACGGATTTGGCTCTCCGGAGGGTGTACGCGAGCTTTAGGCCGGGGCTTTCTTGGTGAAGAGGGCTCAAGGGCCGGGTAGAGGCTCAAATAGACACTGGCAGATGGCGACAAGTAGCAAACAGCGCAATGGCGGCCGCAATGGGTTGTCGTTGGACAAACAGATGAGCAAGCAAGCAAGTTGATCACAGCCGCCGAGATGCGACGTCACGATACTAGCTTCAGCTTCGGGGTCGCGGAGGAAGCTCGAAAGCAAGCGGCGGATAAGTGGGTGACTGCTGCCAGGATATGCGACGGCTACCTTATTCACGGATGGACATTTGGCGTAAGCACATGATAGCGTTGAATGTTATGTTAGGTCAGATGCTGGGGGCACGGGGAGTCGGTGGGTTGATGATATAGGGTAAGCGTCGAAGCAGCATTCAGGTTAAGTTAGAGTTCAGGTCAGTCCATTCGTGCTGTGCTGTGCTGTAATAATGTCTGCCAACACTTGACGGGGACTGAGACGCGGGCTTCGCTGGCGGAGCTCAGGGCAGGCCGGGAAATTGGAGGTCACGTCGCAGCCTGTTAAGCTGGCTGGGCAACTTTCTCCTCCGTAATCGTAATGACAATGAGCTACTGTAAGCTAACGTTATTATCAACTGCCTGCGCTGCCTGCCACGATCATCAAGTTGCCGAAGTCCCATCGGCACCAATTAGCGGCCCAATTAAGGACTTATTGGTTCATCATCTCAGTGGGGCCTTGAACTGTTGTCCCTGAACTTGGCGGGGCTCCCCTGTTACTTAGTGGGATCGCTGAGGTCAGCTCAAGATGAAAACGTGTAGTTTATCTACAGAGATATGTACCTGCTCACAGTACTACCCTGTGCATGCGCGTCACTGCTGGACCGGAAACTTCCAACAAGTTAATGACCTTGACAGGCTTCAATCATTCTGGAACCAAACACACACACACACTCATGCATGTACGTAGATTTATGATCTGTATTCAATACATCAAGAACACGGCGTTCATCGTTAAGACTTTGTGGGTCAAATCGTTTGCATTAGAAGCTATCTTGTGGGTTGTGCAAAAAGGCTGGGGAGAAGGATTACATTAATGGACGGTGCTCCGGGGTGGACGAAAACATGGGCAACGTTAGGCAGTACCTGGAGCACCTGCTTCATCACAGCTCGACCGCACTTACGATCGTATGACAGATGAGAACAAGTTCCACAGCTCGACTGATCGTCGCTTGGGCAAAATTGCAGATTGTTCAGAAATAATGAGCGGGGTGTTTGCAGAGAGAGGAAGGGCACTTTGACAGCTTGGGTATGGGTATTGTCGCCCAGCCGCTTCAAGTGCAAACCTGTCAGAAACAAACCCCCGGAACCTTGACCATATTCAAATGAGAGTCAGAGTTGCCTTGATCGCGTCCGTATTTACAAGGTCGGTGTGCCGAACGCTTATATCATAGTCCCAGCTCTTCCTCACAAACGAACCACTTAAGCCCCGGAGGGAGAGTTCGGAAGATTGGAATGGAGGAACCTATCATTTGGTACACGCAGCTTTCATCATCTGTAGAAATCTCATGTTAGCAAACCGTGTCCTAGTTGCACAACTCAGGTCGGGAATCCCCAAAAGCTAACCACTTACTTTGTATTGAATTGGAAGGATGAAGAGGAAAAGAAAGAATTCCACCGGAACCACCAATCCGAAACCTTCTTCAAGCAATTGGAATTTTGCGCCGGCGCGGGGCTGCGTTTATCCGCTAAGCTGAATTCAAACGCGACTGGAGCCAAGATCCGCCCACTGAAGCGCGTTAACTTAGTGCAACAAATCTATGGAGAAACGTTCATACAGTCAGTTTTTGGATATTGGGAAAGACACAACCAGCGGACAACACAGATATTTGTTCACAAGGCCAAGCTGCCATGAATAACTAGAGAAAAGATACGTTTTTATTTTTCACGTTACTTTTGGCGATGCCGGCCATGAGAAACACCGCCTTAAGCTGCCTCTCTGGCGTTAGACGGCGGGCATTTGTCCGCGCTGTTCACCTTCGTCCGGCTTCTCAAATCTTGTCGAAGCAACCTGGGCAAGCAAGGTGGATAAGCCAGAAGCCCAAATGCGCGACTGCGACGCCACAAGTCGGAAAAACTGGTCTTGATGAACTCGAAATTGTAGAGCAAGAAGAACCATCGTCGGCCCATCTTGCCGATTTGACCTTGCCGCCTGCCTCCGCATTATCTGATTTCCGAGAAGGGGCGACTGTCACAGTACATGGCTTTCTGACGAAACGGAGAGATATGTCAAAGCAAATGACCTTTTGCGACTTAGACACATGCGGCGATCACAAAGTACAAATATTTGCAACAAGCCGTGAAGACTCCGATGCTACTGCCAAGGAAGCATTCAATGTACTCAAAGAGATATCCCCATTTACCCCCGTTGCGGTCACTGGAACATTGCAGTCCAAGCATCGTCATGGTCAAGATCCAAAGCATGAAGAGGACAGTTCAACGGATCTATGGGCGTTGAAGTGGGACCTCAAATTGACCCAAATCAAGCCTCTCAATACCTTTCCAACAGACATCGTTGTTTCTAAAGATGCCGTTTGGCCACTATCCCAGCGCCATCTGCAACTGCGTTTCGACTCTTTGCTTCGACATCGTTTACAAGTTCGATCCATGGCCAACTTTACAGCTCGAAGGTATCTTACAGATTCTAGATTTTTCGAATATGAGACCCCTATTCTATTCAAATCAACTCCCGAGGGTGCCAGAGAATTCATAGTTCCTTCTCGCCAACCCGGGCTAGCCTATGCTCTTCCTCAGAGCCCGCAGCAGTATAAGCAAGTCCTCATGGCGTCTGGTTTACGGAGATATTACCAGTTTGCCAGGTGCTTCCGCGACGAAGATTCGAGAGCAGACAGGCAACCCGAATTTACACAGGTATGTCGGTAAAAGGACTATGTCATCCATCGACTGACCATGGCAAAGCTGGATCTCGAAATGGCTTTTGCGACTGGAGAAGACGTCATCAGAACAGTGGAAAACATCGTATGGTCAATCTTTACGCACTTACGCGACACTAAGGTTGCTCGGGAGGTCGAGGGGATGTTATACGTCGATCCTGCCCAGATCATCGAGGATTACGGCCCTTCGGCGTCGCCGGAGATTGAGGGTGTCCGATCTCTTTGGCCTCTCAAGGATCCCCGTACCCAAGGCTTCGTCAGGGTAAAGTATGATGACGCCATGGCTAGGTATGGCAGCGACAAACCAGATCTCCGTATCTCTTCAGAGGTATGCTATGTTAGTCATCTATCTGGCCATTTGCTAACATACTCAGATTCAACGGATCGAAGATATTCTTCCAGCTGCCTTCAAGAGCATGATTACTAATCTGGAGGATCCAATCGTTGAAGCTGCACAGTTCAAGCTCAACGGATCCCCATCCCAAAACCTAATGTTCATCCGCAAATTTATGGATAATCTTAAAAACACAACTCTAAAGTTGGGTTCAGCATCTACACCTGGTGTCTTTATCTTCGACGAGACCAAGCCACTCAACGGCCTTGCAGCTTTTGGACACGAAACAGGAGAATTTATGACAACATTACACAACGAAGGTTGGTCACAGCTGCAGCACGGAGACCTTCTCATAGTACATGCCCGACAACGGGCGCATTTCCAAGGCGAAGGCTGGACAGAACTCGGCAGACTCCGCAAGGCTATATATGATGCCGCGGTTCAAGAAGGCCTTATAAAGCGTGATATCAGCTTCCGGTTCTGCTGGGTTACGGACTTTCCTCTCTTCACTCCTGACATTGATCCTGGCGAGGGGCAAGGTGGTACCGCTGGTCTCAAGGCTACACATCACCCATTCACTGCGCCTCTAAGGTCCTTCACCACAGAGGACCTCGATTCGCTTGCTGCCGGCCGGCCATGGGAGATCAAGGCGGACCACTACGATCTAGTACTTAACGGCACGGAGGTTGGTGGTGGTAGTCGTCGTATCCACCAACGTGCTGTTCAAGAATTCGTCATGAGGAATATCCTGAAGATGACACACAGCGGCATGCAACAGTTTGGGCACCTATTCAGGGCGCTAGAAGCTGGCTGCCCTCCTCATGCTGGTTTCGCCTTGGGGTGGGACCGATTCATCACCCTGCTTTGCGGCGTTGATAGTGTGCGCGACGTAATCGCGTTTCCCAAAAACCAGAAGGGCGAGGATCTGTTCGCAAAGAGCCCCTCACAGCTGACCGATGCTCAGCTCCGCACCTACTACTTGGAGGCGAGGGGATGGCATGCCCAGGACTACAAGGCTTGGTAAGATGTTGTCGAGAGATGTGTATATAAACTGTGTCAAATACCTGTGCAGAACAGTACAGATTTTGTAAAAAATAATAGATGTGTTCATTGTGGCATCGTTGGGTTAGCCGAATGCCAGTGCTAGTAGACTACTTGTTTCATGATATATAATAGCATTCATATCATGATAAGATTATATCTATCGACCAATGCTCCAGGCAAACGTATCGACGGTTTTTTTTTTGGGGGGGTTTTTTTGGGGGGGGGGGGAGGGGGGTGGTGGGGTGCGAATAGTCGATTGATGTTTATAGCCATGGAAACATGTTCCAAGATTTCACACGAATTCACTAAAAGAGCAACGTCTTCTATATCCATATCGACTATTCTACCTTCTACACCTCGGCCTTGCTGAAGAAGTCCTCGACGCTGGTCAAGTCGAACTCCTCTTGATTTCTTTTAATGTCGATAGAAAACCCAATATCATTGAACAAATCTTGAGCAGCCACCAATCGTGGGCCCATTGGTCCCAACTTTCTCGCTAGATCCTCTGCTGTCTCGTGTACAACCTCAATCTTCTCTCCTCTGGCTTTTCCGATCTTCTTCGCCAGCTCGCTCGTGGTCAGCGCCTCCGCCGCCAAGTTGACGGTCCTCTCCCTGAATTCTTCCGGTTTCTGAAGCGCAACAGCAACTACAGCGCCAATATCGCCGCCGTCTATAACATGGAGCTTTGTCTCAGGCCAAAATGCTGTTCTGATGACTCGTCTCCCATCATTGCTGCCCCAGAGCTCCGGAAACATGTGATTTGACACAGGCGGCACGAAAAGTTGCATGAAGAAACCCAGCTGAACAATTGTCCAATTCGGAAAGCCAGCGCTTCTGACGAGGTTCTCAATCTCGTTCTTGGTTATCCAATATTCGTACATTGGATTGGCGGGGTCCTTGGGGAAGTTCTCAGGTCGATCCGCACCCGAAGCACTACTGTAGATCATTGTCTGAACGGACGGTGCTGCCTTCGCGGCATTGATAACGTTACGGGCGTGTGAGAGCTGTGCGGCTTCAGATCCGGGAGGAGGGTTCAGGAAGACCGTCGTGGGCTTGAGTTGCTCCAGCGCGGCCGCGAGCGAGGCCGAGTCGCCCAGATCCCCCTTCACGAGAACTGCGCCGCGCTTCTCCAGATCTTGGGCCGCTGCCCTTAAGGGGTCTCGCACCAATGCGTAGACTTTATAGGTGGTCGACGATAGGCAGCTACGCACCACACCTTGACCTTGGTTGCCCGTAGCTCCCGTCACGAGTATACTTTGCTGAGACATGTTGATTGGCGTCTTGAAGAGGTTTACGTTCATAAGTATTACAATTTTTTTTTTTTTTTTTTGGTGAAGCGTTGCTTTTTATTCTTGAGCCTGCTGCGATGTTGTTGTTTCGTCGGAGACTTTTATGAGAGTGATCCTACCTTTTGACCCACCTGTAAGTATGTTAACACGTCAAGCGCCTACACATTATAAGCACTAGATGTCGACCACTACCCTGCATCCTTTGATCAACGGGCGACATCTCTTAAATAGAGTAGTCTAACCTAATTCTTCGGGTACGGATGATTGCGCGTTGCCGTCAAACGCAGATCATGAAGAAGTGGCCGCATTTGCACCGTGTTATACAGCGCGGCCGCCTGTGCCCACGTTATCTGACCATAGACGTGACAACGGCAATAGCAAACTTCGACAGCAATGATTCATTTCAAATGTGAATCCATATGGACTCGGACACGCTGATAAGTTTTGGTTGTTATTGTGGCTATTGTGGCTATTGACTGTTTGCATCGAGAACACTAGCCGGTGGGCCATGGCCGTCCGACAGCGACCGCCCGAGTACCGCCCATTCGTACTTGTCAATTTCGACCTTACATGTCAATATTTCTTCGGGGTCGAGGCAGTATGATCATATATTGCAGAATACCGTTGTGCTTTCAGGTATCCCTCGAGGTACACCTTCATTACTTTAGTGTGCAAATCTAAAGTCTAGCCTTCGACTTCCTTGCAACTTCGTGTTCCTTGTATAGTTATGTCTTTCCTCCTCAGTCATCGCGTTCCACACCGCATCGCGCTGCTTGTTTCTCCAGACGTAGTATACTTTAGTCAAGAGGAACAACACGATGCAGGCAACATTGATACCAATTAGAGCACCATTGCCACGTCTGTACTTGGGCTTATCATCATCTCGATAAATGAAACTAGCAGCAATATTGCCCAACTGAACAAACATCTGGAGATGATGTGTTAGCATCTGGTTCACAAAGAAAGTGGAACAGGGTCATACGTACGTTGTATAGTGCAGCTGAAACAGAACGCGTGCCAACATTATTAGAGTTCTTTGAGGTCCAGGCCACGAGAATAGCATCTGTATCTGACCATTAACAAATGCATCACCATTATCGATTCATCAAGTATGGAACTCACGGCAATATGGGTACGAAAGCAGCACCGTCACTACTGCGTATGTTCCCCAACGGTCGGTGATGACATCTGACCAAAGCTTTAACGCGATAATACATGGCAGAGTCCAGACTGATTGGATCATGGCAACGAGTGAACGTTCATTAAAGCGATCCGATAAACGTGTCAAGAGAATGAGGGTAATGATGTGGAAGACGCTCTATGAAAATCAGTATTGGTCTTCAGAACAAACAGAATAACTTACGGCCGGAATGGTCAATAAATTAGTGGTGAATGTATCGAACCCGGATGAAGTTAGCACTATTGTGACATACTTCGTTGCCGGACTCTGCGGTATGAAGACCATAAAGCCGAGGATATAAATCGGCCACAGGTCGTAGTCCTTCATAGACTCCCAAAGTAATCTGGGCGTGATGGCCTGTCGGTTGTGCATATCTCCCTTGGAAGGGTCGTCGCGTAGAACACGGTTGACCACGATGGCTTCTTCGCGATCAGTAAACCAGCCATTGGGTCGAAACCATGTTTTTGTTTGCACCGCAGAGGCAGGCATGAGGAAGAATGAAGCGATGCCGACCTAGACAGAATATTAAATATGAACACTATACAACAACAATTAGGTCCACGATGACTTACCGAAAGCGTGATGAGTCCTTCGATCAAAAACAGCCATCTCCTATTCACTGTTAGAGACTGCCAACTAAACACTATGAATCAATAGATTGCTTACCAGCCACCCCATCCCGCAACACCACGCAGGCGAAGCAGACCGAAGGCCAGGATCGAAGTGATAATCGTCGTCGTAGATAGAGCAGTCCAGAAGTAGCTAATGGAGTATCAGTAATAGTTCAAACCAAAACATTTTACACATAACATTACCTTAGACGAATCGGCAGCTCCTTGGACGTGTAGAAATAACTCAGCCACAGAATAATATCAGGGATGAACCCTCCCTATCGCAGAGGTCAATACTTGATCCTGCTTTTTGCCTGTCGGTAACATACCTCCAAGACTCCTAGAAGAGCACGGGTCGCAAGAAAATCACCTCTACCCCTTAAGAAGCATTGGAACATTGCAACAAGAGACCACAAGCAAATCTGCATTGGAATCCACCTGTCCGGTCCGATCTTTTTGGATACCAATTGCGAGGGCAACTCAGCCACGAGGAAAGCGACTAGGAAGACTGTATTTCCATAGTTGTAGTCTGACAAAAAGAACATTAGCTTGTTGCCGTCTTGATGACACCATCAAGTGCACCCTTACCATTTGTATTCATGCCAAGATCAGCAAGGAAGTTGTCCGATACAGCCTGGGTAAGGTTACCACGATCTACTTGAAGACCGAAAAACATTATACACTATGATAAACCATTTAGCATACTTTCCTATTGCAAAAGCGCAAAAAGAATGTCTTACAGCCCACAGGCACACACGCCAGTCTAGCTTGCGAACAAGTTTCTTCTCCTCTTCCTCAGTCCATTTCAAGTCAGGGTCGAACTTGTGGCGGCATTCATAAGTAGAGGCCTCGTAGACTGACTTCCAGTGTGCCGCGACATCGGGGTCGAGGAATGGGTTTCTGCTGTCGTAGACCTCGTCGTCGCTCTCGGACAAATTGTTTGTATAGTCGTGGTGAGGAGTCTTGAGGTCGGCGTCGGTAAACTTGCCCTCGTTCTTGGCTGTGTCTAGCACGGGAATATCTCCCGCCTGAATGACAGGTACTGACATTTTGCTTGCGTCGGCTTGAAGTATACCAAGCCCGTTGTTAATGCAAGTCAAGAATTGGCCCAGGCATGTCCCAAGAGAATGGCGCGTCTGGGCGATGCGCATCGGCGCATTATATTATTGCCACTAGTCATCTCGGTGCTTGATGTATCGAATTGAGTAGTTGGATGTCAAAATAATTCTATAAATGGCGTGATGGCGAACGTTACCAGGAACGCACAACAGCGCCGATGATATGAGTCCAAGTGGGGACACTTTCGATTGCGTGATAGCCCTTTATACAACATTGGCCCTTGGGCCTGCAAGCCGGAGAGTTTCTTACTGGATGGTCAAGAGCAAATTGATAAGGATTGCTGGAATATTTTCCCAAGTTATTTGCGAGAAATTGAATGCTAACCCACTTTCGTGATTGTCGCAACATATTGCAGTCTAGATCTGGTGAGACAAGGCATAGTGCAGATAGAATGTGCATAGGCGACCCGAACAGCTGGGCCTCCGAGAAATTTCCCGGAATGGACACTCGATAATGGCATTCTGAACATAACAGGCCGTTGAAAATTATCAATCGCGTCGATTTGTAGGTTTACGTTCGCTTGGTATATAATGGTCTCGTCAAACACAGCAGCGGGCAGTACTACGGTAAGCACGTTTCTTCCATTCCACCAATCCTATGTATTGATCTTCCCCAACTATACCGATGCAAAGTATATTTAAGAATAAAGATCACTTCATTTACATTTCGAAAGTGCACTGTTCAGAAAAGCAACGACTACATCAGTTCATCCTAGACCTGCAAATTCGACATCAGGTGTACTTAGTCGCAGGACTCAGATTCTAGTCTAGCCTATTCCCTTGTGTGTACAATTATCAATTGCTTGAGTCGCACAAAAGGTGCAAGTGAAGAGTTGTTTTCCAACGAGATTGCCCTTAACCAATCACTGCTGTACACTAGTATGCCCACTTGGTTAACGCGCAGGGTGGCAGACACACGTCACGTATGGTGATCGATATATAATCTACAGTAAATTACCCTGTTTCTGCAACAATTGATCCCGTGCATAGCCACGCAATAAGTGGGCAATTATAGTTATCGGTATTACTAGGACTCCCGCTCACAACAGATCGATCGCAATACATACTTACCAAGGAAATTATCAATTTCTACCAATATTGTCCAAAACTAAAGCTATTCATAATTAGCCAAACAGGCCAAAGGTGCAAAAGCTGCCCTTTGCTTATCTGAATCGTTGATTTTCATCTAAAAAGCATCTTGTTATATGATCATAAGCAAACCCTCCTCTCCTTACCCAAATGAATAATGGTGGCCAGGGTTGAACATTTGGCAATTACATTAATATACCTTAATGACTCAACACAATAAATACAAAAAAAAGCGAAAATTCAGGACTTCCTCCCAATAGCTGGACCCAGGATCTCAGTTTACAATGATGTACCATATCCTTGTAAGATATACAAGGAATCTAAAATAGTTGACGGTGTTTGTGTTGAGCTCTATACAGCCCAGGATATAAAATGAAGCAGTTGTTACCATTTCCGTTGTTAAATGCCAGAGCTGAATACTGCTTGCATCTCTTTCGCCGGAGATACGTTTTGTTCTCATTTGGCTCGGGCATAGCTCGGTATGCCGGCGGCAAGTCCCATTCAGCCCCAACTTGATCTGTTGGGTGAGAGGTCGCGATCACCATCGCTGATGCTGCATGACACCACGAATCACCCAGTAGTTGTACATGCGCAAGTGTCGTTTCCATACACCACGAACCCCTCCCTCGGTATCTACTCCCCAGATCGCGTCCAGTTGCGCCGCGATTTCTGCTGGGCAAAAGATATTGCCTCTCTCTGCCGCTCCAGACTCATAATCCGCCCCCAATAGCTCAGCAGCGGTGGTCCGAACGTCATTATCGGCAAAACCTATGCACCAGATAACAGCGTTTGTGTCAAGGGTGCTACCTTCCGAAAGGCGTACTCTAGTCTCAGTAAACCCACAGACTCGACAAAACCGCGCACGGCGACCTTTCCTTCAGCGATAAGCTATGTACCACTACGTCTAGATAGTGGCCACTACGACGCTCAAATAAGTGATGCTGCACATAGACAAATGGCTCTCTGCTGTCTAGAACAGGGGATCCGGCCCTAGCAAGGGCTAGATAACGATTATTGCTCATGAAGTGAACATCTGTCAGTCAAGCGCAATATAATGCTGCACTCACGGTTCCTAAGATGCGATATGTGCGAATAGACCGTGCTAGAACTGGTCATCGGCTGGCATGAGTGCGTTCAACATCCTATCCGCTGTGTCGAGGGGTAGTAGATCATAGACACCGATGTCATGAGGCCCCCTCACATAGTCATAGGAGAGAACATAAGTGGGAGATCGAGCTACCACTGTCGTCTTGAGATCCACATTGTAGTAGTCTTGCGCGATATCAAAGGCTTAATTGGCTGAACCAATCACGGCAACAGTCTGAGAAGAGAATTCAAAGCACCTGGCTCATGTGTAGGAGGACATCATGACGTACCTTAACTCCTTGCTCCGCTAGAACTTGCGATTTGCGGTAATGTGTAGAGTGTACACTCACACCTCGATGGAGATGCTCACGCTTGACAGCCGGAAAATAGGGCTCCTCACTGCCAAGTCCTGTGGCTTGAACGAAATGTCTGCTAATGATAGTTTTCGTCTTACTGTTGTCAGTAATCTCGAGTTTGATCGTTCACTTCTGTTTGGATGAATCAAATACAGTGGATAATTGGAAGGTGACAGGATGGCATGCAGGTGGAACTTTGTCCGTGTTTATGTAAGTGCTCCGCTACCTCTTGCTTTGTGAGCCGGTGAACACTTTAAAGTTCCTTCTTCTAGGTTAGTATGTGTTTTTATTTGAGATAGTTTGGACTTGGGTTTTGGGCGCTCTGGATATGAGAAGTGAGAAAGAAGGTGTAATAAACGTACAGGCGTGCAATGGTCGTATGGGCAACTCAGCTTCACGATGAAAATGGCCGAACAACTGTTGAATGTTGGTGCAGAAGTGACGGTATATTAAACGTAGCGACGGAAGAGCGAATCAAGTTGCGAAAATCGTTGATCTCCGGCCTATTTAGGAACCTCCATGTATCTCCTTGCGTCAATCTATAGCTGAGATAGTCTGCAACCCAACCATAATCAATGAGGCGCAACTCCGCATAGACATCCCTTGCGATCTCCCTATATTTTTAATCTTACCATCGCAACAGGTTGGCACGCTGTGCATATGTTTTACTAAGTTCTTTTCGGCTCGCTGCATATGCAGGATGGTTGAGGTATTGGTACAAGGCGTCAACAATTGAGTGGGTTCATTCTTCCAAGGCGAGATATTGCGTAGGCCCTGTGTTAGCCATCGAAATACGGATATTTCAATACATATATCTGTGCATGAATAAGTAGCGAGGACTTACTAACTAATGTGAAGTATAGAAATTTATGCAGTGCCCCGGCAATGCAGATTTCCAATACCTCTGGACTGGTATGCACATGAAGATTGTCGAGATTGTTGTCGAAGCCGTAGATTGTGAACCATGCCGACATCCAGTGCAGCACGTGTCTGACTATCTTAGTTTCAAATATTTGAAAGCATTGCACCAAAATGGACATTTTTGATGATCCATTGGCACCAGAGTAGAACATTATCGTCCACTACAACCAGAAGAGGAATGCCTCAAGTTGGTAGAGACGCACTGTGTCCCCAAGGCCAAGCTTGTTTTCTGCAACGGATTTTAGGAACAAAACTAATTCAGGCAGTCGGATGTGCTCTCAAAAACAGATGGACTTGTGGGATGTACCTGCATTGAATAAATGAGACGAGGCACACAATATAGAGGCCCTAACGTATAGGGAATATGCCAGAATAAAGGTTTTATAGATTATTAAAGCAGATCGGTTTTCCGAATTAGCTTAGAGTGGATCTCAGTAATAATATTTACCATCGCCCAAAAACCTGAAGTAATCATCAAGTCCAATCTTCCTCTCAGTGAAACGACGACTAATGATCCGTAACAAAATGAACGCAAGGGCGATGCAAGTGACAACCATAAAAGCAACGATCCAGGTCTTTTTTTTTGAGCTGTTCTTTGATGGATGAATACAGAGAAAATAGCGAGGAAAAGAAAAATGTCTAGAACACAGCTGTTGCTCATGGTTTGTATATCAAATTCAAGCACCAAAAACTTTTCTGGTGTCTTATGATCCGCCTTACTAAGATGGTATGTGAGCAGTGCCAATATAAAGTTGCGTGTTAATGTAGAAATCAGCGACCCTTCCCGTAAATTTTACTTACTCGAAAAGCCGATTATCAATGTGCATGCAACCATTGCAATTGTGCTGACGGCGTGTCGGCCAATGTCGGCATCCTAATCAGATCCCAGTCTCCAATTCAGCCTTAATCAAAGGCAATGTGATATACAGATACGACTATTTGTGCGTCTGAGTCCACAGCAAAGCTGTGGGTACTGTAACATAGCTCATCCATTTCCAGATATACTGCGCTACATGCATGCTCCCCCGGCTCGAGCTGCGGGGCTTCGTGCGACAGGATTCTGCCGCGAATAATACCCGGCTCTCTTCTGAACAGCTCCCAACAATAAAGTCATCGCATTCGCTTCTCAAGTCTTCCCTTAAGAGCTTCTCGTAGTAAAAATTTTGGAAACTTAGCAACAGGTGTAGGCTTTGGGCACTATGGAGCGCCCATTCAAGAAAGTAAGAACACACCGGCGTACACGAAGTGCTTTGAGAACAGCGGCTGACTTCGAGCAATGCAGGTGTTGATCGTGGGAGCGGGCCCGTCTGGCCTGCTCTTGTGCTTACTCCTAGCTAAGCACGGTATTCCAGTCCACCTTGTAGAAGCCTCTGATCATCTCGACGACCGTCCACGGGCAGCCATTTATGGGCCGCCCGCAATCCCGGATCTCAAGCGCGCCGGGATTTTAGACGAGGTGCGCCGAAGAGGGATGACGAACAGCACAATGACATGGTGGCAACTCGACCATACAGCCATTGCCAGCCTAGACGCCAGCGGACTCTCAGATGTTGATGGCGAAGACTTGCGTACCACGTGCCTTGTGTTAGATGAGCTGGATCGACTGATGTTGGACGAATTTCAGTCAAAACACAACGGCGTCATTCATTGGAACCACAAAGTGGTCGACGTGGGCCAGAACGATGAGAAGGCATGGGTAGAAGTTGACACCCCGAGTGGACGTAGCAAGATATACGCAGACTATATTGTGGGGTGCGATGGAGCTGGGAGCCAAGTGCGGAAATCTCTCTTCGAGGACTTTCCTGGTTTTACATGGGACCAGCAGATTGTAGCTACTAATGCATGTCGGCCTTCTTCGGATTACTTTTGCAATTTTTGCTAATCATTCTTAGGTCTACTATAATTTTGATGAAAAGTTTGGTCTTGCTAACTCCAATTTTATAGTGCACCCAGAGCACTTTGTGGTAAGCCTTTGAGCCACATGGTTGGAAAACCTATATGTACGCTTACGAATTCCTAGATGATAGCGAAAATTACCGCTGATGGCTTGTATCGGGTCACCTATGGAGAACTACCTGGGCTTAGCTGGGAGGAAATCAAGAAGAGACAGCCATGGAAGTATGAGACAATACTTCCAGGTCATCCTAAGCCGGAGGAATACAACTTGGTGAGCATGGCTCCGTATAAAATGCATCAACGGTGTGCGCCATCGTTCCGCGTTGGAAGAGTACTACTCGCTGCTGATGCAGCGCACTTATGCAACCCGTAAGTTGGTTCATTATACGTATATTTGACGCTTGCGCAGCTCACAAAAATAATTGTGGCTAATTTCATTTAGATGGGGAGGGCAAGGCATTACCGGCGGCTTCGTTGATGTCGGGGGCTTGTATGAATGCCTCGCTGGCATGTGGGACGGAAAAGCAGATGACACCATACTCGACGTCTATAGTGAGAAACGGATAGAGAAGTGGAAGACCGTGATCGATAGAGTATCACAGGATAATTTTCGACGCGTGTCTGATGCAGATCCCGACTCGCTGCTAGAAAGAGACCCATTCTTGCTGGAGTGCAAGAGGATTGAGCATGATAAGCATTCGCAGCGCAACATGATGCTATCGTCCTTGCAACTGAGGTATGACTTCACGCAGCATTACTTCAGAGCTTGAATAGTACGTTACTTAGCAGGACAGGACTCAATGAGATTATGGACCGTCGCATCTGTTCACAAGTATGTAAAGCGAGCAAGGGGGTATATATTTACCTCCACGTTATTGCCGATTGAAAGTCGAGGGGCAAATGCGGGGTCCCGGCTTATCAACTACGGGAGAAGATGTTCTTTGTTTACATGAATTATAGTAGAGTCCCAACTATAATCATTAGAATTTGTTCGACATTATTTCGGTAAGGTAGAGCCGGCTGCTGTGCACATCGCGTTTACAAAAACAACACACTATGGCTCCATCAGTGACTGAGAACTCCCCTGACCTGGGGCGTGGCAGCTCTGAGGGGACGAAAGAAACCGGCCCTTTCACACACTTACAAAAGAAGGGCAATCAACCCGCTCAAGTTCAGTCAATGGGTAAGACAAAAGACGGACGCAACCTCAATATTAGGAGTTATCCGAAATTTGTGACACTGAAAGAAGAACGCCTGTATCGCAAGCAGCACCTGGCTGCCGCATTTCGGGTCTTCGCAGACCGGGGTTTCGATGAAGGAGTAGCGGGTCATATCTCTGTCCGCGACCCAATCTTGACTGATCACTTTTGTTCGTATTACGCACTTAAATTCAACCTACCCTTCAAGGCTGATTTTGGTTGCAGGGCTGAATCCCTTGTCGATGCATTTTTCGCTGATCAAGGTGTCTGATCTCATCCTGGTTGATGAGAATGGTCTAGTTGTGGAAGGCGACGAGCCTATCAACACAGCTGCCTTCACCATCCACTCTGCCGTACATCGTGCGCGACCAGATGCGAATGCAGCATGCCATGCCCACAGTGTCCATGGCAAGGCATTCTCCGTCTTCGGACGGGAACTTGAGATGATCACGCAGGACTCCCTGCGTTTTTACAAGTGCCATTCCGTTTACGACAACTTCGGTGGTGTTGTAGTAGATCGGGAGGAGGGTGACCGTATCGCGAGTGCCCTCGGAAACGGCAAGGCTGTCATATTACAGAATCATGGACTCTTGACTGTCGGCCAATCAATCGACGAAGCTGCATTCTGGTTCATCAGCATGGATAGAACGTGTCAGGCGCAGCTTCTAGCAGATGCCGCCTCCGCAGCTGGCTATAGAAAGAAGATCATCAGCGAAGAGGAAGCAGAATACGGAGTGAAAGAAGTCGGAGGCCCGGAAAAGGGGTGGCTGGCCTTTCAGCCGTACTATGATGAACAGTTGGCCAAGACGAAAGGCGAGTTTTTGCACTAGGTTATCGGCAAGACATCTATGGATTTAGCACCTGTACAGCAGCCAGACTTGAGAAATGGTCCATGACGATTTCAATAAATCAAATACGGTCATTATTTTTCATAGCTTGCCGGATATTACAAGGATTCACCTCAGGTCAACCAGCAGGTTCATGATTCCTGCGTCGCAGTGCGCTCATCTCTCGATACCACATCCCAATCATGCTTCCACACGCAAAGGTATGATTGCGAGTCTCACAGAACTATTGACCCTAAACTTTCTAAAACCTCTATTTGACTCGATATCAATGCGGAAGACGCAGCGGTGAATTAGGCTTCAGATATTGAGATTGCTATCGTTTGAGAATCCCTAACTGCTTCACTGGTACCTAAATAATACCAGTATCGCGCAAATTGTCTCACGCGCGTCATTACACTTTTCTCCCCAACAAAGGCGGTTTTGAATAGGCGAAGCTCGTCGCTTCAAGGGGATGTGTATACTTTCATATGGTCCTCGCTAAATTACACATTTGTGCCGGGAAACGCTCCGTTTTTGCTTAGGACGACGATACCACGCTCGTGCGCGATGTAGCCTTTCATCAGGTTCTGTATAGGAGAAGAACGTCAGTACGTTGCCCATTATGTGAAGGCCTGTCAATTCGGAGAGACAAGAACAATCAAATTCGAAGCACCATGAAATTATCAGTAAGCCTTAATACAACGCAGGCCCAGAAAAGATTCGACGCAGACTTGGCAATATTAAACAAGCCGCAGTCCCGGGTTCTTCCTCATATACAAGCAGACAATAAATAGTCGGAATGACAGAAGTGGGACGTACCTTATAGATCATGTTTGCCATTAGACACTCGACTTCATCGGTATCAATCGCTTGTCCACTGCTAAGCTTCATTGCTGCGGCGAACTCGGCAACTGGTATCCTAGTACGCCGCACAGCATCCTGTCCTTCTTTGGCATCCTCGAACCCTCCAGCAACGAAAACTTTCCTAAGGAGGTTACGTAATGCGATATCACGGCCACGCTCAAGTGTCAAATAAATCCGCCGCTTCACAAATTCGTCCTCACCTTCGACGAGTGCTTGATCGAAAGCTTTGAGATCTCCCTTCTTAATCGCAACAGCCAGTTTGAGGAATAGCTTTTGTAGTCTGGGAAAGGCTTCCAGAAGCTTAGCACTTGGCAGCGTATGCGTCGTCAGAAGATGACACGGAATAAGGTAAGTTAATATAAGCCTATTGGTAAATTAGCATCCAAGTTTATTCCATGTGATTGAAATTGTTGCAGATCTGCCGTACTCTAGATTTCGCGTCGCGTCTTTATGGCACATTTGCCAAGCAGCAGTTAAGTGCTTTTCAGCCTGCTATGGTTAGTAGGGCAAGTGAGTAATGCGTCTCAAATGCACACATACCTCGACGTAGTTCTCCTCGAGAAAGGCAAGTACGCCTTCGTAGTACTTGAAAGTAACTTGCTGGGATTTGGGGAAACTATCAAGTTCAGGCATGTCTCCACGACCAGCAGATAGAGACTTCAAGACAACCCTTGATAGGGATGTCGAGTTGAGTTTGAAGTGCGTCTTGAAAAGGAGATTGATAGCATAATAAATACCCCATTTCCGAGACTCAGCCAGCGGTGCTCTGCGCATTTGTAAGAACAGTTTTCTTCACCAAAGCAATTGTATTTGCTTACCTATCGCTCAAGCACGTCGTGAAGATACGGTTCAGATGCCGGGCACAGTCTTCCAGAGACTTGTTCTTTTCGGCCTCTGGGTCAAAATCGTCTTGAAAGTTGATGACGGCATCATCGTTGCCACCAGTGGTAGCCCTTTCGGCGTCTGCTCGGATTGCATAGAGTCTCATAAACCTGCCAGCGACATAAAGACAAGGGATCGTCCAATTTTCGAACTCATGGTTTGTGTAACCTCGGATGATTTGAAGGGTGAAGTCCTTCCACGTTTCGTACACCTTTGTCCATGACGACTGCTCTCATAAGTCAGCACCCAGCTAATTTTTACTGCCATGTGGGAGTTGATGCCTGCGGACCTTTGCACCATCTCGTCTCTGACCTTCAACAGCCAGGATCTCACCGAGGGCCTTCCAGTATGCCAAATACACCTCCTGCCAGCCTTGAGACTCTTCCCGCGATATTCCTAGCTTTACTGACTTATCCCGGACAAAGAGGAATTGTAAATCATCTTTGATAGATTGGGCGTTTTTAGCACTTTCCCAGACGGCCAACAACTTGCTAGGGGCTTCTGTCAGATCAGGTGTGAGTGTTCTGGCAAGGTCGTTGCCGCGTTCTTCGGCGTATGCCTTCCTGAACTCTTTTATGAGAGCATCCATCTTGGCGGAGCTTGGTAGAATGTAGCGGTCAGCAACAGCGACCCGGCAAGATGCAGCGGCCAATGTTGCTCAGACAGAATCTCAGGATATGATCAAATAGCAGGTGTCTTAGATTCACGTTTTACTTTTGATCATGATGAAGTGGTAGCATACGCTTTCGAGAGACTGATGCAGATGAATTATCCCTTCCTTTAATGCTGATCGAGATAACGGGCGGTGATTGGCTAACGCAAGGTTTATGATGGGGACTAAAAGGACAACCCACTCGAAGTTTCCGTTTAGCCTACCTAACCAGCCAGCCCAGCTAACCTGAGGTCGTTTGGCGGGGGATTCCAAGTATTATGTAGGACGCGTCAGCCACAACTAGGCGGCGAGAGCCACAGCCACAGCCACAGATTTGACCTTCAACGCTAAAAGCCCTCGGAGCCCTGAAATTTGAGAAAGCGTCAGAAAGGCACACGGACCATCTCCACCCGCCCACCACAGGACAATTTTGAATTCTGTGTGGACTCTGGAATGAAATTCAGCAATCTTCAATTCGCATCCCGAAAAGTTCGACCGCCATACTAACCGAACCACAAAACAGGCACAGTGAGTCTTGTCTTGCCATACATTCGTTGAGATCAATACTGACATTCGAAAAGATGGGTAAGCAATTTTCAATTTTTTCCTCACATCAGGCGTCTCGAACCGTTGGAAACAGCTGGCCGGGAGTCGAAAGGCGGAAACGGAAGGGCTTTTTCAACGTAGCGACGGCAACATGAACAGCAACAACATCTCGAATAATCGCGCGACAATCGACAAGCTCGGAATGCATGGAACTCCGGCTGCAGTAAAGAACTAGGCCGATTGGCAGAGTGTTGAATCGCTCCAAGTAATCGCTCCATGCCGCACCGATGCTCCCCTCACGATTTCGAAAACAAAGGGACGAGTTCGACTGCATACCGCGGGCCAACTCCCACAAACCCGACCAATTCAACCGATGATGCGAACCTCACATGTCAAAATATCTGCCAAGACAGCAGCTTCCGCCTTGTGAACAAACAACCGGCCAGCTATGATTTCAGCGTTCGAGATGCGCATTAAGCAAGAAGGATACAGGCACTAACAGACTGCTGCAGGTCGTCTTCAAGAGTACCAGGTCATCGGGCGCCTCCTCCCCACTGAGGCCAACCCCGCCCCCAAGCTCTACCGCATGCGCATCTTCGCCCCGAACGATGTCGTTGCCAAGTCCCGTTTCTGGTACTTCTTGTCCAAGCTCAAGAAGGTCAAGAAGGCCAACGGTGAGATCGTCTCGTTGAACAAGATCCACGAGAAGCACCCTCTCAAGGTCAAGAACTTCGGTGTCTGGATTCGATACGACTCCCGCTCCGGTACCCACAACATGTACAAGGAGTACCGTGAGCTGTCAAGAGCCGCCGCTGTCGACTCTCTCTACCAGGACATGGCTGCCCGCCACCGTGCCCGTTTCGGCTCCATCCACGTAAGTTCTCTTCTTGGTCCTCGGATGTCAGCGGTGGCTATGGAAGTTTGCTAACAGGGCCTAACAGATCCTCCGTGTCGTCGAGATCGAGAAGACCGAGGACATCAGACGCCCTTACATCAAGCAACTCACCACCAAGGGCCTCTCTTTCCCTCTGCCCCACCGTGTCCAGAAGATTAGCACAAGCAAGATCTTCAGCGCTACCCGCCCTTCGACTTTCGCATAAACGGGGTTGCGCGTGTGTTGGGGAAAATCTGGGAATTGAAATGCAGTGGTTCTGGTCTCTGCTGGTGTTTAAAGGTTCATGCGGAATTGTCTTTACGCTAGCATAAGCTCTCGGTAGTTAGAGCTGAAACCATCCATCAATACGGTTCATGACAAACATTTAAAACCTGTCCCGTTCGCAAGCGAAAGCTGGATATGTACATCTCACATGAAAGTCCGAGTCGGAACATATCAACCAGAGTTGCCGGCCCGATGGAGTATACCGAGAGATTTGATCTGTATATTTGATACTGGCGGTCTGAGCACAACCGCCCATGATTAAATACGTGCTAGCATTGATATGGGAGTACATATATTACACTATATATCAGCGTTGTGAGCACCAGTGAATTGCTAGATCTTGGTGTATTCGTCCTCACTCGATCCAGTCCTCGATCCTGCATCCGCCTGTGTGTCATCAATGAACTCGTTCCAGACCGTCCAGTTCATGGGGTCCACCATGCCGTCCGGTGGCATGTCGAAATTGATATTGGGCGGCCATCCTGTCAAAGGATCAGCATAGAAACCGGAAGGCGTCATATCCGTGATCTCAAAATCCATGGGCATCGGCCCTCCTCTCGTATCTAAAGACGAAATTAAGGACGCGCCGAAATCCAGCCCAGTACTCAGATCCATTCCAGTTGGAAGCATATCGAGTTCAATGCCGTGCAATGACCGCCGTTGCTGCTCCTGGCTCGTCGGCAGGGAATTACCTGAACTCATGCCGCCACCTGGGGGCTGAGGAACTCCGACTCCACCTCCGGCGAGCAACTCCAATCTTTGAAACGCCTCGGCTTGATCTTTTGATACCTTGTCCTCGCTCAGTGATGCTGCTCGAGCTCCTTTTGCCTTCTTGTAGAGTTTCCGGATCGGCCGCCACAGCGCACCTCTCTTGCTGTCCGCGACCACAAGCGCCCATTTTGGGTATACGGTTTGAACTACTTTCCACGCCCGCGCGACCAATGGCCCTCTCGTCTGGGCACAGAGCTCCGCCAGGGCGACCGCGAGCGGGTGCCATTGGACATACGTGACGCCCCACCAGCGGAACCTCTCGGCCTCTTTTGAGGTGTTGTGTTTGTGTTCGTGGAGCTCCATGACGCTGACGGCCGTCTGCAAGATAGCCTCGCGGCTTACCTTGGACCAACGCGGAACAGCGGTCCGGTTCGGCCCCGAGCTCGAGTGTGTATAAGTATGGAGCGGGTATTGCATGATCAGCCACAATTTCAGGTTGATCATGCGGACGAGCGCGGCGGCTAGTGCAGCCTGGAAATGCGTTGGATCGTGATTGGTTATAAACTTCTGCTCCAAATCTTGTGCCTTTGCGATGATCTCGTCTTCGGATTGTTGGGAGGCGGACCTCGAGGAAGCGAAGCGCGACTGAGCGTGACCAACCCAGAGGAAAATGGACGACGACTGCGCGGTGCACAGAGAGAATGTGACATCGCTGGGACCTGTTCTCTCTGGAGGAGCCACAGTGGTTTCAGGCCCAAAGTCTTCATCGTTGATATTGAGTGGTAGTCGTGTGTTGTAGCAGTCGGGATCAATCATCGCCTCCGTTCCGCGATCCTCAGAGGCCCTGATGTCGAGTACCACGACTTGCCACCACAGGCGCCGCCGCAATTCTGCCTGGTATACTGTATAACGAGATCCATCACCGTCATGCCAGATATCAAATGCTTGCGCCAAACGTAGAAGCATTGCAGTAAGCACCCATGAAGCGCGAGACTCGTTGTGAACGCGCAGGCATGCTACGTAGAGTAGAAATGCTTGAATGCACTCCATCTCGCTATTATTGAGGTAGTCTGCTGCAGCCAATGCTCTCTCAACGTCGAGCTGGTATGACTTGAAGAGCGTCATTTGATCTTGTCCCATATGAGAAAGGCACTCTTGAGGAGTTAGACTAGTCACGGCTGCAAAGTATATAGAGAACTGCAGGGCTTCCTGTTCTATAGTAAGATGCGACGTGCCTGCCGATACCATCTTTAGGATAGTTGGTCGATGCAAAATCTTGATAATTGGATCGACCTTGTCAAAGAAGGTCTCTAGCAAAAATTGTACTTGGTGGTCTGGTGGATGGAAGAGGACCGCAGCGGAATCTGGCGATGGGTAACCCGCAAGTAATCCCTGTGTAGCGAAGCTCTGCTGTCTCGAAGCTGCCGTAGTCTCTGGACTGGCAGAAGTAGATTCGTCTTCTGTATCAGAATCCGTTGACTGTGCCAACGCCTGTTTCAGCCCTTCCACTTCCCCAACAAGGTTAACCCAAAAATCGCTACCAATATAACGAGACGGGTTTATGTCTTCCTTTGATGCTTGAGAGCCCGCCGATTGTGTTTTGTGCGGCACTTCTGTGGCCACGGTGTGGCCCTCCGAAGCTAACGGCTTCGATGATGGCTTTTCATTTGCCACTACCTGTGCCTTGAGCTCAGATAATCCTTGAATGTCAGACAAGTCCATCTCCTTCAGAGTTGCAACGTTGACATTGCCCACTATCGTTTCAAGCCGGCTTATACGATTGAGTAGCTCTGAGTTCTTGGTCTTACGAGGCCGTTGCATACGCTTCCGCGACGGAAATACACATTCGGCCCCAGACCTGATGCAGTGCGAGCACGGATGAACCCGGTCGCATTTTATCTTCCTTGAACGGCATAATGAACAAGACAATTTGTACTTGGTCTTGGGTTCTGCTTGACCCGGTGATACCGACTCCGTTTTGGAGTCGGGAGTAAAATTAGAAGCGCCGTCCATGACGACAACGATTTCTCTTGGGGGTATTTCTTGCTCTCGAGCAATTCCGATCTCTAGGGACCGTTCTCGTGATACATTGGAGCCGGTATGTTCTATAGCCAAGCTAAGATTCTCACAGGGCTGAAATGTTATATAAGCATTTGGGAACGGAGCAGTCGAGTGTGGGTGGTGCACATGAATGAAGCCTGGCAGACCTGGTGCTTTGGTCGAGCAGTTGGGAGTGGGGCCTAGTTTAATGGGCTAACAAATTATAGCGTCGCTCGAATTTGCCTCTGTAATTAATCCCTTCTTGTTGCTCTTACAAACTCCACGAGTTTGTCCAGCTAGGTCCAAGAAGGCCCTCTGTTGTTGTAGTTCGTCTGTTGTAACATGTGCAATGTCAATATTTGCCTGAACATGAGCAGAAATTCATTCTGAATTGGCCATCTCGGTGGCGCTTCCTTTTCTTATGCGTCAAAGAAACGTTAGCGCAGTAGATTGCACAATGTTATGTATCATAGTAGGCATTACATTGCAGATACTGTAATTGAGTATCTTACATACTCAGGGTATCAGCTGGTTATCTCTGCCATTTGGTAACCCATTTTTTCTTCCTGGAGCAAAAGCTGTCGCAAAGCTTCATATGTAAATACAAGGCAAACATTACAGAGATAGTCCAACGCATCGTCTGCTTTTGCTTTGATTTCATTGGCGTAGTTTCGTATTCCCCATACGTAAAGTACCCACCATCAGTTGAGTAAGCTGACTCTGAACAATGAGTCAACAATGGCTCGTGTACCCGTGCTTTATTCACTTGTACCTGCGTGGCTAGAAGTTGATGATTGACGATTGTTTAATCGACGATATTACTATTGAAGTTTAGATAAATCACCTGCCTTGCTTCAAAATGCCAGAAACCCCTGAAACCATCAAAGTCCGCACCACGCTGCCTAAGCGGCCACTGCCGTCAAACTCACAGCGCGCAGTCATCAAGACCGCACGATTGACGGTGCGCCATTTCATCCAGGACGACGTACACGGCATACATATACTTCGTACGCAACCTGAAGTCATGGTCAGGACGGCCGTCGGTCTCATCGATAAAGACCTGGCAGAGACCCAAGCTAAACTTGATCACTTTCTACCGCCCAAGGACGAAGTTACATTCAACTACGCTATATGTCTGACGGAGACGGGGGAGACTATCGGTATGGGCGGCATGCACAGAATGGAATCAGGCTTCGGGTGGCCCGAGGTTGGCTATATGCTGAAGCGGGAACATTGGGGGAAGGGTTATGCGACAGAGTTCATGAAGGCATTTGTGGAATCGTACTGGGAGTTGGAGAGGGAGGAAGTCGACATCGATGTTGACGTAATGTCTGTCAATGTGAAGGAGAATGTCCAAGGAGTGCAAACTGTGCCTGAGTTACTGATTGCGGTTGTCGCGGTAAATAACCCTGGAAGTTTAAAGGTTCTGGAAAAGACAGGCTTTGAAACGTTCAAGACTTGGACAGAGCCGGATAGTCGGGCTGGCTTTGAAGGCTTGGACATCGCGCTGATCGGACTTGCTGTTACAAAAGAGATAGCTTAAGTACAACAACATTTATTGTGCACATCAAATCCAAACCCGCATATCACTCATCTTCAGTTATCAACTTGGCAACTATACACACACCTTTAATCACAGAACTCTACTACGACACACATCGTTAACAAGTAATGGAATTCTAGCACGAACCCCCCCCCCCCCCCCCCCCCCCCCCACATCATAATATACCAGACATACGAACATTCAAATCAAGATAGCCCGGTTTTCCATATGGCTTGTACAACATAGAGCCATGTTCTCGTATTCTCATGGTTATGGATGAAAATTAACATCCCGAGTGACAACTTGCCAAGATCTTCTTCTTGGAGCAGATAGCTGCGAAATGAACATAGCATGATTTCATCTTTAAGGAACGAATACTTCTCTAATCCGTTAAGGCTCTGAAGTTCAGCCAAGCAACTTTGGCATATCCTACAGGTCGGGAATGCGAGAGTGTACCGTAGCAGTAGTGTATACTGGCAATTGCAACGAGGAGTCTTTGGTTAGACTTCTAGCTGCGTTTCTCGCAATAGCAACCTACATCTTTAGCACAGTCTATGGGTTGGATTCTCGGGACCGTGACAAGATGGCCGAGCTATCCGGCAAACATAAGCGCTAGCGTTACACTTTAGTATAAGTAATCCGCCCCTGTTGCAATGAGCTCGGAAGTCATGTTTACTTACTAGACTAGACGATGATTTGAGAGAGTTTGTTGTAACAAAAGCCAACCGTCCAAGAACAATTTGTACAATTAGCCCATCATTTACACGATGTCGCTGTCGTCGGGAATGACTCTTGCAGCATCTGCAAGCATCATTGCTTCTGCAGCGGCAGCTGGTACGCTTTGTCATCAGTTTAACCGCTTTTTAATTAAGACTAATAGCGAGATGTACAGGAGCCATGGCAAGTTTTTCTATCTGTGCTATACCAGCCGTCTTGAAAGGAGGTGCATCGTCAGATGTAATGTTGAAGCAATGGTGGACCATCTACCACCACGGTAAAGTGGTCCCAATCACGGCTCTTATTGCTGCACTGAGCTATGGAGCCGTGTCTTACAACCAGCATACCAAGACTTCGCCGCGATGGAGAGGGTTTGCTCTGGCAGCCGCGTTCACTGTTGCGGCCATCCCATTTACGATTGCTTTCATCGGGCCGACCAATAGCGAACTTTCCGCTGGTGCGCATGCTGAAGCTCGAACCATGAGCGATAAAAGAGTTCGAAGTTTGATTACGAAATGGATGAACCTTAACTATATTCGCCTATCGCTCCCGTTGACAGGCGCCATCGTTGGGTTGTGGACACTACTGTCTTGAGGTCTTGGTGGTCGTCCAACATCTTGTACTATAATTGTGCTGCATGATGCAAACACGTGAACATCATTGTACGTGTATATAGTCGTTACTTCCGAACGAGTTGTGTTGCTGGATAGAGTTTGGCAGCCAGAGGAGAGTTTGAATCGCAGAGAGTCAAGCTATACGTTGCGCACTGTGCATCTTGAGACAGGTGCTTTTAAACTTTCTCCTAAAGCTACATTGGGAAATGTGTTCCTCTTTGCAGTCCTAAGCTTGAAATCACTAACCTACGTGGCTCGATATCGTCGGATGAGTTCTGTGTCGCAAATTATAGTTGCCGAGGGAGGGGCAGGGCGATGATGAAGGCTAAGCCTCAAGGTTCAGCTCCTTGGAAAACGATGCGCAAGTGTCGTGCGGTGTCTTTCGAGGCCCCTTCTTCTCTCGCCTTTGTGAGCGCATGTTCCAACCTCCTGATTAAACAGGCGAAAAGGAAAGATGATGCTGGTCGAGGTTCCCAACGTGTGTAGAGTTTAGAGTCAGCCGGGGCACGTGTCAAATCGATAGCCAACCCGCACGGCGGATCATCTGCAACCAAATGCAACCCCATGCCTGACACAGCCATGTTGCCTACTTGTCTCCTGGCCATCCACAATGCTCTGAACCGCAGCCGACAATCATCAGCGATTCTGTCGCTGCGAGCCTGACGAAAGAGGCCCGGCATCGATGCCGTCCGGTCGTTTCTTGATTGTTCACTTTACCATCCCTATCTTGACTCACATAATCCTTTGTTGAACGCGTTGCCGCCTACATATTGCTGGCTTACACAGCGTCCCTCCCTCCCCCTCTACTATTACTACGTTCGCTACACCAGCAGGACTAGTTTTTCTTGGACATTTATGTGAAATCATATCTTCCTTTCCGTGTCGCCTGAAACCGTGATACGCATCCTGTTCTGCATAAAACTTGTCGCCGTTTTGGAGTTGCACTCTTCTGCCTTGGCTGTTGTGCGCCGGGTGCTTGGATGTCTAGTGTCAGGTCGGCGGTTCAAAGAAATGCTGCCGCCTTGCATCGTCGCTGACCGCTCATACTCTATTTCGACGCGCTCACCACGATCGCAACCGTGAGGCGGCCTCGGCCCTACTGTATCGGCAACTTCATTCGCTCGTGCGTGTCAGGGAGAGCCCGAGATGGCGACCGAGACCGGGAGTCGTGCGCACACGGAAGAGTCCACCACAGCTGCTCACCCTCCACCACCATCTCCACCCACATCTCCGCCTGCTCAATCTACGAGCAAGAGGAAGCAACCAGTGGATGGAAAGTCGTATTACCCGTATCTCTTTAATAAGGACAAGACACCATCCGCACTGCTCAATGCGCTACTGCGCGCAATTGGAAAGCATATTGTAAGGCCGCCGCCTGTCCCTGATTAATCATTTCAACGTCATAGCGCATTCCAAACGCCGCCAGCAACTCCGACCTCTGATGTCGTATCAATACCTATCAATTCTTCTTTCGACTAACACGTGTTGACAACGCAGGAAACCGAGATAGGCGACAAGAACCACCGACTTCTCGACAGATCTAAGCTCGCCGCCTTCTACAAGGCGGTCGGAGGCGACTACGATTCGCTTTTTGTCAACGCGCCCGACAAGTCGATATCTTACATATGGCAGGCACTTGGGGTTCAACACACGCTGCAGCCGACCGCCGATGACTTCGCCGAGCCTTCGATACCTGCTCTGACCTTGAGGGGCTTTGTACGATGGCAATCACTGCAGATTCTGCTTGGGCCCGAGGAGCATGTGCCATTCATGCAGTTTGCGGTACGCAACTGGGCCCTGAAGCACCCTGACACAGGAGAGCCTTTCCCCGTCGATCTACCGAGCACAGCTTTCCCTGCAGTCTGCGATCCGCAGATTGACCAGTGGCACAAGGACTGCGCAAAGAGGCTGCGCGGCGACGCCACGCCTGCATCCATGCCCGCCGCTGAGAGGCATGCGTACGCGCCAGGGCCAGCACCGGCTACTGCGACTGCTTCTGATTCTCGCGGCCATGTGCACTTCACTCATGTACACCCTGGCGGCGCTGCTCGCCGTGGACCGGAGATGGACTATTTTGAGCGACAACGGCCACAAGTGCCATACATCCACGTACCCAGTCGAGCAAATCCACCCCATAATCAATCGGCACATAAACGTAGGGTGGACAGCAGCAGCAGTAGTTCCTTAGACGAGCGTGCTCGCAGGCGACGGAGCTTCTCGGACTATCCCTCTCCTCAGCATGAAAAGATCCGCCTAGCAACCCACCTGGACCCCCGTCGACCGGAACCTATTCGACGGCACAGTAGCCAGCCTAAGCACCACAACTCATCACCCTCATCCGAGTCGGAGTCGGACGATGCGCCGCCAAGCCCAAGAAGTAGAGTTCACAGGACCAGTCGGCCCCCGATGGCATCGGTTCGTGTGTTTCCTCCTGCGGAATCGCCCATATCACCACCTGCACCGCAAGGACCCGCACGTCAGTCCCACCGAACAGAAATGCGGCAGGACGACTCCCGTAGGCGGAGCTTGCCTTCCGGCCACTTTGGCATACGCCAGAAAGTCATGTCATTCTTGCCAGGCTCCATTGATCGACATCGAAGTACCTCGCGTAGCGACCGTGACAATGATAGCCGGCCAAACAGTGCACGGCTGCGTGTTGAGACCCCCTCATCTCGACTGAATCGTCGATACTCAGATGAGGCATACTTGTCCGATGAGTCAGACTCCGACGTGTCCCCGAAACACCGCAGTAATCGCGAACATGAGCGGGAAAGAGAAAGAGAAAGGGAGAGGGAAAGGGAGAGGGAAAAGGAGAGGATCCGTGAGCGCGAGAAGCGAGAACGGGAGATGGAAGAGGATCGCGAGAGGCGCTCTAGGAAAGACCACGCACATCTCAGGCCCAGCGTGAACAGGCGTACTAGCAGCGCGGCAGATATCGAGAGGAGAACACGTGAATGGGATGTGCGAGATCGATACCGCGACCGAGATCGCGAGCGCGAAAAAGATCAGGGAAGAGACCCGCGCGACCCGCGAGGGAATTTGACCGGCGACGAGAGACAGCGGCGCAGCTGGCGTGAAAGGGAAAGGGGACGCGAAAGAGACAGCGGCGGAAGCCCTACTGTTGTTGGTGTAGGTGGTCGAAAATATCCCAGTGACAAGCCCGCGTGGGTTTGATTGCCTGCATCATGAGATTTTAAAGAAAGCGAGGCGTACATCGGGACCATCTATTGCACATTTAGCTAGCGTGTTGGACTGCAAAGAGCTGCAGGTGTAACAAACCTTCATTTAGACGCCTTTCATTTGGGCCCATGTGCCACTTCCTCTGCAATATAGATCTTTCGACCGAACGTACTGCAGAGGATATTGGCACGCAATGACTCATTTATTTCCGTCATGACAAAGTAGCCTCCATCCTTGAGAACACTTCCCAAACAGTTCGACTACAATGAAAACTTTTTTGGGAAAAAAAGGACAGGGGAAAATAAAGGCACGGATGCTATAGATCAAAAATAAATTTTGCACATTATGTTACTCTCAGGTTTGTCCTGTATCGTCCAGATTTCCAAGCACCAATATTGCAACCGCTCGTGATCCAATCAACATTTATTATAGCCAGCTAAAGTTTTCGATTTCGAAAAACAAAAAGGGTTGCAAAAGTAAAACAATGCTTTCAAATCGTCCATCCGTCTCCGACATCTGCGCATGCAGGGGTGACTGTGCCAGCAGGTCAAGGAATTGTCCTCCTACACCCCATGATGTACCACTTGCGGACTCTGACCCAGCTACAGGGAAATTCTAGAACTGGGGCGGGTAGTCGTCTTGAGGCTGCTGGTAGGGGTAAATGCAATACTTGTTCTGGTAGTATTCAGCCCCTGGTGTAGATTAGGGCTTGAGATTGGGCCGATGGGCAGAATGGAAAACGGCCTCTTCTCGGTAGGCGAGGAGGTGATCTGCCCAGGAAGGTCTGGGGTCTCGTGTGGCGTTGATGGATCAGTCCCCTTGGCCGTCGGGAAGGTAGTTTGCGGCCAGACGTCTGCGGGCGCAGGCGGTGCCCGTGGTCCGCTCCTCGTGTTCTCCTTAGAAGAAGCCAGCACGGTAGTGGCTTGCAGAAGTGAGGCTAGGATGACGACCGCTTTGACAAGGAAAGGCATCTTGTACTTAGAAAGAGGTGGGAATTATGTTTAAGGATGTCAGGTTGGGAGTGTGCTAGAGAAACGTCTGATTCTGATCCATTCCTGATGGTGAACTCACATAGCTACAGGCTGGCCGAGCGCACATCCTTATAGTCCTTTGAAGCCAGCCTTGGTGCCTCATACGATCGATGTATTGCCATACCGCCATACCGTCATACCGTCATACCGTCATACCGTCATACCGTCATACCGTCATGCCGTCATACCGTCATACCGTCATCTTTGCTATACAACCTGAAACCACCTATAGCCTAATCGGCATGTTCGGAAGATACTTGGTTGTGATGTATGTGCTCACCCAGGGATTCGTCAAAGTCAAACCTTATGCAGACGTGAATGCAGTCAGCTAAGGCGGTGTCAGGGTATTTATAAATGTGATTCGCCAGCCCATATGATGCAGACCTCACTATACAAGCGCGACAATATACATTGCGGTCGTAGACCTGATCATGGTAGATAAAAAAGCTTGGACCCAAGCAACCCCTGAATCGCGATTGTGATGAACAATCCATTGGTTTAATTTCCTTAATGGAACTTTTATTTCAATAGTCATTCTTGTCAGCTACTTTAGACCACAAATTCACAAACGCTGGGCCTTCAACTACATGTTAAAGGCTGTCGGAACGATTGGGTCTGGTGACGCCCCGTCTCTTTTCCCCTACAACTTCATCGAGTGGTGCCATCTCCTATAAAGAATTGAAAAAGTTCACGCTATCTACCACTCAGAAGTCAACTAAAGATACACGTAGTGCAGGCGAGATCCCGGATTGGTCTTTTCCTGGAGAATCGTTGCGAACTTTCCATTGGATAGACGTGTGGCGAGCAAAATATATAAACCCTTCGTCTTGTAGATCTGATTGTTGGCTAGAACCGTTAAAAACTGAAAAATCAAGTGACATGAATGTAGCAAAGTGATTTAGGAACATCCACATGAAAAGGGTTTCGTTACCACAAGGTTCCCCACTAACCGACCGCGTTGCTGGAAAGTCTATTGATGATTGAGTGATGACAAGAACAAGGATCTGCGATGAGTAGAAGCTGTTTGGTTATCCCATCCCTTGGGCCTAGCGTTTCGTAAAATTCGAGAGGTTTGTGCTAAACAGAGATTCTACTGAAGACTGTTCGAGGGATGCGTGAACAAATTAGTTGTTCTATACGTAACTACCCAACTGATCAATCCACAAGCTCCAAGGTCATGATTCACGAGGCCACCTGGTTAGAAGGCTGAACCGCTTCAAGCTGTCACAAGGGGAATTGGATTTGTTCAACAATCGGGTAACCTTGGGAGCAGAGAATCTTATTCGACGGTAGTCAAAGCCACCAGAAGCCCGTGCTTTGCTCCTGGATACAGTCTAAAGACGTGACCTGGATACTCCACATCATATCACAACCAAATCAAAGTATTGGTTCGGAAACACAGATTCGTAACGCATTTTATCACCAGATCAAGTTCTATTCCATCATGTGAGCCGGTTCCATCAGAGTGTAGCCTTCATTACATAATGCCCTCCATGGGTTGGAATATTCCATCACCTCATCCAACAGAGTCCACTTGCTATAGTGTTTTCCATGCACGAAACCCTGATCAAGTAGCCCTGATACCGCCAATTCGCCACATAATGTGACCCAGGGCGGTAGGAATCGTCGTAGCCGTCATTGCATGAGTGTTCCGACTGCCCTTCCATCCAGAGTTCCTTCACGTACGTCTTTCCACCCGAGGGGACTAGCACCAAACAACCACTCAATGAGGTGTTGTCTCCATCGAGTCGGATGAGCTCGTAACCTGAGTGTAGATCTGTCTCTGAATCTGCTTTGCGTGCCAGGCGGATGACCTGCTGAGACGCCAACGGTGGTGGTGGCAAAAATCGCCGGCGGCCCACACGAAGACCTTTTTCACATGGAGACAGCGCGGATCAGCCGGTCCGTACTCGCATTGGTCGAAACAGTACCGCAGTTGACAGGGACAGCAAGCGAATTTGAGGTACGTCTGCGTGCACATTTCCGGAATTTAGACAGACTGAGGTCTCGAAAAAAGCCTTCCGGGTAGCCCTGGGAGCACGAATAGCGGAGATATGGCGTCCAGCTGCTAACAGCTCACTTCTGAAGCTTGGTTCCTCAAAGCCTGCCCAGAGCTGCGAACCTGATATGCAACCGAATGCATCAGTAATTCCCTTATTCAGATATGGAAAACGATGTTCACGACCTACCTTGAGAGGAACAGTCCTGGCTAAAGTATGCAAAGGCTCTCCGCGAAAGCATCCAGCTAACCAAAATTATTTCTGCTGGAGGTTGACGAGATTACAAACCGCATGGGTCACAATTGCGATAAATCCTGATGCCATCCAGATTTTCCAGGACTGAGAGTGGCCCCCCACATTAAACCATAGCTGCACTTACCTGATTCCTCAAATGGGCAATGCAAAGTTGTTTGCTTTTTTATTTCCGACGCACTGGCTGGTCTAACTCTTGTGCTCCAAAGCCCGGGTTCTGATGCGTACGAAGCGCCATGCCTTGCTCGGCACGAAGGTCGAAACGACTGAGGCGCCTCGCCGTGAGGAGCAGCATGTAGAAGTCAGACAACAAGATCAATCTCCTAGCTACTGACCGGGTAGACGGGTGATGATGCAGACATGTGTTGATATACGTATCGCGGAATAGAACAAACGAGATGACCTCTAGAACTACATCAAGCCATATCAGACTTGGTCCCATAATAAGTTACTGACCGAGCAACTTTGGTGGATGTCGGATGCATGTACTAGTACTGCAGTATTGTGGTGCCCCACTCTGCCGTGCCCAAACTGGAAAGGGCAGTTTGTTTACTTTTCCAGAGCGCGCTCACGCCCAGCGCCCAGCGTTAGCGGAAAGAGCTTCCCCACCGATACTCTTTATCTCTTGACCATAACGGTAGATCGTCACCAAACAATCGACAATACATGAACTGCGCGCGTGCTTCTAGGGCCCAATTGCTTGCGGTCCCTCGACACCTCTGCTTGTTATTGCATCCATAATACCCCGATGCACATATCATAGTACATTTACTCACCACTCCACCGCCATATTGTTTCCCGCCACAAACAGACCCGCGTGCGACGCGTCGAGAACACACCTCCAAACATGGAGTCAAAAGCCAGCCGCTACCAGTCGCGCATTCTTAGGGAGATGCATCAGAATAAGGAGAATCCCTTCAATTCCCCTCCCTCATCCACCGGTTCCCACGGGACCGTCACCCTCACCTCCGATCTCTCCTACGGCCCCGAGGGCGAGTCAACCCGCCGCATGGAGGACTCCTCCATCATGCTGCCCGGTCTTTCCAACAGGCAGCAAACGGATGCCCCCCCGGACACCCCTTTCAGGGTCAACACATCAGCCATAGCGCGTGACTTTCCCGAGTGGAAACGCTGGGAGGACCATGACCACACTGACGACCTTTACAACGTCACGGGCGACTACGAGAAGCAGCAGAGAAAGGAGAATATTCCACCTTCGTCTTCCACAGTAAACTCGCCCAGCCAGATTGAGGCTCGAAAAGCAAGCGGCACATACGGAACGCGTGCCCACATGCAAGCTCGCGTCGAAGATGAGTCCGATTGCTCTGGGGACCTGCAACGCCACAAGAGGCCTGGCAGTGCCAACAAGAAAAGCGCCTCGTGGAAACCGGAGCGCGGAAATGTCACGCAGCTCATCAGCACCCTCAAGGCTGCCCAAGCCGTCCAAGAATCGACACCCAAGAAGTCGTCACCAAGGGCCCCAACCTCGGACCGAAGATCAAGCGCAAACCGACATTCGCGCATTAGCAATATCCAGCTCGCCCACACCGAGCCAAATCAAACCGCCCGTTCCTTCTTCCTCCCGAACCTGGAGTACATCAACGATTTCGTCTCAGGTGTTCTGAGGCTGTCTTCGGTCAAGAATGGCATTCCCGTCTTTGTGAGACATGGCAAAGTCTTCGACCAAGGCTCCAAGCCCTCCCCGGAACATCACGCTGAAGTGGACGCTGTCGAAATCCCACGCGACGAGCAGGAGATCTTCGTGTCACTGGACAAGATTCGCGAAGAAATACAGACCCTACAGGCTCACGACGACCAAGTCTCCAAACAGGCCGAGCTGCTGCAGGACGAAATGTACGAGCTTCAAGTTCAGCTGTCCAGTTACAAGTCTCGGAAGGATAGTGCCATGGGCTCCGATTCTGATAGCTCTGTTGTTCAATTTTTCAGCAAAGAGAAGGCACAGTTGGAAGAGAAAATGGCAACGCTGCAAGCCAAGCTCGACAAGGCAAACCGCAAGATCAGTATCAATGAGATCCACACCGAGACCTATGTCAACGAGCGTGACGAGGCCCTGAAGAGTGCCAGCGCCCAGGCGGAGAAGATTAGTCGTCTTCAGGCGCAACTCGATACGACTCGCAATGAGCTCGACGTGGCTCGTAGCGGCGGCACTCTGAAAAACACTCTGACCAATGGTGAGATTCACTCGCTGCGCGACGACAACATTGCCCTCCGATCACAGTACAAGTCTTTGCTGGAAGAGAACCAGTCTTTGCGCTCCCACAATGCTAGCGTCACTCAACAGAACACGGAGCTCCAACTTGAATCCAAAAGGCTCCAGCGCTCGTTGGATACGGCCCAGGAAGACCGTGACCTGCTACGCAAGGAGCTGGATAACGTCACAGAACAGCATCGCGGACTTGAAGTGGACCAAATGGGTCTCGAACGCCACAACGAAAAGTACTACACGGAGAACAAGTCTCTTCAACAAAAGATTTCTCTGCTTGAGCGACGCATCCATGACCTGCAGGAAAACAATGCTCAGCTGCACCAGATGCTCGATGTAGCTAACGCCGAGACCGGCACTATGACCTTTGATATCAAGGACATCAAGAATCGACTTGAGAAGAAAATTGTCAGTCTGTCGGATGAGAACACCCAACTTCAGCAGAAAATCATAGATCTTCAAGAGGAATTCGCTTCTAAGCAGGTTATTTTTGAGCAAGAGAAGCGCCGTGTTTCGGCCGATAATGACCGATTGCACAATAAGCTTGATAGAATGAGTCAATCATTTGAACGTGTTCTTCAGGAAAGCAGGAGGGAGTTCGAGGAGCAACGAGATTCCTTGACACAGCAACTTGACGAGGTAGCCAACCGAGAAGCCGCACTAGCGACGCGACTGAGGGAGACCACCGAAAAGGAGGAAACAACCTTACAACAGCATATCCAGCGCAGAAACGAAGCAGTCGAAGAGGCACATCGGATTTCCAGGGAAATTCAGTTACTTCAGTCGACTGCCGGGAAGACCAAACCCGCCAAAGTGACGCGCATAGTTGAGCCTACCACGACGAGGAGCAGGTCGACCTTGAGCGAGGTTTCTGCTAAGAGCACCACCGAGCATATGGACACTCAGGAACGGGATGACTTGACACAAGAGCTTGACTTCACGCAAGGATCCGACATCGATGTCCTACCACGGGGAGAGATGGACAGGCTGCGCGAGGCACTCCGCCAAGCCAAGTCTGACAACCAGCAAAATGCCACAGAAGAGTATCTCGAACGTGAGAACGAAGTTGGTAGTGTAGAAGATGCCAGCCAGAGCCTTCCTCCTTTCCTACCTCAAGCGCAACGTGGGACCTCTGGCAAAGTCACATCCCCAGCTGGCAAGCGACAACCCTCTGGTATTCTGAAGAAGGCGCAAGCGCCAAGACGTAATGGTTCCCAGGATCTCACAGGTCGATTTAGTGTCAAGTCTGCCATCAGTGGAATGAGTCTACCCAGTCAGGCTACCAGGTCTGATATTTCCGTCAGTCGCCGTCATTCAGACAGCGAGCGATTTGAACTCGATGTTGAGGAGAACATGACATCGGCCTTGTTTATAGATGACATTACCCTCGAGTCTCGCAAGCGTGCTGCCAGAAGAGGGGAACAGAAGGAAGCTGTCAAGTTTGCAACCGAGACCCAAACCACCGGGGTGCCCCGGAAACCCATCGCCGTACTGTCTTCGGAAGCCAGGCGCGTCCTCGACGGCTTATGTAATGACCACGACTGCAGTAACTGCATCATGTGCGTCCGCATCAACGCACACAGCCATGATGTAGAGGGCGGTCGGGACATGGGCAAGAAGGTTATTACAATCACGAGACCAGTCCCAGTCACTGATCGCATAACAAACCCCGTTTCAGCCGACGCGGACATCACCCTGCGCCCAGCGCAAGAGCCAGGTCTTGCACTCGCCACGGTGCTCAAGGGCCTCAATGACGATCTTGCTCACTTGGAGGTAAAAATCTCGAGGAAGAATAAGCAGCTGGGTGGTCTAGATCCTTCATTTGCTAGACGCCAACGGAAGCAAGTGAACGGCCAGCTTCAGCGTTTGATGCGGGAGCGAGAGGTGAAGCAAGACCAAATTTACAGAATATATGATGTGATTGAGGGCCAGAAGCAGGCAGGCCAGCAGATGTCCCAAGCCGAGGTTGACATCACAGTCTCCAGCATCACCAACATGATGGGAGACGATACGTGGGATGGCATCTCGGACGACGATTACTAAAGCCTTTGGAGAACTGGAAAACCACGTAAGGTGCGCCTTTTTCGCGAAATATCATGATGGACAGGAGTTTGTTGTTTCACTGCGTTGCTTGTGGTATAAAGGGGGGTTTCTGCGGTCAGCGTCGCTTCGGTTGCAAAAAAGGTCAGGGGCGTTTTGCATTGCATTGTCTGAGTATTTATATGGAATTTTCGTAATGATCAAGCGCTCGAGGCGTTAAGAGTGCCTTTCACTCTGTGCTGGCTCGGGCCGTGAATCTGCATTAAGATGTCATTTTGTTCAGGTTCAACTCCTCAACTCGTGGTTACATCGTTTTGCGCCGCTCTCTTGCCTCGACCCAGACTGTACTATCCAACTGATACCAGCCGATTCATGCACTATGCAGCCTTGGTCATGCATCACCCACAATGACATGATGGTATTTCACCAATTTCCGATCATGATATGTTGAAGGGGGAAAAAGAAACCTACATATATCAGTGTGGTATGACTCTCCTTAGGTTGCGAGTATTACCCAGCTAGCCAGTAATACCAAAAATGATACCTCCTTCATTGATGCACCAAGTGGTACAGCCGTGTACAAACCTGCGGCATTATCATACGTTACGAGAACACCATTTCCGAACAGGAATCCAGCATCAAACATCCTGTATGTGACAGCCAATTACCAACTCACAAGCTCGCCTTTCCCCTCGACTCGAACGGCAGCGTCAAGACTACAATCCCAGCAACGATGAACAGCGCGCCGCTGACATAGACGGGCACCGAAGTCGACAAGTCTGCGTACATGGCCACGATGGGCGCCATGATGCCGAAGACGCGGTTCGCCGTGGCCGTGAGCGCGTTGCCGGTACCCCTGTCCCTCGTAGGGAAGACCTCGGGGGTGAACGCGTAGAGAACTGCGTACATGACGTTGCTGGTGAAGCTGAAGGCGCAGTTCCAGCCGAGCAGCGACTGGGAACTCGTCGCGGTGGTCGAGCAATACAGAAACACGCCGGTGAGCGCTGTGCTTATCGACAGGGTGCCTTTGCGGCCCAGACGAGGCACCTCGACCAGAACGCCGCCTATTATGGCACCGGGTACGCCGAGAACAGCAATGATGAGCGAGTTGCGGTAGGTAATCGAGGTCGAGCCGTCGCCGTAGTCGACCCCCCGGGTGGCTTGGATGTAAGGGAGGAAAGCATTGTAAAGAGGATAACTGCGAAAAGAAAAAAGTGGTTGGTAATTGCCACAGTCGTAAGAGAGGAACCATGAGATCGAGAAATCTTACCCTAACCCAATGAATGCCCATGTCAACATGAGGCCAATGGTGCTCCAAGCCAGCTTCCTTGTTGCGAAAAGCGGCCGTACGTGCTCCAAGCTGATCAGTTGCATCCTGCGCTTGACGGCGTCGCTGGCTTGTGTCTGGTGCACATAGCCTTCAGGCTCGCATGCCTTCAAGTCATCGATTGTGAGTGAGCTCGTCTTGCCATTTCGTCTGGCGACTTCCTGGACAACGCTCACGGCGTCCTCGTCGCGGCCTTTTCCCATCAAGTACTTGGGGGACTCATATATCTTGAAGAAGACGAAACGAATAATGAACATGAGGAGGGTCAAGCCACCCATTGCGACCATGAAGTATCTCCAACCAATGTTCTCCTGTCGTGTACAATCCGCATCGGTTTCCTGACAGGTCATATAGCCCAAGAGTGGCCACGCGACCAGAGTTGCAATCACTTGGGCAATGGCCCAATCAACAGACAGGATGGTGAGAAGATATTGATGGGATCCTGGAAGAAATTCGAGAAAGATGGCGGAGTCCACCGGAAGATTACCACCCACTCCAAACGACCAGAGGGCTGCGAATACCCCAATGGCAGCAAAGTTGGGCGCGGAAGCCGCAATCATACCCCAGAAGGCGGCCAGACCGAGTGTCAAGTTGAAAGCCCATTTACGGCCGAAGATGTCACATCCGAAGCCCCAGAAGATGGCACCGGCAAGAAGACCGATATTTTGGGCCAAACTCAGAAGTGGTCCTCTTCGTACATGGAACTCGTTGATGATGGGTGTCAGAATAAGTGATGTGACGATAGGCCACAGGTTATCAGACGCCCAACCGAAACCCACTACCGTGAACAGTTGCCATTGGTATCTTCCCATTCCAATTTCTTGGATCTGGTATCGGTTAGCAGGCATGAGTTGCGGCGAAGGATTCGGGAGTTGGAGTCTAACGTACAGCTCTGTTCAGCACGTTTGCCTTCGCTTCGTAGACGGGATCAATCTGCCCCTTGAAGACGGCTGCTTTCCCGTCGCTGCCGATGGCATCTTCGTAGTTGGCATGGTGCTGGATGCTCTTGGTATCTCTTGCCGACAATTCGACATCGTGCTCTGCCATTTTGGTGAGGTTGTGCGAGAGGTCGTGGATGTTGAGACGGGGAAGCAAGCACGCCTTCTGAAGGGGGCGAGACGGTCTAGAGGCTGAAGGCTGGTGTCAGTCTGCACACGACCCTGGTGACACTCCTGTGCGCCGCGCATGGCGTGCTCTCAATCCTTTGAGCTTCCATTGGTTCAGCCTTGCAGATATATGCAGCCAGGCGGCAGCCCCGCAAGCACTTGTGATGTCGATCACCCCAGATCTGACGTGCAGAGGGAACGTCGGCAGCCCAGTCGGGCGATAGGGTTCAGTGGGTTAGCCATCGTCTGGGTACCGTAAGAATAGAGTGCAATTTGTTTCCTCCCACGCTAGCACTAGAAATACGCTCAATTGTTCACAAGCTGATGCTTCGAAAGGATTTGGCGAGGTTTTGTCGAGACAATTGCGAGCGTTGATGAACCTCCATGGGGACCATGGATATGTACCAGTTAGACATGGTTGGTTGCAACCTTAAAGCGAAGTTTTTCGCAGACACCCCCCAAGTGAGACAAGCGATCTGATTCAATTGTTTTGCCTCTCAAGTTTCAGCATGCATGGTGTGGGATGCTACCATATTGAGAGAGACCTGCCTCATGATGGAGTTGTGGTGGCTACGCGTATATGTAGGAGCTGGCAGCTGTGAAGTTATACTGTATGTATATAGCGACTAGTCTAGCCAATGGTGGGAAGTGACGGGGACATTGACATCGAATTATCAATTTACCTACCGGTGGCGGGGGCAGGATGTACCCCACACAACGCAAATCCCATCAGACTCCACCCCGCTGGGCAGTCCCCCCTGTACTGTACTGTACTGTACTGTACTGTGCGGTGCTGTGCTCTACTGTGCTGTGCTGGGCTGGGCTGCAGCATACAGTACCTACGTCCATATACACGGTACACAAGGGCAAATCCAAGCTAGAGTAGGCCTGGTTGGTCACCATCGCGGTCGCTGTAACGGTCGCTGTCGCTGTCACACTGTCACTGAACTTGATCCCTAATGCAAGGCCGTGTACAAAGCACCTACAGACGCCCATACCCGCGCCTGTTTGTGAGCTCTCTGGATCCCACTTTCTCGCATCGTACACACGTAAATACTTACACCCACACACCCACAATCGAGTCGCGTCATCCGAGACATCATGGCCGACGTCGAAATGGATATCGACGAGCCTGGCTCCCCCCAAGCCACCCAAGCCAAGGTTGGCGACATGCAAACCCACGCCAAAGCGACCGCCGTCCGATCCATTGAGGGCTGGATCATCATGGTCACCAACGTTCACGAGGAGGCAGACGAGGAGGCCCTGCAGGACGTCTTTGGTGATTACGGCGAGATTAAGAACCTGCATTTGAACCTCGACCGCCGCAGTGGTTATGTCAAGGTGAGCATCAAGCATCAAGCATCAAGCATGAAACAGCAGAACTCATCAAGGGATTAGGGATATGCCCTCATCGAATACACCACCTTGGCCGAGGCCAGAGCCGCCATTGATGGCGCCCACGAAACCAAGCTCCTGGACCAGACCATCTATGTCGACTTTGCATTCGTACGACCTCCACCGGGAAAGAACAACAGGGGGCCTCGCCAAGCGCACCGCGGCAGAGGAGGACGTAGCAGGAGCCGAAGCAGAAGCCCCGAAGCTGGAAGAGACGATGGAAGGGATGACGCGAGGGACGACGTCAAGGATGACGAAGATGTGCTGTGAAGGAAGACGGCGTCACCATATAAGCCCGACGGGACTTGATCTCGCTGGCGCCCTGTCGGGACGAAGAGTCCATGAGCCACGACGCGAGATTGCTAATGGTGCAAGCTGGTGTTAGCCGATATGTCGCCAGATATCAATGACATATCGGACCGTTCCATGTGGCCCCTTAGGTATGTTTACCCACACATCGGTTGCGCTGTGTATTCCTGACGTTTCCGCAGGTCAAGGCTCCTAGCCACCGTGACTGCCTACGTGACTTGCAATGCCTGCCGCCGGTGTCTAGACTGCGCCCGGCAAACCGTGAGTATGTGAGACAATATTGCAGGAGTGACGTGATAACAATGCTGGGCGCCACAAGCGAGTCCGAGACTGGTCTTGTATTATAGGTCTCCAAATACCATTAAGGACTTTGCGCAACATCTTGCATGGACTTTGCACCCCCGCTGTCCTCCCGTGACTCCTATTGGAGGCTGAACCGAGCATCGAGTTGTAGCGCAGTGCATCGGAAATGGTTGTTTATACAAGAGATATAAACCCGAGTGGCTCGGGGGTCGTCTTGATAATTCACGGAGGGAGTATCCCGTTTAACTGTCCGCGGATATCACTCATTAGTACATGGCTATATTAGCTAGCTCTACGACATCTCAAATTCTGTCACTGCTCTGCTATTTATCTATAGAAATCCTAGAGCCCAAGCATCAAGCCTGTCTCTTGTTGTGCGTAAAGGCGCTATGTAATGCAATGGCTATTACGTCGACACAGTTCTTTCGTGTTGCGGATGTGTGTAGGTGTTCGTAAAATAGAAATTGCCCCTCCACACGGCCCCTCCATCCACCGGCCGCTGGTGGGCCATTTTCTCAAAAGGCCGTCGCGTCCTGCCGCGTCGTCCGGAGCTGCCTTCGTATTCCAGCCAAAAAGAAAAAGGGGCAGCCCTACCAGCTTCCGACAGTCCTTCGCTCAACAACAAATGGCAAGCTTGCTGTTATGAGATGGCATTCCTCGTCGGTGCCTCAGCGCCTCTTGCCATCCAGAGACTGGCAATCCCTGCCGTCAGCATCCTGATCGCCTTTCTCGGATACGGCTCGCAATACCTATTCGCCGTCTCGCCCGACCTCCTGCCCGGTCCGCTGTCGCAGGGTCAGCAGTGGCTATTCAACGCCCTGCTGCTGTGCCTGTGGTGGACATACTTCCAAGCCTGTACCGTCGATCCGGGCCGGTACACGTTTCCACCTGAAAAGAGCGCGGGGAAGAAGAACCAGCCGAGGGGGAGGGACAACGGCGGCGGCAACGACTCCTCGTCAGACGACGAGGACGACGAGGATCACAATAACGACAAAAGCAACACCACCACCACCAAGAACAACAGCAGCAGCAGCAAGAAAGATGGAAGGGGATATCGGAAACAAAAGTGGTGCAAGAAGTGCCGCCGCCCCAAGCCGCCCCGCGCCCACCACTGCAAGACGTGCGCCCGCTGCATCCCGCGGATGGACCACCACTGCCCCTGGACGTCCAACTGCGTCTCGCTGCAGACGTTCCCGCACTTCCTGCGCTTCCTCGCCTACGCCAACCTCGCCCTCTGGTACCTGCTCCGCCTCCTGGGCCAGAGGTTCCTCGCCCTCTGGTCCAGCCGGCTGCTGCCCGCCTACCTGGGCCCGAGCCCGGCCCAGCTGGTCGCCCTGACCGTCTTCGCGTTCGCCGCCGGCGTCACGAGCCTCGCCCTGGGCATCCTCCTCGCCACCACGCTCAAGGGCTGGCTGTTCAACACCACCATGATCGAGGGCTGGGAGATCGAGCGCCACGAGGCCGTGCTGGAGCGCAGGGCCGGGAACGGCGGCGGCGACGGCGACTCGTTCTGGCCGGACTCGCGGAGGCGGGGTAGAGGCCGTGGTGGTGAAGACGACGACAGCCATGATGACATGCCGGTCGATGCCGTCGAGTTCCCGTATGACATCGGGTTCTGGGATAACTTGTGTGCGGGCATGGGGACGCGGAACTTCCTGCTCTGGTTCTTCCCCTTGGCGGGGCATCCCAGCGTCGCCGAGAACAAGGACGGCAAGATGAGAGGGGCGGGCTGGGAATATGAAGAGAACGGCATGAACGACGCCGAGGGCATGTGGCCCCCTCCGGACCCGGCCAAGACGAGGCACACAAAGGTATGGCGGCAGAGGAGGAGAGAGATGGAGGAGGAGCGCGAGAGATTCGAGGACGAGGGCCGGTGGGCACGTCCAGAGGACCGCCGGGAGGCCTTCAGGCAAAGACAGCAGCAGGATCTCCGCAGGTGGGAGGGCAGGATACTCGGGGAATTGGAAGAAACTGATGATGATGGGTACCAAGTAGTTGACGATGCATATGCTACAGGCGGGATCGTCGTCGACGAGGGCAAGTCGGGCTGGGTCAATGCCGAGGGAGAGCATCTCGGTGATTTTGGAGTGGACTCTGATGCCGAGTATGACGACTTGGAAGACGGCCACATGGTGCTCGACAAGGATGACGAAGAGGACGATGTACCCCTGGGCGAGCTGATACGTCGAAGAAAGATTCTAACGAACGACCGAGAAGACGCTTGATAGTGATATCAGGAAATCAACATATGATGATGCTCCTCGAAACAATGCTTATCTAAACTATTCTCTACAAACGGCTTTTTAGAACAAAACTTTTGGAAGATATCGAGCGTGAATATATCGCTAATCACAATCATGATCGTTGATGCCCAATGGAAAGCAGAGAGAATCCATTCAATTCTGCCCGGTCAACCTGGGTTTAGTCTGCGCCAATTTGATATGGCCTCAGCATGTCATCGTTATCATAACGGCTTTCAAGAATGAGTATGAAACCGAAGTCGCCCAACACGTCCTCAAACTTGCACAATTCCTTGGTTGCTCACCAATCATCGTCATCTTCCTTGCTTTGCATAGCAGTCTGCCGGGCCTTCAGAGCGTTTGCTAGAGCACCTGCCAGAGGAGCCTGTGGGGTTGGGGTGCTACTTCGACTACTATCTGAACCATTGGCAATGCCGGAGTCTCGTGATTGCAACGCAGCCGGCTTCTTGTTTGCGGTTGGTCGCTTCGCTGGAGGCTGTGGCGGTGTAGGTTTAGCTCGTGCTGCAGCGCCATTGCCGTTCTGCGCAGGAGGAGGTGGTGGTGCTCGGGGCGCCGCCGCCGGTGCTGGTGCTGGTGCCTTGATCTCCTCGACGTAGGCAGCCGGGACCCATGCCTGACTCCCAGCATTCTTGGCTAGCCACCAACCTGGTCTTGATTAGTATCTTCGGCGTGATTTTTGGATTGCTAAAAGATATCTTACCATTATTCTCCTTTTGCACAATCTCAATAACATCTCCGGCCTTGACTGTAAGTTCGTTATCCTTCTGTCCGGCGAAGTCATAAAGAACCTTGGCTTGAGGCTTCACGGCCTTGGCCGGTGGCGCGGCAGGTGGAGGCGGCGGCGGCGGAACGCGTGCGGCAGAAGATGTGGAGCTTTGGTTGCGCGTATGACTTGGGATGGCATTGGTAACTGCAGCCGGTGTAGGAACAGGGCGTGGCGTTTGAGCTTGTAATGATGCAGGGCCGCGCTTTGCGTTCGAGCCTGCAGGCCTGCTGGCGGCCCCACGCAAGGGTCGGCCCCCAGGCCCTCCAGGCTTAATCAGCTTGCCACGTGTGATAGGTCGAGGGGGTACAGGTTTGCCCTTTGGCGTCGGCCGTGATGTCGACGACGGAGACTCTCCAGGTTGTGTGTGGATAGCGCCACTCTTGTAAAAGTCTACAGCAGTGGGTGCATCTTTGAGCACTTTGATGAGCTGCAACTTGCCAGGCTTCTTCGCATATTCAATAGACTCGCCAATCTTCAAGCTGAAACCGCCAGGCATGCCTCGCTGCATTTGTGTGAAGAGCTCCGTCTTGAATACACAGTTCAACAAGGGATCTGCCTCCTGTGGCGAACCGATGCCTAGCGAAAACCAGTCGTCTCGACTTGTGGATGCTCCAACAAACTTGATCGCACCTAAAGGAACAGCCCGTTCTACGAGGACCTGCGGCTGGCCATTGACTAGTGCCTGTGCAACAATGTAAAATTTGCTGTTGGTGACGATGAATGTACGAGGACTAGGTTTACTCGATCGGCCGAACTTGGATTCAAGAACCTCACCACGGCATGAGAATAGCGCCTGCTCGTTACCCGACAGCTGAGCACCATTCCGAATTTGAGACCCAGGTCCGGTGGTAGCATTGACACCCAGGTAGTCGCCTAAGAAACGACGAGAGCCAAGTAAACTCATTCTGCGCCTCTCCTTGCGCCCCTGCAAGATACGATGGCCCTGATCGCGAAGCTGCAGGTATTCGGCACCAGTCCGCTTCTTCCGCCAGAAACGTTGGATTCGAGTAGCTGACTCTGCACGGTATGCAAGATAAGCTCTCCACATTCTCTGGATACGAGTTGCCATGTTGTGCCAGTATCGATCCCGCATAGTTTCCAAGGCAAACAGCGTCTCGGGAGACTTGATGAAGGCTTTTGTGGTGCCGAGTTGCCATTCTTCTTTGGGAATGCTTGTGTCCTTGAGGATCTGCTTTACGGCTTGCTCCTCGCTGCCATTCCATGTGTACTCACCGGCATAGGAAGTGGCTGGTGACAGCAGGAAGAAACGCTCCACAAATTTCTCGAAGGATTGACGATAGGCGAAACCAGCACGTCGAATCCTGACGTTTTCTTGTAAACCAAGGTACTTGATCTGGTGAAGCACATTGGGCACATTGTACTCGGTCGGCGATTTGTTTTCGTTCGGCTTGATTGTACGGATATACGATGGCTGGCACTTCATCAGAGTTTCTACCAACGCGTTTGCTGAGGTTCTGATACGATCACCAGAGGTCGGCGGTTGCTTCCTGTTGTCGGAGTCCATCTGTGTAGGGAATAGAGTGTGGACGAAGCGATTTTGACTCTGCTGGAACAATGCCTGGACACCCTTGAGAAGCTGGTCCTTGTTCTTGTCGGTGATGCCCTCGACTGTATAGCTCACATCACCAGCGTAGTGCTTGATGATGAAGCTGCCTTGGCGTGGCGTAAGATGGGCGTGATTCATGCCGTTTATGCTTTGCATGAAAGTTCGATCACAAGCAGCTGGGTCGGCGTGGGCAGTCTTGGTCGCATCCTTCAAAGCTGAGAATATTCCAACAGGCCTGACTTGCTCAATCAAGTCACAGACCACCTTGTTGTCGAAGTACTTGATAGGGGTCCATTGGATCTGTTCCCGAGCATATTCTTCCTGTTCAGCCTTCAAGGTCAGCTGGATGAAGATTTGCTGGAGCTTCTCGTTGACGTAGTTGATGCAAAGCTGTTCGAAACTGTTCTTCTCGAAGATCTCGAACCCGTAAATATCGAGGATACCAACGTTGTTGGAGGTGGCTTGTCTCGCCTTCAACGACAGGTTGATTCTCTGTACGATCCAGTCGAACAAGTTATAGTAAATAGCCATGGACAGAGCGTCTCGGGTGGCATTTGCTTGGGCCGGGTTGGCAGGCGACTCGATGACCTCTCCGCTCCTCGGGGTTAATACACGAATGGTGATAGCCTTGGTTACTTGTTCTGGGGCGACCTCGAGAAGGTAGGCCAAGAAATCTACCACCGATTGGTCAGCTACTTGAGCGAAGCTATCGTCTCCTTCAACGAAGTGGATGTTTCCACACCACAGAATTGCCGACAGCATCCGGAAGACTTCATCTTGTTCAGCCTGCGAAAGACCAATGATCTTCATAGCCTCAATAGTATCCCCGAACTCTGCCAAGTCGTCGATTCCGTCAACGTCGTAACACTTGGAGCGGCTGAGGTAGGCATATGTTTGTGGTTGCTGAATGCCAAAGGTAGTCCTGTAGTTTTCGGATGCGCCCTTTGTGAACTGGTAGAAGATGTGGAAGTTCCGCTCGTTGACGATCTGGCCGACGACTCTCGATTTCTCCAACAGGTAATTGGTGATGTCTGCTCCTACGGGTTCGCCATTTGTGTTGAAGTGAATCTGGAGGTATTTCCCGAAACGCGACGAGTTATTATTTCGAAGTGTCTTGGCGTTTCCAAAAGATTCGAGTAGGGGGTTGGTGGCCAGCACCATGTCTTTGATAAGTTGAATGTCTGCGCTTTCGCCGCCGGAGACGTTGGCGATGTACTGCATAATGCGCTTGGCTGCCTCGGTCTTGCCGGCTCCCGACTCGCCAGAGATGATAACACACTGGTTTTCCTTGTATGCCTTCATGTTGTAGTATGATGCCTCGGCGATGGCGAAGACATGGGGCGGCATCTCGAGACGGTTCTTGCCCTTGTACGACTCGAGGACCTGGTCGGTGTAGATGCCCAGGTCCCGGAAGGGGTTGACCGAAACGAGGACGTGGCCAATGTATGTGTAGATTTCCCTGCCCTCGAATCGCTTCTTCAGGTTCTCGTTGATCGCTTCGTTGGAAACCTTGCTCAGCAACGTGAGATCAGAAACACCGATCTCCTTCTTCTTTGAGGTCTCGAAAGTTGCTTTCTTGGGCTTTGCGCCGCCGCCGCCCGCCTGCGCGGCAGCTTGGCCGGCATCCTTCTTGGGTCTCCGACTAATACCCTGTTGTTTTTGATAGACATTAGCGACGGGTGGTTTCGATAAAGACGGGCGACCTCACCATGTCGGAGGAGTGTGGTCAAGAGACAACAGAGCTCCAGTCACGTCACAGCAATAGGTCTGCTAAGGTAAGGACTCGTTGCAGATGCAGATGCAGAGGGGAGGCAAGGGAAGGGGAGTCAAGGGAATGGACAAGAGGAAGCTCGGCGGGGCCGTTCGTTCAGAGGAATTGGGCGTTGAAAGCAGGAGTAGGTAGGCCGCCGGGTTGCGCCTCTTGTTCTAATGAGTGATAGACAATGTCCTTGCCACAGAAATTCCACCAGCAGGTTTGCTCGACGTTAAAGTTGCTGGTGGTGCCTGGAATTGCGACCAACAAGTGCAAGTGCAAGTACTCCGGTACCGAGAGGGATGTTATCACTGCGGATAGCGGCCTGTGAAGCGTACCCTCTATCGAGGCTGTGCCACACTGATGTCAGATGGCATCTGCGCTACTGGGCGGTCGCTGACGACGCGCACAGGCCCGGCGTTTTGCCGACACTGACACCGACACAGACGCCGACGCTGTCTATCTGCATCTTCGACTTCAGTGGCTGAGGCAGCTAGCTATATATGTCGTATACCTAGACGCCTTGCACAGCAGAGTTGCCCTTGTTCCCTCAAACTCCAACCCTTGCACCCAAGTGGTGGTGGGAGCTTCAACGCGAGTCATGATTTCACGTCGAAATTTGGCACCTTGGGCATCACCTACAACCGTAGCTGCGGTTATCAATGCGGAGAGGTTAAATGGCAAGCTATCGATACCAAAAAAAAATCCACGAAAGTCGCATCAGCTTGGGCATCAATCGGACTAAATGTATTATCCCCGTCCTCGCCCATATTATGTAATTAGTTGAGGATACTGACCGGGTTAACCGGAGGGTATTCCATATTAAATGACTAGTTATCCACTAACCTAGGGATTACTTCTTGTGCTCGTGGATTTTCTGTAACTGCCACTTGAATGGACTGGACTGAGCCTTGGGCATCATTGACTGGCAAAAGTCCTTTGCGTTAACTCGAGGTCGATCTCAAAGCCAGAACTCACTAGATTGCCCTTTGGCTGTTCCGCAAGGACTTGAATTCGCCGCTACAAGAGTTGTGATGAACAACGACATAGGTCAAGTGTTGATATGGTTCCTGACCTGCAGAGATACAAAGCGGTGATATATCGTTGCGAGATCAATCATGATACGGCTCTGAAAGAAAACATGGTGCTCCCAAACCAGCGGGGACTTGGGAATGGTGCCTGCTTCCAAGTGGTAAGATGCACGTCGATAGTGGCAACATCAGACGTCAGGCAGGGGCTGTCCAGAGGCTTGATCATACTCATGACAAGAAATACCGACACACTCGTGAAACTGTGTAAGCGGCTTCGCTCCCTTTTGAGGAGTGGATGAGCTGGTTTCAGAGCCAAGCATATATCTCGGCGTACCAGAGATATTCCCGCAGGCATCAATTCTTCCGAATTTCTTCATTGTCTCCGCGGTCCATAATTTGGCCATGACTGGATTTGTGGTAATGCCGACATGGGACATCAGCCGATCTTCCGCTCTGGGAGATCCCATCTTCACCTCCTCGGATGCTTTGGCGAGGATCTTGGCGGTAGAACTCGACATCGAAACTATAGCCCCCCAAGCAAGCAGGTGCGTGACCGTTGCCAGGCCCGTCCCACGGAACGAAATGCAGTCCTTGGACACAAGGATCTTCTAACGCAGTTGTGATTCCAGTTCCCAGCTGAACTTTGTTCGTTGACTTGGTCATGGGTAGATTTGGATGATAGAACATGCGCTGTGATTCAGCCATGTTTCAATTTGTCTCAATCGGAAGCATCATGCTTCTCCCTTGAAAATCACTGTATGTAGCCGAGTTACGATCAACCAATTAGGAGTCATTTCTAACAAATAAAACAGTCTACCGGGATAAATTGGCGCCAACGCAACCCCGAGCAATTGCTGGCCTGAACCCATTTGTCTATGCACGGTGTTTGACACAGTGGTCATAGGGTTTGCCATACAGATTCAATGCCGTTGTGACACACTTGGGAATCAGACTGTCATGTGGGCCCTTCTTCTCAACAGTATAGAGAATTTACCATAGCTCTACATTTCGAAGCTTTGACGCGCTGATATGATTGACACTTTGGATTGTCTAGCATACCGTTTTCTAGTTCCACTACATATCTGGAATGAGAAGTGCTTGTAGTCGAAATCCCTATATCTTAGGTCAGTTTCAGTGCGAATATAAAAAATGAATGGACCCCTTACATCGAACGAAGCTCTTATCTTCCTCACACCGGCCGTTGAAGCAGACTCCAGCGGGAAGATAGTTAATGCTTCAGGATTGCCAGCCCAGCTCAAGTATTCGGTCACCAAGTCGTGTCCTGTGACCAAAGCCAAACCTCTGAACCCACATTCATCAGTTGCGCAATGGAAGCCACCTAAACCACCATAAACCAACAAATACTCTTCGGAGCCTTTGAGGATATATCCAATCTCCATGTCCTCGGACTTTTGGAATACAAAGCGCAAGCCTGTGATATATCTCGACCCGAAGAATTCCATCAAAGACACAAATACGCCAATCATCTTGTCGGTAGGTAATTCCACCTCAGCTCGAAACACGACTCTTCCGATCTCGCCAAAAATCATTGGTCTCTGCAGTTTCGCTGTTCTACAAATTTTCCAATCTGAATCCAAACTGGAAGCATTTGAATCCCACTTCCAATCCGGGCCTCCCTTGAGTGTACTCAAGCATTGTATCTGTTCCATCGCCTGTGCCAAATATTTGATTGTCGAACCCCATAATCTTAATCGATTTCGCTCGCCAAGACAAACCCGATTGTATTTGGATCTTATTTTCAACAGCCAATAGAGTTTCTGCCAGTCCGTGCCACGCATCTCAGATTGCGGGAGCAAGAAAGGGTCAAAATATACGGCCATCTCTCGATCAGGCCAAAATCGCGATTGAAAGAAATGTTGTGTCAGAGGCGTAGAAGCTATTGCTCGTGACGCGAGCCTAAGATTCGCTGCATCCGCCGACTTCAAATAGCACATGAGCATCTCCTTGAGCTCTAGCGGCAAAGCAGCGAACGACTCCTTGGCTCCAGAAGGTCCGAATGACGATACTGGTCTCTGATCATCCTCATATCCTGCACGAGCAGCTTCCTTCTCTCGCTCTTCTCGCTCCTTGATTCTGTGACTCGACACCAATCTCTCCAATTCTGGCACCTTGAACGGATTCCAGAATGTGCTTGGAATCACCAAGTTGCTATTCCTACCCAACAGCACAAAATGCTCGCCCCTCGCCTGATCTCTCATGGTGCCCATGTACAAGCCCCCATAGTTGTGTCCCCAATTTGGCAATTCACTTCCGCAGGGTACCGAGCACAGAATACGCCACAAGGCTCCAAGATCTACTTCCTCAGGCTTGACGGCCTGCTCTAGCACCCCCCAGCACGCCTCGTGGAAGAGGAAACCCCACGCATAGCTCGCATGCTCATGCGCCGGGACTTCCGGACCGGGTGGCTTGATGTCACGGATCCGTACGAGATCAAAAGGCGCCAGATTCGAGTTCGTATGAGGATTCAGTTCGTCCCATCGCTGGTGTGCATGCGCAGGGACGTAGTTTCCCTCTCGGTCATGCCTGTGGAAGCCAACGCCAGAGAGGCGGGGTTTGGAAGTCGACAACGAGTCTGGTGGGCCAATACTATAAACGGCGCGGTAATAAGGTGCCCATACGTCGTTTGGGTCCGCATTGAAGTGTGGTGAGACGAACCCGCAAAAGCCACAGGTCAGCTTGCTAACGGGCAGTGGCTGTGTAGTGGCTGCCATGCTTCACGTCTTGTGTTTCTGTAAACTTTTGTTCATTGCGAGCGCATTTACTGCAGTTCAGGTGAAATAATCCGTGAATGTGTCGTAGTGTTGATGACTGATTGAATTTTGCCATGTTGCTGTGAGAGGGCACAAGATGGAAAGCCTGCACAGTGCAATTCTGTTTCTTTTTACGGCTGCGGGGACCGCTGATGTTGTTAACCCCCCTCCCCCATAAAACCTCCCATTCTGAGGCTCTTGTTCCTACAGTATCTGAGTAACATAGACACCACAGCTCATGTCGTCGTATAAGATATCCTACTTTATTTATGTTCAAATTCAAATCACAATTTAATTTCAATTATCTCGATAACAAAATCTAGATTGCTAAGGGGGGAAATGTTCAGCTGCTGCAACTAAAACCAGTCTCCAAATCCCACCCTCTGAATCGGGGCTTTCATAATCGTACCACTGATTGTTGTGGAAGTTCTTTACTCTCCGGCTCGCTCACTCGCAGATTGGCAACATTTGCCAGAATCTAGCGCATCAAATGTATCTCACTCATGCCCATTACTCGGGATACATGGCGCAGATGCTCTCTTACTTGTACAGATATATACGACAGCTTGCACCCGCTTCAAAGTCCAGCTCCTCCACCCGTTCAACCTTTGCAGATGCTTTTACATAGTCCGTTGGTGCATTTTATATTGCCATGAATGATATGTGGGGAAAGATGACTCCTTCTGCGAAGCTTTCTCATCTTGTCGGCTTGGGTCATACCCACGTGGTAATGGTCGTCGATGCACTGAGAATGAGTTTGTTTGAGTACTGCGTCGAGAGGACCACACGTGTTGGCGCTGTTGAGGAATGTTGATATATTCTCCTTGAGTTTTGTTTTTTGGTGCCAGGGTACGTTTCTTTACACCGATGAGAAAATGGACTTTTACAGCTCAGCAAGCACATTGATGATGGCAATTGGCTTTCGGCTTTTTGGTCGATTTCTTGGGTGCCACTAGCAACATTTTCGCTTCCCCTTTGTGCTTGGAGTTTCGACAAAAGCTTCGTCATCCTCGGACTTCTGAGACTTGGTTTCGTTATTGTTTTCTTTTCAGTCAGCAAAAGGAATTGCTTTTGCCACCATCCAACGCATGTGGTTTACGACAAGTTTACAAACTAGTTCTATTTTGATCTCAAGTGAAGCTGTTACGAACAACAGATGGAGATTTGTCTAATGTTCACATCCATTATCTCTCCTTCAAAATAGCTGTTTCAATCGAATCTACATAGGAGATTCTATAATGATTCTTTGAGAAGTGACTAACATCCTATACAGAATGTGCAGAGAGTTATGCGCACAATAATTATGGTTGGAACTCCGGAGCGTGGTGCAACGCAGAGCCAACACAAATTGTCGAGGATCGTGTTATGATATTTCTTGTTCCTTTGAAAAATCTGCTTCTACAGGGACGTACCATCGATCGCGATCATCTTCCTCATCAAATACGCATGTGATTCTGGTCGCGCCCCAAACATATACAACCCTTTGTGTTGCATATTCACTCACTGTCCACTGGGGAAGTTGCGCGTTGCGCATGCTGTCCTTTGAGGTCTCGGTTGTGGAAGTGTCGGATCACGAGAACAGTAATAGTAGCCGCCGCTCCGAAACCAGCAGTGATGTAATTACCAGTGACAATGTACGGCTGTTGGCTGGTCGGAAATGTGAAAATAGGAATCCAGGCAGTGAATATGTATGCGAAGGCGTTCATCTAGATACGGCAATCAGCTTCTATGTCCAAGACTAGGAAACGGATCACTAACCAAGGCAGATATGTACGCCCGCTTCTCAGGATCATGCCTGTTCACCTCATTTACCCATGTCCAAGTGATGCCAGCAGATGTACCTCCTAGAGCAGTAAGGTCTAAAAGGAGTTAGCAATAACCGTTGGTTTCATGTAGAAGAACCCACAGTAAAGTACCCAACGGGTTGCCCTATTCACTGGATGTACAGGAGTGGCGGCAAGTGCAATCGGGAATATGACTGCCATCAAGCCAGCAAATACCATACCGGGCCATCTAGCAGCGCCGGGTAAGCTGTCCGAAATCCATGAGTTGAGAAGTGTGCAAACAATAGTTATAACATTAATCTAATAACAGTTAGACGATCCTACTTTTAGCACAAAAAGAACCTACTCCCAGGGGAATGATATTAATTGCAGCGACCGAGAAGACAGCTGGCTGACCGGTGACGTTGTAGCTTTTCACCCAGAAGATCACTAGAAGTGTCAGTGATGCGAGTATTGCCTTGGTAGTAGCAGCTTAGCTTACTGGATCCTCCAGACTGGCCAAATTGAGCCATGAACGCGAAAAACAGGGGAACTTTTCGTTAATCAACAGTTATTCGATATAAGAGGCCATGGTGATGTGCGTACAGAGATAAACATGCCATGTAGTATGCCATCTTTTTATGTCTTTCCATTTGAACAAGCCAGTCAGCGGTTTGACCTCCGTGGGCATTCTAGCGCGAGCCAATTCAACTTCTTCCTGGGTGAAGATCCTGAGAAATGTTGAGCAATACTCGATCAAAAAGGCTAAGGATGATGTCGAGCGGGCTTACCAGTTTGCCTTTGCCCTGCTAGGGAGCTGGGGCATTGCAACCGCAGTCCATAAGGCGCAAGGAAAAGACACACAACCACAGACGCTGTCTTGTCAGCCCAGACTCTGTTGGATATGACTGGTAGTACACACATATACATCCATCGCCACCCGGCAAGACCACCGACTCCGTTCAACCCAGCAAAAACAGCTGCCATCAGAAAACCTGAAAAGAGCGGTCCGACAGAGGTAAATACCTGGATTAGCGTGTTGCGCCGAGCTAACTCGTGAGGCTTGTAATAGCTCGAGCACACATACATGACTGCTGGAAAGTGACCCGCCTCAAACAAGCCAACACTAGTTCGTAGTTAGATATTGAAAATATCCAGAGGTGCCATACCAAGCAACGTACAAGAAGCGGAAGACGTAGAGCTGATTGACATCTTTGACGCCTGCAGTCGCGAAGGTGAAGACAGTCCAAGCCAATTCCAAAAAAGCGATGTAAAGCGGCACGTTAAGCTGCAATCCTGTCAGAATCGATGATGAGAGTTGGTGAAAGCAAAGGACATACTCGAGTGAGGAGCAGGTTAGATGGTATCTGCCCAAACACATATGCAGCACTCCAAACCGCGTTGGCATAATTGAGCTCGTTACCATATAGTGAAAGATCTTCTTTCATACCACTATCTAGAGAACGTCTCAGCTCAACCTTGTTGTTCTCTTTTTCCCAGTTTACTTACTGAATGCGTTGGTGATGTTGACTTGATCTAGATATCGGCACATCACACCCAGAGCCGATGCCGATATAAGCGTTAGATCGAGCTTGGTGAGAAAGCGGGCCTCCTGCTTCGGGACGTCAAGCGCTATCGTGGGTCAGTCTATCATGGAACACTATAATACATAGTAAGAAGCTTACTCGACCAAAAAAAGGACCTCCATGTCCTCTTGGCCTCAGAATATGCTGGAGTTTCTGAGTCTCGGTATCGTGGTTTCAGCTCCACTGGAACTTCGGCCACATTTTCACCACTGACGATAGCACTCCTGAGGGCCTTTTCCTGAGGATCTGTCATTTCCAATAGAAGTCGTCAAGACAAACACCTATACTGATGAACCTTTTGTGAGTGATATTTAGCCTTACTGGCACTTCATGGCTGTGGGGCATCTTTATAGTAGTATTCGCAGTGTCGCCTTTGGGGGGCCATATGGCGACATCAATTCGTGGCGCATAGAACAACATTCAGCTCAGTTTGATCACCTCGAGTTATTTTCAAGACAGCTATCGCTTCTTGAATCTTGACTTCAAAGTCAACACTGGTATCAGAGACACAATCTGCACAATTATACAAGAATACCGGCACCAATGATCTGTATAAGAAACCTTACAACAAATAACACTGATCTTTGATTATGATCATCGGGCTCACTGTATGGCGTGAATCAAAGCGAGGATTGTCTAGCAAATCTATGGGCAGACGACATGAGTTGACCAGGGCCCAGGCAATAGCATCTAGATAAAGTATAAGACGTCCATTGGTTCAAAAGGATTGCTAGTTGGTCACCTTTCCTCGTCCAGATAGACCTTAGCCAGATTGAGCTTAAGTAGAGAGACTCGTCATCAAAGCCAACTATCACGCGAGTTTGATAGGGAATAAGTGTTAATCACGTCCAAACCCCATTTCCGGCTAGTCTCAACGCTTGATCTTATCGTGCCTGAGAGCTATATGTTCAAATGAAGTTTGGATTGTGGTTCGCTGCATAACAGAATAGTAAATAACGCCATGAGTCAACTTTTGGCCTAATGGTCCCCAAATCTCTCAGATCGCAGCATTGGCAGCTTCTAGATCGGGTCTTTGACAACTGGTGAAATGAGAACGTATGACACCTCGTAACATCATGTCATCTTGGTCATGGTCTTTTCAACTTTCCCAATTACGGTTCCCTGTTGTCTCAAATCTGGTTGTGTTTATACAAACGGGTATATGTAAAAAAGAATATCAGGCCCAAGAATCTTGCTGTCTCTAGAAGTGTTCCTTCCAGAAGCGGAAATTCACCTCCCGAACAGTTGCATCCTTTGCCGCATTCTTGATGTCTCGCGCTAGACTAGATGTTAGTCCTTGTTCCTGGATGGTCACATATAATTCAACTTACCAGCTGCAGAAGGGCCACAGAAATACACACCAACTGTGGTCTGCATACTGCCCTCCAAACCACTCATGTAGGACCGATCCAGAATACCGTCACGCATGGCTTCGAACATACGCTGGAAGTTGGGGCGACCAAAGTTGGTGCGCGCTTTGAGTTCAGTGAGAGGGTCGTAATCGGCGCCTACAGAGTTGAGCACAATGTTTTGGGTGGTGTCCATGTCAAGCTTCTGAGTGAGGTAGGTGTGGATCTTTAGGAACTCAACGCCGTTGCTGCCAGGTACACGGGCAGCCTCAGTACTCTGTTGTTCTAGTGAAGACAGGAGAGTTTGGAACCATTCGAATGAACCTGTATCTTTGCACACCCAGATGAACTCAACACGACGGAGTCGAGCAGGGGGGTTAGGACTGTTGCGAAGATGCCAAATGTTCTTCAAAATGGCGGCCCAAGGCGTGACACCAATACCAGTACCAATGAGAACGGCGATTTCATTGTCGAAAACATCCTCTGCGGGCGCTCCGTATGGCCCGTCGATTCGCAGCAATGGCATTTGCTGGCCATTCTGCAATGCGACTTCGTACATTCCCATAGGATCAACTCCATCATACAGCTTCGCCTGAGCTGCGCCAGCGCCAACAGCATCACCCAGTGCTCGAGTGAAATCCCCAACTTGACGTACGTGGACTGAAACATACGGATCATAGGGGCAAGATGTGATGGTGAACGGGTGCCATTGATAACCAGATAGCGAGGGGACCTGCAGGAAGAGCCATTGTCCGGCCTTGTACTTGAACGACGGTTTGTTGAACTGGATTTCGACAACATCGTAAGGGTGGCGAACGACTCTTGTAATCTGCGTTGTTCGCTTCGCACGAATTTCGCGATACAAACGTTCAATTAGATAGAACCCACCTGCCCACAGCTCCCATCTCCAGCCGAGGTAACCGATGCAGTGGTCCCAGTAGTCAGCGCCGGCGAAAGGGGAGAATGGCAGAGCAGTGTCGCGAACAAAGCATCCCGTCGTGTGGGTGTATAGCCCCAAGAAGAAGGGGATGAATAGATGGTGCGTGTACCAGAAGGTCTCGAACGACTGCTGTCGAATACGGTGGTGAGCGGTGGTATACATCAGTAACATGCAAAGAAGCATGACATGGCCCGTGACACCACCAGCTTGTGTATAATGAATCTGTATGGCAGTTACAGGTCGGATTTGCGTCTTCTCGACATTGAAGAAACTGAGAGTTGTCAGCCATGTTTTCTTTTTTCTCGGTTTGCCCATGTTGGCTTACTTTATGTAGTGAGCCGATGTATGTATGATGGTAAAAAGCAACATAGCGTAAGCAACCTGCCGATGGAACCAGAGGTTCTCGTCTAAAGGCAAGAACTTGAGCTTAGGACGGATCCATCGCATAACAGTCCGACAAACTGGCAGTAAGATGATCATTCCGTCGACAGACAGCACTAAACCGGCACCCCGTGATAGCCACACCGAGTACTGGAGAGTGTTCAGACCTGCCAACCTGATATCCGCTGCTTGCTTGTACCTGTAAAGGCATTAGATTCACCCGTGACAAAGAGAATTATGGCAAGGCAGCATACCATCCGTAAGCGAAGATACCCCAATGGAAACTCCAGAAGAGGATATTGAATATCATCTTCGAAGCAGTAAACTGCTTCCTGACCAAAGTGCCGAAACTCATACCTCCGCTCATCTTGCCGATCGACTACCCTCCTCTTTTACAATATTGAAATCCAATTAAGAGTCGACCTGCGACAATGCTGATGTGCGCTGAACGTACCACCCAGCCAAGAACAAGGTTGTCGTCGAGTATATGTAATCGTGTTTTGTCGACACCCAGCGAATATACTCTCTCTTTTGTACCCTCCTCGTAACCCTTTCCTCGAGACACAATTAAAAGCCTATAATCGAACGCGCAACCAAATTGAAGCAACAGTAAAGAGCGATCTGAGCCAGCAGTTGAAGAAAGGAACGGAAATAAAAGGACTCGGAAAGAGAGGCAGATCTTTTACGTCCTTGGCGCCGAGCGAGGAAGTAAGAAGAGAGAAAGCAGCACAAGCAATGCAGGGCGGAGAGCAATAATAAGAAAGATCCGAGGTGAAAGGACCAGGGGAGTGTCGTTGCAGAACGAGCTGTCAACAGAAGTGCTGACAGGGGTATCGATGGGTTGAACCTGATCCGGGCGCTCCAGGATACCGTCCCTAATGCAACAATAACGGGCTCAATTTGTTCGGATGTCAGCGGTCCATGAAACCTTCTAACCATTCATTGCGCAATGCTGGCTATGTGTTTGGACTCATGGGGGTGCGAATAGACTCAAGAGCAAATGCGGAGGTAACTATGGCCGTGAGGCGGATGTATCTATAGTTTCAATGGCGAACGTGCCTGTTTGCGTCTTGTGCACGCGGGTCGATCCAAGCCGAGTCCCAATAAAAGCCAATATAAGCTTACAGCTTTCAACGGTGGCAAGGGACTTGGACGACAATCCGGTAGATCAGACGTCAAAACAGTTTCGCGACTGGCTGGTGCGGTATCAGACCAGAATCAGTCCAAGGAGCTCGCCTTCAGATGGCAGCGTAGTGGGAGTAGAGGCTGGATGGAGGGGTTGAGACGTGCGATGTTTGAGGGACGCTTTGACAAGGATGTTCTCGAGCCTCTTTGGTGTTTCGGCAGGGGTCTTGCGCTCATCACTTTTGCCGCTGCAGAATGGAACCAGAAATGGAAGAAAATTCAGAAATCTTGACCACGGACCAAAGACTCGGGTTGGGACGTCTTTGCGATTATGTAGGTACTCGCAAGGCATTATGAATCCGGCGGCAAAAAAAAACAACAAATCAATTGGGTACATGGTCACTACCTTTCGTCTGAAATACCAACTCGATATTTTAGGAGCTCGTTTAACGTTAGTGGTGACCCAGCCTCCGGGCGGCTGCTCAGCGTCACGGATTCGCTGTGCTGAGGGGGTGGGCCATTCTAGCGAGCCAATCTGGAAGCCTATATCCATTAGCTCCAGATGCAACGGCGGCCAAGAGTGGGGCCACTCCCGTTAGAGATCGAGTCTGCAGCCAGTTGACGTTCAGAGGCCCCTGAGCATGACTTGAGGCATGTGTGCAGGTGCGCTGTACACTGCCAGGAACTCGTTTCGTTGTGCGGATAGCGGTAGGAAAGTTGGCCGCTCTCGCATGCATCTTTTTATATCATGCACTTGCATGAGAGCAATCTTCAGCAAAATAGTGTTTGCTTCTAGTGGCTGACAGAATCAGTCGTTCTGCGTTAAGCCAAACCTGAGTTTTCCATTCTCTCTTGCTGAATATAGAACGTTGCTACTTCAGAACATATCCACAACGCTTGTTCAATCATGTCATGCTGCACTCCACCTGGCGCGAACAACCTCCATATCAGTGCGTTTGATCGACGGTACGGATAGAGGGTGGCAATATCAAACGCACGTCAGATGTTTTAGTCCGAGCTGCTTCGGAGGCATAAAGGCAGTACTGGATCTGCGATCTCAGGAACCCTGTCACACACAGAGAATTGAGGGGGTGGCCAAGGCTTTTTATATGACTGGAGGGGTGGGCCGATGCCATACCAAGTCCTTGGGGACGAACGACATCATTCGAGTTTTGAAATCAAAAAGAATCGTACGATTTTTGGTCTTCAACAGGCCATCTATATGCAGGTTGTTGGTTTATAGTCAAATCATTCGATGTTGGCAGCGGGAACTCTATATAAGTCTAAATGTCAACCTTATTTCAAAAGCTTGGCGATGAGATGGCAGTTTATTTAAGATCTTGACATCCCTCAATTAGATTCCCTTTGAAATCTGCCATCTCATCTACACATTTTCCTAGCGCCAGGTTGCGCTTCTCTTGCTATCTTCCGGTCGACCCTTGTCGAATGCTAGTACGGCTTTGGCCAGCAACATCTCATCTTGGGGTAACAGGTCTCAGGGGCAGGAAGCCGGACAGTCAACAGCAAAATGGCTGCTTCGGACACTGAGCAGCAATTGTGTCTGTCACATCATCATTCAAAGATTATCACACCCTAGTGGAGTGTCGCATGCCAAACTTCCCTACAGAGTTCAGACAAATTCCATACAGCCCCAGTTACAGGTCAGACGGTTTCCCGCCCCGATGCTAGCATTGTCAGAATCGGTTTGTTCGATCTCGTGGTTCCGTTGCGGAAAAGACGGCCGTACCCGAACATGGATTTTGAAACTCATCGTGAAGACATGGCTATCGAGCGGTTCGTCCTAGTCAGGCCTGTCTAGCAGCGATTAGGGTCCGATTTGAAGTGAAACTTGTACGAATCATGTGTAAGCTTAAGGATGACCATGCGTGGATTTTGATACAAATAAGCATCTGGAACCACCCGTGTAACACCATCAGCACCATACCGTCATGTTATCCAGTTATAGTTCTGAATAATTGGGTCTCGATCTCTAACCCTGCTGGATGGGCCCAAGCTTCTTTGTACCCACTCTTTGCCCTCTTCCATGAGTACAGCAACTACCAAAACATTTGTTCGTTCTCATTGTCTGGAAAAGGTTGGATGACCCTCCCTCCAGAAGCCTACAAGAGTATTTTGGTAGAGAACAGAATGAAAGATTTCCAATCTCTATAGTAGATGTAATCCATCACATCACAGTTTGTCCCAAAGACACGATTTATGTCACAGCTTGTGCTTCAAGGCCCTTGGCCAGTGGGCTTAGTCAGTCTGCCTGTGTTTAAAACCGACCAGTCCTTCTAAATCTGACACAAACGACTAGTCTAGTCGTATGTTTTATGTGGCTCATAGAACCTTTTACTTCCTGAGTCTTGACGTGTGAGGCAATGATGTCAACCTAAACTCGTTTGTTAATACGGCCTGCGATAAATTCCGATACCGCCTTCCTACCTGCCACCCTGAACATGGTGTCGTTGTGGAAAGCGCCCGGGACAGCCTTCTTGTCAACTGGAAGTCCGACTTCCACGACTCTATCGTAAAGTTCCTGACTCAGAGAGGCTGGTACTAACTCATCCTTGGCGGCTTCGAGAATGAAGATGTTCGGTAGCTTGTCTGTGTTCCTGTACTTCTCGTATATCATGCCCATGTTCTTCCAGCTGTCCAGCTGATTTCGAAGAAACGGCCACAAATACTTGTATGGAAGCCACTTTTGTGGATAAAGAACCTCGAGCATTGCACGTAAATTCGTAAACGGTGTTTCCAGAATTATAGAGTCTAGACGTAAATTCGTGGGCATGGCATATTCAGCTGCCAGATTAGTCGCAACACCGGAACCGATAGACTGGCCCCAAAGGATTACTTTGGCGCTTCGAGTTGCAGGAGGATCTGAGGCAGCGATAGCTGTACCCGTGGTTGCCTCGTGCTGCCGGGATATCCAGTCCAAGCTCGCAACAGAGTCCAGTCTGATGCCCCTCTCACTAGGTCGACCCTTTGAAGTCCAGTAGCCCCTATAACTAAGGCATGCAAACGTCAATCTCACTGGGCTGGGTTGATCAGACAAATCCCTTTTCAGCATGGCAAGGGTCGAAGAGAGATCAGGAAGGCGAGGCGGTATAGAGGCAGCATTACCTGCAATCATGTATGAGCTTGCCTGGCATATCAAGGAGCAGGAAAGAAGCGCGCACCCTGAAAGTACAAAATGTAGTAGACTGACACGGGCTTCTGGTTCTTGTGCGGGTTGCCAAGATGCACATCAGCTACACACAGAGCCAAGTCTTTCCCGTCAGCTGCACGAACTCTCTCTTCGCGCCACGGGATGCCAACACATTGGTTGGCGTAGTCTTGGATCTTCTCCGATCTCGAATTTGGTGGCAGACCCGGCATGTATATGATCTTGTTTTGGAATGTGACAAGCATGCAGCACTTCCAAGTCCAAAGGGCAACAAACAGGCCACTGAAATATAGTGGTGCCAGAGCCACTCCTTCGAGGTGGAAGTATCTCATGCATGTGAAGGGAGGCCTTGCGATGCGGGCTGTCGTGTTGACTCCTGATTGAATGCGCCTGACGCGCAACGCGGTGGCAGCGCGGCGAAATGAATGCATAACGCCTCAAGTGGAAACATAATTGTTATTTTCTACTTTTGTTTTGTTTTCCCATGAGAGCAGTTCTTGAAGAGAACTTATGCTGAAACAGCAGAAATTACGCCATGAATGAAATGGTGAAAGATGCTTACTTCACTACATGCAGCATTGGTGCTGTGGAATAGTTACCCTGCATGGAGCTTACTTTAGTTACTTTTACTGCCTTGTCCGTCCGCTGGAAGAATTGCAAATCTGTTAGTTATTGGGTGCGGGCAGCGTGAGGAAACCCCCCGCCACTGACGTTTCTCCTGGTGGGGTATCTTGTGTAGAACCCCTGGGCTGGGATCTAATTAACGGCCGCCCCGCGTCAGGCGACACTGTAGTCATCCACCGGGTGGTACTGCGTCTAGAGTAAACCCGAACTAAACCTTCACTCTCGACTTCTACACATCTTCCGCTTCTTGGCGAACACCACTTCACACACCATACCCACACAAAGGCAAGAGATCTGCCAGCCAACCGTCATCATGCCCGGAGCTCTCGACGGGAACCAAGAAGCTGCCCGCCAGTCGCCCGGTCGACACATTGAGCTCGTAGAGGACGAGGCCCATTCTGAACGGGGTGATGGGGACCATAGTCCAGCCCTAACAGATAGCAAAGGCTGGGACGGAAAGCTGCGCGTTGATCGCAGCGCTCTCCTACAGAACCCCGAGGCCTTGTCAGATCCAGAGTACTCAGACGACGAGAATGTCCTGCCCGGTGAAGAGCTCGCCGCTGACGAAGGTATGTATCCCATACATGACCGCTTGTGATGTCAGTTGACTGTGTGCAACCGCTGACACGCGCATTCCCATACAGACATCCTGAACGACGAAGACCCAGAGACAGAGGACATTGCTCTGATACAGGCACGCATCGGTAACATCCCAGCTCTACACCTAGAACGATTCAAGCACGTCGCCCGCCTATGTCTTCGCCAGAACCTTGTTCAGCATATTGAAGGACTGTCATCGCTGGGCTCTACACTTGAGGAGCTGGACTTGTACGACAACCTCGTCGCGCACATCAGGGGACTGGAGGACTTGACAAACCTTACCACACTAGACCTGAGCTTCAACAAGATCAAACACATCAAGCATATCGATCACCTCACGAAACTCACAGACTTATTCTTTGTGTCCAACAAGATCAGCAAGATCGAGGGACTCGAGACGCTTGTGAACCTGCGTCAGGTTGAGCTGGGTTCAAACAGGATTCGAGAGATCAAGAATCTCGACAGCCTCAAGAACCTCGAGGAGCTGTGGTTGGCCAAGAATAAAATCACCGAGATTAAGGGTCTTTCCGGCCTCCCTAAGCTTCGACTGCTCAGCATACAGTCCAACAGAATCAAGGATCTCTCACCTCTTCGTCAAGCTCCGCAGCTTGAGGAGCTGTATATCTCTCACAATGCTCTGGAGAGTTTGGAAGGGCTGGACGGCAACCCTAGTCTGCGGGTTTTGGATGTATCGAACAACATGATCCAAAGTCTCAAGGGTCTCGAACCTCTCAAGGAGATCGAAGAGTTCTGGGCCAGCTACAACCAGATCGGCGATTTCAACGATATCGAGCGGGCGTTGAGGGATAAGGAGAACTTGACAACGGTCTACCTTGAAGGTAACCCGTTGCAGCTCAGGCAACCTGCCCTGTACCGGAACAAGGTGCGTTTAGCATTACCGCAAGTACAGCAAATCGATGCAAGTAAGTCAACCTTGGACCTACATACCACGCTCATAGTCCATGGCGACTAACACAAACCACAGCATTTGTCAGAACATCTTAGGGCATCGGCGTAAACGGGATTCATCGAGCTGGTTTGTTGCATAGCTGGGCGTTCAGGTGTGGCTTTTCTTAAGCATGATGGCACGTTGAATGCGGATTACAAGCAAAAGATACGCATGGCTCACGCCAGAGTTTGCCTCAGCCTCTTTCGTTTCGTGCTTATCGGGTTGTAACTGTAGTATAACATACACAACCAGGCCAGTCCAGATCAGGCTCTGCCACATGTGCATGATAAGGAACTATTTGGCTCTAGTATACACTGCCAATACCCCACCAGCCTCAATATGGTTTTAGTGTGCTTCTCAACCGAAGATCCACATCTTCTGCGTAGGGAAGTAGTTGGAGGGCTGGTTGAATCGGAGGCCAGCGTCCTTGGCCGAGATCTTATCAATGTCCTCCTGGTCCAAATCAAAGCTCGTCGCATCCAGGTTCTGCGACATGATCTCAACGCGGCTGGTCTTGGGAATAACAGCCAGCCCACGCTGCGTTGCCCAGCGCAGCAAGACCTGCGAGGGCTCCTTGCCATGCTTCTTCGCAATCTCGGTGATCACGTCATCCTTCATCAACGGCACCAACGCCTCAGCATGCTTGAATCCGAATTCCAGGAAACTCGCTGGGCCGAAAGAGCTGTACGCCGTCACGGCGATGCCCTCCTCCTTGGCCAGGTTGAGCAGCTCCTGCTGCACGAGGTATGGGTGATGCTCGATCTGAAGCGTGGCTGGCGGGATGCGTGCATACCGCACCATGTCGTAGATGAGCTGGGCCTGGAAGTTGGAGATACCGATACTCTTAGCGAGCTTGGCGTCGACCAACCCTTCCATCGCGCGCCAGGTGTCCTGGATCGTGGTCTTCGACCGCACGATCTGGGACTTGCCGTCGTAGTGCCAGCCCGGCGGATACCGGACCGACGGGTCGACATACTTGAGGGCGCCGGGGAAGTGCACCAGGTACAGGTCGAAGTAGTCGACGCCCCAGTCCGACAGCTGCCGCTTCACCACGGGCTCGACCTGCTCTGGGTCGTTGAACGTGGGCCAAAGCTTGGAGACGATGAAGAGCTCCTCGCGCTTCACGATGCCTTCCTTAATGGCGCGGGCGACGCCTTCGCCGCACTCCTTCTCATTTCCGTAGTCTGCACAAAATACCACCGTGTCAGCCTTCCATTATAAGCGATCAGATAGTAAACTCTGTTGTATGTAGAGTGCTACACAAGTAAAACGGCACGGAAACTTTTCCAGTACGTGAGCCGCTGACAGCTTGGCCATCAGTGACTCCAGTGGAGCCTAGATCCGCCTCTCCATTCGTTGGACAGGGGTTCAAGCACCCTCCATCGCGGGGTAGTGCCTTGTGGGATAGAGGGGTTAAGTTCTAGATCAATTGGTTCGAGTCGTCCAAGTTAGATGTTCTAAGTCTTGGCGCTATGGCGACCACAACAGAAAGGAGATCGGTTAAGTCATGCAACGGGAGAGTGCGTACCACAGGCTCCGTCGAGTAACCTGTAACCGGTCTTGATGGCGTTGTAGACAGTATCGGCGCAGACCTTGTTGTCGACCTTCCATAGACCAAAGCCAACCTGGGGCATCTCATGGCCACTACTCAGCTTGATGGTTGGAGTGGTCATATTGGATGCTTGAGTATGACTATATTGTCTGAACTGCCGCTGATTCGTGTGTGTGTAAACGGGGGAAAGGATGCGTCGAGGACTCTGTGAAGTAGAAGATCTTATTGAAAGAAGTCGCGCCGAAGCACCGAGCAAACTGGCTCGCGGGATGAAGCTCTTATACATATTGCTGCGCATCATTGTTACTCTAGAGAGGGGGTGCATCCACCGGTATAATGGACAAGTGAAGTTGCAAGATACTATCTATTTCATGCGGCAACACAGAACAGATGACCGTTGGCGCCGAGCCTCCGGCTACCAAGGTCGACCTCCCGCCTCTACTATCCGGCCGCCGGGAACACATCAAGATACGCGGTGGGCGGATACATTCGAGTTTAAACGCACGAATCAATAACGAGCATTCTATACGCCATGTTTTAGATCAAGGTTGCGCCCATGGCCCGCAAGCAGCATAGCTCGGAGATCGATTAAGCTTGACAGCATCTGTGACGATCTAGAAGACTCTGCATGTCAGCGAAATCACGCGCCCGGGCAAAACGCAACGAAAAAGAAGTATCATGATGATACGGAGCTGCTCATGTGTGGCGGACAGTGGATCTGGCGCCATCGCAGTGACTTTAGCCTAATATCCGCGGGGGTTCGGCTACCGGTAGATAACCATCAAAGTCGCAGGTGCAAGAACTGTAGGCAAAGACCCTGCAGGACGAACCTAGATTGAGAAAAAGACCCGTCGGAAGTATACAAATGTGCGTAGTCATGTCAGTTCAAACTCGCCAGGCTCTGGTGGTATAGTAAGTATATAATATAGCCCGTGTCGCTGACTTGGATACTGTTTGTAGAGTTAGAAGTAAGGAATAAATAGCTCAAAGTTCGCCCCCAAAACCAGAAACTTGTCCATTATCATAATCAACTTTTTGAAAAAAAAAAAAAAAAAAAAAAAAAAAAAAAGGTTACAAATCCAACACCACTGCTCTTCCAAATTTGAAGCAATCGAACCAATGGTCTGTAGGGATTCTCTGCGTTTCTCTCTTTGTGGGAGGATTCGTTCGCTCAACAGGCCAAAGACCACTTCGGCTTCTGCATTGAACGCTTAGGTTTGGCTACTTGCTAGCACACATATAACTAGTGGTGTCCGTTCGAAGAAATATGAACACGTTATCCCAATTTTCAATCATGCCTTTGATCCTTCTTCAATTTGAAGCGTTATCACTGCTGCGCTAAAATCTGACATAGGCAAGGGTGAGCAGATTGGTGCTGTTGTTTGGGGTTTAGCGCAAATACATCAGCGGATGATGATAGGCTACCGATTTATGTTGTGGATTATGTAGTATTTCTATGCTGCAAATAACTCCAGGTCTGATAGGTGCTCCACCGCAGTCGCGATGAGGCTCAGCAGATGCGCGGCCGCTGGGGACTGTTCTTCCTACAAGAACGGAATGCATGCTGGTGTTATTCATGACAAGGTCCCCAACTCTTTTGGTCTGGCAAATATCATTCACGGCACGCAACCGTGTTTGTGCGGACACTATCGCCTAGGCCATGTTTGAAACTATGGCAAATACATTGAGTCAACCGCAACAGTGGCTGGCGATGCCAGAGCTCAGTGTAGCGGTTCCAGTAGCTGTCGCTTTACTGTCACCGTTTCTCTTGACATACGCTTATACATCGTTTCGATATTTCCTTGCACTCTACAGTGATGGCCCTACTCCAGCTACACCACCATATTTCGTGCCAATGCTTGGGCACACTATACCCTTCGGATTTGATACTGACCGCTATCTTCGATCCTTGAGGTCAGTCAACAGCCAAGCTTCCTTGGAGTGGAGTAATACTGATATGAGATACTAGGAGCCGATTTGGGCAAAACCCTGTTCGTCTCCTGGTCGGTTCTGATATCCTCACATTCGTGCCTCACGGGGAGATGATCCAAACACTTTTCAAATCTCGTGAAGTCAATGGAAAGGCCATGGCGATCAAGTCCATAAGTGCCTTCGGCTACAAAGGGGAGGATCTCAAGCTCCTTGACGCTGACAATTCCGGTACCCTACCAAGTCCGAACCCCGGGTTCGAGGACTGGCCGCCGGAAAAGCGCTTCTGGTTCACCAATTATCGCGCAATGCACGGTCTTCTCCAGGGCGCAACACTGGTCGATATGTTGTCCAAATTCATAGAGAAATACACTGCACGGGTCGAAGGCAAGGGTGTCGGGTTCGATGAATGGACAACTATCGATGACCTTTTTGGAATGATGAAAGATGACTTGTTCCACGCCGCGATGCAAGCACTATGCGGAGACCATGTCTTCGAGGTCGCACCTGACATGGCAGAGAATTTCTGGAAATTTGACTCCAGCTTACCAACTATCTTCAAAAAAGTCCCAAGGTGGCTTGCTCCAAGCGCACATGCTGCGAGAGACAGAGTTCTTGGGGACATCAAGAAGTACTTGGACTATGCCGACGAGCATTTCGATTGGAACAACGAGGAGCTCGTCGATTGTGACTGGGAACCTATATACGGCGCCAAACTCATGCGAGTTCGTCAGCAAATATTTCGGAAAATCGGGCAAAGGAAGGAAGCCGGTCCTGCGGCCGAGCTAGGCTTGATCTGGGCGTAAGCGTATAAAATCCGTCTCAAGTGCAAATAGACTAACTTGCTTGTGCAGCACAAATTCCAATGTGATTCCGACTGCTTTCTGGACCGTACTTGGGATCCTGAAGTCGGAGAGTCTCAAAGCGCGTGCTGTTGCAGAGATTGACGAAGCTTTCCAAGGTAATACGGCCATGGCCGCTGCTGAGAAGCTGTGCTCTAGCAAGCTGTCCATGTCAATGTAGTAAGTAATTTTCGAAGTTATTTCTTCCCTTTCTAGCATGTCTACGAAGTCGACAACGCCTATCAGAGGCAATTGATCTCTTTGCGACTGTTTCAAAATACTCTAAAGACCATTCAATGTTTCCTAAGGAACAATCACTGACTCAAAATGACGTAGCCACGAATCGTTGCGATATGCAGTTGGGGTTATGACGGTGCGTTCTCCAAACGCTGATGGTTATCGCATCGGGAGGTGGGGTTTCAAAAAGAGCGATATCCTTGTGACATCAAGCTGGGCAGGGCATAGAGACGAAACATTCTGGAACACAGGCAGAATCCTTCCGGATGGCACTGATGAGTATCCAGTAAATACGTGGTGGGCTGAACGCTTCCTTGAATACCCCAGTGATCCTGCCAGCGGGCCAGTACGCAAGCCTGACCCAGCGATATACCGCACTGAGAAGAAAGCCGTACGCACACATGAGGATGACAAGCGTGCAACTGTTGTGACAGCAGGCACAAGTGGACATTCATTCCCCTATGGAGGAGGCATCAAGATATGTCCCGGGCGGTTCTTCGCAAAAAACGAAATGATTGCAGGCGCGGCTATGCTTCTCAGAATGTATGATATCGAGCTGGTTGATCCCGTTGCAGCGAGTAAGGTCGGTCTCAATATGCACTTCTTTCCATTTGGTGCACTGCCTCCGGACGGGAAGGTTGCTGTAAGGATTCGAAGGAGGAAACTCTGATTTTGCTTATTGTGAAATCTCACTTCATCCATCTACCGTAATTAGTACGTGGGTAGCAATGTTCGAGAACAAAATGCATTCCACTTCAGCATAGGACAAATTCTTCACTATCTATGCCTGACCATTAATACACCTAGGCTGAGTTTAGGTTTGGGTATGAAATTTGCCTGTAAATACGCACTAGGAACTCAGAGTATTCGGACTGTAGATTATTTATCCCATGGTATAATTAAAAGTCTCAGATGCCATGGGAAACTATAATGGAAGTGGTGATAATTATTCCCGGGTATGTCGGATCCGGATTCCTTGATCGAGTTTAGCGAAAAGCGAGCCTCGCTTAAGCCCGATGGCACCGATCAGTCCGACGTCATAAATAAGCACGTTCGGATCATGGTTGCAATCGTATATATGGCTACGATAGTCACAAGATATGCAACGTTTCTGAGCAACCTCTGAATACATTTCCGAAGACAATACACTGTCTTGATAGCCTACATCGAAAATTGCAACCATGGTGACTACCGACGACAATATCAATGCTGTGCGAGCATTCACCCAGACTCGTGAGGATACGTACGAGTATATTTCCCCAAAGAAAACAGACCTTTCGGGAAAGTCTGTGTTTATCACCGGTGCGTCCAAGGGCATTGGTCGAGCCACTGCACTCAGCTTTGCAGCCGCGGGTTGTAGCAAGATCGCCATAGGCGCTCGCTCCGACCTTGCAAGTCTTGAAAAGGAAATCCACGAAGCGGCTCGGGAGGGGCCGCCACCAAAGGTTGTTGCTCTCGAACTTGATGTGACTTCTGAGGACAGCGTCAAAGCCGCTGCAGAGGCAATCGCCAAGGAGTTTGATGGGGCGCTTGACGTGCTTGTTAATAATGCCGGATACCTCGAAGAATGGCAGCCTATAGCTGATTCGGATCCAGCTGATTGGTGGAAAACGTGGGATGTCAATATAAAGGGCACTTATTTGTGTTCAAAGTATTTCATCCCTTTGCTTCTGAAGAGCAGTCTCAAGATCAATATTCTCACTTCATCGTATGGTGGCCTTCGGCATCATCCTGGTGCTTCTGCCTATCAGACTACAAAGTTCGCAGTGAGTTATTTCTATGATATCCTTCTGTTTGGAATGAACTGAAAAATCGAAGGTCTGCCGATTGGCAGAATTCCTGAATGCCGAATATGGCGACAAGGGACTTGTCTGCTTCGCCATCCACCCCGGCAGTGTGAAGACGGAGTTGGGCTCTAGCATGCCCGAATCAATGCACTTTCTTTTGACTGATACGGTCCAGCTTCCTGCTGATACCATCGTCTGGCTGGCAAAGGAACCGCGTGCATGGCTTGGTGGGCGGTATGTTAGTGTTGCCTGGGATATGGAGGAGCTTGAGGCCAAGAAGGACGAAATCGTCGCTAAAGACCTGCTGAAATTTCGATTAAATATATAAATCCATCGGTACCACTGGAAAACTGATGGTACTGACTTATATGTACGCTCCTACTTGTGCTTTCATAAGCAAATTTGATGAAGGCGTGGTTCAACGTAGGTGCAGGCAAGTTTCGCTCATTTCATTGTGTTCGTAGATACACCATTGGGTCTGCCCGAGAGCAATGTCGTTCTTCAGAACAGCCGTCTCAAAGCAGAAGAAAAGTGCCCGCACCCCTTTAGAAAGGATGGAGAATGACAGAGCGTGGTCCAACTTCCTATTGTCTTTTCCGCAAAGGGAAATACCCGAATGAAGGCGGCGATTACATACGATAAACGCAAACTCTTCTAATGATGTCGTCTATACGTATTGGTATCACTACATTATGGACATTGGGTATTTCTATACAGCTGCCAGCGCACTAGAACTTTGTCATCCCAAAGAGCAATGGGAAATACTGAGCAACAAGCGACTGCAGCGGTTGGGTCATGTACCGGGCCAGCGTAGTTTATGTTATATCATTAGCAGGGCTCGAGTTATATTGATCGTCTAAAGGATGAAGATCAGAATCGGATGTGACAAGTGCTACAGGGTCGTTTTTGCTACAATTGGGTACAACATGGCATACTAAACAATATCCAGCACTGGAAAGCCAGGGTTGATTACACGTGTCCGGTTAATAAAAAAGATAAAGAACAAAGATAAAGAAAAAGCAATCGCCACAAAACTGTCTAATGCGAACATTTGGTCCCGAATGGTAGGTTCCAACCATCTACTTCTAAATTGTCTCCTTTTTAATCCACAGATAGGATGAGCATTTCAGTACTCCGTAAGCCGAGGCGGTGATTAGGATTATCACACAGGCGGCATGCAACAAGCTGAAGTTGTGAGCTATCAATCCGTTTTAGATCTGGCTGATCATCATGGAGCAATATCCATCCGTACTTTTGAATGATCATTTGCAGAGGTACATATTGGACAGACATATAATTCGTTAATACAAAGCAGGACACGAGGTAAGACTGTCGATCGACAGTGTTGAAACAAAGCAAATTCAGTAAAGATGTACTGTTCAAGTTGTTGGTCTGGACAAGTAGAAATGCGACAGAGACTGGATATTATGATGGATTTTGACCTCGGTTTTGCGAAATCTCAGAACTGGAATGTTGTTTCCTAACACAAAATACCTAAACATTGCTTTCTCGCAACGCTATCCATACAGTGGCAATCAACGCAGAGGCGAAGGCGATCTACTCTTCATCGTCTTCATCCTCTTCGTCATCATCTTCTTCAGAGGACTCATCGTTCTCGTCCATGTCAACATCCTCGTCATCCTCCTCCTCTACGCCATTGGCAGCCAGCGCCTCCTCCTCCTCCTCCTTCCTCGTCTTCTCGTCATCCTTACGAGCTTGCTCTAGCATCTTAGCCTTCTCAGCTCCCGCCTTTCTTTGGGCAACGACGTAGGCACCAATAGGCGTTTTCTCCCACTCAAAGTCCTTGAGGAAAGCGTCAACCTGTGCTCTGTCTTTGGGGGCAAAATCAACCTTAGCCCGCTTAGCCTCAATGAACTTGGTGTTGGCCTCTAGCTTTTGCACTATAAGCACCAACCCAGCTCGGAGCTTGTTGTTGTTATTGCCAACCTTCACTTTCCGTGACTGCTTGAGCCATCGCTTGAGCATTATTATGACAGGTAACGCGAACTCGGGGAAAGCGATATTCGTCGACCAGAGCACGAAATATTCTGAAAATAGTTCCACAAGTTGGTCTCCAAGGCCGTCTTGGTATACACGTGTCCTCAGGTAGGCCTTTGGTGCCTTGTAGTTGACATGGAAATCCAGAGGCTTGTGAGTAGCAGCCTTGGGTGATTTCCGCATCTCCGCCGAATTGAGGACCTCAAGAAGTGCAGAGGCCAAAGGAATATAGGTTCCAGTCGATCTCGAGATACGAAGCAGTGATCGAGTCATGTGAAAGCGCAGCGGGAAGTAAATTGCTGTGGGGATAAGTCGCATGGCTCCCAGAGTGACCTGAACCAAGGGATATACTAGCAGTCTCAACTGCGATTCTTTTCCAGCCTCGCTCTCCTTCAAAGGATTACAGTGCTCTGATAGCACACACGACCAGAAATCGAGTGAATGCACATACTGCCAATTGTAGACATTCCTGAAAGAGTCGTTCTTGTTATGTACAATACTGTTGCGCAGGTGAATTGCCAGTTGACGAATGAAACTGAACGCAGTCGTGTATCCGATGCCTTGGTCAATGCCCCAGAGCTCAGCTGCCGAGTTCTTCATCAAGTTGATGCCTTGAATGGTGTTGACGTTAGTGACACGAGCTCCAGCAACCAAGCCTTGATATGTGGCTTTCAGCACCGCTTCACGGATACCCTTGTCGCCGACAACCACCAATCTTCGCAGAACCAGGAATGCAGTAATACGGGTCGAGTCGCTGCTGGTAGACTGACTCCAATAATCGACAACTGTCTTGATGAGGTTCTTCAGTAGCTTACGAAAACTCAAAAGATATGGCACTAGGGGAGTGAGTGCGGCGAGAGTCAACTTCAATGTAGCATCATCTGACAGAGTACCAAGCAGGTGCAGAATCGCAGAAGTAAAACTCTTCAGTAGCAAGGACAAAACCTTGAACTTTTTAGAATCTGTCGGCACGTGCACCTTTCCAGAAGCTGTCTCCTTGATCGGAACGTGGTGCTCAAGCACCTCTGGAATTTGTTTCAGTGCGACAATCAGGATATCGTGGAAGGCTTCCGGACTGGAGATGGAATAACGTTGAGTTGTGTGGCCCTCCTCGTCCGTGTCGTTAAGGTGTGCGGCAGATCGGAACGCAAGGACAACCTGTCTTGCGGCTCTCAGAGAATAGTTCTCAGTCAAGGCGGCTTTCCATTGGGCGACCATTGCTTGCGTCAGCTCATCGGCGGCGGTGTCCTCCTCAAACTGGTCGTTTGATTCGTCCTTTTTGGCAGCCTTTTGCTCCTTCTTCTTCTTCTTCTTTGGTGGCTCTTCCTCGCCGGCGCTTAGTTCGTCGACCTCGGCTAGATCGGCGTTATCAAACTCCAGAGCTTCGGGGTCGTTCTCCTGCAAGAATTTGTAGAACTCGGGGTCGTCTTTGGCCAGGGCGTCCATGGCCTCTTTGCTCATGCCACCAAGTTCCTCTTCGTCGCCCGACTCATCATTCTCGTCAACTGACTCCATGTCGGAGCCGTCCTCATCTTCGGCTCCATCTGTGGGATCATTTCGCTTTCGCTTGCCCAGCTTCTTGGCGGCCTTCTTTCCGGGTTGTGGCTTGTCGATGATTTCGAAACCACCGCCAAAGAAATCGTCGACGCTCATCTCGCCGACATTGGCAGTCTTTGAGTCGCGCTTCGGCTTCTCTGAGTCTTCGCCGTCGGCGGGGCCCTTGATAAACTCTGCATCTTTTGTGCGTCTGCCCTGCTTCTTGGCTTGAACCTGTTGTCGTTGCTTGACCTTGGCGGCAGCCTTTCTCTGGTCTAGGACACCCTTGAGATGTTTCGACTCGAATTTCTTGGTCGCCTTGAAGTTCTTCTTTGCGCCAGCCATTGTGTTGGTAAACCGTATGCAGTTACGGTGGCAGGCGGTGGAGGGGACTTGCTGCGATGTTGGATGTTGGATGTTGCGCTACCAAAGTGCAAGTTCGATTCCTCTTTCTATGAGCCGAACCAAAAGTTTCAAAAAATTTGGGGTTATCAGTTATCGCTATGCCGATTGCTTATCTAGATAAGCATTAGCGCCCCCAGGTACGTACTCTGCGTAACCGCCCCGCGGAGCCAGTGTTCCACCTCCCACCTCACTCACTGGTGACTGGCAGCCTGAGCTCAGGTCGGCGACTGCCTAAGTAAACAAGTGGAATTTGATAGTTGCAATTTCGCTGAATATCTGACCGATCATTCGCTCCCGAACAAGGCGTCTCATCTATACGAGACAATCTGGAATAATCTGCTCTTGATTGGGAGGAAGCAAGATGATCTCCCGACAGGCATACGCTCCGACTCCTCACAGTTATGTGCCAAACACAACACTGTCGGCGACCATCGACTTGGACGAGGTATGTTCCGCATTGCAACTTCGCGCCTCTGGCACTGACCTTTGCAGGAGGTTAAACTTGCAGAGACTCGAGCTGAAAGAGACCTGCAAGACTCCCTAGCTGAGATATTCTCCATCATCATAACATTAGACGAACTTGAGAAGGCATTCCTCAAAGATGCAATACCTGAGGCGGATTACACTGAGATCTGCGAGCGTTCTTTGAAGCAGTACAAGTCCATATTAGCAGATGATACTGTGGCCAAGGCATTCGTAGGCTTAGACGAGTTTAAAGCTGAGTGGGACCTCGAAGTTCCTCGAGCGACAGAACGATTGAAGGTCGGCATGCCATCTACAGCTGTCAATGCTTCCGCAGGTTCGGCCCCGGCGCCTGCAGCAGCAACGAACAACAAGTCCGGGGCACTTATTCTCGAAGCCACTCAAGACTTCATCACCTTTTTAGATGCCCTGCGACTGGGTCTCCTCGCCAAGGATCAACTTCATCCATTGTTGACCGATGTGATTCAGAGCGTCAATAAGGTCACCGATCGCGATTTTGAGAACCGAGGCAAGATCATCCAGTGGCTGATCACTTTGAATCAAATGAAAGCGACCGAGGAACTAAGTGAGGAGCAGTCTCGAGAATTGGAGTCCGACATCAACTCAGCATACCTGGGATTTAAGAACATCCTCACTTAGTATGCGTGTTATCCAGGTTATATGGTATCGAAGATCACACCAATTAAATAGGGTCGTACCTCAGGAGGACCGACAAATGTACGAGCTTCGAGGGAATGTGAAGACGATTCTGCACGCTCCGAACTAAAGTCCGGAAATATGACAGAGGTACGCTACTTATTCGTCAAGTGGGCGGCAAACCATCTGCTGGCCATGAAAATATTACAGGCTTTAAGCAAAAACGAGTGTGATGTATTTCGGTGTATGTGTTGCATACCCTGATCTTCATCGCTCACGTCTCTCGACCTACAATGAAGGGTTGGTACTCACATATTCGAAGTACCGCGACAATTGTGGGAATAGTGCCGCACTTTGAGCCAAAGCGTTGTAAATTTGCACACTCGGTAGAGGTACTGGGACGTCAAGGGTGTATAAGCATCGAACATCACGTATGTGTCCCAATTAAACCTTCGGATCAAGCTCCGTCACGCAATTTCAAACGTTACAGCACACTCAATTGTACTTGCTGCAATAAATTGGGCTTCGGTAGCATGGAACCTTACGCGTAGACGCCTATAAAGACTGAGTCTTGCGCATCGTTTCGCCCTGGAAGCGTAACCGAGCGTTGCGGGACGTTTGAATCTATTGATGAAGAGAACGAGGCTCTTCTGCAAAGGTGCAACGACGTACGCGGTTTTTGCTGGCAAAGCCTGGGCAAGTGGCCGCCAGAGTGGGCGGTTATGAATGGAATGTGACGACTGAGGAATTAAGATAGCCTACGAGCTCAGCATCGAAAAGACATCGATTCAGGGCATGATGAGCGAACCAGTAGCCCATAGCATACTGCGTGATCGGCACTGTAGACAAATATCACCAAGGCAGCTTCAAGTGATGAACCAGCCCTTACACCACATTTGAATAAGCTTCTCAATCACTACGGTCCCGCTACAGGCCTATAAGCGCGCAGAAGTTATCAACAAGATTCTCAAAGGATAAATCAGCGTGGCCGAGTTCGTCAAACGCCTCATGACTTAGAGCATCACTTTGAATCCTAACTCGAAGAGCTTTACAAAGATGACATTTTTGGCTTAGCCAGCATTTTGGACACCATGTTCCCCCCAAGGATGTTCGGATAATCTCTTAAACAAAGCTTTTGACATTTTAAACGAGGCTTGGAGGGATATCGTGCACAAGCCCATAGAGCATCAGCAAAGTCGGCATAGCTTGACAGTGATAGCTTTGGACAGCCATGATGAGGCCTGGGGTGGCGTTGTAGACAGATTGATTTCTGTCACATCCTCTACCGAGCCAGTATTGGAGGTAGTAATTGATCACGACGAAGACGCCTGGGGCAATGTTGTGGGCATGGCGATTACGAATAAAGATTGCCGAGCCACGTTGATCAAGAAATTCTCAGCGATGGCCCCAATAAAGCAGGGTACAATGCAGAAAAAGCTTTTGGATGATGAGCGTTTGATGAAGGACACCGCCAAGGTTCTGTGGGCCAATTCTGTATTTGTCAGTGAAGCTTTACGACACGAACGTTTTCGGGCGGAGCTGGTCAGAACTCCGTTACAGGACAAATATTTCAGGGAGCGTATCAAGGCTTAGATGAAGCGCAGATGTTATGATGAGCTTCGCGAGAAAGTGGTTCAAGACATGAAGCGTACGCACAACCGTAAGCTCCTGGAGGAAGCAAGACGACAGATTTTGGAGGAGCTCAAGGCGGAACAGTTGCAGACTTTGCGGGACCAACCTGTCCCGGAAGCTCAGTCAAGAGATGAGCGAGGATATCACGGTAGAGCTCAAGCGTGCCACCTACCAAGACTTTGCACGACGGGAAATGGGGACTCACCTAGGTACCAAGGCGGGGGCTGCACTGCGTAACAAGATTTGCAGAGTCATTGCGGAAGGGACAAGGCAAGACCCGCATCTAGCCCAGTTGTTTCTCCTGGATCAAGGAACAGAGAATCGTGGTCTATCAGTTCCGGTGATACTGTGGTATCGAACAAAAGAGTGTTGCATTCCGGTGCTCGCAAGAGCACGAGAAAACGAAGATAGGTGGGTATCATAGTTGGCTTCCTTGATGTGTACAAATAGTGTAGTTCCTAAATGGATCACATGCGCCTACGTGATAATCGCACAGAAGGGACGGTATACTTTGAGTAAATGATTTGTGATGAGTTGCATGGTCAACGACTCATAGGACCTCTCCCTGACATAAAATGTTAGTGATATAGAGTATAAGATGTTTACTTCGCATAGGTAGTATAATGAGGAGAATCCGGGGGTGGGGGCCCGTGCGCTTAGTGTCAAGAATGGCAGGGGGCCGCGTCACCAACGAATCCCTTATCGTCGTTTTACAGCAGATGCAGTGAGATGATTTTCTCGTCGACACCGGGTATGAGTCTAATTATACTCATTGTGTTATATCGTAGTTGTCGTCGTGGCTTTTGAAGCTGTGCAGTGTCCATAATGCGTACGACTTTCCGATTAGGAGTTGCTTCTGCGACTCTGAACTTTGTGCTGGGGTCGCTTGAGCAAATACCTCTGGGCGCTGGAACGACAACTGGACCGACACACGCGACAAATTGGAAACTCAACTTTTCCTCGACAGCGCCTTACCTCTTTTCCTCGGTGTCTTCATTACTGCAACAATGGGGAAACACTTTCTTCCCAAACGGGCACAGTATAGTGCCATGCGAGATTCCTCCGTACACATTATTTTATCATGGCCGCTTGGATAACGAGCCACCTCCCAGCCCGGAATGGCTAGCTTTTGATATGTGAGATGCTATATCGCCATTCAAATGTTCGAAATGCTAATGGTATCTCTTGAAAGTGAGATGTCGTATGGCATCATGGGCGGTAGTAAGCAGTTTTCAGAGTCATTTTCCACACTTCCAAGATGCCTATGGAATGTATTCACCTGAACAAGATAATCCAGCTATCCGTGATCGTTTCGCAATGCTTCCGAAACCCCTCCTAAACTATCATGGAGGAACAAGCACTGACTCCGAGTTATAGCGAGAAATTCACATATGTTCACTTACCAAACAACCAAGCCAGTCAAGGCGTTGTATTTTGATGGAGAATCGGCCACTTTAATGGGCTTGGGCCAGATGGATACACAAATGTTGCATATCTTCGGCAATATTTCAGGCCCGCCACATGATGGCTGGGGTCTATACGAAGAATACGCTCGTGCAACAGGTCTTTGTGATTGGCTAGAGTCAGCTGGTCTGAGGGGTGCCGGCTGGGGATACGAGGGTGTTATCCGCATGAATGCCGGCTTCGAGATGATCTGGTGTGATTTCACCAGTCCGAGCCTGAGACTTTTGACGCAACTCAATGTTACTGCACCGCAGCTGCCCGAGGAAGAGGACAAAGGTGAAAGCAACAGAGTGGCAGATGAGGTAGAAGTGGATCGAGCGAGCTCTTACTACTCTCTGCCTCCTGTGCCAACGCGAACAGATCATTCAACCGACCCGAGTGATCCACCCAAGCCGCCGAATTGGAGGGGTCAGTTCGATAGAGAACCGTTTTTAAGGTCTCAGGGCTGGGGCTGGTTCTCGAGTGCGACTTATCACTACGGAAAGTCCAGAACTAGTCCCGGGCTCGGAGAAGTGAGGGCAAAAGTTGACAACTGTGGCGTGCTGTCTTACTATTCACCTCAATTTACAAATCTGACCCGAGTGAGAATTGAGACTGAACAGGAACTCTACAACCTTACAAGTCGTGGCATTTGGAAAGGCGAAGGTTCAAATGGGAATCGATCGACCGCTCTCGACGAACTGAGGAGACGCAGGCGTTACCATCACTTGGAAGATGTGACTACCGCAGAAGCTCTGTCCATGCGCCAGAACTCCGAATGGGTGTTGAAGGGCTTGCTGAACAGTTCTCGCGAATGCTCCGGGGCTGATTGGGTATATATCAGCAACGAAATTACCCAAGATGCCGGCATGCATCTGAAAGAGCTAGAGAGCCTGATCTCTTTCTCAGAATACTCACAGAATACGACAACGATTAAGTCATGGCTGTCTGCGTTACGGTCCCGGAGCCACTCCTTTTACGTGGCCTTCCTGGAGTATCCGCCAAAGCATGACCCGTCATCGTGGGAAGTCGGCTCTCAGCTGTACCAGGACACATATTCGCGATGTCGCTACAGATATACTCGGTTGATGGCACCTTCTGAAGGCCTGAATCTTACCCCTGAAGAGGAAGACCTACGTTGGGCAATCGAAGAAACGTACGGCGCCATATGCTCTGTCCTGCTGAATATTGGCTTTGAAATCGAGGCTAATTGGGCCGAACATTTCAATCAAATCGGAGAGGATGCGGCACCAAGCAAGCCTCTTCCGTCGCATTACTCACAACTGGCTAGGACGTGGGATGACGGCGTTCAAGAGCTACTGGCCTGGCTGGGTTGGGAAGATGCGTTTGCCGGCTGCTCTGAGGTTTGCGCCTGGGACGAGCGCTGCTACATCCCAATGTGGCCGCTCATGGCCTGGGGTCGTGGACCTGGAGGTAGACACCCGCCCGGCAGAGGCAATGGGACGCACCCGCCACCGCAATACCCCCCACATGGCGGTCATGAGGGATACGGTCCATATGGCGATGGTCCACCGCATAGAGGTCCTGGCAGGCCACCAGGTGGGGGTCCAGGTGAAAAACAGCCAAGGGGCCGTGGTGGGTGGTCCATGGGAGATGAAACCCAATTGTGGCAGCCAACTTGTGCCAAAGCATCCCTTTTCATGGGCTCGTAAAGTAGATGGTAGATTGTTTTCCGCAATTCACGCACAGGATACCCGTAGAGATATACAAGTTGAATGGTCTGATATCTTATATTGTAAGCAGCCATTCGTTTTCGCCATCGCGCAGTTTGGGCGACCACAGCATATGAGAATGATGCTTCTCAGATCTTTCCTCAGCACAGTTGCTCGTAAGTGTCCATCCACAATGGTGAATTCACTGACATAATTTCCCCAGCCAATCCCATACGAACAAGGGTATCTATACGCTCTACTTTTTTCTTTATTGGAGGGTCGAAGCCAAGGACGTCGTATCCAATGCGGACTATGTTTTCATGTTGCCAACCTCATTGCAATGTTCAAGGCGCAGTGAAGAGTGCTCTCATAGCCTTGACAGCATCGCCATCATGGGCCTTCAATAGTTCGGTAGCTTTTGATTTCGGCAGGTCCAGTTGGTCCACCTAAAGAACATGTGGTGTTAGCTCTGTAGCTCACTGACTGTGCGAACGTTCCTGATGCCTCTTCTTCGCTGTGGACATTTCTTCCGGAAACACGTTGTCTCGCGACACAATGACTTACCAATAACGTAACATCGGCAGCATCGATCTTCACCTTCTTGACCTCGGTCTTGGCGGCACCGGCACCACTGCCACCCAAGCTCAAACCCTTCAAGGCGTCTTTGTCTACCTGGGCAGAGCCGGCGTCGTCGTCGTTGTCGTCGAGCCGCGACATGGCAGCAGCTGCCTTGCGGTCCTCGGCGGACTTGGCCTGGGTGACCTCATCCTCGACGTCGCCAGTGGTTGCGCCCTCGTGAACGTTGGGGGGTTGAGGCTCAGCCATTGTTCTGGTGGTGTGGGTCGCTCGAATGGAGACGGCAAGGGTGGGATCGTTACGTGAGACGAATTACTTTGTCTGTCAATGTGACTGTGTGCTTTGTCGTGCTGCTTCCTTCAGCTACTTGGGTGAAGCCGTGCCAATGGGCAAAGCAAAAGTCGGGAGATATCGACAGCCCACCTGCACCAACAGCACACGTTGTGGTGGGGCTTACTGTAGCTTACTAGGCGGGGGCACTTCGAACCCCCACCAAGCTGCCTATTCCGTACTGGCAAGCGCTGTAAATAACTGGAAATTGGTTTGTTCTAGCAGGGGTCACAGTGCAGGGAGGAAGAGACACCTTTTACTTGTGTAAGCACATACTGTAGCTTATGTTGCAAATACTCGTCTCACCACCTAATGTTGACTCATAATGTATATTGGGGTTCATGATATCATGTCCAACATTCGCCCTTAAATCCTGCCCCTCCTCCTCCTCCAACGTGTATCTTGGTTATCACAACCCGCAGTCTTTGTTCGATTCAACCCTCGGTGGTTCCTGTAAAGCTCAAATCTCACACGCGTCTGGCATTTCCCATCCTGCTCACTCCACTACAATTCCTACTACTGGAGCAAAGACCTTGGGAGCACCCCTACACCAAGTGACGAGTGACGTTGCGATAGTGAAGCATTTCAAAATCAGAAAAGTGCCGCTTCTTCCTAATTGCTACTTTATTGGGATTGGAATCAGTTGTAGTGTCTTTGCATCTTGAAATATACCGCAACTCGCAGTTACACAAACCTGTTCGGTTAGCAATATCTTGCACCAACCTGGGAAAATGACATCAACCAACGGCACCAGCGGCCACGCCAACGGCACCACTGCCAACGAATGGACACCAGAGTCCTGGAGGACAAAGCCGGTCAAGCAATGCCCTGAATATCCAGACATCAAGGCTCTGCGGAAGGCCACCGGCGAATTGGACCACCTGCCTCCCATCGTTCATCCGCATGAGATCAACAAGCTGAAGCAGAGTCTGAAGGAGGTCGCCGAGGGGAAGGCCTTCCTTCTGCAAGGAGGTGATTGCGCAGAGCTCTTTGACTACTGTCGCCAGGACGCCATCGAGTCCAAGATTAAGCTCTTGCTGCAGATGAGCTTGGTTCTCATTCGGGGTACTAACCGAAAGGTCGTGAGAATTGGCCGCATGGCTGGCCAGTATGCCAAGCCCAGATCCAGTCCCTTTGAGACGGTCAACGGACAGCAGGTCCCATCTTTCAGGGGTGATATCCTGAACGGCTTCAAACTTGAGGACAGAGAGCTGGACCCCCAGAGACTCGTCAAGTACGATGACGCCTTTCTCCCGTACCTGAATGCGAAATACTAATAAGATGTGTACAGAGCCTACAACTACTCAGCAGCAACGCTGAACTACATCAGAGCTGCCATCTCCTCCGGCATCGCTGACTTGCACCGACCCCTGAACTGGGAGCTCGGCCACGTCAAGGACTCGGAGCTCAAGGTCAAGTACCTAGAGGCTGTCGATTTCATCACGAACGCCCTGCGCTTTATGCGTACCATCGGCGCGGACAAGGCGCACGATTTAGAGACCGTCGAGGTCTACACCAGCCACGAAGGTCTTCTGCTAGAGTATGAGCAGAGTCTGACCCGACTTCTGGCCAATCCCCGGTACCCTGCCGAGGGTGAATCGCAACGATTCGAGTACTACGACACGTCTGCCCACTTCATCTGGATCGGCGACCGCACGCGACAGATTGACCATGCCCATGTTGAGTTCTTCCGCGGCATTGCGAACCCCATTGGTATCAAGGTCGGCCCCACGACGCCCGTATCGGATCTTCTGGAGCTGCTGCGGACTCTGAACCCTAGCCGTGAGGTCGGCAAGATCACACTGATCACGCGGTACGGCGCGTCCAAGGTGCGGGATTTGCTGCCGGCGCACATCCGAGCGGTCGAGGGCAGTGAGTATAAGAAGACTGTCATCTGGCAATGCGATCCGATGCACGGCAACACGCGGTCTGTTGGCTCCGCAGGCATCAAGACGCGCCGCTTCGACGACATCTTCACAGAGCTGCAAGAGACGCTCGCCGTGCATAAGGAGGAGGGCAGCTACTTGGGCGGCATGCACCTGGAGTTGACTGGCGACGCTGTGACTGAGTGCATGGGCGGTAGCCAAAACCTCGACGAAGACGACCTATCGACGAACTACACCTCGTTCTGCGACCCTAGACTCAACGAGAAGCAGGCCCTCGAAATGGCTTTCATGGTGGCTGATCACTATCTCCAGGAGAACAAGGAGAGCGTGACTGAAAAGTAAAAGAAGTCGCTGATTGGCGGATCTGGTGTTCTTGTTGGGTTTATGCGAAGCAATAGGCGTTAGGGGATATGAAGACAAAAGTCTGGGATTTGAAAAAGCGTCCGTATGATGATCTGGGTAGTATGCGATTCGTGTCCAGAATATAAGCACTTGCTTCTGCAACTTTCAACAAGATCTTCATTGCTGGGTCTACATTGTGCCAAATCTCGACAAGTGTTTACAGAGGAGACTAATTGGAGTGTTAATGCCGCCACCTCTTGTATAAAATCGGTCTGGGTTTGCAAACACGGCTCAAGACGACGGCCAAGTACCCTTCGAACCGAGAAACAAACTAATAGGAGCCTGCTTATCCTCATGATCGAGCTCTAACATTATATGGTAGGAAGTGATCACTGATACAAAGAAGGAGTACAATTAGGTCATTCCCGCACCTGGCTTTGCCTTGTTTTAAAACAACGTGACCTATTAAAGCTGGTGAATCCCCTGTTCTTAGACCTCATCGTCACATATAGGGAGGCACACTGCAATATTTTGTTTAAGCAATGTTGCTTTTCGGGCGCGTATACTGTTTCTGCGGCAGAGAACGGGCTGGGAGAGGTCTCTCTTTGTCAATCCTCGTATATGTAAAACTCCGAGAAAAAGCAACAGCGGAGTTTGACGCCTTGACTAAGTGGTGTATACACACCATCAAAAAACACCACGAGGCGTTTGTTGTCACAGCGTTAGCGCCTTCCATCTTGCGAGCGCTAGATTCGGATTCACACAATGCATGTATACATAATAAACAATAGTGGAGTTTTGGTAACAAAAAAGAATGATTAGATTTTAAAGCTAAAAATGCATGCGTAATAAATGTAATATACAAGTATGATAATGTGTGATAGACAAAAGAATGCTGCATCCAGGAATCGAACCAGGCTCTAGCGCTTGGAAGGCGCTAATGATAACCACTACACCAATGCAGCATGCAACTCTCACGGAGGTGGTTGTCGATTTGAGCTTAGAATACTCTATGACATTTGCGCTCCTCACTAGCCGTAACAAGGAGCACTCCGGACTATACCCGACATTTGAAGTGGAGCCGGAGCTATGCGTTATAATAGTGTCACCACTCACAATTATGGGTTCGAACGCATGTATAGTAAGTAACACTATAAGGAACTGCATTCGTACTATGTATGTAGGGTCTGTTTACCGCACAGGCAACCGGTATTAGAAACGATAAGCAGAGCTGCTTCGGTCGCTGCTCAGGACCGCCTTCATGCTGCAACTGCGTTCGGGCGTGTGTACGTACCCCCGGGACTTTGTTCCAGACCTTGGGCCAACGCACGCGCACAGGTTGCCCCATGTAGCACCGATGGCAACGTGGGCGATAGTGGCGATCTAGAGACGCGCGAGACACGACGACTTGACTGGGGCACATCTATAATCAAAGCCCCCACAGCCCAGCGCGTTCACGAACGTAGATTTCACATTGTTTACCCCTCACGATCCAAATTGTCAATCTATGGAGCGCTCACATACCCCGTAGGCTATGTACCGGCCCATAGATGACCTCATCGCGGAGATTGGTGAGAGGCCTGCTCAGAAGAACGAGTGCGCCTACAAAGCTGATCGTACTCCAGGTCCGACAAGAGGATGGGAGCACAAGGCTGGAGTCGTCTCAGGGCCGAGAGACCTGGAACATCAGATCCTGTCGTATTCATTTCCAAGCCGTTAATATATTCTACTTTGACTTAGGATACTCAGTACAAAATTCAATTGCACTTTGGCTAAGCTATATATAAATCCTACCGTATCCCTCTCCGTAGTCAATGGTTCCTCGGTGCCGGGGCATCTTACTATTAGCCAGCGTGATAAAGCACCTTCGTGAAATAGGCCTACATTTGGAAAACTAACCACACACACACATATACACACACAAGATTGTGGTCGCTGCATGGGTGAGACCGACTGTAATAAACTCATCTTATCCTAGGTTAGAGCATTGGGTTCCCACCTAACAATCAATACCGAATTTACCAGGTCCTGGTAACGTGTATGATAATTGTGTGTCCGTGAGAGCTGTCAAAAATCAGGTTACCTGACATGATTAGTCGTGAGAAGTTCTTTAAATACGTGTACTTTAATGTGTTGGGAAACAGGTCCAAAGATATATCATATCTCCAGTCATCTTCGAGCTGTTTAGGTATAATTGAGATGGACTATAGAGTACAGGACTAAACACAATAGTCTTGAGTTTGGTTTTGTATGCCCGGTCACGAATGCCTTACGTTTTTGACCATATGAGCAATTGTGCCTTCAATCCGAGCAGCAGCGTAGCTTAGATTTTCATGTTTATGCTACGGCGCTTTTCACACGTCGGCGATGTGGCATTAATCCTGATTTGTTTCTTTTTCCGTCTGGCATGGCCTGGTTGCTTACCATCTACAGCCTGCCTTTCGCGTTCGGTTCCTTCCCAAGTCAGACCGAGATGACCTGAGCACCCTCAAAAGCGTCGCCCGCCTCCAGCTTCTGCCAGCCCTTGACAGCGCCGGCCTCGATACAGATCATGTTCTTGTAGCCGTCTTTGGGCTCAAAATCACCAATGCTGTTGGACTTGTCGACCCATGGGTTCCAGACAACAACATCCTCCAGATTGTCTCTCACGACACTGTACTTCTTCTCGTCACCCTCGTGGACGACTACGGGTTCTGAAGGACCCTTGACAGGAGTGTAGACGCGATCAACCTCGCCTGCAATGGTGATCGACCCTGATTGCTTCTTGGCCTTTGCGCCGTCGACCTTGTCCAGATAGTCGGCGTCTTCCAGACCAGTAACCGAGATCTTGTTGATATCGTTGATCTGGAGGTAGGTATGTAACAGGACTTGAACTTCGAAGGGCTTATCGTCCTGATTGGTGACGACGAGGCCTGTGCCTAGGTTGTCGGGGGTAAGGGTGACGCTGTATTGAAGCGAGAAGGAGTAGGGCCACAATTTCCTGGACTCATCGCTCAAGTTGGCATGACTAAGGCCGAAGTCGAGCTTCACAGAATTGTCCGAATTTCCAGTCGATTCCGACGTAGACGAACCCAGGAATTCCCAGGTCGAGGTACGAGCGAAGCCGTGCTGAGGTAGCTTGGATGTAGCGTCATGGTTGGGTGCCGTTCCGAAGACCTACAGTCGACAACGGTATGTGATTAATATATATGACTCCGCGTGGATTTTGTCTTTCTCTGACTGCGCATCCGCGAGGGGGAACGCGCCGTGAGAACATGTGTATCGTTCGCAGGGTTGACTCACGGGAAACACCAAGGGAATACCACCTCTTACGGCCTTGCTGCCGTCGAGCTTCGCACCCTTGGAAAGCCACAGCCGCTCATTGCCAGCGCGGCCCTTCCAACTGATGACGGTCGCACCGTACAAGAGGACCTCAACGCTCTCTCCGGAGGGAAGTACAGCGCTCACTCGGCTGTTGTCGTGCGTGATGTTGACCTGGGCCTGTGGAGGCAGACCCGGTGTCGTGGCAAGAGCGGCGGGCTTGTTGCGGCGGTCGACCATTTTTGCAGATGTCTGAATCTGAATATTCTGGGTATGCAGTCGATTGAAGAGAGGATTCGCGTGCTGGTCAGAAGATTGCACACGAGATGGCCGTGTTGTTTTCGATTCGCTTATCGTCACGGGCAAGCTTACAGTTAGTTGTGTTACAGCTGTGACGATGGTGGGGCTTGGTGATGTTTGAGGTTTGGCGGGGTGATGTCGTTGCGGGGTCAAGTTACTGCAGACCAATATGGAAGCAAAGCAAAGCAACCTTCAGCAAAAGAAAGGAAGGAAAGGAGACGAGAGGTTCCCAGAGCGTGGAACCAAGGAGGCAATGGAGAAGGACGGAAGCAATCACGTCCAGGCAGTAAAAGTTAGCGGAGTTCTCATACTATCCCCGTCCGGATAGATACGTCTTTTCTTCTTTCTTGTCAGTTGAAACAACAGCCACGGACAAGCTTCTCAAGGGAGTGTGACAATGTCTGATCTGCTCATTAAGCCCCGAGATTCCACAATGGCGGGGTAAATCGCAATGCTGCCGACGTAACTTGCAGAGCCTCGAAGGGTGTCGTTGAGGCGCCGGGCCAAAGAAATCATATCCGTATAGCGAAAAAGAAGCACACGGCTGAAGGCCTTGCATCTGCTTGTCCTGTCACTGGCCCATCGGACGTCCATTTGCTGATTGTTACATGTGTCCTGCATGACCTGAAACACGAAACACAGGCGATGAGCACATGTCGGCAGCAAAGGCCCCTTCGACTCCATCAAGGTCGCATTGCTTATTCCGTGCCAAACCAAACCAAACGCTGTAACCACGACCCATCAAACCAGATGTCCTGGGTGAAACCAATCTCCTGACTTTAAAAACCATGCCTGTCAGGCTTCAGCACGCGTGTACTTCGGCCTTGGGGCCGTCAACACCAGTTTGATCCAATTGAACCGTCTGGCGGTCGACTTATGGGTACTCTCGCTTTTCATTTGAAGCACTTTCCGACCTCAGTCATTCTAGAGGTTGTTCCATATTATACCATGGGAAGTGCAACGACGTTGGGAACAAGGTTGCTACGATGCCGTGACTTTTGTATGCGCTACTTGAATGCGGTCTTTCATCACGAAACCCTGTCCAAGGTTAGTCGAGAAGACTGTATTTGGATCCACTGGTGGCGCGACATGTTTCTACATGGTCACCAAGTTCGGGCAGGAGGCAAGAATAAGCCGATGCGATGCAACCTAGAGAGTTCATTTCGCAGTGCTTGTAAAAGTAAAGCCATTGCCTTCAGAGGCGTTCTATTCCGCAGACCAAGTCATGATATCCTGAGCAATGCCACCATAACTCCGCGCCAATGCAATATCCGTTCTGGTACACACATATACAATTCCCCCTCGTAGTTTAACAACATGCCTTTTCCACATGAACAATAAAAAGCATTGCCTTGTCCAGTATAGGTCTATTTCCGACCACGGAACTCCGCGTTATAGAGCTCCCTCTTCAAATCCATAAACATGTCCTCCACTTCATTGACGTCATCTCGTGACAGCGCTGATGTGCGCAGCAAGGCTAGGCTGCCTCTCAAGCTATCCATGATTTTTTGCCTCGTTATGCTTTCGGGTTGGGAAGCAACTGTTGCCTCCCCTTCCGCAATGTGAACGCCTGGTGAGCTCTCTTGGCCAGCTCTTGCGCTATCCATTGCATGCACTTCCTCCATAGTTATATCAGCCCCCGGGGCCATACGCTGCGAGTCGTCTGTCCTGACTGGAGCCGCCAGGGGCTCCACGATGGACATTTCGTCTTGCGTGTTTTGTGAGGCTTCTTGCACAATCTGCATGTTCACAGCTTCGAGCTCGTCCATTGAATTGTCTGCGGAGTCAAGAGTATCAGAGATCGGGCTCGACCCATCAAGATACCGACTCTGGTCTGAAGATTCTTGCAAGAAGCTTGTCGGCCGTTCTCCGCCAATACGTTCGGAGAGTTCCAATGATGCGACTAGGCTGAATGTCAGATGTTGTCTCGACCATTACATCGGATACGGAGGGCTTACTGTCATTGATCGGAAGAAGCTGGCTACCAGGTTCGATATCTATTTCGAGCTCTCGACTGTGCCTGCGCTTCTTATTACCGGATTCCTGAGTTTTTCCTCCGCCTCGCTTTCTTTTCTTCTTGGGTATCTGGTCCGTTTCTTGTGGCAAATCGGCCTCAACAGGCGTCGGGGGCATAATTGGCAACGGCTCGCCGGATTTGGACTTCTTGGTTTTCCGGTTCGACTTGTTAGATTTCATGTTCACAGCAATGCAGTCCAGTGAAGGCGAACCACCCCGGTCCTGTGACGACCGATCGTGTTCGTCTAGCTCGGCATCTACCCTGGTTGCGTCCGACGGGCGGGGATCGCACTTTTGCGAGTCAAGCTCGACAACAAGACGCAAGAGACTTCGCTCATCAACATCACTGGCGTCAAAGGAGCGGTCCTTGGGCTGAGATGCTTGTGAAAGCTGTGTGGACGCAAGCTGAGAAGCTCTAGCAAGTGCCCGCCGATCCCGAGGTGTGCGTGGATTAGGACTCGTCAAAGCGTCAACGAATACCTCGTTGTCCGACTTCGGAGTCTCCTGTGGCTTTAACTTGAGAGCCTTCGGGGGCGTTGTAGATCTCAGAGCAACAGGTGGCAGTACATCATTGCTGTCCTCCTTACCCATCAGAACACCATCTGCTTCGTCCTCAATTCCACCTTGTTCGTTTTCATCACCAATAAGTCTTCGTCGAGACTCTTCGTTGATCCCATTGGTAGCGGCGTCACGGTCTGGAAGATCTCGAACTTGATGCAGGCTCCCGACGTCTGCTTCGTTTGAGGTGGATGAGCGATTATGTAGTGGCGACCCCGAAATGGGCGAGGACGTGAACTGCCATTCATCCAAAACACTACTACTGCTGGACAGCGGCTTGTTGATCTCAGGTACAAGCGGATAGCGACGGGGGTCCGGGGGTGACGACGGTATATCATCTGTCATCTCGTGATCATTGTCATCCACAAGTACAGCCTGGCCCCGCCGAGGTGTAGGTGTTGACGACACATAGTCCTCAAAGCTCCGGTGGGATTTGGGAGTAACAGCTTTCTCTGGCAAAGAGATATCTGGGCTGCTCGCCTTTTTAGAGCTATGCAGTTCTGTGCTGCCTTTTTTCACACTCGAGCGCAACTCAGAGAAAAGGGCAGCATTGTCATGCTGTTTCTCCCTGACTTCCCTTTGTCTTTCGGTCAGAATTTGAGATTCATCAGAGGTGTGAAGTGGGGAAGATGATGCAATTGCGGCGAATTGAATCTGCGAGTCATTATGCTTGAGTCGTGGTGTTGCGCTGCGTCTAGCAGACTTGAGCCGGGAAACTCGTGGCGTCAACTCTAGTTTCTGCTGGCTGGAAGTGGGGACAGACGGCTTGACATTCCGCGGAGTATTCGATCGTGAGCGTCTAGATGAGGATCTTCTGTCCGCTGGAGGACTAGCCTTCGAGACCGTCTTGATTGCCGGGGCGGCTGCTTCAAGGTCATCCTGCGAGTTGATGAACACAGGTTCCTGCCCAGTAACCTTAACGTTTGCAAAATCGAATCCAGGTAACACAATATCGACATAAGGGTGTAGTGAGAGAAGCACAGCCTTCAACCGCTCAGGGTATTGAACCTCGTCAGCTTGCTCAAAGGCGCGATTCCACATAACAGTGACAGTGCTAACAATTTGTCTGTGCCTGCTTTCGAAGGCTGAGCACAACAGCGGCTCGATAGTGTCAAGTTGAACCTGCTCCAAGTTATCTGCCTCTATAAAGATATTGCAGATACGGGTCCAAAGAAGCTTGACCTAAGATGAATTAGCAATTGTGACACAATAGAAAGTCTGTACTAGTAGACTTACAGCTTCAGATACATGAGCAGACTGGTGGTTGTTGTATCGTGCCTCTTTGTCCTGAATCCAGAATCCAATGCTGTCTTGCAAGCTGACCAAAGTTTTAAGCACGAGGAGTTGATTACATCTTGATAAGAATCCAGCAACCTCCGTTAGCAGAGGCACCACAATACCTTCAGTTTCGAATTCGCTGTAGCGCTGATACGAAACTGTGAGAAGGTGGTTGATTAGCTTGTACAGATTGTCATATATATCAAAGGAGGCAGATCGTGGGCCAGAAATGGACGTGCCCCATAGCCGGCGGCGAGCAGCCTCAACAGCTTGACGATCCCGAGGTTGCTTGGCGACAGAGATAATGTAGGTGCCAAATCTAAACAGGTTCATCGTGTTGCTCGACTCGAGGCTGTTAGCCAAGATGTCTAAAACACTCTTAGACAGGGGTTCAATAACTGCTAAGGCACAGCCAGCCTCTCCAGTTTCATTACTAGCTCGCGTCACAAGAATTTGGAATAAGGATTGCCATTTAGTCCAAGGAAGGCCGGGTGTTGACCTCGCCCCCTTTTCCAGATGGTTGATAATCTCACGATATCCATGGCCGATCGGAGGTTGGCTAGTGGAACTACTCGATGAGAAGCTGGTCTGGCTACTCTGTAGGGACTCGGATAAAATATTGGAGATGGCCACCCACGGGCCAGAAGGTGAGATGGTATCCATCGGGAGTGAATGCATCAATTCGTAAGCAAGATCGATCTTGGCTTTGTGAGACCTTGAGACCAAAAATGGTGCTAGCATGCTCTGAACAAGGTTTGCAAGGTCATCGTCGTCTTTCGTATTGGGTGGCAGGGATGAGAGTATTGAGAAAAGATGATGCAACGGTGTTCGGGTAACTCCTTGATTCTTTCCGGGACGATGCGAAGGCGTCGCTACTGGGACGAAAGTGTTTTGTGTACCCATGGAGAGCTGCTTCTCAGTGAACGGTAATGGGCCCAAAGAACTAACAAGTGTCGAGATGAATGCGTGTGTGGCTTTATAAAATCTTTGCGAGGTCTCCTCACCCTCTTTTTCGCGAGCCAAGCCTTGTGACCATAAGCGAAAGAGGAAAGTAAGAGTGTGAGCCATGAAGACGGCTGTATCGGTAGACACCTTGACTTCCTTGCTGGCAGCAACTGCAACACTGCCCACGAGGGTCTTCCAGAGCTTAGCGGTAGCAGACCCCTCGTCGGCCAGATCCAGGTATGTCTTCGTCAGAAGAGGCCCTACAACTGAGAAAACCTTTGATGCATTCCGTCTTACCCATTTTGGATCCAGAGCAGGCAATTCATCTGCCTTTACCAAAGGCGAATCTGCGATACGGTCTTCTTTCCAGATTCGTGGCGTCGTCGAGTTGAATAGTGCCGTTAGAACTTGGGTAGCCTGAGGGATCTGATTCTGCCAAAGAGATGGAGTTGCGTCCGGGGTCTTGGACAGCAGCTCGGGGCTCACCATGGGGTTAATTAATTGTGGAATGCATGAATCCCAAAAGTTGCTGATTTGATCTTCACTGGTGTTGGGCTTGAAGGTGTAGTAGTAGAGATTGCAAAGACTACCAAGAACGACCCTCCGAAGTTCATCGCTAAGTTTCTTCCGCTTCAACTGGCTTTCATATGGCTGACGAATTGTGGCGATTACTTTCGAAAACGAGGGGTCGTGAAGCTGAATGCAATATACAAGACGGTTCCAGGCGTAGAAGGCTTCGGACTTGGTTTGCAAGTCGACCTTGTTAAAACACACCTGTATAACTTCGAGCCAGGGACCGAAAAAGTCCCACTTGGTTACCGGACACCTCAGGAGAAGGAGAATGACACTCCAAATCTGGGGGACTACCGAAGAATCGTTTACGTCCTTGGACTTTGACATGGCCTTCAACCTTCCGACATAGTACTGAATGTATTTGGTATCGTCAACCGTAAGCTCTAAGATCTCCATGACCCGCTTCGACAAATGCTTGTCCTTGGCAATGGTGAAACTTGCCTCGAGTCCGAGGGCAATTGCGGTAGCGCGGATCTCTTTCATGCTGCTCAGCATGTCCGTGAAAAGATCGAGTAGCCAGTCTGCATGCGTGATCATATGGGGTTTGGATTGCTTGATCAACTTGCGGTATATAAGAATGCGAGACATAATAATGCTTTTGCCCTTGAGGTGTTCCTCGATGCGATGAAGAGATGACACCAAACGGCCCACTCGATCTGCGGACATTACTTTTGCAGGGAAATCCTGCGAGGCGACAATCTGCATAAGATGCCTCACAACGTCTTTCGGTACTGCAGCGTTTTCGAAGGACCGGATGCAGTGATCCATGATGAAAACGCCAAACTCATTGGAAATGGACGACGCAATAGCCGGGAAGTTGAGAAAGGTAATGAGCAGTGCCGATGCATGATTGCTAAGGGATGAGTCGAGTTCTCCCGTCTCATCAGAGACGCTTGTGACGTCTCGTTGTATGAACTGAGTGAACAAACTCATTTTGGCTTGCAAAGCAATCCTGTCTGGCAGGTTGTTGGAGGCCTTGAGGGCGCGCACAAGTACCGAGTAAGCATCCAATTTGGATGCTCTGTCGGTGCCAGCAAGCTGCTTTGTAGTCGACTCCAACATTGTAACAATATTCGCATGTCGGGTCGCTTCGTCGGTTCCCGCAGACGGGTCGAGTGGGTTGAGGACTGCAGGAGGCGAAGGTTTGAGAATGGACTTTAGCGGCCGAGGAAGATTTGCCGTTGAGGATGCAGCAGCAGGAACAGAAGCAGGCGTTGGCTGTTTTCGTGCACCCTTGAGGTATGTAGGGGCGTCACGGTATTCGGCCTGGCTTGAGAAGCCAACCTTCTTGCGTGTCCTGCGTGAAGTTGGGTTGGACAGGTCTGATGAATACGGCGAGTAGTCAGGAGGTGTGTGTAGACTTCGTCGAGGATCGAGGGATGGGCGGCTCAACAGTTGGTTCTGCTTTTCCACTTCGAGTGACTTCTCTCGCGGGGGCGTCGGTGGTCGAGGAGGTAACGTTTCCAAACCGCTGGTGACAACTGCTTCCGATACCATGACTGCAAGTTAGTCGCTCCACCACTTGCAAGCCCACCGCTTGAGGATGGTGATTAGAGATTACTGTTCATGTGGTGGAAAACAGTGTGTATGCGCTGAAAAATCAAGAGAGCAACAAACTAAACAAACGCAATGCTACACACAACAAGGCAATGATGGGTGAATGAGTGTCGAGGTCGTTGGATTATTAGCACGGGCAGAGTATGTCACGTAGTTCAGGGCGGGTTGAGGGACCTCTCGAATTAAAATGTCCCAGGTCCCCATTTCGCTTCGCTTGGGGAACGCGTTCGGGATGGGCTTTCTTGGGACGCGGGCGCGTTTTAGAACGAAAGACCCTTGTTTAATTGATTTTTCCACGCCCAACCTCCAGCTTGGGTGGAGCTCTACTCCGACTTGGCGCGTTACTAAGCGTCGACCTCCTCAAAATTAAGGCCGATCCCATTTGGAGTCAGGTCCTGTCGTATTTGAAGCGCGCTGTGAGAACAAGAACAAGGACAAGAACAACAACGCGCAGCGCTCAGCGCCAGATTCCATGCTAACATTTCTCAGGCAACTCAGGAATTCATACTCAAGAGAAAGTCACTCGCGTAAGAACGGGAGGGTTCCCGGTCGCACTATTTCTTCTCATAGATATCCACTTGATATGGCAATCGTGGCTAGTCTACCAGTCAATCCTACCTATGCCGCAGGTTTTCTACTCGATAATTCCGTCTGCTCACGGATTAATATATAAAACTCTTGACATCCCTCCATTTTATATCCGTAAATGCCCACATACACTGGCAATCAATCAGCCTGTTTGGTAATCATGGGTTTGTACTCCAGTATGTATACAAGACGGAGGGAGTAAAATATGAGCCATTGTGAAGATGCGAAGCGAAATCAACTAAAATATACAGTAAGACGTTGCCCTGCTCCGCTCAAGGTCAAGAGCCACAATGCGGAGTGGAGCACAGCTAGTTCAGGTTAAATAAAAGGCTTGCCAGCCGCTGTGGCATGAATAAGGAGGGGGTCCATTGCCCACTGTACGGATCCGTACCGGCATGTACGATAAATAACATTTCCAGCTTTGAGGAACTACCCGATTCCTTCGTGTTGCTCACTCCCTTTGCTTTGAGACCGCGCTGCACTTGCATGCGACCTTACCTTATTTGGTCATCCGCATTTGTATCAAACGTCCCGATTTGAGGACCCTTGAACAGAGAGACGTGTAAGTTCACCGCATATCAATGCAGTCATAAATTGTCATCACCTTACATGTTGGCTGCTGTATTTACCGGTTACACAGCTTCCAATCCATCACCGCGACTTCGCAAATGCCCTCTTGCTGAGGTCAGACCTTGGCCAAGCACGAATTCTCTTTTTCCTTTCCATTAGAGTACGTTCCACGGTTCTGATGTCTCTACCGTTGTTGCCATTTCAGCCCCCTCCTGCCATTTTGGCCATGATGGCTTGAACAATTATCGTGCTCGGTTATGACCTCGGCTCAAGTATGAAAAAGGCTGTTTCTGGTTTCAATCCCTACATGCCATAACCATTCTTCAGACCGTTGTGGGGTTAAACACACATATCATCATGTTCCATCGTGTATTCCCTCCTTATCTTTAACTTGCAAACTTCATGTTGCTCAAAGGCCATCTACTTCACCTGTTCGTGGCTATATCTTACAATGTTAAAGCAGCCTCGCCACGGAAGACCTCGAGGCCTCAAAAGACTGTTCTCGTCGAATTCTACCTCATACAGCAGCCAGATTAGTCTCCTCGAAAAGCCAACCTGTACGCATGTCGAGATGGCTCAAACTATGGGCACCTTGACAGGACCAGGTAATCTCGCCTCCTGCTTAACCTTGATTATTTGCTAAATCAACCCAAGCAAAATTGGCTGCAGTGACCGACCTTCTGGACAGATTGAGTAAAGATCTGGAGACAATCAGTCTTCTGCCGCATCGTAAGCCTGATGGTTGTATGTTCTTCTGCAAAGTCTCAGATCGTTGACATTAAACCCAGAGCGTGACGCTGCACTAGAAGAGCTCAAGGTATACGGAAGGGACCCCAGAAATGCAGATCCTATTTTCACGAAACATGTAGGTCTGAAACCAAGATCTACCATCATGGCAATAGGACGGCAACCCCTGACCCAATATAGGGAATTGAGACTTTGTCGAGGCATGCGTTCAACAGCCCTTCAAGTACAACGTCCAGGAACGCTCTCCGTTGTCTCTGCAATGCATTGTTACTCAACGCGGATACCCGCCAGATCTTTGCTGATCTCAACTACGAATCGAAAGCTTGCAACAAATTAAAGAATGACAACCGAGACGATGAATTCCTTATCTCGAGAATTATTTTTTTGACCACATATGCCAAAGTAGACTTACATGACTTGATTGACAAGCATCACATCGGCGAGGCCATCATCAAGAACCTGGAACGGCATGCCAAACGCGTCACGATTGGAGCACCGTCAATCGACCCCATGGAAGGGATGGCTTTAATCGAAACGCTTAAGCTACTATTTAACATATCCCACTACTGCAAGGATCGGACATCAGAATTTACTGCGGCTGTTCCTCACATCATTACACTTATCTGTCAAGGATCTTATCCGACGAGTAAACCACTTGATGCGCCCGTGGTTTCTCTGGTCAACGCCTTGTTGAACCTCGATATTGGGGCAAAGGAAGTTCAGGCATCACTTTATCCTCCGGCTGAAGCGACACAGCTATCAGACCGCTTGATCGGCCTACTCAAGGCATCAAGCAAAGTATACAACAACGAGGAACTCGAGAATACAGTTACTGCTCTGATTGGTGTCATACGAGGACTTCATGAGTATGCTCCAGAGGATGTTAAAACATCACTGCGAGCCTCTCTGCTGCCAACAGAAGATGATCGCAAGGAAGTATTGGGTCGAAGCCCTACAATAGCGTCATGGCTGCTTCGAAACTCTACGAACCCTGTCACGCCGCAACTACGCGAGGCCATTTCCGATCTCCTCTTCGACATGTCCGACAAAGATTCGTCCAAGTTTGTCCAAAACGTTGGGTATGGCTTCGCTGCCGGGTTTCTCTTCAGTAGAGGACTTCCCGTGCCGCAGAATGCGCAAGAGGGCTTTGCTGATGCCGATGTCGAGTCTCGTCCGGTAAATCCTATCACTGGCCAATTCCTGGACGCGGAAATACACCCAAATATCCCTGAAATGACCGAGGATGAGAAAGAAAGAGAGGCAGAGCGGCTATTTGTCTTGTTCGAGAGGTGAGTATATGTTGAGGTACATTGACGACATAGCTAATCCTGTGGCAGGTTGAGAGCCAATGGCGTAATTTCTGCAGAGAATCCGGTGCGGGTAGCCCAGCAATCAGGACGGTTCGAGGAGCTACCCGATGATTACGAAGAAGAGGACGACGACTAGTTAAGACAACGGACAAGCTTTAATCGAAGACCACCAAAATGCACAGACTACTGGCTCATGCTTATACCCGTACATGGTTATATAGACACAAGTACAATGCTGGTTCTCTAGAACAATAATAAGTCCTTTCAACATGGTAAACTCGTGTACAAAAACTATTACAACGCGATTATGTCCTTTTATGTTGTCTAGTGAGAAATTTTACTTAGCCTTGTAGTCCAGTAATCTGGCAACCAACTGCAACCTGAAGAAGACTGGACTGTTGAAGAAGCATATAACCAACAACTATCAATGCACAACGGTAATAAATTGTCTCCCGGCTAATAATGTCCATTTAGTTTTGGAAGTTATCTGTTCATGACACTTCGTCGGCCAAATCATGGGTCCAAGTGTAGTCTCGACAGCCATGGCAATCCAGTACCAGGAGAATTTCATTGCCTCTCAAATTCACTTTTGTCGTTGGCATCCTCTAACTTCCTTGTCAGGTGCTAGTTGTCTTCGGCCATCACAACCCCAACCGTTCTACTACGCACCTTCCGTACCATCACTTCTGCCTGAGAAATCGCGTCTTGAAAATTTATTTTTTCTACTTTCTGATTTTCAACTTCAAACTACACCAGATTCTCCAACACATCAAATGTCATTTGTGGACCTTGGCTAGTGGATCTCTTGTCACGATCTTGATGGCACACGAACTTCATTCAAGTTTTCTTCATCACAAACCAAGCTATCCTCATCATTACCGCAATTGTTCGAGAAAAAATAATTCCATCCGAATCACCTCTCAGATTTATTAGATCAGAAGCCTCATCTATTTCGCATGCTTGATTTCTGGGGCTTACTAACAGGCAACGCAGTATCCTCAGAGCCAGGTCACCAGAACGCAGCTTATGCCAGCGATGAGATGCCGTCCCCAGCCCCGGAGCAAATCGGACAGGTTGGGTTCGACGAAGATGAGGCCTTTCGCGTCGAGTCTGAGTATTCTTGTTTTCTTAATTCTCGGCGCAAACACCACTAATTGTCTCTCTTTAGCATTGTTGGCTTCGAAGCCGAGACCGAACACGGTAACGAAGACGTGAATAGCGCCCAAGACAAGCAAGAATCTCAGAAGCCGGCCAAAGAGCCTGTGCTTGTGGCCAAGAAGAAAGGTAGACGTAAGTATAGCGATTGAACGCCAGCCATTTCCTGTCGGTGCTTTATCTGGCACATTTCTAACCGATGTCACAATTGTAGCTGCAAATGGTCCTAAGAAGTTCGGGGCTAAAAAGCCACTTACGAAACCTGGACCTACCATTGTTCGTATGGACCAGCCTGATGAGAGCGAGGGCGATGAAGAGGATAACTTCAGTGAAAGCTTCCCACCCATCTCAAATCTGAAGACAAAGGCTTCAAACAAGACCAACGAGGTTTTAAAGAAGCGTGGACGTCCTTTTAAGAGTTCAGCAGTAGATGATAGTGTCGAAAGTGAGGCCGAGTTATCACCCAAGAAGAAACAGCGAAGCCGCCGTGCTAAGAATCCAGCAATGGAAGCCGAGGCTGAAGCTGAGGTTCCCCTCCATCAAAAGCACCGAAGCGGTCCTGCTGCAACAGTTAATTCCAACCCAGAGGAGATAGAGGCCCCTCAACCAGCCCCTAGAGGCCGAGGTCGACCGCCCAAGCCAATGGCTGGCGGCGTCTTGAAAGCCTTGAAAGATTCTCGGGCCTTAAAGTCGCCCAGTCAGAAAGGTGCTCTCCACAAGGCGTCAGATGCTGATGTCCCAACTCCCAGCCGTCCTCGACGGGCAGCTGCTGAGTCTGCGAATTTAATTATCACCAGCCAGAGCGTAAGTATCTTGAAAATCCGATTTCTTTACATTATCACACAACGCTGATTTTCTTAGAACAAGAAACAGCTTAGTCGAGGTTCCAACGCTTCAACCTCGTTACCAACCAACAAGAAGGGAGCATCTCAACCTTCCAAGCCAAGCAGAGGGCGACCCAGAAAGCAGTCTAAGGGTCTTATCTACGCAGTCGAGAAGATCGTAGACGTCAGACTTGATGACAATGGCGACAAGATGTACTGTGTGAAATGGGTCAACTTTAACACTACCGAAAACACTTGGGAGCCCCTGGAGAATCTAAAGGGTTGCTTGGCTCTGGTCCATGCATTCGACAAGAAGAAACCACCCAAGGCGAAGAAGAACTGAGAGGCGCAAGCATAGGCCCGGATATACAATATGTGTGGCACCTTCTCCTGGAAGGCTGATGGCGCAATCCCTAGCCTATCAGGGAAGAAAAACATCAAGCTCTTTGCACAATCTACAGCGTCACTCTGTTTGAATGTGGTCATGGCAATGGGATCTGATCTTTGATGTTTACTATTGTGACGCGCTTTGTTGGGGCGGATTCTGCGCATGACTGGACTTTGTATTGCGGAGGTGTTCGTTGTGCATTGCAAGTTCATAGCTTACATAGGCCATGAAGCTATCGACACAGAGATTGCAGAAATCCGCATAAACCCGAGCATTCACTGCAACGACCCATCTGATCCCACATCATGTACTGGCTTTTCTATTGAAAGGCTGGACCAAATCTAACAATTGCCGAGGGTGTGGTATTTAATGTCGACGGAAGCCCACGAGATTTGACCTGTAGCCTTGAAGAAAAAAAAATTCTAAAATTTTTTTCCAGTCTACTTAGTTGGCAACCTCTAACATCCCGAGAGACATGGTATTCCTCGCAATGGAGGGCATCCCAACACCTGATGATACTAAATGAAACCACAGGACTGGAAAGGGCGGGACAAAGATCTCGAGAAGGGCCTCAGAAAGGAAGAAAAAGGAGACTACATGGTCATAGCTTTCTGAGGTTAGACATTAGACTAGCGTGAACCCCTAAACTCGGGGATTCGACAAGCTGGCAATCCGGCAATCCTAGTCGGTGCATGCAAATAGTTCGGATTTGCGCAGCTCCCGCGACACGCCTAAGCTGACACCAGCTTCACGCTTTGCTGTCCATTTCCCAGAACTCGGTCTTCACATAACACTACTTGGTCACTTTTCGCCTGTCCATCTTTTAGCGTGTCATATCCGTTCTTCTACAGGCAAATAATTCAAAATGGACGCTCTCAAGTCGGCGATTGCGCCGCTCAAACCCATCACCAACTCTCTCCCGCAGCCCATCCATGACCTCGGCGCCTCCATCATCGGCTCGACCTGCTACAAGACACTGATCCTCGACCTCGATCCAACAGACAGCGAGTGTGTTAAGCTCGCCATCTCAAAGGGATTGGGTATCGGCATTATCGCTGCCTCGTCCATTGTCAAGGTCCCCCAGATAATCAAGCTCCTAAACTCGCGCTCCGCGTCTGGAGTCAGCTTCCTGTCGTACCTCCTCGAGACCTCCTCGTACCTCATCAGTCTGGCGTATAACTTTCGCAATGGCTTTCCTTTCTCGACGTATGGAGAGACTGCCTTGATTATGGGACAGAACGTTGTCATCACCATTTTGGTGCTTAACTACAGTGGCAAGCAGAGCACTGCCGCCTTGTTCGTTGCTGCACTCGCCGCCGCAGCGTTCAGTCTCTTCGCAGAGAACCTCGTGGACAGAAAGACGTTGGGTCTACTGCAAGCTGGTGCCGGTGTCCTAGGCGTCGGTAGCAAGATTCCGCAGATCTTGGCTATCTGGCAACAGGGTGGTACTGGCCAGTTGAGTGCTTTTACTGTAAGTTACTACCACGGCCCTCTGGACTCCTCATAGACGCTACTGGCTTCCACCTCTACCGGCAATCACCCTCCTAGGTCAACCCTGAGCATATATTACACAGTCATTCGCCGAAGTTTATGGTCAAATGTAAGACTGACATTGAATTAGGTCTTCAACTATCTGGCCGGCTCGCTCTCCCGAATTTTCACCACATTACAAGAGGTTGATGACAAGCTGATCCTGTATGGTTTTATTGCTGGATTCGCTCTCAACCTAGTCCTCGCTCTCCAGATGGTGTATTACTGGAATGCCCCTTCAGCAAAGGCACGAGGCAAGATGAGGGAGGCTCCTGTTGCAGCTGCTCCCACAAACTCTGGCTCGTCAAGTGCGACACCGAAGAGCAAAGGCCCTACAACTCGTCGCCGGGGCTAGGCACAAAGTAGTAGACTTGGCACAAGGCGTCGTTGCTTATAGATAGAGTCGGCTCGCCGTGGACGCGACAAGCTAATCTCAGCCAAATGCGGACTTTGCTTTCCGGTACTAATAGGTGTGATGTGAACGACTTCCGTGGTGCAAGCCTAGAAATGACAACCAATAAAATCTGTCGAAGCATAAGATAGGGCACGCCTCAAACGCAAAGCCAAGAAAACATGTGCTTCCGAAAGCTCCGTGGCGGCAAGTGCCAAATACGACGGCAATCCATGCTTTATCTAAGTGATATTGCGGATAGATACCACATCAGCTGCGAGGATGACTGATGCACAGCGTCCTCTAAGAACTAGCTGGTTAGTCTAGCTAGATCAAGCACAAACATCGATATGGCTGGAGCCTAGCACAAGCGTTTCCTACACACATATCTTGGAACGCACTACAAGCGATTACTACGCAACCAAGTGGCTAACCCAGAAGCTCTCCCGGATTCCAATTGACGCTGTCAAACCTCACTGTCGTGGTATATTAGCCAGTCTTTTAGTAAGTATCTAGAATGGAAAAGCCGGCATTGTAATACGGGATCAGATGGGCTGTCATAGTTGCGCCATCAGATGCCAGAGTTTACGCGGATTTGTGGACTCTTGTATCTACTACAACTTGGCAGGCATCTTTTTAGTGGCCTGTTACAGGTACGACATGGTCATATGTCACATCACATGATTAATCTTGAATGGATCAGATAACGAAGGTCCAGATAGTAGGGTCACTTTTCACATTGATCTTTCTCCCCGATTTGACAAATCAGTCACGCCTACCGTCTTCGGCGAACTCACCGACATCCGGCTGGCGTTGGATTTGTGTCATCTCTACAACACTAAAAATGGCGACATCACCAAGCTCAGTCGCGTCATCCAGAAAAACTGGGGTTTGGAGCCTCCCTCCGTCATGGATTACAGGGCTTCCCCAGGTTTTCGCTGTCAGATCCATTGCATAAGATCTACGTTTGGCCAATTTTTTACCATGTACTCGCTGGTCTGACCGGTCAGGATGTGTTCTCCTCACAACATTCTCAGACTGACAAATCTTCAATCCGCTTTGTCCGGGCATTGCTGATGTGCTTATCTCATTCTACCGCGCCTGTGATTCGTAGGAAAGTGATTATATTCGTCGCCGTTCATGTTACGTTCGCGTGTTGGCTCGGAGGCTTGATATCCAGATTTAGTCGGCTTCCCCATCTGATAATAGGGTTGTGCCGCAACGTTGTTTTACCCCTGGAAGATCTTCTCCGTTTTGCTTAAGCAAACTGCTCGCATGCAGGCGAAGCGCGAGACCGGGGTTTGATTGGGCGTCTACGCCTTCTAGATTCGTTCCATACCCAAGGTTCTTGACATTGTCTAGCAGTTTTGAGTTAAGCCTACAGGAAGGTCCATCTTAACATGTTGGACACATTTTGTACTAAATAAGCGGTGTCCATCAATGGCTAACGTGATATTTCGCCATTTCTCTCCTCTCTCGCGACACTTTGATCTACGATCCATTGTTCCAAAAGGTGTCAGCGAATCAGGCCGCCTCCCGGAGGACATCCACATAAGCATTGCTTCCTGTAAGCTTCCGAACTTATCTATTGATCTGTGTGTAATCCAAGGCTTAAAGGTAGACTAAGATACGCTCCTTTCTCGTCATAGCTGCGATTCTTTATCAGATTTCAAAAGACCCAACTTCCTCCCACCCTTTGGTTCTCTCGTTACTCAACCCTTCTCTTCCATACCTCATATTTTGTCTTCCGGTCGTCTTTCTTCACCATGGCTCCAGATCTCAACTCGATGCCTTCGTCTCCCCATATCCCTCAGAACAGCACACGGGGTCAGGCAAGCGCGCCACCTCCACTGCCTTTGGCAGACCATGACCAGCCCAATGTCCTCTTCATCATGGCAGACCAACTGGCTGCTCCTCTGCTGAAGATGTACAACCCCGACTCTCAAATCAAGACTCCAAACCTTGATGCACTGGCAGCCAAGTCTGTCCAGTTCGATTCCGCCTACTGCCCTTCACCGCTTTGTGCTCCCTCGCGCATGAGTTTGATAACAGGATTGCTGCCCATGAAGATCGGCGCGTACGACAATGCCTCGCAGATCTCAAGCGATTGGCCAACTTATGCGCATTCTCTGAGAGCCAAAGGTTATCACACAGCATTAGCTGGAAAGATGCATTTCATCGGGGACCAGCTCCACGGCTATGAGACTCGCCTGACTGCTGATATATATCCGGGAGATTATGGCTGGGCAGTAAACTGGGATGACTCTGAGAGGCGGCTGGAGTGGTACCACAATGCAAGCTCCATCCTACAGGCGGGTACATGTGTGCGGAGCAATCAGCTCGATTACGACGAGGAAGTCATGTACAAGTCAAAGCAATTTCTTTACGACCAAATACGTGAGGGCCCGAACAAGAGGCCCTTCTGTCTGACAGTATCACTCACTCACCCTCACGACCCCTATACGATCGAAGAGAAGTATTGGGATCTTTACGAGGATGTCGACATTGATCTGCCGAAAGTCTCTATCCCCAAGGAGGAGCAGGATGCACACAGCAAGCGGTTGCTCAAGGTCTGCGACCTCTGGGACGAGAACTTCACCGACGAGCAAATCAAGCGAGCTCGACGGGCGTACTATGGTGCTGTTAGCTATGTGGATGACTGTATTGGCCGCCTGCTGCAAACCTTGAAGCAGTGCCGCCTTGACAAGAATACCATCGTCGTCTTCAGCGGTGACCATGGTGATATGCTGGGAGAGCGAGGACTTTGGTATAAGATGAACTATTTCGAGGGCTCAGCGCGTGTTCCTCTTCTGATCTCGGACCCTACCCGGTTCGAGCCCCACCGCGTCAAGCAGAATGTCTCGACCCTTGATATTCCGGCGACGCTTTGCGACCTAGTTGGCACAAAGCCGTTCCAGGGTCTTCCTATGGATGGCTCGTCTCTTTTGCCACATTTAGAAGGCCGCGAAGGTCATGATACCGTCATTGCCGAGTACACAGGAGAGGGTACTATAAGCCCCCTCATGATGATTCGACGAGGACCTTGGAAGTACATTACTTGCCCGACTGACGCTCCTCAACTCTACAACCTGGAACAAGACCCTCTCGAGCTTGTCAATCTCGCTCAGCTTGTCGACAAGGAGAGCCTGTCTCCTGGCGAGGAAGATGCAAAGGATAAGTTCCTGAAATTTGAGGCAGAAGCCAAGGCGCGCTGGAACTTCGAGACCATTACAGAAGAAGTGCTTCTTTCTCAAAGGAAACGTAGATTCGTTTGGGAAGCTCTGAAGGTCGGCCGATTTGATTCTTGGGACTTTGACCCAGCGAAGCATGAGGACGGTACTGCTAAGTAAGTTCTGAAAGCTGTAGTCTTGCGATTTCTTTTGTACTGACACCTCATAGGTACATTCGATCTTTCCTCCCTCTTGACGATCTCGAGCGCAAGGCTCGCTTCCCAATCGTCGACAAATATGGTCGTGAAACAGGTAGTAAATTACTTGTTGATCAAGCTGGCTCACATGGTCAATGATGGCTGAGCCATGCAAAAGCCTACCGTGCATTTGACGGAGTTGCATTTTTTTGGGGCGAATTTGGATTGGGTAAAATGATTTCTGGAGTTTTCTGTTTTTCTGACTTTCATACATGGCACTGCGATTCAACAGCTTGGCAAGAGATACCTTCTATCGTTGATTTAACAAGTCTAGTCTACAATGAACAAACTGTATCTATCATATTGGAAACCGTAAAGATTGAGCATCTGAGTTCAGTAACACTCAAACCAGTCGCGTTACAAGTCACTGCATCTAGTTTAAGGTTGGCGTAGTGAGATTGTGATGCCGCTGACATGACACAGAAACCCACAAGGGGAAACAAAGTTCTACTTTGTACTGTAGCTTCCTTAAGTTAAGAGTGAGGTTGTGTCCACCCACTTGGTCTGAGGGCAGATCATTACTCAGTCCCGCCATGAGCTCCCCCACCATTAGCGTGATCAGTGCCTGCTTCCATGACGGCTGCACGACTGGCTCGAGCCAAGGGCGTCAAGACAGCAGAGGTGCGTGTGCTCCAGGTTATCCCACCAAGATACCCCACCAAGATACCCCACCAAGATACCCCACCAAGTACATACTGCATGTATCCGTATTGACGCTTGTGCCTTATGCGTACTTAGCTTCCTTTTCAGCAGTAAGTGAGTGCTTAGTGCAACTTGAGGTCCGTCTTCAGCTTCATTCCTCCATCCAACATTCTCCGCCATCGCAAACACTGAGAGACCTACCACAACCACGATGGCGTCTCTCAACATATCGCAAGAAGAGCTCAAGGCTGTTGAGCAGACGCGCCAGCGCCTGTTCCAGCTCTCCAACAGTATCGGAAGTCTGAAGACGGACGTCTTCAATAGCAATCCGCTCCCCAGTCTGTACGTCGAGTTCTTGTTGTTTTGCCCAAACCGCTGGCCTCAGGTCTCGTCAAAACGAACAAACACTCACTGACATGCTTCCATAAAACAGTGAATCCCTCCAGGCCTCTGCCGATATCCTCCAGCAGAACATGCGCTCTCTTCTATCCGTCATCTCCAACAATGAAGAGCTCTTCACCCAGCTTGCCATACATCCCTCCACCAACTTCCCAGGCCGCACCCAGGAGAACATCTTGCTGCAGCTGCTACGCAAAAAGCCAGAACCCGACGTCGCTGCCTCATTAGACAGCGGCCGCAAGACGTACAACGAGATGGATGATGCAATGAAGGGCGACGCGAAGCTTATTGGTGGTAGGGATGACGACGAAGAAGATGAGGATCTATCGCCAATGAACCAAAGATGGGCCTCGCTGGATGCATACATTGGCAAGAGAGCTCAGAGGTTCATCGAGGAGGAGTTCCCAGAAGACTTCACAGCCGAGGAGCTCGATCAAGGCATTGAAAATGTCAGAACCGGCCTAAGGAGGAAGTTTGAAGAGTACGAGGAAGAGGATGACGAGGAGGAGGGAGGTGGAGGCGCCAAGATTGCCGCAGGTATGAAGAATGAAGACGATGAGGACGATGTGACCATGATAGATCGGCCGCCACCTCCACCGCCTGCTGTGCCATCTTTACAATCTCAGGCGAGCCAGTCTGGCACTGCCCCTGGACATGCTGAGGGCTTGAACCTGGACAACATGCTGAAGATTGCGACATTGGGTTCTCTAGCCAAATGAGCATAGTGGTGGTACCGTGAGCGCGGCCCATTCGGTAGATGTGCCATTACCAGTTCGCCAGCACAAGCATTCAAACACGCCCTCGTCGCTGGGCCCATTCATCTTGCATCAAGTCTATTGGCTGCGGTATGCGTGTGCTATCCTGACATGGTTGGGTGTTTGTGTGCGTGCTTGGTGGGTTTGTTATTTGTCTCTTAATGCGAAAGAAGACATTTTGGACAACGGGAGGAAGAGTCTATGATCGTAAATAGTCATGATTGCGATCTGACAAGGCGATTGTGTGCTTTCGATACTTTATTCGGAGCTAATTATGATCATAGTCTACTGTTGTCAGTACGTAAAAGCTGTAGTACCTGAGTAAGCCGGTTGCATTGTTCAGAATGCTCCCCGCCACCGCAGGTATACTCGATCCACAGAAGCTGAAACTATCCTATACCCAGTAGTGGAGCTTGTCTGCCTAGAAAAAGTCCAGGGCCAACTTTAGCTTCTCCATACTACATGATTGAAACGGTTTTCGTAATTCCATTACTCACGTGTTCTTGTTTTGCGCAATCTGTTTCGACTCAAGAACCCCTGGCATGAGAGACAGAACGCCTGAGCATGTGACTTCGTGGTTTTTGGCCGATGACTCAGGCAACCTTGCATCGAAACACGTCTAGCGGTTGCGGAGAACATGGAACAAAACGCGGATTGACGTCTGTCGGCTGACCAGGCACTAGCCCGATTCTCATCAGTTGTTTTACCCGTCTCGATATCTGTACTTGTTCATTCACAGCAATCGACAAACCGAATGAAATCAGGAGAGATTGAAGTGGTTAACGATCTGCAACCATGGATGTTCGTTGCCAATGCGGGGCTGTCAGCTTCAAGACGCCTTTACAGAAACCATTGGCGCTGTACGTCTTCATCCCAGTCATTGCATCGTGTTTGCAGCTGTTACTAACGCCCTACATCTAGGTATAGTACGTAATTAGACAACCTGCGTTCTCAAATTCCCTTTGTGCCTTAGGAAAATACCATTCTACAGCCTTCTCAGCTTCCAGGTGTTTCGAGAAGTGAGATTAGTGGTCTTAATCAAGCCAGAACCCTGAAGCCTATTTCCTATCATCGTTGATGATTTGACTGACTGCGATGCTTACACGACACAGTCTGCCACTGCGCAGAATGTAGACGGCAGACAGGCTCAGCCTTTGGTACTTCAGCTATTTTCCCCAGGTTCGCTCTGCCTCAAACAGGAGAGCTATCATGTTATTCGTAAGCGCAGGATTCCGAGCCTGACTCCCCCAGCTGCTAATGGTCTAGCCGTCCCACTCCAAGTGGCCACACTCTTTACTGGTGAGCACCAAACAAATAAGTATTCATTATAGCCACGTCTAAATCACCCGCCAATAGCTATTTTTGTCGGAGGTGCGGCTCCCGGCTCTTGCATACAACACCAGTAGGTCACTTGGCCCTTTCAAAAGGCTCAATAGCTTATCGCATAATCAAGGGCAAGAACGTGGTCTCGATAAAGGGTGGCTGCCTTGAAGGACTGGACTGGAAAACTGCCATTCACATATGGACAAAGTCGGCAATGGTGCCTATACCTGAAGGCTCTGAAGCTTACCCTGAAGAGCCCAGCGATTCTGAATACTCGGGAACCCAAGAAACTTTGGATCAACCAGCAGACTCACCAGGATTTCTGCGTGGGAGCGGCGGCTTTCCTGACGCAAGGCCGACTGTAGAGGTGGCTGAGCTTACGAAGGCGAAGAAAGGACTCTGTGAATTGAGTGCAGGTAGCCTCAATGATCAAGTACTCAATCACTAAATAATACGTCGTTACGTCCAGTAACATTTCAAGACTAGCTGAATATCTCAGCATGCAAAACTCATATGTCGTTGAAATAGTAGATGTAAGAATTCATCGATTTTCTCCTCTTTGGTGTGTTGTCTAAAACATAAGTGGTTTCAATAGAATCTCTTACCCGGGCATGTATCGTTTTCATTCGTCAAAGCAGTAACGAATTTGTTTCGAATGGCTTTACACTCACAACTGTAAGATGCATTCCAAACATTGCAGGATTTCCGCTATTATTATCGTCGTTAGAAAAGCACACACCGACGCAATTACACCAAAGGTCGTTACGTATACTAACTCAAGCAAGATCCACCCCCGGATGGCAACAAGAACGCTACCACCACCAAGCTGGTAGCAATGTGGCCGAGATGGCACATGTGTATACTCATGTAGCAATATATATGGCACAAATATGATGTACTTATTTACAAACACCCCCCCAGAACCCTTGCTATCGTGTAAGACAGAAATTGACAATCATGAGAAACGGCAGATTATAAATGAGGTGGGGAACAATATCAAGTCAGTGGGCGATGGCCGAGAGAGGGCCATACGGCGGAACAAGGCGACGCCTGCAATACCTTCTTAAGTCACAACTACATGAGTTTTCATGTGCCAACACCCGCAAGTTCAACCTGTTAAGTTTAACAACTACGGGTTATAGTGGCTACCTAACAGACGACTCTCTTTCCTCCTTCGCTGCTCCTATTTCTGCAGTGCCACGAATGCAAAGGACGACTTTGTCAAATCGCCTTCGGGCATCATCAAAGACGCTATACTAGACGTTGCAACTAGCGACCGGGGGCTGGCCATAAGGCTCTCTTCAATACATTTGACACAAATGCCTTTTCGCCTACTCAACCAAGAAACTTCTGAGAAAATTGCGACCCAACAGAAATGTTAATCAAGAGGGCCCATTGTGACAGCGCCCCGTGCCTACCGGATCCGCTATCATCAATTATGATGGGCAGTTCTCAGCTGAATTAGTGTGACGTAGCACTCAGCATCGTCGACATGGCAAGACAGATGCGGCGTGTTATGTTTATCTCTTTCCGTGTATGCAGTTCTGAATGTCCCAAAGACGCGGTCCGTGATTGGACCTCTTTTCACGCGACATGCAGTAGGTGCTGACACCTGACTATTACCTGCATAGTGTAAACAACTGGATGGCAGCCGTGATCATTATTTGTGGCGCAAGGAACTGCCTCTTGATGCACTGATCATTCGACATGAACGGCGGAACCCGTATCGAATCATACCGGTGCCTCATAGATCTATCGAATCATCGCAGTAACCAATCTGAAGGAACCCGGAGCCGTAGCATGCAGTCGCCCCGAAAGTGTTCACGCTGGGGATTCGAAAGTGATTGGATGATGTCGCATATCGACTCCGCACTGTTGACATGCAGGCAGGTGAACTGCCTTGAGTAACCCAACAAAGCAATAACAAGCCTATGTCTTCCATAAGCGCCTGATCTACTGTGTGCAGACGGTCATCGAAGCCCAACGCCGAACACGACCATTATGAGGCGTTGTTTTGATGCCATTGGGTTGAGAGCGCCGAAGGGGTCTACACCTATGATACCCAGATTGGACGAGGTGCCCTCTAAGCAAAGAAGTCCTAATGAAGAGAAGGACCGAGTGGGCTACGATGGAACGTAAAACGATTGCGTGCTGGGCAGAGGATGAGTGGCTGTATTGCTTTATCCCTAATCCAGATTGAGGCTCTCGGTGAAGAGGACCGCCTGAAGTCTCACCTCGGCCCGACCAGCCACGATAGGAATCGACCCCGGTTATTAAAGATTGCTTTGCGTGTATGGGGAAACTGAGCAGACAATAGCATAAACTCCACAACCCAGACGACTTTGATAGGTGAGTGCCTCTCGAGTCTTCGATTCTCGGCACTACGTCGCAACCAACGCGGAGTTGCCGCGGTTCCACCTATCGACCGAGAGGCTAGAGCCATGCACCCAGAAGAGAGCCCTTTCACCGGACTGGCGTCGCTCCGATCTTTACCGAGGAGAGGACCAGAAAAAATAAATAAAACCACTCAACGATGCATGCTATGCATATCTGGTGGGATGGAGGTTGGGGGCATCGTGGACTTGTGGCATAGAAAAAGGAACAGCTACCTGGCGAGTCTAGCCACCAATCTCGTGTGATTGGGTGGCAGGGTGCATTGAGCATGAATGAGGAATAGATAGATATGGCGGAACACACCCAGCAGAGAGATCTACCCCGACCAACTTCGTAATGCTTGATAGTAGGAGGCAAGTGGTGGGCACAAGAGTCCACAACGGCCACAACTATTTGCGAGTGAACCTCACTGATATGATACAAATGACTTCGAAAACCACTAGTCTAGACCTCAGTAATTCGCTGGTGGAAAGCCAGTGACATATTGTGGGACCAAAAGAGTGGTGATCTTCACACTAACAGACGTTCGAAGTTTATATGGCTGCATGGATTTGGGTATGCACAGCTAAGGGGGAAAGCCGACTTTGTTGTGTGGTGGAATTTTGCAGGGACACAGCCGCTATGGGGCAGAGAGACATTTATTATTGAGGCTGTCGCGCGCCGACTAGGCCAGACCTAGGTATTTCACCTTCGGCGAAATTGACGATGATTGGCGCTCTTCGGGATGGAAGAAGAGGGGGTCGAATACTGTTCTGGCCTACTTATCCAGTTGGAAGATGGGCAACATAATTGATACGCCCACGTGGCGAACCGCCGTAGCCTTGGACCAAATCCAGGCTGTCGTCAGGTGCAGATGGTGACTTCTGGGATCGTTTACCTAGGATCGTTTATCTACCTTGTTCATAAGCACAGCACGGTTTCTTGTCAACTCGGTCTCGTCGAGTACATTAGACAAGGTTTCGCGGAAATTGTTATCGCGATTCCCTACACCCCTACAACGTACGTTGCACTGCGAGCTGCTCGTTTTCTCTCCCCGGGCTATTTTCGGCTACCGACAATCTGGGTCCATTATCGGGTTCTTCCAGGCGCCTAGACCCTCACGGTAGCGGTACGGTTTCGGTACGGCACGGTGTTAACGCGCTACATTTCACCCAGCGTCCTGTCGCCGAGCAGCTTGATGAATTGAGGGGATTTCTCTCACGGAAAATCCGCTAGCTCTTGGGATCTGGTCTCTGTGAAATCGCTCTCCGAAGGACGATTCCTAGCCGGAGTGTCTGTAGACCGAGGAACACCGCTGCCTCTTATATGATGTAGCAACCTGACCTCGGTGCAAAGACCAGGAAAAATGCACCCTGCACCCAGTCTAGCAGAGCTCTTGAAGTCGGATGATCCCCGCCCCCAGCCTCACCAACAACAAGAGTCCAGTCAATCACTGGAGCAACATCAAATCCAGCAGGCTCAGGTAGGACTTGCCCAAGCTGCCGAGATTCACTCTGCACTTCGAATCAATTCGCCGCCCATTAGGTATGTCACCGCAGCACTCTCTGGGGACCTACCATGTTTGGGTCCGGTCATACGGAGGCTTACTTACACTCTTACAGGAAAGACACTGGATCCTCAATATCCACGGTTGCGACTGACGCGACAGTTGCGACGAACGGCACTGACGACAGTACCTCGACGGGTTACAGCGTAGAGTCTTCGCAGTCGATTTTTTCTGTCAAAGATGGCGCTGAAATCTCGGGTAACCGTCGCGCCAGTCGCAGGCGCACAGGCCCCCTCTCGTCTGCCCAACGAGAGAAGGCGGCGGTGAGATGACCCTCCGTACGCATGTGAAGATGCACCTGTATTGACAAGCTACTATAGTTGATACGAAAGCTGGGAGCCTGCACTGACTGTCGCAGAAGGCGAGTTGCGTGCCACCCAAACCATCACAACATGACCTGGGAAGATGCCATCAGGAAGTACCAGACTGCTCATAGCCCTATGCAGGAGCTTGCCCCCTTAGTAGGGCGCCCAATCAGCCCTGCCTCCGGCCTCAGGTATGGGTATGTTCATAATGCTGAAGATATGGACATCGACTCAACCCCAACCCCGCCCCCGGCGCAGACTACACCGGGACGCGCACTGCTGAGTGACGCACGAATTCGGACACCCTTGCCTTCTGGACCTCGTGTCTCCATGCCCCTACTGGCCGCCGCGCTACCTCCGCTCACGACTCTACCGAATATTGATTTCATCAAGTCGGAACTAGATACTGCCGCGTCGAAGTACCTTTCTGGTCCTCACACAGGGCGGTATAGTGCCGTTGAGGCACTTCTCATTCGCTGGCAAGACGATGAGAGCCCCGAGGTTTTGACCGCTATCGAGGAATTACGATCAGTCTTCCAAGTGTACTCGTTCTCGTTGAAGTCCATTGAAATCCCACCTTCCTCATCGGGTCTATGTAAGAACTCGCAGAGGTGGCTGTCGCGCGAGATCAATGACTTCACCGAAGACAGAGACACCAGAGATGTTCTGAAAATCGTTTATTACAATGGGTGCACTCTGTTAGACGACGGCGAAATGGTTCTGTCGAGGTTGGTTTTGATAATATCATTCGTGCTCGCTGTTGTACTAACTCGTCCTAGTCCCCTTGATCGTGACAGATCATCCATTATCCGATGGAGTGGCATCCAGGGGTTTCTGGAAGGAGCACGTTGTGATACGTTAATCATCTTTGATGCCATATATCATGCTTCTTCCAAGATGACTCGCCGTGAAGGAGTGCTTGAACTGCTTGCTGCATCTGCCGACGAGGATCATTTCGGCGTCATTGGCAGAAATACATTCACCAAAATACTAGCTCATCAGCTGCGACAACGTGCTGCTCAGCGATCGTTTGAGCCCCTATCTGGCGCAGAACTGCATACTAGAATCCTTTCTGCCTATGCCAAGGTGGTTCAGGACAAGCACCCCGATGGCCAACTTGCGAAGGTGCCCATACCTCTACATTTGCAAATGTCTGGAAATTCAAAGTTACCATCCATTACGTTATACCCAATTTCAAATACCCGGCCACGAACGCCGAGTTTCAACCCAGAAGGTCTGGGAGGCTATCAATTGACCTTGTCAATTAGGCTAGCCGATGAGAACCTTGACACAAACTGCTGGAGTGAGTGGCTCCGCATGATGCCCGAAGGAGTCAAGGATGTCAGGGTTGCAGGGCCTTACAATACGTTTCGGTGACACATGTTCACCTCCAAACTATTATACGTTTCTTCTCCTTTCTTTCTTTCTCTTCTACCATACTTACATGGTAGGATTCTATGAGAATACGACCACTAGAGTTGGCGGGTTTAGTGAGAGCCGTCAGTCGCTCATGATGTTTCATGTCTTATGTCTGCATGCATTTCGACTCAATACCATAAAGAATTCTTCCACACAGGTTGGAATGAGAATCAATATCTAAATGAAGACGCTGGTGGGATTCTCTGCTTTGCGGAATGCAATTCCACGTCTCATCTCATTCATATAGTTGTACTACTATTTATGATACCCATGAATGAGGGCGAGCACGTGAGCAAGTGGTTTTGGTTATATATATATATATATATATATATATACACACACACACACACACACACACACATATCAAACAGTAAGAGGTTATTCTTTGAGTGGAATTTGCGAAGATCTTTCCGCTTGTGAGGCGCATTTCATCTTACTGTAGGAAAATTAAGTTCAGTCTAAGTTCCGCTGACTATTACGTCTCACCCGTGACAACGACATCATTCATAGTAGTGGTGTTTTCTCTGAAGCACAGATGAGACACGCTAAATGGGCCCGACAAATGAGCCGAATGAGTATGTTGAGCGTTGTAGAGCACGTTTCGCCCGAGATAACCGAAAGTTTAAACAGTAAACGAATTTAATAGGACCGGTCTGTCCGGATTTCCCATCATCGGGGATTTTGTGAATCCGCCCCCCGGTTAGTGCACCGCCATGCTGGAAGTGATGGTGCGTAAGTTACTGTAAGCAAAGCAGGCGGAGCGTTCATCGTGCCAAAAATTGTGGGCAAGGCAGTGATCGGAACCCAGGGATTAGCGGGAAGGCCTCTGGCGGGCTTATTTACTGCAAGCTCGCCAGCTCGATGCCTCACTGAGCACGGTGATCACAGCGCTCTAATCCCTGTCAGTTCAGCTGACAAGCTCAGCTTTAATTACAGCCCTCCATTGCCGCATGGACGCATGTCATCATTGGTCTCACAACGGATCCCTACGCCCATGTTAGGCAATCTTGCGCATGCTAACTAACTTACTCCGTACATCGATAAAAGGAAGAGCATTAATTGAACATCATCTCGGAGGACCTCGTGTGTTCCCCGTGCAGTGTTCGTCGTGCAATTGTTTCGATATTCAGGGGCGCATCCAACACGGCTTGCCTGTACACATATTGCCTGATTGCATACTCTCCTGCTTCTTCTATGTTTTCATGGCCCGCTCGCTAGTGAGCGAACGGATCTGAGGCTACTGGCCATTGATTGCGTGGACACCATCCACATAGCTGCAGTGATTCAGGCCGAGAATTCCGAGTTCACCAGTTTCAGTGACAGTTCCCGACTTGGCTCGCCTTGTGTGACGCAAATTTCGCATTAGTCTGGGCGTTGCGGGAATACGCCTTGACGAAAATACGAAAAGAAACAAATAACAAAAGAGGCCGCTTCCCTTTCGTATTTCTCTATACAATACCTCTTGCTCTGACCGCGAGCGCTCCTAATTGCATTAGAGTTGGCTAGTTGCATCCTTACAACATGCAGCTCTCATTGCCGCCATGGCTGCTTTCGCTTCTCGCCTTTGCGGTTACTGCAAGAGGTACCGGCATGGCAGTCGAAAGAGCGCTAGCTGATACCATACACCTGCAGCGCAAAGCCTTTCCCAACTCGCCTACTGGAAGCTACGTTCCTGGCACCGTCGACTGCCCATCGACAAGACCAGCGATTAGAAGCGCTAGCAACATCTCGACATCAGAGTCGGAATGGCTGACCATCAGGAGACAGAATGTCTTGGAACCTCTGACTGCGTTCCTGACCGCCTCGAACATTACTGGGTTTGATGCAGAGTCATATATTTCTTCAAACCAGGGCAACTTGACCGCCATCCCCAACGTAGCCATTGCCGTGTCGGGGGGCGGCTACCGTGCCTTGATGAACGGTGCTGGGTTTGTCGCTGCTGCCGATAATCGCATCAATGGCACTTCGGAAGCGTATGGCATTGGAGGCTTGTTGCAGTCCAGTACATATCTTGCCGGCCTGTCCGGAGGTGGCTGGCTCGTTGGTTCCATATACGCAAACAACTTCTCTACTGTGGTGCAGCTCCGTGACGGCTCCCCCGGCTCGTCCGTGTGGGCTTTCGACAGCTCAATCTTTGAAGGTCCAGAAGAGAGCGGTCTCTCCATCCTCAACACTGCCGAGTACTGGAACGATATTTACGACCAGGTTACCGCCAAGTCGAATGCCGGCTTCGAAACCTCCATTACTGACTATTGGGGAAGAGCATTGTCCTACCAGCTGATCAATGCGACAGACGGCGGCCCAGCTTACACCTTCTCCTCGATAGCTCAGACGCAGGATTTCAAAGACGCCAGCCAGCCCATGCCCATTCTCGTGGCAGATGGACGTGTACCTGGAACCACGGTCATCTCTCTAAATACCACAGTCTTTGAGATGAATCCTTGGGAGCTCGGATCATTTGACCCTACCCTGTTCGGATTTGCGCCAATGCAGTACGTTGGCTCAAACTTCAGCAACGGGGAAGTCCCAGATAATGGTAGCTGCGTCGAGGGCTTTGATCAGTATGGCTACGTCATGGGGACCAGCAGTTCCTTGTTCAATCAGTTCATTCTGCAGAATCTGTCGTCGACAAGCATCCCGGATTTCCTCGTCACCGCAATCGAAGATGTGTTGGAGAAGCTAGGTGCCAACGATGATGATATTGCCGATTGGTACCCGAATCCCTTCTACGGCTACGACCCCACTGGCGATAATTACAACGTAAATCAGAGTTCGTTGACCTTGGTGGATGGAGGCGAAGACTTGCAAAACATCCCTTTGCACCCGCTGATTCAGCCCGCACGTGCGGTAGATGTCATCTTCGCCGTCGACTCTTCCGCGGATACTACGTACGCTTGGCCAAATGGAACTGCTTTGCGAGCCACGTATGACCGAAGCTTGGGACCTATTGCAAACGGTACCCAGTTTCCTGCTGTGCCTGATGCCGAGACGTTCATCAATCTCGGACTGAACAGGAAGCCCACGTTCTTCGGCTGCGACGTGAACAACTTCACGTCGACTATTGGCATCCCTCCTTTAATCGTCTACGTCCCTAACACACCTTACACGGCTTGGAGTAACGTCTCAACGTATGACCCGAGTTACTCAGACAACCAGAGAAATGAGATCATCCAGAATGGTTTCAACGTCGCCACGATGGGCAACGGATCTCTTTCGGGTAATACCAACTGGAGGACTTGCGCCGGTTGTGCGATAATGTCACGGACATGGGCTAAAGCTGGAGCTGAAGTGCCTTCGGTTTGCCAAGACTGCTTTGATCAGTACTGCTGGGACGGTACCATTAACAGCACAGCTGTCAGCTCGTTTGAACCCACAGCATTCTTGACCCTGGAGACTGCCGACAGCGCCTCGGTGTCTGTAGTAAGACAAGGTCCCCTACTATTAATGGCTTGCATGTTTGGGTTTGCAGTCTCGGCGCTGTTCTTTTGAGTCTGATTTATGGACGTTGACAATACATGGCATAATGGAAGGAAAAACACTGTTTGCATAGAATAGAGCTTACCAGGATAGGATGCTCAAATACAATACTTCAATTGATTTACTTGCTTGAACTTGCTGCTTGTGCTTACATCGGAAGTTTTGGTAAAGGCATACATACACTGTTACACGTACACGGCGTCTATCGTCTAACAGCTCTCAATGTTGTCTGCCGGCTGGATCCCCCGCCACCTCTCCTTCCTGGCGTACGCGCTTTCCGTGAACAACCTACAATCAACATCGACCACCTTCTTCAAGACGACGCCGGGCACCTCCAGATGTTTTGATAGCGCCTGCATAAAGCTCAACGCCGTACGCTGGTACGTCATGTGCCTCTCCTGGCTCATCTCCTGCGTCGTGATCCCGACCTCCTTGAGGTAGTCCACATAGTTTACAAACCCGTACTGGTCCCTGCCCCACGAGTTGCCCGGGCCCGTCGGGTCCGGCGCCGGCCGCACAAAGGGGATCATGACCACGTAGATCTCCTTAAGGCTCGCCATGGGCCGCAGCGTGTGCGAGACGATGTACCCCGGCCCAAACGGGATGTTGCTGTCGCACCGCCGGGGGACCAGGACCGCGAGCCGCTGGATCCTGGACGCCCACGACGTCTCGGCCAGGTTCCGGAACGCCTGCTCGTTCGACGGGCTGCAGATGAACAGCAGATCCCGGGACCACTCCACGGCGACCCGGCCCCGCGCGCCCTGCAGCTTCAGCAAGTTCTGCCTCTCTGCCGCCGCCGCAGCAGCAGCAGCAGCATCCGCCGCCGTCCGACCCGAGGCAGATCGCTCCAGGTCCCGCGCCAGTCTCACGGCAGCGAAGCGACGCGCGGCGGCCCTGTTACCGCTTCTGCTGTCGTCATCGTCGTCATCGTCATCATCAGCATCATCATCGCCGCCGCCGCCGCACAGTCGCGTGGCAACGGCCACGCACTCGTGGTTCACGTGCGAGGTCCGGATACTGGGCGCGCACCTGATGTTAGTCGCGGCGTCCAGGCTGGTGACGGTGTAACTCAGGACCTCGTCGCGGCGTGGGACCGCGGACAGCGGGGCCGGGCCCGTCTCGTGCACCACGTGGATACGAGGCGAGGCGGCCAGGTAGAACTCCCAGATCAGGTGACGAATCTCCGTAGGCAGGGTCGCGAACTGGGGGAAATCCGTGGCGGGCATCGGCCAGGTCGGCGGTGGCGGCTGGGGCTGTTCGGGCAGCCGCTGGGACGCCGGACCTGGAGAGGCCGGGTAGGGGGCAGGCATGGTCATCTGCCAGTCATGTGATGTGTTCCGGCGGTTTGCTTCCGACATGTCGTAGACTGGCAGTGACGACTGCCGCCGCCGGGTGTACTCGCCGTTACCGGAGGAGCCCGGCCATGCCTCCATGATAACTCGGTATTGCTAAATATATATTTGCATATATATTGATTACAGTTCAGTTGGGGGACTGGACGCCGATATATAAGGTTGACTTATCATAGGGCTCACGGCGCAATATGTACGCGCGGGTTGTCAGATGTGGGGTTTATTTGAACATACGGCACAGTGTTGATGAGTCCCTTCGTGATTTTGATACTGTTATGCTCGTAGCACCTGGTCAGTGTTGACGCCGTACGAGCTATGGCTTGCAACGGTGCAGGACACGGCGCGAGAATCGGCAGCTGCTAGACTTGAGCCCGAGGAAACTTAAGTGAATTAGTCTACTCTAACTCCCCACCAAAGAGCCAAGAGACAGTCGGCAAAGAATTGGTGCAATCGCCTCGATCTCACTATCACCGTTATGAACGAGACTGCTTACATGATCCTGTTTTATGCTCGTCTAGTCTATTGAATGAAGCCTGTTTCGACATTTCTAGACCACTTACTGAATTGTAGCAGCCTGGTATTTTTATATCTCAGGCTAATGGTGGGTAGTTAGTCAAAAGTCTATAATATGAGGTTGCGCCAACTCCTGTGCCCACTACTTGATCGAGAACACGACGTTTATACAAGAAAGAAAGAAGGAAAAATAAAATTTCATGTTCCGTGCTATTTCTTGCTGCACTTCAAGTCTAGCATTGTGAATCTTTCAAAGGAAGGGGTATTACTGGTCATATATGGCAGACGCGCGCAAGCTCATTCTACAATATTCCATGCAACGGAGCCCATTAAGAGGACAATATACGTGCAGTCAATTGACACCATAACGCCTGTCATCTCACGATGGCCTTGTGTAGCGAGTGACGAAAAAAATCCACATCCACGTCTATACCAACTAGGTGGCCTGGTCCAAGTGAGTGTTGCCTTTTCGCAATCCAGCCTTTGCTGCATATAATCTTCAATACACAAGACGCCTTCTCACAAATGCCCCAACTCCTTCCAATGATAGTACTACTTCAATGACGTCCGATACCGCCATTTTAATTCCATGCCTTGCTCAACGGGCTTGCAATCTTCGGGGCAAATTGCATGCTCTTGCGACGAGCTGCCATAAGTCGCATCATAACGCTCTGATCCTTGTGCTGGCTTAACAATCCTTGGCCAAGCTCGGCGAATGTGTTTTGCTTGGGTGGTGCCGTACGTGTGAGCATTTGCTCCTTTTCAGGAGAGTACTCTACCGACCACTCTGCAGTGGGTGTCTCGGGCGTCACCTCCATCTCGGTGACGTAGCGATGAAGCGCTTCCGGTGCAGGCGTCTTCGGGACTGGCGTAAGCATGCTTCCGTCCCACTCATCATCGTCGGCGCCTTCGATGTCCTCATCATCATCGCGGTTGGATGGAGAACGCATCCATGCGGTGCTGTCCCTTCGGCCCATGTGGTTGTTAGGAACAGTCTGGCAATCGCGCCCAGCACCGATTGACTGTTTCATGGGCGTGACCAAAGTGCCGTTGTGGTTGGCGAGAGCCTTGGGCTCCATACTCTTGCGCCGGCGGGCTCCGCCACGGGGCACAAGTGAAGTATCGATATAATAAGCTGACTCTTCAAGCCACTCATTCTCACGCTCACAACTAAAGGCTTATTAGTTCCTTCTCATCAAATCCAAGTTGGTACTCTGAACTCGAACTTACTCCAAGACCCACGACACTCCAACACACTGCACGACGCCTCCACTCTCTCGGACCTTTTCCATGGTCCGCTTGCCACCGTCCTTGTACACGACGTGTGTAATTCCGATCTTGGACGAGGAAAGATCCTCATTGTCGGTGCTGCTCGGGTTCCAGGGCCAGCTCTTGACGCAACGAGCACCCATCTGGGCGAGCAACTCGACAAAGACGGTGCTGGCATCTGCGCCCTCACTGGTATGAACGTCGACAAAAACGACGGCGCCTCGAAGCAATCCCGGGTTGAGATCACGCCTAGGAGTGCGGGCAGGAGTTCCCATGGATGACCATATATCAGACTTGGATGGTGTGACAGGCAATTGATCATACTGCTCATCGTCCTCCACTGCGACTTCGTCAGAAGACTCCTTGATAGGAGAGTACGAAATGACGGTCGCATTCCTAGTGGGGCCGGCAGGGCGCTTTGCTGGAAGGCGAGAAGCACTTGCACTGCGTCGCTTCATGCTCCTCGGTGTAGAATCGTCGGCAGGCTTCAAAGGGACCTTGGTAGTTGTGTTGAAGGTTCTGGTAGATGAGGGGCGAACAGGTGTGACTGGTAGGCCAAGGAGAGCCGGATCGATGGGAACGGCGTTCTCGTCCCCATACTCTTGGCTGGCGTCAGAGATCGAATCGTCATGATTCTGTGTCTCAAGGGCATCTTCGACCTGATCGGGCTCGAGGAGTGACATCTCATTTGCTTCTGCTGCCAACTCCACGTCTTCGTTCGTGACCGGAATGTCATCAAACTCAGGATCATCGAAGTGGGCCGCAAGATCTGCTTCGATTGCAGCCATCATCTCAGCCTCAGCATCACTGCCGGCACCAGCATCCATCTCTGCGCGAATTCGCATTTCGTCATCAAAGAAAGTTCCCTTTACGGGAGTTTGTCCAGCGCCCACAGGTGAACCCTCAATTAGCGAGTACTCTTCCTCGTTGGCTCCAGAAGCTGGTACGTGACTATTCTTGAGAGGGCTTCCCGATCTCCAGTCGCTGAGTTGCTTGGCTAAAGGTGTAAAGCCAAGCTTAGAGCCACGAGATACTGATCTAATAGCGCGGCCAGCATTCTTGATAGCACTGGTAGGCAGACCGCTTCGAGGAGTTCTCGAAGCTCCGGGCGTCGGTGTGGCCGGAGCAGCAGTGAAGGTCAAGGTGTCGTCATCATCCTGGAATTTGGACCCGGCCTGTACGCTTTGGACAATCTCGTCGTCCGAGTCGCCACTATCAACTGGCAGGAGGTCCTTCTCGCGCAAGCCAAACATGGAGTTAGAAGGTCGAATTGCAGGACGAGGAGGGGTGTCTGCAGGCGGGCTATCCGGTCGATCAATTTCCTCAACTACGGCTTCATCAATGTCCATGACGTCCTCCTGTACAACCTCGGCCGACTCGGGGTCCCTCGCAACAACGACTTCATCCTCAATTGCGAGTGGCTCGAGCTGGGTAGCAGATAGTGCTTTCAAGGGCGACATTCTGTCTTTCAAGGCTGGATCAGCGTATCGAGGCAAAACGGCAGACAGACGCCCGGGAAACTCAAGTTGGTCGGGAGACTCGAGGACATCTTCCTCATGATCCTGGGACATGTCGATATCTTCGCTGTACTCCTTCTCGTCAGCCAGGTTGGTAGGTTTGACAATGCTGTCGGGCTCTTCCTCGTATTGGGCCTCGTCATCCGCATCGTCCTCCAAAAGTGGCTCATCCTGCTCCTCAGCGCCGAGCACAGGGTTCGCGATGGGTGACGATGGCACGAACTCCTCCGCGAGCTTGGATGGTGGTGCCGAGAACTTTATCGGTGACGTTGGCCTCTTTGCCGGGGATTGAAATAGTGACATCTTCATTGGTGATCGAGATTGGTTCGTCGGCTCTGCAGGTTGTGCCTGGAAAGCCAGAATTGGGGCCTGGGGTCGCTTGGCAGGTGACTGCAAGACAGACGTCTTGAGTGGTGATGGGTGGAGCTCTGCGTCATCCTTGTTGGACGAGAAAAGCAAGGTCGGGGCACCCTCTGCTCGCTTCGCCGGGGACTTCAAGGCATCCTTGAAAGGTGTCGAGGGAAGTCTCTTGGCGGGACTAGTGATGACAGATGTGCCAGCTAACTCATCATCGTCATCCATGGCGTGATCGTGAGTATCGGCGCCGCTGGCGGACAGAGGTGCAGCGAAGTCGAATTTCCTGTTGCTGTGCGGCTTCACTGGGCCCTTCATGAGAGGCTTAGGTGGGGGTTTGTCATATGCGGCAAGCTCATCGTCGGAGTTGCTCGCTCTGGAGAGTGGACGGTTGTGACCATCCTTCTTAGGACTTAGAGGTGTAGGTTTCTCCTTCTTGTCTGCAGCGGATGTAGTGGTTTTGGCGGTGGCTCGTGTAGCTCGGGTGGCGGTAGCAGTCTTACGTACGGGCTTGGCCTTCATGCCACTAACAGGTTCAGTGTCCGTCTTTGACTTGGCCTTGGTGTGAGGAGGGGGAAGCATATTCTCCTTCTCTGGCTCTTGGAAAGTGACTGACTTCTTAGTGGGGCCGCCGAGTCTCGATGCCGGTCTGACAATGTTGGACCTCAGGCCAGGAGTAGGGTTGGTGGTGGCTTCGGTGCAGATAGAGCCAGCGGACTTGGCGTTGCTAGATGCTGTACCCGATGTAGCACGACCGCGAGTGGTCTTCTTGGGGGGTTCGGGCTCAGCTGCGGTCGTGTCTTGATCTGCTGTGCTCTTCTTTGTGCGTGTGCGTGTGGCCTTTACGGGCTCAGTCTCGGGCTTGGGAGGGTCTTGAGTGGCCTTCTTTGCGCGTCCACGGGTGGCGCGAGCGGCGGGTGCTGGTGCTACTTCTTCCGTTGATACAGCAGGCGCTGGCTCTTCTGGTTCGGACTTGGCGTCAGGCTTGGGCTGAGGCTCCGTCTCTGTCCCGACGACCTTTCTGGGCCTACCGCGTGTACGGGCTGGCTTGTTCATGGTGTCTGTAGTGGATGCCTCGGGGGCGACCTGGTGGGATTCCTCATGTTGTTCATCTTCGTCGGCTCTGGTTTTCCTCTTCATGGATGCGGCTGTGCGCGTCACGGTGGGCTTGGCTGCTGCTGCTGCCGATGTTGGGTTTGGCTTTGGCTTTGGCTTTGCCGAGGCAGCAGCCGTCGACTTTGTCGCCCTTGCTCCTGAGGCGGCGGTCGAGGGGGTGGTGGTTGCTTTAGCGGCTGCCCGGGCGCGGGTCATGCGCTTTGGTGGGCTTGAGACCTCCATTGGTGTGGTTGTCGTTTTGTTGTTGCTGTTGTTATTGTTGTTGTCGCCGTCGACCTCAAAGATATGCTTTGCCGACAATGATGCCTCACCTTACCTTGCCGTAAAGTCTGGATGCAAAATTGCCAACTTGCCAGGGTCGTGGTTTGGCTTTGGCGAGGGGAGATGCACCGAAAATAAATTGAGCCTTGTTTACTCCACACACGCGTCCTGGTCCCAGCTCGGCTGCAGCGGGGCCACGTTGACACAGCAACACCCACTCCGGTTGACTCGACTGTCTGCACCCTTTCTTCTCTTCTTCTACTGTATCTTTGTCGCCGACAGTCCAGTAAATGTCAAAAACCATCATGGGGCAGCCCCTTGTGCAAAAGATGCGTCTGATTCATTGCACTTTGAACGTCTGTGTAGTCCAGAGACTAGCCATTATTCACCCCTCAAGGTCATTCTAGCTATCATGCACGGGTGCCCTTCAAAATCAAACATCATCATCTCAATTGGCACGCAGCAGGACCCAAGCTCAAAATTAATAAAATATTCCATTGGTAGTAGAGCTCGCTATACTAGTTCGCTTTATTTCACTGTAAAATATTATATCCACACATATATACGTTTGGCGACGGAGACTCATCTGTGCCATTCTTTCATTACCCATGTGTACCCCGGGCCTGTAGACCCGACGCCTTTTTAACAACACCCCCTTGGCCAATGTGGGCATATTCATACGTAATATGGCTCAATCAAGGTCACTATCGAACATATATTACCATAGGGAGAAGTAAGTCTAGTCCAAGTGTATAGCATACCCTTCAGGACTGAAGTATGGACGGTAAGTTTTTTTTTCCGTTCTTTTTTTTCTTGGAAAATATTCAACACCCTAAATGTCATGTTCAAGTGAAGGTACTGAGACCCATGACATATGTGTACATACGAGGCGTGGGAAGCATTGCACAATCCACTTCATGCCTCAGACCATGGGCGCTCTACATAGTACGAATTACTATCTTCAAGCACACGATGCATAAACCCACTCTAGTAGTCTCTAGCCTCATTCCGAGTACAACTTCGTGCTACGGCCAAAGGAAAATTGAGCTGCTCGTTCGTGCGCGACCCTTGGTTGTACCGGTCTGTATCACTATCACATCGAATAGTACCCAGGACAGAATCGCCTGGTCTGGACGTACTCGAGCGAAGTCAAATCATGTGCAGTAACAAAAGGTTTGAATTGTAGGTCGTGCGGCCGCATATTCCATGTCCAAATGGAGTCTCGTCTCGATCCTTGTTGAGCACCTTGACGGGCCACCAGAAATTTCTGCCTCCTATTGCCTTCACAAGTGATCAAACGTATGCTGCAGCACCCGTGTATCCGTGCGGAGCAACACAGCATTTACTAAGTTAGTTAGGTAGGTTAAGCTACATTATGTTGTGACTGAATTCCAACATTATCAGGGGATTGGCGATTTCGCTGTAGCCGTCCTGAGTTCCAAAAGCTGATACCAGATGTTTCTGGAACGTGTTTTTCTTTTTCTTGGCGATTGCTGGATATCATAATTATATGAAATTCCCACGTGCAAGACATCTACGGAGTACCGTAGGTTAGTGGTTCAATCTCGTCGTCCAGTACCAATGAAAGTGCAGATCGATCACCAGTTCCGATATCAGCTCAGCATTGGATTTCTCGGGACGCTGCACGTGGAAGTGGAAGCTCTGTCCCACTGTTCTACGCTTATCAGCCAATCATGGGCCGTGACCTGACGTAACTGAGGCATGATACAATTTCAACTCCGAAAAAGCACATTTGAATCTGCAGAGGTCCTCAGGCCCCCCCGAGGCCGATCGTATCAAGCGGAACCACAGAGGGGCGACATCCTTCAAGCCCTGGCAAGCTTTCTGAACACAAACGGTGCGGCATCTTTGAATGATGGTTGAAACAGACCCTCAGGAGCCAGCGTAGACTCTGCATATTTCTTGCTCGTGTGTTGGAATGTGGCAGCAAGCAAGCAACTGCTACAGCCAAAGACACCTAAGTTACCTATCTGACTGTAGGCACGTCTACATCCGAGCTCGCCTGGAAGGTTGCCACTGCTAGTGATTACCCGCGCCATCGAGAGCTTCCAGTTCATTGACTCTCATAACTACTCACTCACAGTTCATTTTTCTCTTCCGCAACTCCTGTCGCACCACAGCCATAATTTAATTATTTCCATCTCTCTCCTTTCACGTTTGCTTTTGGTGGGAACCAGCTGGGTCTCGAGGTCGGAGAGTAACAATCTACCACTTCATCCACGGAAACTTCGCCTCAAGCCATACCAGCATTGTCCAACACCCCTTCGCACCGTCGACACCATGGGGTTATCAAAATCCACTCGGATCAGCATCATGCTGGGTATCGATACCGTCTTCTTCCTCGTCGAACTGATAGCTGGTATCGCGGTTCATTCATTGGCTTTGACAGCTGATGCATTCCACATGTTGAACGACATCATTTCCTTGGCTGTTGGTCTCTGGGCAGTTAGAATCTCCAAGAGGCAGAGTACTAACAAGTTCTCCTACGGTGTACGTTCAACTTGCGCTTTGAAGAGTCTTGCTAGATCGCTCGCTAACAATTCCATGTAGTGGGTTCGGGCCGAAATCCTTGGAGGTTTCTTCAATGCTGTATTTCTTATCGCTCTTTGCATCTCAATCATCCTCGAATCTATAACGCGATTCATCGATCCACCCGAGATCACCAACCCACAAATCATCCTTATTGTAGGATGCTGCGGCCTTGTTTCGAATCTCGTTGGTTTCATCGTTCTGGGCCACGGCGGTCACGACCACGGACATGGAGGACACTCTCATGATGGAGACGAGCATGACCATGATCACGGGCACAATGACGCCGCAACCGCTGAAGAAGGCAGAGCAGGCGACGCTTTCGACGACGACGACGACGGTCCAGCCACCGACATCTTTCCCGAGGTCGCCATAGCAAGGGCAAATGCCGCCGGTAGTTCGCCGGAAACTGTTCGACGCATCCATTTCGACAATACCGAAGAGCGCCGTAGCCCGAGTCACTCGTCAGCGTCGAGAAGTCGCAGTCAGAGACGACGCACAGGTAGCCTCAAGCACGGACGCCTGCAGAGCATTGATGATCACAGCTTCCACCCGGCTAGTTTCCGGCAGAACATCATCGACCACGGTCGCTCAAGTGGGGATACAGACGACAGCTCAACTGAAGGCGAGGCCACTGCTGATGAAAACACCCCTCTCATTCATAACGGCAATGGCAAGGGTCATTCGCACCCACACGAGCATAATGCGCCGTCGGGCAGAGGCAGACGTGATTCTGGTGTCCACAAGGAGCATAACCACAGCAAGCCAAAGAAGCCTTCCGAGAGCGGTGGTGGACATGGGCACAATCACGCAGACATGGGCATGAATGCCATGATTCTGCATGTACTTGGCGACGCGCTCGGTAACGTCGGCGTCATTGTCACGGCCTTGATCATTTGGCTATCTAATTGGTCATGGAAATCTTACGCCGATCCTGCTGTCTCCCTTCTAATTACGGCTATCATTCTCCATACTGCCTTGCCACTCACAATGGCTAGCGCCAAGGTCCTCCTTCAGGCCACGCCAGATGAGATCGACATTCAGGAAATCAAGGAGGATATTCAAACGCTGGATGGAGTTATTAGCTGCCACCACATTCACGTGTGGAGGCTGTCCGACACTAGGATTGTTGCATCCATGCATGTTCAGGTCGCTTTCGGAGCAGCTCAGGAGGGTGGTGCCAAGTATATGACCTTCATGAAGCAAGCTCGGAAATGTCTACATGCGTATGGCATACACAGCGCAACAATTCAACCGGAGTTTTGCTTGGATGAGGCTTGCAGCCACAACGGCGAGCCTGCTTCTGTCGACGGTAGTTCTGCGACGCAGTGCATCAATGCGGAAAACGAACAGTGCCTTCTCGGTTGTACCGACGACTGCGTCGCCGAAGGCTGCTGCTCCGTACCACCGTCACAAAACGGTGCGGGTTCGGTGAGATCAACTCATTCGGATCACAGCCATCATTAAACCTTCGTTCTGGCTACTCATATTAATGGCGAATATTCGCTTCGGCGTTCTGTGGGCGCCGGTTGTAGTGCATCGGGTAGGATATTTCCTTTTGTTTTTAGTAGAAGACATTTGAGTAGAACGGCAGCATTTCAGAGCCGTCAGGTGTACAAAAGCCAGCGTTGACTACTTGTACACTTATTTATTCAGGAGCAACTATTATTAATACATTGCCACCTCGAAAATGATGGTACTATTATCACTCTTTCAGTGTCCAAACTACCAAGATGTAGAACTTTTTCGAAATCTGAGCATCCTCAAGAGAACAGATACCATAATGCAAGTATGTTCACATACTCATTCAGTACGGTTAAATCTCCCGAGCAGAATAGTTGACGCACTCAAATCGTAGCAAGAAGCATATTATCCCGTCAATACCAACATCTATAACCCTACTTCTCAACCCTTTTGCGAACTCATAGTCCCATCACATCAGCATCATCTTCAGCTTCGCGATGCAAAATCTCTGTATTGACGCTAAAAGCTGCGTATTCGATTATCCCTCGTCTCCCAAGCACGACCAAACACGTGCAGATCCAAGCAAACGGGGCAGATCTTGACCAAACCTCAATAAGCTTCTCATCAGCTCCTTCCGCTAGTATATGCATCCTGCGCGACTCCCAGGAATGTCAGACTTTCTATAACAGCGCCAACAAAGCCCAGCTTTGTTTGGTTGTAGCCTTGCGTATTGACTTAGTCGTCGGATCGTTCAGTCAACATGAGTTGGTGAACGGCTTCCTTGTAACACCAAAGCTGAGTGATACTGTAAAGCTCCCTGATAACATTGGCCCATACAAAATAGATGGTCTTGATATTAGTCCAAACCCCTCGCCCAAAGGCGCTGATTAGAACACAGCTACCAAGCCCGTCGTCAGTAGCGTCAGAACAGGCTGCAAACAAAGTACCGCGAAAATCCCAATCGACTTGTGGAGTGTCAGTATGGTCCAAGTGGCAACAGTGCCGATGACTGGAGCTGTTACATTCCCAAAATCCCCAAGAGCGAGCATTTCTTGAACGGTGGTGACATATTCAGGTTGCGGCATATCTATAAATGCTGAACTCTCATTGTTGAGTAGCAGTATATTGTAGCCGTATGGCTGAACGCCTGTAGGTAGGTGCGACTCTTCCAAGGCAGAGGTTTATGATACTGAGCAGAAAAGCCTAGCACAATCAATTGGTTCGTTGACTTTCCCAGCTCCCACGATAGTCGTTCATCCTCTATCATTGCTATTTCGAGTCCTAATCAAATGAACGAAACACTGACAAAGATGGTATCGACAGCGTGAACGCGTTTCTTGGTCATTGGCTTACCACACGCTTGTGTGGGTATTCGTGGAGGATAATGCATTCTTTCTGTAAAGATCAGAGTTTCCAGGCCTTCCAAAGAATAGCCATGCGGGAAGACATATTCGTTGTTGATTGAGGAATAAGGCTGCATTACCGCAGTGTATGATCAAATACGAGGATGAAGGCAATAGTTCAGATTGGCGCAAAGATGGCCAAAATGCTGTGCTGTGTCTATTGTGGTTTGTTCACTTTATGCTTCCACGATCCCATCCAAATTTAAAATGAATGTAAGTATCCAAATAATGCTAATGGGGTGTGAACGAGGGCTGCCGTGGTGCTGAATTACCGTGTCTGCAGCTACCTTTCTGAAATGTGAGGCTGGCGCCGGATTTGTTGAAACCCCCCTTCGACCGTACTTACGTTGCCCACCCATTGGCGATACTCTTTGGAAATTAGAGTGATGAGCCTGAAAGGATGGGAAGAGAGAATTGGCCTTTCCCAATCGTTATCTATCTCTGAGGCAAATCTTTCTCCATGCTCTGGGCTTTGCTTTACCTCGTTGAGATCCTCTTTGTACTTCGTCGGTCTTGTTTTTGGTCCGGAGAAGCGCTTTCGCCTGTCGAATGTCACGATGCTTAGTTGGGCACAACGCGTGAGATTTGGGGGGAGGGGGGGGGGACCACAATGAGTGCACCGTGGTGTGGTCTTCGTCTGAATTCCAGGAGCGTTCAAGCATCCAGTTGACCATGATGAGAAGTCTTGATTTCGGAGTGGGCCATATCTACTGCCATATGGTCTTTTCTATATTCCGGTGCCGTATTTCAACGTAACAGAGGATTGGAGTGGTGACAATTACGATTTACTTCTAGAAGGGAGTCCACCGCCTTACACTTATAAAATTGTCAAACTGCTCTGGAAGCCTCTTCCCAATGACCTACATGAAGCTATCGAGCATAGTTTCATCTCTACGGCAGAATATCATGGGGATATTGAAAATTCTTAGCATTACTGTTTACCGTAAAGCTATCACTTCCCGTTTCGTTATTTAAAACGATATATCTTGAACAACGGACAACACGCCATCAAAGGAGTTACTTTCCCGGATCGAAGTGGTTCTTAGGAATGCTTAGGACACAGGTTGCACAATTCACTACCTTGCGAAGAATAGTAACAAAAGTAGCAATCGCGTGTTCATCCGGCCTTATGAACATCGAAACAGGGGGGATACGTTTGTTGCTTTGCTCCTACTAGTGATCCCGTCGTATCCTTCGTTCTTAGAATAAAATCCGTTGGAGTAAGACGGGGTAACGTGCTGCAACAGCGTAGACCTATTTTTGCGGATCGGTTGACCCAAGACAGGGTTCATAATGAGTCTAGCCGTCCAATGACGTGCCCGACAATTCAGAATCGGCTGCGGTGAATTGTCAAAGCAACATCTGTGATTACAATTTTCAATCCCGATCACGCACGACCGTAGGGTAAGCGGATGGCTGGGGAGGGAAGTCAGTTATATGGACGGCGCCATGACCGCAGGAGCGATGGCACGTGTCTCCGCTCCTGAGTTAACGGCACCGCCGGCCCTGCTGCTCCACCGCGCCGGCCGACCGACGGATCGGACCCCGGATGTGTACTATCATCGGGGCGTACGTCGTGATCAGTAGATCATGTGATCTTGTAAGGGATTTTGTTACTCAAGTGTGGTTTCAAAGTAGCTAGAACTGGCGGCATGTAATACGTGGTAACTCACATCTTTCGTACAGCCCACCAATCTGAGAGCTGTTCAGTCGATCCAACTCCGTATGTCGTGCCTCCTCGGCCATTTGATGCAATAGAATTACAGGGATCATACTTGACTGACTTTCAATATGGTCAAATATCCATGCTGATCGCTGTAAGACTGTTATTAGACTAGGTAATTTAAGCTCGGCAGTAGTTTCACTTCCGACAGCAATATGCAGCCGGGCTGCTAGTGGCAGTGCTACCGAGATCCTCAGGAATGATCGATTCTCACAAGCTTGAAATGCCAAGCTGCAAGATCTACAGTGGGGGAGAAGAGAGTATTAGTGGATGTTAACGGCTTGGAACAGGTGAGATACGAACCAATCAGGTGATCTTGCTTGATTAAAGAAGTAATCCCGTGAAAGGATTAGATTGCGGCTATAGAACAGCTGTCTTTAGCCTCTATCCGTCCGTGCAGAGTTGCAAGCCGCCTAGACGCGCATGACGTGCCGTGGGAAGTAGATGGCGCATGTCTAGGCTCTAAACTACACGGGCTTGTGACTTTCATTATGCAGTGGCGTAAGCAAGCAAATATCTAGTAATCTATATTCTGCCCCGTTTGTCTGATATGAATGCGCTGTCATGGAATATGCATCATATTAAGCTATCTGTGGACGCGGGCAAGTAGATGGCTCAGATAGCCGTCGGCCAGACGTGCCTTACTGCCCAAGTTAATCTTGATGGTCGCAAATCTGAGGACAGGGGTCCTTGCTGGACAGGTATTGTATGCAGTGTCTCGTATCTTACGACGGTCTCACACCGCCGCTTCAAACACATTTGCAGACAAGCAGTCTTTCCAGGTCCATATCCCTGATATTGGGACAAGAAATGTAATAGTGGAGATGGTTACCGTACAAGTACTTACTTAGTTGAATGAAACAGCATCCTCCATGAAACTACCATGGAAGGGCCTTTATCAAACCAATGTTATTGTCGGTATATTCGTAAGCGCGGGGAGTCATGAACCAAAGCTCATGAATCATAGGGCGAAAACTTGCATGAGCCAATGCCGATACGCCATCTTCTTATCTGCAGCGGTGGTAATGTAAGCGTTTGCGTATTGGTCAGAGTTGTGTTTATAGTACGGCAATTGACCTTAGCCATATTGTTCCTGCAAGGCGTAAAATATTATAACACGTCATGTGTCATTAACTGATGTACCTCGGCCGAACGACGACCAGTTGTGCAGTCCGGCCAACGAAACGAGACAGGCAAGGGTATGCTTGTAAACTACGAAGTCGCGGAAAAGTCTTCCGGGCCAGTCCTCTTTGGCATAACATCGAATAGTAACAGGATAGGAAGAAGTTGGGTAACATTAAATCAGACATGTGGACGAGTGATACGTGATGTTTAAATGAATAATTTCAGAGAATAAGCTTATTCTGGATCGGCCCACATCGATTCAGAAGTGTGACACTGGCCTTCTCAGTCCGGTATGGTCTGGTGGTCAACAGGTTGATGAATAGAGGGATCGAGGCGATGTACTTTGTCCCCGGAAGCAAAGTTGTCATTGATCTCAGGTGGTTCCACGTACTTATACTGTTGTGAAACGAGTATTGTATAGTTCATGCTAGAATCTGACACGGCATTAAGAGATCCTGTAATAAGCACTGTAATATGTTTTGCGTCTGGCTTTATTATTACTCAAAGCAGTGACCACAATTGTTAGTGGGCATTTCGTATGTCCGAGGTAGTCCAACCGTCGTTGTCAGCAAACATTGCAGGTCAACCAATGAACCAGTGTTTAAAGGTAGATACATACTTCGTCGTCCAATTGCGGCGGCTTGATGTCATGGGAGATTGTAGCCCGAGATGCGTCGAAGTAAGAATAGCGTAGGGAAAATGCCGAATAATTCCGTAATGTTATCCCAGATGCGGCGCCTTGCTTTGCATCTCGAGGGTACCTGCGCTGTAACCAAAGCTTGTCCCGACAAGTAGGTTCTACCGCAATGACCAGGGTCACAAGGCCATGAGGGAGGCTAGTTCAGCTTGGTGACACGGGTATAGGAGAATTTAACAGATGGTTGAAGCCGATTGGCTGTTATTGGCTTTTCTGGAAACGGATGATTATCTATTGCTCCGAAATAACGATCACGAAAAAAGAAATTTAGAGATGTTCGTTCGGCACGTGTCATGTGCCATGCCCAGGATGGAACGTCTCTAGAAGACATCTGGTTCATGGAAAGACAAATTGCCGTGCGTATATCTGCACAGGTTCGTCCGTTCTGCTGTCGTATTCTCATGTAGATTAAACCTTATCGACGGATCTTCACGACGGGTTCAGGATGACAAAGTACAAAAGCAAGCTAGCTTAGGTAAGTTGGCGATGTTATGCAGCTGCGTAAATTGCGATGTGACCGTATTCATTGCACATGAGGTCACGTCGAACGAAGTCCATTGATCACAGTGAAAGGTAATAAATAACGTCGTTATTGTGTCGGCTGCACGATTTGGCCTCGGTAACAATTCCTGAGACATTGGAATGCGGTCGCCATCCATTATCCACACGCAGCTGTCTCCAGTTTTCTGTCGGCCCGCAAAGCCGTGTGCCTACTTGGGTTCGATTGGCTTCTCTTCCGAGTGGCAGGCGCCATTAAAACCCTTTGTTATCACCCAGCTCACCTTGATTTCTCAAGCTCTGGGACCAATCGCGTAGCTCAAAGGCACCCGGCTGTACTTTGAAATGACTGGCCGGCATTCTTTCGCAGCATACCTTCAGTAAGGCTAGAGCTGACCGCTGACTTTGGAGCGTCTCGGCACCATCATTCATTTACACGCAATATGCTGTCTTTTTCGTAACGGATGTTCCGTGACAGATTTCACGAGCCAGACCAGCCCACCTATGCCCAGCTTTGAGCCTAGTGAAGGGCAAGATGGGTTGAACTACAGCTTGCAGAACAAAAACGGTTTCTGATGTCCAGGAACCGTCAGATACTCCACACGTCGAGCCCGTGGGTGACCAGGATCTGTCACCCGGCTCGCCTGTGAACTGTCCCGAGTCCAGCAACTAAATACTTCACCAGCCAAAGACAAGCCTCGGAAGAACCCCACACCCGCTCTTCTCATCGAATGGCACTGTCGGTTCTTCCTATATTATGCAATGAAAGCGTGGCGGCGCGCCTGCCCCTGCCTTGGTCTGACGCCTCCAGATACCGCTCGAACGGTCCGTTCCTACCGATGTGGCCATTTTGAGGAACGATACCGTAATATAGTGGCATATGCATGGATCAGTCAAGTGACAGTCCTGGTGGCCGGTTCTGTATACGTGCCTATCTCCGCTCGTACGCTCCGCCGGCTTTGCGGCATTCTCTACATCCCTATCGGAAAGACATGGCAATTGGTCGTATTTTACGGTCGGGGGCTGGCCAAGCAATAGTTTTCTCGACGACGGAACAGGAAGTATTTTCTGTCTTCTTCCCGTTGATGTTGCTTGCACTACAGTGTAACTGGACTGGATGACCTAGTAGAGTGGATGCTAGAAGACGTACACCGTCTTATCCGTATCTTTGCTAATCTTTGGTAGTCACACCACATGTCTCAATTTATTTACTACTGTCCTGTCACTTCATGACTCAATACCGGCAGATGTATTATTCGTAATGCGGCTTACGAATTTGGCCATATTTTGTCTATATAGTACCTGACTCTCTTCTGCCGTGGCTACTTACTTGGTAGCCTCGTTCAACTCATTCCCTCGTTAGCTTTGTTATCAGAATCACACTCGTTCTGGCTGCTCATCACGAAAACTCGACCTATGCACAGCTGACTTATCGCACACAGCGGATTTTCCAACAGGAACGGTCGGGGAAATTCGCCTCACACTAGTCTTTTGCATCCTGTTCAGTAGAACGAGTCCAATCAGCCAACATGGAGAACACTGAGACAAAGAGGTTTGGCGATGGGATAGATCCTAATGCGTCGCCCTTGGGCAGTGTTAACACCGCAACCACCCCTGGCACCGAGTACTCGCCTGCAGACAGTCCTTTGCCCAGGAAAGTTACTCTAAAAGATAGTCGGCTTTCAGCCCAGGAGAAGTTGGCTTCTCTGAGTTTAGAAGAGAAGGTAGGAGGAGGCCCTTTCAACTCTATGATCGACACCAGCTCAACGACTTTAGGTGTCCCTCTTGACAGCCGCAGACTTTTGGCGGACGAAAGCCATCCCGGAAAAGAGAATCCCGGCAATCAAAACCAGCGATGGACCAAACGGTGCTCGAGGCGGGATATTTGTTGGAGGAACCAAAGTAAGTCAGCACAATGACCATCTCCTATACCTCACAACTGCTTAGATTCGATAGGCTGCGCTGTTTCCATGCGGTATCTCTTTGGCTGCAACATGGAATAAAGAACTCTTGTACGAGGTCGGGCAGCACCTTGCTGATGAGACCAGAGCAAGATCAGCGAATGTGCTTCTTGCTCCCACAGTTTGCATGCACAGGCACCCACTAGGTGGAAGGAATTTCGAGTCTTTCTCCGAGGATCCGCTCTTGACTGGTAAACTTGCTAGTCAATATATCCAAGGCCTCCAGTCCAAGGGCATTTCTGCCGCCATCAAACGTGCGTAGATAGGCTTCACTATCGTGGATCGTTCATGCAAACTAACGAGACAATGCAGACTTTGTTGCAAATGAGCAAGAAACTTTCAGGATGACTATCAATTCAGTGATGATGGAACGACCGTTGAGGGAATTGTATCTTCGCCCATTTGAGATTGCGGTTCGTGAGGCCAATCCGTGGGCAGTAATGTCGTCATACAACCTGATCAACGGCGTCCATGCTGACGAGAATATTCATACTCTGAAAAACATCCTCCGAGGGGAGTGGGGATACGATGGGTAAGTGTTCCCCAGGAAGATCTTTGTGGTTCCTTGATCCCGAAAACTAAGTATTGTTTAGCACGGTCATATCTGATTGGGGCGGTACAAACTCGACAGTTGAGGCCCTGAAAGCGGGTTGCGATATCGAATTCCCATTTTCCACTAAATGGAGGTTCGACAAGGTGCTCAAGTCACTAGAGGACGGGGTCTTGACGCAGACTGATATAGACCAAGCAGCAGAAAATGTCCTAACATTGGTGGAGCGAACAAAGGGAGACGACATGACTGAGGAACGGGCAGAACGTGAGGACGACCGAGCTGAGACAAGAGCCTTGATACGCCAAGCTGGTGCTGAAGGCTTGACACTCTTGAAGAACGAAGGGTCCATTTTGCCGATTGCCCCGGAAACAACCAAGATCGCAGTCATCGGGCCCAACGCCAATAGAGCGATAGCAGGTGGTGGTGGCAGTGCCAGTCTCAACCCATACTACAACACACTACCTTTAGACAGCATTCGAGCTGTCGCTCAAGGACAGGTCACTTACGCACAGGGGTGCCATATTTTCAAGTGGCTACCGGTTGCGTCGCCTTACTGTGCTGATAGATCTGGTAAGCCTGGGGTCACCCTTGAATGGTTCAGGGGGGATACATTCGAGGGTGAGGTCGTTGTTAAACAACGCCGAACAAACACGGACCTGTTCTTGTGGGATTCTGCGCCGCTAGCGGAAACGGGACCGAAATGGTCTGCAATTGCAACAACCTACCTCACGGCAACCCAATCCGGCAAACATACGATCAGCTATATGAGCGTTGGCCCAGGGCGTCTATTTGTCGACGGAGTGCCAGCCCTTGACCTATGGGACTGGACTGAAGAAGGTGAAGCCATGTTTGACGGATCGATCGACTACATGGTGGATATTGATATGCAGGCTGGCAAACCTATTGAGCTTCGTGTGGAGATGACAAATGAATTGCGGCCTATCGCAAAGCAAAAGACCTTCCACATGACGCACAGATATGGTGGGTGTCGTATCGGTTTTAAGCAGGCAGATGCTATCGACTATTTGCAAGAGGCTGTAGAGGCGGCAAAGGCAGCGGATGTGGCCGTGGTTGTCATTGGTCTGGATGCTGAGTGGGAGTCGGAGGGGTATGACCGAAAAACCATGGACTTGCCATCAGACGGTAGCCAGGACCGCTTGGTCGAAGCAGTGGTCAATGCAAACCCTCGTACCGTCGTTATCAATCAGTCAGGGTCCCCAGTCACGATGCCATGGGCTGACAAGGTGCCGACAATTCTCCAAGCATGGTACCAAGGTCAAGAGGCTGGCAATGCACTAGCCGATGTATTATTTGGCTTTGAGAACCCCAGCGGAAAACTACCTGTAAGTTTCGTTTGCTCAGGGTCCGGATTCGCAAGCTAAAGTGGTTCAGTGTACATTTCCCAGACGCATCGAGGATACACCGGCATACCACAACTGGCCAGGCGAGAACCTTCGCGTCCTGTACGGCGAAGGTCTCTACGTCGGCTACAAGCACTACGATCGTTCACGCATAGCACCGCTATTTCCGTTCGGACACGGTCTCTCCTACACAAGCTTCGATTACGGCCGAATTTCTTTGAGCAGAAAATCGCTCGGGCCCAATACACCGATTCATATGATAATGGCTGTGTCCAACATTGGCTCTGTCGCGGGCGCCGAGACAGTTCAAGTGTATGTGCGAGATGAGAAGTCCAAGCTCCCTCGACCTGAGAAGGAGCTTGTGGCGTTTGAGAAGGTTTTCCTCGAGCCCGGCGAGACTAAGCATATTACTATTGCACTGGAAAAGTACGCCGTTGGGTACTACGATGATTCACTGCGATCGTGGATTGCAGAGGAAGGTGCTTTCAAGATTCTTGTTGGCGCGTCCTCTACGGACGTCAGGTAAGTGAATACAGAACATCCCATGCTACTTCGGCATCTAATCAATTTCTGCAAGGCAAACTGTCTCCTTCGAGGTTGAAGACTCCTTCACTTGGATCAAGTGAGGAAGAGCCTCCTCCGCCGGGTTTAGTTTACAACAACGAGTAACAGACAAGCCGGTCTCCAGTGTGCGTTGTGGTTCTCATACCGGTAAGAATTTCGACGCATAGGCTTCAGGGATTGCTATCACACGCAGACCTAGCATGGCATTTCTCAGCACGAATGTTCAGTAGGCAATGGGCATATCATTGGACGTAGGCAAGCGTCTGAGAGCCATCAAACTATTCTACTACTTTGGGCCTGTCAGTTATTGCAACCTAATGCAAGTGCTCCTAGCCCAACAAATCATGTCAAATCATGAAAGTTCTCCGTTTTGAACGGTTTTCAATCGTAGCTACATACACGTCTGTCACTACTTGCTTGCATGACCTATGTTTGGAGGTTATTTTACATGTATGAACGCGTGGCTATTCTTGCGTGGGTTGTCACAAGACCATCGTCGTTGACCTCATTGATAGGCGTGCTCCCTCCGTAGAACCGCTTTCGGAAATCCGCGCATATACCTGCCGTACGAGGCCATCATGGCCTTTTTGGAGCATCGGAGGTTATCTTTGGGTGGGTCACATGGAGGTGGAATTCGATATTGCATTATGATGTATACAGGTCGGTCGTGAACGTGATCAGTCTCGATGCATGGACGGACCTCCTCAGATCTCACTCCTGTCATACCGAACCTTAGTACATGCAACCCCGCTGGTAGTCAGCCCTATGAAGGCTACGTGTATGCCCCCAATGGCCGGTACTTATCAATCGGAATGCTGCTCGCATAAGGATTTGATAATTTCATGTTAGCTTGACGAGGTGATACGCATGAGAAGCTTGCAATTAGTAGGGATAGTCGTCAACACTCAGGTTTGCAGTGCTGTTTACAGCTAATTACCATTCTGGTCCCAACTGAAAGTATGTCTAGGCAATAAAGTAGGAGCGTGTGTATCCGTCCCCGGAAAAGTCTCCCGAAAATGGAGAGGCATGGCATGTAGGTACAAATATTCTGATCTAGTTCATCGGGTGGTATACGGAGAGAGTGGTGTCAAAAGTAGCACATATACATGGCTGGTTCCAGAAAGCGCCCCCCCCCCTTTTTCAGCGATTTAGTGCCGCTTTCAGCGGACTTTCAGGGGGGGGGGGTGTGACAAGGGGCAGGTCCCGATTGAATTGCGGAGCTGCAGGGGAGTTTAACCTAGCTGCCTTAGCTGCCTATGGCCACCGTTTTCCTGGCTCAGAGATGCAGAGTGTTGTAAAGTTGGTGCTCATGATTGCTGCACATATTTGTGACAGATTTAAGGATAGACTACATGAGAGGGGAAGAGAAGAGGAGAGGAGAGGAGAGAAGTCGACGCGAAACCTTGTATTTTCTCCAGTGTCACAGGAAAACCGGCGTTTGCCATCGTTGAACTCCAATCTTATATTGGCGTTCCACATGCGAGGTACGAAGAAAGAAAGAAAGGCGCTTCGTTAACCTTGCGCATGTGTGCTGTGGGCACTAAATAGTGTCGAATCTCTGTCTTAGCGATCCACTGGAGGCTGAGGCGCGGGCCCTCCAATGGTCCCAAAATGGTCCCAAAATGGTCCCAAAATGGTCCCCTAACTTCCACGCCCAGGCACAACGAAGCACACTCTATCTAACCTTACTCTACTCCATCTGTAGACCACCAAACGCAATCGAATACCCCCTTGAACGAGCCACAGACGTGATCTTCTTGTACGACGGGTAGCCCGAAGCTCGAGGCCAAAAGAAAGAAAAAGAAGGAGAAGCAGAAGGAAAAGAACAAAAGCTCGAGCAGCGGGTAAGGAGCATACACGTCATTCTCCCCCAGATGGGCCTTTGAGCGCATCTTCGAGGCCGCGTCCTCGCCTACTGTATATCTCTATAGTACCTACAGCAGACCGAGGTTGAATCATAATGGCGGCCACGTCTTACAGCAATGGCTATAGCCATAGCAATAGCCACAATCCCGCCTATGGCCTGGTCCAGAGCGCAACCAATTCCTACTCGCCCTACAATCGCCCACCCTCGCCGTCCTCCGCAGCCGACAGCCCCCCGTCTGCATCGCAAAGATTGCTGGCTCGTCTGAGGATATATTGGCACGGCCGTGGAAAGAACCTGGCCTGGAACTTCCTCATGCAGGCCGCCCGCCGCGTCAAGGCCAACCTGGCCGCCCGCCGCCTCTTGAGCTTCCCGCACCTTCTGGTTCTGCTGTGGATGCTGGTCATGCTATGGGGCGAACGCTGGGCGTTCACAAGACAGGTACAGAGCTGCGACTGGGACCATTGGGAAGACTGGGTAAGTCCATATGGAAGATCCCCAAGCTATCCCCGAGCGCACTCGAGTTAACACATGTGTCTGTCCCTCCAGCCAGAAGAAGCAGCGCCCCATCGCTTGGTACTCGTCGCTGATCCGCAGCTCATTGATCCGCACTCGTATCCCGGGCGCCCGTGGCCCTTGAATCCTCTCACCTATACGATAACGGACAACTATATGCGAAGATCCTACAAGGCCCTGCAAAAGGACCTCAGGCCAGACACCGTCATGTTCCTCGGGGACCTGTTCGACGGTGGCAGGGAGTGGTCCACCGCACACGGCGAATTTGACGAGCCCGAGTGGATGCGCGGAGAGCGGCCTGCCGACGAGGCCAAATACGCAAAGAAATGGAACAAAAAGTACGGAGAGGACTTCTGGCTGCAAGAATACTTCAGATTCACCGATTTGTTTTACGCCAACTGGGCCCTGGGTGGCCTATCTCCAGGCGCCTGGCAAAGAGGTAGGAAGATAATTGCCAGTCTACCCGGAAACCACGACTTGGGTTATGGCCCCGGCGTCAAGCCGGTGGTGCGGAAACGCTTCAGCGCCTATTTCGGCGAACCCAACAGGGTTGACATCATCGGGAACCATACCTTCGTCTCTGTCGATGCTCTCTCCTTGAGCGCCGGCACTGACCCCAAGAAGAACGAATATCTCAACGGCATGAAGGCCATTTATAGCCCCGTCCACGAATTCCTCGACGACGTCGGGGCCGAGAAACGGAGGGCGGCCCAAAGGGAGCTCAAGTTTTGGAATGGGCAGATGGAGAACTTGAACTACGATCACAAAGTCGAGGAGATCAGTGACGCCGCCTTGAAGCCGTTACCCTCACTAGACGCAGGCGACAAGAGTCCAGATTTCCCAACTGTATTGTTGTCACACGTGCCTTTATGGCGGGACCCAGGAACACCTTGTGGTCCGTTAAGAGAACGGTCACCACCAACGAAGCCCCAAAGGGGCCAGACCGCGCCTGTCAATCCAGACCCCCGCAATGCCCTCCATAGCGTTGGTCATGGCTACCAGTACCGTAACGCCCTCACGGAAGAAGATTCTGTTCGGCTCATCAAAAGCATTGGAAACGTTGTCCAGGCGTTTTCAGGGGACGATCACGATTACTGTGACATAATCCACACCGAGACGAAGAACAAAGTTCGAGAAGTCACAGTCAAAAGTATCAGCATGGCCATGGGCGTTAAAATCCCCGCGTTCCAAATGGTCTCGCTCTACAACCCAATCGATGAGAAGGGCGAGTCTCTGCTTGCGGAAGGAATACCAACCCTGCAGACACACATGTGCCTGCTCCCCAAGCAGCTCTCGACATACACCACATACATCGCTTTAGCTATTTTGTCGCTTCTCATCCTCGCCATGAGAGCCTTCCTTGTGCCGGTTCTCAACCTGCAACCCTTTGCTCTTGATGTTGTTCCGCAAACGGATCCGTTGAGCTTGCCTACGTACAACAAGATGAAACGAATCGAAGCAGATCCCGAGGACGGCTACGGTGCACCCTCTTCGGGGCACTCGACCTCAAAGTTCCTTTCCGGGCGTACAAGGGCCCGTGGGGCATCTGTCACATCCAATGGCAGCGCACGTGGCATCTCGCCGAACCCGAAAGGCGGGAAATGGGGATGGGGTGGCGCGTCGCGTGGCCCCCGCATCGAGATACGGAGAGAGCTGTACGACGGGGGCAAGTCTCGCGGTGTCCAGTGGCAAGCATCGCGGCGGCCCAACTGGCGCTCTACACTTCAGACTCGTACCCAGCTCTTAGGGAGGGAGTTCTGGACGACGAGCTGGAGGGTCGCCTGGATGGTGCTCGGCTTCTTCGCGTATCTTACTTATGAGGGATAGCTGTACTGCATTATCAAGAGGGAAGAATGTGTATTGTTGAATTGTTGTATTCTAGATCATTGCTTAGAAAGGCGTTGGGGAGGGGTTTTTGCATTGCACAGGCGCGGCGGCATAAAATGGTTGTATATTGCCAGATCTGTACGAGGCATATTTGAAGGGAAAGTGGCACTGCACATGGGAGCGGGACGTGTATCATAGGGTGCTCACCATCGAGTCCGTCAGAGGGTATCACATACCTTGTCCGTAACTAATATATTGGCCAATGGTCAAAATTACCCATGTCAGATGATACCATGACACCGCCCAGCATCCCAGGCAGACTTGTATACAAGAGAACAGACAACAGGGAAGACATGCCAGGCTGCTAGAGCAACGGCTCCAGGTCTACCAAATGACAACATGACAGTGCCGAAGTGGCCGGGATTGTGAGGTCCTACGCGCTACAACCCGACCGCTACTCCGTTGCCCGGACCCTACAATGCATGGTGGCTTGTCACGTAAGAACACTGATGGGGGGGGGTATATTGATAGTATTTTATCGTGAGCACGACGACGCTTACACGGCAAGGTCATGAAGCAGTCCCCTTTTTCTGGGTCCTATATTGAATTGGGATATACGATATCCTTGAGTATTTGAGCGCCGTAATCACCAGGTATTTCCCAAATGATTCATTCCAATGAACCCCTCAGAATCCCCAAACCATAAACACATCTTTGATATGGTGGCAAAAAAAGAAGAGCCTCCCGTCATGTTGACATATATGGTCCCGAATCATGTCCGTTGAAACTCCAAAACAGCAAACTCCAACGCTGGTATCCTATATGGTAAAATAAAAATAAAAATAAAAAAGCATGTTATCCTTGAAGCCCAGTTGATGATGGCCTTGCGCAAAATAATGAGACATGGTGACCAAGACTTCCTCACGATCAATAGCTAAACTCGACATTGCCTAGCCCCATCGATTGTATTATCTTATCCTCCTCTGATCTGTTATCTCCATTGGTACCGGGGTCTGTATGGATCGTTTCTATGCTGTCGGTGGCGCTTGATCCAGTGACTGACGGTTGAAGTTCGTGCTCCGCTGGCGGTATGCCGCTGTTGGCAAATCCTTCGTCTCGTAATTGCTGAAAGCTCCAACTAGGTTCGAACTTCTTGCTGTGCCACGCATAATCCACGCGCTCGTACATTTCATCGATCTGCTCCAGGCTGATTTTGCTGGTTTCGAATACCATGCAGTACACGAACAGGCCGGACAGGACGCAAAAGGCACCCCATACATAAAACACCTTGGATCCCATATCCGCGGCACCAGCGCCCGTCCCTGTCATGTACGGTGTGCCGTAGGCGATGCCGAAGTTGAGAAGCCAGTTGGATGCTGTGGAGACGGACATGGCCTTTGCCCTGACCTTGAGGGGAAATATTTCGGCAGTGACTACCCAACATACGGGGCCCCAAGACGCAGCGTAGAAGAAAATGAAGAAGGATACAAAGATGATTAAAATCTTGCTAGAAGTTTCTCCGTCGACGTTGTTGGTCACACTGGCGAAGATGGCGATGGTAAGTTGACAGATAGACATGCCTATCGCACCGATGATCAATAGATTTCGCCGACCCCATGTCTCGACAACAAACAAGCCGGGCAACGTAGATACCACGTTGATAACGTTAGTGATGATGGAAATTAAGAATGGACTGTTCACGTCGACACCGTGGAAGAAGGTGGTCCCGTAGTACATGATGAAGTTGATACCAGTGAGCTGCTGTAGCATCTGCAGACCACAACCTGTCAGAGTTCGACGTCCTAGATGGGGTGCACCGAGGAAGATGTCCTTGTAAGAATCAGGCCCGAGGCTCATTTCGTAGTCGTGGTTGGCTTGAATCTCGGCAAGCTCCTCGACAAGCGCGGGATGCGTGATGTCCAAGCGTCGAAGTCGGCTGAGTGAAAGAGCGGCTGAGTCCTTCTGGCCTCTTTTGATGAGGTATCGTGGAGTTTCCGGAAGTATCAAGATACCGAGAGCCAGGATGCAAGCCCAGCTGAACTGTAAGCCGATGGGGATCCGGTAGGCAGCGGCACCATCCATCCCCTTCACTGCAATGTTGACCACAGACGATGTAAAGAGGCCGATGGTAATCGAAAGCTGATAGGCACAGACAAGTGTGCCACGAATCCATTTCGGGGCCATTTCCGACTGATAGAGGGGGACCAGGACCGACACGGCACCTACGCCGACACCAGCAAAGAACCTGTGGTTTGCATCAGCACTCACTATCAATGGATGCGTCCACTGGATATACACATACCGTCCCACCAAGAGCATCGGAATGGCATCGGCGCAGACCTGAAACACCACACCGAAACAGAAGACGCCAACTGATAAAAGGAGTGATAATCGACGGCCGAGAGTATCAGCACACGGTGCTGCGATCAAAGCACCAAGGGCGGTCCCGGCGCTGAGTATGGCGACAATAATGGCGGTTTGCGAGGGGGTTAACGCGGGTCCAGTGGAATCGTGGTAGCCTGTGCTGAATTGCTTCGTGAAAGCATCCATCGCCATGATGCCATTGATGGCGCTGTGCTGCATGTTAGCTGACAGACTGAGGTGCGACGGTGGAACAACACGGCACAGTAGAGCAGGTGTGACTGTGTCGCTGTTGCGGGCTGCTCACCCAGTATCGTATCCGAACAGCAGGCCGCCGGTAGCGACGAACAAGCCAACCATGATGGCTGGCGCTGAGGAACCGGCGACATTGTCGGGTTTGTGCCAGCCCATGGCTATCGCCATGGTGAAGGTGTTTGCGTCGTCAATCCAGGATTACGTGTCGAGGGCCGAATCGTTTGTAGTCGATTGAGTGAAAGGGTCAATGTTGGAAGCGATTTTGCGGGTTCCCATTGATGGAGATGGAGGCAGTTGTAGTGGGTAATAATAGAGTAGAGTTTCCAAAGTGGAGAAGCGAGAACTCAGCAGAGGGAAAAGGCGGGAGAACGTGAGAGAGGGAAAGTGAGGATCAGCACAGCGCCGGGTCGTGCTGGGGGCCTGGGAGTGGCTCGTCTGGATGTGAAGGGGGGTGGTGGTGGTGGTGGTGGTGGAAGGGGGGCCCGTGGACCTTTGAATGGGTGTCTGCTCTCTCTAACGAGGACATCAGCAGCGACAGCAGCACTGAGATGAGAAGAGAGACCGCAGACGCCTCAGCTGGCTGGCTGGCAGCCACGACGACGCGGACTAGGACTGGGGCCCTGGATGGGACGAGTCTTGGGAAGACTTTGGGGGAGGTCTTGGAGACTCTTGGGACTGGCGGCGGCGCGGTGCAAAGTGCCCACACCAGGGCTGTCGGCACCCTATTGGTCTGGCTGTGGCGTGTGGATGCGCTCTAAGCGAATGCATCGACGAGGACCAAAGCAGGTAAGCGCATTGCGTACAACGGGTTTGCGCCTAGGCAAGCTGGTGCTGGAGCCGGACACATCCTAGTCATCCTACTCTAGCCTGACTGGCTCATCCGGCTCTCGCCAAGTCCCCAATGATCGAAGCCAGTGCTTGTTCGTGCAGGTCACCGTCTCTACAGAGCAATATTTGAAATTCCAACCTGGCTGCCTCGCTGGACCGGATCGCTGCTGACGGTCTTGTTTTGCAGCGCTACTAAAATATGGCTTGTGGCACAACAGGCTGGTGAAGATGGTACCTAGCTCAGCACGAACGAGGCATTCTGTCTTTTGCTGTTTTTGGGTGCGCTGCTCGTATCCACATTGAGTGCTGCAGTTTGACCTCTGATTGGCGTTGTTTGGCAGGATGGAGTTCAAGCTGAGTTCACTACCCAATTTGAGAAAAGAAAATCATTCTGGGGTATAGTGCGCCGATCAAGGCAGTGCTTGCTGCTGTTGATGAGCACTTTAAAAAGACAATCATGTGTGTTGGGGGCAGATCCAAGGTGCTTCCATCGACAGGGCTACCATTCCAGCAGGTGACCGACTCCGCAAACGGCCACATCTTGGAGGTCTCCAAATCTGAATAAGGGAAGCTGCATGGATTGCATGCAGCGTATTTCACTCATGCCTCTTGGCGCAGGAGACTTGGTTGTGCGCTACCATGCTGCTGCTATCGTCTTGTGGTGCACTTGAATTATAATTCCTGTAGCCCTATTCAGCGGTCCATGTCGCAGCATCTGATGCCAATGCCGGACTCAATTCCAGAGCAACGGAAGCGCTTTTCTTTGCCCTGTTGGTTCAAGAAGCGAAACTCCCAAAATCCATCGATCTCCTTGCTTGTAGCGCACCACTGCTAGCGGTCATGATCACAATACGGCTCACGATGTGAGATAAATGCTGAGCATGTTGCGGAGTAAGGTGGACAGTATACGACTCAGGGATAGCGCAGTGAGCTTGTTGTTCAGCCCAACGCCTTATCATTATACCCATCATAAATTTGGGGCGGTGAATGGGATGCAAAAGCGACGACTGCCATTCTGGGAACTCCGTGTGCTTGCTTGCTCATTGAGTGTGGCCTCCTGATGGGTCAAATTCCAGACTGACTCGAAGCCGATGGGCTGGCTCGATTGATCTAAGACAATTTGCGGGGAAAACACGTCTAAAGCTTCCCCGGGTAGTGGGTCCTGTCAGTTGCCAGTCCCACTGATGCGAGCCAGCATCTTATTATTAATTCATTCGGGCCTGTTTCCCCAGCATCAACAATATTGAGGTAATCAGCGTGGTCACATTCATTGACCACTCCGTTGACAAAGTTAATTGCGTTTTGATTCCTCTGCTCTCCTTATTTATTTGAAAAAAAAAAAACCCCCCCCCAGAGTCCAACCTGTCGAGATTTGGGCGTTGGCACCGGCCATCTGGATCGCTCGTCACTTCGTGCAGGATCTTGCGCTGCAGCTGTCCGCCAGGCCATGGTTCGTGCCCGGTGGGATGAACCAACCTCTGTGAAATCATCAGCACCGAGATGTAGCTGCAAGTACCCTCCAACCCGAAAAGAATACGAAATACATACATAAATCTTTGGATTGTTGTCTGCCCCCATGCCTTCTAAATGTGTTTAACAAGTGTAGAAAATGCCTGGGATGTGTTTCATTTGTCATCATCAATTGTTGAATTCACTTCGGTTATGCTGTCCGTGAAGAGAGGTATTCAAACCCGGATGCCGCGGGTGGACGGTTCGTACACCAAGGCCACTAAGACAAAGTGCATATGCCCGTTCACGCTTCGAGCCCTTCGTGTCCTAGCATTAACTCTATGTCTAGAACGGAAGATTGTTTCTCATCATCCGTACATTTCTCTAGGTAAGCCGCCATCGGACAGTGGGCAATTGCAGCTGCTACTTTTGGGAATGGCAAATGATTTGGTAATATGGTTTTAATTAGGGTCAATTATAACATTCCATGAGTCCAAGGCTGCTTCACGCTTTCAGCGAACATTAGAAACAGCACTTCCGGTAACACATCAATCAATATCTTCCCAAATGACATTTGGAACTCGTGCTGAACCGGCTTGGGAGAAAAGGAAAGGGGACGAAAAAAAAAAAAAAAGGGGGCGCAAAAGCGAAGTAAGACACCACGCTTGCGTACTTCTGTCAAAGTGAGTCAGCGGCTGGCAACAACTTTCAGCCCATGCAAAACACAGCTTGAAATGGCTTTTTATTGAATTTTTCTTCTGTTTGTCGAATGCAAAATATTAAATACAAGGAAATATATATAATAGAGCTGCAAGTCTTGATCGTCTTATTACGGCGCCTCCAATTCTTACCTACTCTCCATGTAGCAATATCATAAAAGATCACAGCATCCAAATAAAATATGCGTCTCTTCCGTCCACCTTGCCCGGTCTTGGGGTTCACAGAAGCATTCCTTCGCTGACATGACTGCCTTGCACCTCCAACCCCTTACTAGTGTGAACAAAAGAAAGAGAATCCGCAGGGGAGTCGTTCTGTACACGGGATACTACCTGGCTACCGGGTTTCTTCCGGCCTCACTGCAGTGATAATGCAAGGTCATCCTTTTGATTGTAGCACAGCATTCGCTCAGACCGAAGCTGCAAGGGTTCAATACACTCCGTACGTCACCTCAGCGGCATTTGGCGACGCTGTGGCGATGAAATAGGGAGATGAGAGAAAGTCGTTGCACAGAGGAAACATACTTCTCCTTTGTAGAATATGAAGATTTCTAACCTTCGGTAATTCTCTCGTATAAAACCTAAGCGTTTTTAGATGGAGGATAATACAAAGCCAGCTTTTATTAGCATCTAGAACTACCAATTCGTACCTCTACAAAGCTGAATTGCTAACTGAGCCGGATCCCTACATGCCGACGTCTACATCCTCTAAGCAAGAGACTATCATGGCAAGTTGTGGGAAAGAAAATATGACCTGAAGCAAATCCGAGCCTGGGCTGTTGTGGTTATCTATCAAACGCCAACATGTCTTCATACGAAAGTACAGTACATCCATTGCGCCACAACCTACTTCGTCAAAACTGTATGTCATCCGGATCGTGCCCTTTTCGCGCAGGATGTTGCCTTCTGAGCGCAGCGCAGGGATACCGAAGCCATCGGATCCCCGTCCGTCTAAACATTCTTATATTTTCAAAACCATGCGTAAGCTACAACCACTAAGGAGACCATTTCACAGCAAATGGCGTTTGGCGACTCGCTTTCTGACCCTTTTTCTATCCCATGCCCAGGACAATAGGCTACTCTGCAGACCTGTCACTAGCTGTTCAAATCTACACAGCCGCAATGCTGCTTTATGCCTGGATATACGACATGAGTCAACGTGGATAGCTATTCGATCTGCCCCTTAGCCTAGTAAATTTTTATAGATCTCGCACGGGAATCTTACTGTGGATGTGGCGTTTGTCATGTCAGGTCAAATTACGGTAGGTGACACAACAATGAGGGCGTGATATGGGGCCCATCAACGAATTGAGAAATGTTTAGAAAACGTCATCCGCCAGTCGTATAAACATTTAATGGAGGACGATTGGTGTTGCAATCACGTCGAATGATAGGATAGTGGCAGGCCCTGAGGCTATCCCAAAGTATTTGTTCACGAAAAATATCAATACAGAAGCAGCTCCTTCGCGAAAGGTGGTCAGAGCATCGGGTAATCCCAATCGGTTGTACGTATCTCGAGAAAGGGAGTTGTCACGTGTGATTGATGGGCCATGTTGGTGGGCGTCGACAGCAGCAAAGGTGATGTTCATACTGTGAATGCATTCGAAGTGACAACTATAGATACAGCTATAATCTACGCCGAGGTATTTTGTGATATCCACTTGCATCATTCAAGGATGATGCGGAGGGTATCTGACCGCCATAATCCAAAAACCTTACCCAATGCGCCGCAAGCAATGTAAGACATGATGAGATATTTAGATCTCAAGTGTAACTTCCTGCCCCTTCACCCGCCCTATCACCTGTTGAGGGGCGTACTTGGGAATGACCTCGTCGTCGTGCAACATCTCAAACTCCTCCGTGGCATCACGGCCCATGAAGTTCATGATAGCCTGTGGACCACCGGGATGCTCCTCCAACCAGTTCGAGAGATCCATGACAACACCTTTGACGACGACCCATAGATCCTCCTTTGTGTTGTGCTTGGCGACTTCCTCCAAGGTAAATTCCTTTTCAGGGACTTCGAATTTCTTGGCGCTCTGAGGCTTGGAGGCATTCTCAGAAGACTTGCCAGCATCGGCCTTAGGAGTGGGGCCGGTTGCGGTGGTGTTGCCGACGTTTGTTGACGAGCCTGAAGCACCGTTGCCCCATTCTACTGAGACCTTACCGGGCTGTGACGGATCAATGTGCAGAGAGATCTGACCCAGACGGGCTGCGGCACCACCTGCGGCAGTGTTGTTGAGTGCTTGTTGGAACAGATAGTTGCTTGCTGTGTCACCGGCAACACGACCATAAACGACACAACCAAGCAGGGACGAACCTCCGAGACGGTTGGCACCGTGAACACCACCGGCCAACTCACCGCAGGCGAAGAGGCCGTCGAATGGCTTCAGGTCTTTGTTCAAGACCTGGGCCTTGTCGTTGATCTCAATACCACCCATGGTGAAGTGGAGAACCGGCTCCATTACCGCGACATGGAAGTCGTCATCAATATCAACTGGCAAGTTGTGGAAGAACTTCTTGCCCCATGGGTCCTTTTGCTTGCCATCGGCAATGGCGTTATAGGTCTTGAAAGTGCTTTGAAGGTGGTCGGGCGAGCAGCCAATCTCCTTGGCGAGCTCCTTGCCAGTCATCTTCTTCATCAGACCACGGCCAGAGTAGTGGCGAGTATGGAAGTCCAGGGTGTTTGAAGCTTTCGAGTTCAGGATAAGGCGAATTGGGAACTTGCCGTTGTCCTTCTCCTTCCACATCATGCCGGAGACGTAATCTCTGTGGCCAAGCTCGTCGCAGAATCGGTCACCGTCGGCGTTGAGAAGTAGACCACCCTCACCACGGAGAGCCTCAGCAGCCAAAAACTTCCACTTGGATCCAGGGTCCTTGGGGTCAACGAGACCAGTAGGGTGAACCTGAACCTTGTCCATGTCGATGCCGTTTCCACCAATAGCCATGACCATCTTCTGGCCGTCACCAGTGGCGTGTGAACCGTTGGTGGTAGCAAGACCAAAGGTGTCGGGTCGGTGCTCCTTCAACAAAGAACCCTCGCCGAAATCAGCAGCATAACCACCAGTTGCCAAGATAACTGGGCCATCAAGACTTTGGCTTTCTCCATTGTATTCGTATGTAATACCAGTGACATTGTTGCCGTCCTTGTTGAGGCCGGTGACGCGGGCCTTCTTGATGATCTGGACTCGTTCCGGCTCGTTTTCGGCGAGGTCTTCCAACCTCTGCATGAGGGCGTAGGTGATGGCCATACCAGGGAATTTGGCATCATGACCTCTGTGAGTTCTTGGTTGGGAGTGGCCGCTGTACAAAAGGTTAGAACTCGGGATCAGATGCATTCGAGGGGTTCGCCATTACTCACCCTAGTCGCGAAACAAGGGTCAGATCAAGGTTGAAGACATCTTGCAACCACTCGACGGCGGCAGCAGACTTGTATGTAAGAACCTTGATGAGATCTGGTCTCGCCTTGTCACGGGCGGACTTCAATGTGTCGTCGTAGAATTGTTTCACGCTGTCTTGAATCTTGTGGTCGACTTGCGTACGGGTCAAGGCACCGTTGATTCCAGATGTGGCTTTAGTGGAGTTTCCACCAAAGAAACCTGGTTCGAAGCGAGGTGAGTTAGAAGGGTGCAGCTCGTGGTACACAGCCTCTGCATGCAGTTGCGTGCTTACCTTGCTTGTCAAGAACGACTACATTGCCACCGGCCAAATAGACTGTGTGCGCAGCACTCAAGCCGGACACTGCGGAATTGCATGGTCAGTTTCATGTGATCTGGATCAGGCGACATTGACGTCGGTCAGCGGGGACAGCTGGGAGAGGGTCTTACATCCACCACCGACGACGATTACTCTCGGAGCCATCTTGGAAGCGGGTGGTATAGATAAAGGACTATCAATGCAGGATAATGGTACAGCGCACGAAATGATGATGGCTGGATGTCTGGCGATAAGAGAGGATTGTTGGGAGGGAGAAGGAAGTCAAGTTGGAGGAATGCGAACGAGCAGGTGATAGATAGATATTGTATTCGCCGCGTTGCTATGGACCGAAGCTAACTCCGTCCTCTGTGAAATGCTGGAACGCTGATTCGTGAGCCGAGGTCAGAGCATGGGCAGGGGTTCCAGCTAGTTCCAGCATCAGAAGCTCAGGAATAGCGCCCATTTGAGCACTAAAACCAAACCCATAGTAATAATGGCCCGAGGCGCAAACGATAACATTCTCCACCCGAAGAGGGTCGTGGGGTCGAAACACTATGTACTTCCACAGTACGGGGTGTGGAACTTGGAAATGGCCATCATTTCTCCCTTCCAAGGGGGACACGAGAATCGAATGACCTAATTCTGTGGTTGTTTTCACAGCACAGATTCATCAGCCTCTCTCGTCCAATTAGAGGCATATAAATATGTATATGCATCATTGATTTCAACCTCGAGAACTACCGCGACATAAAGACGTCCGAGTCTCGCTGCAACTTTTGCCCGAGGTTTGTCTCTAGCGTTCAAATGGGCCAAAGGGTAATCGCTATCATGTAAACTCCATATACAATGATCCGTAGAGGTAACTGGCGCTCAAGTTTCAACCCTTTCATTTTAAGTCTTATTTTCATGTTTTTCTTTCCTTCCTCCACTAAAGAGAACGAACACGCTCAAGGATGCTTGCATGCATTACCATTCCTGGCAGTGAAGATGCAGACAATTGTGAATCGCTAGCGCTTCTCCGCCCGAGTCACTGGGCTCGTTTCGGGAAGAATACCGACGCCTCGAGTCGAGGCAACATTCGCCGATTTTCGTCAGTTCTAGCACCGAGAGCGGCTTCCCCCACAGTGTGGACTAAGATCCGGGAATGGAGAACGTGGGGAACTCTGGGGGTTAATAACGTCCGAGAGACAGACGTCAACAAAAAAACAAAATTTTAATCCTTTTTCGTCCTCCGAAACTGTTATTCTTTCAAATGTCTTTCTCCGTTGTAGTGTTCGTCAACCTCACATGGTGTTGTGAAATCTCTACCGACATGGCACCGGGAACTTTTGACATGTGAAGAGCGGCAAACCCCAGGTCTCAACTAGCCACTCACTAAAGGTACCAACCATATCACGCGGGGAAGCCCGTAGTGGGCACGGCTTCCCCCACAGATCGAGTACAGGCGTGTCATTGCTGTCAGATGATCATGCTACCACAGTAGAAGCAACGTCCCAGGTGGTAAACAGTGGTTGTTGGAATTTGGCATGTGAAAACGCGACTACTTCTACAACTCAGACGTCATGCAACCCGACCCGAGCAGCCTGGCTACGACGGCACACATATCGTCTCTACCAGTTGTCGCAACTGATCTTGCGGAAGATGGATCACAGATGGAACGATGAGTACTTTTACAGTGCTCTACACGTGGTCAGCCTGGACATAAGTTGAAGTGCTGGATTTCGTCGACTGCCACATGCGATGCGATGCAGCTAAAAACTGAACTTGGTACTATTGCGGGTAGGGTCTTGTCTTACGCTTTTTAGTACGTGCCGCATAACCCTGCAGATTGGCCAATATTATAGTATGCTCTTCGAGATACAGTGCTCGTGAAGGACTCAACGTTACGATTTTTTTTAAAATTACCAAATACTCAGATCGCAGCCCCGCCTCCCTCGAGGAAGAGCTCTCGCTCCGGTGGCAGGCAGCCGAAACGCTGCGGCAATACCTTCAGAGTGGTGTAACATAACACCGGGATAACATAGAAAGATCGCTCTGATTGGCATATAATTAGATGGGTTGCTATAAAATTCCATTGACCTGACTCATCCATCCTCCGAAAACGAGGGTTGGGAACGGTGGTGTCTTGGCGTTGCTGATCGTATCTCTGCAGATTGTCATCAGACCTAGGACCCGGCTCAACATATCTGAAGAGAGACTCAACGCAGCACGGCTCTTGCAATTATGGGTACGTCTGAAAGATAGTAAAATTGCTCAGATTACGAGCAAGTATCAGTATTCACTGCCGCTTGGTTTTTATTCTTGACTTTGGTTACTCTATAATTCTCAGCCATAGACTCTGGTCTCCCACGGCTCCTACCTACACCCTACCGCACTAGATTGAAGTCGATTTGCAACCGATCAGACTTCCAAGCAATGGCTTCCTTTGGAATATATCTGTCCATCAGTCGTAACAGATCAAGGTCTACGTTTGAGACATCCGTAATGTAGGTGGATAAGCTGTCAATGACGAAATACTGGGGATCTCGTGCTGAAAGTCGAGCATTCCTCTCAGAGGTGATGGACGATTTGAAAAATGTCATGATTGCTGGACTTTGAACAGCCACTGCTGAAACACCTGAGCTCTTGTGAAAATGCTCACATTGAGTCCAGTCCTGTTTTAATGGAGCTGTAATATATCGTCGTATGCTACTTTGCCTCCGAGTCGTAGAAATGCAATTCCAGTGCGCAATTCCCTGACGCGCGAAACTCTCGTTACGAAGAAAGGTTGGGTGCTCGATAAAGTGCTCTCGTTTCAAATTAACGCGCAAGCATCCTGCTGGTACACAGTCTCTTATAAGAAGCGATTCGCGTTGGGTCCCATTCCTCTTGTATCCGGCGGGTGGTATCTTGTAGACTATGACCGTGTGGCGACGCTCTGTCAAGGCGCATTCGCGGCTCTCTTGGTTCACTATCAATAGCGGGGACACCAGGTTTCGAGTTGGCAGGAGTGTTCCTGTTTTGGCGCAGAAAAAGACAAGTCGCGAGCAGTATTCATCTTCCAACGCATCTTCCCAGATCTTTAGCCGTAGCTCTTCAGGAAGTTGATCAAAATAAATTAAAGACATTTTGAAGGTATGTAAGTTACTCAAGAACTTTAGAGCATGGTTGAAGTTCGGTCATGTGGTAATATTGTGGCGGTGCATTCATGTGGCGTTGTGTATTTCTTTTGGGATTGTGATGAGGTTGTAATGAACAAGAGGGTGAGGAGAGCATGACTCGCTCAAATGCCCGGCAAGTTATAGTAGATATATATCTCGACTACAGATTCTCGCTCATTAGTTCCTGTGAATGTGTAACAGGTGGAAACATGGGCCAGAAATTTTTTCGAGATTTACCTAGCAACATTCAAATAATTAAAGCGACCGTGGTAGTCATAAAGATTAGGCGTGTCATGACGCCTATGCTTGAGGAAATATCACGTGAGGGATAGAGGGCTTTGGAAATAGAATAGAGGTTGTTCTTCAGTGGAAATGACGACTGTCTATCGATACCAATTAGCTAATCTGCAAATATCTGGATAACTTGCCAAGAAACTCTTTACACGTCAAAACCTCTAGCTCGCATTCACCTTCAATCTGCGCTTGTGTCTCGAGATCCCCTCTCACGTTCCTTTCCCGCGTATCGTCTTCAGTAGATTTATCATACTGTTATTCTCGATCACAGTATGAGTGCGCACAGAGTCGGCATGGGCGTTAGTGCTTAAACCTTTCCCGTGGCGGCTTCTGTACTGGTTAACAGCCCCACAAGAGCTTCATTCATGCCGTCATGTCGCCAATGGACGTACTCGGAATAAAAGGAAGCGAGATATATACTGGTCTCGTCTCAAGTCGGGTCTTCCGTGGTAGAGAAAACGACTACTGTCGCATTTATATTGGGTAACAACGCATGGTGTTAAAATAGACAAAAACGTTTCATGATTTGTAGTCTTCTACAAAAATTCCCCCTTCCCCCCCCCCCCCCAAATCAGGCATCGCAGCTCCGTATGTAAGTTTGTCAAACACGTCAAGGACATATTGGTGAAAAACTATTGCTTCCACGCCGTGGACGTGAGTTGGTGCTATCGTTCTTGATTGTGGTAGAAGACACACTGGATACTTTTAAGGGCTGTTAACTGCAAAGGTAGTATGATAGAGCAGATATCAAGTGGTATCTCTGTAGTAATTTGGGATGTTTTTGCTTTGTTTAACAGAGGTGATTTGTGCTGGTCACGTTGTTTGTATCCGGATGTCTTGAAGTGGAAAACTCTCGATATATCTGAACTAACATCTTGCAAGCGAGGCACTTCCACGGAAAAAAATTTGCCTGGTTCCCTAGCTTTGAGGAGAACGTTAATGAGACGATGGTCTCGTTGAAACGAGAAAAAAAAGTGTTGAACATAGTTGTTTATTGCAAAACACTGTACATATTGCCCATGGCTCCGCGCAAGTTTCATCAGATATTCAGAAGAGCCTTTTGAGGGCATATGATAGATGATGAAAGAGTTCAACAAGACTTTAAGCTTGCCGCTGAAAATGCCCAATCTTGATATCCGTTTCAGAGCGTAGGCCACTTGCCACTTTCGACCTCTGTTTTTGCTCTCTTGCATTTACACTAGCGAGGCAGCAAAGCGTCGTTCGACTAATATCAGCCTAGCTTATAGGCACAAATATGAAGATTTAGGTCTATAAAAGAAGTTCTCAAGTACAAGGGCAGCCTCTCGAAAGAATTGGAAGTTCACTTCTAACATCAGTTAATTCAAAGATGCTAAAACCGCTGCGTATTATGCATGTAGAACGTGTAAAAATGTCTGATGGTCCGATTTCGATTATGTTGTCACGAATTCTCATTGTAATTTGCATGATCCAGAGGCCGACACAGCTTGCTGATGCTCTGGTCCAACTCCTGAGTGGAGTTGGCAACGCTCACTTCAAGCATAGGGTCTGAACTACCTTAGGTGCAAGGCAGCATCAGGTCCAAAACATACAGAAACTACGTAGCTTGATGCGTCTGGGAACAACTACCAGCACCATCTACCTATTGTCCCATTTCTTGTACAAATGACGTAACTATGCACGGGAATGGAAATTTGTTAATTTGCGAGGTGATGAGGCCGGGTGAGAGTTTGGGTGCATTAAATGGAAACCAAACAAGTTATTTCATCTATATGTATACAGTCGTAAGAAGACCCAACGCCAACACGGGACTGTGTTGGCCCGTGACCACAACCGATTACCGATTACGCCGGCTATCAGAACCATGCTTTTCTGCCCATCAAAGAATCCGTGCGAAATGATGTCCTCCGCAAACTGTTCACTAGCGGTCTCCGCCACTAGATGAGTAACATCATGAGTGTGCTTTGCGGATGCCCAACCCGACGCTTGCAAAGTAGACAGTGGACATCTAGCTACCAGTCAAAGGACGTCAGAGGGTGGGGCATCCTCGGCAACGTCATCGAACACTCTCTATTTGTCCTTGCGAGTGCCAGCAGCGGGCTGCGTGGCACCATACTTCTCGGTGAGGTCGTGGTACTCGCGTTGCAGACCCTCGGACTGCTTCTTGAGTGTCTCAATGTCCCGGTCTTTCTTGGTGAGCTCCTTCTTGAGACGGGAGATCTCACCGGCGTCTCCGGCAGCAGCGAGCTTGGCACTCTCCTTGGTGTTCTTGTCGGTACCCTCGTATTGCTTGAGCTTCTCCTCAAGGCGAAGGGTTTCGATGATCATGACGTAGGTGCGGTTGAGAATCAAGGACAGAAAGAGGGTGAAACCGCAGAGGTACATGTTGCGCTGGGAGTAGAACTTGCGAGCTTGGACTTCAAGGCGCTCGTGGCCCATGACAGCACTGGTTGCGGTTAGTGTTGAGCTGATCAGGCGGAGCTGAGACAAGCACTTACCCTTGGCCCTTGATGCCATCAGTGGCAGCGGCCAATTCAACTTGCACGCGGTAGACGCGGTTGACACTGTCGATGAAGAGGATGAGGATGAAGATGAAGGTTATCTTCAAGCCATGTTGCAACCTCGCTATTATGGGGTTCTCGGAGATGAAGCTGAACATGGGGAGGTTAGGACCTAGAGATGTGGGAAGAACGGCTGACGGGACTTACGTGAAGAGCTTGCGGCGGATACCGAATGGCATGGGAATGACAAGCAGCATGAATAATGCCATCTCCGTCACAAGGAGCATGAAGACCTGTTCATAAACCATTAGCGAGTCGAACATGACCATGAGGCAACGCGTCGTGTGGCCGGTTGACGGTCGGGAGCACTCACGAGAGTGTAATAGAGCGTCATGTTGACGGTATTTCAATTTGGTTGTGTTGGGTGTTTTGTTTGTTGTTCTGTTCTCGGGTTCAGACTCAGATTCAAATTCTGCCCTGGAAGACAAACGGTACGTGGTAGTCGTCGCGTGTATTGTCTTGTCGTGTCTTGTCGTCGAGCAAAGAAGGAGGGTTTTGGGTGTCCTGGGACCTTTTATGGCAGAAGTCAAAAAGGTGGCCTATCCCAGTTGCCGGAGCTGCCTTGGCTACGTAACTCTCTGTCAATCAATCGTGCGAAGGTGGGCTTCAGCTGTGTCGGGTCAGCAACGTCATACGTGGCTTGAGCTCCAGCCGCACAGCGCGAATACAGATTACGGCCTACGGATTGGGGTGGCTTGTGAGCTGCGGCCCCCTAAAGAGTTTAGGCTAGGTATGGCAATGGCATTCCGGCCCACTGCATCGTCATCCTGCCGTACCTGGCACAGATGAGGTCCTATTTACATGCAGTAGCACAGATGTTTGTTCACAACCGTTTGCACAGTATACAACGTGGACAGTCCCATGTTTATGCCAAGTATTGTGCCCAACAAAGAATTGACGGCCATGAATGCATCGTTCAGAATTCACGTCAGTCACGTACCAAGCATACTGCAGTGGCACCTTGCAGTACGCATACATACATCATTACTCTAGGTTAGTCTAGCCTTAACGGCGCTGTAGGCTTGCCCTAGGACGCGCTCTGGAACATGGTTCGGCACACGAAGCCGCGCTGGTTGAGGTAGTTGGCCATGGCCCGCGCCTACAAGCTGTGTAATAGTCATCGTGCTCTGCCAATGCTGTAACCCCGAGTTGTTTGTAAGTGGTCTGTATTGTATCATGGTTCCTCCCCCAAGAACTCAAAACATGTACCAAACGACTACCGACATTGTTGCTGGGGCTAGGTTAGGTGGTGACGGTGACGGTGACAAATGCAATTTCACCTGTGGAAAGGTCAACCAGCACTGTCCGTTTGCAGCAATTACGCGTAGTTTCGAACACCTTTGATAACCCAAACCTCACCGTTGCCGACCTTACTAGCCACACTGTCAACCTCCAAGTTATCCGGCTGGATCTGTACGTCGTTAGCATTATTGCTGGGGCATACTTGGGAACAAAAGAATATCTTACCACTTTCTTCCCATCCTTAGCCTCCCACCACACATCCCTATCACCTAGCAGCGTCTTGACCTTTTCATTCTCTTGCCAAGGACTAGCCGGCACGATATGCGCTTCTGCAAATCTTCTCAAATTCCTTTGTGCCCTCTCTTGCCCATCCTCACCCTCATAAGCAGTTGTGCCGAGAGTATCATAGTCTTTCGCGTCCTCCCATGGCTTGCGCGGTAGTTTCTCGACGGCACTGTTTAGAGGCGCAAGGATGGTCGAGTTCTGGGACGAATCTTCCAGGCGTTGCGATAACTCCAGGATGTCGCGTATAAATCCCGCAAATGTGTTGATGCTGCGCTCCTTTCCCATCACGTCAGACAGCATCACGCCGCCTTGCGACGGCTGCGAATGTGGCGGCTTCAGAAATGACGGGAGTGAAGGACCGCCCGGGCCTACAGGATCCATTGCGAGGGGCCGCTGGTCGTCGTCCTTGGATGGAGTGGGGCGACGGTTGAAAGCTGGAATGAGGAGTTGTGATGAAGCGGCACCGAAGAGAGTGATAATCGTACACAAAATCAATGGCTTCATCTTTGGATTATACGTATGAAAGTGATTCGAGCGCCCACCTCGAGGCAGTCGTAACTCACAAGTTGTTCCAAGCTGTAGTGCATCAAATGGGCGGGATGACATCATTAGTGCGACCAATCAGCATGCAAGCTGAGTTACTGGACTCTCTGACCCGTGCATGAGTTACGCTGCCTACACGCAACTACCTCTGAGAAGCCTGGTATAGTCTCACGGTAATAGACGCAAGTAGCAGAATGGTATCGGCAGCGGATTGTGGACATGGGGCAATCACTTCCGGTGTGGAAATCTGGCAGGTTGTATGAGAAGAGCCACGGGTCCACCATAGACTCGAGAGAGCAGGACCACAAAGCTCACGGGAGTTGAGCTCTGCTCACGTTCAGGAAACCCGACCATCAATATACTGTCTGGGCTACGTACGATATCTCCGCTTCTTTATTTCGGGTACTACGCCTGGTACACTACAACGTCACAAGCAACGTAATAGATTCTTTATACCAGATCATTTCAAGGACTTTCTTCGCGCGTCATGTTGTTTGCTCGCTTTGATCGACTCTCAAGGCCGCTGCGATGGCCGATATGGGAGTTTGCTAGAAAGAGAAGTACCGCGATCGCGTGGTTCTCTACTGTGAGGTTACCGAAACGCTGCTGCCAACAAGTAGCCTGGCGTCGCCTTTGTTAGTAGTGGGCCTCCGAAGCAATTGGGGCTTGCTCCGAGAGACTCCGTCTGAATACCTCATATCAAGACGCTGACGGTCCTATCGGAAATGGAAGACTGAAGTGAACGTCAAAATGTCTACAGCCTGTCACAGTACCAAGCCCTGTTGAATCTGCCACGTATCATCCACTCTTCACCAGTGACTAATTAGTACCATCCCAAAACACGAGATAGCGGGTTTCTTTAATGATGAACAGCTGATGGATCTTACGATCTCATCATCAATTCTACAATCTCGCTATCATTCTTCTCCGCTCCCTCGATAGAAGAATCCCTTGGGTTGCCATCTCATGAGAGTCTGGCTTGGTTCGCGAAGGCTTTCGTCAAGTGCCCTACGTGGTAGCTGGGTAGTGGATAACACAAAGTCTTTTTATATTTTCATGTGTCAAGCTACAATTTTCGTGCCATTTAAAAATCGTACTCCGGAGAGGGCCGTCACGGTTATCGTCCAGCTTGTCTTCTTTTGGATCTTCTCAGGGATGAGTCTGGTACATCTTCATATTCCGGCTTCTCTTTTCTCTTCGTACCGGCTTTTTTGACGTCTCCAATAGCAGGTTTCGCGGCCGACGGCGTTAGTGTTGTGTCTCCCTCAGCCGCGGGCAACGGCTCATCCTTCATCACCACATACGCAACCTTTTCAACATCCGTTGCGCTTACGCCGAGTCTCTTTACCAAAGCATGAGCGCAGTCGTTTAGTTTTTGATACTCCTTCGCGTTATATTTGATGGGCGTCTGCTTTCCACTGCAGGAGAGCCACCAAAAGGCTTCATCGGAGAAGAAGATGACCCGTTCTGGATCATGAACAGAGAGCAGCAGTGATGCTGTGGCAGGGCCGATGCCCTTTAGTTTTGATATCGTACCGAGAGCGGCATTGGCATCCGGTGACTTCCAGTATGCTCTCATAGCATTTTCTACCGTCTCCTTTACTGCCTCTGCATCGTTGGATGAGACAAGCTTCATGAGAGTTGGCCGAAATTTCCCATGGCGACTTGGGCAGTGTTAGCAACCTGAATATCCGGAGGCTGGCAGGTCGAACAAGGCATTGCATCACACTGAAGCATGACTTACAGCTTCCAGTCTACCAGTATCTTCACATCATCATGGCTCATCTGCTGTTTAGGGCTCTTGGAACTAAACAGTTTGGTCGCGTCATGGTAGCGAAATTCATCCAGCTCCACTAATGTCTTCTGACCAGGCTTGGCTGCTTAGAAGTTAGCTTTTGAGAAGAGATACTCTGCAATGTCTGATTGGTACTGACATGATTTGCGGTTGGATATCGATTCGATCAATGTTGGATATCGGTCCAACAATTTTCTGAAAGCATCACTTGAGATATTCTCAGGCAGTGGGATGTTGGAAACCATGCTGGTTTCTGGGTTGCGCGGCACTGCAGGCCAGGCGTGTTTCAGGTCATGCCGTTGCAAGATGGTCTTCGTTCTTGTCCGAGCAGTCGATTTATATAAACGACACCATAACTACTACCCTACAGCATTGAGTGGCAAGTTTTACAATATGGCCCTCGATTCAAATAAACGGGATGTTTGGCACGACGCTCCACCTGCGATCAGTCTAAGTATTGGATGGTATCTAGACTGGGTTAAGGGATCCGTGCACGAATGGGCCGTTTCCCCCTAGTACTAGACCACCTAAACTTTTTTCTGTTCCAGAACGTGGAGGCCCCCATTAAATCCGGCGCAGCCGCTAAAGGGACTTCACTTTTAAGGGTTCAATTCCCGCTGATCTGATTTGATCTGACCAGAAAATCGCATCTTTTTTCCGTTCGTCTGCGCCGATAACAACAAGGCTCGTTGACTACTGTCTTATAACCCGTCCCTCTCACAAAATCTTTCAGCGACTATACTCAACCAGAAACCACCGTCAAGATGGGTAATGTACGTATATCAACTCAAACTCGACACCGCCAGACTGCGGCACCGCCCATATGGCGGGGTCGTCTGCTCAGCAATAAGAACCAAAAAAAAAAAAAAAAGGTTTACTGACATGGCGAAATAACATAGGGAGCCAAGGCACAACAGAAGCGTGAGCGCAACGCAAAGGATGGCAAGGTTGCCAAGTCCCAGCTCAAGACCGTATGTTTTTCCAACGAGGGCACGGCACATGATATAAATGCTTGTCAGCACCCGTCAACTAACCATTGCAATGCAATAATTACAGAACGAGAAGGCCATGAACATCCAGTGCAAGATCTGCTTCTCGACATTCCTTGCCACAAGTCGTGTTCCCCAGTAGGTCTAACCTTCTTACATATAACCCTTTGTGCTGTGAATAAGAGACGACTTGCTGACATTCACTCAATTAAGGCTTACCGAACATGCTCAAAATAAGCACAGCAAGACCCTAGCCGATTGCTTCCCGAACTACGAGGCGAAATAGACAGTTTCTCCCACTACAATCGCATAAAACGACATATCAGACTCGGTGTGGAGCTGGTAACGCGATATACAGACCTTGACGGTTGGTGAGCACAGCGAAGGCGTACATTGGTATCAAGGAAGAACAGATCAGACAGCGTTGATTTGACGAGTTGACGAGCAATGAAGTTCCACGCATTCAAGGAACCCCCCTAAATATTTTTGTATACACTCTCTCTCTCTCTCTCTCTCTCTCTCTTTCTCTCGCTCAGTGCGCCTCTACAGCCGCTGGCTGAGATTGTCTCGTCTTCTCTGTGTCACTTGCTTGTCCTTTTCCACCGCCTAGATTCACACCTGCTTTCTCCTCCTTTTCCCACTTCTCCCTTGCCAACTGTGCCAGCACGTCCTTCAACATATCTGGGTACCATCTCTCGCCCACATCCTGGTGGCTCTTGACTCTATTCCTAAGCGTCGCCTCGCCCAGTGTCTTCGACATGCCACCACTTCGAAACGTAAATTCCACATCGTCCAGCCTGCCCCCATTGCGCTCCAGCACCCTCCTCCGCTGGGCCTTGACATCATCCGGTACCTCGCCCACGCCGACCTTTTCTAGATCCTCAAACGTAGCATCGCCCCTCACGCCCTGAAAGAACGGGATACTGAACCTCGCCCCGTCGCCCGCCTTGGGGCTCAGCACCCGGTGCGTGGTCGAGCGGCAGGCGCCCTGCGTGAGCGCCTCGAGGCCCTGCCCGATGGCCACCACCAGCGTGCCGTCGACGGGCGGGCAGTCGATCCACTCGCCCCTCATGTTCTGGACCTGCAGGCCCCTGTGCCGGCTGGCCTGTAGGAGGTAGCTCGTCAGCATGCTGTCCTTGTGCGGGCCAACGCCCTGGCCCTCGGCGCCGGGGGCGTCGAGGCCGAGCTCCGATAGGTCCGGGTACTTGACGACTTTCAGCTTGTGCTGCTGGTCCGCCCCGTCGAGAAAGTACTTGTCGAAGGCGTCCCCGGGCAATCCGACCGCCTCGGCGATCAGCGAGGTGAAGTAGATGCTCACCCGCGCCATGCGGGAAATGTACTCCGTGAACACGGGGCGGAAGTCCGGGAGCACGGAGGCCGAGGGCCACTGGTTCGGCGCCAGGAGGTTGTGGTGGAGCGGCGATCCGGGCCCGGGAACTGGGTGCTCGGTGCTGAGGTCGATCTGCTCGCGGTGGTCGACGGCGCCTGCGGTGATCTCGGCGGAGAGCTGCGAGTAGCCAAGGAAGGAGGGCGCGTTCTTCATCTCGATCTTGAGTCTGGGGTGTTTGTCAGTGCTCTATGGTGAGATATATAGGTATATACTTTTGTGTAGACCCCATGACATGGCGGTTTCGACAAGTGATGAGGCTCCGCACGTAGCAGCTCGAAATATTTCGCCGAGGAACTTCAAACGTACTTCTCTTCTTGCGGGATATCGAAAAAAGCTTTGCCTTCGTGGATCACTTTCGCGAAGAATTCATCTGAGATTCCGACATTTTTAAGGTATAGAAATCCCACTTCCATCAACGCGTGCCGCAAATCAGCCAAGAAGGCAGGCTTAGTGCTTGGATCACTGGCTAAGGCAAGATCAAGAATAGGTATCTCCTTGAACGACATTCGAGCGCGGGTTGGGTTTCTTTTTCTCAAGATACGTGGGATACTTGGATCAAAAACTCCCAAGTTAGTGAACTGGTCCACTGGGGGAAATGGTGGTGATCACCCCTTAAAATGGACTCTGTCTACGTGATGAGATTGTTGCTAACGAAGAACCAGGCTCTACTGGTTCATGAAGAAAATCAAGTACTCAAATTTTGTTTTTGATTCAAATGTTAGCTGGCTTTGAGTTACGAAGGATACTCTCATACGACTACCGATGGCGTAATCCCCCTAGATCGGCCGGTTCAGTAACCGGTTGCTCCACAATTATTTGATCGATGTCCGTTTGGTGCTGTCCAAAACCGCACATCTCTACATGCATCCTGGCTCACATAGGTCAACTCTTGATCCTTTCTGCCAATCCTAGTTCTCAACGCCGAACCGTCTTTCTCTCGATCCTAACATATTTTCATCATTGGACACGATGCAGAAAAAAAAAGATAATACTGGCCCTGAATTCCAAAGATTGGAGTTTCACCTCCACTCGGCACGGACGGTCTTGAAGGAGTGGCCTCGTGTCGGACAACCGATCTGATGCTCTTTTTGTATTGAAAGTCAAATACGGTAAATGGTCGGAAGGCTTAAGGCGCAGTAGGCTTGGATGAGAACAACTTAGTAACCCGATAGAACATGTCCTCGATCGGAGGCATGGCGAATGGCGGTGCCGCATCAAATAGTTCTGCAAGTTTCTGGGGCGCGACCACCACCGGGTAAATGTCGTCGTCTTCCATGGCATCATCGGCCATATCGATATCCATTTCGTCATCGCTAACGCCATCTTGATTTTCGTTCACTACAGCAAGGAGATTTGTCTGCTCGGTCTTGGCAGCATCTGACTTGTCGAGATGAATATCCGTAAGCGACTGAGCCACGGCGACCGAGTTTGTGTCTGTGCTCTGCGTAATAGAGCTGACTTGCGCCGAGGAGTCCACAACTAGATACCCACTCGAACTGGGTGTTGTGACTAGGGAAACCACGGGAGATGCTAGCTGGTAAACAGACTCGGGCTCGGATTGATTGGCGTTGAAGACAGCGACCTCCGACTTGAATGCACCCAGCCTGTTGGGGCGTGAGATTGCCACAGCAAAGGTGCGAGACGGGTAGTCGACTTCGAGCTGTGCCAAAACCTGAACTGCTGGATCCGAGCTAAGTTGAATACCGTAGCTCAGCTCATCCTGGACGATGTCATAGACAACAAGATCTTGGGACAGAACGACAAGCTGTGAAGCCAGAACGCGAATACTCTGGATCTGGCCATGGATCAAGCCATCAAGGGAGTCAACCACTGTCCCAGATTCAACATCCACAAGATAGACTGCGGACTCGGCACCGTTTTGGAAAGCACAGGCTATCATAGAACCATCCTCGGAAAACGATACAGCACCGCTACGCTGTATTGTGGACTTGGATGATGCTACACTCGGGTCGGCAAGCGCCTTGTTCTCCTGTAGATGAACGGTGCTGGCACAAACCCAACTCTCCATCTCTCGACCCGTTCTGCTTTTCACAATGATACCATCTCGTTGGCGGACAGCAGGTCTCCATAACCTCAGCACCCCATCCTCACCGATTGTGGCGAATGTGTGAGACGTTGAATCTGCTGCTAGATCCAACACACGCTCATCTCGCCCCGTGTAGTGTGGGGCGTTGATACGGGATACTAGTTCCAAGGCTTGGCCGTCTGGCTGGGTGGCCCAAAACTTCAGGAAGACTTCCAATCTCTCCGAAGATGGCCCGTCCAGCACTTCGGTATCCCTCGACGGCGGTTGCCACTCGTCTACTGTTGCAAGCCATTTGGCATCATGTGTGTACGCCATATGAGCAACGCGCGGTTCCGTGATAGGATAACCTTTTGATGTTGTATTCACATCGGTTGGGTGCGTCCGGGTCATGGCCTGCTTCGCAAGGCCTTGAGTAGTACTTAGATCCAAGGTCTGCAGAAGTGGCATGGGTGAGGTAGCTCCAGGAGCGCTGCCCTGCTGTGAATTGCTGACGCACAACAACAGTCGTGTTCTGTCCTTCGGGTTGATGACTGCGGGTATCCTGGAGATGGTTCCTTGATCTTCGACATGCCCAATCCGTTTGACGAAATTGTCTTTAGATGGTGGCTTGGGTGTAACCAGAGACTGAATACCGGCGATATAAGTAATAGGTTTCATCTCTGCAGTCGTCATAACCATGGTGGAATTGTCATCCAAGTGAACAATGTAACTCGAACCGCGATCGGAAATGACGATGTTCTCAATGGTAGCAGTCAGATGCGGGAGAACGTCGATCTTCTGAGTATCTAGCTGCCATTGCACCAAGACAGACTCAGAGCCTCCCGAAATGATGTAATTTCCTGATTTGTTAGCCAACTGCAGAGCTGCGAGCTATAAGAACAAACATACCATCTTGTGACCATTTCACGGCATGGACGGCTCTGCGATGCCAATGATATTTTCGAGGTTGAAGGGTGGCGCCTCGAGCCCCGACTTTCTGAAGATACCTGAGCTGCGGCAACAGATCGTTATAGAAGTAGATTGCTCCGCGAGCACATCCAACTACGACCTCAAGAACGGGCTCGTCGCCGATCTGCTTTTGCGACTTGCGGTTCAAGTGAATACGCTCAGCGACCCGAAGATCGAGGCAAGTGATTTCATCGGGACAGTCAAGGACGAAGAATTCGTATGCCAGCTCTTTGATGGACTGGAGGTCTGTTGACTTGACTGCTCCAAAAATGATGTTGTTCCGGGAAGTCGCAGCTAGAGCCTGTCCATTGTTCATGGACTTGAGGTTTTCGATGATTTCGCCGCGAGATAGAAGGATCTTTTTGTTCTTCAGTGTCACGTCTTGGACGTAGCAGGCCGTGATTTGCCAGGTGTCATTGACGAGAAGGGATACGAAGGGGACATCGAATGTACGATTCTTCATGGACATGGGCTGAATGGTCAGATCGGTAAGGACGATGCAGTCGAGCTGTATGTGCTTGTCGAAGCCGGTGCCGGTCATCCAATCGCCTTGCCATATGCGACCAGTCGAGGAAGCAATCCACAGGAGGTTTGGGGAAGTAGGCGAGCGTGCAATGGCGACAACGCGTTCGTTCACCTTGGCGGACAAGTCGAGGGCGATCCTCCGGAACAAGAGAGAGTCTGCGGCAGAATAAACCTGGACCGAGTTGGTGTATGCTATGATCAAATACTGGTCATCGCTGGTCAAGATGGGATCGACGTCCAGCATGCGCCCTCCCGTAGGTTGAGAGAGCTTCCACTGAGAAGGGTCCTTCTTATTTGGCGACTTGTTGGTCTTCTGCTGGTCATGCTTCACTTGTTGCGGTCTGGTCTCGACGAGGGGTGAGTCTGTATTGGCGGCATTTTGAGTCACGGGTTCGGCGACGGGGAAGCTTTCGCCATCGAGTTCCTTGAGGGAGACAAGAGCTTCTTTGTCCTTGGGCTTTCGTTTGTCTCGCTTTGCCCGTTTGCTTCTGGTCTGTTCGTCGGCTTCTAGCTTTCTTTTGCTTGCGGCCTTGGCCACCTACACCACTGGTGGTTAGATAGTTTGTGACGTGTAGCCAGAGGAATCTGCTTACATCAATTGTCGAGCTCGATGCCATCTTGAGTGAATGATAGGCTGGAGTGAATGATGGCTGCAACGGCGGGCGTGCAATCGTCAGTCAGACAGTCAGTTCAAACGTGCCGCCTGGCTCCTACATAGTGGAGGCAGACAATTCAAAAAAAAAGTTCCAGGAACCAAAGATAAGCCCCACAACCGGGTCAGATAAGAGACGCCCACCATCCACCGTCTACCGTCCGGGTGCTCCAGGAGGAAACGAAGACGGGTTCCTGTTTACTGACACTTGGTCTTTAGATTGGAACCTGAACGACTAACAACCTACTTTCATACTTTGAACCAAACATTGTCAAATACCTATAAAGAAATAAAAGAGAAAAAGAAAAAAAAAAAAAAAAAAGGGAAAAACCCGCCGCCCGGCGCGCCCCCCCGTCTGTCCAAGTAACGTAGCGGTACAGACTGAAGAAAGCACCAAAGCACCAAAGCCCTGTCCATTTGTGGGGCCTATTCCTCAGTTTTCGGATGCGACTCGTAGCTGATTGGCCCGTGCCTTTAGACCTGCAGGAAGGCTACCTTTCACTGAGATTCACTCAACGGGTTAACTTACTGCACAGCGACTCTAAAATTTTGGGGAGCCTCAATTCCAGTCACGGTCGAATTCTTTGTTGCCATCAACACCAGCTACAACCCATCTTCCGCACACTATACAGCCATATAACGTCCGTACACAGTGGTCGTACCAAAATATAAACAAGCATACAAGATGATTATTCCTATCCGTTGCTTCTCATGCGGCAAGGTACACCCCTCCCATCCCCCCAACCCGAACGTGGGAAGTACTAATGCGGCAGCCAGGTCACCGGTGATCTGTGGGAGAGATACCTGAAGCTGGTCGACGACGGCGCCACGGATGGTGAGGCCATGGACCAGCTTGGCTTGAAGCGCTACTGCTGCCGCCGTATGATCATGACCCACGTTGATCTGATTGAGAAACTCCTCAAGTAAGCCATTCACTCACTCGCACCAATCCCTCCGAACCCCAGAACACGTCGCGACTGACAAACCAAAACTAGATACACCCCCGAAGGACGACACGAGAAGAAGGTCACCCTTCACCGTGGCTAACACCCACTTGCATGGGACCTGCGCCCGACGACGCAAACCATTCTTGGAAAACTGCATATTATGGCGTTGATGGAGCGATTTACATATGGTATTGAGGGTTTTGGTACACATTTTCGAGAAACGCAGGACTATGGATTGTGCCTTGAGCACGACAAACTTTTTTGGGAAATCGCCTGACAGCCCCTTCCCTTGGACCGCTCCGGTGACCGCGGCCAGTCTGCTGGTTGCAGGAATGCAAAACCTGCCATGCAATGGCAGCGGCGCCTATTGTTAGGTGGTGGACATCGCGCTTAAGAACCCAACATACCCGCGTTTCTCGAAGCAGACACGGCGGAGGCAACAACTCAGAATCGACAGGCTTCCTTGTTGGCTCACGGGGTCAGCATTAACTCTGGATCATGTGATGAAAGCGAGGTGACAGGAACATGAAGTGTTGCCGGTGACCCTGCGTCCCCCTTGTGCAGCCGGCCACCGCCCAAACTATTCGACCGCTACTTTGGTCTACAAGGGATATTAGATACCATGCATGCCCATGACTTCGCGTCAGGTATGGGTTGTCCACATCTGTGGGTTGCAAGCGGATCCTACAATGCCTGGCCAAGAATCCATGACCTAGAATACAAAATTCAGACCTTAAATTCAAAATCTGGAGTTAAGTCGATGTAAACACTGCAAAGAGGAGTCTATCCTACGGTTGTATGACGACTTTGGAAACGAGACGCTAGGTACAAGAATGCCTGTATCTCGCATAGTATCAAATGGAGGGACTTGTCAGGTCCTGCAAGTAGCAAACGAAAGCATCTATCGCGCTTGTCGGACACGATGCCATGCGCGGTTAGAATTTTGCAAAGCCCAGCTACAGCCGGATCATTTCTTCTAGACCTGCTAGGTGTTTGCTTGGTCTGCGTGGCGTGTAATATCCAGAATTTCTCTAGTATAGCAACCCTGCCGCGGCGTCTGCAATGCACTTTGTAACCAACAGCAATTTGACAGGTTCCCGAGCTAGTGTAGTGCGGCGCCTATGCACATGTTGGAAAAAGGGCATCGAAATCCAAAGGAGCCACTTCCTTGAATCGAAAGTACCGCTGGGTTCTGGAATTATTCTCTCAAAAAGGGACCATGCATATTGAGGCGATACCGGGACAGGGCGGTCGGAGTGAAAAGATGGGCAGCAAGGCGAGAGCTATTGAAGGACAGGTTATGTTACCAACATCGCGATAACTATCTTCTTAGTCTCTGTTTCCGAATTCTGCACACGATTGCCGATTATTCTAGCCTTAGAAGAGCCCAAAAAGCTTGGATGGCTTCTGTACCCTGACTGGTTGCCCGTCTGACTGGGACTTCCTGGTCATCCTTTCTGTCGGTGAACGCTAAGCAGTCAAACAACTACCGACTCGATTGCTGAAAGGCTCAAGCTTGCAGTCCCCAACCCCCTCTGCTCCAAGATCGGCCAGCCAATGACTGCAGGCACCGGCCGTGGGACAGTATACCCAAAATCACCGACATCCACGGATGCAAGTTCCGCAATAAAGGTGTACAGATTGTGGCCTGACTTGATCACATTTCCAGGACTCTTTCCACGCTTGTCACGAACCGGGCCCAGTGCAGATGTTGATACGTGGGCTATGGTCGATTAGTGCTGAGCTTCAAGAGCCCCAGACTTTGGTAATAAAATTAAAATACACTCTGGCAGTTGTTTTCAGGTTCCCGTGGGTCGGCTACTTCAGCAGGCTGTACCGAGTCGTCGTGATACTGTTCGGCCCCCAATGTCCATTTCTTTGGCATAATTAGTGTCCAGTCTTATCACCTCTGACCACCATCTCAAACGTGATGGTTACATTGCCTGGTGGCGCCGGCCGGGCATTGAATCACATTTCTTCAAACGTCCAAAGGCGTGGCTCACAGAGGCACCGTTTTCTGGTCGCAACGCTGCTGATCGTTGTACCGCATCGGACGGCCTCCAGTGCGGCTTCTCCAATTCGGGAGGCACTCGCTAGTGCGGGTTCCATTAACATGAACCAGATAGTCGGAAACAAATGTGGGCAAAATTACACCATCAGATCGGGCAGGCAAGTAACACTCGTCACGACTGTGCTGGGACGTGGCACCTCTCGCGTTCCATTGAACGTTTGTGGCAGGACTACCATTTGTCCGTATTTCCGATCATGTAAAACCTATATAGACTTATTACCGCTATCAAAGCCGTGGAGGCACGGTATGTTGCCTACCCATGGTCACCTTAAGCCATTGCACCAAGCATCGTCCGAAGTCAGACGTTCCATTTCCCTTGGACAAGCGGCGGGATGCGACAAGGGAGGAGTGTATAGAGCGGCGGGAGCCAAACCCAGCACCCGGTCCTTCAAGGCATCGAGACAGAATCCTGTCCCCACTGAACTAATACGATTTCTTCGGCTCTACCGATCAGGAGGAGCCCATCAAGCAGCTATCCGTCTTGGTGCCAATTGAGTACGATTTCCAACTCGCTTGGCTCAGGACTTTGTTGCCCGGAAGTGGTTGTAATAATATGCAAGGTTTAAAGGGCTAATTCCTAATATCTATAGCTCGCAGCCCCGCCCATGCTGCCGGCAGGGATTAGGAGTGAAAACAAACCGCTGTGACTCGCTGGTTGAAGCGAACCACCGCTATTAAGCGCTGAGGCCCTGCTCGCTACATGCAGCCCATCAATCAAAGGGGGCGTTCATCCTCCGTAAAATGCTCTACACGATTTGCTACTGGTGGGCATCTTCACGAGTGGTGTATTCACAGGCAAGACGCGCATTCCGCAGGCTAAACCGGAAGACTCCAGCGCGAGACACCCTGCATTGCATATCGTCGCCTGAACCACCAAGACGCAATGTAAGCCAGACTAGTCGACAATCCAAAGTCTGTCTCTCCTCGCAAAATTATCAGCAGAGCCTGGCGCTCTCCAGACCCTCTGAGCAATTAGACAGAAAGTCTCCCATGAACCTCGAGACTATCGCTGCCGGTAACGCCGTATCCTAATCCTTGAGTTCCTTGAGTAATAGTCGCTCAAACCACTCGCGCTCACACGAATGGAAGAATCACTATTCCACTATTCCAGCGATCACATCTTCTTTGAACGACTCCCATACTCGTCTAGGTGGCACTCTCATTCCCTCTAGGTGACATTGGAGCTTCAAGGATATGTAGTAGAGCTGCCGACTTGCCAGTGGAGTTCGTTCAGCCCCTCATCGTTACATCGAACAACAGAAAGACAGACAGACGTCCCAACAGGCGTTTCTGATCACTCAAGTTGCCAGGCGATCAACTTCAGGCTCAGCCAATTGCGCACTACTAAAACACACCCTATATCTGCCAGCATTCTCTTGTTATCTGAAGACAGGTCGGCCCGGAGCCGCGATCCATTCTTTGCGGCACAGACAGCTTAGAGTCACTGCCTGCCTGCCGACCGTTGGGCGGCGCGTGTTACTTTAAAGTACCAATCCTCCCACTCACCGAGTCCCCCGTTTGTGGATTGAACCTCTATCCTGAAGCTGGGCTTCGCAGGTCTCTTTCATCCGGCCATCGGCAAGGCGCATTCCTGCTGCGCTCCGATAATACTCACTGGCGCATTGGTGTCCACCACGATAGCTATACTATTAAGCGCGCCGTGTGGGGCTTCCAACCATCCCCTTGGTTCAAGAGACGCGAGAGATCAGTCGCAGCAGGAGGCTTCGAAGACTGATTTTCCGACAAAGTCAGCCTCGAGCTCGACTAGCACTGCTTATTTACCATAGTCATGGCTCTTGAAGCTCCCCTGAGATCATCAAGCGCAGGCATACACTCTCCCTTTTCACCGCACACAGACATATCTATGTCCTCACAAGAATCACCGGCGCGTCGATCACAATATCGCCCAATGTGAGCGTTGAGAAGGATCATGCCGTTTGCTGTTTAAATGCTGACCACAGTAATTTAGGTCTGTTAACTCTGTTGAATCGAACTCCCTCCGTCCTTCCTCTGCTGCCGGTCGATCGTCCTCGATAAATAATCATTTAATGAGTCCGAGTGATATCGTAGGACCATCGCCAGTGACATCAGTAGGGACGGAGGTGACTGAAATAGAGGATGAGGCTTCGGATGACTTCCGCATCGACTTTGCGAGCCCGACCTCTTCAGCCTCACCTCAGGTGGGTATATTAGACATAGGGATGATACAAGATCACGCTAACTTTTTGCCAGTTACTCATGCTGAAGACAAACTTACCTGACCAAGTGCGTCAACCTTCTAGTGAAGAAGCAGTATCTGTGATACACGCACCTGAGAGCTTCCAGAGTTGGGTGAGCCGTCCAGAATCAATCATTTACTGTACTGCATCTAAGACCAGAGTTAGGCTTCTTCAGATTCGACAATTGAACCCAGAGAGGAGAGCGGCAAGAGGACGTCCCCAAAAAGTTCACCAAAATTCAACGATATCAAGATTCCCTTGGCTGCTGCACATGCCTCAAAGGTAAACATTGAATTAGCATACACTTTGATAACTATCCTGACCTGTGACACAGGGGAGATCTCCAGGGCTGCCTACTCCACCGCCCATATCCACGGACGTGAAGCCAATCCGATACAGTCTTGACAGCGCCACTCCACGTGCCCAAAACCTTCAAGAGGTCCAAAGCCTGTTAAGCGAGTCTGCAAGGCTACGCTCGAGCAGTGCCAGTAGCCTCGAATGTACGTCTGAAGCGATAGCATTTCATTAGGACATGGCTCATTGACCAACCAAATAGTGATACCTGAAAGCAGAGAGCCCGAGACAGACGCTGAGGCAGATCCGGAAGCTGATGACGAGGAAGAATTCGTCACACCATCTGGGGGTGAGGATATGGAAATCAGGTCCCTCAAGACAGCTCTAGCCGAGTGCTGGACATTGTGCAACACACTTGCTACCTTGAGCACTCATCACCGCGAAAGAGTGTTCAACACATCTGGAACTCCTGACGCCCATGAGAAAGCTTGGAAGGCGTGCTGGAAATTATGCCAGCGACTCTACGACAACCGAGACGAGGACGATCAATGTTTTGGCATGAAGATGAATTTAGATCTGTGCCGAGACTTTTGCCAGTCCCTCTTCGATGTGAGGACCAAGAAAGACGAGACGGCAGACTCAGTATTGCGAGTCAGCTTCGAGCTCAATAATCAGTGAGTCTATAGTGATACAGTATTGCGAGAACTTACTGACAGCGTTTTCAGTTTGTATAGCGCCCAAGACAACAGGAATCTGCCAGAAGCGTTCCGGGAGCGTACCCTAGATTTCTACATCACTCTTTGCCACAGGCTCATGAAGCAGAGAAATGAACTAGCAGAAGAAACGGACTCGCTTCTCCGGGCTTGTTGGTCCCTTGCAGAAATGTTGTTCAGTTTGAGGCAAAACAGGCGAGACAATAAATCGCCTGATGAAGAGCTGCTGGGCTCGGCTGTACAAGCATGTTGGGAGTTGTGCGACATTTTTAGAGAAGGGTGGACTCAGATCCGTCCTGACAGGGGCACACCGAGACCAAGTCAGACTAATTTCTTTACGCACCAACGAGAGCGGGATTATGGAGATCAGGATGGTCGCGCAAGTCGGGCTTCAAACCGCTCAAAGCGTGAAAGCCTCAAGAGTGCGCCGCAAGAGAAAAAGACCAAGCCGCCACCTGTGCCGGAGACTCCAGTAACAGAATTCGAGGACATTGGTCAAGATACTCCAATATCACCTGACAGCCAATCGCCACAAGTACCGAACATATTGGTTCTAGGAACCGAAAGCAACAGAGGAGGACGATGGTCAAGCAATGCGTCGAACCTTTCCGGCTACTCGCAGAGTAGTCAACGCACGTCCAGCACAGCGACGACGGCCACATCGTCAGAGGAGATTAATATCTCGCGGCTCAAGACCTTGCTGCTCAAAGCCGCCATGAACGTCGGATTTTCGAGAGATGATGTCAGCGGTCATGGTGGCGCTGCTTCGCTGCAAGCATTTGTGAAGTCATTGCCCGCTGGCTCATTTGGTTCGTTATCTACGCATGCCACGTTGCTACAGAACTACAAGACCCTTGTCCTGTCGGATTCATCATTCAGACACTCGTCTTCGCTACCCAGCCGGGGAAAGCGTATCTCGGCCAACGACCTGGCCCGGAGCGTAGTCTGGATGACACATCGCTCAAGCCACTATGCATTTTTGCGTGATTTGTTCAAACTTGTATTTGGCTTCCACTTGGAAGAGGCCGAGTCGAGGAAGAACGTTAGCATTGCCGTCTGAAACGTTATTGAGGTTGAAAGCAGAAATACTTGTGGGGGACGAACTGTTTCCGGATACTGTCGCTGTCCTTTTCTCCCACGATTTAGAGTTACTTTTTCTTTGTTTATAGCCTCTGCTCAAGATACCCTTTGGTGGATGGATAGTCGGCGCTACTGGAGAACATGGGGGAAGGTATTCTGAAGATTTTGAACGAAGGATTGCTTAATCAAAGTCGGAATCCACTCCTATAAATAAGGATAGAACAATCACATCAAATAAGACGACTGGGTCTCGCAAGTGGTGAACGGTGATTATGCCCAAGAGAAAATTCGTATTAGCTCATCATCCCAGAACAAACTCTATGAATAGCTCGGAATCGAGATCGCGATTTGTTCGTCGACGATGATGGCCCCTTTTCCAGTGCAGTCGACCTCAGGCGTACCTGAGACAACCCTCCGCCTCTTATCGCCGGACTCTCTCGATGATGCCGATGACCAATTGCAGGATATCGTCGAACCCGGCGAACGTCACCTGGCCGTTGAAACTGTGTCGATGGGTCGCGGGGACGGGGCAATCGTCGTGCTCTCCGCGGTACCACCAGCCTTCCTTGTCCCAGCCCGATCGTGCGGCCTCGGTACATCCTCCTGGGCGAGGAGAAGGCACACCGATCTGTTTGTCCACCATGGTGTAATCCGATGCCGGGAAGGGCTCGGCAGTAGAGCCGACTGCTGCGGTAGCATTGGCCACAGGATAATCTGAAACCGCGAAAGACTTGCCCTCGCCGAGTACTGTATGGACGGAAGGGAGCTGGAGTCCAGGGACCACGGGGAAATGGTGGGGATTGTTTCCAAAGCTGAAATCGTGGTTGTGAGGGCTGTAGAAGGGCATGGCGAACGCTGTTCTATTCGTCAGTCGTTGTGCAATGGAAAAAGGCTTAGGCTCTCCCAGCGATAAGGCAACCTGTTTTGTTCAAAACAGAAATATTGGGAAGGGACTAATGTATACTCACGCTCTGGTAACGGAAGCTGAGGCTGGAGCGAAGGGTTGAAGTCCTCTAAGCTCGGGTCGTTATAGGCGGGATTATAAGCCGCGGCGGTTGGGACGGCCATCTTCTGCTCACCCAGGTGCCGAAAATCATCTCCTTGCCCGTCCTACGAGTTGGAGAGCACATCGACGACGGGCTGGTGGATGGCAGAAGGTGCTGGCACGGCCGAGGCGGGACTTTGTGCCCGCATCTGCCCGAGTTGCGACGCTGACACTGGAGCTGGAGCTCGCACTGCTGTGGCAACCCCGCGGTTGACTAGTTTGCACCTATTCAACAAACAGTCAATATGCTCTTGCACATTCACCGCTTTGCCAAGTGTCTGGCAGGGATTCAAGGGGTCTTGTGTGATGACATGTAGGAGTTGGTAGGTACTAACCCGAAGTCAGGGTGGTCCCCATATGTCTGCTTCACGTACTTAAACTGGGCATTGTCCCAGTCTTTGTTGTTGAACTTGATTCTGTATCTCTCGATAATGCTTTCCTTGTCATGACCAAGCAATATCTGATTAAGAACCCAATTAATTTGTTCAGTGGTGTATTTGCGGCCGCCAGGCATCGTGGGTTGGTTACGTTGCTCCTGGGAAGGTAGACGTTGTCCTGCGTGGCATCAATAGAGTTTAAGTAGTGTGGATATGTGTCAGAAACACTCGTTCTTGTTGCTGTATCTGTACCGACGGAAGAGTCACGCAAAATATCAGACGTTGGTGCGTGGCTGTGAAAGCAAGGGGGACTAACAGTCGGCGGATAAAGCAGCTCCAATTTTTATATATGTGCAAATCGCCTATTTTAGGGCAGGTGGTGAGTTCCCCCTAGTGATTCACATGCAGGGTCGACTTGTCTTGTGAATAAGATTATTGGATTACTGGACGTCTATCTAAGGCATTATGAGACGATGAACAACCATTTTGTAACGCGGCAGAAGCATTGCATGATTCTGGAGAACAGTGGCGATTGGCTCTCTGCTACAATAATCTTTTCGTTGACCAAAAGTACTATAATTGTGTACGGTCCTGGTTAGTAAAGATTTTAGTCATCTGCTCTTGCCATATGTACGCTCTTACTCCTCTCCTTCGAACCACAACGCTGCACGGGAAATCGAGAAACGAATGTCCTAGGCTATATCCGGGCTGTAGAAATTAACACACATATATCGCTACCAAATATCGGATGCTGATGGTATCAAGGAATGTGTTTATCTTGTTATGCAGGACTTTATGCGTAATGCCCACATACTAGCCTATCGTTCCAGTGCTCAGAAGCAAGAATGGCAAAGCCCATGCAGTGTGCAGCGGGACAACAACTGGGTTCTACCACTCTTTTTGAGGTTGTGAATTCCATTCAAGAATCCCAACTCCTTCGTCTTTATCCTTGCCTCTTTTGATACAATATACTTGAACCACCCAGGAACCCAGGACTTGAGTAGTCTGCCGCTGTACAGAGCTTTCCTATCGTGGTGAAAGTGTTAAACATTGGGAATGAAGTTTATCGCTGAAGACTGGCTTCGAATTTATCGCACGAGCTCTCCATATTACTCGAACTGCTCTCGTTGCATTGTGTGCATTATGTGCCGACTGCGACTGGCAGCCAGTGGCTATCTACTCATTCGTCTCCTATCTTAGTATGATATGATTAATATTTCAAACCCGGGTCATTTGTGTTTATATGTAATTGCTCGTCTTCTCATCATAAATCTAACAAGAATTTTACGTTATCCTCTACTTGCTCAATTATAATAGAATGACCAATTTCTGGTATCTTTAATCGTCAGGGGTACGATTGTTGATGCGACCATTTCCCGCTTGGTAGTGCATTTAAATTGGTAGCGAAACAGTAAGGAGACCTTTCAAAGGTGCGTATACTCTTGAATACATTACCTACTCCCAATACGGTAGGCCGGCAGAGCGATGTCACCCACGCCCTTCCCCCCCAAGGGGGTGGAATATCGCAGCTGCCATGTAAGTGGCAGATATTGAATTGACTAATATTAGCCACTAACATACGATTGTACGCCTTTGCAACTACATATTTCGGAGAAGCGAGGGTTTGACAGCTCTGTCCGCGTTTTAGAACGTTAAGGAGTGATGTGAATGCAGGAGTCGGAGACGGCTATTAATGGTGTGCCGTAGTAATGACGTCGTAATCCCTGCTTGTCTCAATGAACCACCGCATCAAGATGTTTGTTGAAAAGTAATATAAAGACAGCACCCTGCATCGTACAACGACGATATACAGTGTTGAACTATCCGAAGTTTGTCCGACATAATTGCTGGCTCACAAATATGACCTCGTCCCAATATGCAGACCTCACGAGCTTCAAAGCTCTCAGGTACGCACTGTCTGCTCATGTCCTAATGCACAACCAGCTAACGCATTTCCCACAGCTTTGACTGCTATGGTACCTTGATAGATTGGAGGGCCGGGTTCCTTGCCTCCCTGCTCGCGGTGACCTCACAACTTCCGCCATCACACCCTTTCAATGAGGACCCGCCGCTGAAGGCAAAACAGCGCTTCGACGAGCTCCTCGCCGAGGTGCAGGAGACACATCCGCGGTCGCTTTCCAACGAGTTGATCCCTTTCGCAGTGACGAAGCTGGCCCACGAGCTGGGCATCGCCGCACTGCCGGACGGGATCGCCGAGCCGCTCGGCAATGCCCCCGGGACGTTTGTCGCGTTCCCGGACACGGTGGCCGGTCTGCAGAAGCTCAAGAAGTACTACAAGCTTGCTATCCTGAGCAACATTGATAATACGAATATGAAAAACACCCTCAGGCAGTTGGAAGGAATCGAGTTTGATGGGGTTTACACCGCGCAGGATGTGGGTAGTTACAAGCCAAACAGGAAGAACTTTGAATACCTCTTCGGTCACATCAGAAAGGAGCTAGATGTCGATCCTGGCAAGGGGGAACATTTGCATGTTGCGAGAAGTCTTTATTACGACCATGTTCCGTGTAAAAAGTTGGCACAGAAGAGTGCGTGGATATCCAGGGAAGCAGACGAAAATGAACTGAAAAAGTTTGAAGACTCTGTCGCGTTTGAGTGGAGGTTTGATACGATTGGGAAATTTGCAGATGAAGTCGAACGTCAATTCCGAGCAAAGGAGTCGTGATGAATGGATGGTGAATAGGTAGGGTATGGCTTGGAGAAAGGAAAGTGTTGGTCAAGAAATCTAATATTGTCCCAAATCTTGTATTAGGTAGCTAGGTTTCACTTTGCTATTCTTTGCCTGGCAGCTCGTTCAGCTGGCGGTCAATACTTAGTCTTCTCCCATCACGATATCCTCATCCTCGCCTCCCGTATCTGTTACACTTCCATACGCGCCTTTCCTCTTGCTGTATCGGCCACGGTACTTCCTTTTTGTCGAACCGTTCTCAGACCTTCGCACATCATCGCCTCTCCATCCTTTTCTGGTCTTGATCGGTTTCAGAAATCCGTCTACATGTACTGCACCGAATCGTTCGTCTTCACTATTCACGTCTGTAGGCACGCCGTTCTCTTCCATATGATGTACTAGTTTCATATGGCGTACTAGGTTTGATCGCCTTGAGAACCCTTCTGCGCTACGTTCGCAACCCCGAACGCCACAAAAATGCGAGTTGGCAACGGAGATGGAGCGCGAGCGTGACCGGGTGGTGGCTCGACTTACAGATCTTGATCGACTCCTAGATCGGCCACGAGGGTCTGAGGACGCGGATATCACACTTGAGGCGCGTATATGACGTGCCGCTTGCGATTGTGTCTCGTCTTCACTGTAATAGTCCTCATCGGCTGCTTCAGTATCAAGATCTGTGAGCATACCAGGGTGATATTGTACCCGTAGAGTCTGATCGTTTTGGCTGAACGCGCCCTCTGACATCGTATGTAGCTCTATGTTCTCCCCAAAGAGTTCGGCGCACCGCTTCGCGGCACGGTTCAAAGCATCTTGTGGGAATCCAGCCAAAGCGGCAGCACCAAGGACGTCCTTCCAATCTCTGGGCATAAGACGTGCCGCATTTCGACGTTTTCGAGCAGGCCTTTCTCCAAGGCCAACAGTATCGGGCTTGCGTTTGGTCGGCCGAGTCTCACTTGGTTCATTTTCCGAGACGTCACTGTTAGAGCGCTCAGGTTCAACATCTTCTTTGAAAACGGGAACTGGCTCCTTGCGCAGCCTGGCAACCCGGACAGCCCAGTCTCTGTCCGTCTCACCCTGTAGCCGAGGGTAGAGCTTCCGAGGCCGGCCATTCTTTTTATTTAGCGGTGCTCCTTCTGTGTCTGCTTCGCTGCCTTCTCGAGTCGGACCCCGGCTTGTGCTTTCGTCATGCTCTGACGAGGGCGGTGGTGGTGTTCGAAGCCTTAGTGCAAGCCCGGATTTTGGCCTACCCCTTCCTCTCTTCGCCGGAGGCCCTGAGCCTCTACTTCGTGAGCGCCTGACATGATTTGTGGCCTCTGGCTCCGAGCTACTGGAGGAATCGGACAAGTAGTTTACCACAACATCCCTTGAACGATGCAAAACCATTAGCGTAGCATCCAACTTTGCTAGGATGTCACGCACTGTCGGACGCATAAGATCATACGACAATTGGTCATCAGTAGAAACAGTCGGGTGTAGCAGTCTTTCGTGCGAAGGCATCATGTCGTCCTGCTCAGCGCCAGACCCGTCATTGTCAGAATGTCTGTTTCTTTGTTTCTTTCCTTCGTGTAGCACTTGTTTTTTGCGACTGGTAGATTTCGCCCGGGATCTTGACCTAGGATGCGACGACCTTGCGATGATGCCCTCTGTATCCGACGACGAAGCTGGCTCGCTGAGCTCTTCATCATCATCCTCAATGCCGTCCCCTAGATCTTGAGGATCTGCCAGTGCATCCTCCCATGAACGGCTCTCGAACTTCTCCTTAGCAGACTGTAGCACAGCCGCACCCAGCGCTTCTTCTAAAGCAGCGCTAGGAAACTTTGGTGCGGCACTCCTTATCGTGTCTTGGTCGTCACCATTGTTCTGGTCATGCCGCATAAACTCATCTGGTGGCACTTCATCCCCACTCATCGGCCACGCTGTCCAGGAACCTTGGGGAAGCCATTCATCTTGCTGCACAGTCTGGCTCGTAGCAGCATTGATGTCCTAAACATGTTTAGTACCTTCCGTAAGGCTTCGAGCGCAAAGGTTTGCCTTGAGTAGAGACGATACCTTTTCAGGGACAGGCCGATCATTGTTACCAGGATTTGGGTGCCGCCGTTTCAGCGCGTATGCGTTGTAAAGATGCACCGATAAGTCTTGATTTTTTATTTCGTTTAGGGTTGTAAGAATGTTGATTTCCTGTTGGTTCATCTCTCGCCACGTGGAGGATGGACCATCCCAGCGGTTTGGACGGTCGTTCTCCGAGCCAAATGAGCTCGAAGTCTCGTACTCATCTTCTGATTCGGGCATTGTGATGTGCTTTTTTGGCCCAACAATGGCCGCATCAGGAAGGCGGATGCAGACTGTGAAAGTTGACAAGAATCAAGTAGCGATGTTTAAGCTAGACTTCAGCGCTGACTGGAAATTCCTAGTGGGGCAGGCTCACAAGCTTTTACAGCGGCACCTCGGTGCAGGACCGCATTTCCCCCGGAATTTGGTTTATTCTAACCAGACGCACAGAAAGATACATCTTCGTTGACAGTTTTCAATTAAAGCAGTGATAAACAAAGAAATCTGGTTCTTGGCAATACCGGTGGTTCAAGTAGACGGTGCAAGACTTGCTTGATGAATTTGACATTGAGAACGCCTATATGGTATTATAAAAACACTCATCTACAAACCACTCTACGCCGGAGGCTTCCTTTGCTTTTGCTTTTCCAGTTTCCTCCTCTTCTCGCGGAGTTTCTGGTCCTCAACGCTCTTCTTGTTGTTGCTGTACAGCATCTGATCATGTAGCTTGCGCTTCTTCTTGCTGAGCATACCCCTGGCGCGCTCAAGATCCTCTGCATCTTCCTTGGCCTGGGCTGTGAGCTTCTTCCTTGCTTCCGCCTTGGCTTTGGCCCGCGGATTTTGCGTTGCCTTTTGAGGCAAAGGCTGACCGGTCATCTCAGCAATAAGTTCGCGCTGGCGTTGTAGTTCAGCATCGTCCTCATCCTCCTCGGCATCCTCATCCTGTGCTTCTTCATCTTCATCTTCAGCTCCTGAAAAGCCGCCAAAAGTTTCGTCTTGGTCTTCGTCATCTTCGGAGCCTTCATCCACGTCCATTGATTCTGCCCCATTCTCGACGGGCTTGACAAACTTGACGGACTTGGCAGGTTTGACAGGCTTAACGGCCAGGCTGTCATCTGCTTCTGCGACTTCTTCCTCGTCTTCTTCCTCGTCCTCAACTTCTTCCTCGTCACTGTCTGCCAGTGCTTCTTCCTCCGGCTGCTGATCCTCCAACGGGATGGTGGGATCGTAGCCGCCGTGTGTGGATTGCACGAAGGGACTCAGATGAGGTGGAAGTTGTGCGCCAGGAGCGTAAAGATGTGCGGGTTTGAGCTCTTCGTCATTGACGCTGTCCCAAATCCATTGTGGCTGGATGTAAATGCGACCAGGTATTCTTTGGTTGGGGCCAAGTTTCTGAGAAGTCTGGTTATCTTCGCCGTCACCATCTTCCTCGGCCGCAGCCTGGACTGGGGGACGATCTACGATCTGATGGGTTATTGAGGGGTCGTGTTCATCAGTAGTGTAGGCACCTTCGCCCAAAACTGCGTCCCAGCCGACACGCTTGCATCCAAAGGCCTTCAGGATGAACTCCAAGGGCTGTCTCGGTGTTTCACGAGAAAGGAAAACTGTGTAGTTGGCAAAGAGCGTCCCAGGGTCGGTGCCAGAGTTGGAAGGTTGCAGGAGCACATCGCCACCAGGTGCAGCCGGCTCAAACTTGTCAATTGCATCGGTCGCCTGATCCTCCTTGTCTGTCGTGGTCGCGTCAGTATCGCCGGCCTTGGACTCGCCCTCGCCATCCTTCAACTGCTTGAAGACCTTGTTCACTGCGGCTTGAGTCTCAGGATCGATGGTCTTGTCGGCCTCTGCAATGGCGGGCTGATCTTGAGCTGGCTTGTCCTGGATAGCAGCGGCATGATTGCCCTCAATGGTGAAGGCACCCAGCTCGGCTGCCAACTCGTCCTTCTTCTGGTCGAATTTGGGCGGGTAGACAAGGCCAATGGAGCTGTAGAGCCTGAAGTTGACAAACTTAAGGAGGGTCATGTAGAACTGAACGAAGGTGCCCATGATTCTGAAGTCGATATCGCCAACGATACGCTGGTTGAACTTGTAAGGGACGAGCCAGAGAATGTCCTCGCCCTGGATGGTGGCCTGGTAGTAGATACCCTTGATAGACAAAAAGGACTTGCGCAGGCTCTGGGAGACGATGAGGTAATGTTGGAACTCAAGGCACAGACGCTCGCAGCGGGCAATCATCTTTGCGGGAACGCTTGAAGTGGATGGAAGCTGGGCGAAGAGAAACAGCATAGAGAGAGCGTCGTCGAGGTCTCTCAGCGCGTCGACGAAGGTTGGGTATCGCTCGCGAACGAGATGATCGAGGGTGTATGGGGGCTTGCCATTCTTCTCGGGCCTTGAGGCGTTGCGCTCAAGTCGAGACGCATCGCCAACATCACCTCGTCCGAGAGCGCGGGAGATCTTCTTCTCGAGGACCTTCTGGTCTCTGAACTTTTGCAACAAGGGCTCGTGCAGCAGGTATTGGATATCCTTGGCATAGTAGAAGGTGGTCGAGGCGGTAGAGCTCTTGCTGACCTTCTTCCTGTTGTTAGGCTCGCGGGGGAAGATGCCCTTCCAGATGCACAGTTTTCTGAAGTCGGGCAGACTGATCTGAAGCTTCTTGATGGCCTGGTTTCGGGTGATGTAGTTCTTGGCAGCACCGGCCTGACCCTTCTTCTTTATCCGACCCATTGTGAATGGCGTGGAATTGCAGTGCAGTCCTCACGAGATGGGCTCGCGTGGTGATTGGGATTGTTTTTTGTTCTTCTTGCGGCGCTTTCCCGGGAGTGAAGCGCTCTTTGCAAATAGTACGAACAAATGCGATCCGACTTCGACTCGACTCCGACTTTTTTGGCCAGGAGCAAGGGCCCCGCCAAACATCTGGAACTTTTTTCCCAGCTTGCACTTTTTCTGCCGTTTCCCTTATCGATTGATTGACCGCCCTGGTTTAGGTTCTGGGGTAAGCCCAGGCGGGATTAGCGCTTTGCGTCTAGCGCAGGCCAGTTTGCCAGGCAGGACAGGCTTTCTTTCCAGGAAGGCGCCCCACTTTACGATGTGTGGTCGCGATTGACTGGACCTGATCGATTGATTTATTGATCGAGTTCCAGTGGCAGTGGTACTTAGTTGACACCTCTACAGTTCAAGCACTTAACCTTAGGTGAAATTACTCGTACAGTAGCTCTGTTTCCCGTTTCTGAGAACAACGGCAACGAGCTCACGGGTCTCGTTATTTGTGTGCTCTCTCGCTCGATGATGGACCTGCATCATGAGTCGAGATAATATGACCTTCAAGGCGACCTCTGGGACCACAGGTCTCTTCGTTGCCGCTGCAGCTCTCCGTCTGCTTCTCTTTACGGCCTTCCCTGCTCTGCCAGATCTACTTACCGGTCGTGTCGAGATATCCACCCCTGTGAATAGCTTCAAGAGATGTATGTCCATGCCCCAGTTCCCATATCTCCCCATGCGCAATGCAATCCCATGCAATGCCTAGTGTAAATACTAACTCGTCGCCACAGTACAAGAGGGTCTTTTTCTGTACAACCACAATGTCTCGCCATACGACGGCGGTGTCTACCACCAGGCACCATTACTTCTGCCCCTCTTCTCCCTCCTGCCCGACACGACTGCCTACCCGATCTTTACGTATCTGTTATACATCATAGTCGACCTTCTGAGCGCCAACGCTCTGTACAACATAGCCGAATCCGGAGAGGCTGGCGCGTCAAGGCTTTTCAAGTCGCCGCGCAGGGACAAGGCATGGAGTGGCTACGTCGTTGCCGCCCTCTTCCTGCTCAACCCCTTTACCATAGCCACCTGCCTTGCACGCCCGACAACCGTCTTTACCACGTGCGCCATCCTTCATGCCATCTCCCAGGCAATCTCCGGCCAGATATTCACCTCGATGCTCTCGCTGTCCTTCGCCGCCTATCTTTCCATGTACCCAGTTCTCCTACTTCCGCCCCTGGTACTCCTCGCGTATGATCGGACATACAAATCGAACGGCCAGTCGCTCCTACAGTTCTCCACTGTCAATGCCCTTGCCGTCACCTTGAGCCTAGCTGTGCTGTTCCTCTCATCATTTGCGCTGACGGGATCGTGGGAGTTTCTCTACTCAACCTATGGCATTCAGCTGACCCTGACTGACTTGACTCCCAACGTCGGCCTATGGTGGTACTTCTTCGTTGAGATGTTTGACAGCTTCCGGTCCTTCTTCCTCGGCGTCTTTTGGCTGCACCTCTCATCGTACACGCCCGCCTTGTCTATTCGTATTAGACATCAGCCCCTGGTAGTCCTTACACTCCTCACTGGTATCTTCGGCATATTCAAGCCCTACCCTAGTATTGCCGACACATCGCTGTTCCTGGCCTTGGTCTCGTGCTTCCGGCACGTGTTTCAACTACTTCGATACAGCTTTCTGACAGGGTCCGTGGTACTATACTCTACATTCCTTGGCCCGGCTTTCTATCACCTCTGGATCTATGCTGGAAGCGGAAATGCCAACTTCTTTTATGCCATCACCTTGGTGTGGAGTTTGGGGCAAAGTCTTCTCGTGAGCGATCTTGCATTTGCAGCTCTTAGAGATGAATGGGAAGTCGAACGACCCGAAATGAAGGGCAAAGAGATCAGGCAAATATAGTTGCCAGGTGGCCTGTAAAAAAATTTGTCGTCTCCGCCGGGTCCATCTCGATCAGTACCATATCTCGGAAGTCTATAAAGATCTGTTCAAGTAACTGTGTGCTTTATTTTGATTGGTAGAAGAGACTCAGATACGTGTAAAAATGACCTCGGTAGACACTGCTGCAAAACAAAACAACATCCAATAATCTTTGTAAATCAAAAATAGTCAAACGGAGTCGGTAAATATTTGAAGAAAGGAAAATGGCTGTGACTGCTGAAATGAATTCAACTCGAGATTCGCAGCTCCGGGAAATGATGTCACAGGCTTCGGTTCATTCAGTACATATTCGTTCTGCGTGCCATCAGACGTTGATTGAATAATAAGAGCCAATTTTTCTATTACCAGCTTGTAATGGTTACCAAAATCTGACCTGAAAATCTCCAGTGCAAGCAATCACCAAGGAAGCAGTACGACTATGTATTCGTCGGACGAGCCTTGTGGCATTGTACGCAGCCGTCACAGCACATCTTTCCTGCTCGAACGCTCATTTGATACAACATAACCGAAAGAGTTGTAAGTATTTTGCGCTTTCTGCGAGAACCTGCGCGAACAAGACCATATTGTAAGAAATTGAAAATTACAACCCCAACCAAAGTAGTCTTCATGTACCATTGCAGAGCATCTAAAACCGAAAGACTTTCAAATTAAAGGTCCAATTGGATGGGTGTGAGTGACCAAGGCTGAGCGTAGTTCGTAGTGTGGTTGGCCAAATCAGAAGCAACAACCTGCCAGTAGGCATGTGGGAGAAAGCCAGGGCATCTTATATGTTAACAGCTTTGCAATGACGGATAATTTGCAAGAGTCATCAGAGTGGTATCATTCAGACAGGCTATAAGGTATCTCAGAGGTAAATATACACTTTTAGTTTACATTTCGATTCGCAGTCGACGCTTCATCTTCCACGAGAATAATATACCCAGGGCAGAATGCCACAACATAGAGTGTCACACTCCGCCGATCGATGCAGTATGTAGGCTTAGGTTTGCCTAAGCTCTACGGGCGTTATCACCAATCTTGACATCAACTCCGACTTCTGCAGAGTTTCCGTCGCGAGGGGGTTGTAGTCCAGACCCTTCCTCCTCAACATCAACTGCTACCTCGATACCATTGCTCTTATACACTGTGTCATTATGGTTTTGCGGTTGGCGGGGCTTGGCTTCGAAATCAGGTAGACTGTTGAACATGGCCCCTATCTCTCCAAATCGGTCAAGTCCAGTCTTTGGATTTTGTGGCGCCTCGAAGTATTGTGTGGGTTCACCGAACGGGGGCAAAGAACGGAAGAACATAGCACCCCCGACTGCTACAAGAGCTGTCACCGTACCCCCGACTGCTAGGAGAACATGTGCTGGATCCCGATTTAGGTCTTCAGCCTTCACACCTTCTCCACGCCACTGTCTCCAGATGTCCCCAATGCCAGGCACGTTTTGGACAACATTTTCTGTGAACTGACCCAGTGTACCGAGCGCTCCCCGTGGGCTAGGACTCGCCCAAGGCAAATGTTGGCCAGGGTTTCCAGCTTCCCATATGATCGGCTCGGTGTGCATAAGATGCAGAAAGTCTTCCAGAAGCTGCCCGGCTTGGCTTCGCTCCATACAGTTCTTCATAAAAGGATGTGGTGTCTTGACACGGAGCAGCTCTAGAACACCCAACGCCAGGAAATCCAGTGACGATGGCGTATCTCGTCTAAAAAAGTATCTATTGCCTCCACGCACCTCGCCCAGCACAGAAAAGAAATCCTCGCTTATGCTTTTTAAACGGATAGCAGCCAGCTGCTCCGGCGCCATGCTTTCACTCACCGTGGGCTTGATGGGCAACCGGAGGAAGCCCGTGGATGTGATGGGGGCCGTGGTTTTGTTTGACTCAGAAGATCCGTCTTCAGGGTCAACATCCGCAGCCAGGTGATTCAAGCCAAGGTGTTCCGTCTTCGCAATAGCGGCGGAGCGGATTTTTAGTGGAACTGTCCATGTCAGCGGAAATGGTAGGAGCGACGAGTACGCCGGCCGAGTCAGATCCACCCAGGCGCTTGGCGAGACGTAGAGAGAGAATGCAACGAGAGCTGATCCTCGAGATAGAATGTAAGACGAGTACGCCAGGGTATCAGCCTGCTGGGTCTTGCTGAGGGTACCATCAATCGACCATACTGGGTTCCGTTGGCCAAGATAGGATACAATGTTCGTGTACCCCGAAGTCCATGTACCTTCATGATGGAGTGCAGGGAGGATATCTACACATAATGGTCAGATCGGCCGATCGGCGGTGTGATATCGTTTGGAAACAAGCAATTGGGAAGGGTTTGTAGGGGCGATGGGTGGGTTCAACTATACAAAGGGACATGAAACCTACGATCAGGACTGACAGATGCGTCATTGCTAGCGACCAGTGACCAATCTTCTTGTGGGACTGCATGTCCGAGATATGAGAGGGCCGCAAGGCATTCAGGGTCTATGGATGGCAGGCCGAAAGCCGAGCCCCATATGTGAAGTTCGAGCGCCATGTGACTGACTGAGAACTGCCTGGTGCCAGGCACGTAAAATGCCGAGAAGTTGTAGGGCAGCTCGGCTGGTAGCTTGGGGATTGATGTGTGTCGTTGCAACTAAACGTAGCGGAGCTCATGTACCTGACCTTACAAGAGTGTGATCCATGTGTAGAGCTCCCTCGGGATGGACGGCGTGTCAGAGGACGGAGAGGGAGATCAGAAGCTATTGGACCGCATTTGTGAAGCTGTCGTAACCGAGGCAGGCAGAATGACTCTTCTTACCGACTGCCGAACGTCTCAGATTTCCAGAAGTGTGCAATGTCCAGGATGATCTATCAGAAAACCCGTTCAGATGAAGATTCGCTAACGAAGTTGCGCCGAACCCGAATCGTTGGAACGCGCCGTCATGAGCGATCACTGCCGGACCATCGTTATCGCGCCGTTTTGATACCCAGACAGGGGAGGGAAAGCCCCCCGTAAGAAAAGAGAAAAAAAAAAAAAAAAAGCCCCCCTTCCCCAATCTAACGCCCTATCAACACGTGGAACAACCACACCAATGCGCGTCTACGTCACGTCAAGATCCGTGCGTCGCGAAGAGAAATTAGAGTTGCGTTTGCATGTCGCCACCTGCCTGACATCTGCCCCTGAAGATTGCAGGCGTTGTGAATTTCAGGGGGAGGCGAAATCCACGGTGCCTACCGCTTGCGGGAAACTCTTAGTCCGAAGATTGTGAGAGGCTATACAAGTAGCGCAACAACTGTTTCCAGTTTTGCAGCTCTTCAGCTTTTGGTAGAAGGCCCAGACGTTTGTACAGTAGTTAGAAGAGCTTCACGCTCAGACATTTCTGCTATTATCGACTTATAATGATGTGTTCATTCCCCATATCTTAAACTCTAAAATATCTGTAAGACGGGCTAAATGCTTGGTAATGTGACGACTTCACAGGTACGCTCTCCTTTTCTATTCATCTACTCATTTCATGGTGACGCACGCACAGCATAATTTGGAAACCCTCTTGGCCAACGTGTTGCTCAAGCAAAATGTAGAGCATTGAAGAACATGCCAAGTCTTCCGGTAAACCTTGGGACACTTCTCGTGGTAGCAATGGCGCTTAAGCGACCTCGAATACGATAGAGATATTTCCTAGACTAGACATATGCTCATTGCAGAACTTGGAACACGTTGTATTATGGAATTACGAAGTACTACTTTTATAAACAACCTGTTTCCTTGCTGTCAATACGTCCCATGCATACGTCGTACAGTCCGTGCACCAGACGGTAGCCGGCACATCACTTGGGCAGGCCAACTGCACAATGGCACAAAATACATAGCACGAAGGGCCTGCTCCCTATTTCAGCCATTGAACCGAATCTTATTTCTTCCCGCTATGTGCTTGTATCCTGCTGCACTGCAAAGTGCTCAGCTTTGGGACGCGGGCACCGCAAGCCGGACCACACCGAAGAATATCTGGTTTCCGTGGGGGTGTGTTAGCTGCAAGCTGAGATTGCTCGCATTGGTGCTCAAACCAACATGAGTCGCGAGCACCGTCAGAAAACGTGCGATCTGCTCGGCATCTGGCGATCGAACCCAAACCCTTTCCAAGTCTCCTATCCCAGCGCTTCGTGCACACGAGGAACGTAAAGTTAAGCTATGGGTAGAGCCCAAACCAAACGGTCCAAAGTCAGTCTTTGCTTGGGTGGAAAACTTGGAAAACGTTGCAGGTCTGGCAGGTCATCCGACATTGTGCATAGTCTAAGTATCATGTGCGTTATATGGCTCAAAGACAACGCATCACGGCGCATACAAAACTCCGGCGGATCTTAGCTCCAATGCATCATATACAGGCCGTGAGGTGCCACAGTTTTCCGCTGATCCCCCTACTGCATTGGGGAAACTCCGCTATATTAAGTGCTTAAGTGATCGTTTAAGTGCTGCGTATCACAGTAATCATGCAGTAGATTAATCAAGGTGACGACTCATTCGTGAGCCTCCACACTCCTTGAACGATGGTTGAAAGTGGAGATTTCATTGACCCGTCGCCATTTCCGAAGGGGCGGTATGCCAATTCTCTGATGTGCCTGGTGCATTTGAACGGCGCCATCTTGACATGCATTAGGTTGGGCCTTCGTGCCCTGAAGACCTTCGCTTAGCAGTTCCCATCGCATCAGGCTCTGCATGTCAGTGTTCAAACTCCACAATGTAAGGGAGACATGGTCGTGTGAGATATCGAGGGTTCTTTCGTGAGTTTGGAGTTGGACTCGCTTCATCTGCTGCAAGGAACGATGAACCTGGCTCCAAGGTCGTGGCATCCTGGGTGGGGCATTCGTAATGCGACCTGTCCCTCCAGGAGGTAATTATACACAAGGCATACGTTTCAAGCAATGCTTGCGTGATCGTACGGGGATTTCTAAGCACTGATGTCACTTATTCAAATGTCATGCTAGACAAAAAGTTCATGTTGTTCAAGTTGTGTAATTGATGAAATTGCCATATCCAAATATGGTGGTCGACTGATATAAGTCGCCATGCGGTATCCTGTAATATGCCCAGTGGTCCTAATAATGTTCCCGTAATCATGATTCTCTTCGTCCATCGGGGTATCCGGCGCAACGCGTGCCACTTCTTCGCAGAAAGACGCCCTGACAATGCTTCTATAGGTACATGATGTCGATAAGATTCCCAAGACACCCTTCGTTGCAGGTTTAAACAAAAAGAAATTCAAGTAAACATCAACTCGTGTGATCCCAAAGCACCGTTCCATGCGTGGGTGTTAATACCAACAACCCAATATTAAAGTTCCGTATCCGTATAATAGTACATCGATCGATCAGATGCGATACACCATGATCAGAAAGGTAAGAGATTTCCTTCGAGCCAGCTCTGTGGAGGTTGAGTCGATGAAGGCAAGCAGCGAAATATGCAAAGCAGTGATTATCGTACTGCAGATGTTGTCAGGATATATTGCGGTGTAAGTGCGCGCAAGTATCCGCCAATGTGGTTGCTTGGATTATAGTTTGTGGCTACTCGGCAGTGTTACTCGACATGCATGCACGAAGTATGACATGCATGTTCGAGTGCGCCCTCGAGGGCGCGAGGTTGAAGAATTAACACTGCTCGGGGCCATTCTGGTAGAAGCAGGGTATGCTCGTGTTCCGGTAGCCCACTGCTTTGGCTCAATGCACTTGCTCATCCATCGGTCTCAGTATGTTGTGGTCTCTCAAGTCTAGCTTGTCATCATAGCTAGCCTAAGCTCGCTTGGGCAAGGGAGGTAGAGGCCGACTCGGAGGAGGACCCGGGCAGGGTGGTAGTTGCGAAGGTCTTTGCGAAAGCATGGAGATCTCTGAAGAAGCGTGGAAAGCCATATGGTTGGATTTGAGAGGCCTAGTGGCTTCTGTTCTTGCTTTGAGTGGTTGTAGGTTGCGAAGACACAAGGTCAGTCTAGCGGATGCCGAGTATTATAGTAGTGCTTATAGAAGAGAGTATAATCTTCTGTATGTGTCTTGGTCTGGTGACTAGTTGGTCTGATGAAGTGAAGTAGGCAGAGTATTCGGATCGAAGGGAGGAGACTGCCTTATGTATCTAGCCGGCAAACATAGTCCTCTGTTTGCCCATGTCCGATGAAGTAGATGAGGAATACCTCCAGGGTTGTAGCTAGTCTCATAGTGTCAAGGCTTCAGGGATACACCGCCAGACCTGAAAAGGTACATGTAAACACTAGTTACATTGGTACCCATAATATTAAAATACGGACATGGAGTGTGCGTACCCATGTAGGTAGTCAGCTCAAAATAAAACCACCCAAACCGTCAGGGCCACAGTGACGCAGCCAAGGAAAGTCTTAGTCCTGGTCCGGGCGTGTGCCACAAGAAAAAAAGAATGAAACGAGCGCAAGCCCCTGGCACCATGATCGTTAGCTGGTGCAACCCCCTGGCGCATCAGCACGAAGTACACGGTACATCGAGCTGATCACTTTGCGCCGCGTTTGCGCAAGCTGAAATCGGGGATGAGTAATGTTGATCAGTGCCTTGAATAGCGGTCGACCCAGGATGCTCAATCGTCGCGCAGAGATCAGGATTTTTCTGCCATCGGTGGAATGAAGCACTCCACTCCTTCGCAGAAGACTCATGGAACAATTAGAAACCCACCGCAACCCCAGACGCGAGCTAGGTCTGATGAAGAGTGGAAAAAATTTTGTGCAATCCAGGGCAGCTGGACATTTTCCAACATGGCCCCATCAAAGGGGAGGGTGGATCTCATTTTCACGAGACAGGAGCTGCGTTGACGATGTTGTTGGCGGGCACTTGTTGCGTGCAGTTGACCGTTGGGTCTACATCGGCCGCTTCAGACCAGATTACTCAAGGCTACCGGCCGAAGCGCCCCAAAGCGAAATCAAGTTGCAGATTCTTCCGTTGAGGCAACAGAATTAACATGATTAGCATCTAGATTCTGCAAGGAAACTGTCATTGAGGCTCTCGTATGTATACGCCCGTAATCCAAGTTACCGAAGTGGGTTGTGCGTGCATTGGGTGAGACACTGACTACGGGTAGTCTAGTTGATGCTTCTTGCCGCATTGTACAAGAGCACAGAGAGGGGGCCTTCATCAAAGTTACAGGGTCGAATGGTGGTCAGCTGGTCTCTGCACCCTGCCAGATAGCCTGAAATTACATTGGCTTACCCCTGCATGGCAGTCCCAAAGAGGACACCTGGAATCTCACAGGGCTCTACAGCACATGTGTGGCTTAGACTTGCGAGTCTGCACTAAGAATAACACAAATCAACAACCCTAAAGTCAATCTGGTGGTTCAAATATAGTAATATGCTACATATACTATATCGATCTCAGAATATGTGCGACTGGTGATATGAAAGCAGTGATTGGAAGTGGAATCTGAGGACCTGTTTCATGCAGCCAGAGCTTCGGGGGTAATCGTGCGAACCGGTATACTAAGAAGAAAGTCTACATATGTACCTGGCATTCTACCGTATGCAAGATCTCCCGATAACCCGCAAGAAAAGCAAAACTTATAGTGTACCGCACGCCTCCAAATATAGTTGTCCTACCTAGTAGCCTTGCGACCATTGAATTCAGAGCATTTGCTTCCTTTTTTGTCAACCTGGTGGATTTCCTAAGTGGGAATATTGCATCTGTTGTGCTTGTCTCTAGGCCTGTCTTGAAACTTTAATTACTTGAGTTCCGCTCAACGAAACCTTGGTACCAAAAGGCCGTCTGTCGGAGTGGCCGGACGCAAGCCTCACAATTACGGAGCTCATTATGGAAACCTAGCTACCGGTCAGCAGCCACGTTCAAACTGACAGGAGGACTGAGCAAGTTGATATTTGACAGGACTAAAGTGCCGACAGGCACTTTCCCTATAGGTTGGAAGCACAGTTCAGCTCAAGTGCAACAATACTTGCTCGCGATGTGTTGCCGATGCTCATTGTCCCTTTGATGAGAATCTCCCACTTATG